TACAGAACACACAGTGAACGCTACCGCGCCATTATCCAGTTCCAGCTCCAGTGATTTACAAACTATGCAATTACAATTACATGTTTTTCCTTTCGACTTTCCTTCCCCTTGTTCCGTAAACGTAAAACACCGAGAAATCGTCGGTCGCGTCTGTTCAACACTACACTTAAGCGCTTAGAGAAAATCGAATCAGTTTGAAGTTGTTGAGTGACTTGGGAGGAAACCAGTAGCTAGTATACTGAACTCGAGGAAGTTCCTTAGGCTAGGGTCTTCAATGTGTCGTCTGCAGCTGGTCTGACTTGGTTTCTGTCGCAACGTCGCATACACGCGCATCCTACTTGTGGGAAGCGGCTGCTCACGCACTGAATGTCCCGAGACAGGTTATGGGCACTGGAGAAGTCGATAAAGGTGTGTCCTGAATCCACCTGTCATATTGGAGACAACGTAGGTGTCACAATTAACCAAAGCAGCCGTACGCGAACCACTAAACAACTCGTATCCATTATCAGGTTTACCCTCCGAGTCGAAACCGAACATCCACACTCGAGGTCCAGCAACAGCATTCGATTTGTTCACTTCAAAGTGGGGGTGCAAAGCTTCGTCGTCGGTAGCTTGGACGACGTATACGTAGACTGCGCCGATGGAAGAGAGCTCGTGTGGGACATCGACCGAGTACTTGTGGCTGTCATCCGAATTGTCGCCCTTGCTCATGGGACGCATGTGTGTGCCCCATCTGACTGAGAAGACGGTGAAGAGTTTTTTGTCGGAGGAGGTGTCGTTGGATATGGAGTCGGGGTTGGAGGTGTAAGCTTCGGAGAGGTCGATGGTTACTTTGTTTCCTGGTGCGATGGTGTCGGTGGGGTCGACGGAGAAGAGGGGGATTCGGTGATTCCGGTGGGGAGGGAGGGGAGGCCTGGGCCGCCTGGAGGACAGGTGGAGAAGAAGGGGTTGCCGGTTGTCCAGATGTCGTTCACAACGAGAGGTGCCTGTAGGGGAAGAGGGGGAGATGAGCGTTTGGGAGATGTTAGAAGAGGGAATGGAGGGGACGAACCTCGTTTCTTCGTAGCGTATTAGATCCAGCCGGAGTGGCGTGCTTGAACTGCGAGGATGGAGCCTGCGAGGGCGGAGTAGTCCTATATGGAACGTTTGAGCGAAGAACTGTCATAGGATTGGCAACACGTATCTTGTTTGAAATCATCTTCAGGGCACCTTGGTACATCGAAGTACTAGTGACCTCGAAGAACTCGCTATGATTGATGAAGTCGCCGATCGCCTTGGTATACTCGCTATCCCAAGTTCCAACCAGCGCCAGCTAAACCATCGAAATTCATGAGCGAACGTACAAATTGTAGGTGCAAGGAGGCATGTACTCCAACCCAGCACTTCATCATTTGTGGAGGAGGATGGGTATGGGTATTGGTATAGGCGACTAGAGGTTTAGGCGATGCGATGAGTGCTAGAGCGATGTGGCTGGCGGCGAGTGCACGACGAGTTCTTCTCCGTAAAAGCCATGTCGGATTACACGATCAGGTACTCTGGCGAACGCGAGGTGCGAGCACGTCGCATGCCCCTCCTTAGACCACTTCAACGTTTGGAATGGCTGGGAATATCCGAATCGTCCGCTGCGCAAGAGGGAACGGCGGCCTGAGGTGAGGCATTGGGCATGCAGGAGCAAGGGGGCAGGGATCCAGTGGGTGTTGGGCATGTTACGATGGGACAACTTGGGGTGGGGAAGGCAGGGGTTTTGGGAATGGGACAGACAGTCAGTGCGCATGGCTGACATTGGCCAGTACAGCAGCGCGCTCCGTGTACGCAGAATTCGCGAGATGCTTTCTCGGGGAAATTTATCAGGCCATTACAAAAAACGAGGCGCTAATTTCAATGACTCACTGTACTGTCTGGGTATTGCAACAATTTCGGGTTGCTGCAATGTCTGCCTCGCGTAGAAGACCAGTGTGAGGAGGTCCGAGGATCTTCGTCCGCATTGCAACTCGGCGAGGATTAGGACATCTGCGACACCTGGTTTTCAAGGGTGATACCAAAATCCCCAGCCACTGAACTCAACGTCAGATGGAGCGCGGAACGAAATGGTCGATGTTAGACTTCGGTTGGATATTGGACCAAACTACGAAAACGCCATGGTGGACACCACATTGAGCAGGAACTACACACTGTTTTTAGCGTTGTACCAGGGAGCTGACTGACAGGGAACTGACCAGAGCTACGAGTCCAGCGATCCTATCCTTAAGACATACGGCAACCGCGATGAGTGGTCATTTGGGTGTTGACGTCGATTTCAGATAGCCAGCATCCGTAGCCTGGATGTGAGTGGTACCAGCCAATGGCGTTCTCGAGTCGTCCAGCCTTTTGAGATCGCCGTTGAGAATCGATCTGAGAATGTATGATAGCCGACTGTGAATGTACCTTCTCGCTTCCCTGGATACAGTATCCCACCATGTACTCGTTGGCTTCTGCGGCTGCGTTGACACGGGTTTCGTGCCCTGTACGGGCAGCGTGTCGTGAACAGCTGGTATGGCCCCTATTTTCACGTCGACTCGGTATTCAATCCAACCTCACCACGGGCCTATCACCTCCAAGCCAATGGTCAGACCGAACGCGCCAACCAAGAAGTCGAGAAGTATCTCCGTCTTTACGTCAATCGCCGACAAGATGACTGGGACGAGCACCTCCCAATGGCTGAGTTTGTGATCAACTCCCGCGTTCACTCCGCTCACAACCGCTCGCCATTCGAAGTCCTCTATGGCTACATCCCTCATTTTAACGTCCCAGTTGGCAAGAGAACCGGACTCCGACCTGTCGACGACCGCCTTCAGCACTTGCAAGACGTTCGGAAGGACGCCGAAGCTGCACTTCGACTCGAAAAGGCCCACCAGAAGGATGCCTACGAGGCTGGCAAGCGATCTGCCCACCAGTTCAAGGAAGGCGACTACGTTTGGCTCGACGCTAGGGACATCCAACTCAAGATACCCACCCGCAAGCTCGGTGATCTTCAACTCGGCCCTTACAAGGTTCTCAAACGTGTTGGCGACCTTGACTATGAGCTCGAACTCCCCAAGGACCTCTCTCGTATCCACCCTGTCTTCCACGTTGACAAGCTTTCCCCCTGGAAAGGTAATGATGTCAACGGCACTCTGCCGCCTCCGCCTGAACCTGTTGAACTGGACGGGGGAGCTTGAATACGAGGTCGACAGCATCCTGGATAGCAAGTTCGTCAAGAGGGGAAGGGGTCAGAAGCTGATGTACTTGGTCAGTTGGAAGGGGTATGGCGCCGGGCACGACTCTTGGGAACCGGAGGAGAACTTGAAGAATGCGCAGGAGCTCATCGCCGAATACCACCGTCGACATCCGAACGCACCACGTCGTATCTCCGCCACCGCCTTTGCATCGATCCCGTGGCAGAAGCAGCCGACAACTCAACCATTCTGGCGCATGGACTTGGATTGGGAGGAGGGGCGTCGATTACCTAGGATCATCGAGGACGATGAGTCTTAGGAGGGGGGTAATGTCGTGAACTGCCGGTATGACCCCTATTTTTCTATATCTTATCTTATCGCTTCCTTCATCTTATCTTCGTCTCTGCATTGTCTTTATTCTCGTTATGGACACTTTCCCTCATGGAACACTGCCTCGTCTTGCCCTTTGCCCTGTTTTCTATTGTTCCTTTCTTCTCGCACAGCCTTACGACTCATTATGACTTATTGTGGCTTCTTTATTGTTTCATCCTTATTCTTGCGCAGCTTTCGCGCAGCCTTGTGACCTCCCCTTATTGTCTCTCATGTATTGCATCGTTATTCGTCATTCTGACTCACGGCGGCTATGTAGCTTGTAGTTACAGTATATAAGTTGTGTAGTTGGTCTTGTAGATTCCCCAGCTTGACCTCTCTGTCAATACACTGCTCTACTCGTCGCTCCAACTTATTGCTCAACGTCTCTCATCGCTCCCACTACTCTTATCTCGCTTTCCGCTCCTCTTATCTGATCTTTAGTTTGGTTTAGTGTTCGCTCTTCGCGACAATGATGAGTAATGCATCATGTGATGTTCCAGAACATTCTACGGTGGAACATTCCAGAAGAGTCTGGACTCAGTCGTACTAATCTAATCTAATCTACGATAAGATAAGATAAGTTCAACACAGCCTTAGCGCAGCCTTGTGACACTTCTTATTGTTCTTCTATGTTTCACCATTCACTTGTCATTCTGACTCGTTATGACTACATAGCTGGTAGGATAGGTATATAAGCTAGGTAGACCACTCTGTATTTCCTCAGCTTGACCTCTTTGTCAATTCATTGCTCTAAGCTATCTTGTCGCTCTCGTCGCTCCTCATCTCTGGTCTTAGTCTTGGTTTAGTGTTCGCTCTTCGCGACACAGGTAGTTGGTTGTCATTACTCTGCACCGACAGGGGTTTCCTTAGGCTTTTGTCTTTGGATTCTCCCCTGTCAGGTATGTCCCTTGTATTTGTCATTGTTTCCCGAATCCCTGGCTTGACAGACTTTGGATTCTCCCCTGTCAGACCCGCATGTGAGTGTCCACCAGCACAGCTTGCCCTTACAATGTTGAACTTGGAGTTGAGGGCCAGTTTGAGCTGTTAATAATGTTATTGATGTAGAGAGTCTCTGGACTTTGGATGTTGATGGGGAACACAATTCCAAGGCCGTTGAGTAGATACGAGACATTGTTTGTAAATTTGCAAAAATGGTCGAAAATGTGATGATATATTTTGAATTGGCAGAGTTAGCGACAGGTCCTGCGTTACACGTTATTCTCCTCAAATAGGCGACATTTGGGTGTCCCCACCATTCATCCGGTTACAGCAGACCAAGTCAGGTCATCTCAACCTGGTACCTGCCTACCAATCTTGACTCCTTGGTCAGTGCTCTCAGGCCCGACAGTTAACACAAGTGACGAGGAAAGAGCGGGATTGGATAGGCCTATGTAAGCATGCTCTAATATGTAGATGGTAGAGTAAAACCACAGCTTAGTTGCCAGCGGCGGCAGCGGCGGCTGCCTCTTCAGCTGCACGCTGTGCACGACGAGCCTTCTTGGCAGCATTAGCAGCGGCAGCTTTGGCTTTCTTCGCTTCAGCACGAGCCGCCTGCAAAAAAAAAAAACACGCCGTCAGCCTGAAAGCATGCGCGCAAGTGGGAAACAACAAACCTTCTCAGCTTCCTCCTTCTGCTTAGCCTCCTCCTCAAGGCGCTTCTTCTCAGCGTCCTCATCGGCCTTGCTCTTCTTGACAGGGCCACCCTGAGCGGCACGACGCTTGGCCTCACGAGCTTCCTTTTCTTGCTGCTTGATCCGTTTAATGCGAGGATCAACGCTGGATTATGGGAAAAGGCGACGCGTCAGCCAAATGCTGCAACAAACCTTCACAACATGGGAGAACTCACCTCAAAGCGAGATCGACCAAAGTGCGCAACTTGGCAGTATCCTCCTTCTTTCTGCGGGCACGCTCGGTCTTGTTCTTCTTCTCAGTGTATCGCTTGTCATCACGGCTAACAGATTTAACCAGTGAGTTGAGCATGAAAGTGAGGACGGAGTGGTGCGTACCTGTCGCTACCCTCGTTGACTTCCTTGTCGAGCCATTCGAAGCTTCTCCAGCTGTCAAAGTTGTACCAAAAGTCGTAGAAATGCTCGACCTCCTCCTTCGTTGAATCGATATGGCCAAGGCCAGGAACGGGCTGGATCTTGGAGAACCTCGAGTAAAGATCGAAGACCGAAGAGAACTCTTTGAAGAAATCGAAGTCCTTGGCCTGTAAAGCGCGACAACAACGCAATCAACAGACTGCACACACAAGAAATCAAATTCACGCACCTTGACGCGGGAAGCAGTAGGGAGATACTCTTCCAACTCCAAGAATTGAGGGTCGACGGAGTCAAACTGTCTCCTCTTCTCAGGGTTGGTCAAAACCTCGTGTGCCTTTTGGATACATTTGAAGAATGCATCGTCGTTGGTGTTGAGGTGGATATCGGTGGTAGGGCCAGTGGTGGAGACCTTCTTGTCAGGGTGGTGCTTGAGAACCTTTTTGCGGTCTGCCCAAACTCATTAAGATCTACCAAACATGAATGCGAGAAGAAAAAACACAGACGAGCGATCTTAATCTGCTCAGCGTTGGCGCGATATCTGAGGTGGGACAAGCCAAGGATAGCATACAGATCATGTTTCTAAAACGATGATTAGAATCCTCATGTGAACCAAGAAAGACAGAGGCGCACCTTCCACTCCTTTGGATCATAGCTCAACAACTCTTCAGTCTCCTCCTCGTCGCCAACACCAAGATCATCCTCCTCAGCATCGGCATCAGGGTTCAACTTGGCGAGTCGCTCCCTCTCCTCCTCCAAATGCTTATCAAGAGCAGAGAACGAGTGCGAATGGCGCAGGGTCAATCGGAGGTGGTTCAAATATGCTGGTCCAACCTGGAGAAGTTGTCGGTGTCCGCTGGGATGGGGGGCTATTGATCGCGGTTATTTTTCGTGCATGTACAACGACCTAGCAATCGACTTACGGGATAACCGCGAGCTCGAAGGCGCGCTGGGGATCTTGTAGGATTCAGGAACTGCTGGGATCTCGATGGGGAGGACCTGAACAGACGCCATTTTCAACCTTTCGTCGTCGCCGATAATACGAGAAATCTCAAATTTTGCAACGCGTCCGCAATGCACTACTCATTAGGTAATACATCAATCAATTTCTATTTACAGCTTGGCCCCTAACTTGGGCGCTAAGGCTAACGCTGAAAAGATTTCCTGCGCCAGGCCAGCAGGATGTTGCTGAGGCAGCTTCAGAATTGTCAGAGGGTGTACATCACAAGCACTGATTGCGCCTACCAAATGTCCAGCTTTGGGAACGCGTGTGAATGATTGCACGCTGTCTCCCACAACCTTGAGGATATCTGTCTTGACTTCAGCGGGGCTGGAAACAGATCAGAAAAGAGCCATGAAGGACAAATGGCACACATACAGATAATCGTCGATACCCCCATAGATAAGGTGGGTCGGGACCCGCTTCACATATTCCCCAAGGAGCCCATACGCCCTCGAAGACCCAAGCGGGTCACGATAACAAGCCTACACTTCCATAAGGCTTCCCGGCACTTCCGAAAGTGTCTCTATTCACTCACCGCTTCTTGGACTCGACTACATTTTAACGTAACCTCTTGCTTCCCTTCGTCCACCGGCCGTAAAGCCGTGTCCTAGTAACATCGCGTGAGTGCCCCTCTCGCACCCCCGAGAAGCCGTACTCACCACAAAGCTCCTGAGAACCCTATCATCCCACGTCTTCCACGTTCCTCTATCCTTCAAAATGTTATACGCCTCCTCCCTCGAAGGCCACACATCCCTCCTCTTCTCCGCTCCCTGCGTCAAAAAGTTACCCGCCCTTCCAACAAACTTTGGGTTCATGCACATCACTTCGCAGAGGATAACTTTCTCAAACTTGACGTGAGGATAATGCCCGGTCATTAACACCCTTGAACTTTCGTTAATAGGCGCCTTGACCGCACGAATAGGTGCTCACAGTGACACAGCCCCCATGGAATGCCCCACTCCCACCAGCCTCCGTTTCGAGAAATCCACGTCTACGCCTTTTCCATAGCCAGAAAGGAAAAGATGGATGGACCTCGCGTACTCTTCCCATCCGACTAGCAATTCTGCTTAGCACTGAGTCAAAGATTTGGAGGTGGCACTCACAGATAGGCGTATACCCGACCTTCAACGTCTCCTGATTCAACGCGGCACTATCTCCATGATTCGGCGCGTCAATTGACCAATACTCTCTGACCCTGACCGTCTGATTGCCCTCAAGAGCCTTCTGGACATCCTCAATCGTCGGTTCCCAACTCTCCTTATTAAACCCCGTGCCATGGGCAAACACAACCGTCACGCCATCGACCGCACTCGTCTCTGGGTCCCAATACCGATTTGCCGTAACCACCAATGGGTAATTCGGCCTAGGATCGAAGACATACGTTTGCTTGTTCAACACCATCGCTCTGCCGGCTCGAGAGAAAGGTGAGGTGAGGGAAGGTAGAGGTCGGAAAGGGGCCAATCCAGCTTTGACCTGGACGGGTAACGACTGAAGTCCATGTAGATATACCGGCTCGGTAAATACATGCCCATTGATCCGGCGGGGTAAGCTCAGAATGACATCACACCATTGCACCTATATGGATAGCATTAAGGACTACAGCTTAGCAGTATTTCTTCGTTGCTTCGCAGCAAGTGCTCTGCCGACCCGACTAACCGTGTCCCGGCCAAGCGCTTGACTTATCCAACTGCCAATGCTAGCCACTTTTTCCAAGCTGACAGGGGTGTCGTCTGCGCCGTTCACCGTGTATGGGGAATCCTGCAAGGCATACAGGACATCCTCCGTGGCAACGTTCCCTGTGGCCCCAGGAGAATACGGGCACCCTCCAAGTCCGCCCACAGACGCATCAATCGTCCTCACACCGTGTTCCAGCGCTTTGAGCACATTAGCCACGGCTGTCCCATACGTATCATGAAACTAACGAAGGGAATGGTCAGCAGTGCTCCATTGTTCAGATCAGTCGACTTACATGTCCCTGAGGCCAACACATTAGTCAACGATTGCAAAAAAGAGATGATTGGAGCAACGTACAGCCAATTGATGAACTGGAACGCTCAGCTTAACCTCCTCAAGCATCTCCGCCACTTCATGCGGTCTAGCCTGGCCAACGGTATCACCCAAACTAACTTCATAGCAGCCCATATCCACCAACTCCTTCGCCACCTCCCTCACCTTCCGATAGTCCACCTTGCCCGAGTATGGACAGACCACGACCACGCTGACATATCCTCTCACTCTCAGCCCCTTCTCCTTCGCCGTGGACACCACGGACTGGAGCTTCTGGAGGGACTCTGCAACAGTGCAATTGAGATTCGCTTTATTGAAGGCATCAGTTGCAGAGGTAAAGACCGCGATTTCGTCGGTCAAAGCAGGATGGGAGTCGAGCAGAGATAGCAAATCGTCAAGGCCGCGTTGATTCGGAACTAGGACTGGGTAGTGCACGTTGGGGCGGCGGGACCTGATCTGCTTCAACACGTCCGGTGTCCCTCCCATCTAGTCCACCCGAATCAACGATCCGGACCATGATGGGCGCAGAAAAGCCTACCTGGGGGACCCATTTCGGGCTCACGAAGCTTCCAGCCTCGACGGTGGACAAGCCAGCATCGACAAGGCGGTCGATCAGCTCGACCTTGACACCAACGGGAATAACTTGGCCCTTTTCATTCTGGAGGCCGTCCCTCGGGCCCACCTCGACGATATTGACAAGATTGTTCTTGGCCATTGTGGCCAGGGCACGTTGCCGGCATGGGGACAGGGAGGACGCGAACTGGCGAAGAATCATGGTGAACAGGGGAAAGAAGAAAAGGAGTACAGCCACGGAGCAATGCTTGGAACGCGTGGCGGTGTTGTGTTGCAGCTATAAACACCACCGCCGCCTGCCATCGTCAGGGTCCTTTACTCGCTTCCTCACTTTCCCCCAACTCTTTCTCAAATGGGCTCTGCTCAAAGTAAACAAGACGGAAACCCTGACCGCCTCAAACGCATCTCTGCCGCGTTCAAGAAACCTCGCAGCTCTGAAGAGTCTACCAGACCACAAGCACCACCACCACCACCAGTGGCAGCACCAGCAGCCCAAGTCTCAGACGCAGGCAGCGCCAACGAGTCGCATTTGAAAAAGGGCGGCGACAACGATGAGCGGGCAGTGATGCACGATTCAGTGCAACGCAACGCGGTGAGGACTGTGTGGCTGTGTCGTTATCACCCGCAAACCATCTGATTACTGGGGGACTCAGCCTCATCCCGCTCTCAAACAACCACAACAACCACAGAACCAACAAGGCCAACCAATGCCAGCTACAGTCCCCTGCCAGGTCTGTGGTAAACAGACAACATACTCTCTCCTTCCCAATGTTCTAAACACACACGCAGTATCGCACCGGCAAGACATTGGGCAGCGGAACATACGCTATCGTCAAGGAGGCCATCCACATTACAACCGGAAAGTACTATGCCTGCAAAGTTATCAACAAGAAACTTATGGAGGGCCGTGAACACATGGTACCTCTATATCCACTTCGTCTCCAAAAAACGCGTCTCATCCCACTCGCCCTCCAGGTCCGTAACGAGATCGCCGTCCTAAAGAAGATATCCAGTGGTCACCCCAACATTGTAACCCTCCACGATTACTTTGAGGTTAGCCCTTCACTTTCTCCTTATTCGCCTCTCAACTCTTCTCTTCAGACCGCCCACAATCTCTACCTCGTCTTCGATCTCTGCACCGGTGGTGAACTCTTCGACCGGATATGCGCAAAGGGCAACTACTACGAGGCGTATGTACTCTCATTAACGTCCATCACACCAATCCTTATCCCATCTACAGCGATGCAGCCGACCTGGTCCGCACCATCTTCAAAGCCGTTGAATACATCCACAACTCTGGCGTCGTTCATCGAGGTATGCTCTCCCATGTCTTCCACATGCTGCGTGACTCACTCGCTGTCATCTATAATCATTCTTATCATCGTTACTACCTCCAAGACCTGAAACCCGAGAACCTCCTCTTCAAGACCCAAGCCGAAGAAGCAGCCATCATGATCGCAGACTTTGGATTGAGTAGGGTCATGGAAGAAGAAAAGTTTAGCCTCTTGACCGAGATCTGCGGTACACCCGGTGTGAGTTTAATCATCCTCCCTCTCCTATGCTTAAGCTAATCTTCATTGGAACAGTACATGGCACCGGAAATCTTCAAACGAAGTACGCCCTCTCCCAACTCACATCTCCGATATTATTAACATTACATTCGCCCAGCCGGCCATGGCAAACCGGTTGACGTCTGGGCAATGGGCGTCATCACGTACTTCCTCCTCGCGGGCTACACGCCCTTTGATCGTGAATCCCAGCAACAAGAAATGGAAGCCATCATCGCCGGAGACTACAAATTCGAACCAGCAGAATATTGGGAGAACGTATCCGAAACCGCCAAGGACTTTGTGAGGACGTGTTTGACCATCGACCCCAACAAGAGGCCGACAGCGACGGAGGCGCTGGCTCACAAGGTGCGCCTATTCGAGTCGTAATGACATTCCCATCCATTCGTGCCGTTGTAACTAATCCATGGATCGCGGTAGTGGCTGGCGGACAAAGAACCTCACTTTGTTGCTAACCCTGCTGACGGTACTCCAGCTGACCTCTTGCCAAACGTTAAACGAGCATTCAACGCCAAGCGAGCCTGTCCGTATCACCTCCCCATCTTCTATCTCCCATCTTCCTTCTTTAATCTTCATCTTCCCTCCCATCTGCCTCCCATCTATTTATAACGCGTCTATCTTAACCCCGGATCTACGTTTAATTTTCTCAACACCACCCCACTTCGCTCTCTTTTACGACTAACATACTCAAAAACACCCTACTTACCCCTCGCGTACAGGGAAAAAGGCGGCGTACGGTATCCGCGCGATGAACAGGATGGCGTCGCTCGCCAGCGGAGGATTGACGAACCCAGAGGCAGCACTCATGCGCGAGAACCTGGACAAGTACAAGGCAGAGTCAGAGAAGGAGGATATTCAGGTGAGCTGCCTATAAAGATATGTCGCCTGCTTGGTATTTACCATCTTCCCACCAGACCGCATCGATCACATACATGCCACAACACACGCCTGTCACAGCCGAGTTCCCAGCAGGTTCTCAAAAGAGCGCAACCGACGACGAATTGCAGAAGAAACTCGCCAACGCCACCATCCAGGGTTAAGCCACGCCCTCTCGTCTACATCCTCATGCCTATGCCTTTCGTCAGTTTGCTTATCCTCGGGCTGTCGTCAATCGGAGTTTACGATCTACCTCTGGCCATCTACCTATCTAATGCTTCGTGATTCATTCCCTTGCTACCATTGTAGAAATGTATAATGTTGAATATATCGTATTGCCGGGACTAGGACCATTTTCGAAGAGATGCTGGTGTCGCACGTATTCTAAGGAAATTACAAATTACACTAGAGATAAGTGAAACTGTGGTATGGGTAGATAGTACAAATGCAAGAAGAAATCGAATTTTGTGGTCGCTTAACCCTCCAAGGCAGCGACAATGGCAAAGGCGGCACCTGCGGCAATACCGCCGACCATGAGGGTGCTGACTGCACCCCAGACATAACTTCCGGCACTAACGCCTGCTCCTGTGACCCTAGCCTTGACAGCTCCAAAGATGAGAAGAATGATACCCGTTAAAATGCAGGAATAGATCAAGGCGACTTGAGACTTCGGAATGAAGAAGTATGGCAAAAGTGGAATGAGGCCACCAACGAGGTAGCCCATACCAATCGTGAATGCCGAGATGTACATTCGGCGATCCGGGATTTCCTCTGTAAAACATGAGTTTGGGTTCACAACGTGTAGAAAGAAGGACGACATACCGAGGCCTTGGCCAAACTTGAGCAAAAACGCCGTGAGGCCGACGTCCTTGCTCCACCTCAAGGAAGTTTCCAGATCGCTCGAGGAAGAGCTCGAGGCGGGGTACTCTCCATTGGCACTTTCTTCAATCTCGACTTCCCTCAAGCACCTCGCCACAGACCTGCAGGTCTTTTCATCCACACCAATAGGACCCAAGACTTCTGATACCTCGCGTTCCATCTCGCCCGAACAGCTTCTTTTGACACGGATGGCAGTCTGGGAACGCAAGTAGCGATAGTGGTCTCGTTCGGACTGGGAGGCCAGGAAACCACCGATACCCATAGAAATAGCCCCGGCGATGAGTTCAGCAACACCGCCTAGGACAACAAGGCGAGATTCGCCCAATGAAGCGAGACCAGCGGCGAGAGCGAAAGGAACGGTCAAGCCGTCTGAAAGACCAATCACCCTAAAGCCGTTCTGTCAGCCGCCGAATAAACAGACAAGGGCGAGAACTATACATACACGTCGCGAACGACATCAGGGTCGATAAGAGTGCGTTCGTCTTTGATGAGTTCTTTGCAGCAAATTCCGTCTTCGCGGGTTGCTTGGGCACATTTGGAGGCCAAAGGGGTGTTGGTGCCTGAAGCAGCGGCGTCTATGGGCCAAATTGGAGGTTTATTAACGCTAGTAGACCTGTCCTGACGCGCTGGAAGAGGAACAATAGTTGGGGTAGACGAGAGAGAGTTTGAAGACATGGTTGTGGTTAACGGTAAAGAAGATGCAAACCCCGACTCGCAGTAGATAATGACGCGGCGGGCCGGGTGCGTGCCGATCGGGTATGTGCGTGGGTTGCGCCAGACAGCGGCGACGAAAATTCCAGGTTGACCAGGGATTGACCAGGGCCAGTCACTGTTCAGCAGTGTCGAGGTGCGTTTATTGTCTTGAAAACGGTCGAGATCTCTCGAGAACTGGTGTTTCGACAAGTTCCTTCCATACACGGGCACAAAGCAAGTCACGGGTCTCGCCACAGTCTTATAGTATGCGTCCCCCAATTTCTTTAAGATGTCTTCGTTATCCATCGATCCCCCGTTTTCTCAATCGACAACAAATGCGTCCCCTCACTATCGACTCTCTCAACCCAGCAATCCTCAAGGTCGAGTACGCCGTCCGCGGTGAGCTCGCCATCAAGGCAGAGAAGTACAGAGTCCAGCTCCAGGACAAGGACAACCATGGCCTCCCCTTTGACAGGGTCATCTCCTCCAACATCGGTAACCCACAGCAGAAGGGCCTTGACCAGCCCCCAATCACCTTCAACCGCCAGGTATGTCGTCTGCATCGCTGGCAAGGTTATCGGCCGATAACGCCTATTAGGTCGCTGCCCTCATGGAGTACCCTGCTCTTGCCGAGCTCGCCCCCAATGCGTTCCCCAAGGACGTGATTGCCCGTGCAAAGGAGCTCTACGCTGAGATTGGCTCCATTGGCGCGTACTCTCATAGCCAGGGTGTCCCCTTTATCCGCAAATCCGTCGCTCAGTTCATTCAAGGTCTGTAATCATTCTCCTCTATTCAAGCCGTCTAACAAGCTCGCTGGATTCTAGAACGAGACGGGTATCCTGCCGATCCCAACCACATCTTCCTCACTGCAGGAGCTTCCGCAGGCGTATCGCTCCTGATCAACATGCTGATTTCATCGCCTACTTCCGGAATTCTCATTCCGATCCCCCAGTATCCCCTTTATACCGCCACCCTCGCTCAGCACCATGGTGTTCCTATCCCCTACTACCTAGACGAATCCCAGGGCTGGGGCACTTCTGTCGACTCCATCGAGGCTGCCCTCGAAAAGGCACACAAGAACAACGTCGTCCCCAAGGCCCTAGTCATCATCAACCCCGGTAACCCGACCGGTGCACTCCTAGACGAAGCCACCCAAATCAAACTAGTCCATCTCTGCGAGAAATACTCACTCGTCCTTCTCGCGGACGAAGTCTACCAATCCAACCTCCATAAACCCGACCAGCACCCCTTTACCTCGTTCAAGAAGGTCGTCCGCAAGCTCGACTCACATGTCCCCCTCGTTTCCTTCCATTCCATTTCCAAAGGCGTTACAGGCGAATGTGGACGCAGAGGAGGCTACTTTGAATGCGTCAACATCTCCGAACCCATCATCGCTCTTATGTACAAGATGGTCTCGGTCGGACTTTGCCCTCCGCTCGCGGGCCAAATTGGCGTTGATTGCATGATTCGCCCTCCTAAACCAGGCGACGAGAGCTACGAGCTCTGGAAGAAGGAGACTGATACCATTCACGAGGCATTGAGGACCCGGACCAGCATCATGGCCGAGCGGCTCAACGCGCTTCCGGGCGTTTCCTGCGTCGATTCACCAGGTGCTCTCTACCTCTATCCCCAAATCACGTTGTCCAAGAAAGCACAGGAGGCTGCCCGTGCTGCCGGAAAGGAGCCTGATGCATTCTACGCCCTCGAACTATTGGATGCCACTGGTATCTGCGTGGTCCCGGGAAGTGGCTTTGGGCAAAAGGAGAACGAGTGGCACTACCGCTTGACCTGCCTCTGCCCAGGCGTGGATGAGTACGTGGGCAAGCTTGAAAAGTTCCACCTCTCCTTCATCGAGAAATGGGGCCTTGAGTGATTCTATTTTTACTAATCTGCTTTCGGATATATATACCACGGTCGATGCTAGATTTAGGACACGGAATGTAGATTAGGGATACACGTGGTGCCAGCGAAAGACGTTAGATGTAGACGAACGTTGCCCTACGGCAAAAGTCGCTCAATGGTCCTTTGGCATCGGTAGTTAGAGAATGGGTGTGTGGCCAGGAGAGCGGCGCAACGCCGACCAGCTCAGGGTTCCGTTTCGGGGCGAACAGCTGATTATAGGCGCCCGCGGCAAGGCAGTGTTGCGGAGTCTCACGGTGTGTGTGGATAAGGAACACCGGCCCTGTCGACTGCCTTTGACCACAACAACCCAGTCACAATGAAAACCTCGCCAATCTACAACTTTCAGTTTGACTCTCACTGACCCAACTACCTTGCCAAATTATGGTGAGCTCGTTGTCGTCGTCGTCGCCGACGTCGCCAGCCTCTGACCACGTCTCTAGATCATCAGCGACAAAAAATATGCCTGGTGCGCACTCTCTGTCGTCCATGTCCAGCGACACTCACTGACAATCGATATGCAGTGAAACCTGCATCAAGGGTCACAGGTCGTCGTCGTGCAAACACTATGACCGCCCGCTCTTCGAAATCAAGAAGAAAGGCCGCCCGATAACCCAATGCGAGCACTGTCGAGAACTGCGCAAAACCAAGCAAGTCCACGTCAAGTGCATCTGTGAGGGAAAGGCAGACCAATCCAACTCGGCCAACAAGAAAGGTGTGTCTCCCCCCGCCCAAAGGTCTCCCCCTAGCCAAACCGAAGATTGACAGATAAGGTTTTGCTGCTCTATTCTCCCCTTTCTAGGAACCAAGTCAGGTTTTGAAAGCGCCGCGTTTCCCAATGGCTTGCCTTTACAAGCTGCGGGAACGTTGGTCGCATTGCAGCCCCCACCAGGGGCTTCGACCAAGCTCGATGCTGAGAACGGGAATGGTGAGTCGCCGACGCCACGCATCCTCCACGTTTTGCACAGTCTAACCTTGTTCACACAGGGAAAGGAGGCTGCAGCTGCAAGACGGGCGCCGCATGCAACTGTTGCACCCCAAAAAAGTCTCAACGACGGACGAGGACCTCATCCAGCGCCAACCAGCACCGTTCCGCCTCCGCCTCCACCGCCCCCGACTCTCGAGTCCTCGCACGTGTAGCAGAGCTGCGACCAGTCCTCCCAGGGCCTCCCCCTCATTCTGATTTCTACCTCTACGGAGCAGGCAGTCACGACCCATCCTTGGGGAACCACCACCACCACAACTACCCTCGGCACCACGAAAACGTCTATAGTCCATACAGTAGGGCCTACAATGTTCACCAGCACAGCTCCAACCACCCGCACTCCCACATCTTCCCCTACACATCCCCCGACGTCCCCCGTGTCAACTCTGCCTCGCCCTCGCTCGATACCAATATGGATTCCACCCGTAGCCAGCTAACTATCGGCGCATGCATCTGTGGAGATGGGTGCGGATGCCGTGGATGTCAGTCGAACACAGGTGGTACCAACGAGAACCGTACAACTTGTACGAACCCCGAAGGCTGCGCATCGTGCATCGACTGCGCCCTGAACACCTTCCAGCCCATCCAACAGCCCCTGCTGACTCACCAACTCGCATCATCATCAACAGAAGCTGTAGATTCCATAGACGACTGGCTTCGTTCTCTCTCCACGCCCGGTCCTGATACAGGTCCGTCGACAGGGTCAGGGCTCCTGAACGATCTCATCCCACCAGATCCGAATGCCAATAGTGGACTAGACTGGGATGCCGACATCACTTCCCTGATGAGGACAACAGCGACCGCGACGACCGCCGATAACGCCCAACTCTCCTCGGACTATTCATCCATCGCCTTTCCATCGGGAGGGGATGGCGGACTGGTCGACTCGGTCGATTTCGATGTGGGATCTCCGTCAATATTCCGGCTATCGCGCTCTTCGAGCCACGGCAGCGCGGCTTACGGGTATCTTGATCCTGGGTTTATGCAAAACCTGCGCTTCGACGGCATGCCTTCTTCCCAGCAGCAGCAGGTGAATTCCCAATCCCAGCACGAGGCACAACTGGAACAGCAGCTCCAACAACAAAGATCCCGAAGTCACTCTCCCTCGTCTTCTTCCACGATGTCAATGACGTTGTCAATGGGAGCTTTACAAAACGGTGGCTCAAATGGTTCTGCTTCCTCTTCCTCTTCTTCGTTGCCATCCAAATCGGATCCCCGCATGATGGATTTCGTGTACGGAAGCCTCCAAGTTCCTTACCGGCCTCCCGGACGCATCCATTCCCCTAATCACAGCGCAGGTCACAGACCGAGCCAGAGTGCAAATCAACAGTTATTCGCCAACGTCGCAGGGATACGTTCTGCACCCCAGTTGATCCTACCAAACCACCTCAACCATAATACCCAACTCTCTTCCTCTCATTCATCCAGTGTTTCACCTGTTGGAAATGGTAACGGTATCGAACACTATGCAATTAGCAATCCGGATTCTGATGGTTCCATAAATTCTCTTCGGGATACTGCTATTGGTGCTTTCAATCCGTCGAGCTATTGAATTCTAGCTGTACTGGTTACTTAGTATCACCCCTGGACAGATTGGTTGCTTTCGTTACCCTAATCCTTGACCTTTTTACCCTTCACTTTACATACCTGTACCACCAGTCAAGTAAAAACCCTACAATACACTCTCGAGATATGAACCACAGCCAAACTGAATTGATGTCGCGGGCAAACAAGCGCACAGCGATCAAATTACTTCCGCCGCCGCGTCCACTCTAAAAAATTCTGATCTCTCTCTTAAACCACATAATGCCTGACCCCTTCTTCGCCTCTACAAAAACAAGAAAACGAAAACGAAGTACTTCAGTTGCAGATGGGTCTTCTTCACGCAAACCCAACTCGAAGCTAAAGGCCGGTGGAGGAGGTCGAGCGAAATCTTCAACAACTACTCCGAGCAAACGCGCACGAGCTCTGGATGAGGAGCTCTCAGACAAGACGAGCGACGATGAGGGTAGCATTGGGGACATGGACCTCCGCGCGGACGATGTGGATGATGGAGCGAGTGGTGAAGAGGACGAAAATGAGACTCCAGCCGAGAAGAGGTTGCGTTTAGCAAAGTTGTATCTCGAGAGCGTCAAATCCACACTTGGTGCGCCATACCCTTTATTCAACAGTCAGATTCCCTTTAACATGTACAATAAATAGCGGACGGAGAATATGATGCAGCAGAGATCGACAAGGAGCTCATTTCCTCGAGATTAAAGAAAGACGTCCTAGAGCATTCAGGAAAAGTTCACAAGTTTATCGCTGATTCTGTATGTCTTTCCTCTACATCTCCTTGGAAACCCTTACCAACCACCATACCTAGTTCAACTTTGAATCCCCACCAGCAGCCTCCCTCCGCGTCCGAGGTCACCGTTTCTCAATCACATCCGCCGTCGCAACCGAGTCTGGAAAATACCTCTTAACCGCCGGCAAAGAAGGGAACATCATCAAATGGGACCTCCATACCGGTAAAAAACTGGCTACATTCTACAAACAGCGGCCAGAAGCTTCGACTTCAGCGAAGGGTAAAGGAAAAGGAAAGGTTGCTGGAGGTGCAGCGGCGGCTATCGAGGGACATACGGATGAGATCTTGGGGTTGGCAGTGAGCGGGGACGAAAAATTGCTCGCGAGTGCAGGGAGGGACAAAACAGTCGGGATATGGGACCTCGAAGCCGACAAATGGGTGAAAGGCTTCTCAGGTCACCTAGCTCATAAAGATGCTGTCTCGGTGTGTACCCTTCACGCCCACCCACATTTCACCTAACTGACAGCTCTCCCCAAAAGTCAGTAGCTTTCAAAAAAGCCTCCCAACAACTTTATTCTGGCTCCTTTGACCGTACAGTCAAAGTCTACGATCTCACACCAGGTGTGATGGGCTATGTCGAGACGCTCTTTGGTCACCAAGACCATATCCTCGCTTTGGACGCTCTCCGGGGAGACAACTGTCTCTCCGTCGGTGCCCGCGACAAGACCGCGCGGTATTGGAAAATTCTCGACGAAACGCAACTGGTGTTTCGTGGAGGTGGACGGTCGCGGATCCGCGAAGTCCTAGAAGGTGGATTACAAGGGGATGAAGAAGGGGATATCAACGAGGATGATGACATGGACGTGGATGGTACTGCAAAGCGAAAAAAGAAGGCAGAGGACGAGTCGAAGCAGTTTATTGAAGGGTCGTTGGAATGCATTGCGATGTTAGACGAGACTACTTTCTTGACTGGTGGTGATAGCGGGTACGCTCGCGTTGTTTCTGCCCTATTGGCTTCTCTAATCCTTTCTCAAAAGCTCGATATGTCTCTGGAATACCCAGAAGAAGAAACCCATCTTCACTCAACCCGTTGCGCATGGCTTCCACGAAACACACTCGTCAACCGAGGGTCTGCTAAAATCTCCACGCTGGATAACGGCTCTCGGCACACTGCGATACTCTGACCTATTCTTTTCTGGTGAGTGAAGTCTCTAGTTGAGCTCTACCTGGCCCTCTCTCCATCCTTCTCGTCCATTCTCCTCCAACTGTGAGCTTGATTCTAACACACCTTGTCACAAATCTAGGCTCTTGGGAAGGAAATCTGCGGATATGGAAGCTCGACTCCAAACTCAAATCCTTCTCACTCATCGGGGCCATCCCGGCGCCAGGCGTAGTTAACTCACTTCAGATTCTTCAGGCTCCGAAAACTTTATCCAAAACGGCATCTTGGATATCTTCTCCACAATCGCAGTCTACATCCACATCATCGCCCTCGAAAGACAAAGACGATTCCACCCTTCAGACAAAACAAGACCCAAAACTCAAAACGAAACCGAAGCCCAAGGACGACGAGGACAGCATTCTGGTTGTGGTTGGATTGGGTCAAGAGCACCGGTTAGGGCGGTGGTTGAAGGTTACGGAGAATGGGGCTGTGAATAGCACACAAGTGTTGCTTTTCTCGCCTTCGTCGTAACGTTGCTTATGTATCTACACCTGCGGGACCACTTGCTATACGACATACCGTTACGATTCTTCAGTCTACACATTTGGGATTGATTATCGCTATCACCACGGTAGCTTTAGCCAGATCTATATCCATCTATTATTGGCGCTCATCCTCTTACAGCTTTTGATTTACAGCTTTTCTTCTAAATATAACCCCCCTCGAATCGGCTGCTCTCTCGATCTCACCTGCGTTTTCTTCACCCATGTCCGTACGTGCCAACTTCTTAACCTTTTATTCTCTTCTACAACGTCTCCCCCCACAGACCCAGCCGCAACCCGAGCCCACCAAATCCAATGTATATGCCCTAATCATTGGTATCAACACCTACCTCGCAAAAAACGAATTCAACGACCTGTCCGCTGCAGTCTCCGACGCTGACTCCGTCCAGTCTTTCCTTTTGAACCGACTGAAAGTCCCATCCTCACACATTATCAACCTCCGCAACACCGAAGCCACGCGCGCCGCCATCCTCCAAGCCTTTGACGATCTCATCAAGATCACGGCTGAAGAGCCCAACCCCGCCTTTATCATATACTATGCCGGTCATGGAGCACGCGCAGAGAAACCTGTAGAGTGGGAGAGTTGGGCCACGAGTGGAACTTATATTGAGCTGTTGTGTCCGTGCGATATAGGTGTTATTCGAGAGGATGGGAGTGTCGTGGAGGGCATTCCTGATAGAACGATTTGCGCCCAGTTGAACAAGATCTCATTTTTGAGGGGGAACAATATCGTGAGTCTCTAGCCCCTTATTTCATTCGCTGATTCACTGATACGCGTCCATAGACTCTGATCCTCGACTGCTGCTGTTCAGCGGGTCTTAACCGAAGCGCCAACGATGCCCAATACACCCCTCGTCGAATTGAAAATCCTCCCCCGATCTCACCGCAAACTGATACCGAAATCATCACCGAAGACGAGGAGACCACCGGAACACGCAGCTTGTCTACAGCCGCTGGTTTCATTGGTAAATACAACGATTCACACGTCCTGATGGCTGCCTGTGGCCGTGAGCAGTCAGCGTACGAGCATGAAGGCAAAGGACTCTTCACGAGGCAGCTACTAGGTGTTTTGCAAAGGAGCGGTTCCCTCACTTTGACTTATGATGCCCTACTTGCAAGGTTGAAGATGCCTGCTTGGTGAGTACCTTTAAGATCTTGAAGATTATTATGCTCACGGAATTGGCCAGGCAAACACCCCATTTCGAAGGAAAGAACTTGAACAGACTTATCTTCAACGTCAGAGGCAGTCGCTCTGACCCATTCCTCATCCCCGTACAACGAACCAAGAACGAAAATGGGACCTACACTTATACGCTCGAAGCTGGGCTCGCGCAAGGTATCGAACCCAACTCGCGTTTCGACGCCTACAAGGAAAACATCCTTAATCGAGGCGAGGGGGGAAGGAGAAACCCCGTCCTCGGCTCTCTCATCGCAACCAAAGTCGATGCCTTCACCTCGGTACTGGAACCCCTCCCAGAGCAGAAATTCCCAGTCCCAGCGGAACAAACGTTCTTTGCTCGCTGGTCGGATCCATCTCGCCAGCCCGTTTACATCTACTCTAAAGACAAGGACTGGATTAACTCTATCTTCCCACCCGATGTGGCCCAGAGACTCGGTGTCATGATTGCGGACAAGGAAGACCAGGCCTCACTCGTCCTCACACCCGATCCCACAGAAGATGTGGTGTACTTTGACAGGAACGACACACTGGCCAAGCCATTTATTGGAAGTCGGTTCCATCATACTGTGAATAAGACACCCCCAGAGCCGATCCACGAAGTTGTACGAGCCTGGCGACACTTCTACTATCACCTTTCCCGACCCAGTCCACGCGAGTTCCCTGAGGTCCGGATGGAACTAAACTATCTGAAAGAAGAGGAGGAAGATGACGAGCTTATTTTGGTTCGGACGGGTAAGAATCTTATCGAGGGAGAGCCTGCATATGTGGAGGTGAAGACTGTTCACGATACTGAGGAGGAGGAAGGGTATGTGGGGATGACGCTGTTCAATGACGGCGATAATTATCTCTACCCTCATATTTTCTACTTTGACCCGAACGATCTCACAATCGGTATGTGGTACGCTTTAGCCCCCTGCCCCTTGATAGCTAAACCATTATTTACACTAGTGCAATGGGAAACAACCCAACACGGTGCTGGGGCAGCGAAATTCAAGCCGATGGGCGTAGATTGCCCGCTCCCACCACACTCCACGCTGCCGCTAGGCTACGGAACTGGAGGTGAACCATGGCAATTCGAATTCGAGGATGGGAAAGAGAAGGATCTAGGGTTCTTTAAATTATTCATCACGGCGTCTCCCGCCAACTTTTCTTCGATAAGACAGGACTCGCCGTTTGAAGCAACTAGGTCCTCGATTGTCCCTGGCGACCCTATCGCAAAAGAGAAACTGGATCCCAATGCATGGGGCTCTCGGATCTTTACCGTTGTACAGTTGTTACGCACCGCACATTGAGCAATGAGTATACATCTGCGTGTCCGATCTCCGCTCTGTTTTTGGCGCCCAAGTGAGCAAAGGATTGCTTGGTAAGCTGGAGGGATGTTGTTCTGACGCTCATCAAGCCATGCCAACCACACTCGACACCCAGCTTCGTCCACCTCTTCCAGACTCTTTCATCGACTCGAGAACGCAAGGATATCAAGGTCCAAGCCGTTATGCACGGTTACGCCGTGTCGCACCCAGCGGCGGCGCGTCGATAGCCAAGAGCGAGGATGGAACACGATGCGCGGTGGCGGGCAAGGAATGTGAGTGCATTTCCTGCGTTGAAGACCAGAGACTACAACTGTCGTGAAGCACTCAGAATCGTTCGAGTCGTGAATCCGAGCTCGAACCCAGACAACAAGGAAGCAAGCGTCAAGATCGACGGTTCGCGCAACTTTTGGGACAACAGCGGGCTCAAGATCGACAGTGCAAGCACAGACGTAGCTTGGGGACATGGCTGTGAGTTCCATTCAAACCGAAGTACTCATGAGTCACCTAATGACTACTCGTAGCTTTCAACAACAAGATCTTGACGAGTGCTAGAAACGGTGAGATTATCTTGTGGGACATACACAAATCCGGGAATATCAAGTATGGTGAGTTGCCAGTCCCCCAGTATCCTCTCCAAGCCAATGACATTGTATAGAACGTCGAACAAAGGATCACATTCGATCCATAAACAAACTATCTGTCTCTCCAGTGGTGCACTACTACTGCATAACAGGTTCAGCTGACGGGGATATGAGGATTTGGGTCAGCTTCCGTTTCAGCGCTTCTCAAGAGTCAATGGTTGACCCCAATACAGGATTTAAGAGATCTCTCGAAATCTTTAATGCGCATAAAACACCCAACGTCCGTCCGAAGCATCGTCTTTTCCCCCAGTGTCTGGCAGCCTCTGCAAGCAGTCGTCGGGTTGGATAATGGGAGTCTGTATAGGTGAGCCCTTGTTGGCTCACTGTCCCACGCAAAGTAATTCATATAACAAGATGGGATCTCAAGATGGGACAACGCGGGCAGTTGGACCGGCTAGCAGTAGCTCATAGTGCACCTATCACAACATTGGACTGGCGTGGTTCTACCTCCAACACTGCTGGAGCCGGGGGATCTGGACCACAGGACAACAGTAGCAATGGTCTGGGATGGTTGGTCAGTGGAGGACTGGACAGGTGCGTCAAGGTACGTGTTAGCCTTCCTCTACATTATATCCCCAGCCTCAACCATCTTAAAAAGGTTTGGGATTTAACCGCGCCCCATGCAAACGCACATATATCGAATAAACCTACCTACACACTCCATCCATCCTTCCCCGTTCGGCGCGTGAGCTGGAGGCCGGGCTACGAATGCGAATTGGCCGTCGCCTCAAATGAGGAACTTTCTGCGCCGCCCATAGAATCCCAGGCCTCTGCATCGTCCGGACTATCATCTGGGTTGCTGAGTCGTGTTGGAAGTGGCCTTGGTCTCGACGCCATGTTTTTGAAGAACTTGGGAACGGATATACAGCACCTTTCGAATATTCCAATGTCCAGAGACGACCGACTCCAACCATACACCACCCCACCTGGAGATACGATAGAAATTTGGGATGTCAGGCGGGAATGGATTGCCAAATGGTCTGTGAATGGTTCTTCGTTGGAAGGGAGTATCAGTGGTAAGTGTCAACCTAGTCCCTGCATGCTTGGGTTTGACCCCTGCTTCTAGACATTGCTTTCGGCGATTCCGATGCCCTGTGGGCCCAGCACTCATCCGGCACCTTCTCCCAGTTCGACTTGCGAGAAACCTCGAAACCCATCGACGCGATAAATAGGGTTGTCACAACGTGGGATCCAACTGGATGCGTTACCTTTGTCACTGAAAACAAAGTGGTCGCCGAACCTCCATATGACGATCTGTGCGTTGAGTACTGCCCATGTCTTTCTGCCTTCCGTTGACATTTGGATAGCCCCCAGGCAGAACCCCGTCCGGGGCAAGAGTTCCGCAAGCCACCTCACAAAACATTAGGCGACCCACCTATCAGACTGGCAAACCAAATGTTTGGAATGTTCGTTCCCGAGGATACTGCTGACGACTTGGAGGTATTCACAATCTTGGCTCGTGACTACGTTCTCCAAGGAAGCAACAAGCAGAGCATCTGCCATACGAACGCTCAGGTATGTACCCCTCCCAGCCCTCGCTTGTCTCGCTAACGCCTCGCCTCGTCTCTAGGTTGCTTACTTGACTGGCCGGGAACGCGCAACCCAAGTCTGGACCCTGATGGAGAATGCCTTTACAGACTTTATTCCCACTCTCTCTCAGACTCCCGGTCCCTCTCCTCGTCCCAAGAGTCACAGGCATCTGCCTTACAGTGGGTCGGGTTTACCTACACCTGTCACCAACTACACATTCCCGCCTTTACCTGGGGGGAACGATAGCATCCATCGCCGAAGTCCAGGCCATAAGACTCGCAGCTCAACGAAATCCGGTAGCAGGAGTCGCTCTGTTTCCGCCACTCGTGGTTTAACGCCCACTTCCTCTAATAATTCCTCCCCTCTCCACCTCGCTAATGGCCTACCTCCTCTCACACCCAACCGACCCTTTGCAGGCCGCAGAGAATCTGTCGACGAACTAGCTCGAAGATCGTCCAGCTACAGACGAATGTCATTGTCACAGAATGCTGCCGCATCCAGTCCAGGCGAAAAGTCTTTGACCAGTCTCAAACACGTGGGAGAAGGTGCCTTGGACGACTCGAGCTCCTCCGATGACGAACCAAACCCTAAGAACCACACAGAGGATGACTTCTTCAGTGACAATTTCCGGTCTATGGCTTCCCCCCTTGCCAACCTCAGTCGAACAGTTGTCGTCCCCAGTCCTCTGTCACGGGTAATCGGCCAGCGTCAGTGGTCCGCTGAAGAAGACAATGTTGAGCGTGATAGCTACATGCACAGTCATTATGGTCCCCAACACGACGATGGCGATGACGATAACGATAACGACGACGACAGCTCCTCTTCATCTCCTTCACCTCGTTCAACCGACACTGAATCAGACGACTCGAGCGCTTCTCGCAGAGAAGCCAAATCCCGCGCACGTCGCTTTTCCCATCGAACGAAATCGCGTAGTCGGAGTTCAACCGTGGCTTCTTTAGCTGCACCTAGACTCACGCATCAGGCTTCGCATAGCAGTATCCGAACGGTAACTGCGGCTGAGGTGACGCCGAAGGAGATCGAAGAACCCAAACAGCTGAATCGCGACGAGGGGCCTACTCTTGCGGAGGCGCTGGCGCATAAACGACAGAAATCGTTACCGTTTTCGGAGTACCATGTCGACGGGGACCCGAGGCACAATGAAGAAGATTTGCAGATTCACACTCATCATCCTCCCGTTCCCATATCCAAACGTCGGATAGAGATTATTAGAGCGGATGAGAAGAGGTTCAAGGAAATGGCATGGGAGGTTATTCGAGAAGCTTTGGAAGAATTTGCAGAGGAGGTACGTTGGTAGTTGTCGATCGGCTTTCGTGTAGTTAATGACTGACTAGGGCGACGTCCAAATGTGTGCCACGATGGTGCTCATCGCACGAGAAGAACTGAAGGTTCCGGTAACAAGAGCTTGTCGATTCGTCGAGGCATACCTAGGTACTGTCAGCGTCTCCCCTCCTTACCTCCACGACGCTTACACGAGCCCTCTGCCAGACCGCCTTGCCCAAAGCAGACTTCACACATGTGCAGCCTACATTCGCAGAGTCTCCAACCTCGAGAGTATCCGTAACCGCTCCTTGGTATGCCTCCATCTCCCAGGCGATTTCCAATCGAACTGAACAATTTCCTTCAGGAAGAGACAGTGGTCTACACCATCTGCGGTAAATGTCACAAACCCTTGCTCAAAGCTGCATTTGCGTCGAGCTCTTCCTCCGGAAGATACACAAGTGGTGCCTTCTCATACTGCCTTGGCTGCAAAACTGACACAGTCAAGTGCTCAATCTGGTGAGTCCACCCAGCTCATCCTCCCCCGTTTTCGAATTTCTTACCTTTCCTCGTAGTCGCCTACCGGTCCGTTCCCTCCTTTTCCAGTGCTCAATCTGCAAACACGGAGGGCACCAATCCTGCTACCGCAAGTTCTACCTCCAACATGCAATGGTCGAACTACCCGATACGCATCCAGCAGCGTTCTTCCCCGCTTCCGAGTCAAGTGAGCGGGGTCGGACACTTTCTCGGCAACAAGAACGTCTTTCAGAGGACGATCAAGGATCGATTAGTAGCACTCGCAGAAGCGTTGCTGACGTGTCCACAAGTCGAGGTGGTATAACTGACGGGTCCTCAAACAAGGGAGGAGGTGCCAGCTTGAGCATGTTGCCCATGGACACGTCCAGTACTCGCGGAAGCATCATTGGCTCTTCTTCAATCATGGGGGATACGAACTCGGAGATCGCGGACAGCCCGGCGGGGACAGATCAGTCAGTGACGAGGCTGATGGGTCACCCATGCGCAGCCGGATGCGGGCATTTCTGTTGGGCTGCGAATAGCGTTTTGGACGTTTCGGATGCATAAACCTTGTACTTGTAGTAAGTAGACCTTGCAAAATCAATCGCGGTTTGAATGACCATACACCCACACGCATTTGTCGGTAACAACATCGAAGAAACATGCAACGAGCCATGCTGATTGAATCTAACCAATCTTCGAATAAAATACCACCATAATTACGACACTTCCACCGTATGTGCCCTTTCCCTCTCTCTTTCTTCCCTCTCTACCTCTCTCCACAACCACTCTCTCGCTTCCCGGTGCTCGTCAAAAGGTTCTTCCGGAACCTCCATGACTGTATCAACCCACGCCAAACCCCATGCACCATTGCCTGCTTTGGTGCCTCCCAGAACCCTTCTCTTTAACGGATCCGTCTTCGAATCCTCCAGTTGCTCCCACCGGGCAGACGTTGGCTGCGTATCGGATCGATCTGCGTAAACCGTGATGAATGAACGAAGATGGTAACAATTGAAAGGAGAAACATACAGTGAATAAGATGTGAATGGGGTTCATACACGCCAAGGGGCTTCTTCTCCTCTGCCTCCTTGTTCTCCGCATCTCCTCCCTCTTGAACCACCTCCTTCCCCTTGTCATTAGAAGCTCCAGGGACAGGGACCTCCCCAACCCACACGCCATCTACAGACAATGCCTTCCTCGCTTCAGCCCTCCACCTGGCCCACTCCTCATCTGCCTCCCTCACCCTCCCGGCCATCATGAACATCCAATTCTCTTCCAAAACTCCATCCCTCGTCAATAGACTCTTCCTCACCGCATTCAAGGGACCGTCGCTATACGGGCCCCAACCACTCCCACCAAATATCGTAGTGGGACCTCCAGGGCGGTACATACTTCCGCCCAGAGTCGACGAGGCGCCAAGGGCACCTGAGCGGTCGAGAGCCGCAAGTTCGCCGGAAGGGACACCAGAGGACGACGCGGCGGTTGCATCAAATAGTTCGCCAACCAGGTCACCGGCTTTGAGACCTTTTTCTGTAATCTCTGCCAATGACTTTTCTTCGTAGTAATCGTCTATCACCCATCTGCCGTCTGCAACAGGATCAGACTCTTTCGAAAACGAGTAGGAGAACCTCTATAACTCACCGACAATCATCTTTGCCCCATGCAGCTTGTACGCACTCCGGGCTGTGATAAGGGTGACACTCCTTGTCCGCAGGTGCGAGCCCAGCTTGCCCTCCGCAATAAGATAATCCTTTTCTGGCTGTGTCGCATTCAGCTTGAGAGCCAAAAGGTTTCGTCGGAAGTAATAAAGGGAATCTCTGAACCCCGAAGTTCGAGCAGCGTCAATAGCAAGCATGTATTGGCGATGAGGGTCTCGAGTGGGAAGGATGAAAGTTTGAGCCTTGAATTTGCGACCTGGAATGCAAGACGGGAGTGAGTGATGGGATATTGAGGAAAGTTAGGACACATACCTCCAAGCAAGTTTCCGTGCTTGTCAATCTTTTCATCGCCTTTGGGGTCGTCTGGTGTGACAAACTCGTCTCCCTCAATGACATAGACCTGTCCCTGAATCTTCCTAAAAGGCCTCGCGTCGACGTCCGCTCCTTCCCCATCCTCATCATCCTCATCTCCCCTCTTTGGGAGCTTGATGGTGACACGACCGCGTCCTCGAGCACGACCACGACCAGGAGGCCTCCCTCGAGGACGAGGAGCAGTCGACCCCGCAAATCCACCACCGCGTCCACGTCCGCGCGGACGACCGCGTTTGCGCGGGGCTGGTACCACAACTTCAGGTTCAGGTTCAGCCTCAGGTCGGTCAACATTCATAGCGTCCGCATCTTCATCGTCGCCCTGGTCTTCATTATATTCGCCATCCCCGTCATCTCCATCCACACTTACGTCCAGCTCTCCCTCCGCGTCGCCTTCAACTTCTTCCCCGCCACCCTCATCCTGCTCTTCGGTCTGTTCCCCTCCTGCTTCCGCTTCAACATCCACCTCTTCCTCAGTCTCTCCGTGCTTGGCCGCGGCGGCTCTCCTTCCCCTCCTAGGCCTCCCCTCGTGCTGTTGTGAAGTGGAAGCTTCAGGCTCGTTGTTGGACGCACTATGTCGAGCCTTGATAATAATTTTCGGGACTGTCGAACGCGAATTCGACATGTTGGTTAACCGTTTGTCTTGTACGTTTTCGTCTAGGTTATCGTAGATGGAGGTGCCGTTGGGAACGTCGCGTTAAATACAAGGTCAAGAAGACAGGGCGCTAGACGATATTCAAGATGAACGAAACAAACGAAGCGCGCCTGCCTTGATTACCTCGACGTGGGAATTATCGGCCAGTCATTTCAAGGTCCGCTACTGTGGGCGCTTCTCAAGACCAACCAGTCGCCCAGATGGCCTGTAACCACCGATAGATGTCAAATCACACACAGATGGTGGATTCCGCTCAACTTTACGGTCTAGCCCCTTCCAATAGTCTGGCTCCCAACATGCTGAGCTGCAACAACTCTACGCTTTCCGTTATACTAGTTGAAAAGCTGAAGACGAGTGTATTGAACCAATGTGTCGAGGCTACGGTATATGTGTATCTCAGCAGGAAAACAGGGCGTCAAATACACTCCCGTACTAGCCTGAGGTATGCTCTGTTCCGTCATCCATCTGCACGGACACAGAGTCCACAATCGACGTCTGTTCCTGTGACTCTTTCCAAGCCCGGGCCATCTGCAGAAATTTAAAAGACGCGGGGTTTCTCTCCCGCTCATCGTCAGGAAATACGAGGTCAGGCAATAAAATAATCCAAGTCAAACCACAACTCAAACCGGAATATAAGCACTGGGACATACCGTAGGTCACAACCCCCGCATCATCGACCACCCGACGTGCGCCAGCCGTGGGCTTCATCAGCCTAACCTTCTTCAAATCCTCCACCGTTCCATGGGTACCTTCAAACAATTCCCAGACCTCCAACAACGTGGCGCGCTAGAAGAACGACCGAGCCGCGTTAAAACAAGTCACCTAAACACATGAGAACCCAAAACTACACACCTCTTTCTTCAACCCCCGACTCTTCAAATCCTCATACCCTCTCTGGAAAACCTGCCGCGCAAGACCCGGGTTCCCATGACGCACTTCCCTCCCTCTCCTCTCCATCATCCATCTCCACAATGACCGTAATATCCTGCGCCTCTAAAAGGGCATACGACACCCAAACCTTGACATGCGGACTCAACTTGACAAGGCGCTCATTCAACACTCGCGCGCCATCCCTCCCTCCCCGTCAAATCTCAAAATCGATATACGATTTCCACAAAACTTCCGGCATATGCAGATTTTGCGACACCCCAAGTTCATAGACACCTCGAGCACGCGCTTCGTCCCCGAGCTCCACTTCCAATTCAGCGTACCTGACCCAGGCGGTCGAATCGGTGGGGTCGTACTGCGGTATCGGTAAGAACTCGTGTCCGGTGCTGATTAACAATACTCGACTCACCTCCAAGTACTTTTCGTAAAGCGTACGCGCACGATCGAACTCCCGAAGCTAAACGACAAACAAACATTACCCATACCTCAATTTCCAGATCGATATAACCCCTGAACAACGAAGGCTTCGGACAAAGTCCAATTCCCGTACCAAGAATCTTGCGCGCCGAACCCAACTCAAGCATCCTAACCTCAAACTTGGCAAAACTTAACCAAAGTTTCGTAAAGGTGAACTTTTGGTGGGGAACCACAGAGATAGCCGTCTTGTAAACTTCCCGAGCTCGTTCATAGTCCTACAAATCATGATGAGATTATATTCCACAAAAATTTGACAAGCGCAACTCACCTTCCGTTCCACCTCCTCAAACAAGGCATACCGGAGCCACAAATATATATACCTCCGCCAATGTCGTTTCTCATCTCCCGGAGGAACTAGGGCAATGGCACGCTCATAGACCTCTTCTACTCTTCGACCCTGCTCATCCCGTTCACCCGCCGAAAATCCTTCTTCTCGCAGTGACTGCCAAACTCCCTCCTCCAAATTCACATAATCGAACCAGACATCGTAATTCCTACCATCACGCTGCACCTCTTCCTCGTTCTGAATGCGGCGTTTAGCGATGACAGATGCTTCCAAATCAGTAGTGGAACCGTGCTGCTTTTCAAACTTGGTGTAGGCATCGTACAACGCAGCACATTTAGAGCGAGGTATCCGGTCCAGAGCAAACTAGAAGAAACAGGTAGTGTGGTCAGTCAGCGTACACACCAATTCAAGCAGCAGTGCCTCACCTTGTACACGACCCTCGCCCTCTCATATTCCTTAAGCCTAGTCTCCATCTTCGCAAAAGCAGCATACAAACCCTGTGCCCTCTCAACATCCTCAGGCTCCTCACCATAAAACTCCACCGCAGTCCTAAACACCTCCCTCGCTTTCTCAGCACACCCTCTCTCCTCCTCAAACCTGGCCCACCTAATCCAAGTCTTCACCTCCGGGCTAACAGCAACCACCCTCTCATACAGCGCACTAACCCTCTCCATCTCCTGATAGCGCTCCTCAAATCTAATATACGCCATCCATGCCTTCTCATCCGGCTCCCACTTCACCCACCTCTCAAAAACCTGCCGTGCTCCACTGACATTACCCAACAGCTCCTCCAGGTACACATACTTGTACCACAACTGATCAACACGGGGCAAAAGAGTCACAGCACGATCAAACAAATTCCTGGCATGCTGAACGTTGCGGTTCTTCAGCTCCTTCTCCGTGTACGACAGCCAAATCTGGATCGAGCTTGGGTCCACATCCAAAGCCCTCTCAAACACAGAACGAGATCGTGCAAACTCGTTTTGGGAGGCCTGTGCAAGCGGGGGGATGGAAATATGTAATCAGAAATGCAGAAAACCTCAAAGCTAATGATTTCGACTCACCTCCCAATTGGCATATTGTAACCATTCCTTTCTACAAGCGAGAAGATTCAGCCCGGTATTCTGAAAGAGTTGAGGACAGCACTTACACACTACCTCTATTACGCCTGACCCGTTCCTCAAACTCTTCACGTTTCCGACCACGGTACTCATCGAGCTCTTCAAAGTTTTCCACCCGCTGCTTCGGAGCCCGAAACGCCGTTTCTTGCCTCTCTTGCGCCTAAGAGCAAAATTAGCATCGATCCACTGTTCCAAGAAAACCCTCTCAGAAGCTGCTCCGCCGTAATCTGGACGGCAGCAGGCGCCCGGTTCTTGATTCTAAAATGGAGATTAAGCCGCTTCACCTGGATACGATGTCGCACGCTACTTACCTGGGAGCACGACCGTCCTGCATCGTCGCTGCGAGATGGAGGAGAGCTAGTATCTGTGGGTACACTTCAAGTCAGTCCGCATACATTCCCCACCATCACGTGGGAACGATCGACGGTTCCGAGTAGAAATTCGGAATAAAAAAGGGGTCGCGTTTCCGCGAAACTAGGCTCGTTAACTTCTCTATGTGCCTGCAACTGAAATTTAGCAGGGAATCGCCGGCCGGCAGGACCTGTCATCCTAACATTAGGTCGCAGTATACGACGGCGGAATTAGTGTACCAAGGAAGAAATTTCATTGGCAGGTTGGCAGCCTGCAGACAGGCATTGGTTCTGAATCTCAGAGCCAAAGACTTGGGCGGTGAACGTTGGGGGTAAGCTGTCGAAACCCGAAGGGGCTATTGGTGACCACTTACACCCGATACATAGGGCCTGCGCCTACTATTTGTTTTCGTCCATCAGGTTAGTAACTACAACTCTGTACTGACCCTTACTAAAGCAAGTTCAACTAATAGTCAGGCCCTGTGGAAGCAGGGATTCGGGCCAAGGTGGTATCAGTTGAACGTCGGATGTTCGGACAGATCAAGCGAATTGATGTTCGGTGCGTTCAAATCACGGATGCGTGTGCCCCGGTCCTTCGCACACAGAGAGAGGCCGACTTGTCGAAAAGGCAGGGACTGTACGACCCAACGACGCGTACGGCCCTCTCGTCTGGGGATGTCCAAATGTCGATCCTTCGTCTAACACCGGTGTTCTGAAGCTTGGACCGATAGCTTAATGCCTTTTGTCTCAGGCAGCCTCTGGCTCACGGATTCTCCGAACACATCGAGCGCTCGAGGACCCTTTCAAGCAGAGTGAGGCACGTCATGGTCAACGACGCGTGGCACCAGGAGCGATGACATCAGCGCGTCTCAGAGAAACAAGGCGCATCATCCGTCGTCATCAAGTTGCACCAGACCCGAGTACAACCACTCCTCGCCAGTTCAATATTCAATCCGCTCACAGCCAGCGCTTCCCTTCATACAAAACCCCCAAAGCTTTCGAATCAAAAGGAATTTTCATTGATTGGTTGAGTGACTGGAATCATATCGCCCATAACACCTAGGTTTCATGACAAAAAAAGAGACACAAAATCGTTGGTTGTTTCGGTGCCAGGTCGATTGATTTACTCTGTTAAAAGAGACACGCATCAGTCCTGCACCTCCAACAACATCAGACTAGACGAATACGCACTGGATCGAGCCCTCATCTTTCGGCGTTTGCGTCTGAGACGGCGAGACCTCTTCTTCTTCCACTTCTCTCTCATTCTGGAACAACGATGAATACTATAAAATGAACGAGGAATTGAATAGACATACTTGTTATCGTCTGGGAGAGAACTTGTGAGAGAAAGAGGCCCTATCGCGTGTGGTGCCCAGAAGCAGCAGCGAGAGTAGCTATACAGTTCTTACCAATCATGTCTCACGCTCCAACCCTCCTCGGTCTTGGCATCCTATTCCGGGCGACACCTTGAGCGCTTAAATCCATGTCCAAGAAGAAAGCAGTGCCAGCATCTCTCCATGCTGAACTCTCAGAATACACAGCTCTCCTCCGCGCACTCAAAACTCGCGACTTGCTTGACCTCACAACTCAATTAACAACTCCAGAAATAACACGCAGAGCTGAATGGGACCCTTCATTTCCTCCACCTTCCTCGTCTCCAGCACCATCACCACCAGTAGCAGGCCCATCCAGACAGAAACGGGACCAATGGACACGATGGCCTCTCCCCGTCAAGGACGTCTACATCCCACAATGGTCTCTCGACGATGAAATCGCAGTCATCGCACGCAAATGCATAAAGAACCAACTCGACTCTCTCGACATCGATCGAGTCCAACCCGCGACTCTGTACTCTGACCTCGACACCACGACCTAGCAGACAGCTGGGAGCTCCCACCCCACATCCCACCTCTCACCCAATCAGTCCACCAATTCCTAACTACAACACTCAACCTCATCGCCCTCCAAACGCCCCCACGCGTCCCGAGCATGATGAACAGGATAGACGTCATCTCATGGCCTCACGTTCTCAATTCCCTTGGTCCAGCCTTGGACACGAAGGGAAAAGGGATGTTCGCACCCGAGTACGCATCTCCCCTTTCCACCGTATTCCTCAACTAACACTCGAACAGCTTGATCCAAAGAGCTGCTCGGCGCCTCGAGGAGATATACGGTCCTCCAGACTTCAACGACGGTCCTAACCTCAAAAAACCCACTACCATCAAGAGTGCGTTCTTTCTACTTTACTCCTAGTTCCATTTTAATTCTTGGTTCCGATAGCGAATCCCCACTTCAAATCCCTCCTCCCTCCCAAGCTCTCCCTCTCCAAAATGCTCCGCAACGCACAAAAGGACCTCTTCCACGTCCGACCCTTGACACCGGGTATGATCCAACGCATAGAGGACAAAGAACGACGTACGGATCTCTCTCGGTATCCTTCTTACCACGACTAACCACGAACGCCCAGGCCTCAACAAGGCAAAACGCAAACGCAAACAAAGCCGAAAACTAATCGAAGGAACAGACTCGGAATCCGACTACGCTCCTCCCTCCAAAAAACGTAAAAAGTCAGCGTCCGACACTGGGTCTAGGAGAGCTACTTCCTCGATTGCGTCGAGGAAAGCCACGTCGTCTGCTGGGCCACGGATAAGCACATTGTCCACCGAGTCTAAGAAATCCAGCTCTTCCACTCGTTCCGTGACATCGTCTACTGGCTCTAACGAAGGCGCACCGTCCACCCCCGGAGCACCATCGAAAGGAAAAGGCAAAGCAACAGAAGACGAACCAGCCGGTCCACGAACCCGTCGACAATCGACACGAAATAAACCCTGACCTCGACCGAACCCTTCTTATCTCACCTACTCTGCGCATCTGGTTACCAGCACGCACCACACTACCCGCATTTTCGTCATCTTTCACTCACATCGCAAAACGCATTGTACATTCATCTCATTCTTGTTTTCTTGCAATCCTCACCGCACTTGCACTGACATCTTCTAACGCATCTAATTCACTTGTACATCCATTTCACTGCAACCCATTTCACCACACTTATTTCATTGCATCATTTATCTAACTCGCATTTTCACCGCACATAACCATCCATGTATCATAGCACCACGAACACAATTCACCATTCACCTGCCACGCCGTCCTACATTCCAACAGCACCCAATGGCTCAAGGATTACTCTGCACCCACCCAGCCCCACCAACCCTCCTACAACTCTGCACCAACCGTTCCCTCAACCCATCCGTCAACATCATAAGACCGTCCTGCGACAACAAAATGACGTTAGCACCAGCATGACAGTAAGTAGGACAAGGCACGCACCTTGGTCCAAAACCTATACGAAGGCATAGGCTGGTACGTATCCGCCTTCACAACTCCATCCTCAACAAGGACAGTCCCAATAATATCATCCGGGTCTCCAATCCTGCCCAGAGGCGGTGGGTTACGCTGGTCTGTCGGTCATAGCATGGCACAGTGGCCCGTCAGAAAAATACAAGTTATATACAAAACCAAAAAATAGACATACCATGCACATGCATCCACCCACTCCCAACCTGCTTCGCAGCACCAACCCAAACATCATCAACACCATCCCTAAGCGCAGCATAAACCGTCTCATGAAGGAGCGACCTAAACACCGGGTTCTCTCTAAACTCCCTCCAGATCTCGCCTTCTTTCTTCCCACCTCCAGCAGGGGAAGCCGCTAGCTCACCAACACCACCAACACCAACCCAGCCAACAACAACACCATCAACCTCCCTCACAACACCAGGCTCATCCAAAAAACTAACAGCGTACACACCCTCCGTAGCCGAAAACGGCGTAGGCGGGACCTGCAGGTGGTAGTACACATCCGGACGCGTGGGTGAAGTGAACAATCTAGGGAGACCAGCAAGGTCTAACGCGTTAGAGGAGTGGTTAGACGACGCGTTGTTGAAGGAGGAGCTCGAGGAAGAAGAAGGGGAATCGGAAGAGGTAGTCGAAAAACCAGAAGCCGAGGATGAAGCGGCGTCAAGTTCAGCTTCAACCTTGCGAGCCGTGTTGGACGGGTACTCCTTCGTCGCCGAAGCAAACTTTCTTGTCGTCGTCGAGAACATCCGACCATGTCCATGTCCATGTCTGCATCTCAGGCTCGTCAAAGCCGTCGCCCTAGCGCCCGCAACCACACCCGACCCAACTCTCCTCCCTACCACCATCCGAAGACTACCAAACGCGTTCAAAGCCATAATCCTTCGTCCCAGTGCAGTATTCAAAGTCTTCCCAAAGTCGCAGCTAGTCGGCGCGGTCGTGGTTCAGCACAAGTCGATGGCGCGAAACCGAAAACCAAAACCCGCATTTGCATCCGTGTCAGCCACTGTCATCATCCATCAAACTAGCCCCTATCTTCTCGTCCTCCTCACTCTCTTTTAAGACTCTTTGAACTTCTTTCTCGGTCGTGATACATGAGAGCAAACAGAATAAATTCAAATATAACAGCACAAAATTCGTAATTTTACACAGACATACAAACGAGATCTAGAGCAAGCATATAAAATCGAGAGCATATACGAGGTAAGAGTCAACACCATAGGTATGTAAACAGTTCGTCAAAAAACGCAACAAAAAACAAAGAAAAGTCAAGGAACGTGGGTCGTTAGTACTGGTCGTAAAAGTATCGTAATGCAAAAAGTGTGGGTATGAGCTAGTAGGGTACTTTAGTTGCAAAATGAGGTCGTCAAGGTATACCGTAATGTTAAAAGATGTTGTACAAGAGAAAGATGAATGAAAGGCACCAATAATTTTCTCGCAAAAACCGGACATACTTCAACGCCTACATCCTCGCATACATCGAATCACCACCATCCGAAGACTTGGGGCCAAACAACCCTGGACTTCCACGCGCAGGAACTTGAAGCGTAGCCTCCACACTCGCAGGTGACGGTTGCATCGTCGGATCCGCTACACAAACATCAGCTTCCATCCAACCACCTCTAACCAAAAGGGAATACTCACGCATCCAAGGAGCAGCCCAGCTGCTAACCTGAGCTCGAGGACTAACAGCCATAACAGGTCGTCGCGGCAATCCACTCGCACCAGTAGGATGATGACCCACATGCTCCTCCATTCCATGCATCTGTTGCTGTTGCTGCATAGCGGCCGCCTTCTCCTTCTTTTTCTTCTTCTTCACGGGCCTCCAACCAGGTCGAGCAGCGGGCGGAGCTTCAGGAGGTGGCTCAGGAACGTCAGGTGCTGGTGGCGGAGGTCCATCTCCGGGTCCTCCTCCTCCAGGCCCTGTGCCAGCAGGTGGTGTCCAGTTGGGATCGAACTCGCCGCCAGGGCCGTACTTGGATCGCATGGTCAAGAGGAATCCAATTTCGCTGAAAAAGCAGAGTCAACATCATTCAGGCATTGCTGTGAGAAAAAGGACATACTGTTGCAACGCCCGCCTGTCTTCTCTTAACTTTCCAACCTCGCCGAGCAACATGCGAACTTCGGTAGCCAACGCCTTGGAGAACTCGTTCAAGTATCCTTCGACGTTGTACGGAACTTGTTCTTGAGCAGTCGACTTGACAGCATTGATCGTCTCTTCCTGGTGACGAGCACAATCCGCGCGCCAACCTATAGCACAACACCCCATTAGCCACTGCCCTCATTAGCCAAGGAAAAGCAAACCACTCACTCTCAGAGAACATCTCCAAAGCCTGCCTCTGCTCGTCAGTCTGCCGCCTCAACTCGGCGATAACACCCTCCAAATCAGTTCGCGTAGCAGTCTGCGCCACAAACTGGTCAACTCTGTCCCTATCAGCCACGACCTCCTCAGTCAACTTCTGCACCATATCCCTCAACTCAACCATCTCCACGTCCTTCGCCTGCCTCCTCGCCAGCTTGTCCTGATACCTCTGCTCCATCAACTCCCTCTTCTGCTCAATCAAATCCCTCTGCTCCTGCACCAAATGAGTGATATCACCCAACTGCTGCTGGAATGCCTCATCCCTCTCCATCCTCTCAGCCTTCTCCCTCTCACGATTGGCAGCGTCCTCCGTAGCCTTGAACTCTCGCTCGTTCGCCAACTCTTCCTTCACCTTGGCCAACTCCTCTTCAAGCGCTCGGATTCGGTTGTCTCGCTCTTCAAGAAGCCTGTCCCTCTCGACTTGAGCATCAGCGATAAGCTTCTCGCGTGCTGCTGCTTCCTCCGCTCGCTCCCTAGCAAACTCTTCGCGTTCGAGTTGGATAGTCTCGAGGATGTCAGCGATGTGTTTCGAGCTTGCCGCGAGGCTGATCTGCTCCACATCACGGGTACTCTCGGCACCTTCCTCCGGGGGTGGTGGCTGTTCACCTTCAGTGGGCAATCCGTGGATGGTGACAGGCCTCGAGGACCTGCTGGATGCAGAAGGCGTAGGCGATTTCGGTGGTGTAGGCGACCCTCCATCTCCACCAGCAACAGCCGTGGCAGGTGCCTTGGGACTGGCGGCGACAGGAGGTGCAGGAAGCGTAGCCAACCTCTGATCAATCTCACGCCAGATACCCTCCGCACGCGCACGAGCCTCCTCGTTCCTCCTCTCCTCGTGCTCCAAGAAGATACGATCACGATCCTCTTCGTGTTGACGGAACTCGAGTTCTCGACGGTCTTCGGCTTCTTGGGCAGCCAGAGCGGCGTCGTGGAGGCGGAGAGCGACTTCGTTGAGCTGTTCGAGTCGTTCCCGTTCGTCGTCGGCACGGCCCAAATTGAAGGGGGTGGCAGTTTCGCGTCTGTCCACAGGAGTAGCGGCTCGTGGAATAGGCGCAACGGGAGGCGGCATGGGCAGAGCTGGAGATGTGGGAGCGGCGATGGGAGCCTCAGCCGGGGTGACAGGGCGAGTGCCGACTGGAGGGCGAACAGGGAGAGCAGCCTCAGAGGGCGCAGCAGTGGGAGGGTAATGAGTGGAGACGGCGGAAGGAGTGCGTGAACGGTCTTCGTAAGTGGTGGCGGGTCGGGAAGGTGGGGGAGAGGCCCGTTCACTCCGAGGGACTTGGATGACAATGGGGGACCGTCGTCCTTCATCGGCAGGTCGAGCACGATCGTAGGCAGAGGTGGGACGGTCATAGGCAGAGGTAGGACGCTCGTAGACAGAGGCTGGAGGTGAGTATCCTGACACCAAGGGTGAGCATTACATTCTAAAGCACAAGTGAAATTTCACTTACTACCCTCCTCCGTTCTCTCATCGGATACTCGTGAGCGCTGGTCTTCAGGAAGAGTTACAATGGTAGGCTGACGAGGCGCAGGAGTTCTTGAACGCGGGCGAGCATGAGAAGGAACAGTGACATGAACTTCCAATGGTCTACTCTCCGATCTCTCTGGTGATCGGGGAAGACGGATAGGCTCCGCAGGCCGAGGCGTAGCATACTCTCTGACGGATCTGATGGGACTTCCTCTTCGGCTGTGAGGCAAAGGCGTGGGTGACTGCCGTCGGATAGTCGGACGCTCAGTAGAAACAGAGCGCGACCGTGATACCCTGTATCGACGCTCTCCTCTCCTTGGAGAACCACCTCTCGACGAGTAGTACCGGCTTGGGGAACCACCGCGAGAGGAGTAGTACCGACTCGGGGAGCCGCCGCGAGAGGAGCGGTGTCGATATCGAGGTGAGTCGTAGCCTGATGAAAAGGAGCGTCTACGGTCACGAGAACGTCGACGGTAACGTCCGCGATCCACTTCGCTGTCGAAAGAAGATGAGCGACGGCCAGAAGATGGGTAGTGGACCCGAGAAGGGCTTCGGCGATATCTCCGTGGGGGAGAGCGGTAGGCAGACCTCCTCCTGGGTGAGTCGTACCTATCATAATACCGCCGAGGAGAATAATACCTTCGATCAGGGGAGTAATCGCGACCTCGGGACCTGGACCTGGATCTCGGAGACCTCGGTCGATCGCGTGGAGAATATGGCCTGTCTGTATAAGGTCGAGTCGTAGCCGCAACAGGAACTGGTTGAGCAGTCGGTTGCTGGGGAATCATGATCGTGGTCGGTTGTGTTTGGGCAGGAGGAAGAACAGTGGGCAGTCTGGGTGAGCGAGAGCGAGAACGAGACCTGCTTCGCCGTGTCTGGATGACCTGGGGCATGACTTGAGGCATTGGCCCCATCATCGTTGGGACATTTGGTACTCCAGGGACTGAAGGGGGAATAACCGTCACACCGGGGGCGGCAGGTGGAGCTGTCGGTTGAGTGGTAATAATGCGTGTCGGGCTCCTACTCCTGCTTCTGGAACGAGAGCGCGACTGGGGGAGTACGACAGGGGCCATGGGCATGGGTTGTTGTCCTATAACCATGGGTGGCGCCATTGTGGGAGCCATGGTAGGTGCTTGTGGAACAACAGTCGGTAGTTGTTGCTGAGCGGGTTGCTGATTTATCACAACGGGGGGTGTTCGTCGTCCCCGACTCCTACTCCTTGACCTACTGCGGCTTCGGCTTCGCGTTGGAACAATGACAGGTGCCATGGGCTGCATTGGCATCATTCCTGGAACACCAACGGTTGGCTGCATCATGGGCACTGTTGGCTGCATCACAGTCGGCATTGGTGCAACCGTGGGTGGCTGCGTCATGGGCGGAAGAGTTGGCATGTATGTTGTGCGAGGAGACCTGGAGCGAGACCTGGAGCGAGACCGGGAACGAGACCGGGAACGTCGAGTATCTTGGATAATGATAGGCTGCTGTGGCAGCATCTGAGTGGGCTGTTGTGTTGTTCGCGGGGTTCGTGGCGACCTTGATCTTGAACGGCCCCTTCGCGGCGACCTTGATCTTGACCTCGAACGTGAACGCGAACGAGAGCGAGAGCGAGAAGAGCTCCTGTCCTGTATGATCACGGGTGGATACCCACTTGGTACCATACCTGGTGGCATCATGGTCCCGGCTTGAGTGGGCATCATACCTGGGACCATCATCGGCGTTTGGGTCGGCACCATGCTAGGCACTTGAACAACGGTTGGCGGGATAGTGGGTGGAGGATGATGGTAGACGGATGGAGTCCCAGGAGGAATGGTCGGCGTTCCAGGGATCCCGGTTGGCACAATTTGAATTGGCTGAGCAGGTTGCATTGGCGCCTGCTGAGCAGGCGGAATGATAATAGTCGGCTGAGGAGCTTGTTGGGTTGGAGGAGGCGTCCGTCGGCGGCTTCGATCGGAGATTGGGCTACGACTGCGACTTCTACTGCGACTTCGGCTGCGGCTTCGACTACGGCTACGGCTACTACGACGATGCGAAGGGGACTGAACATGAATGTGAATGGGCTGCTGAGGCGCTCCTGGAGTAATCACCGTTGCTCCTGGGGGAGCATACGGCTGGTCCATAGCAGATGGTACGCGCTCATACCGCGTCGATGGCGAAGAATAGCGAACATGAGTGGGGGAGTGGCTCCGAGATGACGGAGTGCGGGACCTTCTGCTACGTCCCGTCCTACTGTCGCTTGGCCTGCGTCTATGATATCCTGTCGAGGTCGAATGAGGACGGGATGGCCGAGTTCTGGGACTGCCAGTTTCTGACGAGACAATACTGGTGTCTGTGCTATCGGGATCGACAACGACCACGTTTCCGTCGAATCGGCCGTCGTATGGACGCATAGGGCGAGGTTCTCCAGTGCTATGAGGGGAAATCGGGGGAATGAATCCTTCTTCCGTGCGCGATGGAGCATGCGAGGGCATATGCATCGAAGGTGCAGTTCCGTACGGCCCCATATCCGGAATGACAGGTGGTGGTTGTGGCATTACAAGGATGGGCTGCGCTGACTGACCTTGCGTTGCGGGAGGTTGGGGAATGACCGGCGCATGTATGGTAGGCGTTGGAGCTGTGTGCGGTGGAATGACAGGTTGAGGGAATTGAGGATAGCCCGTGGGTTGGAAGCCAATTGGAATTTGGGGTTGAGGCATGCCAGGACCGGGAGGCTGGCCAGGGATGTTGACGATCATCGGCGACTCAGTTGTCGACGACGTTTCGGTGCCTTGTAACGATTAGGACTGAGAATTTGGGGTTAAAAGGTGGCGCTTACCTGCAGTCTGCATATTGCGAAGCTCATCGCGCAATGCCTCTACCCGGGCCATAACCCCGCGCAGTTCATTCTGACGGTCATAAACATCCCGTTCGAGCCACTCGTTCAACCCACGCATGTACCGCATAAGTTCTCGCTGTTGATCGACGGTGGCTAACTGAGCCAATCGATTTTCCTGCAAGGAACTTGGTCAAACAAACTTTCTTCAATCAGAAAATGCAGTCTTACTCGAAGGATTTCCATCAACGAATCGAACAGAGGTACTTGTACAACCGTCTACCCAACTTGCGTCAGTGCCACGGTACCCAAATCTGACAATCTCGCTTACCGGTCCTGCAGGCATGGGTACATATGTTGGTCCGGCAGGTGCAGAAGGTCCACCTGGGGGACCTGAAGGTTGGGCAGGGGCTCCAGACGGTGGTGGTGGAGGCGGCGGGGCTCCTTCACCCTGGCGGATACCGGAAGGCTCGAGTTGAGTGACAGGTGCCGGGGACGTCTATATAATATGCCGTCAGAGAAAATCAATTTCACCGGGCAAATAATAATCACCTTCTGCGGTCGCTTGGAGTACCAGCTGTGAGGGACCTTTCCTGGCGGGGCTCCAAGACCAGCTGGGGCAGTCGGAGGACGACTTTCATCCCTGAAATCACTCTATCAACTGGTGAGAAAGACTTCCTATTAATACATGAAAGACGGAAACTTACGAAAACTGGTCTGGGTGTGGGTCCTGGTCCATAATGGAATCTATCCATAGGCGGTGGCGGTGGGGGTGCTGGTTGGGCTGTTGGCATCGATGCAGGCGGCTGCCGTTGCTGCATGTCTCTCAAGCGCCGTTGGTCTTGAAGGATGCGCTCTGCCTCAGTATCCTCAACGGATGGCGCAACGGCCCTTGGAGGTGGTCGTTGAACCGAGATGACAGATTCACTTTCTTCGGACGGCTGGCGTCGATACATATCGGAACGCTCCCGACGAGGCCGAGCACGGTGGGGCGGCAGGTCAGCCAGAGTCACGGGCGGTTCTGACCAGGACCGGGCTGGAAGGGTATCGATGGTCAGCGGGCTTTCGCTCCTCCTTGGCCTCTCGGCAGGTCGATACACGAAGGGAATAAGCGGTGGTGGGCCTTGGACAGGAGCGGCAGGGGGCAGAGTTGTTCCCATCGAAAGTATTTCGTCGAGCTGGGTCGACAACGTAGGGCCAGAGGTGGCATGCCTTGGGATCGGTCCGTGTATGCTCTCTGTAGGAGTCATGCCTTGGAGTAGCTGTCGAAGGCGGTCAATGTCGCGCAGGCGGTCTTGAGATGTCGTTGACTCCGAGATTGAACCATCGCTGGGTTCCGAAAGCTGTTGTTGGACAATAATCTCGGGAGGTGGAGGGGGCGCTGCTCGTGGATGACTTTGCAGTTCGATCAAGCCTCGAATCAAGTCCTCAATCCGGTTGAGGCGGGCGCCAAGTTCAGGGTCAGTAACTGGAGCTTGAGGGCGATCACGCAGTTCGTCGATTAGTCGGTTGAGGGCATCCTGTCCATCTCCAAGGTCGCCTAAACGCTTCAAGATGGTCTCGAGAGGAACAGTGTAATCTGGGATCTCTGGCATAATGATTGTGGGAGTGGGAGCAGGGCGAGCAGTGGCCACCGATGAAGGACGTTCGTAACGCTCGGAAGGTTCACTGAGCTCGCTTGACGAACCCGAATAGTCATCACTGTCACTTTCGCTGGTAGGAATGGTCGTCGAGGCTGGGGTCCATGAACCAAGCGACACCGGCTCAGCCATCATCGGGAGTTCCAATTCGGCCTCTTCGAGAAGGTCATCGTCCGAGTGGTGGGACGAGAGGTAGGAGCCGATGCTGCTCGCTGAGCTTGTCGCTCGACTCAGGGACACGGAAGGATCCATATCCCTCGGTCCCAGAGGACGCAACGAGGATACGACGCTGTCTCCTCCAACTGCCTCGTCTACCAACTGAACAGAGCGCGGTCGTTGAGTAAGGACAGGAACTGGGAAGGGCGGCGCGACAACTTGAACAGGTGCTTCACGAGGCGATGGTGTGCGATGTAGATATTCCGAAAGGTCGTTGAGTTCGTTTCGGAGAGCACGAATGCTGTCTGCCAGTTCTTGGTTCTCCATTCCTCGCACGTCGTCGTATCGTCGAATTTCGTCAATGAGTCGATCCATATCAGCGCCGAGATCTCGCGAGACACCTTCACTCGACGAGCTTTCAGACTCCACAGTGCGCAAACTGTCTCTTTGCGTAGAACCTGCACCGTGAGGAGTAGTGATGCTCATAATGACAGAGCCACTGGGAGTAGGCATGGTGGGTGTCTTGGCTTCATCCGGTGTCAAGGTCGTCTAGCATGGATATTGATAAATTTAAAACTCTCAGAGCAATTGTGAAGACACTTACAAGGCGGCTTGCAGGGGTAGTCAGCAAGGATGGCTCGGTGGCAAGATCAACTTCGGGGATCTCCTCCACAGGAGCCTCCTCATCTTGTAGCGAAGCCAAAAGGCTCTGCGACTCCGTGATGAACGATTGCAGGGAGGACTGCGTCACCGAGCTCGACAACGAAAGCGACCTGCTAAGTGAGCTGGGAGTAACGGAGCTGAATGATGACAGAGTGCTCGGAGTCCTGGCTTCACTGGCCGATGGAAGTGAAGGTGGCAGAGCAGGGACAGGAGTCAAGGGAGGAAGAGGACTTCTCCGCTGTACAGACGAGATTGCGAATGGTGAAGCAGGAAGAGTGCTGAGTCGGTCAACAGACGAAGGAGAGCCACTGGGACGCAGGAAAGAAGTCTCATACGAAGCATCCTGACCGTCATGCAACGCGAGTGAGAGGACGGATGGCGAAGGATTCAAGATTGAAGAGTCGTAAGATCGGTTGGTCGAAGCTGCCCATCTGTCGCTTGGTGCTCGGAGTGAAGAAGGCGTGGACATTGAGACACTGGATTCAGTCATGGGAAGCGTGGCGGAAAGAGTCGACATGGAGATCGATGATGCCGTTGGCGGAATCTGAGGCGAAGGCGGGGCGATAGTCTCAGTCCCTCCACGACTCGAGATATCCAACGAGGTAGGAGTCACAACCGAAGTCGTACTAGACCCAGAGTCTGTGATGGAAGGCGGAAGGGAAGAAACCAGGCTGATATGCTCGTCAGACACCTCAACAGGCTCCTCCCTGTGGCTCGATTCAGAACGAATGTCTGACAGAGACGGCGCAGTGGTAGGGATCGATGGCACAGGGCTCGCTGCGCGGACCGCAGGGGGCAAATCGGGCAACGAATGCTCGGGTTCGGTTGAAACCTCGCTTTCCGTGAGGATAAGCGTGGAGGGAGTAGGCGCTGAAGGACTCTCCGCAGTGACTGGCAATGGGCTCGGAGGAGATGACACGGACGAGACGGTGCGTACAGAAGGCGGGAGAGGGATATCTTCCGGTGGCATATCCGAAACCAGCGAAGGTGACCGGGTGGATTCCTTGGTAGACGAAGGCGCAATCAACGAAGGTGACTTGGGCATGGAGACCGACTTGGTAGAAGGCGTCGTCAACTCGATTTGAGCAGGAGTCGGCGCGCTCTCGGGGTGCTGGAACTCCAACTTCAAGGATAACGAAGAGAGTGTCGGGGTGCTCTGCTCCGATGGGATCTCCTGCAGTTCACTCGACTCGCTCTCTTCACTCTGCCAAACACCCGCAGTCTCGTATTCTGTCTCCTCGGGCTCCTGCTTCTCGGACGCTGTCTCGTAAGACGAGACAGACTTGGCCGTCCTGAAGCTAGGAATCGATGAAAGACTGGCAAAAGTCTCAACGGACCGGATACTCGCCACGTCAGAATCAACCACCTTGGGCCTGGGAACATACTCCTCCTTGGGCGGCTGCACAACCGCCACCAAGTTCTTGCGGGGGTAGAAGTCGGGAATAGGACTGAGAGGTTCGGAAGGAAGTGGCACACCAATGGGAGTTGCCATCACCGGTGTCGTAGGAGTAATGGTGTCGCTTTCTTCTTCCGTAGTTGTTCCATAGGGTGTCACTTCCCTCGACGTAAAGTCAGACGACATGCAGATATCGTACCCAGTCTCGCTTGAAGAGATCGGGGTCCTTCCAATGCCCCTCCTCCTATCCCGAATGGTGTCGCTGCTCGAATCTTGATAGGTGTCCGACGTGTAATTTCCGCTTCCACCTCCACTGTACGTATCGCTTCCACTCGGCGTGTACGTTCCCGTGTAGCTCCCGCTTCCAGAGTAACTGACCCCACTCCTACTGTCGTAGCTTCCACTTCGCGTGTCGTAACTTCCGCTCCTGCTGTCGTAGCTCCTGCTATCATAACTCCCGCTTCCCGCCAAACTAGGGACACTGCCTGAGAACGAGCTCCCGTCCCTCGAAACATAGCTTCCACTGGGTGTGAAGCTTCCTTCCGTGCCACTCTGAGGAGTCAAAGTCCCAGTTCCAGTATCTGGAGTAAAGGTCCCAGCTCCACTGTCAGGAGTGTAGGTCCCGGTTCCACTCTGCGTATAACTCCCGCTTCGACCATCAGACAGATAACTCCCGCTCCTCTCCGACACGTAGCTGCCACTTCTCTCCGACGCATAACTTCCACTCCTCTCCGAAAGATAGCTTCCACTTCCGCTTCCACTCACATAACTTCCACTTCCGACCTGGCTATTCTCCTTGTCAGACCCGTCGTACGTTCCCGAAAGAACGCTGCTCCCGGACTGGGAGACGGATTGTGCGCGTCCGGGCCTCCTTCGAACAGCTTGAGTCCTTGAAAGAGTCGAAGGCGACAACCCAGTAAGGGTCGGTGAAGTGTGATCGGTGCTGGCCAGATACGTCCCAGTCTGGCTATCACTATATGTATACGTTGGCGTGAACGCCGACGACGATGTCTGCTCCGTCCTCGTCATCGGAGTATAGGTCCCAGTGTACGACCCAGTCCTTCCCTCCGTCCAACTCCTCGAATCATCTCCATCTTGCGAGAAGTATGTCGACGAAACGTTCGAGTTGGTTCCACTGATATCACTTCCGCTATCCCTGGTTTCACTAGCGCTGTAGAATAAGTCCTCGCCACTCGATTGCGAGACCTTCGATTCCCTCTTCCAGGCTTCATCAAGCTCCAAATCTCCAACGCTTCCACTGCGACGACCGCGGTTCCTGGCTTTGCGGGGTGTGATGACTCGCCGATCGCCAGGAGGGTACGAATAGCCTTCATCGTTTGAGCGAATGAAGGTGTCGTCGGCACTCTCCCTGAGATAGGAGGACATGAGGGAAGAACGTCGAGAGAGCTCGGTCTGCGTGAAAGACCTGGTAGGCGACGAAGCATACGAGTCGATGTCGGGGATACTGGCCAAAGGAGGGACGAAGACGGTGGAACGAGATCCTGATGTAGTCGAAGAGGATCTCGAAAGGGAAGACGACATGGACAGGATGGTGCGGATAGAGCCTGTGGGAGAACGAGTCATCGAACGCGAGGGAGTCGTGGTCGGTTGGTTAATCGCATCCCTACAATCCGTTTAGAATGGCCCCAAATCAAAACAAAGCCTGGAAACATACCAAAGCCTGTTCACCCATTTACTTCTCTCTCCAAGGCTCTCCGCTCCCAATCGTTCAACACCGTCAGCATACACCATATGGAACGGCACCAAGATATCCATCAAGGGCACTTCATCTCTCGCTTCCTCCATTTGCAACCTGGCTGCAACCGTTCCGACGTCTTCTCGAGCGCTGGGGTGGGTGGGACTAGGCACGCTGACGACGCTCGTGCAGTTGAGCAAGTCGAGAGCAACGATACCACGGCCACCTCCAGGAGAAAGCCACGACAAGAGAAGCATATTGGGATACAGAAGCGCCTGACATCGTTGCCAGCGATAGGGAGGTGGAGCATGGACGTTCAAGTACCACAGCAAACCAATATGGAGGGGCTACAAACAACCAGTCAATATCTCAATCATTTTTCCAAAAGGCTGCGACGCACCGGTTCCTCGCTCTGCGTATACGCGCTAAACTGGCTCAAATCAAATCCAGGAGGGAGAACACCACTCTTTCCACTCCTCATACTTGACCTGCTATCCCTGAAATTCCCACTTCCGCTACTTCCTCTGTTCTCATTCCCTCCTGGACTGGTTCCTCCTCCTCCAAGACTTTCCCTCTCTCTCAACCTCTGTCCAGCCCTCTGCATCCTCCTCCTAATCCCAACCAGTCCCTCTTCTTCATAGCTGGGACTTTCCTCCCTAGACTTAGTGAGAACCTCACCAGATCCAGGCCTCGCTTTAGTCGGTGACTTTTCAGGGGACCCGTCTCTAGCGGTCTTTGCCGCAACACCAGGGCTGCGCTCCTTCCACATAGCCACAATGTTCCTGACGCTGGTTAGAGGGGAGCGAGGGCTGGTTTGAGGCTTTCGCAACGTGGTATTGATAGGTGTAACCGTGCTACTCGTTGCGGTTCGCGATTGAGTTGCAGTCCAAGTCGAATGGCTTGGAGTCATTGTAGTGAGTGTGGTCGCGCCTGTTTCGGTGTATGTGTTGGTCCTGGAGTCATAGGTCCTCGTGTCGGTAAGAGTATTGCTGTTGGTGCTGTACGGCGTCTCCGTTTGCGTATAGGGTGTTCCTTGGGTGTAGGGAGTATAAGGCGTCCCATGGGTATACTCGCTCTCCAGGGTGCTCCCAACTTGACTATCGGTGTAAGTCCTAGTACCGGTGGCGGTGAACGGTCGGCTAGGCGGACTCAGCAAAGTCGACATCGGCTTCTCCGAGTAAGACCCGATATACGACCCATACGAAGTCGTCGAACTCGAAGCTGTCTTCGCAGGGGACGCAGACCGCGGCCCAAACCTCGGACTATCCGCCCTAAATCCCGGGGTCGACGCGGCCCTGGTATGCCCATGACCAGAAGCCGGACTCCCCGAAGTCTGTGACTCGAATATCGAAATGAGCTCGGTAGCTCGTCCAGGCGGTGGGAGTGTTTTATCACCACTAGGGTCCGTCGAGGACCGCGAATGGCGAACAGGGCTCGCCCCACTGGTGCCAAGCAGGGCAGAGCGCCGCAGATGATCCGGGACCAATGTCGAATGTCGCCCGGCACTGTTGGAAAAGGCCCCAGAATTGGGGCGCGAAGGCTCCTCCGTGCGTTCCGTGATACGACTCAGACGAGCGACACGGCTATCGAATGGTGGAGGCGGTGGGCTGAGTGCTGATGACAGGTAAGATCCCGTCTGAGATGAATCTGACGAATAGTGGGGCAAGTTGGTGAATGATGGGGACCCCGTGTATGGCCTTGATGAGGTGTATGAACCTGGGCGCGAATCTGACCATTCTGTGAGTGCATTCTCGGTGTCGTCGAACTGGTCGTCGATATTGGAGAGTGCTTCTTGTATTTCGTCGATCGAATTTTCTTCGTTGTACGAGTCGTCGTCGTGACTGTCCGGGGCTGGGGAGACGACGATGCGCCTCATGTCATGGACATCAGAGTCAGACGAGTGGCGTTGGGAACCTAGTGAAAGAAAGAAGTCCAAATGAGAAAGACATGCATGTACATTTCTGCAAAAGAAAGGGACATACCTGATGAATAGGAATAACCTGAAGGTGAACGCGGTGGGTTTATATCTGAAGGCGTCGATTGGCCTATACTTGAGCCGTATCTGGGCGACCAAGGCCCAGAAGAGAAACTTGACATTGTCTGAGTCGATTATCGGTTCAGACTCTGAGCATAGTTCTGTGACGGTTCGCTGAGAGTTTCGAGGCCAACCGATTCCGAACAACAACAAACCACCAAACGCGTCCCCACGTGTTGCACAGCCGCTCACTTTAGGGCAGGCCATCCCGCGACAAACCGCGCGCCTTGGCACGTGTATGAGCACCGCCACCTCGTTAGCTAATGCTGTACGCGTGCAGTTGGTGACTCTTGAGCCGCGCTCTGACTCTTTCCCTCAACACCACATTATCCAACAACAATAATGGCAGATTCTATGGACGTCGATACACCCGCCCCAGCCGCTGGCGGCTCTGCCGTTCCCAAGAAGAAAGAGGGAAAGGAGGGCGGAAAGCCCAGATTTGAAGTGAAAAAGGTAATTAACCAATATACCCTCGTGTGCAATGGCCACTTATACCCTTTCTTTAGTGGAATGCTGTAGCCCTGTGGGCTTGGGGTGAGCAGATTTGAAATCTCGAAAAAGCGATCAGCTCTAACTCAAATGATCTGCAGACATCGTCGTCGACAACTGCGCTATCTGCAGGAATCACATCATGGATCTCTGTCAGTACCGTCCACTACCAATTGGATCACGAGCCGTCCTCACCCTTTCTTTCCTCCAGGCATTGACTGCCAGGCCAACCAAGTATCCGCCACGAGCGAGGAATGCAATGCCGCCTGGGGTATCTGCAACGTACGTCCATCCCTCCTCGCACGCTTCTTTGTCTAATCCACATTCCATTCAGCACGCCTTCCACTTCCACTGCATATCCCGTTGGCTCAAGACACGAAATGTCTGCCCCCTCGACAACAGAGAGTGGGAACTCCAGAAGTACGACCCCTTGATTTCTTCTTCAATCCTGTACTGACCGTCTCTTCAGATACGGACGATGATCACCAGCACCGCACCAGTTACGTTTTTCCGCTTCCATTCGATTCACCCTTGTACGCTATCGCATGTAATATATCCATCGCCTTTGGCCCTGAAGATCGTGACCTCGTTCCTTGTCAAGCGCAAACCAGATTTGAGCCAATGGGAATATGGCGACTTGCATCTGAGTATTAGCCCATTCGCCGCCTGGTCGTTGGATCCTGACAGTGTCCCCTTCGTCGTGTCCCTTCAGCGACCTATTTGGCCGTCGTACTTTGGAGTCTGATCTCCCGGGCAGCGTCACATCACTCGAATCCAGATGCCTGAACAGTACAGCAAATATCGGAGTGGCCGTGGTCCCGCTTTCACTTCTACAACCTTGCCTCTTTGATAACGAATGTCGAGACCATCCTGGTGAAGGACTGGGGAGGCTCTTGAGGCACGTAGAGAAAAGAACACCGAACTAGTAGGTTGTTGAGTATACACCAGTCTGAGGAAAGATTAGGATCCACCCTGCGTTGCACTTGACGGATGTCAGTGGGCAAGCTTATAATCCAGGACGCACATCCAAGCTTCCTTCCAAGAATTCGCAGTGTATCTCGTAATTCCTAGCAAACTATTGATATTATCCGGTCAACGATAGGAAGAGAAACGAAAGAGTACGGGATGACATCATTCCCGATTGAGAAACTTTGACCATGACCACCACCGCCCCATCCACTTGGGAATTCTCCCAACAATTCACAGCCGAATTTCAGGCTTCACGAACTGGTACTCTCCCTCATCTCTTGAATTCACTAGCACACACCTAACTGAACTCACAGATCTCCAAAGCCGTCTAGCAGCAGCCCAAACAAACTCTACTCCACAAACCCTTCAAGATCTCTCATCTCGACTAGCCCGACTATCCAGATCTCTATCCGATGCTACAGGTTCACTACCAAGCTATGACCAGAAACTCTACGAAACTGTGCGCCCCTACCCCAACTTCTAAATGCAGCCCATCGTTAACCACGTTCTCCAAAGCAAGTGAAGCAGCTCGAGCGAGAGATCGAGGCTCTACGGACAAGTAGCACAGGCAAACCTCGTTTCTCTTTCAAACGCAAATCACCAGCCTCTTCCTCTGTGGCTGCTGCAGCAGTTGGAGCCGATCTTCCACCCCCAATCGCATCCCATTCTTCCATCCTCAGTCCACCGGTGAACGATGGCGGTTCGCAACCAACCCCTCTCGACTCAACCTCCACGCCATCCGGAAAGAACCTAACCCTCCAAGGCCACTCATCTCGCTACATCCTCCTCTCGGACCTCCCACTCTCCCCTTCATCATCCCAAACCCCCGATCTAACCATCTGCGACCTAACAAACTGCATCGTCAACCTACTTCCACACTTCAACGAAGGCTATTCTAACGACGACACTGATAAATCTAAAGACTCACCACCACTCTTTGGTGCATACCACATCCGCAACCTCACCAACTGCATCATCCTACTCCCATTCAGCCCTGGGAGCGCCCTAATCCACTCTTTAACGAACTGCGTATTAGTTTTGGGCAGCCACCAGGTTCGTACTACCCTTCAGGGTGCCCCTGACGCTACTCACAAAATCTCGACAGTTCCGAATGCACAACAGCCAACACGTCGACGTCTACCTCGACATAACTTCCAACCCCATCATCGAAGGATGCTCCTCAATCAGATTCGCGATGTACCCAGCCCGTCTGAACCCCGACTTGCTACGCAGATCCGTACGTTCCTTTCGACTGCCCCACCATTACGATTCCTTCGTGCGATCACCCAAGCTAATACCACGTCCTCTGTACAAACAGCCCCTCCCGCCCTTCACGATCCAAGACTTTTCTCACATTCGCAGCAGTCCTTCTCCCAACTTCTCGCTGATGGCGACCAAACTCGAGAACGAAGCTAAACCATGGCCCCTCCATAAACTCACCTCCAACGAAGAATTGGATAAGGGCTTGGCTGGTCTGTTGCCTCAACCTGGTGCACCAGTCGAATAGAAGTAGAGTGTATCTTATCAATTGTGGGATGTAGATCTGTAGAAATCATGCAGAATAACGTACAAAGTACATACCACAGTACATATCGACCGTAGTCCACCTTGGCATCACTCCCTCAACAGCACCGCATCGCCTCTCTGCTTCTGATCTGTTTTCAAACTCTCTCTACCTTGCAATTAAGCGCTGAGCGCCCATCTCAAGCCCGTTGATCATGGCAGTTGCTAAGTGTTTCCATCTAAACAATTTCCTCAAAACACGAGGCGACAATCGTAATACATACACAATGAAGCCGATCAACAAGAGGGCCATTCATCGCCGTGTCCTCAAAGATTTAAATATGCAACGCCTTCTGCTCCTCCAAGCTAAACCATTTCCCGCCCTTCATCCCGTCTACCACCCATTTCAAGGCGTTTAGGGTCACGAGCTCCGAGTCTGACGTTACGACCGCGACCCATCATATTCTCGTCTCTCTCTCCATAACCACTACCGCCCCGCAACCAAGAACCATGTCCGACGCAGATTGCGGCGCCTGTTGCGCACAATGTTGCGGGATCTTCGCTCTGTGCTCATTCGCCGCCTGCGCACCTTTCATGAACACAGGTACGTGCGGTCATCCAATTCCCTACCCTCGCTCACATCCTCTACACCTCACTCCCACAACTATTCCAACCCCACCACAACCTTGCGCTTGATCCCCACCTCCCCGCGCCCATCCAGTAACATGCGGCGCAAACGGCTGCTGCAACTCCAACACAACAGCAGGCTGCTGCAACTCATGCTTCAGCTCCAAATTCAACGAGGACAACTTTGAAGCTGAGCTCCAGCGGGACATGGAGAAAACGAGGGACCCCAACGCGCCGATACAACAAGGGCAGGGTTTTCAGAATGTTCAACCGGGTGCGACTGGGGGTATGATGGCTGAGAGGCCGTCGTCATAGCGTGCTTGTAAAGTGATTGCTGGGCGGCAAGGGACGCCGTACATTGGAGTACGGGGTCGGCTATGACCTCCACTTCGCTCAACGGCGTTCGAACCCCGTCGACTTTACAACCAACACTCACAACGACCACATGTTCGCCATTCCGTTCCCACTGGACACAATTACGAACTCGCACCTTACTCGCATCCCTCAACGCCCTTTTCCCGCTCCACCCCAAACGCTCTTCTTCCCTTCCCCACCGGACTTGGACTGGATCCATCACTTTCAGCTTATGACGATCACGACATAGGAAACACCATCCTTCGCACCATTCGCTTTCTTCATGTATCCTGGATATGAACGGACATACCTCGCCGTGTGTACTATAATACCACCTGCAATTGTATTATCTCTCCTCAATCTCGTGTCAGCCGGCATCCAGGGTGGGTCGGTGGAGGCCAGCGTGTAGTTACGCAAGAGAGCAGAGAAGTATGAAGGCACTATCCGTTTCGACCGGGCTTGACCATTGCTGTGTTGCGCTCCGGCCATTCAATCACACTTCCCTCTGACAAACGTCTGACATATCCATGAATGCATGACTCGTGGTATAGGCCTCCCAGCAACCGCACCTACGGCACCTCAGGCCTCAGGCCTCACAAGAAGCAAGGGAATACTTATGTCCATCTCACAACTTCCGGTCCCTGTATCCGGTCCTTCCTCAGTTCACGGAACCACACGTCAAAGTTCAATCTGTTCGCCCTCGTTCCTGCATCAGAATCAACGTACACACAGTATGACTTCATGATGACTCCTGCCTCGACGATACACCATGGAATCCGGGTCCACCGACGCAGTGCAACTTGCCGCAGTTCCGCAAGGCGGTACGGTACGACCGCGCGCGGCCAGTGGTATCGACCGACTATGACGTCACGCGTTCAACCGAGCCCATTGGCCAATTTCCCGTGCCCAGTGTCACCGAAGCGACAAGAACTCCTCTACATATTTGACCATCCTCTTCGGAAACACTTCTCCCAACGTATGTAGCCCGACTTTTGACCTAGAACAACGAGCAATGCGATACCCAGAACACCTCTACGGCCAAACACGGTCCGTTGAAAATCCCCTTTCTTACGTAAAGACCCAACCAAGGCGCGCAAATTGAAATATGCACAAAACTCTTTCCCCTGTACGTCCGTCAGCACCAGCTTCATCATGGCCGAGCCACTCAAATTGGGGCAATTTACCTTCTCCTATTCATACGCGACAACGACCCCAGCAAAGGTTTCCATTGGGCTCTCTACCACCACCGCCACGAACTGGGCGGGTATAAATTCAACGTGAAGCAGATGGGCTGCGGCTGGATCTGCGACAGTGCCGCTAACAACAACATAATGAACTCTTTCCTCTTGGCGGGAGCCCTTCGCATAGGCTACTGTCACCCGTCAGAGGCTAACGCACTCGAATGGATTGACCAAGTCAGCCTGGAGGAACCGCCCCCACCGTACCCAACTTTCACCTGCCGCACTTGGACGCTACATTGTATACGCGGTCTGGCGCAATGTGGCTTTGTCAAGTGTCACGACGTCGACGAATTGGAAGAAGAGGCGAAGAGATGGGGCATCAGCCATCACCAGACTGCCCAGGAAGCGCTTCAGCCCCGCCCTGTCGAAGGTTCGCGCACCTGCATAGTACTGTGAGGTGGGAGTTTTCATCTAGTCTCATTGCTATCGAGGCTAATTCAGACAGCTCCAGCTCGTCATTATATACGGAGATCACGCTTGCACATCGAGAATTTTTGATATAGTTTTTCCTCCTCCTATTTAACGGATTTCATCAATCCCACTCTCTATATTCCACAAGTTAAAAGTTTATTCTATTGTCACGCGTCTAGTTGATCCCCTCGTCCAACTTCCCCTGCCACCTTCCACCAATGTAACAAGAGATCTCATACTTACTTCAAGGTCATTCTCGTCGAAAACCCCTCGCTCAAACCGTGTTAGTCCAACTGGGACGCCCCAGTCGTCAACGAGACCCGCGAACGGTCCGCCGACATGTGCGTCAGAGGCTTTCCTCATGGACGTCACCGTTTTCAAGTATCGAAGGCACGAATCAACATGTGCCTCCTTCTTCCTGTCACTCTTACTATCGTCCAAGAACCCAAGGTTTGCCACCTGGCTATGGTTTCTCTACTCGGTGGACTTCCCTTTTCCCACCGCATCGGCCTAACCCATCGCGTCGGGCCTTTCTTCAACTACGCACAATTCCACGCACAGCCCTTTTCCGCCTACCTCATAGACGACGACGAAAGGCTCAAACAGATGGTCAAGGACTGACCAACCAAGCATCGCAGGATATGCGCATGCCTGACGCACCGGGACCTCCTCGCACATAAAATCCTCGCCGACGAGGACTCCAATAGTAATTCTGACTCCCGGGTGCACAACATGAAGACTGTGCCATTTCGATCTATGAAATTAATGTACATGTATACTATAAACAAGATGAATTGTACACCATCCGGATCTCTCACACTCAAATATGAATTTCGTCCTCGATCGCGATTGCCTGTGGAGGCTCAAATGAGTTGTTTAATACAGCACGGCACCAGATATGAGGACTTCTTCCAGGCCACGCTGCACACTCCTCTACTCTATGAGTCGATCCCTCCAATGCTGTGCAGTTTGCGCTTTCTACAGCCTTCAGACAAGAAGTAGTAACCACAAAGGGAGGCTTCTGAGGGTTCTCGGTGAAGGCATACACCTACACTCATACCCCACAGTGACCTATAAGATGCTGTACTCCTGTGTAGAAAGAAGATCACCGCCTCTATTTCTTCCGTCGCAACCTATCACTAGTATCCATCACCACCCTTTGGTCGCCATCTCCGAGTCCACCATCCGTGTCCCCGAAATGAAATGACCTACCTCGCTCGAAGGTCGTGGCTAGATGAAGAACAGACATGCGCAGTCTGTCCAATCAAAATCGTCATCATGACTGCGTTCCCTACACCCAAAGAACCTCCCAAAAGCAATCCCCTCAGACCCCCTCTCTGCTACACATCTCACAATTATCGATCACATATCAGCGTTTCAAATACGAGGATCGGAACACGCTCCTCGAACCCCCCACTTTCCCAACCACTTAGATGCCCGGTAAGCACAAGAGTAGGGGAAAAAATACTGTAGACAACAATAGAACAATAGCCTCCCTCCCAATCAATGATGCCGCCATCTTTCCAATTGGGCGCCAATCAACTCGCGCGCTGGAACCACTAAGCGCCCAAGAACTCATTAACTGCACCCGACTCAAAAATGTATCAACAAGCGGGCTAGGCCTCTTCAACGGCAGACCACCTCACATCATCTCGTTAGTAACCATGACTAGACTCTTCACTGACTAAAATCGACACCGACGCAGTCCTTACGCGGCCAACCAACCGCGTAAGCCTCTGCCACCGCCGTCCGCCCATCGATACCACCTCAAACAATACACTCCATCAACCCCGCCCACAATGTGCGTCAACAGCGGAAAATTCTTATCAAGATTCTTAGCTTGTTCCCAGAACAACACGGCCGATAGCTGTGACTCACCTCCCAGAAAAATCAAGAGCAAGAAACCAACAAACGCCCAATGGGCTATGACATCCCGTGGCATTCCTAGATCCATGGGTTGAGATTCTTCCCGTTTGGCCCGGAGTAGTCCACTCCAGGAACACCAATCCCACCAATCCAACCCCTTGAGCACATCTCAACAGTGAAGCGAGTGGAGGCTCGGTTACAAGCTCGGGATTACGAGTCCATTAGCCATCCAAAAGTCCTATAGCATCACACGTCTTCCTCAGAACCACGCGGCGAAGCTCGTGCTCGTCCAAACATCTCGATGCCCGGAAGCACCTCCTCCCCAACCCAAGAATCAGAACCAATCAACGATGATGATCGACCTCATTTCCCTGAGCCACAGGAAGTCAACGTGTACAAGCGCCTGAACAACCAACCAACCTATATTTGAACGTGACAAACAAAATCAGAAGAGAACAGAGAGAGGCGAGATCGATCTCGTCCTTCGGTACCGCACCCAGCAAATAAACAAGGTAATTCGCTGACTCGACTTGGTCCTTAATCTGGACGTGGGGTGTACCAATTCGACTAGATCTCGAATGTATCTAAATCTCAAGCGCCTGAATCTCGAACATTCGCACAAACCCCCTCCCCATCCTCCTATCCAGAAGTAATTCATATTCCGTCGCCATCCCGAGGAGAGAAAAACCCGTGTATCATTAGTCGATAAAAATCCAAGAAAGATCCAAGAAATGCGAGTAAAATACAAGTACATTATGACCAAGGTACAACGACAAAGCGGAGGAGATATATAGTACAGCGAAAGACAGTATTAGTAGAGAAGGGAGGTCATCACCGAGACAAGCAGTGTAATCGTGCATTAAAGAAAAGAAGCATGCGAAGCAGAGACGGGAGTACGATCATAACCGAATCTGGAGTGTCTACATGAGGAGTGTCCATGGGTATCTCGAGTAAAAAGCCCTGTGAATAAGGATAAAGAAGGGGATTGGGACGATGAATCTTGGCCTTGACCACCAGAGGCGTTTGTGGGGTGGTCGTGTGCGAAGCATTTGTAAGTCGAAAGTCGAATAATAATGCCCATCGCTACTTTTCAAATCAAAAACAATACAATGGAAGATCCTGGATTTCCCATTTACTGAGCGGCAATCGCGGACGTATTCGGCGCGATGTTGTTAACCGCCATCGTATTCTGAAGTCGTCCCGGAATCTTGGGCCATGTAACTGTCAACATTCCGTCTTGCAAAGCAGCTGTGACATCTGACTCCTGCGGATACCAAACATAGACAGCGTTAGTAAGAGTCATTCCGGCGTAACAGCAACCCTAGCGCGGACGCTAGATGGACAGAGGCTCACCTTGATGCCTGCAGGCACGGGGAGAGATCGATAGAAGGAGCCGAAGCGAAGTTCTTGGATTGCAACGTGAGAAGAGGTCGACTCGGACTCATCTCCAGCTGCGACATCGTCTGCTGCGGTCACTGGGTTGCGGGGAAGGGTCTTCTGCGACGCCAAAGCGCTCTGAATTGTCTGCGGGGCACGTCGCTCTCCAGTAACGATGAGGTTGCCCTCCCGGATTTGAAGGCTAATGTCGCTCGTCTTCACACCGGGGAGCTCGAATATAGCCGTCAACTTGTTCGCGCTTGTGTCATCGACTAGATCCATTCTAAAGGTAATCAGCAACGGTTAAAAATGTGTACGAACTATGAACATACCTTGGAGTAAATCTGGTAGGGATATTGGGATTGGGTTCTTGAACTAGGCGAATCTTTCCAGCTTTAAGTGCTTGAAGACACTTGTATTGTGCTGCCCGAAGCACTGCTCGCTGGAAAGCCGGACTCCGGGTCATGTCCAGACTGGAGTCAAACGTTGAACCGGATGGGAGAGTCGTCTTTGAGGACATTGTAAGATAGTAAGGAGAGAAGACTAAAGGTCTTGGGTTGGAGGCAGGGGCGCTTGGAGCTTGAGGTGGTGTACCCATTTCGACGGTATGTGCTTATATAGGGGCCTCGATCGGCAATGGCCGACTCACCTCGACTCACCTAGATTGGGCAAATTATGACATAATCAGAAATGAACGGAAAGAGGAACCGAGTCATCGTCGTTTTGAATCGGTGGATTCAGCTGTGGCAAGTATGATCCGTTGGGCTGTATAGGCCCCTCGGAGAGAAATATGGGGCCGGAAGGATCGTCCTCGAGGAGGCGGGTCAGAGGGCTGTGCGGGACCCACGATTGCGAGGGAGATGACAAACGCCGACTGGTTCGTCAGCGATAATTTGAATGACAAGACACAGGATTCGGTCGCCAGTCCCTTGTCTTTGACAAGTCTTCCAAATCACGGCGAGAGGGTTATGCGATTGGGGTCGGCCTGGTATGCCCATGAAACGACGGCCATAGTAAAGACGAGGAAGAGGTGAATGGATTGCTGCGGATGTGCGCCATTTCCGTGTTTGCGCAAATTGGCATAGCCTTTTGCGACAAGCATGCGCAAATAAAGCGGGCATAGCCGGCACATCGTTCAACGATTCGACTCCGTTCTGGCGCTTCTCGAGACTTCTAGCTTTTGCCTGGATATCCTGGGCAGAACTGGCCTGTACCCAACCTGTACGGTGTCCCTTCGACGTAAATCTTGTCATCCCAGTGGCATCCGCATCGTTCCCACCGGGGCATCGTGTTTTTACTACTCTCGACGAAAGTTCGCCGTTTACTCCCACTCCAAAATGCTTCCTTTGCTTGGACTGTGGATCAGGGGCTGATCTCAGGAAGTTGGAGTGCGTGTACAAGCTTGTGCAATTGGCTCTCCTGTCCGGGCTGCGCAGTAGAGCATTGCCTTCCTAGGAGCTATCTCCACAACCGTACATCACTGTCCAAGGACTGCAAGGATCGACAGATTCCTGCTTCACTTGGCGTTTCAACTGTTCCAACCTGTGTACCTCGCATAGTATCCGCAGTTGCCTGCCATTCTTTGGGGTTCATTGTCAACGGAAATCAATCGGAAGGTACTGGTACAAGCTCCCGGGGGAAACCTGCTTTGGGGGGTGGTGTTCACTCGCAGCACCAGGGCAAAGGGTGAGAGTAGAGAGCCGGGGTATGTCGGCCATTGTTTGCACATTCCATAACTCGATGTATAGCATAGAATAATTTTCATCTGAAACAACCCCCTGAAGTCATGGAGGCACCTGCGCCATAGCTCTCCAATGCTGTTAGAGTCCGTGGGGATGAGATGAGAAGCGCCCAAGTCTCGCAGCGCCCATCCACGGGAAGCGGCCCGGATGATGATCACATGACCTATCCGTGTTTGAACGCCGGGACCGTCATCGACGACGGCAAACGAGCAGTGGCTAGCTTCGACTCTGAGCTCAGCAATCAAAGGGCGTCTTTCTCATCGTACCCAAACCAACTTGTCTGTGACCCACGCGTATCTTCTCGTTTGAATCTCGTTGTTAGTGAGTTGGTCTTACGACAATGGCGACAGACGAACGTAGTAAGGTCGTCTTCGGTGAGTCAACGCGATCCTATGCAGTATCATTCCACAAACATTAACTGGTGGCCTCTGCTATTCGTAGTCGGCAATGTTCCCTACAATATGACCGAAGAACAGTTAATAGAGGTCTTTAAATCAGTTGGGCAAGTAGTAGGACTCAGGTCATTATCGCCATCCTGCATGCACAACTACAGAATCTTTAACGACCATTGCCACCATACAGACTAGTCTTCGACCGAGAAACTGGAAAGGCAAAAGGCTATGGATTCTGTGAATTCGCCGGTACACAATTCTCTGCTCAATCTCGCCGTCAAGAAACTTAGTCTGACTGAATTCACATCCGTGTATTTTTGGTGTCGCCACCTATCCTTTTTACTGCTTTAGATCACGAAACCGCGCAGTCCGCCGTTCGAAACCTTAACAACACCGACGTTGGCGGTCGTCCCCTACGAATCGATATCGCCGACTCTGACCCTTTCCTTGAAGGCAAGACAACAGTGAGAGGCGAAATCCTGGACGGCGGATACCCAGGTCCTTCAGAACCTCGGTCAGGTTGGCGTGGAGGAAGAAAAGACGACGTGTGGGCGCCACCGATACCTCCTGGTAAACCAGTACCGAAGGGAATGACAACTCTCGACGCAATAAGCCAGACACTGGCGGGTATGCCCCCTAGCCAACTCCTTGAAGTACTGGCGCAAATGAAGGTGCGATATCCACATCTTCACATCTCCGTCGTTATCTGATATCGTTCTAGTCTTTCACCATCGCCCACCCCGAACAAGCCAAGCAACTATTCCAAAAGCAACCCCAACTGTCCTACGCACTCTTCCAAGCGCTACTCCTTAACAATATCCTCCCGCCCGAAACAATATACAAGATGCACGCTGGAACGTCAGCAGGATCAGGTCCCTCGAACGTCGCAGGTGCTCCGCCAGGCTCAGCAGCCCTGGCACCCACACCTGCTCCACACGCCCGACCCCCACCCCACATCCCAGCGCAACACCCGCCTCCTTTCGCTCCTCAGCATCCTGTACCCCCTTTCCCGCCCACTGGCCAACAACCACAGTCCATGGCACCACCACCTGTTGCAGGATACGCTGCCGCACCAGGCTACTACCGTGGAACGCCTGTTCAACCTCAAGCTCCCGTGCCTCCAGCAGCAGCAGCAGCACCTCCAGCCACAACAGCACCAGCGGCCCAACCTGCTAATGTCGCAGCCGCGGCAGCCGGTATTGATGACAGCCAGCGGGTGAGTATATTCGTAGCTTCTGCTCAGTCAATGTACTCACACTCAGGTAGGATATGCTCATGTACGTTCTGAACATGAGCCAGGAGGCAATCAATGCTCTCCCTGAACAACAGCGCGCCTCGATCATGCAACTGGTGCGTCCATCTCCTCTCGCTGCGCCTTATTCAGACTGACCTCTCCCTCTTAGCGTAATCAATTCATGCCAGGTGTCGCGCCTCCGAGCTAAAGCAGCATTACCGGAATGTTCAACGTTCAACTGCATATTTCACTGAACAAAAGCCTGGCCATGCATCCTGCATTTGTCCATACAAACGCAGCATACATACGAGGTCCAGAGTCAGACCTGCTTACAATTAAACTCGGGGATTACGGATACCACCCGCCACTCTACTTTACAGATTCACAGGATACCGACATCTAATCACTTGAAACTCTCACCTTTCGTCTGCACATACTTCATAGATTGTACATTGGCTCTGAATCACAAACCGTTCGCATATCCGCCTGTCAGCCTCTTTTCTCAAGTCCGCCATCCAAGCGCCATTGTCAGCACTGGCCGAGCCGTCCTTGAAGGATACCGAATGTGCGCGCCATGAAACAAGGTGGCGATCATGATGATGGGAGCGCTCTGGTCCCTGGAAGATTCCTTCCCGATGGACGACAGGCTTTCACACTGATAGGAACTTGACATTGGCGTTGGCCATGAGACTAATAGTAATTGCGGAAAACTGAATTGTTAAATAAATATATAGGACACGTGAAACTTGATACTGGTTGGTGATGCCAATCCGGTGACCACATAAATTAGAGAGGTGCTTTAAAAGTTAGGGTCCTTGGTGGCTCTAATACGAACCAGCTTTCTACGATCAGCACCCGTGGTGGGTACGTGGTACCCTCTTGCTTCACTCTTCCTGACAGCCTCCCTCAGCATTGCGGTAAACCTTTCCTTCGTAAAGTCTGCCCGCTGAGCTCTCTCATACTGCACCTTTTTAAAGAACCCTGGCCAATTACTGACCTCATAGATATCCTTGATCTCCGCGGCCATTAGATCTGGGAGTTCCTTGACCGCAAATCCATAGTTCTGGTCGAGAGCTTGGATGCCAATGGCGCGATAGGTGCGGACGAACAGGTCTAGGAAGGTGACTTGGAACATCATAAGTCGGAGGCTGGTCTTGGATCTGGCAAAGGTCGCGTCCAGTCGATACGGGCTTGCCCCTGAATGTTCCAAGATCTCCAGCTCTGGAGAGTCTCGGAGGACCCAGCGAACATTGCGAATGATCACCTCTTCAAGGATGGGACCATTCATCATGCTCCAGGTTGGGCTATTAGACTCGCCAGGCGGGGACATGATCAACACAAAGGCCACCACCGCGATGAGCTCACCCATGTCAGGCTCAGAGTCTTTGGTTCGGTTATCGGGAGATGCCAGGAACCGTTGCAGGCGGGCGACAGCATCATTCAAGATGATAGGCTTATCGCCTGCCATGGAGATTAGGAGGTGCATGAGATGGCAGTAGTAGACGATGGCCCTTCCTGCAGTCATTTGTAATTTTCCGAAATTGTCGTCGGTTGACTCGGTCTTAAAGGCTTCATCACGGGAGGCCACCAGTTCCGTGACGATGTTGTTCATCATCTTGTAAACGACTCTGACGGCGTCTGCAGGCCCCTTTGGCGTTGGGACAATCCTCGGTCGACTAGTGTTGGTCGCATGTCCTCCCCGTCCTCGACCACGACCTCTCGCAGGTCCATGGTCATTCCTGCGAACGAGCCTGTTCTCAGCCTCCCGCACAGTACTAGCAATTTGCAGTAGACGCGTCAATGTCTCTTCCTTTGCTCGGTCGAAGTGGGACGGACGGAATGCCAACGGAAGAAAGAATTCTTTCAACTTGCTTGTCTGGGGCATCCCTGAACTCTGGACACTCTTCGTGGCCTCGTATTTGTCATACGCCTCCATACTGACCCATTCAAAGTCTGAAGACAGAATGCGCTTCTGAGGGTTGAAAGTGACGCTGATACCCAGGATTGATTCGTTTAACTGCGTTTTGAGGAAAGAGCAGTGCATATCTCTCTTCAGCAGAATGCAATGGGCATTGGCCAAGGCATGGAAGCGAGGATATGCCTGTCCAAAGGCGATGACGGACTCCCTGGTGAGGTTGGCAGCGATCTCCAAGAGCACATCGTCGTTGACCTCGTCGAGAATGAATCGGGATGTCGGAAGACCGGCCACCAGCGACACAGTCGGATCGACCTTCCTTTTCTGGGCTGTCTTCCGTTGAACATGTGGCAGAGCATCGGATCCGTACGGGCATTTGCTGCAGGTCCATGTCGAGATGTTCTTCAAAGTCGAAATGTACCGACGATTGAGCATCTCCAATTTATGGACCTGCTCGGACCTCGGGATGCCCTTCTTTGCTTTGTGGGTGACAATGTCTCCTTTGGAGATCCTGATAGTTCTGACCACCGTTTCCTCTCCCGGATTTGCTTCGTATCGGGCCTTCAGCGTTGCCTGGGTGCCGCCAGAAGCGAGACGACAATTGCATCTTTCCCGATTCTTTGCGTGACAGCAAAGCTCCCAGGGATTCGACAACGAAATGTACTTGTCCTCGACATAGGTGGTGACAATGTGGTCGCCTAACCAAACCGGGCGACCGCCATAGTTCCGCTCAGTAGTACTCGTGCAGGAGAGCAGAGCTAACAATCGCTGGATGAGACCTCGAAGCGTCAGGGCGTCAGTGTATCTAGAAACGTTATGGTTAGCCCTAGTCGACGGACGGGTTAATATTGAGGAAATACTTACACTCCAGAGTAGCCGTGGTGGCGGAGGTAATCCCGGGACCAATGGAGCTGATCGAAATATATGGTTCTACCGTGTGAAAGGTTAGGATGGTCTATCTCTCTACTGGCGCATACTCTAGGAGATGACGATGGCTGCGAGTATCCAATCAGCAACTCCCAATGGCTATACAGATAGACATCGAAATGGAGGTTCAATCCGGTCAAGGGTCCAGCCTGAGGGGTCAATACCAAACAGAACCTTCTGATTTCGACATCGTCAACATCGTCAATAAAGACAGTAACGCCGGGCGAAGGCTCTTCCAGTAGTTCCGTCAACTCACGGTTGAGACGGGCGAGGGGATGGCCAGAAACGTTGAGCTGGGGTGACATGGAGAGTAGCGACGGGAGTTCTTGTTCCCTCACAGCCTGTGGTGCTTGACTTTATATATACGATGCCGCAAAGGTCAATGCGGCTCCGCGCCGTCACGAGGCTGCCCTGGTTACGATGGAGACACGACCCGCGCTTGGACACTTGGAGACGTGCAAAGGTACACAAATGAGAAGAGACCATTAAGCCGGGACAACGTTGAACGTTGCCATCGGATCGGCGTCGCGACCAAGTTTGGACCAAGTTCAAGTTGCGACTCGGGAGCTTTTGTCATAGAGAAGTCATGTGTTCTCAGGCAAGCCCATACACCGATTAATGTCGTTTCACAGAGTCCACCGTATCACCATTGACTTCATGATGCTGAACTTGACTAAGGAGCAGAAATTACGACCACCAAAAATTAGCAGCCCTAAATACAGCTAGCCGAGTTCTACTGCAGTAAATAATAAAATGTCTAAGGGTAGTCGAAGACTAGTTAAAGTCTCGATCCAATCTACGCCTAATGTCGACCAACTCTGCCCTGCGACTGGCATCTCTGGTAGCGGTATGATACCCCCTCCTCTCACTCGACCGTACAGCATCCCTCAACATCCCAGTAAACCTCTCCTTCGTAAAGTCCGCCGCCTGTGCCCTAGCGTACTGCACTTTCCCAAAGAAGTGCAACCAACTACCAACTGTATAGATATCCTTGATTTCAATGACCATCAACTCGGGAAGTTCTTTCACAGAAAAACCGTAATTCTCGTCAAGAGCCTGAACACCAACAGTCCGATAGGCTTGGAGAAACAGGTCCAGGAACGTCACTTGGAACATCAGGAGCCGGAGGCTGGTTTTCGACCTGATAAAAGTTGTTTCCAGGCGATATGTGCTTGCCCCGAAAGGTTCCAAGACCTCCAGTTCTGGAGAATCTCGGAGGACCCAGCGAACGTTGCGGATGATCGCTTCTTCTAGGAAAGAACCATTCAACATGCTCCAGTTGGGGATATTGGGATCGTTTGGTGGAGACATGATCAACACAAAAGTCATCACCACAATGAGCTCGCCCATGTCGGGCTCGGACGTTTTCGTTCGATTGTCACGAGATGCGAGGAACCGTTGGAGGCGGGAGACGGCATCGCGCAGAATGACGGGGGACGAGCGGGCCAGGCAAATGAGGAGATGCATCAGATGGCAGTAAGAGATGATAGCCTTTTCCGAAGCCATGAGCAACCCTCTGCTATCGAAACGATGGCGTGAAAGGGTGATGATGGCATCATCGCAAGATTTCATGAGTGCCGTGACAATGTTGTTCATCATTTTGTAGATGACTCGCACAACGTCCTGAGGGTTCTTTGGTTCTGGGACGTCGATGGCGGGACGTGTCGCAGTTACTCTGCCTCCTCCACCGCGACCGCGACCACGGCCACGCCCTCGACCGTAACCACGCCCCCTCGCAGACGCTTGATCTTCCCTTTTGGCCAAGTTGGATTCTGTCTCCCGAATAGCACCGTCAATCTGTCCCAGACGTTTCCAAATCTCCACCCTAGCCCGCTCAAAGTGAGATGGACTGAACGCCAGCGGCAGGAAGAACCCAAAGTCGCGCTTCTCGATACTCTTCCTGACCTTGTGCACGTCGAACGCCTCCATGCTGAGCCAGTCAAAGTCAGACGACAATGTGCGTGGCCCAGGATTGAAGGCAATGCCAATTCCGAGGATTCCATCGTGCAGCTGGGTTTTGAGGAAGAAGCAGCGAACCTCTCTCTGGAGGAGGATACGATACATCGTGGCCAAGGAATAGAAGCGAGGATATGCCTGCCCAAGGGCTATGACGGACTCGGAGGTGAGATGGTTGGAGAGCTCCAGGAGCACATCGTCGTTGATTTCGTCGAGAATAGACCGGGATGGAGGGGTGGTTAACAACGACGCGACCTGAGGTTGGGTTACGCGAGGTTGTTGCGACTGAAGGTGTGGTAGGGCACTGGATCCATATGGGCATTTGCTGCAAGTCCACTTCGAGATATGCTTCAGAGTTGAAGTGTACCGAGGATTGGTCATCTCGAATTTATGGATCTGCTCGAACCTCGGCGTGTTTTTCTTGGCCATGTGGATGACCGTCTCCCATTTTGCGGTCTGAATCGTTTCCAGTACGATCTCCTCTCGTGGGTTTGCTTCGTATCGTGCCTTCAGTTCCGCCTGGGTTCCATGCGAGGGACGACATCCACAACCTAAATCCATTGCCACCCAGCAACAAGGTTCCCAGGGGTTCGCCGTCGACATGTACCTGTCTTCTACATAGTTGGTGACAATCCGGTCCCCAATCCAAACGGATCCCCCATAGTCCTGTTCGATGCTCGTGCTCGAGAAGAAGGTCAGAAACTGTAGGAAAAGACCGCGAAGCGTCAGGGCAGGGGTGTATCTAGAAACATGTTTAGCCTGGTAGGTAATAGAGAAATGGATGATGCACCCACCCTCCAGTATATCCGCGCTCGAGGTAGTGCGGGAGTTTGAGCAGGTCGCAGCAGATGTAGCCATTTCCAAAGAGGTTAGGGTGGTCAATCCCATTCACACTAGTGGAGACTTGAGGAGGTTGGGATGGCTACGGACATTGATTAAGTGATGCACTAGCTTGAAATTTGTACGACGTACCCAATCCTCCGGCAGCACGACATCGAAATGGAGGTTCAATCCGGTCCAGGGTCCAGCTGGAGGGGTCAACACCAAACAGAACTTCCGAATGTCAGCATCGTCAGTGAAGACGGCGACACCGGGGTAGGGCTGTTCCAGCAGCTCTGCCAGGTCACGGTGGAGGCGGGCGAGGAGACGTCGGGAGACGTCGGTCGGTGCTGGCATGGCGCAGAGTGTTGAGAGCGGGGTGAGGAGCCCCTCCCTTGGTTCATACACCGCCCAGGCGTGCAGGTTTTGTACTCAGCTAATGCAGATCAGGGCACCTGTCTCTCGGAACCGCCGAAATTATAGTGGGCGTTTGTTCCCGAGTCATGTCGCAACTAGTCATGATGGAGTCAAAGGCAACCATGGAAGGGTCCGCATGCAACTGTGTCACTACATAGGGGCATCAAAAACATTTCTGTCTCGAGGAAGTCGGCATTCAGCTAAGGATAGACAAAGGCAAGCAAGCACTACATTCCTCTCAATTCAAAAATCCCAAATTCCTGTTGTCATTCCCTAGCATAAGGAAGTAGATCCCCGTGTATATAGTAACTGTAATTGAGTTAGAGTATCGCCCGAAATTAAATCCACATGGCACAAAGAAACATTCATCGCCCTGGCATCAGATCCTCAGCCCTACTCAACGAAACCACCAACACTCCGAACACCCTCCACAAGTCTCCTGTACTCTCTCAACAACTCTCCGACCTCTGAAAGTCTCAACTCGGAAGCAGGTGTTGTAAGGAAATAAGGATTGGGAGGTGCAAGTCGAAGGACAGGGTGTGCTTGATGTTGGGGTGGGGGTAGAGATCGAGGGTCGGGGTGGGATTGCGCTCGCATACCGGGATGTTGGTGCTGCAGACCAGGAGAAGTAGCTCGTGGAGGGTACCATGGTTGAGGAGACAAAGATCTCGGGATAGGACTTGGTGAGCGCGACGAAACAGGACTTTGACTGGGACTCGGCGACCTCCCTGTTGACGCCGAAGGAAGTAGAAGCGACGGGTCTGAAGCCTAAGAAAATGGACATTAGCGTCAGTACAGCAGCGAGGTGCGAGGCGGTATACCTTGAGATTCGAAGAAACTCTGGCCAGTCGATCCGAAAGACTCGTCCTTGGGGGCCGGTTGGTCTCACTAGGAGAATTGGTGGAAGGCACGGCCGTTGCCAGGCCACTTTCATCTACACCGGCGTCTTCATTGTTCTTCGACCGCTTCTTTTTCTTCCTCTCCCTCTCTTTCGCCTTCTCAGCCCTAACCATACTCTCAAAGCTCTGGAAACTAGCGGTGCTGCGCTTGGTCGATATCGCTCCAGCCCTTCCTTCAGCCTCTCCTTCCTCCTCACTATCGTTATCCTCCTCCGACCCTGAGTCAGAACCGCTTCCACTGTCCTCGTCGTCATCCTCCGAATCATCCGAACCGGTGTAGCTGGCGCTGCTGCTCCCCGCACTCCCGCCAACCCGAATCCTAAGCCCCTTCAAACCCTTGATCGAACTCTTGGACTTCACAGAGCTCCTGCTCTTGACAGAAGCAGGCCTTGAAACGCTAACCAATTGCTGTCCTTCCTCTCCTCCCACACTGGACGAAGCCCTCGATCTTGATGGTATAGGAATGGATATCGGAATCGACGAAGTGAGCGAGGACAACGAGAACCCTCCTGAAGGGGTGGATTGATTTGGAACCGATGACGAGAGTGGCGGATATTGGCCCGTAGTGGAAGTAGGGGACGTAGACATTGGAGCGTCTCTCCGCAGCAGGTTCCCAAACACTGGTTTCGAAGGGGGTTTCTCTGCGCCAGGTGTAGTCGGTCTCGAACTCCCTCCTGAAGGACCATGACCATGATGTCCCCCTTCCACCGAGTGATTTCCCAACCCCTGCTCCTTCTGTCCCGGGAGGAACGGGAACGCCCGCAAGATACCAAACGACGAATCCACGACCCCACTGATCACCTTGTTCGCTGAATCCGCGATGGCGTCCACCTGCTGGTCGATCTTGTTCCTTAGTCCTCCGTGCGTACTGCCGAGCGCGAGAATAGGATGGTGGGGAGACGTAGGCGTCGAGCTTCTTGAAGAAAGTGAGAAGGAGCTCCTCCTCGAAGATGGGGTACCAGCTAGAATACCCCCGCCTTCTGCACCCTCTGCACTCAGACCCAGAGATTCAAGGTCCACGTTGACCAAGAATTCGGCAACCGCCATGAGGTTGATCAAGCAATAGCTCTCTTCTCCCGTACGAGTGGACGAAGGCACCCGATAGCGTTGGACGAAGTAGAGGTTCGAAAAGAGGTTCGGAGGGTTGGAGCAGACGACGGAGAAGATTAAGAGTGGGAAGAGAGTGTCACCCGATATAGGCGTGGGTTCAGAGGGCTGTTTGGGTTTTGGCGCCTCGGACACCTTTTCAAGAACGGGCTCGGATCTTGTGGGTGGTGGGGGAGAGGGCGGCAAAGGTGGAAGAGGCGACTCAGACCTACGCCTCCTCTCCTCCTGGGACGCAAATTCTGCAGGAAGCGGCGTCGAAAGCGGCAATGGAGAAGGAATATTCCGACTGTCTGTTGAGGACATCCTGGTCATGGACGCAACTGTCGGAGTTTTCTCGTCTTCATAGCCGTATCCGGCCTCCACTTCCCTCGGTATCGATTGTGAAGAGGTCGACCTCATCATATTGATATGGCCCAGCTGAGGTTCCGACGGCTTTTTCTCCAGTGGCTTCGGTGGTGGCAGCGGCGAATGAGACTGGGCATCAGAGGCTGGTTTCAATCGTATCGGCGGCAGGCGAGATAAGCCGTCGACGAGGACTTTATGGGCGGCTACCATCACCGCAGCTTTGTCCGCTGGACACCTGCACGAATCTAGTTGGCTAAGCACTGTGGAAGGGTTAGATCGTGAAGAGACTGAAACTGGGCAGAATCACTGACTATCTCCGCAAGCTCTCACCACGGCATTCAACTCTGGCTTGATCTCCTCGTCGACGATGACGTCCAGGTGCTCTAAACTGAGGTCTAGTTTGTTAAGCGAAGATATCCGAGAAGAAAGAACAGCGTCTGGGGATGGCGGAGGAATGGGCTCGGAGGTCGGCGCTTGGATAAACAGGCTAAAGACCGGCGGATCAGTAGTAGTTTGAATAGAGAGAAGGACGCATACCGATCGTAAAACAAAGCGGATATTGCCCTTTCCACTGCCTCCATGACATCCATCAACCTCGTTTCTAAATCCTCCTCCTGCTCTTCTTGTTTCTCCTTGACCGACTTTTCGTCATCCGCATCCGATTGCGAATGCAACGAAGACGTCGACGCACTCTTCTTAACCAATGCAGACGAAGTTCTAAGATCCTGTTCCAGCGTTGAGAAGAATTCCTGCACCCAATCCGCCACTGCATCTGGGTTCCCCTCGCACGGATTGACCTCGTACTCCTTGTCCTTCACCTGCTTCTCTGGATGCTTCAAGCTCTCCAGAGTCTTCCTGGTCGCACTCCCAGGCGGCTTCCGGACGAACGGCATCCAACCGCTCGTAAACTCGCTCACGCGATCGATGACCCAATCCTCCACTCCCGCAGACGACAGCATCTCGCGGAGCTCTGATCTAAGAGTCTTGTTGATCGCTTTCGAAATGACGGGAAAGACTAGCTGGTGAGAAGTGGTTTGGATAGTGATTTCGATGGGGGCGTCCGAGTTTGACTCGATGCTTAGGAGTGAAGCCGGTGGAGATGGTGGAATAGGTGCTGGCGTGACCTTCGGTGATGCTCCGAATAGCGAAGCAAACGGATTGCCGATGATTCGACTGTTAGGGTTCGAAGGTCGTGGTCGAGGTGGTAGAGGAGGTTTCGTCGGGGGCGTCGCGCGAGGTGGAAGTGGTAGCACTGTCGGTGGCGATTGAACCAGCACCTTGGGATACGAATTCGTAAAGTGGGGAAGGGGCGGTAACCTCGTGAATGTCGCTGAACGTGTATTGGGATTGACCAAATCACCAAAAAGCCTTGAAGTAGGCGAAAGAGACGACCTGAACGTGAGAGTTTCGCCTTTCAGCTGGCCCCTCAAGCCCGAAAGCGTTACGACTTCTGAGTGGGACGAGAAGTAGATATGGTCCCTTATAAATTCGCTGGTGATTTTGTCTGTCGACGATGCTGGTTCCAATGGGAGAAACAGGCCAGCCTGATTTCAGTTAGCCTAGACCAATAGGATGGAACTCAAATAATACCTTGCCGGTCGTAAGAATCTCAGCCCACTCGTCGTCCTCCTGGAGCTTTTCGAGGATCGCCCAGCCAATGGTACTGCTATCGAGCCCTACATTCTGTGCTGCAGCCTTAAGGTGCATCAATTGTAGTTTGGTGGTCGCATTGATGTTGGTTTGCCCGGGCGATGTTGGGTGGACTGTAGTCGTTGTCGTCGCTGCTGGTGTACCACGCTGCCGGGGAGTATAGGGCACATATTTCGCAGCGTTTGGATCGAGAGGGTGAGCTGCTGTCCCCGTCGCCCTGGATAGCGAACTCATGTCCGAGTGCAGAAATGCAAACTATGGGACTGGCGAACGATCCCGATTCTAGCTGTAGAAACCTGCTTGGACTTGCGAGTCGCTCGTCACTCTGGGTAGTTGATCTCCCTATCCTTGACGTTGGCGTGCTTTGACCGGGAATTGGGTATCGATTGAGCCGAGCCTGCCTCTGGGCGTCGCCAGCCGTTGGATCGTCGACCGATTGGCGTCGTTCGTGGTGGTCGTTGGCGAACCGGTCGCGTCGGCATTGCCCCACTTGGAACGTGCTGCGGCCCGCTGTTCGCTTCACTGTTTGGTCTTATTGTCCATGCCCTTTGATAGACGCCGCGCTCGCACCCGACAGGCGCGCGGGAGAGACGCTTGAACGCCCCTTCTGCAGACAATGAATGCAAACGAGAGTCTCTCATTGATGACAGTGGAAACAGTTGTTTATGAAAGGGCTTCCAGAGCCGTAATATTCTTCTGGTACAACATTAAATACAGCAATGAGGGAGTATGAAAGTCCGCGTGATGTGAAGTAAAATACATGTGAACAAGTAACAAAAGAATTACAGTATGTGCGTGCTCGAATCCTATTAATCCAAACCGTGGCCAAGAGTCAATTCAGTCATGAGGATAGAAATGAAGATACAAGTCGAGTCGTAAGAAGAAAGAAAGGAGAATGTACAGATAGAGGATCGTGTGCGTGTGTTGGAATCCTATTCAAATTGTAAACAAGAAAGAAAGAAAGAAATTCATAAATCCAAGGCCGTTAAGTCGTCGAAAAGGCCCTTCGTCATCACCCGATTTCTTGAGTCTACGCCTCTTCGGGAGCGTCGTCGTCTTCATTGTCAGTGGCTTCAGGTTCGGCAAGGACAATTCCTCCATTGCCAGCATCGGTCAAAGCGCCGTCCTCCACCACCTCCGCCTCCTCAGTGGCATTATCGACCGCGTCAATGGGGTCGGCTTTGCCGCGGTTTGCGGCCCTCTCGAGTTCTTCTTCGGCATCCTCCTGCTCGGCGTACTCGTCGCTTTTCTTGATCATGGCGTCGACCCTTTCCAATCGCTCTCTCTTGTACCAAGGAAGATCTTTCTCGTCCACTTCCTCCTCTTCCTTCTCCTCTTCTTCCTCTTCCTCCTCATCAATTCGGTCATCGGAAGAGCGCCAGTCCCCAAATCCATCGCTACTAAAATCGAAATCGGACCAAGACGAATCGCCATTCAGCGTGGGTGCAGGTTTGCTGACGACGGGGCGGGGTTCGGTGCGTCGTCGCTTCTTGGGTGGCAGAGGTTCTGGGACATAGTAATCGTCGCTCGGGGGACCGTCACAAAGGAGGGCACCCCATCCGTGGATTTGAGAGGGAGGGTAGCCGTGTTGACGAGATACGACGAAGCGCTTGTCGATGCTGTAGATCGTGTCGGATGCTTCGACTGTGTCGTGGTTTCGTTTGAGGGATCCCTTTGCCTTTGGAGTAGTGAATTGGTTGTCGCTGGTGTCACCAGCGTCGGTGGCGGAAGCGGTAGATGGCGCGCTCGTGAGGCGACGAGGAGTTTTTGGAGTAGTTTGGGACATCGCTCGTCAATGGGTGGGTGTAGTGGGTTGTGTTATAGACTGTGGATTGTTGGAGGATGTTTCGACCAAGAGAGAGAGAAGATGGATGGTTGAGGTTGATGATTGAGTTATGAAAACGGTCGCCGAACACGTTTTAAAGCCCATTGTCCATGATCTCGTTAAATTCCCTACAGGGGATTTTTTCCCGCGCTCGGTCGCCATCAAGGTCCACATACGGCGTGACGGTTACAAATAGCCTAGTCACTCTTCAGACACCCAAGAATGCAGCGGTGTGGTGTATGAGGAAGTGGATAGCGGCCTGCCTCCGTGTAGGACCATCGACCTTGAAAACGGCTGAGAGGGATCGGTTGACAGAAGTTGACCAGTGGCGTCAAGTAAGGTGCGCGTCATTGCGGCTTTGAGACACTCGCATTGTCATATTTAGCTTGTTGCCTAAGATGAAGCTCCCCCGAAACGCGATCATAGACAATACGCTGCCCAACAGCCGGGTCCTATCTCCCAAGGTCAGTGCGGCGTGTTCAGCGCCAGAAATCGTTGCAATGACAGACTCCCAGAGCCTGTGGCACACGTTCATAGTGTAGATGAGGTTATATCCTGCATACATAGCCTCCAAGTTTGGCCCGAATTCCCATTTCGCCAGAATTTCTGCACTTCGCTTTCACGAAGTCGTCGGGGGAAGCGGAGAGATTGCCCGAATTGGAGAAAGCCCCTAACTTCGCATAATCCGCAAATGCCAAAGACAGCCGAGTCCGAACGAAGCGGAGGTGACGGTGAAAGTCGAGAACACTGGCAGAGAGCGCTGATCTATGTCTGCAAGTTGCCCCTCCTGGCCCATGGTGAAGTCGAGATCTACAGCCAAGACAAGAAAGCTGTCGAGAAATTTGCACCTTGGTCTACGGTGTCGTAGTTGGTCCAGATAGTCCGTCGTTGGTGAGGGTGGTTTGTTTTGCGTAGCGAACGGCAGTTGATTCACCAACTTGAAAGGTTCTACAGGCTCTAGATCTATAGGAATTGGTGCTCCCGGCGCGAAAGATCCTCGAGTCTACTTGAACTGCTTGGGTCAGAAAGTAGGGTCGATCGTATAGGTAGGCTGCAGGCTCCAGAGTATCGCTCGTCGTTAACATGGATAGGACCAAAGCACTCTGGTTTTCTTTCCACGGTGGCGACCATTGGGATGGAGAGTATACGGCTCAGCCCTCAGAGAAGGAAGCAGACGCGCTGAGATGCCTGCAAGGATCGATTTTGGTCGTGCCAAACAAATCGGAAAAGCGCGGCGGCACTGTTGCTCGGCCCGTCCCAGGCTCGATGAGTTCACACCAACCTTGGCCATTGGCTTGCGGATTCGGACTACCCGTGCAAATCAAATGCGACAGTACTCTGGAAAACTCGTGTCTATGATTCAGACCTTTCAGGTTATCCTAGTACCCTCGCCTCCTCGTTCGATTCGCGTTCGACTCCGCCCAACGCACAAAATGATCACCACGCATCCCCGACCAGTAAAGATCCTCACTGTCCCCAAGGCGCCCACATAAAGAAAACAACAAATGAAAGCGAAGCTGAAGAGGCATATGGGACTCTGACTGCCAGCTCAACACCAGACGCATCCTCGTTACCCTCCCTGGTGGGTTCAAACACGAACCTACTGAGTCTGCGTCTATCCAAAGATTCAATGCCTCTGACATTCCTTCCTGCATGTCCAAGGCGGGGCTGCATTCTGGCTCTTGATGACCCAATGGACTGGTCCCTGTTTTCGTCACTCTGCTCATCTTGCTGTCCAAAGCGAAGCCGTGGCTCGACTCTGCCGACGCACCAGTAACGATGCAACTGCCCGGAAAACTCGCCCTACTTTCCCTCCGTGGAATTTCTGAACATTTGACAGATTGGAGGGCCTGCCACGGTTCTGGGAGGGACACCTACCTGCCCTGCAGAGTGATAAGTCGTGGCTGGTATGTCATTCAAATCCTCCTCAACCCATAATATATTCACTGTTCTCATAGAATAACGTCCATACTGAGGGAAAATATGACGTTTCAGACGTGATACGAGTACACTTAGACATGGTGGTCCTGGATATCGACGATGAGGTTGCCGTTGCCCCAGGCGGCGTTGTTACCTGCAAGTAATAGAGGTGAGAGCCGGAAAGAAGCTCAGACATCTAATTTACGCTTACCATTGAGCTGGTTATTGCTGTTCTTGCAGTGTGTGAGGACCCAGAGACCACCTCGAGCGACGTCTCGGCTGCGTAAGGAGACAGAGTTAGCACCGTCAAACGAAATAATGGAAGGCCAAACAAACCAGTAGGAGGACCCATGATCGACGCATGTGCCAGCGAGGCACGTTCCCGTCCAGAAGGCGCCGAGGGCCTGACAGAAGGTGGTTTTGGCAAGCCAGTTGGGATTTTGGGTGTTGAAGGGGACGACACATGGGGTGGTACCGAGAGAGTCGAGGTAGTTGTAGCACGCAAGGGCACCGGCATATGGCACCAGGCCACTGGTGCGGCATGTGGGGCTCCAGCGCTTGGTCAAGCCACCGTATTCAGCTATGTAAGTCCGGCATCAAAACGCTGGAAAACGACTATGGAAAAGGAGTATGCTGACCTTCGATGGATTGCAGCACTTCTTCAGGGATAGGCTTGTATAGGTCCTCCTTGGTCATTCCTAACTCTTCGAGAGACGGGAGGCCAGAGCCGGGAACAAAATCCTCGACGTCGGCGGGCAATGCGACGACTGCAGTGGCAGCGACAAAAGCGAGAGCAAGGGTCTTGAAGAGAGAAGACATGGTGGAAACGTAGTAGTGAACCGGAGCGATGCGGATGGAACTGAAGAATGTCCGCTCCAGCAGAAGAGTTTTTATACCTTTCGATCACGACCACAGTCACATTCGGCCGGCTTTGCTGCATAGACCCCGTTGGCATTGCACGGGTACCACTGAGAATTCACGTATTCATCAGGCGACCTCATCTGAGCCACCAAAGCATACATACCATCTATTCCCCCGCTGTCAGTGTTTCCAGAGGGAGAGCGAGACTTGTTCTTTGTCATATTCAACTTGAACGCCAAAGTCGCCGAACCTAATCTCCATTGGGAGACTGGGCGCTGCACGCGCGCCACAAGCCCGGGCGCTATGGCTGTCATCTGAAAGGCAGGGAGACTCGACTGTAAAATGATGATGTATGATATTCCAATAAGAGCAAGAGCAACATACGTAGGTACGCGTATGTAGTAGCGTTCTTTGACATCGGTCTAACTTGATCGAGAGGGCCCCTTCCTCCGAGCTCTACTTCAGCTCCACCTGTCTTGACCTATACATACCCTCGTTACATCCATGATCCCCAGCATCCCCGGGACCCTCACGTAAAAAGATGTGAGGTTCTTCCCTTCGGATGTGACTGGCTACTCGTGTCGTGGAAATTATGGAAGTTGATTTTGAAGATCAATGGACGTAAGGCTAGGTGGTTGAGCGAGTTTCATATGCGTATAGACCAATCAACGCCATGAAGACTGGAGTCGGCTCTCCAAATCAACGGACCTTTCACAACAATTTCATAGATGTCTGCGACAAGAGGGACCAGTTTCATAAAAGCACGAATATTTCCAGGAAATTGACCTACCGTGTCAATATGTCATTAATGCTCTGGGATAGTTGACGAAAAACCCGGCACCGAAATCCGGATTTCACGGTATCTATCCGTTCAGGTTCCGGGGCACGTACCTGAAGGAACCCGCACCGCGCCCTTGCCTCCGAGATGGGCGCATTTCCCCGTCGGCTCAGGTTACTTTGGGAGTGAAAGGTAAGATGATCTACATATACAAGTAAAGGTACTCCGTCGATCATCTTGTTACTTTACGAGATTGAATTCAATCGACTTAGGTTATGGCGCCAGAAGCTTTCAGGTATGTATTGCCATACATAAGTTATGCTTCGAGTCCAGTCCTTCCACAAGCGGAGCAGCGCAGGGCTCACTTTTCTTGCTCCGGTGTCTTTACGTAGCCCTCGAGAGTAACACCGCGCCCGTCCATAGATCAGCGCCTGATACCCTAATGGAGCAGGATGAGCCCGACTCCCCCACTATTACTCCCATTCGAACAATGAGCCTCTTAACCGTCCGAATTTTCTGACGGTGGTAGGAAAAATGGACTCAGTCGCCCGTTTCCCTGCCTCTGGATCAGCTCAGCTGACGAAAGAATAGTGAAACAGGGTCTTCGCACAGGCCCCCGTGCGGTTTTCGTCCAGATTCCAAGCCACTTGGCGAGACTGCAGGAGCTACAAAAACAACACAAACTTCCGGAGATCGGAAGACCTGGAAACCTATAAAAACTGTCGCAATGAGGCGAATATTCTTCAGTGCAATCCACACTTCCCCAATTCTCTCTACATCTCCTTCATCATGCCTTCTCTCTTCAAGACCCTCGCTGTCGCATTTGCCGCTACCGCTGCAGTCGTCGCATTGCCCGCGGATGTTGACGATTTCGTCCCCGGCCCAGGTCTCCCCTCCCTCGAGGAACTTGGTATGACCAAGGAAGACCTCTATAAGCCCATCCCTGAGGAAGTCCTGAAGTCTATCCAAGGTCTGCATTCACTCTTCCCATCCTCGTTTTGGAATCACCTCGTTAACCGTTCCCTGTAGCTGAATACGGCGGCTTGACCAAGCGCTACACCCCCACCTGTGGTAGCACTAACCGGGCATCCCATGCCGACGCCGTTGCATGCTACAACTATTTGAACGGTCTCGGCACCACTTCCTGCGTTGTTCCCAACAACGCCGGTGGTGCTGGTAACATCAACTTCTGCAAGATTGGCTCCGCCTACTGGACTGGATCCTGTCTCGCTGGAACTTGCCCCGGATCCTCGTACTGGTAAGGTCGAGCTCTACTTCTCATAGTTCGTCACTGAAAGCATTCTACTCGACAGCCGCGACGTTGCCCGAGGTGGCCTCTGGGTTCTCAACAACTGCAATGTCGGTGGCCAAGTTCGCGGTATGTGGAGATTGAATATCTCTACTTTGTTGGAGTCTCACCTCTCCTCTTTACAGGTTCCAACGCCGCCTGGGGCAACGGCAATCTCATCGTTGGCATTCAAAACTACGGTGCTTGAATGTAGATTGTATCATTTGCTGCGAATGTCTGTATCTCTGTCCCAAAGCTATTGTTCCGCATGTAGTTCGTATCTTAGTAAGGCCACTTCCACTGTCAACGCCCCATGGTGCTCTATAGGAGCCTGAGTGACTGTCAATGGCGCATGTCGACCTTGTGTCGACCTATTTCCAAACTTGGCGCCACACATACCTGATTGGGATTGGGTCTAACCCGCCAAAGGATTTGGTTCATGCCCAACTCAGCCGTCCTTCCGTCAGCCTTACACACATGAAGTTCTTCACCTCTTCCCTGCATGAAGATCTCAGATAAGCTGCCCAAAACCCCGCTGCCAAGCTTTTGATGACCATGACCATTTCGAATGTTCTCACTTCATAGCTAGAATTCCACAAAGAACTTGAGCATGATAGACAGCTCGAGTAACATAGAAACTAGTCTAGATCAATATCTATTCGCCCCCAAAGCCTATGCATTAAACTCGAGTGTAGGGCGCAACTTCCTTCCTTCCTTTCCCCACCTCTGTTCCCCTCGTATGCGCCAACAAGAGGTCATCGACCATCTCCACCGCGAAATCAAACACCTTCACCAACAGATTCAGGAAATACGAGAAGACAAGAGAAGCTTGCGAAGGGAAAAGGGCATCCTCGAAGAGACGATCAAGAGGTTGGAGAAGGAAAAGGCAGAGTTGATAGTCAACTTGATTGAGGCGAGGAAGTTGAACCCACAGGGTGTAGGCACTGAAGCTCAGACCCAGATCCAAGTATACGAGATAGTAAGTGGGGATCAAAAGGCGTCGTCATGGCGGGAGGCACCAATGTCATTACAGGGCAGGAATCAAGGGGACACGAATTCCAAGAATCCACATCATCATGGGCAGAGTCAAAGCCAAAGCAATAGCAACAAGCCAAAGGCTAATCGAAATAAGAGATCTCAGAAATCGTCCTCAAACTGGACACACCAAGGCAACGACGGAACAAAGGGGCAAAACAATGCACCGCTGCAGACGTCTTCTGAGAACGGGTACCACCGGGCCCGCACCGAAGAGCCCCACCGCTCGTCGAAGGCGAAAGGCAAAGAAAAAGAAATACCAACAGAGCCTCGAGCCGACCGCGACCGTGCACACCACCACGGAGAGTACCGTAATGGGGGAAATCGAGATGGAGATGGCGGACATGATGCCCACGATCGAAGACCTCATTCATCCCATTCAGGCACTCAGCCTCAACAACCAGCCCGACCAGACGGTGGGATCCTCGACAGCCGCTTCCACGGATCGGGTATTCCAAAGTTCCGAACGTCCTCATTTGCCGGATCGTCGAGTTCAAAGCGGGTGGTTTATGGGCCCGAAGACTTGATCCCGGTCCCTGAGTTTAAATTCGATCATTTTCCCCCATCCCTGATGCCAGCTGCGTCGAGAGGGAATCAGCCTCATAACACGACGGTATGTCACCTCCCGTATCATTTCTGAGAGCTCGAGTTCACGGGTGTTCCACGATAAACAGAACGCTGCCAGCAGCAGTTCCGTTCGTGGGCGATCCCAACCTCCCCCTCTCCCCATTCGTCCCAACATAACCCACCTAAAACGACCCCGTACAGAACCAGAATCCAGAGAGAAAGCCCATAATAATCACCCGATTGACCACAATTCCTCAAGTCTTCCTCCATCAAAATATCGAAAGGTGGAACAAAGCCAAAAGGGAAGGAAAGAAGATGCATCGTCAACATCAAGCAGCAGTTCTAGGTCTGTCATTTCAATTTCAAGCTCGTGCAGTTCCGAGAGTTCGTCGTCGTCATCGAGCAGCTCGAATGGTTGCCAATCGGACAAGCCAAAGAAGAAGAAAAAGGGAAAGAAGAAAGGGAAAGGGTAGCGGTGGTAACCTGGAGTCAAGGCTAGTTAAATGACGATAAATATTGTTATGAATAGCGAGTTGGCAGTGAGAATCGACAGACCTTGTTCTTGATCCCTGACCAAAAAGAGTGTTCCTCCCATTTTCCTTCTAGCTTCACAGGCTTCACTTTTCGTCCTCCCGCGTTCTGTTCGTCACTACGAGTGAGATACCAAAGCTCCGAAACGCCGACCGATTTCAGGTAGTCATATGCCCTGTGGTAGTTCAGGCCTACTGCGTGAGGTCCATGACTGTCATCCGACAACGCGAGTCGTCCGCCGTGGCCAAGGATAACCTAGAACCCGCTTAGTTTAGTCACGACTCAACCTGAGAAATCGACACACCCTGATGATATCTTCCCCAGGATACGCGGTATCCCATTTCTTTCTAAACGCAGCAGCGTTCAGTTCGAACAGGGCTCCGTACGAAACAGAAAACTTGATGTTCCTGATAATCTTCTCCCATACGTCAGGGAAATCCGCGAATCGCATTGACGGTGCAAAGAGTCGACAAAGATCAAAATGGCCAACGACCTCCGGCTTGAATCGTTCCAGAAGCTGGTACTGGGCGTCAAAGTACGCGCTGTAGAACTTTGCGTATGTCGTCCGCTGATCGTCGGCCGCATCGGACGAGGTTGACGGGGCAAAGTTTCCCAGTGCCTTTTCGTAAGTCGGAAGGTCGAAATCTATCGGCACCCCGTCTACATGATGAACGGATCCAACGATGTATTCCACCTGATCTCCAAATCTCTCGAGAATCCGGTCCAAGCCAGCAAGATCAGCTTCAGTGATGTGTTCTGTTTCCAGACCGACGAGCAAAGTGATCTGGGATGCATAGAGATCCTTCAGTCGATGAGCTTCAGCTAAAAAGGCTTCGAATTGGTTCATCAAGTCATCCAAGGTCATGTCGCTCTGCGTATATCAGGGTCAACTATAATAAAAAGTGACAGATGATCAGCTCGAACCTCTTCAGGGTAAAGATCATCGATGCGATACCGGGGAACATGTTCAGTCAGTCCAAACACTTGGAATTTCTGCCTGATAGCTTCTTGAACCACCTCTTCGAGCTTTCCCGAAGCGTGTTTGCAAAATTGTCCAGAATGCGAGTGATGACTGTGAGGCATTGTGGTGGTTGAGGATGAAGCTGAACCCGTGAGAATTTCGCCGAAATTGGGCGCTTATTGGATCGGTGGCATTAAACAGACCAGCAGTATCGACAGCTCTTGCAAAGTTACAGCAACCTCGGTTCAATCTTTAAAACGGGAAAGCCGTAAGCTTTCTGTTCAGCTATCCCTTCGCTGACCCCAACACACTGCCCTTGACTCGAGCGCGAAGAGTGGCTATGTCTTCACGCGACTTTCTGATGTCGCAGACATCGGAGCCAACGTCGTCCGAGGGCCCGTCCCTTCGCCATCGACTGAGGATATATCAGATATCTCCAACCGTTTTTACTTACGCGGATTCCATAGCGCAGGCGCTGAAATATGGCCAAGATAGCATCTGTCAGCGAAAATGTGTCAATGCCAAGTTTGGTTCGAATTGATGGGCGTCCCCTGAAAAGGCGAATGTGCGGCCGGCAGTGTCCGTCATTAGCGACTTATGACATTCCGCCTGCAAGCTCGCCGCCATCGTCTTGTTCTTTGACGACCATGGTGACACGACCAGGCAACGACTCCCATGACCCTCCACCCAATTTCTCGACAACGCCTCGACTTCCTTGGTCTGTTCTGACCGTCTTGTCGTTGGTCTCGCTCGTCGTTGCAGGTCCAGTTCAACGCGATGAGCAGCAGCTTCAGCGCCGTCAAGACCGCCCCGGGTCGCCTGGCGTCCCAGCTTCGATATGGGTAAGCTTTAAAGCTCTTCAAACACACGAAAAGTTATTAAGCTCTGAACCCAATAGATCCCCGTCGTGGTCGTGGTCGTCGTCTTGCTTGGTCTGGTGCTAGTGTCATGTACGAACAAAAAGTTGCGAGCACGGGTCATGCCTGGCCGAACCACCGTTCAGAATCCAGCAGCTCCAAGAGAACTCACCGCAGAGCAACTTGCGGGTACTATCAATGGCGCAGCTGCCAACCAACCAGTGGCCCGAACAAGAAGGGCTCGTCGGCCTCGACGGACTCCATCCCAGATGTCAGTAACCTCCCTCCCTGCCTACAACAAAGAACCTGGAGAACAGGAGCTAGTGGTTATCCGGTACGTTACCGCTATTTCATTTCGATAGACTTTGGCTCAACCGTTTTATTAGCGGAACAGATGCGCAAGACGTTCCCGCTACAGCCACAATCATTCCCGAAGAAGATGGAGAGAGCTCACTGAACTCTGGAGACCAATCTCGTGGAGAGAGATACGCCCCCGTGCCATCATCTCCCAATGATACACCGCTGCTTGACGATTACCAGAACAACGACAATGAGCGCGATGTCGTCGCAAATCCCAACAGCGATCCCCCAAGTGCATCAAGAGAAACGACGGCCCTGTTGGACGCTAGCACTCCTGTCGAGAATGACACCAGAGGAGAAGCACCGCCTTACTTCGAAGTGGTCGACATCACAGATGCACCAGCGCCAGCACCCACCGTTTCTGCTCCTGCTCCTGAAGCTCAGCCATCTGCCTTATCTTCGTCTGCAGTCACCAATGCCAGTGCTTCTCCTCCAGCCTCCCCAGAGCGTAGATCTGGTATTCGCACCTTCTTTAACCGCATGTCCGTCGCTGGCGCGCCCAGAGGATTCACTCATACGAGAGGAAATTCGTCCATGTCCCAACTTTCATCTGACATGTCGCATGACCACGGCTCTCCTCCCCCTACATCACGCCACCGGACAACTCCTTCTGCTGGCAGTTCTTTCTTCCGACCACTTTCACGCCAAAGATCTCCATCAACACTCAACAGTGGTAGTTCTGCACGACTTAACTCTCCCTCGCTTATCTCCCTTGATTCCATTTCAGCGCCACTCACGCACACACTCATGCGCACCGAGTTCACTTATCCCAAGTCCGGACCCACTCCCGAGCAGCTCAAGATGATCTCGTCTCGAGAGTCGATCGGAAGGTTCGCAGTGCCCTATGGAGATGATGCCATTGCATTTGCCAGTACTTCCCGTCTCGATGTCAGCTCCCCGCCTCCCGACTTTGATACTGCCGTAGGAAACAGTTCAAGCGGAAACCTCCGAAGTGCAGGCGTAAACGGCAGCTCGACTTCTCTCCACGTTCGAAATGACAGTTCTGGAATGCGAGCACCATCGCCTCTGGCTCAAAGTGCGTCGCCGCCTGCCCCACCTGAACCCAGTGGCGAACCGGCGCCTACCACTGCGCCTGAGCCATCCGGTGCATCGGAAGAAGCCCCCGCTACCATCAAAGCAAAGGGAGCCCTCGCTGAAAAGTTTACACAGGAGGAAGACGTTCCTCGTAGCGATACAGCAACACCGCCCCGTGGCCAGACCCCAGTTGAAGAAACTGATAATCGCCGAGACACCATCATTCTTTCACCCGAACAATCCATCGCAGCGAAGTACAAAGCTCTACCCTTCTCTGCCACCGTCGCGACAACCATCGGTCGATCAGCACCTTCGTCACGGCCCTCTTCAGCACAGATAGATGAATTCGGTGCACTGTCACCGAGGTCTCGCCCGCAAACGGCCAACAGCATCAATTCCAAATACGGCACGGGCGTATCTCACATCTCTCAAGCAGGTCCTCCACCCTCTGCGTTCAACATGAACGCCTTCCACGCGGACAACATGTCTATCAACACGCGTTCTGAATCGCGAGCGAGCATGTATTCACACCAGACCTTCGAAACGGCCGCGGAGTCGCTTTCAGCGCGTACCAGTCGAATGGGGTTCAACACCGATCGCGAGACTGATTACGACGATTTCGACGATGATGATGACTCGGACGAGTCGGAAATCGACTGGCTTTCGGGATCAAGAGCTAGGAGGACGACTTTGCAACCTTCAGCTGGTGGCTCCCATCAACAGGAGGCTACGGAGGCGACATTGAGAGCCCGCCGAAGCAAGCGGGATACCATCATTGCCACGCCCTCCAATTCAACTATCGGCAAAACAACAGCATAGACGCCTTAAGGCATTTCTTCTTCTTCAAACTCATTCTTTCTCATCTGAACTTTAAAGCCAACTAAAGCATTCACTAACCGTTTCTGTTTTTCATTTCTGTCCTCTCGCCTTGGGTCAGCGGGTTTCATGGAAACCAATTCTGTCTTCACGAAATTGCATCGTCTCGCTTTCGTTCTCTTCTAACGGATGGATTTTTTTTTACCCTTTTTCTTTATCTCGGGATGCATTTGGATATCATGGCATTTTCCCTCTACAAGCGCACATCATATCGCACAAAACAGACAAACAAAACCATCTACCTTACGCGTCTTTTCTTACCACTAGTCTCTCTCTCTGCTTTCAGCTCGCTGTTTCCTCTCCACTCACAGCTCACCTCCCATCGCATTTCCACGGCTATCCTCATCCATGACTTGCTATCTTACTACTCCTTCCCCATACATACACACGCTATCACTATCGCTACCCTATCCTTCCTGGTAATGACCAAACCGAATAGCACAGACAAATATACGCACCTTGCAAAAAACCTGTCCAGTCACGATCGATCTTAGGCGCCCATCGAGGGCGCAGGACGTGTAATCACGCCGTGTCACAAACCTGCACAATTTTCCAACGCAGACTAAGAACCACTTGAGTTGAGGAACGGAGTAGCAGGCGCTTCATTTCGGAGCACCAAAGTCCTGAAGCATCTCGTGCTATTTGAACCATGAAGCCTGGATTACATGCAAATCTGCTTCTTCGCTAGCCACCAGACACCTTCGTAGTCATCACCCCAGTAGACATCTGCTCCGCCAAACTCCTAGGGTCGACAATCCAAATCGCAGCCACTTCCCCATTCCCTGCTACCGTCCTGCCATCAGCCGGAACGCTTTCTTTCCCACCACCGTCTCCACCCTCCTCACTCGCTCCCCCTTCCAATCCTCCAAACCCACCATCCCATCTCTCCCTCCTCATCTCCTTCAACATCGCCTTCACGCTCGTCCGATTCGCGGTTAGAGTCGTCCAACCCAGCTCAGCACCCCACAACAAACTCTCCACCGTATGGGCCGTCAAACGAGGGTTGACCTTTGTAACCGTAGCACGTTGAATCTCTTCCTCTTCAAGTTCAGGGCCTTTTACGTTCTCGTTATTAGAATTCGAGGCGTCGGAAGTTCCCTGCGGACGAGAGATAAACTGGTCTCGTACGGACCTTGGGTGGGGTATGATCTCCTGTTCGAGGATATCCCTACACGTCTTCGCAAGTTCCTTGAAGAACCTAGGCCTCTCTGGTGACCCATCCGGCACGCCGACCAGCCTCCCTCCAGAACCAACCCCGCCCTTCCCTTCATGGAACCTCATCGGGAACAACGGCAAAGCCCCCTTCTCAAACCTCGACCCCTGCCAGAACAGCTCCTCTCCCTCCTCGACCGATATCCGGCGTTCACCTTCACCCAAGACAGGAGGGTACGCGACAGTATTGACATCCAAACAGAACAGGGCATACGCCCGCCTCTTCTCATCCACACCTCCAATCTTGGACACAATCCGTAAGCACCTATCCCGTGCTTCCTTGGTCGCCCAAAATTCTACAGGCGGGAGGTCGGATGTGCTCGCATGCACCCCATTCGTTACCGGTCCGTGGTCAGACGAGTGCCCAGGAATACTCATCAACCTCTCCCTAATCTCCGTAATCATACTCTTCCCCATCTCCTGCAAGAGCTGATTCCTAAGCGCTCTCGAGTGCGTCGCAAGGTCATTCGGAAGATCTTCCAAATCCACCTGCTCCTCGTCTCCGTCTTTCGCTCCTTCCGAACCTTGCCTCTTCCACGGCTTCAGAGGCGCCCTCCCCTCTTTCTTCCTCCTCATCTCCTTCCATTCTCTATATTGTTTGGGTGGGATAAACCTTTTCTTCGCCTCCTCCATCGTCTTTGGGAGCTCCGCGTGAGTCAAATCCGAGATGAGCGCGATGAGAACCGACAAGTCGAGGTTGATCTTGAGACTGGGATGAAGAACCGTATTCTCCGCCAGAGTATTCTTCTCCTTCTCTTCATCTGCAGTAGACACAGAAAGTACAGGCAACTCTTCCTCCAGCCTCTCCCCAAGCTCAACCGTCACACCCATCTCCTCCAGCAACCGAACAGTCTTTCGTATCCGCTCGTCGTACTCCCCTGTACTCCCCTCCGGAGGAACTTCCAACCTCGTAAGACGCATAACGACTTTCGGAATCTCCGAGTCTTCTCTATCACCTTCGTCCTTTCCTGACCCTATCCTCCTCGCCCAAGACCGCTCAACCCGGTTAGTCCGCGCAGCCTCCATAAGCGCCCTCCCCATCTTCAATATCGAGTTGTCGAATTCCGTCTGTGCGAGTGAAGGCCCTATCCCATTCTCTTCACCATCTCCACCTTCTGAATCAGAATCAGATTCGGTAAAATACGAGTCGATCTCGCGGAATTCAGATATCAGACGGGAGTTCTTGATACTATAAGTCCAGAAATGTTAGAGATGGAAGAACTAAGATAGAAATGGGCACGCACGTATTGATCCTGATCCACCTCCTCCCGTTATCAGCCACTACATCCACCTTGGCTCCAGGAGCTCTAACACCCAACCCCATCTTCCTCTGCGCACTCCCAGCCGGCTTCGACCCGGGATCGAAGAGAAAAGTCTTGAAAATCGATATCACAGGAGGCGGTGCGCAAAGGACTTCATTCCACACCGACATCAGGTATGGTGCATTGGTGGAAAGAGGTTGGAGGTGCGCCGAATGAGGGTCGTCGAGGAACTACTAAGAGGATTCGCTGGATGAGCATCCATCGCCAAAGAAATCGGTGTGAAATCTGGAAAAAGAATGGTGATCGAGTATTACCTTTTCCAGCCCATCCAAGTCAATCTTCAAGCTATCTCTCAGCTTCTTGAGACCAGATATCTGGTCTTGCTGTGTCCAACCACTACCTGCTTGTCCATCTTCATCGTTCTTTTCCTGAGAAGTTTGATGTTCTAGTGAAGAATCGAGGATAGGATATCGAATCGAAGATGGCTGAAAGTTTGAGATATCCTGATAGATCTTCTGTAATCGAGTCTGTAAAATCCTGAGCTCAGGATGAGAAACCGGGTCCGTAGTCGACATGGACGCTGAAGAGAAAGATGCTGTTCTGTCGACTCCCTTTGTCAATCGGGTGGTATCTAATCGTACAGCCACTGATGGGCTTGGCGAAATTTGTACGCGCCTCGACGCCAGCTCATTCAGTAATTTCTAGGTATTTTTTCGCGACTGAGGTTCTTGAGGACGTGTCTAGGCCTGAAGGGACCGCAGAGAGCAGAAAAAGAGAGAAAACGGAGATTGTGCCTAGACAGTCCACACGGGCACACACACCCATACACACCCACAACATTTTGCTTGCGATCAAACCTTGGCTGTCTTCATCTCTTCCGTCAAATCCTACCCCAGCCATGGCCCAGGGCTCTCCGCAGCGCAATGCGTCCCCTCAAGCTGCCTCAAAGGCACCAGCATGGGCTCACCTCGTGGCAGGCGCGTAAGTACAACTTATTTCCTGAAAATCGCGAAGAAAAGCGCTCTGACGTTGCACAAACGCCCATTTTACAGTAGCGGAGGGTTCGCCACAGCGGTCATAACTTCCCCACTCGACGTCCTCAGAACTCGTCTCCAATCCGACTTTTACTCTCTTCCTTCAAGTTCACAACCCTCGACCTCAACGGGCGCCTCGTCCAAACTCCGTCCACCAACGCCAGCGAACACCCGGCGCTTCCTGAGCACCTCCCTCCACCACGGCCTCTCTCCCTTCCGTTCCCTCTCTTCCATCCTCCAAAACGAAGGCTGGCGCGGCTTCTACCGCGGCCTCGGCCCCTCCCTCGCAGGCGTCGTCCCAGGCAGCTCAATAAAATTCCACGTCTACGGAAACTCCAAAATCTTCTGGGCATGGGCACTCGGCCGCAACAACGCTCACGAACGCGACTCGACCATCGTACATGCCCTCTCAGCTATGACAGCCGGTATCACCACCGCGACATGCACCAACCCCATCTGGGTCGTCAAAACGCGGTTACAGCTCGACTCTGGGACGGCCAACGCCGCTGCGAGGAGATATAAAAACAGCTTTGACTGTGTGAGGCAGATATTGAGGCAGGAAGGGTTTAGAGGGTTGTATCGGGGGTTGAGCGCGAGTTATCTGGGGTCAATAGAGACGGTGCTCCATCTCGCACTGTATGAGCAGCTCAAGCCTGTGCTTAGACGGTTCCTTGGAGACGTCAACGCCAACTCAGACTCGAGGTGGGATACACTCAAGCTTTGGATGAGCACCACAGGCGCTGCGGGTTCTGCCAAACTCACTGCTAGCTTGATCACCTATCCTCATGAAGTGCGTTCCCTACCCGTTTATTCAGCAGTCGCTTTTACTCACCCTTCTCGTGCCAGGTTGTTCGAACCCGCCTCCGCCAAGCACCTTCAGTCAACGGTGTACCCAAATACACGGGCCTAGTCCAATGCTTCAAGTCCATCTGGAAGGCTGAGCGCTTCGCTGGTCTCTATGGAGGTCTGACACCTCACATGGCTCGATCCGTGCCTTCAGCCATGATCACCCTTGGCGTCTACGAGTTCGTCTTGAGCAGGCTTGGATGAGCTCACTGCCGCATGCAATAACAAGTTGGTGTGGGGAAGAGGAAGGAGATGGACGGAGTGGTAGAGGATGCATTCAACTGGAAAGGAGACACGTTGAACCAGCCTCGACCCATACACCAACCAGTTCAAAAACGCGTCCCCAAACAAATAACCTTTGAACTCGAATCCAACTTTCAGTTCATCCCCGGTCGACTCGCAGTCATCCACGATCGACGTTGGTCACGCCATAACGCAAATACTACCATAATTCCTACACTCAAACGCTGGCCACATACGCATACCCCCAGCCACACATTCTCATAGACGGCAGCAAAGCCCATTCCCCCACTTATTCGATATCTATCCACGTACCCTACTCACGACACGGCTATAATTGCAGATGTAATACTACGTACGAAGGTTAATTAGGAACGGCGTAATGAAGAACATGTTTTAGATCCGCATGGCGCAGAGACAAGCTTCAGAACTGGACTGGGTATGCCTGGGTTAGGAGACTGCCAAGGGCAGTGGATCATAACAGAGCGGGATTGGGCTCCTCAGTCTGACGGCTAAAGAGCAATGTGCGATTTCCGCTGAGGGAGAACCTCGCCCGCCGGGTGGACTACCTCAACGTCCGACCTCAACGTCCGATGTTCGATCTCGCATATCCTTTGTAGTGAGCCCTAGTTTTAATCCTTGTACTCATGGGCAGCGTGTTTTGCTTTAGATTCCAGGAAGTTCGGTAAATTATCTCTCATTGAGCTTCCTCGACCAAAAGTTAATATCGGATCTATACACGAGGGTACTAGACAGCCTTGCATCTAATTCTCTGGTAATAATTTGGACTCTTCTGTTGTTCTGCTTTGATGTGGATACGAGAAGGCAAACCGATCTCGAGCGTCAAATTGAGGCCCGTGCAAAAATCTGGGCTCTTGCCAGTCAGCCGAAGTCGCGGGCCCGGCGGGTGGTCACCTCTTTCACTTTATGTCCTTGGTACTTAACCTTAGTTCAGCTGCTCTGATAAGTAACGCGAGTCGGTCCATGTACCAGGCGATTGACGATCGCAAATTTTGTTGTCGCATTGCACAGAGTTCCCCGTCGGTCTACTATGCACGGGTTGGCGCCATCGAGCGGCACAGCGCGCGACGCGTCGGGTCAAAAAGCCAAGAAAGCGCTTTTGGCAATGCCACTGCCATCTTTGATCGCTGAACTCCGTACAACTTCAACCCTCAGAACTTTACAGGAATTAAACCGGGCGACGACTCAACTTCCCTAATAAACAAACCACACCTCTCTGACGAGCTGAACCAGTCCGCTGTGATCATGAAAGAGAAACACCCGTTCCCTTTCGTTCTTGATCACCCTCAGCCCAGGTCTCTCATCCAGATGACAATGGCAAGAAGGGGTCGGCGCCGGTCGGCGGACCCACTCCACAGACGCGCGCATCCATTCCCTCTTCCTAGCAACGCAAAACGACACGAACACGAGGCCACCCCGATCGATCACAGCAATGGACCCAGCACCATTGAACGACCACCTTCCCAAAAGGGAACGCAATGGGCCACCCATTGCCCTATTCAGGCTAAGCGAATATATCAAAAAAGAAATTGATCGCTCGGAATCTGTACCCATTGCCTCATGTCTTTTATTTTTCCTTCCCATCGCCAGTACCATTGTCAGCCAGTCGTACTGCCCCCCAAAACGAAGAATTTAATAATGTCCAAGTGTCCGTGAGGTGTTGTGAGGGAAATTCACATAAAGTCCATGTTTTGGACTGGCTGGTTCTTCAGTTTCTTTTTTCCCCCAGTAAATTTACCACTCATGAGAGATTCAACCATCCGTGTGCAGTCGTTCCAGCTTGAGATAAAATATGAGAACTTGAGTGCTATGCCCGACGTTAGTCATACAGTATACTCAGCATTCTCGAGATAACTCGAGCTCGTCCGAGAGTCATTCTTCTTCTACTAATGGTGAGTCCTATTTTGACCGCCCTCCCATCTCGTTGAGCTTTTATGATTGACCTCTGGACCGCATAGCCTCTTGGATCAACCCAGCTGGAAGATGTCGCACAGCCCTTCAACGAAGTGAGTCCTAAACCGAACTGATACGACTTTGTCCATCTTGCTTTGTTCGCGCGATGTCCTGTGTATAAAAAATATCTACGACCTGTATTTCCTCGAGTTGATACTTTTCATGAGGCGGGGAACTGTGAAGGGAGCGCTGTGAATCCGCTCAATCCCAAGTCCGCATGATTCGGATCGGCTTTGTCCGTGTCGTACAGGTTAGGGGCTCGAACCATCTTGAGTAGTCGCGCCGAAGTTTACTGCCAGCGTCGACGCAAGAATTCACCAAAACTCTGGCCATGGGGACGGGGACGTTTCAAAGTCTCATATCGGTGCTCTGGGATGTCTATCCTTTCAAGGTGCTCAACTGGATCTGTATGCTCGGAACTTGCAGTGCTGAACGACGCTCGACGACTTTCTGGACGACGACCCAACTGATTTTTCGGGCGGGTTTATCTGTTTCTCTTTTTCTGGGGGCAGGGACTGCACACAGAGCTCACACCACTGCACTGCTCAACGACCCAGGTGGATGGCGCTCTCGCTGTAGCCCATTGGCACCCAAATCTGTGCCATTCGCAATCGCGATCCCGCCATTGACGAGGACACGGTACGCCGAGAAGCCACCCAAGCCATCGGAGAACGCCGAGTTTCGTGATCTTGCAACAAAGAGTGTGGGAACCCATTCCAAATGCGGTGGTGATGTCGATGTCATGGACGCGCGCGTCTGTTGGACCATTGTCCGTTAGGGAGGCTCTCCTTCCAAATCCGTACTTTCGTCCGTCGCGACAACATGACAACTGGCCACTCCTTTGTGAGGGCGCACTCCATTGACATTATCTGCCTCGTGTTCTGGTTAAATGTACATACTTGGAAATTAGAATTCTGCGGACAATGGGCCCGGCCGGCGCTATAAAACAGACGACTCCTGCGATTTCACGGTTCTGCTTTTGCCCACTACCATCGCCTGTCCACCAGTCATATATCGCTCACCACATCCAACCTTCGTGTCCCCTATACTCTCTTCTCATCTGCCACCATGGTACGAATCGCACTGTGGACCGTGATGAACAAACTTTCCCCTTCACGCGCGAAGGGCAAGTCCTCTCCTCGGTCGAGTCCAGTTCCATCCTCCTCCCCTTCGATCCACGTCGAAGAGCTCGGCGAGCTCAGCGACAAGGAGAATCAAGATCCATCTGTCGTCGAGAACTATCAACCATCTCCTCCCACCGTCGAGGTCATCGACTACACATCTCCACCCACCGTCGAGGTCGTCGACTACACATCTCCACCCACCGTCGAGGTCGTCGACTACACTCAAACATCACCTCCCACCGTCGAGGTCATCGATAATGCCACATCCGTCGAAGAACAGTCCTCTCCTCAGCCGAGTCCAGTTCCGTCCTCTTCGCCTTCCACCACCACCACTTCGGTCGAAGAGCTCAGTCCGCTCAGCGACAAGGAGAGTCAAGAGCCACCCAACGCAGAGAACCATCAGCCACGTCCTCCCTCCGACGAGCTCGACGATGATCTTTACAACGTCGTCGTTATCGACTCCCCCAAGCGCCCTAAACGATCTTCTTTCATTCTCGAGGGTTTCGAGGACGACGACTTGTACAACGTTTGCGAGCCGAAGGAATTGTCCCCCATCCCAGGGCTTGGCTTATACGACGTGAAGAAGGACGCTACACCGACGCCGGTACCAGACTCCGACACCACCGCCAAGAAGGATCTTACGCCGACCCAGGAGCCAAAATCCGATACCACCCAGCAGGAGCCTACGCCAGCCCAGGAGCCAGAGTCCGACACCACTCAGAAGGATCCTGCGCCAACCCAAGAGGAAAAGTCCGATACCGCCAACCAGGATCCTACGCCGACTCAGGGGTCAGAGTCAGACACCACCAAAAAGGATCTTACGCCGGCACAGAAGTCGAAATCCGACAACAAGAAGCAAGTATCCGAGGGCATCCCAGGATTGGTCTACTACCAAAAGCGACCACTCGCACGCGACGACGACGACACTGATTCCCCTGCTAAGAAGCTTAAAGCGAATGACGACTCCGACCGCACTGTTATCCCCCAGAATAACCTCGGTTTCGGCTCCCGCATTCCCACCTTCAACTTCAAAGGTTCCTTCTTCCGCCAGCTCGAACTCAAAGAGCGCATCATGATCGTCAACCACCAACACCTTGGAGATCGACGAATGGACACCAGGCTTTTCATCTCGAGTGTTGTCCCCGCGACTCCCGGGGATCCCGACACTGCTGCCATTCGCAGATCAGCACCGCGCGTCTTCGTGAAGCTACTCCATCCAAGCCCCGGATACGGAGTCAACACAACTGAAATTACCGCCTACAAGCGTATCGACAGGCTCAAGAACATACTCGACTCGGAGGTGAAGAAGTTCAGCATCTTCGTCTTATCCCTGGAAGCATACATATCCTGCTACGGTGGTCCAACTATGACCACCCAGATCTTCGTCATGGTATGTGATCTTTGGTATTCTTCTATGTTCCCCTTTCTAACCACCTGTTGAACCACAGCCACTTCTCAAGCGCGATTTGTCTGCTGCGTTGCGAGAGCGAAACCAATACGACGGACCATCGGAAAACGTTCAACTGTGGATCGCGCAAATTGTAAGTCTGCCCTCCACTACCACCGAGAACTTTCAGACTAACTCTGTCAAGGCGGCCGGGGTCCATTTCCTCCACAATTGTGGTATCATGCATCGCGATCTCAAGTCAGAGAACATTCTGTTGGATGCAGGCGACAACGCTTTGGTTACCGATTTCGGAAACTCTTTCGTTCAGGTCGACTGGATCAACGCCAAACTCGATTATGACCTTTTGTACTCTCGTGCCAATTTAGGAACTCCTGGGTGGCTCGCTCCAGAGGTCGAACAAGGTTTGTGGTATGGCCCGGCAAGTGATTGGTGGGGTGTTGGCGCGATTATGCTCGAGGCCATGGTCCATCCGGCCAACTTCTATGTACGTGACACGTTTACTCTGGCTTCTATCCGATGCTCACCTGAATGATAGATGGCGTTGTCTCAATTCCGGGCCACCCGACTGCTTTACCCGAGGAGCAGGAGCGGGGCAGACGCCAAGTTCGCTTTCGAGACTGAGCAAACCAGCGTCCCTTGCGCGTTTGCGAGAGAAGTCCTCTGGATGGTATGTTTCCCATTCTGTGCGCTTTCCTGGTTTCGTGGTGCTGAATCGTGCTTTTCTCGTTTCAGTTGCTTCACCACGACCCCCGCGACCGTTACCGTTATGACCAGCTTTACAGCCACACTTATTTCGCTGTTTACCGTGATGGCAGAGTGGTATCTATTTTCGACATTTTGGAGTTCGAAAGTATGTGTTCCTTGGCCTTCTTCCTGTCATCGAGGCGGTTTGACCGACGCGTCCCCAGCCGCGGCACGACTGAACAAGGCCAAGCAAGAATCTGGACCAACGTCCGAAGATCCGACTGAGGATCATCATCAGCTTCCCTACAAGTGTGACCTTTGGAGGTTCGACCACCCTGGCACAAATGCGGAAGTGTGGCTCCCATCCTATTCGAAAATCCATCAAATCATCGACAAGGCTTATGAATAGTAGAGTAGTTAAGACTCATACATACAAGCATCTTACATTTCTATTTCTCCGTTTCTTCGTGCATTTGTACTATATCTACATACCTCGAAAATTCGCACTCGCCACTAGGCGTGGAGTCGCATAAATTGTTCGATTGTGGACTCGAGCGCGTCAAAGGGTTGAGGAACAGTCTCAAGAAAGAAAAAAAAAAGAAACGCGGGGGATAGAGAACAGCTTCTACTCTACATAATCTAGCCTCCACACCTTGACGACGCCAGCACGATCACCGCTGACAATCCCACCTCTCCACGGCGAGTCAATGCAAGCTAGGGCAGTTACGACGTCTTGGTGGGACTTCAACAGGTTCTGCTGATGTTGGGTGATCAAGGATATTCGTTGCGATGGCCTGCTGGACTGCCCACCCGTCGGGACGGCAGGCCAGGTTTCAACGTAAGAAACCGGGCCCTTGTTCCCTTCATCTTCACCGCCTCGAGAGCCGCCGCTATTGATGCTGCGAACAATCCACATCAGAGCCATTTCTCGACTTCGAAGTGGGATGTACTCACCTGTGCGTAGGTCTTTCCCCATCTTGCTCAAGTCCACTAAACACGACTGACTTTTCAGCCCGACTCAGGTCCCAGAATCGCAATCGTCGATCATCCGATCCCGTCACCACGAACCCTTTGGTGGAACTCCTAGAGCTCGCGCCTCCCCCGTCAGGTATGAACTCCCCATACTCTAACCTGTGGGCAGAAGCGTAGCCTCCAAAGTCGAGCCCAACTACCATCGCTCGAACGTCAGGTGCGGGGGGAGCAACTAATTCCTCGTTCGCCGAACCTCTTGCTGAAGAACGCCTTTCATTCTCGCTCTGAAGTTGGCGAGAACGCACAAAGGCGGCGATTGCGGCAGCAGGACTTGGGTTGGCGTCCACGCCTTCCACCTCGACCTCATGTGGACCGGGACTCTCGCTGCCCTCCCTCTCCCTTTCCCTGTCGCTGCTCGTTCCAACCACAAACGTTTCGACCAGAACAGACTTCTCCACATCCCATACCTCGATGATGGTGACAGAATCCCGAGAAGAAGCAAGTCCTTTCTTCGACGTTTCCAGAGCCACAATGATCCATTTGCCTCTGCCCTTCGTGGGATGGACTGCGATTTGATGGACCTTGCAAGATTTGCCGGAAGAGGTTGCCGCTGCGGTTTGCCAGCTCTTCAGAAGGATACCGAATCGCTTGTCCCAGAGGGTCAGAACGCCAGTCGAAGTGCCAACCACCAGCCACGCCCGTCTCTTGTCCATACACATCGCTGTGATGGGACCGTAATGTCGAGGATTCTCCATAGTTTGAAGAACCCGCATCGTACGAAGTTCAAGGATGGCGATGTTGGAGTGGGTGGTTGCGTATACCAGACTAGACGTCGAATCTAGGATAAAAGGTAAGTGGCTGGCCTGGAGAATTCAGGCACTAACTCACCAGACTTGTAATGGACCATACACGTAATCCACTCCCCGACACTCTCGACCCTATGCTCCCTCACGACTTGCAATTTACCATACTTGGGTAAACTTCCAGCAGCGCTGCTCGCCCCAGCCGCACTCTGCGTCAATTGCACCCTCACAACATGCAAACTGCCATCCTCTGCCGCGCTGGCGAAGCAATGCGTGCCCTCGATGATGCACACACACTTGACTCTTGCATGATGTTGGTTGTAGGTATGCCTAGCCTTGCTTGTGACGTTTCTCTCGAGTCTAGCCGTGTCCCACACCTTGACAGTCTTGTCGTCTGAAGCCGTAACGAAGAAAGCGTGGTCAGGAGAAACGGCGATTCCGGTGATAGCTTCGGAATGAGAGGTCAGGTTGGAGATGAGGGAGGCTTCAAGTCGTTTGTTGGTGATGTCCCGAGTGCCGAAAGGATGTCGAGAGGTATTGCGTCGCCGGATTGGGCCCTCATGAACAGGTGGTCCAAAGTCTTGCTGTAATTCCCTGTTGTTGTCGAGGTAAAGGTTCTCAAGAAGGTTGCTGATACCAGGTTCTTGGCCATCTAGTTAACAGGTCAGGTAATGTGCTTATCCTCAGTAAAGGTAATAGACGCACCATACGTCGAGATAGGTAACAACGAAGGAACCCTGGGTCGATGCTGACGTAGTGTTGCCGACATCGAAAGGGGAGACGACCGTCCGGAAGGATCAGGGGACCCAATATGTGAATGAGCATCCAAGAGCCCAGTCGCAACAGTCTTCGAGGAGCCCACAGCAGGAGCTGCCTTGGAACCTTCAACGCTTCCCACCTGTAGCCGACTTGCAGGTCGCAGCGAAACCGAATTGGCATTCGACACGACAGACTCGGTAGGACTTGGGGGTCGATCGCGTTCGCGTTCAGCAGCAACAGGTGAAGGGGCCGTTGCAGATGCCACGGATATCGAAGAGCTAGAAGGGGCTAAGGGAGAAGATACACTCCGCGCATCCTTGGGCTGGTTCGGCGAGAGAGATGAGACCGAGTTGTTGATGCTGGCCAGCCTCCTCCTGAGGTCCTCAAAGGGAGCACCGGTGCCAACACTCCCGTGATCAATACTGGGTGGTCTTGGGAAACGAGGGCTCATAGCTGACGTTCTACTTGAAATCGAACGCCTGGACGAGGGAATGGTCATGCGTGAACCAGAGTCTTGACGTTGCTTCAGGAAGACAGTCTGCGGCACAACTCCAAGTTTCTGCAGCTCCAAATCCCCTGTGACCTTGAGATTCTTGCCGGTGTCAGGCTCGTAGCTGAGTCGCGAAGAAAAGCTGGATGGTCAATTCGCTCAGCAAGTGCACGGTGCCTTAAGTAAAGGTATCAGACCTTGCGGTGGCATTGGCCAGCTTGAGGATATAATCTCTCATTGCAAGCAGCTTACTCTCGTCGCTGGACGTCAATCCCAGTTGCTGCAGCTTGTTGATATGCACCTCATCCCTATCAACTCGTCGTCAGTAACACGACAAAACCATGCGCGCTCATTTTGCTCACTCTTCAGATCGGTTCTTCGCAAGATTCCCAGTCCCAGCCTTCCTTACTGAGATCACGCTCTCCCTCGGTGACTCGGTCTTGCTTCCTCCCCTCCTAGGTCGGCTCCAAAACACCGATCTATCAGCTTTCATCGCCCATTGTACCGACGAGTCGAGGATCTGGCGAGGAAGGGGAGGTTTCATTGCACGTAACAGGCTCGAGGTGTTGATTTCACCAATGTCAGACTTGAGGAAATGACGAAGGGATGGATAGACAATACACCAGATATCGCTGGCGGGCAGCTGTTGGGCGGCGGAGGTGATAAAGGCAGCGGCACCTGACATTGGGATGGAGGTCAGGCCACGCATTCTATAAGCCCGAACGATTACTTGCCTTGGCGGATCCATAGATTCGGGTGATACAAGAACCCAAGTGTCGCGCTCATTAACTCCCATATCCTCATTTTCTGGAACAGGCCCAGTTCGCATAGACTAGTCAGAGCACCCAAGACTCTTGACACCACACTCTCTTCGACATCTGTGTATCCCAAGTCAATCAGTTGAAACGCCAGAACTTCCATGACTACTCACCCGACAGCGCCTGAATCATCAAAGGTAAGATGTACTCTTCCAAGCTTCGACCCCCTGCACAAGCTGCTACATCGACGATGCTCTCAAAGAAAGAGTACCTCAAAAGCCAATCTCGATCGTTCAAGTACGTGATCATATGGCTCAATAAGACATCATTCGTCTTCTGTCGACCAAGGAAGACGCATAGCGAAGAGATGTTGTGAAGCACGGCTCGCTTAACGACACTGGAGGGATCCATGAGGAGGGCCGCTAGATGGGCTTGAATGTGGTTCTGAAGTTCCTGCATACTGGCATCGTACGAGATCTACGCACTTCATCAGCGACGCGGGCTGCGTGAATGTGGCTTTACTCACCTCATAGTGAGCATGTTCATAGTCCTGACCCTCAGCGGCCAAGTTGAATGCTCCGTGTGCCTTCAGAGCCTGGCCCATTTCCAGATATCTCACAGCCGTATCCGCAATCGGGACAATACATTGAGCGTAGGTACACCGCACCGAAACCTCGGGATCTTGCACTAAATGCTTGATGTTTGGGATAATATACTCTGGGAAGATGGCCACATTCGACGGCGTGATAACAGAGACCAACGTCAGCTGCACGAATAAATCCTTCGTCAGCACTCTTCACACAAGGAAACGAAACGACAAGCTTACCACTTGAACTAAGGTCCTCAACGCCGCCGAGCGAACCAACGCAGAGTCATCATGTAGCAGTTCCACGATATAGGGTACCATACGATCCAATTTGGCTTCATCCGTCAAGTGGCACGACAACGCCAAGAAGACGTCCAATGCTCTCACTTTCGAGCTTGGGAGTTTGCAATTCCGGATATTCGAAGTGACAGAGGCAAGGATGATTAAAGCAGGTCCATCTGGATATTGGCGGTTAAACCAATCCATCTCCAAGCAGATGGCAACGCACCTTCTAGAGCAGCTCTTCGTCCAGCATGAGTTCGAAGCTTGGAGTCGCGGTTGGGAATGTGGAGTTCGACAGGGATTACGTCCTTGTTGCACGGTAAGCCTGAATCCAAGGGAGACATGAACGTGACACACCTGGAAAGGTTTGAACACGGCCTGTACATTGGATGTGTAATCGATGTTTACGTCCATGGTGCGGTCTTCGCTTGGTTCAGGACACAGGTACGGCTCGATACTCTCATAGTCCTCCCATATTCGCTCCATTCTGTGGTCAGAATCATTAGCCAATGTCTCCGGGGTAGGCTCTGACCCTGGTGCTGAATGTGGAGCGTGAGGTCGCAGGACGGACATGGAGCCAGTAGGAAGAGTGGAACCGGGAGTCGTCGCCGAGGAGGTGCTGGAATAAGTCGAAGGAGATGGCTCGTTCAGAGTGGATATGTAGTTATGGAGGAACGAATAGAAAGTCTCGGGGAACACAGTTCCTCTCGAGGTGTGCAGAAGGCTGTCGAAGGTCGGTCGAGCTGTCGGGTCGAGATGTATCATTTCCTTGATCAGATTCTACTATCCAGTGAGTTGAATAATGCCTTTGGGTAAGATAGATGCAACCCACCCTTATACCCTCGTCTTCAATCGATGCCAACTGAGTGTCTACATTGAGTTCGCCTTCCCGATACTTGAACAACTGGCTGAGAGTAAACAAAGGAGCGCCTTCCAGGAACAACTCGGCGATGACACAGCCCGCGCTGAAGCAGTCCATGGCCTCGGTGACCTTTCCGTCACGCTTCCCCGGCGTATCCTCCATAGCTGCAATCCTCGATTTCTTCGCACTGATGTCAGGGTTGTTGGCTTGCGTGTAGAAGCGCTCAGGAGCCAAATAGCAAGTTCGCCGTCCGGAGGTGTCGAAGTAGAAAGAAAAGTCGGAAGGGTCGTCCAATGGTAGGTATGTCGGCTTGTAGGACGCGAAGTCTGTGAGGTAGACCCAGTTCCAGGATGTGACGAGGATGTTCTCGGACTTGATATCGCCATGCGAGACCTTGCGGTTGCGGGCGTCACGAAGGGCGTTTAGCAGTTGAAATGATATCCATCGTTTCTCTACCATAGTCAAGAAAGGCCTTGTACTGTACGAGGTCAGACAAGTTAATACAAAGTTGGGTTAACACGAACCTTATCCTGTCGTAGAGGTTGCTCGCCACCCATTGCCTTATAATGTATCCAGCTCTCTCAGTCTCGACAAAGACTTGATAGTTGTAGACGTTCGCAATATCCACCAGGGACTCCTTGTCATCTGTGAAGATTTAGCCTACGTTCACACTTGACTTCTCCTTGACTCACTCTTTAGTCTCTTGTGATAGTTTCGCAAGGTCAGTCCTGGGTCGGGTTTCACGAATATCTTGATGACCAGGTAACCATTTCGGTGCTTGCATTTGACCGTCTTGAGAAAGCGCGAGGAACCGAGACTTCTTTTGGTCAATAAGTCTGCCTCTTCAAGTGCAACGGCTCACCTCTTCTCATAGATTATGTCCGTCCCTAGATCCGCTACATATGAATCTAACGCGCCTGTCGTTCGCGTGAACGTCGACCCGGAGTGAACATTTCCCATTTTCTCTCGTTAGCAGATAAAGCCAGTGCTCGAGTTCTCGTTCATGGAGACAATATCTAGTGAACCCAGAGATTCAGAGACTGTGGTGGAGGCGAAGGTGAAAGGGGAGAACGCGCCAGACTTGGCTGTAAGCAACGGTGGCGATGCAATTGCAATGATCCGAAGTTCGGGATCTTCTGTGAGTCCTCGTCCTCTGGCTCAGTGGAGCTGAGTTGACTGGAACTTTCAATCCGGTCGAGTCACTTCGACCATGGGACCAGCAATGTCCCCACCCTCTGGTACCACTCGTTGGAAGCAATCCTGTAACTGATATACACCAGGTCCAGATAGTTTCCGGCGATTGTATTGGCAACCTTGTCCACATTGTCAGAGCGGTCCATGTCAACATCACCTGGGGCCCTCTCTGGTGGAGGTGCCGACCCAGAAGCCGTCTGAGACAGAATATTTACACGCTCATCCGATATACAAGGGTGTCACAAGGCCTTCTTTGCTCACTTCTTCCAACATGGCTGAAGATGCTTACGGTTGCGAGCTTGACCACATTAGAGCTTCCCTATCGGAAACGTCCCCTCCTGTAGGGGCCAGTTCCCAGAGAAACAAGTCCTCCATACCCGCTCCCATCCTATCTTCCGTGCAGGCGACAACGAACCCTTCAGGTACTTCTCCTACCGCCAGCCCCTCCACCGATACTGTTCCCGCCACTCCACCAAGCCCGACCCTTCCCTCAATCCATCTCACCATCGACAAATCACCCGATGAAATGTCCTTCAGTGACGTTCGCAATCTCGCAACTCAGTTCCAACAGCAGCTTTCTCTGGCTGATGCCGACTGGGCTGGGCTGCTTTCTATTCCCATCAACCAGTCAATCTATGAACACTACATTGAGGAAACAAGGGGAGGTGACAGGGATGAGAAGCTCAGGTGCGTCATAAGCATTCGCATACATATAACCAGTATGCTCATCATACGTTGCAGATGGACCGTCTCCCCTACTCGTGCAATCATTCAAACACCATCGAAAATCCATGAATTCTTCGGCCCCGCTTGGTCTGACATGGCCCGTTCCGTCCCCGAAGACGCATCAAAGTTCTTATCCATTGGAGGGGCATCAACCACAAAATTGTATAACAGCCTCCAAGTCCCTGATTTCGAGATCCTGCCCGAATCTAAACCTCTCCGCCTTCCAACCAACGGCGCTCTCAAACCCCTGTTTGTCATTGAAATTGGATATACCGAATCTCTCCCGCATGTCCGTAGGTCAGCAATTCACTTCCTTCTGGAGACACATGGTGTTACCGGCGTCGCTCATGTCATCAAAATCTATCCCAAGTACCTTGCGCTTGGGGATGTAACCACCGCAGCATCTTCCAGCTCTAAGCCACCGAGGCTCCTACGGGCGGAACCCCATGACATGACACCATCTGTGCTCGCGGAGCTTGAGGACAAGGATGAGGAGTATTCCGATGACGAGGAAGAGGAAGAGGCCAAGCACGACGATAGTGGCAAAGAGGAGGAGGAGCGGGCTGTGAATTTGGAAGATCCAAACAGCGTAACTGCCAACATCTCGTTGGGGGCTTCTCGGGCCTACATTGAAGAATGGCGGACATACCGCTACGAGAACCCTCTCGGTCGCTTGCCTCGCGGTCGCCACCTGAACCAGATGTTCCGGCAAGACAAGAGGCGCGAATCCGTCAAAGTCCTGCCGAGCTATTTCTCCTACCAAGACGATGGGGAGGAGGTTTATCTCCTTGGTGCTTATCGAAGCCGAGCAGTTCAGGTAAGTTGTCTGGCACCCAGCGGAAAACATTTCTCATATACTGCAACATAGTTTTACCCTATTACGCGGGACGTGGATGATAGGGGAAGCGACAGAGCTCGGAAAGCTGCGCTGGAAAGGGGCGAAACTGAAGTTCCCGCCATCCCTGATCCCACATTTTACCCCGCCACAAGCGATTCTGTGCTCGTTCGATTCCCACTTGCGACGCTGAGTGGAATGTTGAGCAGGAGGATCCAAGCGTCAGAGGTCAGCAAACGCGAGCCAGATCATGGCTCTGAACAGACGACCAGAAAGAAGATCAGAATCACTTCAAATTCCATGGCCAACCCCGATCTACACGAACATGGTCTGGCAATGTTCAACGATCTCCCTCTGGGTGACGAACCGGTTACTGATGAAGCCCCGCGGCGACGAAACAAGACGTGATGACCCATTCTTGATAGAGGATCAGGCTTATTCCAAGGGTAGATTCGAAAACCTGATGAGCCCAAGGCAGTTGCCTTCTGAGGGTCCTTAGGAGGATCCTCATTACCGTCCGTCCACCAGGAAGAAGGCCCGATGAATTTTCGGTTAACTCTGGTTCAGTACATGACAGTACACTTCCTATAAGCCTCACAGAGACCTGTTCGCATCTTTCCAACATCCCTCTTCACGCTTCATCTGTATCAAACAGCAGCTTCGCGCTACCACAGGACCCGCCTATCAGTAGCTTGAAGGGTACCATGGAGTAGAGACTTACGCTTCCATCCAGAGGTTCTGAGGGTGAGCGTACGTGTCTTTCGTGTACCAGAGGCGGTCTAGATCACGGTATGATTTGGTCAAGAGCGGATATAGGGAAATGGGACGAAGTCTACTTACGCGTTGCTGGATCAGAGCGGTAGGCTGAGATGATATGTGGCGTCAGCGTGATGCCAATGACCTCTGTGAGGTACATACCGAGCGGTTGGCTCTCATTCAAAGAGCTGTAAGCTGATGTGCAATCCGTGTAAGCCAAGCGTCATTTTCACGACTAGTCTCCCTTACCAGTTCGCCAATTATGCCTGGTGGGCTCATTTAGCTAACATATCCATAAAACGGATACCTTAAACGTACCTGATATTCGCTCTCACGAGCCTACAAACAAAACAGAGTTTTAATATCAATGCAAGTGATACCGTGACTCTTTGGCTACTTACAGGTCAGGAGGCGCAAGAGGATCCTATTCATGTCAAGTCATTGGCTGAATCTCTCAAACTCAGGAAACGAGTAACTCACAGGTTTGGCACCAGTAGTCTTCAACTCCGAGTCGAGGTCCCACCATTCGAGAACCTGGTTGCCTGCGATACCTGCACAAGGGAGAGCAGTTGGTAATCCATATCCAAGAGCCAAGCGTAACAGAAATTTACCTTTGTATTCCATAGGTTCTCCAGGCTTCCCGCCGACAATCGCCACTTTAGTGTTAAATTTCTCGCGCATAATCGCGCTGAACATTGCGCATGTCGAACCACAGGCTCCGTTTCCGACTGAAAACGAAGGGCTCGAATATGATCCTGAACCAAAGGGAAGCGTTCAAAGACATACATATGGCTACTTGGCTGCTTTGCGTTCAGTTGAAGATCTCGGACTATAGACCTGTCCGTACGTACCTCAAGTCAAAAGGAGGGGTTTCCGGTCGGTTGACGACGAACCAATCCCGACACCGATCCTGTAGAAAGACAAGGCTCAGGGGCATCGCACAGATCACACCGAACGCATGCCGTACATGAAGGAGCTGAGATGTCTTCTCAGTCTTCCCGTTTACCGTGGTGGTCAAAGAAGGTTTGAGGTAGTGATAGTTGGAAGGCATTTGTGTATCGTTCGTGAAGGCCCCTTTGTTGGAAACCATTAGCTTTGTCTGGGCACTCCTGCTGGCAAAGACTCACAGTTATCACCGGCGTAAAATGACCATTGGTAGTTCAGACGATAACCTATCACACCGTCGATGACTTTCTCTGCCAAAGGATGCGACCGGGTAGTGGAGGTGAAACCTCTTGGGACGGATATCAGTCAAGCTAGGCGTTCGACTAAAGGCAAATGGGTCTTACCCGTAGCCCTCGTCAGCAGCGAGGTATGCGTAGAGATATTGTCCCAAGCAAAGGAAGCCGCCTGCGATTCTCAGAGGTGGTTTGTAGACAATTATACACGGTCACCGACTCACCTCCATTGTTGCTCAGATCAATCAAAAGCCTTGAAGCGCCCTTTTTCTTTAGGTCATTGACAGCGAGGTAAACATCCAATTGGAATTGGTCGAAGTTGCCTGCAAAGGATCCGATGTACATGACTCCCGTCTTGTTATCCGGAAGCAGGTAAGATTTGATCACGAATGTACTGCCTTCCGTTGAAGGAACGGTCGGGAGGTATGGATCCGGAAGGGCTAGTGAAATGTGCTTGCTTGGATCCAGGACGTCGCCCTTGGGGTGTCGGACAGGGGGAACCTCTTGCTTCCTGCGGCCTTCAGGATCAGGGAGAGGGAAGAACTCTTTGAAATCCACCCCGTTGGTGTTTTCATTCGCTGCACAGTTGATTGTCCAGCTATGAAAGGTGATGAGATACGATAACCTGGTCGAAGTAGATGGGGATGACGTACAAAGATTCTCGGTCCTCAAAGGGATAGCCAATAAACAGCGCGTAGAACGGCACCCTCACATCCTCCGGCTCAGTCGAGTTGACTGGGATCAATCTCATTGGCAAATCCGGTCGAGTCACTTCGATAGGTCCAGCAAGATCCCCGACCCTCTGGGACCATTCGTTGGAAGCAATCCTGTAACTGGTGTACACCAGGTTCACGCGGATGCCATGATCCAGATAGTTTCCGGAGATCGTATTGGCAATCTTGTCCACATAGTCATAGGGGTCCATGTCGTCGATAGACAAGACTTTGGCACCAGCCAAGCGTTTCCAGTCGAAACCGATTTCGTCGAAATAGTCAGTATAATTGGTGCCCATGAGTGTCATCAACTCGACAGCATTGGGTGCGACATAGATCGAGTGTTCGTCGGTTTCTGGGTCGTAGAGAGAAGTGATTGGGGTGGGGAGTACACTTTGGTATGATGTGTAGCATTGGGGGACGTAACCTACCGAAACGAGGTCAATCGAGTCACCCGGTGAGAAACAGGGCTTTACTAACGAGTGTGAGCGTCATTCAAGCGGAGGGTAAAATCTAACACATCCTTGTGGAAGTCGTAATCATTCTATTATTCCTTTGTTAGTATGTATATCCAGCAAGAAATCAATAGCGTACCTCGTAGACAGTGTTGTTAATGCGATCGATGTGGGCTCGAATATCACTCGTCGATCCTTCGAATGGATGCGGGGAATCCAAGTAATAGTTTTCGAAAGTGTAAAAGTCGAATACGCGACTGAGTGTTGTCAAGACATTCTGTCGAATAGTCTCGTTGAACGGCCAGGACTTGTAACATGCGAGAACATCCAGAGGGCGTGCATGGGTACGACCAGCCAACTTTCCGCAAGGTTCGACATCGTCCGCTATGGCTGCTGGTGCGCCCAAAACAGTCGGGATGCTGAGGATCAGGCTTATTCCAAGGACAGATTCGAAAACTTTCATGATGAGCCCAAGAAAGTAGCTGCTAGATAGCCTTCTTGGGGTCCTTATATATCGAATGGTGACCCATCACATCGAATATCGTTTCATCTGACCAACCTCGTCGTCGACATAACCGGCTTGAGCCCTGTATTTCTCCGTTTCTTTCGACACAGGCCAAGTGGCTGGCACACGTGGCGGGGTCAGCGAAGCAATTAGAGCTTCTGGAGCTGAATTGTATCGCCTTTGAAGCTTCGAGGAAGAAGTGGGGTATTTCCGGATGATTCGGTTATCGTTGAACGGTGCGATTGGTGGATCAAGTTCAATATACGCTCACGATTCGAAAGGCGAGAAGGCACCGGGCAATTTCAACGGTACGCACACTACGAAATCCGGTCAATAACTGAGAGCATTCCTCGCCAACGAGACTACCCAAGACTTACCGACAACCAGGATAGTAACGGCTTTTTTAGAACCTCGGTCATATTGGGGTTTATCCATAGTTAGTTTCAGAACCAGAGTGCATCAGCGAAGGGGCCGTTTTCCATTTCCTCGTCGTTGGTGGTCGAAGCAAACTCGTAGAAGTAGAAGCCGATGGCCGGGCCTGGAAGGCTTTGGACAACAAAAGCAATCATTGCCCTTGCGCCAAGGTCGGAATGCAGACCGAGCGTTCTGTTTTGCTCCCAAGTGCCCAAGCGGTAGGCATAGGACATGGTTTCTAGATTTCTATACCATCCTATAAACTACAAAGAAGGGTTGGAAAAGGACCTCTCCAACAGTTCCAGAGTGCGAGCTTCAGGATCGACGCGTTCACGCGTTAATGAGCGCGTCCGTCGGCTGATTTTCTCAAACCTAAACCGTGACTCCCAGACCATTTCCCGCTAGTGTACTTCCTCACTCCAGAATCGGTGCTGTGGCTCATTGTTCGCTGCCTTTCGGCTTGCTGACTTCACGCAAGGCAATTTATGTGACTGACGTGCTGAGTTAGATCCCAGGACTCAGTACTCACCTGCAGTTTCTTGCTGATGAAGTAGCTGAGAGCCCTTCCTCCTTCTTCCACTGACCGTTCCCCTACCAGTATCGTTTTGGTCAGCGCATGGTCATACTGAATGCCAATAATTTGCCAGTATCCCTTATCGCTGTTCTCGAAGCCTTTGGACAACAAAGGCAAACTGTGATAGGGGTTCCCACACCGATTGGTCTTCGTTCCGACTTCGAAGTTGCAGTCGCCTGTCAGACTCGTGCCCGACCTGAAGCCACTAGGATGGTATTTGTCTTGTTCTTGCGCTTTAACTAAGAGAGAAAGACGACTGACATTGATCTCTACTCCAGCGGTCATGACTTGACACGTGAATTTGTTGTTGAGGAACGGGGAATTGCATAAAAGTTCGCCGGCACGTTTGGATCTTTAGCCGACATCCCCCTCTCTTCCCCGCACCACCATTGCCTATTTAGCGCCCGGTACAGACCAGGAGTCAATTATACCCCGCAATGTCCTCGAAACACCCTTCATATCCACAGGTTCCTGTGCAGCCTTGGGAACCCGTCGACATCCGGCCGCTGTTGCCCATCTACCCTCCGCCAGAGCCCCTTGAATACCCCGACCTACCAACCCCACAACGCAAGCCCAACCTCGGTGCCCCCTTCGAACTTACGACACACATCATCCCTGCATGTTACCTACGCACTGGACGCTTTGAACCCGTTCCGCCTCCTCCCCCGGAAGGGATTTCGAAGGAGGAACGAAGTAGACATATCCAACGAATGAAGGAGGAACTTAGATTCGAGAGAGGTCCCTTGCGGACGGATGGTTACCCCAAGGTTCTGTGGAACTGCATCAACCGTTACTCTCGCAAGGGTCTAAACCCTGAGCAAGAGACCGGGCTTACTCTATTCTTCGCGCATGCCAATGGTTTCCCTAAAGAGGTGGGCTATACGTTCCTTATCCAAGTCGCACGACTGACATTTCACAGATATGGGAGCCCACAATAGCCAAACTGTTGTCCTTACCCTCTAGCAACTCGATTGACGAGATATGGACCTGGGAATCGGTTCAACACGGCGACCCGGCGCTCATAAACCGTAACTCAATTTCCAAATACTGTAAGCCACATCCCTCATCTCAATCGGCCCTCACAGCCTAACAACATCTCAAGTCGACTGGCAGGACAACACCAGGGACATCGTCAACTTCCTTACCAACTTCCTCCCCGCTCGATCCTCTGCCCGCTCCCTCCCTCTCCACCTCAAACGCATCCCAGAGACCGAATCTCTACATAGAAGGGACCATGGCTTCCTCAATCGGCGAATAATGGTGGTCGGACACTCCTACGGCGGTTGCACCTCGTAAGTTCCCATCTTCTTCATTAGCCAATCCATTGACACGCCTCGCGAAGCACACTTGCCGTCGAGAATTTTCCGAAACTCTTCTCCTCTCTTGTTCTGATCGACCCGGTGATGCCCAAACCGTTCCCCACGGCCGAAGTCGCCAGAATAGCTCACGAGAAGACAGACGCTCTGTTGACCGGGTCGCTTGCAAGGCGTGATGTTTGGAGCTCGAGAGAAGAAGCACTTGCTTCGTTCCTCAAGAACCCTTTTTTCCAAGCATGGCACATCGACGTGTTGAAGGTTTACGTGGAGGCAGGGTTGTACGATAGCACGGATAGCCAAGGGAATCCTGTGGTCAGATTGAAGATGCCGGGAATTTATGAATCCATCATCTTCGCTGAGAGGACGGTTGGAGCAGAAGCGTATCAGGGCTTGGCTACCATCCCAGAACGCATCCCGATACGGTGGATCATGCCTGGCAGGGAAGATGCAGACGAGTTTGGGGCACCTGGCGCAACTCAGGAAAGGTGTTGGACGAGACCAGCTAATTCAAGTAACGTCAAGATTACCGGGGCAGGTCATTTGGTGCGTCCATCTATCTTCATTTTTATTATCACTCTTCTTATGACACGTTAAAGATTGCTCAAGAAGCACCTATCGACCTGGCGGAGGACCTCGACGGGTTTATCCAACGCACTTACCCATGTCTTTCTCCAGGATCGCAGATCGCCCTTCGTTCAAGTTTGTAAACAATTTACTTGCGAAAAGGGCAATAGAGTTTCGAGGAACAGAATCAAGAGGCATCAAACACAGAAAAGTGGTACACAGAAACTATCTAAGCCTAAGCCAACGAGACATACCGAACGCTCGCCTTCCCCTTCGTGGCCCGCTTCCACTCCTCAGTCACCACCTTGCTCTTCACAGCCGCCGACAAATACGGCATCAACTTCTTCACCCCGGCCTTCGCAAATATCGCTGCCCTCTTCTCCGCATCCTTGTGCAACTTGAGGCTTATATCGCCCGCCGGCATCGCCTTGATTCCTTGCTTTTTGGCTGCCTTAAGACACGCGACGAGAGGGTCGAACGCGTCTTTGGAAGGAGCCTCGGCTGGGATGGAGGCCTCCCGGTCGATAATGGCGGGGCGGAAGGGCAGGTCGGAGATGATTTCAGAAGTCCACCTGAACTGTCCTTTGAGTTTACAATTGAAGCGCAGATTGTTGGGGTGCATCTTTCCGGCCGTGATTAGTACGATCTGGTGGGAGCGGGCTAGAAGCTGGGAGAGGAGGTAGGAAATGTCGATGCAGCCTTTCATGATGATCACGAGTGTGAGTGGTGACGGTTGAATGCACGCCGCAAGGACGTCGACTGTTATGAGGAGAGAGGCGGAGGTCAGAAGAACGCCCGTACGTTCGCGGAGAAGTGAGCATACGAACCAACCATCCGCTGCATGTTCTGAGGTCGTTCTCCAGTTGGGCGCGAACAATATGTCAGCGAGACTCCTGAGAGCTGTAGCTCTGAGCGGATAGCTCTATGCTCAGCAGAGAATTCTTCTTCTCCAAGATATGCCTTGAACAAGGTGACAACACCCGAGTCCTGCACCTTCTGCGTAATGGCGGATGTCACCGCGTAGCCAGTCGTGTGAAGGGGTATTTTGCAGGCCTCTGTATAAAGGGGCCAGAATCAGGGTCTTTGAAAGGACGTATAAGCATCGGTTGAAATACCTGTATCCCAGAATATGTTCACCACTTTTGGGACCTGGGCGGGGCAATATGGAGAGGGTACCGTTGACACGTAGCAGCGCTCCATGGATGTGAAGAACAAACCTGTCCCTGCGACCTATGGCCTAGTATAGACTTCCGAAGTTTATGGTTAGGTCACCTCACCCTGCCTCTTGAAGGGGCTTAGTTCTGCCCCTGCCAAACAGACTTTTCGGTCGTAAGCGCCTGCGGGGATTATGTGGCGACAAAGATGTGATGGTAACAACGCATACGCGCCTTCACCTGAACCAAGAAATGAGGCTAGAGCTAAGGTATGTACAGTATGATACGACTAAACAAAACTATGGACCTACGGACTAATGTGCAAGTAATCTATCCAACCGGGTGTACCAGTAATTACAGTCCAAAATATTCGAGGGTATCCAGAAGCCAGAGTCCAAACGCTAGATGAATCTACAATGCAAATCACCGACCAGAGAGTACTACTTGTCCAACTTCCCCGTAGAGAGCAGCTACTTCAACGGGAATATAACGCAATATTTGTCGGGAATATCGGCAGGACCAATCCAACCAGCCTCAGAGGCGGCACGGACGAATTCGAGAGTGTCCTTGATGTCCATGGCTTCAAGGCCCTTTCGACCTCCAAGAGCTCTCCGGACGCGCTTGACGGTCGGCTTTTTGCCATGTGGGTCCCAATCCCTCAGGCACTTGACGAGGCGTTTGAATACTTTACGAGGTGCATCCGAATATCTGATTCGCTTGGTGTTGCTCTCCGAGTCGTCATCGTCCTCCGGGGAGCGAGCTCGCTTGGATGGCCTAGGGCTGCGAGCCTGAGTGAAGATGTCGAAAGGCGGTTGACTGGAGGAGCGGGATGCGTTGTTCCTCGTGTCATCTTCCTTGTCTGTATCTGTACTGCGGTTTCCAACCTGGCTATCGTCTTCGTCCTCTTCGTCCTCTTCGTCATCTTCATGGTCGACGTTCAGCTCAGAAACAGGACCTGTAAAGAGTTGTGAGGCCCGATTGTTGAAATGGAAGAGGAAGGTCTAACCAGTGGAGCTGATCCTACTGTAAGCCTCGCGCTCGGCGGCATCCAAGGCTTCTAATGCTGATATGTCAAGAGAGATTTCGTCAAATTCATATTCGGACTCCTCCGAATCACTTGCGAGAATTATGGGTGAGCTTAGTGAGCCCTTTCCAAGAGATGAAGGCTTGCTACGCGATTGAGCATGACCATCGATAGTTTGATCACTCACGGCATGGGTAGACCTCGGTGTGGACCGTTCGCCTTTCCGGTTGGATGAGGCGGTAGGTTCAAACTCATCCGAACTGACCGACCCGCGTTCAGCTCGAGGCTTACTGGCAGGGGCTGCTGCCTGAACGACATTTAGAGGGTTGGACCTCGTCGTCGGCTGCTGCCATCGCACTGGCTTCTTTGCAAGAAGTTCAGCTCGTTTAGTCACGCTATCCCAAGTGCGATAGGTCGCCGAGTGAATGGTCATGCCCGGGTGAACCTCATTTCGACGGATGAGAACCACGTCATAGCCTCTCAGACACAGCGTCGCCACGGCGTAAGAGTAATCCCTGTCCTCAGAGACGACGACGACTGTCGCGGGCGCTGGGTTGTCGCATGCAAAGAGGATCATATCTACTAGACGAAGGTCAGGGCATTTAAGCGGAAAAGGCGTTAGAACAGACCAATCATCATCTTATCGACAACCTCCTTGCGCCCGGCGTGCTCACAGTCGACCAGCGTCATGCCCATTGCCTGAAACTGGTCACGGCGGGCAGGGCGCATCGTCGCTATTTGCAAGTAGGCCTTGAACTCCTTAATGGAACCGTATTGCTCGCCAATTTCGCGAAAGGCGTGGGGATAGCCGTATCCATTGTTCTCAAAATTCTTAGGCGGGAGGTTTTCTGCATCGTGACGCGTCATTTTCTGCGCTGGCGCAGAAGCGAGATTTGACACTTACCAAAGTCCCAGAAGAAACCAACCGAATTTGTTGGGCGAATTGTGCCCATTGATGCTGACATTGTGTGGTTGGTAGGAAGACAAGATGCCACGTCTTCACTTTCGACCAAACGCGGGTGAGAGGGCACTTTAGGGGAGGTCAATTCTGGTTTTTAGAGCGATTGGCTGGACAAGGTACCAAGCCTGGTGTTCAGTCACCTCCGTCGTGGGGGACCGATCGGAAATTGATCGAAACTATATGTTCTCAAGCGAAGTAAGAACTGGTATCTTTTGAGGAGTCAGAGAACATATCTAGAAATTAAGCTATTTACTGACCGAAAGCCGTTGCGACCCCTTGTATCTGACATTCAGATAGGATTGGCAAAGTTACAGAGCCCAAGAACATAGGTTCGCGGTGTAGAGCCATCAGCGATCACCGCGTTTTGATGGACACGGCCACTTCCCGTCGACGCGGCCGCTTCCCTTTCGATTTTTTTCAGAAAACTATTTCCCTCTGCAGTTGTTCCGACCATGCTATCCCAGAAGAACATATTCGCCTTTCTTGTCTTGTCTTGACAATTCATCCCGGCGGCAAGGCAGAGGGAGAAGTTTCATGGTCTGTAAAGGTGAGCGCGTTGGAACAATATTTGCTGATTGTTTTCAATCGTCTTGAAACAGTTGTATTTCGACGACTTGCCTGAAGAGCCGCTGTTTACCTGCGGCCCCTTTCTCTGCTATCGACGGCGACCTTTCTTCACCAGGGAGCTGGCCTCTGAACACTCTATGTGTTACCTGCTCATACTTGAGTATCGCGGCCCAACAACCGTTACACAGCTAGATGGTTCTACTCGGCCGGGATCTGACTCAGGAATGCTCGACGAAACCTGCTGCTCTTGGACCTTGGCTCGAACTCTAGACGACGGGAACTTGACCGCACAGGACGATATGATATATGTTCCATCTCGCACTTCCTCTACGAAGGACTGCAACTCCCTGCCTCACTTCATCCGGTTTCTGCGAGCTGAAGGACATTGGGGTGTCCACATCAGGCTGCTTCTCCTAGGTCGAATCTAGGGCGCGTTTGCCCAACGCAAAAGGCTTGGGAAAGAATTTGGGTAGAGTAACGCCGTCACGGCCGGAGCCTCGCTACTTTCCGAGAATGGACTGTGGCCTGCCTCCATTGTCTACTTCCACTTCAGTTTCCTAACACGGCTTCCATGGATTTCGGGGTGACAATGGATGATGCGGCTATGGCACTTTGACGCCTGGGCTTTAAATACGCTCCTCCGTTTCCAAGCTTCAGCCACCACCATCTACCCGCCTTAGCCTCACTGTCAAGCCTATCCCATCGCGCTCTTTGTCCAGAACCACCGTGACAGGCAAGCGATGTCGAGCTCAAAGAGTCCGCATCGCGCCGCTGACCCTATCATTGGGAAAGATACCCGTCGACCTGCCCTGTCCGAAATCACCAACTCCGAAAGGGCTGCGCAGACCACGCCTGTTGATATCAAGGCTGAAGAACCCGCCGCCCAGGACGCCGATACTCCACCCTCCACTGAGGCTGAGGCGCATGGGCCTAAAGGCGAGAATAGACCTCGCTTGACCATTCGCATCCCACCAAGTGCTACGACTACTAAGGTGGAGTCCGGTGCAGCGACTCCCACTGGAGACAAAACTCTAATTGCTTCTGACGACGAGAAGACCGTTCCGGAAGGCAAAACCCGACCCGCTCTGGTCATCAGGATCCCGCCTCTTAAGGACGTCGCTGCTGCCGGCAAAAAGGGGAACGAAAAACCCTTGACTATCACTATTCCCCCGCTCCGTCGCGTATCAAAAGCTTCCTCGACAACTGAACGAAACTTGAAGCGCAGTCGCTCTCATGTCCCAGACGTAGTTCCCGACACACGTCTCCCCACTATCATCATCCCCAGCAATAACCAAGACCCCTCGCGGGAAACCAAGCGACGAAAGTTTTCCTCTATTCTGGCGGATAATCGTGGCACAGAGCCCCTTAGCGCGGGGGGAACCAGCGACCCTGACGATACTGGTGAGGAAAGTGACGAACCGGAGATCGAACCGGCCACCGCTCAGGAGGGCGACGAAAAGGAAAGCGGTCAAGAGGCCGAAGTCAACGATGCTGGAAAGAATGAAGGCGACGTCGAAGACGAAGAGTGATTTCACAAATAAGACTGTCATACCACCAATGTTCCAATTTCTCTTTTACATTTCTGTATGTTCATATGTATATATCATATATGTAGCCCTAAAACGACCTTATTCAATGGACATCCAGCTTCAGCGCCTGATATGATCTTGGTTGATACACAGGTAGGTGCATTTCCGTCTTCGGCTGTCACACTGTCGGCGCTGTTGGATATTGAATCTTCGCGCTGCGTATTGCTGAAAATCCATAGGTATTGTTCGGGAAGGTACCTTTGATTCATTTATGGTTCAAAAACTCCTCTTTCAACTGGGATCCACTGAGGTCAAAGATAATCCGGTCACCACTAGCTGATCCACAGTGGGCGCCTCGTATGAGCATTGCCCCCAGATTTTAGGAGAGTGTTTGAACGATTTGACTCGTGACTTTAGGTGCTACATTTGACCAGCAAATTGATATTGTCAACTGAGATCGGTTGGGACTTCCGCCTGTTGTCAACGGCATGTGTGAGCCCTTAGTTACCTCATTTCGCACAAATTAACGTTTCAACCAACTTCTAGGTCTCGCCATTCGAAATGTATTTTTCTCCACCAAAACATCGCAGCGAGCCACTCCATCCCATTTCCACCAGTTTTGAGTGAACTCGTCCCTTTCCGCCCAGGGAAAAAGTCGGGACTCCAGATTAGGCAATGATCCGTCTCGGACATGAACCGCCCGCCATCCACGATGCCGACGCAGTCCGCGACCCTGAGGTTGTTACGTTGCACCAATGCAATGCCCCCAGCAGCAGGCCATGGACTCGTGTAGGTCCTAGCCCCTTTATACCATATATATCTCGGTGGACGGCTTCCCAGCTCGTGTTGATGTTGAACGTCAACCTTATCCTTGTTTTTTGAACTTCGAACCGACATTATATCGACATAGAAGGCGCTGGCGACCCCACAACACGACACGAGTTCAAGTTCGTTCGACTGTCGGTTCGAATCAATGGCAGCTTCACCACACGTTGTTGTGTCTTCGTCTTTCTCTAGTTCGACTGCTACGATGAGGATGAGGACAAGCTCTGCCCCAACCGTACCACAAACGACGACGGCCATACGCAAGCCACCTATCAGACAGGTAGAAAAGGGGCCTCGTGGAGCTCGGCCTCCGCTCGCTACCCTTTCCCAAAATTCGGGGTCGTCCAAAGTGAAGGCTGGCCCTTCAACCTCATCCAAACCCCCAATGTCAACGTCGTCTATGGCTGGCCCAAGCTCATCTACTTCCCCACCCAAGAGGAAACCAGCACCTCTGAACCTCGATGACTCCATCGACCATGTGGTCCTCTACACATTCAAGTTCAAAAGAACAGCATCACCATCTCTAGCGTCCGCTCGACCTTCTGGTGCTCGAAAACCCCTATCGAATGCTCGGATTCGGAGGAAGCAGGGATCGGTCGCGAGTTTGGGTGACATGGGACTAGACTTGGGGAGGGTTGGGCTGAGTTCGGCTGGCGTAACAACTTCCCAACCTGTAGTCAAATCGACAGAGACACCGACGTGGGCGACGAGATATCCTGCTTCAGCTGCAGCAGCCTACCCGCCTCCAAGCTCAGCCTTCAGTGTCCGGCCCCTGCCTCCAATATCATCATCATCTGCGATCACTCCGCCCCCTGGCAGAGTCGGCAGCCCGGGTATCAGACCACTTCCATCGTTACCTCCTACACCCCTTATCCGACCTCTACCCCGCCTTCCAGCAACATCAAGACCTATTGAGGGGCCGCAATCACCTGTTGGCAGCACCTACACCAGGGCACCCACACCTCCACCTCCTTTCTCTGACTTTCCCATCCAAGGTTCGAGGACGATAGATGTCGAAGATGGAAGAACGACGCCCCCTCCACCATTCACCGACTACCTTGACGCTCCCGCAGCAGGGTCGTCGACCGCCCATGGTTCGTCCGAACAGTTAGGACCGTTACCAGCCGAAGGGGAGGAAGAATCCGATTCCTCAACACACATACACCTCGTGTTCGCTGCCTCGTGTGTTCCATCCTCCACAGGCACAAGCACAACTGTCGCCAACTCCACACCTTCTCCCCGTACCCTTCTCTCACCCCCACTTCTCCGACTCGACGTCTCACCCAAAACCCTCCGGCGAATCAAAGGAGCAGCTATTTCAGCGACGGAGATTGAGCGCAGTATCCTCGCTGACCTGTTCCGAGAGAAGGTTATATCGGAAGATTGCGAAGAAGGCAAAGTGGGTTGTGGGGTTGTGGGCGGTGATGGGGTTACCGTGGATGACATTGGTGTATTGGGCGGTCGTGATCAGGAAGGGACAAAAGAGGGTGTAAATGGGGAGGCAGAGGGTGGGGAAGACAGCGCTGGCGGTGGTGGTCGTGGCTGTTTGGGTGATCAATCAGAGGGTGGAGAAGAAGAATCGACGCCCCTATCATCGACTGCGGAAAGCGGACACCTTGGAGAAAGTGCTGGGTTCTTCTGTGAAGAGATTCTGGCTCGGACTGGGGGACGTGTTGCGTCCGACTGCGAGAGCATCTTGACGCCTGTCACGCCTCATTCCGAGAGGAGGAATACCGTTCTGAGCTTCGTGAGCTACTGCAGTACGGATGGGCACGATGTAGATAAGGACGACGAGGGCATGTGGGAGTGGATCATCAAGGACGGGGTGCTGCGCCAGTCGTTTTTCCAGGAAAAGTCGCTGCGGCTGAGCGCCTGTGGAAAGTATTGGTGAATTCAATTTGAGACTGGCTTCTCGCTGCCGTTACGACTTTTATAACGATTTTTTTCTTCCGCATCTATACCGCAATTCTTCCAAATTTCTCCATGCACATTCAACATCACACCTAGAGTCATACAACCGTAATAGCATTTTCTAGTTTTACTTACTACCAACCCAACTACTTGTTTCAACGTCCACCCTGGTACCACTTTGAGGAGAAGAGGCGAGAAGCGATGCTTATCAGACGTGGATGTGACACGACTGGGGTAGACTGCAAGTTGAGAAACATAACGAGAGGCTGTTACGTGGCTTCTAAAGGTTGTTTTGTCGCGCAATTCAGCCACGAGACCTTGGGAGAGAAAAAGAGAATTCCGAGTCATAATCAGCGGGGACCAAACATGCGGGGGCGCTGGGCACGAATGCTGTTGAGATGATCGGCAAGGGCGTTCAACAACGTGGGCAATGAGCAAAAGGATAGCTTGAGAATGTGGTGGACGATGAGGAGGTGGGTGTCGATGGTGGACGTTGGGGACGAAGTTGGGTTGGTCGTTGTTTGGTCCGGCATCGCTGCCACGCGCGCCAAAGCTCTGCCCGTTCTCAATCTCCTACATCTTCCTCGCCGTTGTCCAATCTTTTTTCTGCGTCGCCGCCGCCTCTGAACAGCGACCACGTATGTCGGGGAGACCTCCTCCAAAGGGTCCTAGGGCTCTGTCGGCGGCTGGACCATCGTCCTCGTCGACGGCACCGTCCTCGAGCTCGCTGTCTGTCCATGGCCCACCTCCTTTGCCGTCCCAGCGCCCTCCACCAAGCTCGCACTACTCAAAACCGATTCCAACAGGGCCTCGAAGCCTTCACTCGACAACCAGGTTTTCCCATTCGAGTCCCAAAACACCGTATAATGGGTTCAGCAACAACAGCAGCTTTGTAAACTCCGCTGGACCAAGCATGCCCAATGGCTTGAATGTCAGAGATTCACAGAGCAGTCGATATTCGTCCTCAACAAACGGTAAAAAGACAGAAATCGTGTCTGAATCGACGGTTAGCTACTCAGACTCTATTTACCCCAGACCAAGATTGATTGACTTTTTTTATGATTTCTTTATATTTGGTGTGTACAGACCCGGCAACCAAGCGACTCACAGCGACTGAGCTGGTCAGAACCGACAACAAATGGAATTGCGCCGTCAAACTCGATTCCAGAGACTCGTCCTTCGATTTCAATACCAATTCCGAGCTCGAGTTCAAGTTTGGCGGCGCTGCCTGCAAAACGAGCTTCAGTACAAATAGCCTTGCCCTCGTCGTCGAGCCGTGGCCCACCACCACCTCCGCCCGACGAACCACCCCCGCCGCCGCCTCCTCCGTCTCAACCTCCGCCCCCAGCGCCGCCTCCACCCGAGCCATCGCCGTCTCTGCCCAAACCACCACCGCCGCCGCCGACTTCAATACGACCGCCCTCGCCGAAATCCCAGCCCCCTCCTCCGCCCCCGCCACCCCCGCAAACTCGACCTCCTTCCCCACCAAAATCGATTCCACCTCCGCCACCACCTCCAACGTCGAATCCCGAGCCTCCTCCGCCCCCGCCACCCTCTGTTCCAGCACCTCCTCCGCCAGAGTCACACCCGCAGCCTGGGCCATCTACACGAATACCTCCGCCATCGTCACAACCCCATTCGCCAATACGAAGTCGTCCCATTGAGCTGCCGCTTCCCCCCAAACCGGTGCTCTCAGAACGCCCCCATCCTCGGATTCACTCGCCCCCTCGCGGCTCGTCGTCACGAAACCGCTCTCCGAGGCCTCGCTCGCGATCACGACCGCCCCACCCATCTTCTTCACGACCTCGGTCCCGTTCTCCCCGTTCGTGGTCGAGGTCGCCGTCTCCTGGACCACGGTACCACTATGATCGTCGGCGGTCACGATACTCACCACCACCCCGTCGGGATCGAGACCGTGATTGGGAACGGGATCGGGACTACCGACGTCCTTACCGGTCTCCACCACCTCGAAGGCCAGATTATCCGCCTTCAAGTCGTCTACCTCCTCGACCACTGTCACCACGACGGGAACGTGAACGGGAGCGAGACCGGGAGCGGGAACGGGAACCACCGCCCCAACCACCCACGCCGCGCACACGATCGCCGGAGAAGGAGCCTGAGCCGCCTCAAAAACTCTATTCCCTACCACCTCCACCAGAATGGCCACCTCCAGGGTCGAGCGAATACCCCAAGGACGAGCGGACGTTCAAAGTTCTCTACGACGCAGCTGTGGATGTTAATATGGCTAGCCATCCATCTTTTGTCTCCAACTACTCGAAACTCCCATCCTATTACCGCAGTCTAATCGACCACCTGAAGAAACACGCGTCATCCGAGGTCCAGCAGAAGCGGTTACAGACGACGGGGAAAGGAAAAGGGAAGGAGAGTGTGGTGTTGTATAGGTATGAAGGAGAGGTGATCACGACGAAATCGGAAGAGGATGGGTTTATGGAGGAGGAGCCTGTGCCGACCGATCCCAGGAAGCTGGAGGGTGTGAAGGCCATTCGACAGTATCGAGGGTATAGGGAAGAGCTAACGCAGGTGCAGTACGAGGTGAGTAGCTAGCACATCTCGAGATTTACCGGTTTAAACTGACCGATTTACTCCCTAGTATGACGAACACTCCAGTGGCCCTCCACCGCCCACCGCGGTCCTTTTCACCAACCTCTCCCCTCTGACCTCAAACAGCGACCTGAAACGGCACCTTGGACAATATGGCCAGATAGTCTCATTCGACCCACAGATCGACCGGGAAAAAGGAAGCGCACTCGGAGTCGTACATGTCAGGTTCATGACGCACGAAGAGGCTAGGCGGTGTCTGGAGAAGGAGAATGGACGGAAGGGAGGGTTAAAGAATATGCAAAGGGAGGAAGAGTGGAACGTGGTGTTTGACGGTGAAGGGAAGGTACTTCAGTCGTACAAAATCCTGTTGGATCAGGCGAGGAAAGACGAGCGAAAGCCAACTGGACCACCAGCAGTAGGGCCAGGACCAGGACAAAGACCGAGGCTTCCGAATGGAATACCGAGCACAAGTTCCCTGCCTGCGAGGCCTACCGGTGGCAGTACGCCGCAAACACCCATCCATCCCTACTCTAGCCATGGGCCACCACCACCGAAGCCACCCCACCTACCCGCGAGCGTGCCCCCGAACCCCATGCATGCAGCTCAGCAGTCTCACTCGCATTCCCATTCGAGCACACCCAATGATCGACATTCCAGATCCTACCATCCCGACCGTGACCGCGACCGTGGGGACAAACGTAGCCGTGATCAGCGTCTGACTCCTCTGCAGCCACCTTCAGGCGAAGCTCCTATCCCTCACGCGCTGCTCAGGGCGAAGGAACAAGTTCTGCAGAAACCTGCCACAGATGAGAAAGGGTCGAAACCGGATATTGACAATGCCCGTGGCATGCACGTCGACTCACCTTCAACGAATGCCCGTGAACCGGCTCAACCAGGCCAACCGTCTTCATCGTCCCTTTCGACGTCTGCCACCGCTGCTCCAGCCGAGAAGAAGCCCGTCATTCCAGAGATCTCGGAAGAGGAGAAGGCCAGGGAGAGGGAGAGAGTGATGAGAGAGTTGGCGAGCATTGGGAAGGAGTATGTCCACGTTCGGTTCCCTCCCCATGTGAATCCCAATACTCTGAAGGAGAGCAAGATTCGGCCATATTTTGACAGCTTCGGTACGGTCCCGGACAAGGTGAGCATCCGTTTGTTTGTTTGCTCTTTGTGCCCTCGTGAATTGGACCGTTTCTTTTCTTTCACCTTCCCTTTTTGTCTTTTCTTACCTTTTTTGTCAAATCTCATCCGTACTTCCTAGATCCTTCGCAACTTTGAAGGGGCATATGTTACCTTTGCTAAACCCGGATCAGCCGTTCGAGCTTCGATCTTGCTAGCCACGGTGCCTCTTCTGGCACATCGCGTGAAACTCAGCCATCACCTGCCTCCTCCTCCTCCCCCTCCTCCAGCATCTGAATCCACAACAACGCCACCCTCTACAACATCAACCACGTCCCCATCTAATTATCCACCATGGACTCCCGACGATGCCAAGAAGATCCTGGACCAAGCTCACGAACTAATTGTGAACGAGGTCAAGGCCTTGCTAGAAAAGGAGCTGAACGACAAGTTTATCTTCAACGACGTCAAGCAGGCCATGATTGAAGAAAAGACATCTCTAGCGAGCAAAAACGAGCAGCAAGCGGCGGCCTCGAGGCCCAAGGTCAAGATGGGCTTGAAGGGGCTGTCGTTCAAGAAGCAGAAGAAGCGGGTGGTGGAGGAGAAGAAACCGGTGGAGGAGGAAGAGGTCGTGGAGAAGAAGGAGAGGAAGGACAAGAAGGATAGGAAGGATAGGAGTGATGAGAAGGCCGTTTCTGCGGATGTGGAGCAGGAACAGGAGATGGAAGAAGAGGAAGAGGAAGTTGACCGTCGACCAAGGAAGAAGGCCCGGAAGGATGTCAAGAGACCCTCGAGGATCGTCGATGATGACGATATCGAATCAGAGGATGAACCTGAGGACTCTCGACTTCGCGCCGACTCTGCAGCTGTCGAAGAACCTCGACGTAAACGTGCTACCTCCGAGATCCAAGAGGACGATGACGAAGCTGAGGTGGAACAGCCTGTCAAGAAGAAGGTTAAACTTGAGGCCGGGACGACGAAAGGGAGGAAATCGAAGAAATCGAAGAAGGAACGTGCAGTTGAGGTTCTACATGTTGACGAGAACGACGACGAGGCTCAGCCTCCAGCCGTGGCCAGGATTGTCGTCAGATCGGACCTTGAATCCACCACGTCTCGCAGCCCATCCCCTACCTCGCGGCGTCCTACACGTGCAGTCACTCCCCCTCCGACGCCACCTCCCAACCCTATCGAACTCGGACTATGCGAAGACGAAGAAGATTTGTACTTTGCCAAACTTGCTTTGGCGGGATATGATCCTTCTACGGCAGTGGCACAGGAAGAGGCACCGGCAGCAGGAGCGGAATCAGCACCGGAACCCTCGGAGCCGACGTCCTCGAGGAAGCATCTTACCGGATCGGCTCGAACGGAAGGGTTCTACAAGATCACGAAACAAGACAAGGCCATGTATCTCGAGCAGTACAAGTCCAAGGCTGCAGCAGAGGTCATACCCTCCGTCCCAGCGGCTGAGAAGCCACCTCCTCAGCAAGTCATGTCGTCCCGTTCGAACCGTGCTAATGCCCGTCGTCGCGCGGCTGGTCTGGAAGAGATCAACCAAGTCCAGAGAGCGGTGGCGTTGTCCAAGGGCGAAACTGCTGCTAGTGAGCTTACGTTCAAGTTTAACCAACTCCAGACGAGGAAGAAGCATTTGCGGTTCTCGAGGTCGCCTATTCACGATTGGGGTCTTTATGCCATGGAGAAGATTTCAAAGGGTGAGATGGTGATCGAGTATGTGGGAGAGGTTATTCGTGCGCAGGTCGCAGATAAGCGGGAGAAGACGTATGAGAAGCAGGGGATTGGAAGTAGTTATTTGTTTAGGATTGATGAGGAGTTTGTGGTGGATGCCACGAAGAAGGGCAATCTTGGGTACGTGGTATGGGCTGTAGGGACGATTGTTCTGGTTCGCTAATGCTTCTGATCGCCGTAGACGATTGATCAACCATTCTTGCGACCCTAATTGTACGGCCAAGATTATTACGATTAGCGGGGTGAAGAAGATTGTCATCTATGCGAAACAAGATATTGAACTTGGCGAAGAGATTACCTATGGTATGTTCGTCATGTGTCCATCTAACTTGCCGTTATTAACCTTGGCAACTTGCTAGATTACCACTTCCCCATCGAACAAGACAACAAGATTCCATGTCTATGCGGGTCGGCCAGGTGTCGCGGGTATCTGAACTAGAGTTCTATCCACGATGGGCTTATGCTTTTATGTGTTATGCGGTCACGTCTTTTTCGGCTCAATCCACCCTTGTGACGAGGTATTTTTACCTCCTCGACGCTTTAGGCGCGTGCCTACCTTTCGATGTCTATTCCTTTGTTTCTTCTTTTTCTTTTATTTCTTCATCTTTGGCTCCTTCCCATTCTTATGTGTGTTTCTATACCCATAGCTCCAACCATCTCCCCCGTCTCTTTTGCATGTTGTCAATGTTCTTGTTGCACATCCCCTGACGCCCTTGCTCTAGCACAATCTGTATTCTTACTTATTTCCCTTATGTTTGATATACTGCATTTTTTCCGCCCATGTACACCGAATTGACGATATTGTGAAAGCAGATCATCCAGAGGAATAGGGACATGAACTTTGAATAAATCGTAAGGCTATTATTACATCCAGGATAGAGTTACAGAACAGGCCGGAAGCAGCAACAATACATCAGAATCAGTGGGCCCCGTTAGTCGTTAGTCGTTAGCGCGTTAGCCCGCAACCAGGTACAACAGGCGAGGTTCTAGGGTTAATTTAGCGAGACCGAGAAATCTTTAGAATATTTCTTTTTTGCCCTGGAGCAAACACCATGTTTGATCGCCAGTTCAATGTACACTCTTGAACAAGTCCTCCTTCTCCTTTGTTCCAAGTTTCCGGAATATACGCGTGTGAGAGACTATATGGTGCCCTCGATCCAGCTCGAATTTCAGGCATTAGGGTGTTTCACGCTCGCTTTTTCGAGCGTTTTTCGACGCCTTTTTGGGAACCTTCTTCTGAACCTTTTTTCGCCTTTCTGGTCGCGTTTCGACATTGACCTCGTTAAGATCGTCTGTGTCGTCTGTGTCGTCGAAGAAGAGGCGAAAGCTGACAAAGGAGGGGCCACTTGAGAGTTCGATGGTAGTGATGGCCCATGGCCACCAAAGGCGAAGGCATGTGATCCCGGTTGTCCCAGAGAAACAGAAGGAGCGACAGTCTGAGAGGAAGACGCAAGTGGTGGTGAATTCGGCAGGGCAGCCCTGAAAATATCATCCCAATGGCCGATGCAACCGACAGGGTTCAAAGCACCAGGAGAGTTGCCGCCAACGACAAATGCCAATTCGTAGCCTCGTTGCCTGAGCTGTGAGAGTTGGTACCCCCATGACGAGATTTGGGACGCGGATGTGATGATGATGACTTTGCACGACAAGTGGTCCTGGAGGAAGCTAGTTATGTTGGCTGAAACGTGTCAGTTTACAGGCTGTTTGAACGCGAAGATAATGGGCTCTCACCCATCATGACTGCAGCGTGATCATGAGCGGTATGCCCTCCGTATATCATTGAGAGCCCAGCATGCTGCATCTGCGATCTACGCTCGACGCTGCTCAAGGGCGGCTGTTTGATCGATGTTCCAAGGTATCCGTTCAAAGTGATTATGGGACCAAGGTGCTCGAGTTTCTTTCGTATTGCGTCCATGACCTGGTAGCCACTCAACCCGGCGGGAGGAGGGCAACGTTCTTTCAGCAAAAGACAATATACCAATATTAGCGAGTGCGAATGGTGAGTTTGAGCTCCACAGACCTATATTCCAGAAAACGCCGATATCCTGAGACATATCGATCGATACTTTCTTTCTTCCTCGTTATCTGCTGTGGTCAGTCGACTGTGGCTTTAGCAAAGCATAGTCTGAATAGCTTTGTGGCCTTTGTGTCTGAGCGGCAGTGTGGGTAGCTCGGACTTTGAATTCTGAGTATGTCGACCCGTGGGACTGTTAGCCAAGTTGACCCTTGGGCAAGCTCAATAGTATAAGTATAGGACGGCTCTCCTAGTATTCGAACTGCTGTATTTTACAAGTACAAAGTGCACGAACTACAATTGTTAGTCCCCAATGCGACGGTTATATAGACAAGATGCTCGAAAAATTCCCCTCGACGATTTCAATATTCTGTTCGCCTTCGCTTTGCACTGCGAAAGGCGTCAGGAAATTCTGCCGGGGTTGTTTCGGTTTTGGCATCTAGAGGGCTGGGCTCAGGCCGCCCCACTGATTCTTCCGTGGAGGCGTCATCGTAAGCGTTAGCTTCATTTACACCGTAGTCGATATCCTCTTCTGCAGCCCGGGAGAAACTGGCCCCATCTGCAAAAAGACGCTGGGAGTCCTCGAGCTCGTAGTTGAGAGTGTCATTTTCAGGAGACACACCCCCCTCGCTGGGCTCCTCGTAATCACCAACATCTGCATACTCCTTCCAGGATTCCTCCTGAGATGAAAAGTCTTCAGGGTCTACGGCCACTTCCTCAGGGACCTCTTCGGGTGCGGTGTAGACTCCGGAGTCGTCGTATTCACCTCCATCGTCGCCATGTAGTACCCCATACACGTCTTCATAGCCATCTCCTTCAACATCATGTACTCCAGCTTCGTTGACATGCTGGTCTTCTTCACCGTCATGTTCCCCATGGTCCTCGTTGTACCTGTCTTCCCCGACGGCATGTTCCACGTAGTCGTCGTTGCATTGATCTTTCTTGACATCGTGGGCCTCGTGGTCGTGTTCTTCTTCTCCTTCGCCGGTGTATACATCTTGGTTTCCATTGTATACATCTTCGTCCTCGATGTATTCGATGTATACGTCTTCGTCGCCGGTGTACACCTCTTCGTCGCCGGTGTACACCTCTTCGTCGCCGGCGTACACCTCTTCGTCGCCGGTGTACACCTCTTCGTGCCCCTCCTCACCCTCCACAGATGTCCCGAGATGACCGCCACGGATCTCCCAATCACTTGGGTTGGCATAGTCGACAGGCTCTTCCTCTTCGGAAACGGTAAACTCAACTGCATCCTCCGCCTCGAAGTCTTTGGTCGCACTGCCAACGTCGTCCTCGTGCAAGGTGTCGTACACTTCTTGCAGTTCCTCCGTCCCGTCCACCAAAGGCCACGCCTGCTGTTCGCTGAGATTGTCGGCCTCGAGGCTTGTAGGATGTTGACTCTGGGGTGGTTCTATCTCTGGGTATGCTGTCACTGATTCAGATACAGCGCGGTGTTTTGTCAACAACCAAGGTTTCGAAGAGGTTTCCTTTGCCACGGGCCCAACACCAAGGTGAGGTACCGTTTGTCGATGCAGTCGTAATAGTTCTGCCTTTTCAACAACATCGGCCCATGCGTATATCGGGATCGAGTGCGCGAATAGGTCGGGTTCGGGGTTCGAGGAAATAACAACGACGCCATATCTCCTGTCACGCAGCAATGAAAGCGTATATGAGAAACCCGGGTCTCCAGTGACGAGGACGAATGTGATGGACCCGTAGTTGTTCCTCCATCCATCGAATGCGTAGAGTAAAATATCCGCTGGGAAAAGGAGAAAGCCATCAAGACGGGAAAGGAAGATATACAGTCGTGTCACTCACTTATTATCTTTTTGCCCGCAATTTCGCTTTTCGAGCGAGGGCAATCTCTCAAAGTCACCCCGGAATCCAGTAGCAATTTCCTAGTGTCCTCGGGGACACTACTCACGGAAAGGTATGCCTGGACAGACACGACGGGTCCAAACTTCTTTGCTATGTCGTGAACTGTTGATATCAATTCACTCGATAGGTCCGCCCTTCGGCGACCGATACCAATGCTCTCTGTGTCCAAAGTCTCAGCGAGGAATTTGTCTTGAACTGGAGACTCACCCCAATCCCAGAAAACGACAACCCGGTCGGTTTTCTGGACTTCAGTTCCCATGGTGGATGCTACTGAACTGGCTGATAGATGGCCTTAATGGCTATGGGGTGGTGGTGGTAGCGGTTACAAAGGCTGCCAGGCCACTGGGCCACAGTTGGGATGTCCGAGAAGCCGGAACGGAATCCATTATCCTGAAGCGCAAGGGGAGTGGCACTGACGTTTGGTGCGGAGCCCAGAGAACAAAGGAGAAGCATTCGAGAGAAATGTTGGAGAAATGATTGACGGAGCGCCCGGTCGATAGAAGTCGTTGACAAACAAATACAAAGCGCACACTGTGCAAAGGTTCAACGTTCCTCGTCAACAATCATGTCCAAGGAGCCGACAATTACACCTCCCTCACAGCAGGAGCAGAGATTGCCAGAGGAGCTTTCGATAGAACTAGACGAGGGTCATCCCTGGCTGCCCCTCCTTCCCCCAGCTGATCGTTGCCGGAAAAGTAATGTCTTGTCAAAGACCCACAACTTGGCTTCAACATCGCGGCGATTCTGAAAACAGAGCACCTGTCGACTTAATTTCGGCAGAAACGATATCAGGGCAACCGCGATCGCGCTTGAATTGTGCCAAATCCGCCGCAAGTGAACAGTCGCCTCGACAGACGACCCGGGATTCTGGTAATTCAACTGACCAGGACGACCGGACCATGGACGTTGACGTTGAGCAATGAGGCGGGGCAATACCCGGTCCTGATTCATTCATCAAGCTGATGTCAATATACATAATAATTGCCAACTGCTAGAGAGGGGTAAACAGGCATACCCCACTGTGGCTCGTCTAAACCTTGTGGCCGATGGTCCTCCGATGTTGTTTCTGAGTGATGACAAACTATCCTGGTAGGACTTCCGCAGCCCAGAAGTAGGCTCGAGGCTTGACGCGTTGGGGGATTGGTCCCCGGCGCCCCGCAGGCCATTGGACGCCGTTTCCGAGAGGTTTTCTGTACGATCTCCACCGTTGTTCCTCGTAAGAAAGATCCCCGCAGTCCTCCGGGTCTTCCTCGTAGGAAGCCTCTTCATTTGGGTCGGGGGCGACCAGAGATCGCCATGGCTGTTGTATAGTTGACCGTGGCAGGACCTGGGCATTCCACTGGGGTTTGGCAGAGCTGTGCTCTGCGATAGGTTGAATCGCCACCTGAGCTTTCCGCCAGCGCGATGATGTCTCTGCCTTCGCAACAACGTCCACCCACGAATATATTGGTATTGAGTGAAGGTTGAGGACTTCAGGCTTGGAGGAAACGAGTACAATGCCGTACTTTCGAAGGCACAGCTTCGAGAGCGTGTACGAGAAATCTCGATCACCAGTGACAAGCACAAATGTGATCGACCCGTAGTTGTTCCTCGAACCATCCAGGGCGTATAGAAGGATATCCGCTGCACATGCATCAGAGAAAGCATAAGCATACGTATGACCTCTACTTACTTAGTATCTGCTTATCTGCAAAATCCTTCTGCCCTTTCCCATGGGCGCAGTCCCGCACAGTAACTCCAGATTCAAGCAGCAACATCCTGGTCTGCTCTGGTGCAGTGTGTGCGGACAGGTACGCCTGAACCGAAGTGACTGGTCCATATTGCATTGCGATGTCTTGCACCGCCAGTAACAAGTCCGCAGAGAGGTCATGTCGTTTGCCTACAGGCATGTTCTCTGCATCCCAAGGAAAGCAAGTTCAGCGATGAACTTGATTCGACCGATGACGCGCCCCAGTCCCAAAACACGGCTACACGGTCTGTTTTCTGTATTTCCTTGTTCATTTCGATGTCCTTGGAACTATGGTGGGGAAAGGCCGCTTTGTACAATGTCGGCAAGAACTGAGTTGATGCTCAAGCGCTCACGATTAAGGTTGGCGGGGAAATGCGAACGCCCGGCTGGCAATTAATCAACCGTCCGATACACCCGGACCGGAACGCGATCATGTCAAACGCGAACACGTCGAACGCACGCGTTACGCGTAGCCATGAATCAATGGCCATGAATCACGAATCCTCTGAGGTGAACTCCCCGATGTCATTTAGGTCACAAGAATAACCCCACACTGAATCGGATAAAACCAATGTCAATTCTACGCAAGTAGCAGAATTTAAAGTAATTTGTCGAAAGGTAATATGCCAGAAGCTCTAAAGTACTATTGTGCTGCACGGAACGGAATCGCAATAGCCCAATAAGCTACCGAGCCCCTCTTCAGCTATGGTGCGCTTGTCTAATCCCGCCCCTCAAGCCCGCCCCTCCACCTTCCAACAGGACTGATCCAACTCCACCACTCTGTCGTCCTCGCATCCACCTCTTCCCTCTCTTCCACTGTCTGCACAACATGCGCAGAAGGCTTGCCTCGAGGCGAGTACGCACCCAAAGTCACGCTCTCCCTATGTGGTGACTCCCACTCGAACCACGAGCGATACTGCCCTTGTAGAGGCTCCTTGACCAAAGCTGAAGCCAGGAAATTAGTTTCGTCTCGTCACATACCGTGTCAGAATAATGTACCATTCTTTACAATCTTTTTCGGATCGTCGAACAAGCTCATAAGTTCCCCTTCCCTATCCATCCTGTCGGCTTCGAATGGATGATTGGGTATCGGTTCCTCGGGGTTATCCTTCCTAATCATGAAGTAGAAATGCCTTCGAAGGCCCGAAATGCCGAGCCGAGATATTGGATTTGGATCAAGGAGCTGGAGACAAAGTCAGCGTGCCATCCCCCTGGCTGCGTATTCGAGGGAGACGTACACCATGAACAAGACTCAATGCCCAACCACGTAGACCATACGCCCTCAACACACACTCCCTCTCCAGAGGACTGCTCTTGACGAACAGCCTAAGCGTTTCGTCCCTGCCAAATAGCACCTACATTAGCTTCGTGATTAGCCCTCGTCTCATCCACGGCCAATTGATAATTCAAAGAACACTGACAGCATACCCCACGTCCTTGGCACTCGTCAACATCTCCGCGACAACACATCCCAGCGACCACCAATCCACCTCCTTCCCATACCTCGCAAACTCAGCATACCGCTCGTCTACATCATGGTCTCCTTCCAGGAACTCGCGTTGCGCAGGGGTCCACTTTCCGGGTGCGCAACGGCTGATAATCTCTGGTGCGATGTACCCTTTCGAACCAACGAGCCGATGGGCGTACTTCACTCCAGATTGGAGTGCCAGAGGACTGGAAGAGGAACTTTGAGAGACCCAAGCTGAATCGAAGTCCGCGATTTTGAGCGTGTGGTTGAAGTCTATTAGGATGTTTTGGGGACAGATGTCGCGGTGGATGATTCCGTTGTCGTGTATAAAGCTCAAGCCGAGCGCCTGTTCAGTAGAAAGGAAGGGGTACATCAGCCAGTTAGTTACTGTTACACCACCTCGTCAAGGTGGAGACTCACCAACTGCATGACCCACTCCCGACCATACCTTGCCATGTAGCTTCGACACTTGGGGTTGCGGTACATCTCCGTTAAATCTGCTTTCATATATGGCTGGAAGTCAATAACTTGAAGTCAGTCAATCAGCCCTCTCACTCTTCGAATAGGCATACCATGGCAATACAAATGACACCAGGGCCCATCAAGCACCCGTCCGCTTTTACAACAAACACACCCCTCCCATCCCGACTGGCACCACCCGCCATCCGTTTCATAGCCCTCAGCTCCGTTCTTACCCTCTTCCTCTCGGCCCTCTTCCTCCTCTCCCGTAGCTCTTCCTCCCACGTCTCCTCTTCCCCTCCAGTTCTCGTTCTAGACCGATTTGAGCGGAATCCGAACAAATTCCCCTTCAACACGACCATCCTCTCCGTTGAATCGCACAGTTTAGGATCTTCACGTTTGTCCTTCTTTGCAAAGTAGGCGAGGGTGACCATCGTCCTGCCTTCCTCCTCCGCCCTGCCATTTAGAGATTCTAGTAGACCGAACTCGAGAGGCGAGTTGTAAGTCGGGAGGTAGGATGGGTGTGTAGATTTGCGATGAGAGGGCGTGATGAATATCGGGACGCCAGAGGGTAAGACACGAGTGTAGTGATAATTGACAACGGGTGGTCTGGGAGCTGTTGAAATCGTTGGTTCGTCTTTAGTGAGTTCGAGGTACCACGTTAGGTACTTACGAACGAGATACCGGAATAGAGGACCCTCCGTTGTCGCCTTGCCATCTCTTCTATTGAAGACCCTTTTGATACGCTTCCTGATGCTCGAGGTTGAATTCGAAGTGGCGGCGGTGCTGGTACTTGCGTGGCTGCTACTCGACGATGAAGCTATCCACGGAAAAGGATACCGTCAATTCATGTGGCAGGACAAAATGATGGGGTTGAACTGACCATAGCCACTAGAGCCAGAACTCGAAGCATAACCAGGGCTGGAGCCCTCCCACTCTGCGGAGGAAGATATTTGCCTGCGAGGAGTCATAGCGTCGAGACCTCTATACCGTGGTGAATACCAGGCTTTACCGACCCTCCCACCCATCTTATACCCCAACCATTCAAAGGGCGCACATCCCCGCCACGGCACTCCTGCGAAAACAAAGGGAACGTTCCTCAAAGCCCGTCCATAATATGATTCGATATGCACGAAATCCAGACTCAAAGGAACAGCCCCATTGGTTCGATCTTCGAACGCGTTTGAAAGGGCAAAAACGGCCGACTCGAAAACCCCTTTGATGACGGAAGACGACTGGGGACAGCCTGCTTGTCCATGTTGGGCATGCTGGGTCGAGGAGAGAACACACGTTGGTGGGATGTGCGTTGCTAGTGGCTTCCTTGGTCTGCTTCTAGTCTACAAAGGTATACGTATCAAGATCTGTGGGTGCGTACTAGGAGGAAGACGGGGAAGACGTACCGTGGACCTTGGCGCGATATATATCGTCACAAAGGGTTCGGAGAATCGGATAGACCCGCCTCGTGGCCACATGCTTTCAAGGAGGCCATTGACCCAACCTCGCTGTTCCATCCAGGGCCATTGTCACCGCCCATCCAGATATAACAAAGCTTCAACGCTGAAACGGTCGATAACCATTTATCAGGGGCTATCCAATGTGTTCGACGTTGGCGCCAGCCGACAAGGTAGTGGCTGCCATTTAATGTACTTGGCAGCATGGGGGTAGGTCGAATACAGTTGATAGTCTCGAAGCCTGAGTATCGATATCTCCGTCCCAAGACCTGCCATGACCAGGTGAAAACTAGTAAAGCAGGCATTCAATTTCGTGCGCCACTAGCTTGCTATCGAGTCTGCTGGGTTTTGGCTGGGTTGCCAGTCGACCGTCGAACTACTCAGTAGCTCACGTCATGATCGAATGGGCTGGCACCGTGAATTCGCCGTGGAGTATGCCAGACCCTGCAGTTAGCGATGATTCTGAAAACGATTTGCGGTCGACAAGCACGTTCTGGAAATTGATCTTTCGCGCCCTGGTGGCCGTCGTCGTCGACTTCTCGTCGAGCACCATGGCACGAGGACAAGGGGCGGGAAATGCCGAGTGGAATGATCCGAACGTTCACGGCCTATTGGGCGCTTATTTTCAGCATGCATTCCAAGGGCAAAGGGCGACAAGTCACCTGCAGCTCGCTGCTTTCCACATAAAAGTGAGTTAGGAGACCAAATGGGCACATGTCGGATGTAATATATGATAAAAAGCCCAATACCTGGCGCCTTGAGATAGCGAGGGCTTTGATGACTCGAACAAACGTCAGGGTGGTGGAGATGGACACAAGCCAAGACATGCCAATCGTCGAACAAGCGTTCGCATTGAAGCTCGGATTATTCTGACTTCGATTTCGGGAAGGGAACTAGACATAACCGTCTACGCGATGTGTGTGATGTCATGACGGAAGATGCACCCATGGTACATCGATGCCCGGGAGTTATAGACGAGCATACCCAACGTTTAAAATTGCGCTTTCGGTCATCGCACCGGTCGAAGCTGGGGCGCGAGGAATGATTTTGTAGAAGTCCAGTGATCCGGTATGGGTTACAAGAGCGGACCTGGGGTCTTGAAGGCAGAGGTTGGACAACTGAGGTGTAGTAACCACCATCGCAGCCGGCCGCGGGTCCAGATCGCTGCAGGGAACCGACTAGACGCCACCCCTGAAGCCCAAAATTGCATGTCGAGGGAAAGGACAGTGTGTCGCGCAAAGTTATTCCTGTCCTAGAATACGAGGCAAATCAAGATATCGTTTGGAAGGAGGGTCATGAGGTCCTCTCAAGGGCTTGGCGGTACCTCGAACAGCAAAAGGTACGAGAAAGTTCCGTTTTTGCACCTGACATAGGTCCATCGGAAGCTACTCTATTTCGAGTTCGGCGACGGCGTCTTCTATCACGGAAAGGACCTTGTCATATGTTAGGCGTTACGGAGGCAGATATCGTTATGTACTACGGTGGAGACGTCATGGACGGAACACACAGGGGAGAGGGAAACCGGTGGCGGTGGAAGGGGTATTTCGGTTAACGCTCCGTCAGGGCACGAGATGGGAACTTGAGTGGGGGTGATCCGGTATGGATTGAGACAAAAGAAAAAGAAGCTTAGAGTATGTCGATTGAAGATGGAGAAGCGCCTATGGAGTTAAAATGGCAGTCAAAAGATTTTCCCTTTGTCTGGGGGTGGTGCAAGAAGGAAGCAAATTTAACGGAAAGCGTTGCGGTGGCCACGAGGTGCGGATAATCCAGACTAGCCCATCGGCCCAATGCACAGGGGGAACGGTAAGAAAAGGGAACCGGCGGATAAAATATCCAGCGAAGTCATCGGAGTGCCAATCTCGAGAAAGAGAAGGTAATGATATGGCAGTCAAGTCAATGAATGAGTCGTGTAGAATAGCAGCGCCCTTGGTATTGAAAGAAGTTGTATGAGGGAAGTGGGCCGGTGTTGTTGGGTGCGTGTGAAAGTGGCGGTGCAAAGGGTGAGTGTTGAAGGGAGGGATGTTGGTTTTTTACGCTTGCTCACGTCGGACAAGCGGACGGACGCCTTCCGCCCCATTTCCGTTTGATCCCAATGAATCCTGCCCAGCAGCACCAAAAGTTCGCCCCAGGCGGCCTCCGCAATGCTGGGCTCCCACAAATCCAGCAACAGCAGCCAGGCCAGGGCCAGGGCCAGCAGCAGCAACAACAGCTCACACCGCAGCAGCGCCAACTTATGATTCAGAAGATGCAGCAACAACAGCAACTTGGGATGATGGAGAGACCACCGAGCTCGATGAGCATTTCTGCACCGCAACCACAGGGCGCTGGAGGAATGATGCCGCCCCCGCCTCCACGCCCCAGCACAGCAATGGGCGGTCAAGTCAATCCCAACGCGTTTCCCTCAGCCTCGCGTCCAGGAACTTCAATGTCCCACCGCTCACCAGCAATCGACCAACAGGGTCCTTCACAACAAGAAATTGCCCAGCAGCGCCAACTCATCAATCAGCAGATCCAGGCGCAGCTCACTGCAGCCGGTCTCACCGTTCGCGACCTCACCCCTCAGCAGCACCAGAACGTTCAGCAACAGATCCAGACAGGCATGCAGGACTTTTACAGAAAATGGCAGCAGCAGAGAATGGCCCAGATGCAGCAGCAACTTCTACACCAGCAGCAGCAGCAGCAGGCAGGGCAACCACGGCCAGGCTCGAGGATGGGAATCCACCAATCACCACCTCCGACACCTCAAGACCCCAACGCCTCAACTTCTCACCAACCACAACCTCAGCAAGGCGGCGCTGGATCGCCCACCGCACCAGGCACCCCGACACAGGCACCTTCCAGCCCGTCGTTCCTGCGCGGCGCGAAGCGCAAGCTCGACAGCGACGGTACCAACCCTAGTCCCAGTCCCGGTTTGATGAACCCCCAGCAGCAGCAGCAAATGAATGGCCAGCAACAACAGCAGCTGAACGCACTACAACAGCAGCAACTGGCCGCGATGCGTCAAAGACAAACTGCCAGCCCCCGGCCTGATGGTATGGGTATGAACATGGGCATGATGGGTGGCATGGGCAACATGGCGGGTATGAATAACATGGGCATGGGAGGTGGTGGAGGCACAGTCAATCCCATGATGCTTGACGGTTTTGGCGGTGGCAACGCGAACAACATGGGCATGGGCACAGTCAACCCGGCCATGCTCTCCTCGCCGTCGCAGTCGAATCAGCAAACGCCTCAACCCCAGGGCCAAGGTCAGCAAGGCAACCAGCAGCAGCAACAGCAACGCCAACGCCAGCCTTCGATGCCCATGTCGACCCCCATTCCCGCCGCACCATCAATATCTGCATCGTCGTCTTCGACCTCTGTCGGCGGTGGGAACATGGGTATGAACATGGGAGGAAACGCCATGCCGGGGACACCTCAACGCCAAAGCTCACTACCGCCACCTGGAACACCCACTCTTGGCGGCACAAATCTCATGTCAAATAGTCCTTTAGGGGCTGCTGGTATGGGTAACATGGGCATGGGCAACGTCGGGAGCAACATGGGTATGGGTGGCGGTATGAACCACATGGACATGAACGCGATGGGTCTCAACTCGATGGGCATGAACAACCTCAACGCGATGAACAATATGGGCGGCCTCAACTCAATGAACAATATGGGTATGAACCTCAACATGGGCAATATCGGAGGCATGAACAATTCAATCACACCCAATACAGGCATGAACCCTCAAATGAACAACCTCGCCGGAATGAACCCCATGTCACCGATGCCCAACCAGATGAACATGTCGAATATGGGCGGAATGGGTAACATGGGCATGAACAATATGGGTAACATGGGTGGAATGAACGCCAATGCTCTCAATGCCATGGGTGGCAACAACATGGGTATCAAGCCTGGGATGGTTTCTGGTACGTCTCAACACCTTTTCCTTTCAATTGGCCTGAAATACGAGCGTATCGGTTGCCAGGTGGTGTAGGACTTCCCAACATGCCCAACCAAGGCAATATGCAGGCGATGCCCGGTCAGCAAGGTCAACAAGTCGCCCCTCGTCCCCAAGGTCCTCAAGGAATGCAACCCGGTATGGGTCTCGGCGGTATAGCGCCCTCTCTCTCTGCTGGTTCCTCGACATCTGGCTTGGACGGACTCGTGGGAACACCCTCCAATTCTGGTGGACTAATGGCTGGCGGGTTGGGCAATATGGGCATGGGAGGTGGAAACATAATGGGCGGAGGTGCGAACACCATGGGCAACAACGCCAACCTCAACATGAATAACCTTGCGCTCGGCAATAACATCGTCTCTGGAGGTCTACCGGGAACGCCTCCCATTCCCAGCGGAGGAGTTGGGGGTGGAAATGTTGGGCTGAACGCGATGCCGAACATGGGTCTGAATGCGGTTGTTGGAGGTGGTACACCGACGATGACGCCTGGTGTTCTGGGTGGTGGACCAGCTGGTTCGCCTATCGTGGGTCAGACTCCCGTTCCTGCCTCTACAGCAACACCACCGATCGTTGCGCCTGTGAATTCAACTGGTCTGCCTATCCCTCCAGCGCCTCCCTCTGTTGCGTCATCCTCTGGCACTGTCCCACCTACGGCACCTATCGGTCCAGCTGGAATGCACCAACAAGTCATCCCCCAGCTCCCTCCTCTCCCTACTAGCGTCAACCTCAACCCCAACATCACACGCGTCACACCTGTCCCTCTCCAAAGTTCACTCACACTCATCCCTCCCCTCTCCCAAGAAGATATCACCAATATCCAAGAATGGATGGCGAAGGACAAGAACTACGAGGAGGTGATTCTGCGCAAGGCGAAGGAGAGGATGACTGAGGAGATTAGGGATGTATTTGGGTCCCATAACCCGGCGATGCATATGGGTATGAGGGTTGGAAAGAACCAGGGATGGTGGGAGAAGGGCTTTGCGATGAGCATAAGAGGCCTGAAACCGCTTTACGATCCCGAAGCGTGCCCCAAGGACGAGGATGTTGTCGCTGCTATCAAGGAGGAAGAGGAGAAGGCGAAAGCTTCTACGAACGAGGAAGGCGGATCGGCGAAGCCTTCGGACGATGCGAATGCCCAACAGCAACAACAGAAACCGGACATCAAGCCTCCGATGACGACTTCGCTCCGGCAGCTACCGTACACCAAGGAGTGGTTCTGGAGCAGTCAGAGCCGGTATAGGAAGCTGCCTGTCTTCAACAACATCAGGGGCGGTGGCTGGACGTATATTAACGCGGAGCCATTCGATGTGCGGTATCCACCTCGGCCTGGAAGAACTCAGCATACCTCTAGAGCAGGGAAGAAGGGTATCAAGAGGGAGGGGTTGAAGATGTGAGTAGACGCCACTTTCTAGCTTTATTAATGCGGATATTGACGGTTGGTTTCCTTGTAGTCCGCGACGACTCCCACCGGAAGAAGCGAACAAGCCTGAACAACTCATCCCGATTCGACTCGAGTTTGATGTTGAGCATCATAGGATGCGGGACACCTTTGTCTGGAACATGAACGGTGCGTTTGGGAGTCATCTCTCATGGGCCACAAGCTAATTATCTTCACTTTCTCCTCAACTATCATTCACAAACAGACCCCGTCGTCACACCTGAACACTTTGCCCAATCCCTCGTCGAAGACTACGGCCTCCCACCCTCCTACCATGGCGTCATCTCCAAGTCCATCCACGACCAGATCAACGACTTCAAAGCCCATTCGTTCCTCTTCGACGGCGGCGTCGTGTCCGGAGACGGCGACACCTCTACGGAGCTTGTTCGTGTTAAACCAGTCAAGGCCGACAACGACGACGACAAGGACGTCATCATCCGTGGTAAGCTGGATAAGGAGAGCGCAGAGTGGTGGAGGAACTGGAGGAGGAAGGTGAGGATGATGCGAGAGGGAAGGACTAGTTCGAGGAAGAAGGCTGGCAAGAGGAGGAAGGTTGAGGGTGGTGTGCGGGTTAAGAAGGAGAAGAATGGGGATGAGGCTGACGTCGAGGACGAGAGTGATCTTGAGGAGAAAGAGGATGTTGATGAGGAGGGAACTGGATCGGAGAAGGAGAAAGCGGGTGTCAAGGTCGAGGACGAGGTTCCGTTGGCTATCCACGAGATTCCGTTCGACGACAATGCGACACATGAGGAGATGAGGATTCTCATCAAGGTGCGTTTAGCTGTCCTATCAAAGTGAAGATGGTAGTAATGAGTGCCCGGTGTACAGCTTGATATCATTGTCGGTTCCATGAAACTTGATGACCAGTTCGAGTGGGATTTGGAGAGCTCGGAAGTGACCCCGGAAGAGTTTGCTGAAGTCTATGCCAGGGATCTGGGTCTTGGTGGAGAGTTCAAGTACGTTCAGTTTGAATTGTGTTCTTTCAGTCCTTGTCTTAACACGGTTTTCCAGGACCGCCATCGCTCATTCGATCCGAGAGCAAATACAGACGTATCAAAAGTCACTCTTCCTCGTTGGTCATCTCACAGACGGCACCGTCGTACAAGACGAAGAACTCCGCCAATCGTTCCTCCCATCCCTTGTCTCTGGCGCGCGCACGTCCAGCGAAGTTTCACAGTACACTCCGACCCTCAACTACCTTTCCGACGGCGAAATCGAGCGCACTGAGAAGGAGCGCGACAAGGATCTTACTAAACGTCGCAAGCGCAACACTCGAGGTCGTAGGGGTGTCGCTCTTCCTGATCGTGAACCTATTAGGACGTACAGGACACCGGCCATTGGGTTCCCCGAGTTGGATCCTGCCACTATGGCACTGGCTGTTGCTAACGCTGCACCAACAAGTAGCCGACGTGCAGCTGCCGCTGCTGCCTCGCTGACCATCGCCAACATGGTGGCTAGCGAGAACAGCAACTCGAACTATTCGCCGCCGCTCATGAACGCACCTCTACCCTCTGTCACTCAAACTGCCTCAAGTCAATCTGCTGCTGCAGCTGCCAACGCTAACGCCAATGCGAACAAGGAGAAGAAGGTCAAGGGATTTTTCAAGGCGCCTTCGTTCCCTTCGTCGGTGTTGAAACCTCGTGCGCAAGTGGTTGCACCTACACCAAGCACGGCAGTCGACGTCTCTTCACTTCCCGCTCCCCTCGAAAACGACCCCCCATCCAACCAATCCAACCCCCAACTCGAATACCGCGCCAAGCTTCAGTCCATCCGCCGCGCCAAGGAACTCGAACGAGAAGCCAAAGCGCAAGAGTTCATCGACGGACAACGGCCCAACTACGTTAATGGAGTATGGCATTGTTCGAACTGCGGCTGCCCTGAGAGTATTGCTGTGGGAAGGAGGAAGGGTCCGTTGGGAGATAAGAGCCAGTGTGGTACCTGCGGTAAATTCTGGCACCGGCATCGTCGACCGAGACCTGTGGAGTATAATCCTGACCCCGAGTACCATCTCAACGCCTCCTCGTCGAAGGCAGACCATAGACCGAGCGGGGATGGCACGCCTAAACCTTCGAGTACTATTAATTCGAAGAAGAAGGGTGCTGCCGCTGCGAGGGCTGCTGCGCTGGCTGCGTCTCAACCTCAAACACCAGGGCGAGGAGCGGATTCATCGCCGGTTAAACCAATGGGCATGGGTATGCTGGTGGATGACGATGACTTGGGTGCGATGTCTCCTGTCAGTGACGCTTCGAGTGATGTGGAGATGCCACTCGTTCAGCAGAGAGCCAAGGTGAATGGAGCCTCCAGTAACGCTGGGAAGAAGTCGGAGAAGGAGAGAGAGCGGGAACAAAAGGAGAAGGAACAGAGAGAGAGGGAGGCTAATGAAAAGGAGCAGAGGGAGAAGGAGCGTGAGAAGGAAAAAGAGAAGGAGCACGAAAAGGAGAAAGAGAAGGAAAAGAAGGAGAAAGAAAAGGAGAAAGATGCGGGCTCTGGGGCTCCCCCTGGGTCTGGTACTCCAGGCGGACGGCCACCCCAGCAACTTTGGGTACGTCATCGTTGAGTCGACTTGCTTTTGGTCACCGGTACTAACTGTGCTACGTAGCCTCCGGAATGGTTGACGAAGTGTATGCACGCCATGCAGAACAAATACCCCAACGACAAGTTCGACGTTATTCTTCGCAAAACCTCTACGAATCCTGAATGGCGTATCAAGTGTCTGGACTGTCCCGGAAAGGTGCGTCCAGCCACGTTCTTTTTAGAACTGTCGTTCTGATTATCCTTCTCTAGCTGTATACCCCCGGTCCAGGAGAGACGCTAAATAATTACGAGGTCCATCTCAAGAATCGATTGCACCGTCAACGAGTGAATGAGCGGTTATCTGGTAACGCCCCTGCTGCACCCCAGAGTGCGAACGGAAACGGAGGCGCAGCTGCAGGCCCTTCCAATTCTGGCTCAACCTCTGGTTCTGGCGACCAAACTGCCTCAGCTTCATCATGAAAAAACTTCCCTTTTCTTTCAGGAGATCGGTTCGGACGATATACATGGGATGGACAATAAATTCGTTGCGATTTGATTCTTTCCCTCTTGTTGAATCTGTTGTTGTTGTTGCTTGTCTATTAGTACTACTTACTACCACTCGCCCTATTTGCTATCTCTACACGTCGATCCTCTTTTTTGTATACATTTCTTTGTTTTTCTTGTACATACGAATCTAGCCCTTTTCTCTCTGATCTTTTCTATCGAAATTTCTGTCTTTAGTTGATACTGAATCTGTGCACTATGTTTTCAATACCCAGGTTCCTTTCCCCCTCTCATCGATGCAAGTCCACCAAGATGTGTGGACGAGTGAGGATGCCCATACCATCGCGGGAGGTATAGACGTCTGACGTTCAAGTCGACATTCCACTCATCACCTCGTACAAGCCATCCATCTTCCTTCTCGATAACTTCTCACTCCAAAACTTCATGATTGGCTCCCACTCTTCCTTCGAAGCTGGCATTCCGGAACGATTACCTCCTAGTTTGGCTTCAGAGACGGATTGGAAGCCTTTCTTGAACGCTCTAACGGCAGTAGGTTGGAGGGCGTCTTCAGCCGGTGCAGAGCGGTATACGACCAAGGTCGGTGTTGGAGATAGGTTCGCGATCGTCGGATAGGATATCAGAGACCCTGATACCGTTACTAACGAGCCAAAGGACGTTGCGGGAGGGCTGGCTCCTGCTTCCTGTCCTCGTAGCTGTTCTCTCCATCTCAAGAGAGCGTATTCAGCAGCGACACTCCCTCCCTGAGCAAAACCAAACAGGTGGATTTGGTTCAGGGACCAATGCAAGTCCTGGACGAGGTGATCGATGACTTTCTTCATCAACTCGAGAGCAGGCGTTGGGTTTGGGTTCTCGATCATGTCGCCCAGTTGGTCGAAGGATTTATACCACTGGAAAGCACCTTCGTCGAAGAATGGAATCCTGTAGATAGAATACAGGTCTCAGTATCTGGACCAGAAACTCAATAGAGGGAACATGGCACAACTGTTCTGTTGCTCGCAGAGCGAGGATTGCTGTTTGAGGCAACTTCAATGAACGACCCATTTTCGCGAATGGGATATGTGTGTCTCCTATCCTGGACCATTCATCTTAGCCACTGTGCCCGTTCAGACATCAAAACACGTACCAAGTCCGTGTAGAAGAATCAACAAATTGTGATCTGTTCCATCGTCACTGGGATAATAACTGAATGGTACAGGAATTGCGTTCTTGCGAGGTTGTTCTTTAACTTTTGGCGTCGTATCCGGCGCTGATTCTTGAAGGTGAAACTGGGACATCGCGTTGAAGTTTCTGCAAGATCAAAGTTGTGGTCGAGAGAAAGAACCTGTCACTAGGCGCATTCAGACTTATTCCGTTTCCGAAATAATGCGAGAAACATCATGTGATTAGCATCATACTATGGTCCTTTCTGACCCAAGATATTACACATTGTCTTCTATAAAAATGATGATTGAAAGGACGCGACATATTTCTCATTGGCGGGGGGCTTTATCGGCAGGGAAATACTACAACATATGACAAGTATCTTCCGCAACATATGATTCAAGGCAGCTTACCTTTGTCTGGCCCTTTGGGGAACCGGAAATGAAGCAACAAAGGTAACCTTTGTTGCAAGATTTTCTCCGATATATTGTGCTCGACCCATGAGAAGTTTTCCCGTTGTTTTCTTGAACAAAAAAGGTTCGATTGCCCGGCCTTTGTGCTGTCCTTTCATCATCGCGTCAGCGAGCCAGCGACAGCGCCACAGCGCCAATCACAAAGAGTGATTGTAGTCTTATCGTATGTGACGTTCGAGAAATAGATTGTGATTGTTACAATATGATTAGTATGGGTGCAAGATACATATGATTAGTGTGGGTGCAAGATACAAAAAGAGGCGAGTACAAAAGTGAATACGTCAAACGGCGACGGTGAGGGGTGGTCTGTGTTCAAGAAAGCGTGCAATAAAATCATAGGAGGAGGACTCGAGAGAATTGTGGAAACAGCGAATTGACCTAAGGCCTCGTTGGAGAGACTTCCATTGTTGGAAAGCTAGAGGTTGGTCGAAGTTTTCGACAGCATTCTCAATGTCATGTAACCGTTTCAGATACCATGCCTCTGTTCTGTCGCACCAATGCCCGTAATTCTCCCCGCAATCAGAACGTTCATATGCCCGGGCGAGGGGCCACCACGACTTGATAGCAGTATGGCCAGTTCCTGGAGGACAAAGTTAGTTTCCCTGAGGGTCTGAGTAACTGACACTTACCTGAATCGATGCACATGTACGCTCCGCATATCAAATCCAGTTCCCTTGCGGTTAACCCATCTTCCACGTATTCGCCGTCGTAGTCAGGGATTCGTGTCGAGAGAACACCTCCACATCCCACAACGTTCTGGACATCGGCCAAGCCGAGGGTAGTAATGGCAAGGCGCCAGATGACCCCTCCGCGACGTATGGCTGCCTGCATGTGGGGTTGGGCAAGCACGAGGGTCCGGGTGTTGATGTAGCTGTCGTAGTCGGCTTTGGTGAATTTATGATTCAATGGCCGTACAGGTAGCGGGCAATATGATGGTGTGCGGTATGAGGGGTATCGGATAAGACGTCGAGGGAAAAAAAGGCGGAACGAGATGCCTCTCTGCGTGAGGGCGACGACAACGTCGTTGTCGTCGAAGTCGGGGGGCAGACGACAAACGAAAAGCGCATCGAGTGCATTTAGGAGGGCTAATTTCCATGGATTCCGAGAGGACGGGAAATCGAAGAAGTAATATCGAGGAACACAGTCTGAAAGACCTTTGTCCACTACCTCAATGTCCGTAGAATGCGGAATGTCCACAATTCGAAGGTGACGGAAGCGAGGGGAATGTTTGAGAGGGTGTACAACGTCATCTCTGAGGTCCCAAGATCCTGGATGGGGTGATTGGCGCCTGGAATGAGCAGCAATAAATCGCAAGACTGATCGGTAATGGTTCGAACTGAAATATTCTTCTGGAGGATTCATGTCGTTCGACAATCCAAGAAGCCTGGTGAACTCCTTTCGAATTTTGGGTCCATCCTCGCGCTGTAATCGTATTCGACGGTAGTGGGGAAACGAATCCATAGTATAGTCCGAAGACGCGATTGACCCTCCTCCTCCAAAGATACGGCGAGCCAGTTTGTCGTTTCCGTGAGTAGCTCCTGCTCGTCTTCAACAAGGGTGGTTGCGCCTGAAGACGGTAGGTTGGAGACAGGAAGGGGCGTGTAGACAGAAGCAGGTGTAGGAGATGAAGGCGTCGTTTCAGTCGCGGGCGAGGGCAATGGTACTGGCTTGTCGATGGCAGATCCCTCTCCCCCGTCGTCGCTAAAGTGGTCCTGGTGCATCTCGATGATTTCATTCCTCATCGAAACGGGGAGCGGAAGGTCCAAGTCATCGATGGTCCACTCGTCCGGGTCAAGATCATCCTCTTTGCCGAACTTATCGCAACAGTCCCACATGTTACAGAAAGGGTCGTAGATCTTCTGCGTCGAACTGTAGAGAGAGAGCGTGTCTCGCGAGTACTTCTTGCCAACAGGGATTCGTTCGTAGACATCTGGATCTTTTTCGGATGGATACCACTCGTATACCCTGACTTTAGAATAAGGCGGGTTGGCTGCTCGAGCTTCGCGTGCTTGACGCTCAACGGCGGATTCCTTCTCAAGCCATCGGGCGTGGATCTCCTCGTGGCGTTTAAAATGGGCAACCCAGGCTGGCTCGGGTTTGCTAGCCTGTTTGGGAGGGCTGGGGGTTGGTTCAGGTTCGACGGGGTGCAGATGTCGGGGGTCTTCTGAGGGTTTTGTAGTGTCTGTTAACGGGCGCTCGGGAGATCCTGTGAGCATCTCTGGTGGAGGAGCAAGGGACGGGTCTGCTGATGAAATCTCCTGAGGTCCCCACCGATACCAAACAGGAATACCATGCTCGATGAACCACGAAAGTGGAGGTTGATGGGGCTTTGGATTGGCGATGTCCAGGATACAGCCAATTCGATTGGGCTTGTAGGAGAAGTCGCAGATGACGGAGCGGAAAACACCGTCAATCCAGGCAGCATCGACCTCCGGCTCGAGCTCCACATGCCATAGTGGTACATAACCACGGAGACTGAACGCATCTCGCTTTGTTTCGCTATACGCAATTAAGAACGACAATGCGCCCCACCAGACCGAAAACCAGTTCCTTGACGAGGCTACAGCCCTGTCATAACTCCTCGGATTCTTGAAGACGAGTCGATATCCATGAGCCCATGGTAGGAAAGGCAGGACCATTGGTGCAGAGGACTTCGATTTGAGTCTAGTAACCGCGCCATACAGTTCCGATTCCAACTTACCCCAGCTTTGGATGAATGGCTGGGGCATACTATACGTCAACTCCCCGGGAAGACCCACGCTAAGCGGGTATGGGATGCGCTTCAGTCGATCGAAGGGGTAGCCTGGATCCCAATATCGCATTAAGATGAAGGCCATCCAGCCGAAGCTTAACGTCCATACCCGGGGGGTGCACAGCGTGTGGAAGGTTGGATAGTGCGGGGTGTATCTCTTCGGTGATGCACTTTCGGTGGTGTGCGATGCGGGCGAGATCCTGGGGTGGTTCAAAGGTCGAGTCTTGTCCGGTTGGAAAGGGTTTTTGTCAACCTGAAGGAAAGGATCCTCTTCTAGCGTAAGAGAACGATCGCAGTTAGGCGAGTAGTACAGGTCCTTTCCAACAGCTTGAAGACGACGTGCCGGTTCCATCTGATCGCGTCAAGGTCAGTCTCTCGAAATTGCCTAAAGGTACACAGTCCTACCTTACACCATACGCAGATGCGCTGACCAGGATTCTCTCAGTCGATACGATAAGCCCTCAGATAGTTTCCACCCCGTCACAGACAGCCAGGTACCAAGTTGATAGGACAGAAAGGCAGAAGAAGGTGGTCTCCTGGAGCCAGAGCAAGCACTCGAATTGAATGAAAGGGAACGTTTCCTCGTCGCCTCGTATGTTCGAGCACGACGATTGACGCGTTGGAGATGTTCACGACACTGGGACTGCTATACGCCTCGTATGTTCGAGCACGATAAGCCGTCGTGGTGGTCGATGGTGAAAGAAGAGTGACTTGGTGCCTGGGATTAATGTATTCAATCACACAGCCACTGATGATTCCCGCGCGAGCGTTCCAGTCACACACTTGTCACACACACTCCCCTGGACCCACATCGTCATCCTCCTCTTCGCAACCACCACCCCATGTACCCCAAGCTGCTCCGCAGCTTATCGTGCTCGATAATACGAGGCGATAGAACACCGCGGGACTTACATGGCACTTTCACTCTCGCTGAGGGCTCGCTGGCCCTGAATCTTTATGCCCGTTAATTCGGGGTAATGGTTCAGGGGTAGTGATTCACTATTTTCGACATCAGGTCCCTGGCGCATTCGCATGGTATTCTGTATCTGGTGGAACTACAAGGATACAGAGGTCCATTCTGGGTAACGAACTCGCTGGCCCTGAATCTTTATGTCCGTTAGTTCGGGGTAATGATCCTGGGGTAGCGATTCACTATGTTCAACATCAGGATCAATATCCATGGTACATTCGCCTGTATATGGTGGATCTACAAGGATACAGAGGTCCGCTCTTGGGCGCAATACGTCCTGTACTCAATCCTAGTCCAGTCAGCTCTGAATTCGGGAACAGTTGGCGCATCACCTACCCGATTCAAGGACATGACAATCCTCGCCTTCAACCCCAGCATCTCTCGGGTGCATGTCGCAGCATGAGCTTGGATGTCGTCAGGGACGATGATCACCATCTCTCCCAACTCGTCTCTACACATCCAAGTCTCCAGTTGAGGAAACTTTCGATATGGATCTGCCGACACCAACTCGCCGGGTAGCTCTTTGTACTTCCGTACGAGGATGTAGCGCTGTGTCACCTCTTTCAATTGTCCTTGGCCATCACCGACATGTTGGTGGAGAAAGATGTCTTGGATTTGGCCAGCCATCAACTTTCTGTCGTCGCCAACTCTATCCCAGAACACGACCTGTGCATTCGCTACCGACTTTCCGGCGCAGGTGAAGCTGACACCCTTCCGCTTGAACTCCTTCGAATACTTCACTTTGGAGGATGCTTGAACGCCGGGGTATTTCGCAGATAACAACTCCTGAAGGAGGGTCCGGTGGTCCTGCGGAAGCGTTTTGAGCTCCCCTTCCGTGTAACTCACTTTCGATTCCACCTCGCCCCGTTCTCCCAATGCAAGAAGATCCGTTTTCAGCGTCCCTTTCCACTGTGTTGGAAAGTATTGGTCCACAACTTCCCTCATGTTCTCCAACAACGCTGTACCTGCGAAGTCTGCGATCAAGGCGCGAAGATTCGCCCCACGGCAAAAGGTCTTCGTGAAGGTCGACTCTAGCTCGCCTATCCGATTGTAAGTATCTCTTTCTACGTCCAAGTGATTCCAACTCACCCATTTTGAAGTTTGTGTTAAACCGTTGTATAATCCCGTTGAAGCGTTCGAATGGAAATGTCCACCAGCCATGCACAGGGCCAAACTGGCGGATACAATCAGGAAGATGAAGTGCGAGGTGGTGATTTGCGACTAGAACGTCCTCCCCAAAGAGCTCCACTACCGACCTCAAGTACTTCAGTAACAAACCCTCCACCTCGTCAGCGGTCTTCTCCGACGTCGTTCGACCGGTTGCGAGGCGAACTGCAACGACGAGAGCCATGAAATTCTCGAGAAGTTCCTTCTCTCTGGAAGATGCGTCAGGTCGACCCCACAACCGCGTCAAGGTGAACACCATGCAAACGGTGAACGTAGTTCTCCACTCGTCTGCGGACAGTTTGCCATTCGACTTGCCCCCGATAGCCAAGGGAGGTGGAGGTTGCCAGCTCGGCATGGTGGTGTTGATGATGTCTTCTCTCAGCGACGAGATTGTTGCAGCATCCAGGACCACCTGCTTGGTTCCCGGCACGGGGAAACTGTACACTGGAGTGGAGTATGGTTTCGGCGAAATCATGCGTGCATTTGGATAAGCTTTTCGCTAGGACTGTGGTAAGTCCCACCATTTCCGTCGTCAGGTAAGAGTACTCACCCAAGCTATGATAGCCTCGATCACATTGTCTTTTGTTGGCTTTCCCCCCTCGGGTTCAATGGAGTTTAGGGCGGCAAATGCGTCCAAGTAACCCTTCCGAATCTTCGAAAGCTTCGTGGTCTCGATCTCCGTGCTGTTCTTCAAAGCTTCAAGTATCAAGTCCAACTGGGCTTTCTGCTGCGCCGTGTCGTGTGGCTCCATCCGCTTATCAGCCGCCACGCTATCGTCCATCCCTAGAAGCACCCGGCAGTGGGTCTTGATGAGATTGAGGAATAGGTTGTGCATAGAGTCCAGCACGCCGGAGACGATTGGGTTCCAGTAGGGTAGGCGTAGAAGTTCGGACCACCGCGTGTAATGTCGCTCAAATTCCCATTCCTTTGTCTTCTGGTTTGCTGCTCGCCGATATCGCTCTGCGTTTGCCCGATGTTCGAGTTCTGTGCGGAGTTCCCAGGTCTCCTTGTCAAAGTTGGCGATTTGGCGCAATCGTAGTTTGCAGAATGAGCAGAACATGTCCGCCGCATGCCCAGCAAAACCAGCAACTTTGCGCATTGCAGGTATGTCGCAGACCAGTACCGCAACGGCACACCTAACGAGATACCGCACAGAGCCAAGGCCGACTGTCGCTATCTCTATTCCGGGATGCCAGAGCTTTACCAATGCATCAACGAGGGGTCTGAGCAGATGGTTGATTTCTTCCAGACTAGGCTCCCGTGGACCTGGAATGACGCCCGCCAAATACACATTCTCTAGTCGGTATCGAAGGTGGATAGGTAAGTTCATGCAGATCATATAGATCCCTCCGACTGACGCAGACTTCCCGGCAGACTTCCTCCCATATGGATTAAACCAATCGACGTTAAGCGAGAATACGAGGCGCATTTCCCCAGCTGGGACTCGTAGGAATGGCTGTCCATCCCTCCCCGCGAAGGTTTGCAAGAATCGGCCGTGAAAAATGTCCTTCCAAACCCCAACCCGTTCATTCCACGTTTCGGTCACCTCTTGAATTGCTTTCGTCATCCCCGGTCGCGAAAGAAGTCGACTGAGCCAGACCTCCATTGGCTGATATAGGAAAGGCACGGTTGGGTCACGACCTTCATCCCCTTTGGTGAGACTCGTATTGCACTGCGGCGAATGAGGGAACTCCCGGAAACTGCAAGTTGTTGGATACCGGCTGTCGGAGTCGGGAGGATAGATTGCGCTACAAACCGGGCAAAACGCATATTTGATTGTGGTAGGGTCCAGCTCGAGCCTATCCATGGCGGTTCGAATGTCGACGGGCCAAGCGCCTGGTCCTCCTAGGACAGTAAGAGGATCCGCTATGTCTTTCAACCCACATCTCCTGACATACATGATGCAGGCCGACGAGACAATGGTTCTCATCATGACCAGGGTGTAATTACAGGCCTCTTGCGAAAGCCCGGAGAGCAGGTGGAGGACGACGACTGTGACCAGGCACACTAGGACTGGTTCCGCAGCGGAAAGTAGAGAAGGTCGATCCGCTAAACCAGTATCAGCAAGTTGGCCCATGTATCTAACGACATCACGTACGAGGGACTAACACCTGTGGACGGCTAGGATCCTCCCTCTTCATATCCTTATGGAGACACCACGCCCTCTCAATCAATCGGTTCTATCCTTCCAAGCTCCTCGTCTATCCGTGCCGACAGCGTCTTCCTGCGCTCTTCCAATGACACAACCCCCTCGACCCCCTCAAGCCTTTCTTTCAGCAGAGTCATCTTCTGTATATGCTCGTTGATTACTCGGTTGTTGGTCCAGGAGAGAGATGGGCGTTCATCGGATACTGAGTCGGCCAGCGCGCCATCGAAGACGACACTGATGGTTTCTGCGATTTGGTGGAAGGCCTTGGTTTCTTGGGAAAACTCCTGTTCGAGTTCCTCGAGGACTGTATCACTCAAAGTGACTACATACTGGTTAGCGTTTAGGCTCAATCAAACAGGACATCGTCGACGCACCTTCCTCCTCATCGACATCCATAGCTATCTCCGCCTCATCTGCGCTCGTGCCCATGTTCTCTTCCCAATCCCTTCTCTTGTCTCAATAGAAAGTTATCGGCGCCGGTAGCTGTTCCACTCTGGAATACCGCTTCAACGATCTCCTTTTTCATCCGAGCTGATTCTTCCTGTTGGTGTTTCTCCCAGACGGCTTTGGATTGCAGGACCCCTTTGACGAGAAGACCTGTCTTGGGGCTGGTGGTAGTGAACTCTCGGCACTTGGAGCATTTGCATATCTTCCGTGGAGAGCGATACATGTCGCAGAGTGCGGGTCAAGCAGGGTTATTGGATTGTAGGGATAAAACAGATGCATCGATTACATTTACATAGCGTGCGGGCAGCGCATGGTACTCCATTAGGAACAAGGGAATCAGAACTTTCGGTTTTTCAGATACTGCTTTGCGAAATCTTCGGCAGGCCAAGCGCCAGGATAATCGCCGAAAAAAGGATAAAGTGCCAACGCCTTCAGCGGATCTCTGGTAAGTTATTGTCATTATACACTGCTTAACGAGGTGACTTACTTCTTTTAAATAGTCCGCCTTCTTCTGAACATCCTGATGGTCCCAACCTCCTCGACGGGTGAAATGCTTAGTGCAAATTTCTTGGAGTTCTCGCTGACCATGCGTTAGAAGTCAATCAATTCGGGCAGCCTGTGGGCATTGTGACCCACCTGAACGTCTCTGTACCATCGGGGGTCCCATGTCTTCAACAACGTCCCACGGAGCGAATAACCGCCGCCTCTTGGCTTGCCAAGTGGTCCGATTGGACGACGTGGTTTCTCCAACAGCGAGGCTTCGAGGTTAAAAAATGGATAATGTTCCGGCCTTTTAGGGTCCCCGTTCCTCGCAGAGGCTGGGGACTCTCGGGGAGAATCTGGGTGCCAGACGCATGGGTCACACAAAATCACCCAATCACCGCCAACAGGGGCTCTTACCTACAGAATCCTCAGTAGGAGGTATCTCCAATGGGTAAATGGTCCGGTTGGTCAGTTTGCGTTCGAAATCTGGGCTTGGTGTTCTTTCAAAAGGGAACTGCACTCGATTCGTCACAGGTGGAAAGAACTTCTGCGTGGGCATCTCGCGGTGGAAGGTAAAGTAGGAGAAAGGAGGAAGCACGATGTATATATCTGTTTCGGTATCATTAATATAATCACAAATGATGGTCGCGCCTCATTTTCCCGAGCCTTTCTTCCCTATACCAGCCTCCCTCTTGAGCCGGCCACTTTGCCGGTAGCGGTATGTGTTGAGGGACTTCGACTTCACCCAGCTACCGTCTCCCTTCTGCAGACTCAGCCCATAACCCGTCAACGTTGGGTGTTCCGTCCCCTCTTCGGCGTTCACCCATCGACCTCCCGACTCCAGCACCCATATTTGCACTTGCCCTTCGCCATACTTGTTGATGTATAATGCCCCAGGTTCCACTTTCTCCCCCTTCATCGCATCTTCGGGCACGACCACTGCTGCCAATCGCTTCGACCCCAGGTGTATGAACGTCAAATAGGTTACTGGACTATTCCTGAGCTTCCGTCGCTCGACCTTGACATCGGGCTTTGGCTGTTTCGGTGCGGGATTGGGGTTGAACCTCACTTTCCTGGCAGGCGTTCCGACTGTTCCTGGATCTTCGTCCCTCTGCTTCCTCTTCGAATTCGCTCGATTATCCACTGTAGTCGGAAAGGATTCATCCGCAATTCTGATTGTCTGAATCACCCCCCCACGATGAAAAGCGTCAGCTGTTGCAACGGCGGATGGCATTAGTAGCAGAACCTACGTCTGACAGAAGGCGTCGAATATCTCTGAAGGCGACGTCACGCGCGAAGATCACTTTCGACGGAGACGGCATGGTACCAGGTGGTTGTGGATGGGAGACTATGGAACTAGGCGAAGTCGCCCAACCTATTTAAATGGATATGTTTAGAAAGGTGTTTGTGATTGGTTTGACTCGATGACGACCGTTATGTACAATGAGACCAATGTCGGTAGAGGTCATTAAATGAAGTGGCTTGCCACAACCTCTCTGAATAACAGACAAACCACCTTTGGTCGCAACTGCCACTCCCCGACAAAGGTCAAAGGCATGCAACAACTAGGATACCACCTAGAACGACTGCTAGTGAAACCGCAGCCCCGATCACGAGCATTGGCGGTATCTCTTCGACGAGTCCAGGAGGTACACCGAGCGATCGAATAACCTTTTCGGATGTTTCTTCGAATACCGTTGGCGCCTGTGGAACAAGCATATGATTCTGACGATTTCGATAAGCAACTTGGCCAATGGAGAATTGCACGAAGCTGACCTTGTTCGTTGTCCAGATGTAGACCGTGCCGGAGCGATAGGGTTCGGATGATCCACACGCAACGAACAAGTGAGTGGTGCCCGAGCCCCGCTTTGTTCCAACCTAATAACCAATCAATGCACTTTGTAACTGGGCGAAGAAGCCTTGAACGCACGCCGACGGATGAAACGACAATGGGGTCTGTATATGATCAGTCGGCGTCGTCAAAAGAGACAATGTATGTATCCACGTACTCTTCTCGTGGTGAACCAAATTGGTAATGACCTTCTTCTCCCTCAAGGTCCCAGATCAATGCCTCGCCATTGTCGCTACCACTGACAAATCGTTTCTCGTCGATGAAGGCCATTTGGATTGGGAAGTTTCTCTGGATATTCAATGAGAGCTTGAAGACAAATTGCGGCCTATCGTTTATCTTGTAAACGTCGACTCCATCCTGCAAAGTCCATACCAGTAAGGTTGCAGTCGACTCATTCCAGGCGCAGTTGCCGCTGTAGCACGTCAGTTAAGCTCCTTTCGGTAGATGAGGACATACATTCGACTCTCCAGCCTTTCTCTCCACAACCTTCGTTGAGACTCGACATTCCATGCCATTCTAAGGGACATCAGGTCCAGAAGACATCCAAAGCTGGAGAGACTCACAAAACCCGGGTGTCCAGCATTCCGATCATGACCTCTTTCCCCCCTTTCGAGAAGCCTATCCATCGTGGAACCCCGTCTTCGTTGACTTCTCCGCCCTCTGTCTCTTCGAGGTCTCCTGGAATCGATACAAAAACTGGCTGAGTTTAGCACACCTGAACAGCTCCCAAGGAAACTGAAGCGTACCACTGGAAGTGGAGCGGTCTATTCGGTAAAGGAAGACACCCCCTCGTCCCACTACACCCAGGCGGTTATTCTCGAAGGCGATACTCTCGATGCTTTGCGACATCACTGAGACCGAGGCTACTCGCTTGAAGTTGTTCTAGTTAAGGAGGCTGAGCTCGCTTCGAGTCCTGAATGCAAACACGAGAACATACCTCCCTCCCTGCCTTCCTCCAGAGCTTGCAGGTACCATCTGCACCCGCCGTTATTATCTCAACAACACCACTGGCCTGTGCATACGGCAGCCATTTCACCTCAACGACGCATTCTTGCTTAGTGCTGACTTTCTGGCGAGAGCCGGTATCCAGGTCAGTTATCCAAAGGTATCCATCATCACCTGCGCTTTGTTAGGGGACACTACTGACATCTTCATTGTAGATTTGACTCACCGCCCGAGGCCATATATCTACAGTCGTCGGAAAAAGAAACGCTGTTTATTGGTGCAAGATGCCCCCCAATACAGATGGACTTGTTCAGGTTTTCCATCCCGTCTGGTAGATGGACAAGACGTTGGAAGGCAGACAACTTGCAACGAGGCGCTTGCCGCATTCCCATCACACGTGGTTGAGCGCGTCCGAAGGGGTTATGAAAGGTGAAGTGCTTTATTGAGGATAACTCCAAATACTAATATAATCACACGTCCGTCTATAGTACGACTGCATACATGTAACAAGATACGACGATGGGGAAATGCGATTCGACAACATCCAAGCCGTAATCAGCTATGGATGCGAAAGATACTGGTGGGGATTCGACCCCGTTCCTGGTAGTGGGAAAGGAAGCTGATAATGCGTCAGTCGGTTGTTAAATGGGATGAGGTCAGAGACGTACTCTCGGACGGCTTTTACAGCGTAGTCCCTTTGGCGGCGGGTCGCCATATTGACCACTTTGTTTCGGTCACCCATACATGTAACAACCATGTCCCCGAGGAACGGCATAGTGTGGTCGAGCTTGAGGAGAGCGGTGTTGGTCAGGAAGATCGAGTCGAAACGGTAGTCGAGCCGATAGATATAGAATTTGTTGTCGGCTTTGATGGTGACGATGGTCGTGTGTATCGGGATAGAGGGATGGCCATTCAAAAGGCTTCGGAAGCTAACCTCCCCTTCGTAGTAAGGGATACTCTTTGTGAAAGGTTTGGCGCGAGGGATGAGGGAGAAGTAGAGGACTTTGACGGATCGTGTTCGGCGCATTGTTGGATGACTGTGTTGTGCTAGCGACGATGGGAGGTCACCGATGCGATTGGGGGAGAAGCTGGGCTGGATGAACTTGTTAGCCTTTCAACCGGACTCATATAGTGATCGGGTTTCAAAGGAGTCAAATGGAAACGTGCCATCAATTGCGTGCTCGTTGAAAGAGTGATAACAAAGGCGAAGAACCTCAAGGTTGAAGTTATTGTACATAGCAAAATCTACATGAAAGTCAAGGAGCAGTGACCTGAATCATTGGCGGAACTCGGATGAAGCCGTGAGGGTAGCTGTCGGTCGGTGGAATCGCTGTTGCTTGTCGCAGCACCCTGTCGATTAGATGAGCGTATTCCATCCTTCCAAGTTAGGTGGGCGGAGTGACATACGCTGTTAATGCTCCCTCCGACCATACTCTCTCCGCCCCGATGTCCCTGAATGATCTCAGACTGGTGTAACGCTGGAGGACAATTACTGGTCCTCGGATATGGTGATTTGGTTCCAGTCTTGACAAGGATTGGTTTAAAGGGTCTTTGTGGGCATGCGAAAATATACAGAGGTAGTCGGGATGCGGGTTCTCTTCTGCGACAACTCGGACATCGCATCGGTACATTGGGATTGTTGGGTTGGTCGAACACAGGTGGCTCTCTACGAGCGGGGTCCAGGAGCGATCGGCGTCTCGAATCACATCAATGCGAATGACGACAGGGTCGAACCCCTCGACAGGGAAAAGTAGACCATCAACACGACGCTAAAATCACCATCATGAGACCATGAATAGCCATTGACACGGAGAGATCCTCACCCTTTCGTACACGTCCTCTCGTGACGCGCTGCGTGCGTTTCTCATCGAAGTTCAGCAGGCGTTGTAATCAGTTTGGTAAGAAAGAGAGGAATGTAGTCAGATACAAATGTGGAGGGGAGGGGTTTACAGGAAGCAATTTGAGATCGATAACAAAAAGCCTGAGAACAGCCGGGAACAATATCGCTGCAATACCACGTGAAACAATCCTGAATCAACAACGAAGGCTGAGCAACGAATCAGCCAACGCTGAGCTCAATGGTACTCCCAACTCACTTATTTCGTGTTATGAAACTCATTTCTTTTGGCAGAAATCCTCGCCCTTGTGCCCTCCAATGTCCGAATACGCATCGCACGTATCTAATGGAAGAGTTAGCGCCCCGCCTCACGAGCAGAATCTTTGCCTACCGCTTCAACGCTATATCGATGTGGTCCCGTCGACGGAGGTGGACTGGTTCACCCTTGACACCTAGCTTCACCACTAATATGTCACCCCTCCAACCCCGTCCTTTTCCCAGTAGCGAGCCCACCCCCAAATTAATAGGAAGATTCTCATCGTACCGGGCGTAGACAACGAAAGAGATCATGTTCTTCCGTCGGTCGATAAGGGTAAGGATTGTCTTGTGTATTGTTAGCTTGGGATATTCCCGCATTGCTAACTCGACAACGGGAATCCTTCTAGCGTCACTCTCCAGCATCGGCACTCTTCGAATAGCCCCTTTGAACGCATCTAGACCAAAATACAACGCTTCAAGAGCCCGAACCTAGTATCTCGCGTCAACTGGACTATCATAGAATCACAGCGCGCTCCATTGAATTACCTTCTCGTTCATTGGCGATAGATGGCTTTAGGGGTATGTGACAAAGGGCAAGGGAGAAGCAGCCTCGTGAAAGGCAGTCGTCCTTGAACCTGCCCATCAAATTGATGTCTTTGTGAAACCCTGACTGATTCAAGAGGCCGGTGAGCTTTCCCTTTCATTCGAATACTCTCAGTCACCCCATCCAGATTCGAACCCGCTTGTTAACGATGCCCGGCAGTACCTACGAAGATCCCAATCCCGACCACAGAAATGAAATGGATATCGACGTTCGCAGTTGTCTTTCCAAGCGCCCGGCGAGGGACGATGAAGATGAAGACGAAGATGAAACTGGAAGTACGAACCAAGATGGAACCCCCGCACAACCCAACGAAGGTGATACCTCGAAACGCAAAGACAAACGGCCGCTGCGCAAGAGGGCCAAACCGACGGATCCTGCTGGTCCTTCCGGTGAGCTACTCACTACCTTGACTGTGTATCATGCTCACCTCCATATTGGACAAAGGCGAAGGCGAAGCAGAAGGCGAAGCAGAAAGCGAAGCAGAAGGGGAGGATACCGAAACCGAATCGCGCACTGGCAAAGGCAAACAGCCGCAAAGGGCAGTCAGGCCCGCCGTACCTGCCAAAACATTTGGTAAGCTAATGGCTACCTCATGAAATGCCTATTGACCGGACTGATAGCGCGTCGCCCAACGCCGGGATCCTCAAAGCATCCAACTACCAGTAAGTGCTTGGTACTATTTGAACCACGATCCTACATGTCATTTATCATCCACCGCAGCACCCATTGGTTCGCCTGGCCCATGGAATCTACAGTTGAGGCAAACGACACTGCACTCTTTCAACGTCAGGCGGCCTATTCCGTCTGATTTTGCACCCTCTCAGGTCTCCGTCCCACCCAAGGGTGTCGCGACTGCCGGCGGGGCAGCCGCTTCTTCATCACGCCATGCCCAAGAGCAGGAGGACAGTGCCAGAACGTCGACTCAACAGGTAAGCATTGTCTCCAGAACACGAATGATTAGTATCTGATACCCTGTCCGTAGACCCCGTCCTCTGTAGTGCCTAGTGACAGCGACAATCCCGCACCCTCTCAGGTCGCCGTCCCACCCAAGAGTGTGGTGACTGCCAGCGGGGCAGTCGCTTCTTCATCACGCCATGCCCAACAGGAGGAAGGTGCCAGAACGCCGACTCAACAGGTAAGCATTATTTCCAGAGCATGAATGATTGGCATCTGATACCCTGTCCGTAGACCTCGTCCTCTGTAGTGCCTAGTGACAGCGACAATCCCGCCGAAGGTGAAGGGGAATATCATCCAAGTCTGACAAGTGAAACGGAGACTGTGAGTTTATTCGAAACGCTTGGAAGATCACCATTGATCCGTTGTTTAGGCGGGCTCACATTCGGACCATCCCTCCGACATCCAAGTCGCAAAGAAGAAGAAAGGGAAAGAGAAGGCGAGGGCCCCACAGAAGAAGAGGAAGGATGAAGTATGTTCTTTTTTACTCAAGTGATCTTCGCTTATTCACCGGTGTATGTATCGCTCACAGTTTGTGCCAACGTATCGTGACGACCTCGGCCCCTCAGCTCCTCTGATTTCCCCCGAGCTCGCCCAGCAAGTCATTCGTGAGGTTTTCGGGAAGTTCAACTCAACCATGGCATCAGAGGCGGGTGGATTGGTGGAGGCTGTGCGAGACATGGTCACATCCGACTTCCGTAGCACTCTGCAAAGTATTGCGACCCGAATTGATGATCTGAAGGGGGAAGTGCAAGACCAGAGGCGAGAGTACAAGAAGATACAGGAATCCCACGAGTCGCTCCTGCAACGGCTGAACAACCTTTCTGCCCCCACCTCAACTCCCGCCCCCGGGCCTGTCCCCCCACCGAAGCAGCGAGCAGCACCTCAACATCTTCGAAATGGACTGGCCGTCGAACACAAAGACCATCCAAAGGTCAACTTATTCCGGGTAAGCCCAACCTACTTCTTTCCATCATTTCCATTTATTACGATTAACATGGCCTTAAGAGCTGCTACAGATTCTACATAAAGCGTGTCCTGCTGAAGCTACAGGCAAACGACGAGCTCGATGAGGAAGACGTACGGATGGACCTCGATAATCTCGATGACGACGATGAAGACGACGACGACCCTATCCTGAAGCATAAGCCAATCACCGATCAAGAGCACAGAGCATGGTGCGACAAGAGCCCCAACCGCATCAGGGTCACTGTAGAAAACTTCCGCTACGATTTCACTCGCCAGCCGACCGACGTTTTCAATAGGGGCTCCATCCATATCGGTATCAAGGCGTTCAAGAGGGAGTGGGACAAAGGCACGTTCGATGATGCCATGGGGCTTGAGGACGAGGAGGAGAGGAAAGGTCTTGGGGCAGCGTTCTTGACGTACCGATCCTTGCAATACAGCTTCGACGGTTACTTCAAGAACCTGTCTCATCGCTACCTGGCTGCAACCACCGAATCAGGAAGAGAAGCATTGAAGCTCAAGCGCACGAAGGCGGCCAGGAACACTCGATTGACTACGGTAATGTTGACTGGATTTTTTACTCAGGTCATCGCTGATCTTTCTTCCTCCTCTCGCAGTTGACTAAGCACCGCCAGAGAGCCTGCGATGCTGTTCCGGTGCTCAAGACCTATCTCGCATTGCTCAAGATGCTCGGCAATCACGCGACCAGCGAAGACGAGTCGGACTTCGAGACCGTTGGCGACACCCAAGTCAAGGTTTACCGTACCATTGCTCCTGGCTGGCGCTCCAAATCGTTGGAGAAGTTCCTGCATTTTCTCGATTGGGTTAGGGATGAGCTTCAGAAGGCTGAAGGTGCTTCAACGAAATCCAAGCTGAAAACGGCCAAGAGACGCAGGCGCGATGATGATGACAAGCAAGTCAGAGTTCCGGGTGGGCCCCGACGTCCGCGAATCCCTTCCAACAAGGTGAACAACAACAGGCGGGCTGCGACAGGGTTGAACCAGAATTGCTACTCGAAGACCTGGCTGAGGAAGCAACCGGAACATGTAGAGAATAGACTCCTTATCCAGAAGGAGGACTTTAAGTTCCCGGTGAGTTCCTCTCTTCCACGATAATCTTGGGTCCCGCCTCAACAATCATGGTACCCAGGCCGACTACGACCAATTGAAGAAAAGCATCGTTAACGAAGGTCATTAGGAGGTGTAGGAATGACATATACGACGGATAATTAGATCAAAGACATCTTCTGTGTACTTACAAGGCGCTATGTATTTCGAATTTCTCTCCTTTCCAACTTATGGTGACATCGACCCACATTCCGTTGGTACTGGGTCCGGTGGCTGTGTGGAAATGAATGGGTCAAAGGGAGCATGTTCTCTTTCTCTTTTAATCCCCTCAATCATCTCAGTCTTAACACTCGTCGCTACGATACTATGTCCTACGAGCCCATCTTTCGACTTCCTTCGAGCTCCATAGTCGACGCACTGGCATTTTCGCCAAGACTCGACTGGCTTGCGTCTGGGGACCAGAAAGGCTTTGTCAAAATCTACGAAACAGTTACGGGCATGGAACGACATGTATTCGAATTCGACGATCCTGTCACCAGCCTTACCTGGCATCCGAAGGAGAACACTATCTTTGTTGGATTGGGATCAGGGGTAGTTGCTTTCATACATGACTTCAAAGTAGGTTTCTCTCATGTACCCTATCCAAGAAAGGTGGACTTATGCCATCGTCAAGAATCTCGGGCGTCAAGTTGCATCTGGAGTGAAGGGTGCAGAGGTCTACACCATATCTTTCAGCTCGTCGGGTCGTAAACTCGGTATGGGTATAGGGCAGGAGGTCCACATTGCGACCCCGACAACAGACCGTGAGTGCTTCGATCCTTCAAATCTTCGGACTTCCTCCTCACATGCGAATATCTGCCAGGGGGGTACGCTACTACAACCATATTTCCCCAGCCATTGGAGGACAGCAAAACAGGCGACGCACGCATTCGATCTCGAGGAATTCACTTCATTGAAAGCGAGAAACAAATGATCGTTTCGTATCTAAATCACGGGGTCATGTGGGTCATACAATCAGCTCGCCCTTCGATTGAACTGAAGTGGACCATTTCCAGATGTTGGGACATCTATACTCGTTCGCCGATTTGGACAATCGCGCACTCACACGTCCCAGGATTCATGTACGCCTCGCGCTTTCTTTGACTTCATCCCTGCTGAAGTTCTCCTAGCGGTCATTCACACGTCTCTTCGGATGAGCGATTCATCTGTATCAATAACTTGGCGACCGGGTTTGACGTTTACAATATCAAGTCCCGGACACTGGTTCGCTCCCTTCAGGTGCCCTCGCATCGTGAGCGTAATGTCCCTTTGGTCTCGTGTTTTCTCAGGGATAGGAATGTCGTTATAACGGCATCTCATGACGGGGAGGCGAGGGTCTGGCATGTAGGCAGTGGTATGCTCATGCAAAAGCTGCCAACAGCGTCGTCATGTAAGTCGTTCCCTTGGGCTTCCAGAGCTGTTGCTTAACGATCAAAATCATAGCCTCCATCCGATTTATATGCGTACGGTACAATCGTTGGGACAACACTCTCAGGCGCTGAGTAACCCTTTCAGGCTGGTAACTTTCGTTCTCGAGGCTTCATCGCTATTGCGCCGTCCTCCAAAGATTCCGGTGTCTCTGTCTGGAAGGAGCTCTCTGGTACGTCTTCCACAGTCAGTCACTAATGAAGAATCGCGTTGACTTGTTGCAGCTCCACGGGGCGCCCTAAGCGACATTGTGGGTTCCCTCGTCCCTGGTAATTGAACAAGCATAGTAATTGACTCAACGGCAGGCATCTACGGAAGTTATCGTCGGCCTCTGTGTTGTACTTCTGTTGGCTATCGTTTGCATTCTCGTTTGGGTGAGTCGTACTCTTTATTTCATTGTCATTGAGTCTTCTGCTGAAAGTATTGAAGCACCCAGCACTTATTCCAGAGGACTGGAAGTCGCTCGCCGAAGTATTGTTCAGGTGGAAGAAAACAGCATACTCCATGGGGCTCGAGTCGGTTCGCCGCGGACGGAAACTTGGAGCGTGGATTGCACAGGTTTTGGGCATCGCCAAACGTAATAAAAGGCGATTTATCCGTCTACCAGAGCTTTGACACCCTCGTTTAATGTTTGTATTCACTCCCCTGCGTAACCCGGCCTTCCCGGTTATTTACTCACCCAACAATTAACTACCTCCGTCTCAATCACATTGTCTCAATCACATTGAAAGGGAGTGGCTCGAGTGTGATTCGAATGTGAATAACGGGGTGTGATTACCTGACCTGACGCGCTGGGCCGCATCAGCGCCACCTAGCGCATCAGCGCCACCTTGTCGGGCGCGGCGAGTCCTCGATCGCACAAGAAAAGGTTACAAATTATGATCCGTGTAATCCATCCTTTGTCGCCATATATCTGTAACAACAAACTCGGTACGTCTGTCATCCTTTTGTGCACCTTGAATGGCCAAGAAATTACACGTGGTTTGCGCATGCAATGTGCCGGGAAAGGTAGCTAATAACGTGTCATCCGGTGGGTGATTTCTTGCTATGTTGTTTGTTACGAGCAATCTCTTATATTTCATATCATTTTTTGCTACATTGTGTACGGCCATCAATAATATGTATTTTGTATCATTTCTATTGGTAAAAAATTATCAAATATATAGCGCATTTCTCGTTACAAAAAAGTAGATTTCTTGCTACAAAAAATCATCTGATGCGCCTAGTGTGTTGTCTGTTCGATGACGTTCTCTTCCTTGCCAGATCTAGAACCGGGCCGCCGGATCAGGTGCGCTCTGTAATCAGGTCCCGTTCGAGAAGTGGGCGCTTAGAGGGCGTCTGTCACCTTCAAGCGCAAGGAATCAGCGAAGACGCTCGGAATATGGACTGGGAACCATTAAAGTCGATGTTATAGCCGACGGGCGCTTAATTTACTGGTAAGATGCACTTTCCCGGAGGCTGGCCTGGGCACCCCACGTTTTGCCAGCTGCCACTTGAGTAAGTGGGTCATGCGTGCTGACAGAGCAGGAAAGCCTTCATGACTTGTGCTGAACCGATGAAGAACCCGCAGATAATACGGCCCACTGTCATGACATCGTGCAGCAGCTGTAATCTTCGGTTTTGTGGGAGTTCGAGAAAATCGAACCTAATCGAGTAAAACCTTAGGTCACACACAGCCCTCGACGGAAGGTGATTCGCCCTCCGGCCCCAGATCTGCTGTCAAACGTCTAAGATTGCTGTGATGAGCTCCCCCTCGAGGCCGTTCCATGTTAGCCTTCCCATCACCGCTATCTTGCCAACCAATGGTGAGATGTCTGTCAGATCATCAACGTTGACATCAAGGCGCCTTGTGTAGATTCAGATTGCTAGGCCAGCTTTCGACTTGAAAGTGCCTGTATGGGACTGGGTAAATGCGAAACACCATGGCCTTGTCGGTCTGGGAGATAGCTCTCAGACCGCCGAAGCATAGATTGCACCCGCACGTCTGCTTTCCTTAGCGCTCCAGGATCACCTGTCCGAAGCTGATCCTTATTTCGTGAACATGGCCTTTCAATGAATGTGAAGAGTGAGAATGAGAACACGCGCCGCTTCGCGTGTCGTTAACGCCATTTATCACCGTCCCACAGATCTCATAAGGATCTGCCTGGTACTGGCCCCGAGAATTGACAAGGCATGGGTGGATACTGGGCCTCGTTAATCTGTCGAGAGAGCTTATGTACGTGCTTACATCGCCGACCGAACTACCTCCAACTTCTCGAAGCTTAAGTGAGCTCTGGGTGTGTAGATCCACTGAACACGAAGTACATACTTCATAGCTGTATACGTGCGAAGTGTTATGAATTTCATCCCTCGAGTCGCCTCCGATCACGGTAAGCACATCTTTTGAAAGTAGCCCTGTTCGACGACCGTCAGCATATCCATGCAACAGCAGGCAACAGTGATCATAAACAGCAATTCCCTCCTATGTAAAAGGCCCGGGTGTCTGTGATGAAGTTGTGTTATGGCACCACCCAAGTATAGCAACCACAGCTTCACTTGAAGTAGCTTTCCTTTTCACGGGAAGAGGGATTGTATGGGGATTCTCAGGATGTAGTCCCAATGCAGTGAAAGGTAGGACACGCGTGAGGGGGTACTACGGTCACTTCAACGAAGTATCGCCGTTTCCCGACTAACTACCTTACCCCACTGTGTCAACAGAAGAGTTTGGATAAGATTTTAGTCATTTCGATTTGAATGTGTTGAAGTAAGCTTTGCACGTGAGGGCCTTGGACAGTCTCGGGCAAGACCTCCAATGAATGTCGGGCTGACCGAACAGCAGTATTAGTGTTGGACCTACCGACCCCACGTAGTCATTTAAATTATGTAGTATACTGCGCTCAAGGGGATCCAGGTTGTAGGTTGCTCATCCGTGATTCGGCAAGTCCACCAAAGACCACCGACGGACCGCGAACGCCCACTGGCAAGGTACGTAGAGTCCCAGTACATACCTGCTCACCAGCTTTTCGGAGTATCCTCGACGGACATACGTACCACATGCAAACTCGTCCCGAAATCTTATCTGATGGTCTGGAAGAAATCGGTCTCAGGCGTGAAGAGTGCGGTGGGTTCTCCCAATGGGAAAATGGTGATTGACGAAGTCTACGGAGACAAGTCCTTCAGCATACAGTATTTAACAGCATTTTCGCCTTGTCGAAGGAAGTAGAAATAAGGCGCCCTTACATCATTTCAATTTGACGCATCGCGTCGGTTATGACTCTGAGGCCATGACGACAATTTGGCAAATCAGTGTGAAGAAAGCGGCAGCAAAAGACGGGAGACCGGGATGATGCACGTGAAAACTCGACAATGGGTGGGCTGAATGTCGACTCATCCACGGTCGATCGTTGAAGCGGAACGGTTCAGAGAGGGTGGAGGCAATTGCGACCGATGGGGGTGGGGGGCGGCGAATTGGAATGGTTATGAAAAGCTGGAGATAATGGGAGCAGATACGAGAGCCTAGAGCGCCACCGTTATGCTCGATCCCACCTGCGAAGGACGAGGGAGAACAAAAAGAAAGAGTTGGCACAGAGAAAAGAAGGGAGAAATTACTTGTGCTCGTACCTTCTCCCGAGTCGCGTTCCCGCGAAGATCCAGTGCCCCTGCTAAAATTGCTCAGCTGGACGCACCTGAGGGGCGATTCACGGATCCTACGCCGACTTCTTCTTCTTGCCGCAGGAAGCAGTTCGAGAAAAATACAAGGGGCTCAGAACAATAATTGCGGTCACCCGCGGATGCATTGAACCCGAATATAAAACGAAAAATATTTGGATTGAGAACAGGGTATGAGAGTGATGTACAAGGGAGAGTGAGTGTGTGTTAGAGATGTGATGAAGGTACGGGGAAGCGAATGAATGACAGCGGATTCTGAGTTGAGGCATTACATTGCTGTTTTACAAGTCTATATTAAGAGTGATATCAGTGCGGTCTATAGTCCTGGTATAGTGGGGCATCGATGGGGAATCGTAAACTCGTAGTAGGCAGTCGGGGAGGTTGCGCGACGGATAAATAGGACGTTGTCGTGAACATACAGAACATGAAGGTCGAGATTGTCGGAAGGAGGAGAAACCCGCAGTCGCAGCCAGGCGACCTTCAGGTTATGAAGGGGCTAATGACATGTTTGGGGGTTGAAGAGAGGCTCCCATGACATCGAACTCCGTCATCATGTGGTGGATGCGCTTCCTAGGCGGCATAGACATATCCTGCATAAGAGGTCAGTCCAGGGCCTAGTGGAGCGCACAGTGAACCGACCTCGCATGTTGCATATGGGTTGTCTATCAACGCGTCAGAAGGCTGTGGAACAAGTGTTGATTCAGATCTCACCTTGGAGTTGCGGTTGGTCCCAAGTTCGCGAGTGTTTCCTAGCTCTCGAATGGTCCTAAAGTAGCGACGTGGTTAGAGGCTGTTGCCCATGAAGCAAACAGAGAAGCTGACCTCGAGATGCAGTGAGCCATCGGTGTTATACACCACTTGATTGGGATCTGGCTCTGGCCATTCCATCGGCTTTTGCGGTACGCGCGCCGCGTGAATAAACGGATCTAACGAGTGTCGCATGTCTTGTGGTTGAGGCTGATGTTGTTGTTGTGGTTGCTGTGGTGGTGGGGGAGGTTGCTGTGTGAAATGAGCAACCGTTGTTGATCGCTGATGAAACCCGTTCCTCACCTCCAGGCCATAGCGAGCAGGACTATGTCGTTGTTCTTCCGATACTGAAGATTTGCGTGACCGGGCGTCGACTGCGGGTAGGTCAACATAGTAAAGCAAAACAAGTAAATCGACGCACCCAATGCGAGCTGGTTTCGTTGGAGTATCACTGCGACTGAAGGAGATTGGGTAAACGGCCGAGATATCCGCGCAGAAACCACGACACGTACCGATATCGTCACGTCTCTTCTCTGCTGCTTGCACCGCCTGTCGAGCTTGACGTTCGAGGTCAAGACATGATGTGTAACGCATGAACGCATCTTGAGTGTCTTTCTGTGCGCGTAGCAACGCTACTCGGGCAGCCTGTAATGTTTGTTCTGGTCCCCGAGGGCCATTAGACTTGAAACGCTTTGAGCGCGATGAAATAAAAATAGCGTACTTGATGAATTTGCCTCGGCTGCCAGTGCTTCAGCTGTCAAGAGTGAAGGCGATTCAGACGCCCGTGAATGAGAGAGTTGAGCCACGATGTCGTTCGTTTGTCGATCTGAAAAAGAAAGCCCATAAAACTTCGACGAAAATTGTTACCGTGGACAAAGGCGCACCAGGATGTGAGTGTTGGGGGTCAATGAAGCCTTGATCTGAGGGTTCGGGTGAAAAAGACTCTGCGGAATGTTCGCGGTGGGTGTACAGTTCTGCTGCCCCAGGTGTATTCCGGAGGCGTGGATTGTGTGGGATGCCCGCGTTCTGGCGTTCGACGAATTTTCGGAGGAATGTGAGTTCGACATCATCCGGCATAACATAAGGTGGTCCTTGGATGTCGCCTTTCTGCATGAGCAGTTCGAGATGGCTCATTGTCTTGTCTTTGAGTTGCTGAAGCCATTCGTGGAGTTCCATGTGGTCTTGATCTGCTCGAGCGTCGTAATCTTGCCTCCGTCTCGCCTTTCTCCAGTATGTCTTTGTGAGCTTCAAAGCGCGATTGACCTCGTTATCGAGCATTCGATACCACTCGCTGGCCTGTCGATTCAGTTTGACGGCGAGAACACCCGGTTGGACGCGTAGTTGTAGAAGACATCGACCATCTCTGTCCGGAGGCCCGAGGACTCCTTTCTGGCCTTGATTTCCTCGAGTCGCACCACGAGAGACGTTGCCCAGCTCCGGCCAAGGGAGGTCGTCTGGGGTAGACATGGTGAGAATTGAAGAGGAAGACACTGTGGAAAAACAGGTAGAGGAAATACAGATGATGGCAACCTGGATATGTGCAGGCGCCAAGTCAGTTAAATGGGACAACGAATCGGCATTTAAGTGTGGATTTGGCTGCCCGGAGCCAGTGGTGGGAGGTCGTTTGATGCCCCGATTTATCGAGGTGGGTTGCAATATGATCCCACATGTCTCACCGGTCTCATGCCCCTCTGGACGCCCTTGGTTACGGGGTGAGGTGACCAAGCCAAAAAAAACATCCCCGCGAGATATGTCATTTCCCACGCTCATTGCCCGAGTTTCCGAACCTTGACTTAACACAAAGTTCCCCAATCCAGTCCTCTGGACCTTATCACCGTATACACAACCTACTCTGCTCCTCCCCGATCAAGATTCGCTTCTTATCCCGCTTGTGGTCCAGCAGTGTCTAGGTGGGCGTCTGTCTTCGGCTTTGTATTGTGGCAGTTACTGTACAACGAATTCCATCTCCGGCGATGGATCCGAAATATTTACCTTTCGAACTCCGTCGGCGAAAGGCATGGTGGTTATCGACCGTCCATCTAAGTCGAAAAATCGACGCCTTGCGCGAGGGGTGCAGCATCGCTAAAGTTGACTGGGGGGAGTGGATCAGACACGGAGTAAATGGAGCAAGAAGTCTAATAGGCCTACGTGTGCACGCGCTCCATCTAACGTATTGCTTCCAGGCATCCCCGCCCGATTCACGACCCCTACAATATATTTCAGAACAATGCTTTGCGATCAGTTCCTTTCGAAACACTCACCAGCCAGTACTCTGAAAACGCGAGGCATTAGCGACCATTCCGGAAACAGCTTAATCCAGGACAGGGCTTACCTTGTTTCCACCGAAAGCAGCACCAATCTCTGCCCCGCTGGTTCCAACATTGACCTATTATCCAGTGGTCAACAAACTCCAAAAGGCCACTTGATACAAAAAGGAATGACGCACATTGACGATACCAGCATCCGATCCACTAGGCCCGATCCACTTGCCGACGTTCCTGATATCTTTCGTCCAGAGACTGCTCGACAGACCCTAACGGAAACCAAGGCATCAAGTTCATCGCCTCGTCGAAAAGGTCAAGATTAACTTATGGGGCTCCGACTTACCTGAGGGACCGAGTTGTTCCATTCGATCGCTTGTTCCAACTCATCAAAGATGGCAACATTAAGGATTGGAGCGAACACTTCGGTGCTCCAGATTTCGTCCTTGGGGTTAGCCGACTGGGGGAGCGCGATGGTGGGCTCGACAAAGTTTCCGCCGGCAAGGTCATCTCGCTGATATCGCTTGCCTCCAGTAATGATTTCAGCACTCTGTGATCGAAGCTTCTGAATGGCCTGTTCATAGATTCCGCAAGCAGATTCCGTATGGAGCGGTCCCAGAAGAGTCTCCTTGACCAAAGGGTCACCGACCCGGACGGTGGAATAGAACTTCTTTAGGCGATCCAAAAAAGATTCCGCAATGTCTTTGTGGAGATACAATCGTCGAGTCGAGGTGCATCGCTGTCCAGCGGTACCCACTGCCCCAAAGTAGACCGCTGGGACAGCGAGGGAGAGGTCAGCATCAGGCATAATGATAGAAGCTAAAACGGACACCGGTCAGCTTTCAATCCGCAAACCGAAAACCCTTCGACGGACCGTTGTTCCCTCCCAACTCCAGGATTACCTTGCCGAATCGAGACGCAACATTCTGGCCTACAATCCTCCCTACTCTCTCGCTACCGGTGAACGACACTGCGCAAATGTTAATGGCCGGTGCTTGCCTATCCTTTTCGTCAACAACTCACCCAGTTCTGCTTGTGGGCTAGCAACAACAGCCTCGCCAGCTTCCTTTCCACCAGTCACGAGACTCGCCACGGCTCCAGGTATTCCGTTATCCTCTAGCACCCGGGCAATAATCTTCGTGGTAGCAATCGAGCAAAGGGGTGTCGTCGGCGACGGCTTCCAAATCGTGGCATTTCCGGCGGCCAAAGACAATGCCAAATTCCTAAATTGCGTACGTCAAATTCTCCGGGGGGTCACTAAGAATTCAATTACATACCAACCATAGACCGCCACGGGAAAGTTGAACGCAGAAAGAACGGCGACAACACCTAACGGGTTGGGAACTGCAAGCACCAATTCGATAGAACGCGTGTGAGTGGAAATGGAATCCACCAGGATGGGATCTAAGATGTTCACCTTCGAGAATAGAGTGCCCTGGTCTCTCGGACGCGACGACTCTCCCGTTCATCATCCTCGACAAACCGACACCATAGTCACACTGTTCGGGGACCGTCAATAACCCAGGAACGACTGAACTCTATAGCCCGAGGGGTGTGCTTACGATATCAATGAACTCTTGCACTTCTCCGACCCCTTCTGTACGTATCTTGCCCATTTCTAATGAGACCATAGCTCCGAGGTAATCACGCTGTGGGGAACGAAAGAGGGTCAACACCACAGTTTACCCTTTCCAGGTGTTGACCGAACCTTGGCTGCGAGTGCTTCTCGAATCTGCCGCAAGATCTCTCCACGTTTGGGCGCTGGCACGTCTATGTGAAAGTTCACGAATGATTGTTAGGGGTTGTCACAAGTCACACTGATAAGTACTCACTTCTAAATTGGACATACGCCTCTCTCGTACGAGCCAGGGCTTCTTGAACTTCGCTGGGGGAGGCTGTTCGGACTCGTGCCAGAACTTCTCCAGTGGTGGGACACACAGAGGATACGAGTTCCCCGGAGCCACGCCATTGCCCATCGTAAACGCCTGGAAGTTCCTCGCTGGGGTTGATTCCCAGGTTGGTCAGAATGTCTGCTGCCCGAGTCGACAATGACCGTGACATAGGTCGAAGGATGCCATAGCTGCTCGAGCGGCTTAGAACACGTCGTGTAAGCATTGTTTAACGGTCTCGCTGGTGTCTCCTGGTTGTGGTGGTGGTTCGAGGTTAACAATGGGAACGACGTCAGAGGGTAAAGAGGGACGCACCAAGGTCCGTGCGACCTGTATGCATGATCCGCTCCGAATGATACGGCACGGGCGCGATTAAGTCATCGAGCGCATGCTCTGGAACGCTATTGGGAGGCGAAAAGCAAGAGCTAACTATCTGTACCATATGTTCAAAGTTGTAGTGAGGTATGAAGGTCACTGAAGTGGCCCCTATACGATCGTGTCACTGTAACGTCCCAATATGGTCACCGGCGGAACTGAAAAGGAAACCCCGCCAACTCGAGCAAGGCATAATGAGGACACTAGGAAGACAAAGGACCACTAGACAGGGTATCTATTCACTATTATTCTCGGGCCAACTAGCCAATGCGTAATTCCAACTCGAATACACTCCATATGATGGAGGTTGGGACGATTACCATCGACTGGTGTGTTCGTGTGCCGGAGTGCGAGAGAATGGTGCTCGCGTGCATTTTTGCAGTGGGGAGTCTTGGTCCCACAACGCAGAGAATGGGATGAGGTGAAGGATCACAAACCGTCAAAGAAATCCTTGTCGATCACCGTCTCCTTTTTGCCTTTCTTCGACTTCCTCGATGGGTCGGGTAGTTCGACCTCTGGCTGGCGCTTCCGTTTGCTTGATTGGTCACCAAGTTGGGGTTCCATCTCCTCGTCTTCATCGTCAGACTCGTCTGAGCTTGCACCACCCCCTTTCTCCGCAGAACCTTCTACCGCCTTTCCTTCTTCGTCCTCTTCGCCCTCCGACCCATCGGCACCCTCAATCCCGCCCCACTCCTCTTCATCGTCTTCTTCCTCATCCGAGTCCACATGGTTCTCGTGGAAGAAAGCACCTAAATCTGTCATGCGTAGCACCTCGTCGTGACCAACACTGCCCACCCAATACCTCTTCTGTCGTGACAGATTCTCCTCCCTCTCAGCCTCCTCATCAACATCCATCTTGGCTTTGCTGGTCTTAGACATCACACTTCCCTCTGCTTCGTCTTCCTCATGCCGCTGAAGGTGACCCACACCACCTCCGACCGCAATTCGCTCGACGGGAAACTCCCCGTGATCAGCGACCACCCCAAGGAACTTCGTAGGCAGAATTTGCACGACTCTGACAAATCCATCGGACGACCCTGTCAGGACCGTACTCGTAGGATCGGTGTCCGGGATATCATCAGGGATATTACAAAGTGTGTCGATTGAAAGTGGATGGCTAGAGGAAACGCGGCACGGGAATTTCACTTGTCAGTTAAGATTTTGGACAAATTTAGATTTACATACCCGGGAATCCTGTCCACACAGTCCCCCCATCCTTTCTTTCGATTGAACACCGAGAGAATCCCCAATTGGGTTCCGACCAGAATCTTTTGGGCGCTGAAATGGCAACAGCAACATGTCAGTTTCTTGACAAGGTGAACGCTTCGAAAGCCGCATTTGTTCGCGGAACTAGTGATCGTGGTCGAAAAATGATATCTACTACTAACCTTTTGATGGCAACGATAGAGAGTAAGTCGTCCTCTTGATCTTCCGACTGAGCCACGACCTTTGGCTCCTTTGCACGCACGTCCATCACAGACAGAGTTCCATCTCCACTAAAGAAGATATTTCAGCATTCCCACCTTCCTGCGAAGCACCGAGATTAGCTCACCTAGTCGCCACGAGCTGTTTTTTATCATCCAACCACAGAAAATCGGAGATATAGTCAAAATGCTGTGTGTATGTCTTGACGCTGTCCCGTTTCCGTGGATCCCATAACTGCGAAGAAGGTTGGGTTTAACACATCTGCAACAAGAAGTTCCCAACGTACCTTTACAGTGCCATCGTCGTCTCCAGTTGCTACCACCCATGGCATCAGAGACTTGACGCGGTTGATAGCACAGCTACAACGGACCTTAGTACGTCAATGTACGCTCTAAAACATGAGAGGGAGGGTTGGAATCTCCAAACCTACTCATGGGCAGCACTCCGAGCATCAATATCAGTCGTAGTAGTGTCAACTATGCTGCAACCAACATTGTTTAGCAATTAGTGTCCTTCTCAAACAACTAGTACTCACTGAAGTGCCTTAGATTTGCCCACAGCATACAGTTTAGACCCATCTCCATTCAGAGATAGACCACGACACGACCGTTTGGATGGCCTCAGTGAAAAAAGATTATGCGAGTCGCCCTGTTCGCCATACGCGAAAGCTTTTATGTGGCCATTGAGCAGGCCAGTGTACGCGATTGCGGATGATGGATGGAAGACGACGTCGAATATTTGAGAACCAACTGGTATTTCTGGCATCTCTTCGAGGAGCAAAAAGACTGGATGCTGGCCGGTTGGGAACTGGAGAATTGATGCGGCTTCGCTCGGATTTCCTTGTTTGACTTTGTTTTCCAAGGAATAGGGGCTCAGTTCCCCGATTCGGTCGCAGCGACAAAAAGTTCTGATCTGTTCAGGTTCTGAGCAGGGGGGCGTTGGCTACCTCGGAATAAGATGCTTTCGAAGACCGTCACCTTCACCGGTGGGTGAGAGACTCAGAGGACTGGAACGTGCCGGCTAGGTTGCCGAGTCCGGCGCTTACCGCTTGCGTGAGAGTTTTACCCCCCGCGACATGCAGCGACGTTCCAGCGCCAACCAGCTCACATCATCTTGATTGCTTCGCTGGCGCCATTCATCGAAGATTCTTCGTAAACTTGAACGACCCGCGCTGTACATTAGGGCCAAAATGTCAGATCGAAGTCACCGTATCCGTTCCTTCATTCAACACGTTGCGTCCAGCACCATTCGAATGCTGGGCGGTCTTCGCGAATCGTTCTTGGATCCTCGGATGGGACTTCAGAGGGGACTCTCTGAAATGCAGACTGCCATTTCCTCGTTTCTCTGCTCAATCGATAACCCCCGTGTTGGAAACATCCATACAAATCCCCGAAATCGACTGTTACCTGGCCTCCGGTTGCCCTCCGGACTTGTTCCCTACCACTAGCCATGCGCGGTGCACAATAGCATCTGACTCTGACACGCCACACTATCAACACTCGAACCGTCTATTATCGGCCTGATACAGGAAGTTCAACATCCCAAAAAGTCGAACAATAGGGAAATCGCGTTCTCTTGGCAGTCTCCCTCGAGCGTCGATGCATGGACGGTAAGATGACTCCATCAAACGACGTACTAACTCCGAGTCAATTTCCTATGTGATTTAGCTACTCGAGCTCGAAATAACCAGCAAAACCCTCGATCCTTGTTCCCTGCGGCCTTATCGACAAGAGCGGCGCTCGTGACCCTCAATCGCCCTGCCTCAAACATTCCACCACTCGTTTGCCTCATGTTTCCGGGTTGTGTGGAAAAATGGAGACCATGAACGAAGGAAAGGCGAAACCTCCGGTTGGATGACCTTCCGTTTCGGGACTCTGCTCGCCAGAGGACAATGGAATATTGGGTTGATCTAAACAAACACCAACCGGTGATTAAAGCCAGTTGCCTCTCGCAGACTCCGCAGTGGTTCAACTTGAACTTCAACTCGAACATTCATTGCTCTCTGGTGCATCCCTTCGAGTGGTAGCCCTTTCCGACGAACTAGGTATCCTGCAGTGCCTGTGGATCGAGCCCCTATAGAAGATGAACTCGACACCAGCGTCCAATCCCTTTTCCGCCTTCTCCGCTCCCCCGCCCCAGCCAATCTTCACTCCGCCCAAAGAAGATGTCCAACCTGGCTCAACTTCAACGAATCCAATCGATATCGGTTCCACTCGCGTATTCTTCCCTCCAGTCTTTTTCCCCCCTCCAGCGCGCAATAACGCCAGTGGTGGCAACTCCAGTGGCACAGACTCTGACGACGACGACCAGTGCCGCGTCTTTTCCTTCCACCCTTCGAGCAGAGGTCCCCCATCAACCTTCCGCATCCAACTCCCTTCCGCCCAGTTCCCTTCGACTTCCTGTGCCACTCCATCTGCCGCAAGGAATGACCCTATCTCTCTCGGTATCGTCCCTCCCACCCACCGCCTGCGCAAGTCAGGACTCTTTGTCGATCGCAAACTAGACGACACCACCACTAGAGAGCTTCCCCCCGCCAAGAAACCAAGATTCCAACATGACGTCCTCCTAGAGAGTGGGGCTATCAGTCTCTCCGCCCCTATCGAGGCTGTTCACCCATCCGATCTTGAATCTGACGACGCAGATGATGTAGACGAAGATATCGTCCGTCCGGATGCCCTCGATGACGATGATTACCTTCACGATCTCGAGGACGAGGCTTCGCTCGACGGTGGCTACGAGTGGCAGGGGTACGATCCCGAAGACGACGATACAGACGAACAGTCCGACTACTTCGCTTCTGAGGACTATCGCAGTAACCCCTATGACGCGGACTGCGAGGACTGGGACGAGACCGACCAGTTCGTAGTCCTAAAACACGAAGATATCCTCGCCAACAACGCCTATACGAAAACTTTCAGTGCTTCGGTCGTACGTCGGAAGTCCGATCTTGATGTTCATTCCATCCTCCGCGAGAAAGCCCCTCGCTATTTCGTCAAGATCGTCAAGGGCCGGTACTGGTTGAATAAGGAGTTCAAAGCCTACATGCGGATTGATCAAGGCCCTGATCACGTCATGCAAGGCGATGTTTCCATCGACCCTTTCATACACAAACTCGATGCCTTTCTTGATTATGACCTGGTTCCGCGGACCGAAAGTCAGCGCGTTTACATCTCGGTGAGTATTCTCCTCATTTCGAACAGGGCCTCAAGTCCTCACGTCGTGCTTTTGCAGTCTCTCCTTCAGGGAGATTTGTTCAGTGCTAGTCCGCAGGCCATCGCCATCAACAGGAAGCATTGGCTCGCTCAAGTGGTATGCTCCCTGTCCCTGTTAACCATTTTCATCGATTAACATCTTCTGTCCAGACCGCAGGCATCCACTACCTCCACACAATCGGCATCATCCACCGCGACATTAAGCTCGAAAACGTTTTACTGGACTACCAAAACAACGCTCTCATCACCGACTTTGACCACGCCTACACTCATCCCTCTACCGCCCCTCTCGACTACGGCACCAACTACTGCTACCATCGCTCAGGGACGCATGGAAACATGGCGCCCGAAATCACCAAAATGGACGCAGACGTGGTCAACCGCCTCCTCAAGGTCGACCCATTCGAGCAAGACCCGGCGAATGGCCTGTATGGCCCTGCATGCGACTGGTACAGTTTCGGCGTTATGACGTTCCAACTGGCGTCAGAAGAAGCTAGAAAGGTTAGTGCGCCATGGCAACAGCCTGCATTAGTATCATCTACCCGGGACTTTGACTCACATGGGTGCCATTGACAGGATATAGAGAGAGCCATGAGAAACTATAGAGAATACCGGAAGAACTGCGGGACTGAAGTTGGTGCTCCTGCGATTTTTGGTTTCTTTTGTGAGCAGTATGGGGTGGATGGTGATATGGCTGAGATGCTATGGGAGGTACGCTCGTATCGGACAGCAGTACTGCGGCGCTCAACTGACTTCTGTTCTCAGTTGTTACATCCCGAGCCTGCTTCCAGGTTCAGATTCGAAGATCTCTTCTCACATAGCTACTTCAAGGGCGAAAATCTAGACGAGGAAGGAAATCCAGTTTCTGTCTTTGTGACTCTCAGTGATGACTGTACGTTCTCTTCTTGACCTGAATTCCTTTAAGTCTCCTCATGGAGAACCTTCCAGCCCGCGATAGACCTTTCGTCCGACCTGACTATAAAAAGTCCACCAAAATCACTGTCGATCTGAACACTTGCACAACTTGGGATGGCGCAGGTTCTGTCTGGGTCGCAGACCATTCTCCCATTTGGGATATCCTCAGTGGCCGTGCTCATTAACGAGGGCACGTCCCGATCTATCATTTGAAATGACAAGCGACTTAACGTCCAGGACGCCTTATGAACATCGACCACATAAATTATAGACACCATGCATCCTATCATTATTCCTCTTGCCCATGTACTACTCGCAATTATGGATTGAAGGACTCCCACTGTAGCTAATTACCCATGTAAACTACCATGTATTTCGACCCTTGTACTATGCCAATGACACGACGATTCACGAACACTTCAGTCCTTTGCAGTAGAGGCCTCACTGGGAGTCGGGTCGGCTTGTCGACGCTTCCTCTTGTCTTGATCACCGTCAGCACCGAGCGGAGGGAAATCGCTGTCCTTCGAACTGCTTCCCTGTTCCTGGCTGGATCCGGTATTCTGATTATTGCCTGCAACAGCGATTCAGCTTCGGCGGCGATGGATTCGTGAGCTACTTACCATTCTTCCGACCCCGCTTTCTATCCTTGCGTTTCGTCTTGAGGTCCCCTTCACTCTTCATACTCACAGGAAAGAAACCCATGTACTGCGCTATCTTTGCGAGGTAACAGAGTAAAACTGCCATTAGGACCAGGACGAAGTGAACGGCTCGTTTGATGGGCGGGAAAAGTAGGCCGGCGATGTCCTATAGGTGTCGTCAATACGAGCTCACTGAACGGGCCACGCTCCGTACATCTGGTTGCATAAAGTCTTCTTGCATGGCGATATAGTGAAGCCCGCTTTGCTTTTTTAGCGTTAGGCGTGTAACCATTCTATGACCTGTGTTGACGATGAGGTGTAGACAATAAGGCAGCGAGCTCACCTCGACTTGCTCGCCATGAAAGGTAGGTAGAGGAGATGCAGATGCTGCGTGACGTCGAGATAGAGCATATCTTTCCCCTTGTCGTAACCTTTTTGAGAAGATTAATGAAGTCTGCATAAGTAACAGAACAACGAAAGAACGTACAGACGTGATGGATAACCCCTCTGGTCCTGGGGGAGATGATGTGCAGCCATCTGTAACGTGGTTCAGCCCCAGGCATACAGTAGAAAAGCGGCCACGCACTGATAAACGCCAAGTATCTTATCTCTAGAACCAGGTCCAGGCTCAATAGCATAAACTGGGTACCGAAAGCCCGCTTCTGGGAGAAAGAACTTCTCGATAGCCGCCTTCTGGAGGTCCGGGGAATACACCGAATCGACGAGATCGAAAACTTTGTGAATGTCCTGCGGCGGGTTCTCCATTTTCTACACCGACCTGAAGGGTATCCGTAGCTCTGCAGAGAAGCCTAGAGCGACGATTTTTATGGGTTCTGAGACAGTTTGAAACCCGAGCGCGTGACGTCACTCATGAGGAGGGACGGTTAGGCGCTCGTGGTTGATGGGACTGGAAATAGGGGTCAAGTCACCCAATCCGGGCTTGCCAAGAGGATGGAATTTTGCCTTCGAAGCTTTTCAGCTCATACATGACTTTCAAAGAAGATAGGGGTCCTGATAATCTAAGGACATAAATAAAGGACTAGGCGAGCCGTAAGAAAGGGTCTTATAATGTCGAGGAAGGATCCCTTTGTGAAAGCAATGTCGCATTGAAGTGGCTAATGGAGAAAGGGGGGTTCGGCATCCGGATCACGGGCCCACACTCCAGCGCTTTCTTGCCTTTGATGGCCACTTGCATTGTCTTTCGACCACACATAAGCGCCAACCTTTCGCACCTTTAATGTCTTCCCTAACCGCCACCGACTTTATTCGACCCTACGTCTACGTTCCGATGCATACTTCGACTAAACAGCGAGGTCGAAAGCGCAGAAGGCTGGAAACGCCGGGCAGGTCGCTCGACGACGACTCAGAGCACACAGACTCGTCGTCTTCACCTTTCCCTTCCAGGGATGAAAGCCCAAGCACTGTTAATGGGAATGACGATCGAAGGAGAACACGATCGCAGTCCCGAATGGTCCTAACCAGCACCCAGTCGATTCCAAAACTCAGACCGTCAAGTCGCCTAGGCTTCAAGGCGGCGAAAAGGAGATCTAGTGTTCCCCGTGGGATGGACAAGGACAACTCCAAAGACACAACTACCCTTGTACCCGCAAAAAGGGCGAGAGAAGATTCTTGCGAACGTCGTCCCTCCTCGTCCAGAGTCTCCGAGCCACGTAGCGAACAGACAGACGCAGAGCCGGAATCAAGTACACCCGCGCAGGCTCTGCGAAGGTCTACTCGCTCCAGACCGCTAGCTAGCAAGAACCTAGCACTTTCCCCGTCGTCTTCGCGGGCTACAAGTTCTACCCCATCTCGACGAACCTCCCCATCACCCTTTCCATCCCCCAAGTCCAAGCCCCCCACATCCACATCATTGGGCCAATCCGAGCCATCATCAGTGCCGAAACCACCAAAGCAACGTAATGACAAACCAGAGGCTACGAACGTTAAGAAGCGATTTACTCGTTCGAGCCTGAAGGAGGAGCCTGGCCCAGCTCTTCTTTCACAGGCGCCGGCGAGATTCAAGTCAATTCTAGGCACTTCAAGTTCCATTCAGATTCCGTGGAAGCCTCTCCACCCCGCAACGATCCGGAATATCGAACTTCGTCGCGAATTCTTACAATCAAAGGCGAAAGAAGTCGTCCCTCAACTTCCTCAAGGTCAGCCAACCATCATCGTCTCAACCTTCCGCCTTGCCGCGGAAAATAAGGACTTGCTCCGCACCAATTTGTTCAAGGACATTGATAATAGAGGCTCAAAGTAACTCAAACTGTACAGCAAGTTCATGACCTTTTTTACGTTTCAAATAGTTATATGTTACATTCACATTCTTAATTCCTATCCTCCCGAAGATTCTACAGTTTTATGTCGTACAATGTACATTCAATGCAATCTAAAATTATTGAAAGATCGAAAACCATTCCTTCCACCACTGTTGTCTATTTCTCTTTGGCGAACTGCTCGATGACACCTTTCACCAAGTCGACATCAGGTCGTTCAACGTCGATCACCCGCCTTTCCCGTTCCAGCAATCCTTGGAACTCAACTGGCAACACGTCACGTTCAAAGTTGAAGTTGGATGATCCTTCCAAGGCACGAGAGACAGCTTCTGAGAACTTGGCGGGGTGAGCGGTAGAGAGGATGATTTGTCGGACGTTGGGAGCGCTGAGAAGTAGAGTAGAGTCAGCTGTGCGGTCGGTAAAGATTTAGAAAAGTTGCGCACTTGGATGCGGCCAGACGGCGAGCTGCAGCAAGACCCACAGCGGTATGAGGGTCTGCGACATATGATGGTTGACCTTCAAAGTAGAGCTTGATGGTGGAAAGAGTCTTGAGAGTGCAAGTGTTAGCATCTATCGACAAATGTCAATAAAAGGATTGTACTAACCTCCTCGTCTCCTATCCTCTCAGCAACGAAATCACGCCTGGCAGACTCGAGGACAGAGACGGGAACTTCAACTCGCCCGTCGGTCTTCACCTTGGCCATCCAGCTATCGAGGGTAGCAGAGGCAGCCGCCCTCTTCTCGTCATCGGAAGCACCCTCAGCGTTCTCGTAGGCAAGATACCACAAGAGACGCTCGAAGTTGCTCGAGACGAGGATATCCATCGCCGGGCTGAGCGTCTCCTTGACTCCACTAGCATCGATGGTAGCCTGCTTTCCATCCGACGCGCCGCTAACAGGATCGGTCGACACGCTCCCACTTTCCGTCGAGGACGAATCCACCTTCTCATATCGCCCGCTCTTCCAGAACCTGGCAAGAATATCATTCGCGTTGGTCGCAACAGCGAGTTTGCCCAGCGGCAAACCCATCCGCTTGGCGTAGTAGCCCGCGAGGATGTCACCGAAATTGCCGGTGGGGACGACATATTGGAGCTCGACGTCTTGAGCGGAGCCGTCCTGTGGGAGTTGTGCTTGGAAGTGGAAGTAGGAGAGGAAGTAGTAGACGGTTTGGGCAAGGATGCGGGCCCAGTTGATAGAGTTGACGGCGCCAAGGTGGTGCTTTGCGTTGAATTCCTTGTCGCCGAAGAGGGCTTTGACAATGTCCTATGGTGGATCAGAAATTGCCGGTATTTTTGGAATATCAGTATTTACCTGGCAGTCGTCAAAGGTACCCTTCACAGCAACGTTGTGAACATTTGCATCCGTCACGGTGGTCATCTGGGCTTCTTGGATGGGGGAAACCCGTCCCTTCGGGTGAAGGATGAAGATCGAGACATTCTCCTTGTCTCTCAATCCATAGATCGCAGCACTGTTCTCTAATCAATACCTGGCCTTATCAGAGACCCCAATAGATGAACTACACACCTTCCAGTATCTCCACTAGTCGCTCCAACAACAGTCAAGCTTTCCTGCTCCTCCCCAGCAGCCTTCTTCGCATTCCTCCTCAACAAAAAGAATTCGAACAGATTTCCAAGCAGTTGAAGAGCAACATCCTTGAAAGCGAACGTCGGCCCGTGGAACAACTCGAGGACGAACGTTTTGTCGTCGAGCTTGTGAAGCGGAGTCACTTCGGGATGGCGGAAGGTTTTGTAGGACTTTTCGACCAGACCGCGGAGCTCATCCCTGGAGATCTCTTCGGGGAAGATGTACAAGGACAGGATCTCTACCGAAAGGTCGACGAAGGAGTAGTTTTTCCATTTCGTCCTCCAGTCTGCGGGCAGTGTTGGGATATGTTCGGGGATGTACAAGCCACCATTGGGTGCCAGTCCAGTGAGAACTGTCTGTAACGAGCCATGAATTGTATCCAACTCTTTCAAAGCAATCCTAGTAGCAAGAACTCACCTCCTCAAAAGACAGCCTCTCGTTTCCTCCACGAGTCGAAAAATATTTCATGGTGGGTTCGTTGTTCAGGGGCAAGGAGCTAAATTGCGATTTGGCGCCGAATCGATCACTTTGCGACGGCCGAAATCTTTGTTTGGATCGAGGGCTTTTAGCATACCAAAACATGACTCGAACGGTCCGAGCGTCCCGATAAGCGCTCTGATGGGCGCCTAACTCGACGGGCAATCATCGTAACTCGTTTCTGACGTACTTGGGCGCTACCTCGATAGATTTGCCCTCATAAAGTAGCTAAAACGACGTCTGGCTGCATCAACCCTGAGATGTCAATCTACAGCACTTACTACTTATGACAGACCGAATGCTGAAAGTGCTGTCGAAAAAATGATTGGAGAGACTTCCAGAGTGATATCCCAGATAGACTCCCGGTTTCAAGGTGTCAATGGTACTCCTTGACAGTGCTTCAGTGAGAGAGAGGTCCATGAAATGTGATGCATGACGAAACGGCGACCTTGTGTTTGGCATTGAAATAATCACTAACATAATTCCGCTGCTACAAACGCTGAAGAAAACGCCGTCATCAGGAGAGGGTTACAGAATACCTCGGGCACGTACTTCGTGGCCGAGGGAGCATTTGATGTCTTTATCAGCGATTCCCCGTGTGTTAACGACTCGATCCTGAAGCCGCGCCAAGCGTGAAGCTTTGACGCACCGCCGCAGCGGTTGTGACTATGTGAAGAGCAGGAGTCCTCGGCCGGCGGAGTGTAGCCAGAGACTCAGCTTCATCAAATCTGACGTCTGCTCCTCCAACTACCTAACACAACCGGAAAGCTCACTGCTATGTCTACCTTTCAGACGATCATAAAGACCTACAGCGAAGCGTTCAACTCGAAAGACCTCGACAAAATCCTCTCTCTCTTCTCACCCTCAATCGAGATGCACTGGAAATCCCAAAACCTGAACTTCGATATCCCAAAATTCATTGAAGAGTACCAGTCTCATTGGGCAGAGCCATCATTCAAACCTGTCATACTCGAACGGTCAGAGGAGATCGGGGAGCTCGATGGTCAGGGTATTCGTGTAACATGGTTGGATCCGGGGAGGCAGAAACGAGTTATCGTCGATTACCATTTCGCGAAGAATGACGGACCGGAGGAAGATTGGAAGATGATCAAGCATAACGTCGTAGACGTCACCACTATTGCTGAAACCTGAAGCACTAGGGCCTGAAGGATCGAGATATGTTAGCTTTAGGAGGTGAGAACGACAATGAGCCATCCTTTGCCTCATGTCATAACACCATCGCCTAGGGACAGTCTTACTCCTGTGTCAGAAACTGCCCGCGTGCACACAATCAGCGTCTACACATTTAAACCTCTATATTACACACAACTTACACACATACTTAAATAAGATTACATCGAGCCCACATGACGTACACCTAACGGTTCCGGGGAGTATAATCAGAAACAGAAAACAAGACAAGAGTATCCACGATACTATAATTAAAGCTGAAAAGGGCACACCATTCGTCAGTGATGACCGAATCAAGGCAACACGACCTTCTCAATTCCCGGACTTCAAGGAAGTTGCCTACATCCGAGAAAGACGGGGAGATGGGCGCCTTCTGTTTTAACCTCAGAAACAGGACCCACGAGTGGGTGCATCGGGTATGAAGGGGATAGCGAAGTATTAGCTCTACGTACAACGATATGTAAAGCACCAGTGTATGTAAATTAGATCAGCCAGAAGCGACAAGAGATGCTACGGCCCCTTTGAAAGATACAGTGTCCATCCCAAATTGTCACGATTACACAACACGAGAACCGTTATAGACGTTTGCAAACACATACTATAGACACAGAATGCCTTTACCAGAAAGGCTGAAAGTGGTGGCGATACATTCCACTCCGAGCGCTAGGCCGCTGGTGTGATGGATGCGGGATCAAGGCTACCGATATAGACATCAAGAGACTGCGCCAAGGACACATAGACCCCCTTCCCCGATTCCTGATACAGCGAAACCACTGGCGCCTGTCGTCCGATATAATTCAATACAATACGACTTCCGGTGAATAAGGTCCGGGACGTACCTCCGTGCTAGGATCTTTCAGCCACCGGAAGATGATACAACAATCCGTCCTCAGGCGCGCCCATATCGAAAGGAAGAGCACAAGACTTGACTCGAAATGGTGGATCGCATCTGCTATCAGAGGTGCAATCGTCGTCTGCACTCGGGCGGGGAAGTTGGTCTGAGCCGATCTGACTTCTGCACAATATTGCGCGTGTGCGAACTCGCTGCGTTTAGCTATGGGTGCACCAGTTGTGTTAATTTCCGATGACTTCGAATTCGCCAATGGTACCTGACTTACTCTCGAGAGTCTCGTATGACTTGGCGACTCTGGCCAGTTCGTCCGTGAATGCCTAGGAGAAGTTAAATAACGCATACTCCTGGAGAAGGGAAACCGACGTACTAGTGGCTGATTCGGCAGCCTCGATCTGCCTGGCTTTTTACCATGGGCTTTTACGATCCGGAAAATAGAAGAAATAGAGTGCACGGGTCCCACTTGGGCTAGTTCGAGGTTCTGCCTCAGGTCAATCCCAAATCTGACTGGTAGCAAGTTCGGTTGATACTCACCAGACTAAACACCCTGATGAAGGCGAAGAGGTTCTATGTTGAGACTTGATCCAAAACTCGAAACAAAAGGAGGGTACTTACTGCTGAACCTGCTTTTCCAATTCCGAAATTTTGAAGGCCAGATCCTGTATCTCCCTCTGACCAGAGGAAACCTGCTGATATACGACTTTGGCGAAGTCGCTGTGGAAGGAGACCATTTCTCGGATTAACCTCAAGGTTCTCTCGAGAAGTGAGCGCGTTTGGTTTGAATGCTCAGAAGAGATCTAATACATCCATCCTCCCGTGAGATAAAACCCATGATATTTCGCTATCAGGACACGTACTGTGATAAAGGATTGCAGTACATGGAGTGCTTCTTCATGAGAACGATGGGTTTGCAATTCCGGATTTCGGGTAGTAACGGGCAATACTGATGTGCAGAACACTTTTAACAGCATATTCATGGTCAGATCAACATCGCTGAACGAGCGATGAACAGCTCACATTTGAGTCGAGCAGATATCGAAGCCGCAACAGCGCGGTACTGCCAAAGAACCTGAGAATATTCCTGTGGGCGACAACGCCACCATTAATCGTGGTCGCGGAAGGCAATGACGATAACGAATAACTTGTACACACCTTCCAGATAGTGTCCCACCTAGGCTTGAGAGGTGCAGTGATTCGCTGAAGATCAATCGTGTGCATCTGCTTTGCTACAGTACTGAAGCGTTGCATCAGTGTCCCCATCGCCTGCGTGAGCCTCGTGTAAGCCTCCTCCACGTCTTCACGGACAGCAGGGTCTGAAAGGAGCCGTATCGCGTCAGCGTACGACACGGGCTTGGATTTGTTCGTATACGGTGGCATTGTCGTGTGAGTGGACGTGGGTGCGGAGGGGGATTGTGTGTTGAGAGGAACGCGAGATATGGGGTGCCTCCTGAGGTACTTATACACAGACCTGCCCCGGTCGGACGTCCTTGGCAGTTTTAAAACGGTTCAGTCCAAATGGGAGGAAAGACCGTTCCGAGCCACGCACCCCCAGGCACTGGAGATGGAGTGGAGGGACAAGTGGGCAGAGGTATGACCTAAGGCAAGCCAATAAGAGGAAAAGGCTGTGTGAGCGCTGGTTCACCTGCAATCCGGACAGGTTGTGAGGGCATGGTTATAACGTTAAAACATTGAACTATGGCCACCCCGTTGACCCATTTGATATGATCTTGATCACTTGGTTGCCCTCGTTCTGATATGTATGACATCCACGCGACGTCGACCACGTCCTCGGCCTGTATAATGTCATGGATGTCGTCGATATCATCCCATTGGGACCAGAAGAATTAGCCATGGGAGGAAGACAAGAAAAATTGGCATCGGATTCCTGTTGGGGATTCGTGGCGATTTGCTTCCGAGCCTCTCTGACGCGTGCGGAGTTTGCCAGGACGAGCTACGCACTGGGTCAGTTTCTCAGGAACGCCGCTCAGGCTATGTCGCCTTTCGTTAGCTTTCGTTCAGCCCGTTTACGATTAATTTCATTTTTACAAGCGCCAAGGCCGGCGCTTCGTCGACGGCAGTCAGTTCGAGGGTGTACAATGTTGGAAGTGACCGTGTGGCTTTCAGGAAGGTCGAATCGCAGCGGCGCCTCGACCAACACGAGGAAAGGAAATAAGGATCTATCTCCCATCGCCGGGCGAGCGCTGGGCTAAGTTTAGCGAAAAGTAGATTTGGGTTAACGCCTATTGCTGAATGGGGATCTCAACTTGGCATTGGGATCAACACCTGACTCAATTTTGGGATACTCCAGCTTCGAAAGCCTCGTTGTAGCCTGCCCGCATATCAAGTCCACGATGTTCCCGGGAGATATAGACACCATCATAATGGACCGTGGCCACTCAACTCAGCCCACAATGGATGCCCTTGGATCGTCTCCTGATAGAACATCTTCATTTTAGGAACTTCGAAAGTCTTGAGCCACCAACTCAAATCGACCCACAGAAAAGCGCCATAATCAGCGATCACGGCTGCGTTTTGACGCGCTCGTTGCAAACTCGTGAACGGGCTGGCCATAACGGGAATGTTTGCAGGAGACAACTATCTACTCTGGACATTGACGCTCCAGGGTATTGTCGTGACAGATCCATGATACAGAGAGGAATAAACACAGCGACCGATGTATTTCCCGTCGTGGTCGGGAAACCACACCTCGACGGATCAAAACCCTCGGAGCATCGCTTTCGCCCAGTCCCGCGTTGACATCATCGACGCTGTCCAAGACGCGAAAAAAGCGTCGTCCCGTGTGGCAGGCTCGGAGGGATCATCGCCCGTTGCAGATCGCATGGAATGAGAAAATGCTTGCGCTCGCAAGGTGTCGGACATTCAAAGGGAAAGCCACCATGGAAGAACGGAAGTTCATGGAAAAAAAAAGTCGAACCTGTTCTGGTGACTTGCTGTGACCAACAGTGACACGAACATGAACGTAAATACCTGATTAATTGAAGAACAGTGATTATATCCGACAAAGATGAATGGATTCCCCGGATGAGGCAAGCCCCCCGAGCTGACCGCCGTTTCACGAGGGCCAGCGACAATCTATCACCGGTCTCAAAGATTGATCAGGGGTGCGGGCCGCAATTACTGGGTCCCCCTCGAAGAACAGGTTTTTGGGAGCTCGACAACCATAATGGTAACATCATCCCCAGGTAGTCTACGGGCCTTCGCTTCCTGAAGGATCGCAAACGCAAGACTTCCTGACGGGTCAGCGGAACTAGTATCAATGGCGATGGAAGCGACATCATCGCTCGAGACAAGATCCCAAAGTCCGTCTGAAGCCATAACCAGAGTGTCCCCTGGAAGTAAGTCGAAGGAAGTGGTTTCCGGCCGAGCGGTAACATACGGGGGTGTTCTATAGCCACAGAAGTAGCTCTCGTACTGGACGTTCATTGGCACTTTCCCCGGTTGCTCGATGGAGGAAAGGATGTCAATATAGCGTTTGTGAGTTCTTTTCCCAAAAATTCCACCAATGGGGAGTTTGTAATAGCCATCCCCAAATCCTGAAGATAAGGGCGATGCTGAACATGGGACAATCCAGGGATTGAATCAGAACTCACCTCGTGTACTCATCAGCTTGCCAAATAGTCGCCCACCGACAATGATCATATCTTCATTCGGGTGATCAGAGCGAAGTCTATCTTGTTCCGAGGGCGATTTGGCGTTTCGGTCGACTGTCTGGAATGGGACTGTCACACGTCCTCCGGGTTCGACCCGTCTGCAGACTATCAGCCTGCAATCGCCAGCGTTTGAAATTAATGCCTTCATTGAGTCCATACGGATATCGCAAACCAATGCTGTACATCCGGCTTTTATTCTCTCTGCGTTTTGAACCCAATCTTTGCCCTTGCCCCGCATGACAAGATGATCCTTGACGAAGGTGTCAATCAGGGATCTGTCCAATTCTTCGAAAACTTCGCTGTGGGAACCTGCATGGTTCAACAGTCGCTCAGGTAGTTCAGTGCTAATATAATGTGCTGTAGCGGCACCGCCATGTCCTGTGACAGTATTCAATGTATTGAAAATAGATGACAGCAGGCGTGTACATACCATCGTAGACGCCCATAATGAGGCGCCTATGGCCTTCATCTTCCAGAAGTGAGTACCGATCTTCGATCGGGCGCCCCGTTGGCTGGTACTGAGTAATAGACACTCTGGCTTCCATGAAGCTGGAGGTACACGAGGTGACCACTTTCGGGTCGCCCATGACGCTCCACGTTGGTTGTGGATCGGTGCAACAGCTTGAGCGCTATGAACTGGTCTGATATTGAAAAAGGCGTAGAGGACGGAGATATCAGTCCCCAGCTTTCATGAGGTTCGATAGCGGGGGAAAGAGAGAAAAAGCGTCCAACTCTTTAGTCCCGCGGACGGGATGGTGAGCGTCTAAAAGCAAGGGGCGTTGTTCCGAAAAGGGAAGGTACACGTGAACGCGTCCCTTTGTTTGGTCGTGATGTGGTGGGAAGGCGAGTGAGCGGAGGACACCACGGCTTAGCCTCGAACGCGTCGCGACGACGACCTCAAACATGTCCGACACTGCTGCAGACACCCCAGGACCGCGACGATCTCAGAGGGAAAGGAAAGCAGTCAAAGCTTTTGTCTCAAGTGCGCAAAATATTCAATCTGTATGACACCACTTAACCGTTTGGTTTTCAGCGCCCTCGACGAGCACCCGGAAACGCAAAAGGCGCGACGAGGATGCCGAGGGAGAGGAAACAGCAGCAACAGAACCTGAAGATGAACCGGTAGACGAAGATGATGCTGATGACGAGGAAGAGGGCGACGACGACGATGTAGAATCTAAGCCGAAGCGCAAACCTGGAAGAAAACCCAAGGCCAAGGGTTCTCCGAAGGCGAAAGCCCCAACTGCTCCCAAAAAGCCTCGAGAGCCTAAAACTACCACACTCAAGGCCTTGAAGACAACGACACGTGCACGCAGAAAGCCAAAGGAAGGAGAGGAAGCCTATGATGCGGACCAAGTCGCAAAAGATACCAGAATCGCGTCGGATAACCCCCTATTTAGTACGCGCGCTTTCCTTTTTTTCGCGTTCATTAAATTGACGTCGTATGGATAGATGCTATCATGAATCCTGCTGCTGCTCTTCAATCTACAGTTGAAGATTTCCTTGAGTCACTGACGCAGTCGCCAGAGGCCGCCCAAGCCGAGCTCATCAATTTGTTCCTTCGGTCCTGTGGTTGCAACGACACCGTCTCTCCTGCCGATGCTGTCGACTATGACGGTGTCCTCGATAACCTCGACAACATCACTGAAGCCCTGAAACAGGTATGACCTTCCCGCCATCCCTCACTTGGTGGTGCTAATTGCTTGTGAAGGACAACTCTCCCACCTATCCTCTCACCTCAAGACTTCCCATCTTCAAGAAATTCCGTCGCTCACTATCCGAATTCATTGAACGCCTTATAAAATCTGCTGCCGAACTTGAATCACTTTACTCAACGGATCTGATGTCTACCCTGCAAACCTGGATCGTGGCCATGTCTTCCTCTCAAATTCGTAGTTTCCGCCACACTGCTACTGTAGTGGCGCTGGAAGTCGAAACTGCTCTATGCGAAGTCGCGGCGGCTGTTGAAAAGGAAGCCCAAGTGGTCGGACGGCAGAGGGAAGGAGAGAAGAAACGGAAAGGTGCTGGGAAAGGTGCAAGCGCCCGGGACAAGGAACTGCAAAGCAAGGCCCAAGAAATTCGGGAGCGCAGGAAGCACCTTGCGGAGTACCTAAAGGAGTTTGTGGACGGGTGCGTCTTGATGTGTTTTGTGCTCAAGCTTACATCTCACGACCTGCAGCGTCTTCGTTCACCGTTATCGCGACTTGGATCCTAACATCCGCGCTGAGTGCGTGAAGGCCATCGGTCTTTGGTTCACCAAGTATCCCGGCCACTTCCTCGACGGTGCCTATCTTCGATATGTCGGCTGGGTGCTCTCAGACGCCAACACACAGGTGCGGCTGGAGGCCGTGCGCTCCCTATCTGGCGTATACGGCCAGAATGATTATATCGGCTCCCTCAACCATTTCACGGAACGCTTCAAACCGCGACTTTTGGAGATGGCAACATCCGACACTGAACTATCAGTCCGAGTCGCTGTCATTCAAGTTCTGGGTGCCATCGATGGACATTCGCTGCTTGAAGAACCAGAGCGGGAGAGGCTCTGTTTGCTGATATACGACGAGGAAGCCAGAGTTCGCAAGGCTGTCAGTAAATTCGTCCACAACGTTTGGGAGGAGTCAGTGGAAGAGATCTTGGTTGGGAAATCCAAACCCACCGAAGTCGACCAAACGCGAGTCGGAATCAAAGCGCTGGCGGCCTTATTGGTTAAGTGGAGTCAAGCGCTTGAAAACGTCGAGGGCAACGAGGAGGATTCAGAAGACGGGGTGGATGAGGTGGCGTCAAGAACGAGTGGCCGTGGCCGACGGAAGGAGATTTGGGGGCTGTTAGGCAACACAGATCAGCGTGGTCGAACAGCTCTTGCCGTCGAGGCTTTATGGGAAGATGTTGACTGTGTTCGTGAATGGGAGGAGATTCTCAATCTTCTCCTTCTGGATCACTCAACCACTCAGACCAACGGCAATTCGTCGAGAGTGAACGGTCATGTGAGAGAGACGGACTCGAGGGTGGATGACATGTGGCGCCTTGAGGAAGTGGAGGAGACTGTTCTTCTTGAGGTCCTCGTGGCCTCAGTGAGAAGACTAAAGGCCGAAGCAGCCGCTGCCAAAAAGGTTAGTAGTTCCTTTCTCAGTGAGGACACCTCGTTTGACGCGCAAGGATGATTAGGTTACCGACGAGGAGAATCTCCTCAATGACATTACGCGTGCCTTCATGAAAGCCCTCCCCCGCCTATTCATCAAGTACCAAGCGGACCCTTATCGCATCGCGGAAGTCCTCATCATTCCTCCATTACTGAATCTTGAGCTGTATCTGGAGATGCGCATGATTGCGGTCAGTCACTTCGTTTCAAGCTGCCTTCTTGTACTAATCCGTCCAAAAGGCCTACAGCAACCTATGGGACGACGTGATCAAACAATTCATGTCGCACTCCTCCATGGCCGTTCTTTCCAACGCCATGTCGGCCATCACTCACTTCATGGCCACAACCAGCTTGTCAAATACAAACAGCACCAAGATCCTCGAATTGGAGGATGAACTCTCTTCCGCTTTACACGACGCCGTGGCGGGGAGAGAAGAGATCGAGGTGGCTTCTTTTAACGAGGACGAGGTCCTCGCTCTAGCTGCCATTTGTACTCGCGTATCGGTACTGACGGGAGCGCGGAACATGTCTGCCTGGATCGATGAAGATGAAGGAGGGAAGCAGAGCAGTGCGTGGAATATCATCAGCGCTATTGCAGATCGTGGTCGTCTTGGATACAAGGAGGAGGAAACAGTGCGTCTATCTCACCTTCATTGCTTATTGAACTGGGGCTTACAGAGTTGTAGATGGTGGAACAAGCGCTCAACGTTCTCACTTTGCACATGTACTGGAAGGCCAAAGGATTGCTTGTTGCCACAGACCCGAATGCTGAGGAGAATCCCTATAAAGAGGTCCTCCAGGAACAGCGGGAGTCACTCATTGACAAGCTTAAGGAGTACGCTGTTGGGAACCAATCGAACACCGTGGACGGGGTCAAACGCGCGGTAAGTGTTTTGTCGCGTCATTGCCTGAAAGCACGTCCCAACGCTATTTTCTAGGCCTTCAAGCACCTTTTGAACCTGCATATTCTCTTCACGCCCGATCAGCCACCCCTCCCTGACGGCTCTCCTTCACCGTTATCCACTGTTGGCCTTATGTTGGATGACGAAATGCAATACCGATGCACCGGGTACATCCAGGCAGAGATCGAGCGCTATGCCGAGTACTTGCAAGAAGTTGAGGGCGTACAACAGAGCGAGGGGGGTAGTGAGCAAGGGGAGAATTCCGACGGCGGCGAGGGTTCCCCCGAGAAAACTACCTCTGCGAAGGGCAAACAGAAGGCCAACAAACCTCAGGACGAAGACCAAGGTTTGTTTTCGATGTAGGCTTTCCCTCACATCCCCTTGACAATCATTTTTAGGTACAGGCGAAGTCAACTCTCGTGAAGTTCTCGAACATGAGTACCTGTTCGTGGATGTCCTCACCACCTTCCTTCGGGCTATCCGAACCGGCGCGATCAATCTCAAGCATGGCGCAATCTTCCTGGCTCATTACGGCCGACTGGGGAGTTCAGTTGACTCTTGCGCCAAAACCATTGTAAAATGGCTGGCTAGGGAGGAAGGGGAGATCATCGTCGAGATCGCTACGCGATCATTACGAGACGTTTGTCCGACATGCTCTACCCATGTTACACTGTACTGACGGTTCCTTTAGGCCTTCACACTCGTTCTGGACGGCATCGTCCCTGATGAAGCCGAAGCAGTCCAACTCGCCAAACTACTTTCGCAATCGTTCGTCCTCCGCGGTAGCCAGTTGACCGTGCTCCGGAGACTAGACCCGCAACACATTGTGGCCATCCACACCAACCTCCTGAACTGGATTGCAAAGCGGATGTCGGTGTACGAAAACAACAAGAACAAGAAGGGTATGAAGACAGCGCTGTCGTTCTTCCGGGTTCTTGTTGCCCTTGCAACTGGTCTCCAGAGTGGCGATGCCTTGAAAATGTGCGTGCCCTTTCATGTATTGTGCTATACGTCGTACTAATGGCCTCGTTCAGCAAAGCGCATATGGACCAGGTCTTCGAGCAATCTAAGATCGAAGTGCCACCCACAGCGAAAGATTGGGAACCACAACGGAGTTACGAAAGACGCTTGGACAACTTGATGACCAAAGAGAAAGGTGAGCTCTGACTCATAGCGTTGCTTGAGCATGACTGACGGTGCGTGAAGGCGGGGTCAAGCGGAAAGGCAGGAAGGGCAAGGGTGGAGCCGAGACGGACGTCCAAAGCGAGGAGGAAAGCGAAGTCGAAAACCTGTTGATCCAGGAACCTCCAACGAAACCCAAACCCCGACCTCGATCGAAGCGTGTCACGCGATCCAATCCAGTGGTCGAAGAGGAACCTGAGCCAGAACCTGAGCCAGAACCACCCGCCAGTCGGGAACCATCGCTTGCACCATCCGACGTCGCGATGGAGAAAGGAAGTCAGGTGGACGAACCTGAAAGCTCCAACGGTGTTCAAGAGGTGGAAATGCAATCTGCTCGCAGTCCATCGCCATCAGCACCACTGCCAGAAGACGACCAGCAGACTCCCAAGTCGACACTGAAGCGTTCAAGACCAACTGAAGATGACGACGAGGACGCAGAAGGTCCTTCCCATGATGTTGAAACGACTCCTGTTAGTGATATGCAAGTGCGGCGGAAGCGTATCAGACATTAGACTACTCGCTTCGATTTCTTTTATTTCTCTGCTCTGTCCCTCTCGTTCATCCTTTTATCACTCTGCTTGTCTCTCGCTCTGGTTATCTGTACCTTATGCTTATTTGAAATTCCTGCCCGGATTTCCTGCTTTCGATGTATAGTTGCTTCATTATCATACCATAATTACGACAAATATGGCTGGCGGCTGATATGGTACAGCGAGATAACAGATGACATGCGGGTATTGCTACTACAGTAAGATAGGACAGACAAGCGAGGAGTGTGCGATGAAAAGGCGAGAAAGCAGTTCAAAGAGCGTGTGACATATGCAGTGTAAATAGGGGAATAAGTCAAGCGTCCACATCTCAGAGCTCAGCAGGGAGTGTGGCAAAGGTGGCCAGAACCGCGTGGTGCTGGATATAGCCATTGAGTCACAGGGAGGCAGGTAGGTAAAGGGGAAAGGACTCACATCAGCATCTCGAGCATGGTGCGCCTCGACAAGGGCTGCGCCTCCGGGTAGCGACGACCTTCGCTGTCTGAATGAAGACTGGGCAAACCGAGCTGACATTGGAGGTGGTGACAGGCCTGCACTGGGAAGACCGCTCAACATCGAATGCGACCGTTTCAATCTTGCCGACAGAGGTGATGTTATGCCCAGCATGCTGTATAGCTCTTCCTGAACCTGAACCATTTCTCGAGTTTCGGAGTCGGGCGTCATGTCGTTAGCAGAGAGGGCCTATAGAAAAGTTGTCAGCAAAGGCAATATCGTCAGTGACTCGGAGGTTCGCTTACACCAGAGCTTCGAAGAGGAGGTTCATAAATGGTCAGAACGTCAGGACGGCGCCTAGGGAAGTCTGGCAAGGGCGGCATGGGAGGAACATCGTGACGCGATGTAACCGGTGTCGGTTGTAAGTACGGGAGTCCGCCATAGGCACTGCTAGCGACGGATGACCGAGCGCTTTGTCGACGACTTCCAGAACGCAGCCCAGCTCTTGATAGCCTAACACTAGATTTCCGCCTAGCGGAGACACGGCTAGAGCGCCTGGAGGATGCGTCCTTGTCGCTGAAGTTGGAGTCGTACTCGTCCGCCAATTGTTGTGCTTGAACCCAGGCCTCGTCCCTTTCTTGCTCGAGCGCGATGTTTTGTTGCCGAAGGAAGTCATTTTCTTCTTTCTGCTTCATAAGGCTGCCGTTGAGCTTCCTGAGCGCCACAGACAGGGCGCTTGCGGAGTGGACTTGAAGCAAAGAATTCAGTTGAGCTATCTGTTCGTCTGTGGTATGAAGCTCTTCTGCCAATGCGTCTAGTCTGAGGGACAGCTCCTTCAGCTCCTCCGTTATCTTCATCGCAAATGGGGAGCCCGCTTCACCCAGGCCGGTCGCCCCCGTAACGTGAAGAGTCAGAGCTTCAAAGAGTCCGGTCCTCCTACGCGTCAAGGCTTTGTATTTGGCCTTGATATCTGTCCTAAGCATTTCCAGTCGGTGCAGTTCGTCCGGGATCTCGTCATTGACACTTTCGAGTTTGAGAAGGCGGATGGACGAGGACAGAGCTGAGTCGCGGATTGCTCGGGACACAATCTCTTGCAGTTGCGCTGAGCTGAAGGTCCACTTGGCGACCTCCAGCGTGTAGCCTTTCCATTTCACGGCTGGAGGCTGGAATCTCGGAGACACGGGTGCTACAGGGGCCGTCGAGGAGGATGCTACTCTTCTCGTGCTGTTATGACGAGTCGATGATTGGAGGCTGGAAAGAGTGGAAAGAGAAGCTTGAGATCCTGATCGCTCCCGTATGTTTGAGGTTCCAGTAGACGATCCGACAATGGGTGACGATATGCTTTGCTGCAAGCCGGTGGGACGTCTCGGGCCTGCAGGACCAGGAGGACGCAGCCTTGAACGGCCACCAGGAAACGCAGAGTCCCTTGGATTCCCGGTCAATGGGCTGTCAGACATCATGGACATTTGCGTGGACGAAGGAATCAACTTGAGAGGCGCCGGGAAGCCTGGTGGGTTGTTGGTACTGCCGTTTGGCTGGTTCGACTGTTGGCCCCCGACGTCGACAACGCTGTAATAAGGAGGGGGCGAGGCGTATGATGTAGAGGCTTGCAGGATCGCGTCAATTGTGTTTGTTGATTCTCTCAGGCCATGGAGCTGTACTTGCGGTATTGAGGGCGGGGGACGGGACTCTGGTTCTCCATTGGACGAGCTGGTACTAGTACCAGTAGTAGGCACCACCATTTCGCTCATCTGAGCAGTCAGAGAATTGGATGTCAGCTGAAGGGACGGTGGGACTCGCGGTCGTGGTACTCGGGCACCTGGAGCGGGCGAGCCCGATGTGGATGAAGTATTGGAGGGAGGAGACGAGGGAGGTAACGGAGGTAGAGACTTGATTCTCATTCTTGCAGACTCAGTAGAGGCTTCAGTTTGGACGGAAACAGCATCAGACCCATCGCGAGCCGACGATATGCTCGCAGAGCGATTCACGGAGGCCCCTGAAGGGTTGTGCTGCATCATGATCGGCGTGGATGGGGGAAAGAGGCGTTCCTGTGATGAAGTCGACCTGGTAGAGACCGTATTGGCATGAGAGTCAACCATTGGTGATGGCGGTAAGGAGCGCTTGGGTGGCGGATGAAGAGGCGGTGGATGTTCTCTTGTCGTGTCCCGGGGAACCACAATGGTCGAACCAGAAATGTCGGCTTCAGGGTTCTCCTCTTCTGGGATCTTCTGGGTGGAGAGCGGTGATTCAGACCTCTTGGGTAGCACTCCACTGAAGCTTCCTTTCCGTGAATGCCGATCGTGTCTCGTTGTCTGCGCTCGGGTCAACAGGAGTTGCTGTGCCAAAGTCGGCTGCCCATTAACCAAACTAGGTAATGCTGCAGACTGAGGAACATCTGGCATCGGCATCACCCCCGAGTCTGGAGCTGTAGGCCCGGGACTAGCGACCACTGCGGACCAACCATTGCTGACGGCGGATTCTGGGAACGTTTGTTGTGCATCTACTCCACTCCCCGCCGTCGTCGGCGAGCTCAAAGAGCTGTCAGTGTTGTCACCAACTGCAATAGTATATTTGTTGCGGTCATTGGGATCCCGAACCACTTTAATGGGACTGGGCGCACTTCCGGACCGCTGTCGTCCGGCAAATATTGTCGTTAGAGGCGGAGGAGGCGGAAGTAGTTCCGTGCTTTCGACGGACGATAAAGACACCGTCGATCTATGGTTTGGGGAAGACGCGATTGAAGAGACGGAAAACTAGAGGTTTTAAAAGGGGTCATGAATGTCGGGAAATATGGGATATATGTTTACGTACCTGCACCGAGTGCGGTCTATCATGTATAGTTGGAAGTGGAGAGGAAGATGTGCTACTCGAAGTCGTTGGCAACGATCGTTCTGTCGTGGGAGGTGAGAGCGCGCTCATCAAGCAAGAAGCAGATGAACATACTTCTACTGCTGTTTTTACTCAACGGACTGCGAGCTCCGATGAGTTGGCTGCGATGCGAGTCACGTCGTTCGTTCCTGTAAGGTGTCGGCGGTGACAGTTGGGACATCGACTCTTCAGTAATCGGGGTGAAGACAGGCCTAAACCCAGCATAACCGGTCCCTCCAGGTGGATTTTCTGAAAACGAGTAGTAGTCCAGTACATCTTCCAGGTGCCTGGGTGAAGCTTGCTCGCTTCCAGACGGAGAGGTCTGAGAAAGAGGGCGTGGGCTAGGCTGCGGTTGTGCCACAGGTGCCTCTACATCAATCGCCGGCGGTATGTGCTTCCTGTCTTGATTGTTGCGGTTGACTTCTTGACTATCTGACGGAGCCGATGACTGTTGTCGTTGTTGTTGGGATTGCAGAGGAATGGGCGGAATGATATCGCTAGGGCTAAGGACGACGCTGGTGGGTCGAGTCGGCGGGGAAATAGGAGCCTGGTCCAACCGAGTCGCGATGCTCCCAGTACTCCCTCTCCGTCTCAACGGCTTAGCCGAGTCTGTAGGTGGTAAAGGCGTCCGGGGCGTCTTGGGAGCGATGTAAAGTTCCTCCGCATTTGTGGGAATGGGAGGTGCTTCCGGATCGACTTCGAAGTAATCAATCATGCCGCCACGTTCTCCCCGAGGTAGCGTTGTCGAGTCCGAGCGCGTAAGTCCGCCTCCAAAACTCCTGTAGCGCGATCGCCTGTTGTCGGAAGAGAGGACATAAGTATTGGCCATCAGCTGGCGGGCTAACGTCGTCCCCGAAATCGCAGAAGACAGCGGAGATGACAATCCGGACATTGGGCGTGATACACCATTGAATCCGAAGTCATCGTCTGGCTCGGACGTCCTGTCTTCAGGTATTTTGAGCGGACTTGGTTGGGAGTGGTAAGGTAGCATCTGTTACTATGTGAGAACAAACCATACGTGTAATCGAGGGGGTAAACTCACGTCCTTCGACAGCATCCCAAAGTCTGAGGCCTGTGTAGACGGGTTGAGGATGGTAGGAGGAATGCGCGCTATGAGTTTACTTGCCTCCAATGCCTCTAGACTTGCGAGAACATCCTGATGAGAGATATGCTTCATTCCCTCTCTCAACGCCTCTCCTTCCGTCAACAGCTCGTCGTCCTCCTCGGATTCCTCTTGAATCGCGGACTCCAAACGCTTCTCCCCATTCTGCGCCTTCTCCTTGCTCGCCTCTGGAGAGACTTCCGCTCTAGGAAAGCTGGTCGAGAACCAGTCCGATAGTGGCTCGGTGTCGGGGCTTAGATCGAGCTGCAGCTGGAGTCGAGTCGACAATCGGGGAGGCGTAGAGTCGGTATATACAGGCCTCTCCGGCGAGTTCAGAGAAGCTGGCGCCGAGTCGTAGAAATCCAGTGACTCCGAGCGTCGTCCTCCAAAATCGCCAATCTCAATCACTGGTTCTTCGGGTGGGATGGAGGGATGTCCATTGGGAGGCGGCGTCGACGTTGAGGGCCCATCAAGCTTGCTGCGCTTAGTAAAAGGCGACTTGATAGCGACCTTGCCCTTTAATTGTGGTCGATACGAGGAAATGAAAGACGATATTGACGACATGGTCGACCGGGTAATGGACGACGGCTCACAGAGCAGGGATGGCTGTCATCAACGGGTCCGGCGTTGGTGAGGGTATGTGTATGAGAATAGGACGAGCGGTGTTCTCCATTGACAAAGGGTGGTAACGGTCTTTACTCCGCATCAGTCATGTCGGTTTGATGCCCAACACCGGTTTTGCCGGAACACATCAGAGCCAAACTTGAACTAGGATAGCCTCTGGAAGATCCTGTGTCGTCTACACCGTGGATTTCTGAAACGTTTAATGTTCTTGAATCGAAGAATGAAGGATGAGACGTTTGCACACTACCTCTCTAAGTTGCAATAACCGCACTAATGCCCCAGGAAGAGAAGGACACTTGTAAGGAACAATAACACAATGTCGTCGAGTTCGTGCCGTCACACTTATGTTGGTCGCAATGATGGTTGCAAGTTCTGGGCTTCCCCCGACGGTGATCCCTGCCTAAGGTGCCTGTGATGAGAACTTATGGGCGCTTAATACAAAATCTTGCACCTACCAATTGCAAAGCCACCGCGCCGCAAAGCCAGGGCAAAGAAAAGGACAAAGGCGTGGATTTGTGTGTGGGCCTGAACGTTTTCGTGTTGGGGCAAATTAGTTCAATCCTGACCGTCGTCGCGCTTGAATTCAAAAAAGCCTTTGGTGGTTGTTTCGAGGTAATTCGTTTGCCACAATTACGACAGCGCTTAGCAATGTTCGTTTTGCTTGCAGCGTCACGCGCCCGTTCGGAGCGCCCGGTCCCTCTCCGTCTGCACGCAAAGCTTGACCTATAAGTACCAACAAACGCTGCGCATGACAGGACTCTGACATTCAGGAAGGTGTGTATTGGAGAGACAACAAGTCGTAGGTCAAAGCCAGCCTGCAAATGGGCGGCAAGCGTTTACGCGCCTTTGTGAAGATTCCTTCGTCTCGCTTCCCCGGTACCTCCCCATATGAAAAGCTGAAACATATAAACGCGCCCAACGTTGCTAGTGCTTCGGGACCAATTCCAGTTCAGTGATAGAGCCTCCGGGTCAAAGTCGGCCGGTCATATGAAGGAGCTTCAGCCTAGACATAGAGCTATTAGTCTAATGAGACGCGGTTGAATTGTGAACTTTACCTTCAGTACAATCGGCAGTGTCCCCCGAGGACCCGGGCTGTTAGCCACGAAACAAGGTGCGCTGGCGGGGTTGCCTGTTACGGAGATATAACGTAAGTAATTCCCACGGGAGGCGGCCCTGCATGCCAGCCGACATCAGCCGACCCCAAACTGCCCGTCGGAAACACTCATCCTCGATCTCGGAAAACCTGGCGCCAGAAACTTCATTTATTCATGGCCTATGTCGACTGCATCGCTCCAGGTAAGGGCCAACAGATGGCCAAGAAGAAATTGCAGCTTTCGGGGCGCACGGGCACGGTGACCGTCGCCTGCCATACCTCTCCACTGGCCATTGTTCCCCAAGCACTCGCAGGGGGCCAGCAGAATCTCTGTGTCATAGGTCACCAGGAGCTCGTCTCTGATGACTGTACCCCCAATTCTTACTTCTTCCATTCTGCGAGGAGTAAAGGCAGTGTGGAGGATCATAGCCACAAATCAGCGTTTCTTGGAACATATCAAATCAAGCCTCGCCCACGAGTTCAGCTCAGCATGTATGGATGGGAGACGAAATAGCCGTTCCCGTTCTTGAACCTGGACGGCCATGTCCATGGCCATCCACTCACTCCTCTCTCGAGACGCCCCCTCCAACGCCACAGCAACTCTCGATTCATTCTCAGAAGAAATCAAGTGCTACAACCTTCCTTATGGCATCCTAGGCTTCATATCGCACGTCCTCACCTACTACACCATCGTCTGCCTCTGGTTCGGCAGGAAGCCTCTCTGGCCGTTCTCCCGGGTATCTTATTCACGATTCGACCTGGCACTCGGAGGCATCGGGCTGCTCGTATCAACACTCCTCTCGATCGTCACTATCATCCGGTGCAGGGAGGCATGGCAGCTCCTCGTCATCGCCATCTGGAAGATGAGCATGTCCTTGTTGAACGGTGTTACGGCGGTCCATGTGGCAATCTTGTTCACAATGAAGAAGATTAGGTTGAAGAGGGAGAGGAAGAAGAGGCCTGGGGCGAGCAGAGAAGCATCGGAAGACAGTGCTGTAACGGTGGTATCCAAAGACGCGACTGGGGAACAAAGCGCGGTGGAGGAAAAGGATGAAGAGGCAGCGAAGGATGGAAAAGGCGAAGATGAGAAGGATGGGGATAGTGCACCTGGACAGGAGAGCGAAACACCTATATCCGTCGCTATTGACCCATTGAAGTGGGTGGCCTGGTGGATCCTATTATGTGAGTATAAATATCGCATGAGCCTGATTTAAAACCTTGTTGACTGTCACAATTTTAGACATTCCTGGCATGTTCGCTGGAATTGTCGGGTTGATGGCGCTTGTTGTAAAGGCCAGAGATCATGCTGGTGTTCGCAAGCTAACGGCCGGATTCTACACCATCGTTGGAGCCGGTGCTCTCGTGGTCGGACTGGGGATCGTTTGTCGACTGCGCAAGCAGAATGACCTCGGTCAGCCTGAGAGAGCCAAACGGATCATAGTTGGAGGCCTCGTATGGATTGTGGGGTCGTTCAGCATCCTCGCAGTGTTCTACTCGGATTGGGCATTGGGGATGATGGCAGGCAACCTGTCTGGTCTTCCAAGCGGTGACAATTCTGCGCTGTACTGGACCTACTGGATTTCCAAACGATTGCCTATGTTCAGCCTCTAACCGCACGCTGCCATCTTGCGGTTATGTCACATGCTCCGCGATCCATGAAGACTGTCTGTCTCATGGATTTGTGACGCACTGGCGGTCCCGAGAACATACAGAGTTGGGGTTGAACGTTGAACGTTGAATGACGTCTGGTTTGGCATTTGCCGTCGCCTTCTGTTGATACGGTCCCCGCCATTCTATCCTGCTGCACGCCGCATTCGAGAGCAGAACCCTCCACTTGACTTCCGTAGATCTCCATAGCTTCCACCCATCTCCTGTATCTTAGCAGAAACGCGTAATAGGAAGAATTTGTCGCGAAAAGCTGTGTCGACACAGTGAGGTTCTCCCTGTCCAGGCTTGGGGTGAGGCTGCACCGTGGTGGCCACTTGCTGGAGACACTGGATCGAGGTTTTGCTACTCAGACCAATGATCTCGACGAGCGTGTATAATACAAACGGTCGACTTTACGATTTTTTCCCGACTAAGCTACTTTTGTGATTGGCCAAGGGTCAACCAAAATGTAGCAGAGAAAGAATATCAGCCTGCTTCTAGATCCCAACTTAACCTGTTCTGGCGTGCACAATGGTTGCCACACACATGACGAGGCCATCCTTCCTCGTCCCAATGGGCAGGAACACGGCTGGGTCAGGTTACAATAGAACACATGTCGCGGATGCGGCACCTGGGCTACGCCACGAGTTCTTAAATAGTTATTTCGAAAATAGAAGCTGAAATGAATGATTCGTCAATTAAAGCGGTAGAAACGACACCAAAGGCAAAGGGCTCGATGGGGTCATGTACAATGGCCGACAAGGGCGTGCAAAGAACAAAGAGAAGAAAGGATTTCATGAAACCTGTCAGACACGCGTTGTTTGGCGCTGGTTTGTTTGAAGATCACGGGGCCTGTATTCAGTTGAACGGCGGGAATGTACTTGAACCCAAACGTAACCGAGTGGTCTGGGATTGATCCCTTTCCAACCTCGTCGTCATTCTCAATGGCGTCGAGCACTTATTTTCCATCGTCGTCGTCGTCCCAGGCGTTCCCCGCCCACCCCGCGACCCCGCCCCGGCATCGTCGGCCCGCCTGTCGAGTCGCCGGTCCTCGCCAGGGACCGCGGTCCTTTACCCCACACGGCCACCACCAGAGGGCTGCGTCGTCGTCATCGTCGCTGTTCCAGTATATCGCCACGACCTCATTCTCAAATCGGGCAGCGAGCCCGACGGCTACGACCCCATCTGCGCCCCACGAACCCGAATCTCCGCGTTTCTCTCAACTATTGACAAGCGTATTGGGGTCCCCATTTCTGACCACTTCGGACCTACCATCGAGCTCAGGGTCGATGGAATTGGATGCGTTCGAACCGACATTGCGCCGTGCACCATCCCCAGCGCCGTCGGTCGATTTCTCAATAATCGACGTCGACCCGGACGACCCAGATGTCCATTTCTCAACCAATGCATCAATTCCTGGAGGTTATCCCACTAGGCGATCTCGCCATTGGTCCGGTCATGCGAGATCGTTCTCAACTTCGGCGGCTGGCATGAATCTTTCACGCAGTTACACCCATGATCACGCCAGGGTCTCATCGGAGTATACCCCTGTTGAATTCCCCGCCGAGTTCGAGGGTCACCGACCGTCAACACCGCCAAGGCACGGAATCAGTCTGCAAACTACATTCAAAGCACTGCTGCCTCGGATATGGGATGCGATTTCGTCGCCAGGACGAGCTGTCTTGAACTTCTCTCCTTCAGCGGAGATAAGCTCGCACACATTCTCCGGCTCTTCTTCCTCGTCTTCGTCAAGGTCCACTTCGCCTTCTCCACAACGTTCAGTGACACCTATTTCCCAATCGTGGTACCACACTCCTGGCCCAGAGTCAGAAAGGCGAACACCGATTATTTGGAACCTCTCGCAACACAAGAGCAAGGTCAAGTCCAGAACGACAGGATTTTTCTCCCGGAATGGGAGTCAGAGAGACCTCAGTGAATTGATTGATTACTCGGACCTCCTTCCCTTGGACGGCGAAGAGGGTGAGCTAATTGACGACGAGGCTTGCTTCATTGACGTACGAGCTGTCACTGGCATTGGTGAGCCTATCTACCGCTGCTTATTCCCTTGCTGGACAGGCCTGAACCGTTCCATTTTAGATATCCTTGCTCTTCTCCCTCCGGAACTAGCGCTACACACACTTACGCTATTATGCCCGCCTCCTCTGGACTACTCGTCGACAAGCTCAAGCTCCCATCCAGGCGGCAAATCGGCTGAAACGAGAAATTCACCGACGAAGCAAAGTTCTTCGCCTTCAACTTACTTCGGAGTTAGCGCCAGGCCTTCTGGGCGATCATCCCTTCCTTTGACATCTGCGGACGAACAAGAGGAGGCCCTCCATGCTCTCCTCGCGTGTCGGGCTGTATCTCACACATGGCGTCGCTTGGCTAGCGATAACGCCGTCTGGCGTGCCCTCTTCCTTGGACGATGGGGCATTGACCTGGAAAGGGCAACTCCAGAGTCCATGCTGCGAACAGCAGTTAGTCGAAAGGCCATGGGTTGCACATGGGATTACGACTGGGGCATCGACTACACCATTCCCTTTGGCGAGCACCGCAGTTCAGTCTCAAAAGGAAAACAACGTGCGGTTGATCCTCTGGCGACGCCAGGTTCCAGGCGGCGGGATGATTTCCGTGATCGAAGCTTGTACTTCTCCCCTCATCGAATCTCCTACATCGTGAACGATGCCGCGAATTCGCTTTCCAGTGCTCCCTTGCAACTGGACTGGCGACTCCTGTATCGTGAGCGGCTGGAACTCGATATGCGATGGTCAGGGACTGTTCCCGAGCGCATGCTTGTTCGTAGTCGGCAGAGGACAACCTCGGGTTACTTGGGACTACCGGATGAATGTAGTGACCTCGACATTCACGATATAAAAGAGAACATCCCGCCCTGGGAACCTAAACTGCGCAGGATGGAAGGTCATACCGATAGGTAATCACTGTTAATCATAAACCATGGTCAAAACTGATTGGGTCTACAGTGTCTATTGCCTTGAGTTCGATTCTCAACGGATCATGACAGGTTCTCGAGATCGTACAATCAAGGTGTGGAGTCTCAAGACCGGCCAAGTCCTTGGAACGTTCCAAGGAGTCCATACGGGAAGCGTTCTATGTTTGAAGTTCGAGCGGGACTGGGATCGACATGGGAAGGAGGCTAGGAGTTTGAGCGGCTCTTTGGAGAACCACAAGGGGATGCTCGTTAGTGGAAGCAGCGACTGTACCATCTGTGTTTGGGACATTGAACTGGGAGACATCGTTCCCGGGACGAGCGATAGAGAGGTCAAAGCTGAGGTTCGGGAACTTTTGAAGGGACATGAAGGCGGCGTTCTCGATATCCGTATGGATGAGAAGTGGATTGTGAGCTGGTACGTCTAACAGCGTTAGGTGTCTTCTTTTCGGTACGTTAACTGACAGAGACTATCTTTTCAGTTCGAAGGACGCCTCCATCCGAGTTTGGGACCGTAACACCTTGGAATCGGTTAGGATCTTGCGAGGACATGAAGGGCCTGTCAATGCCATTGGCCTTCAAGGCGATAAAGTCGTAAGCTTTCTACCTCTTCCAGGTAATGATGGAGATCTCTGAGTGCGTCAATCTTTTCATAGGTCAGTGCTAGCGGCGATGGAAAGATGATTCTCTGGGACATTACGAATGGCGAGCGTATTCGCACCTTTGAAGGTCATGACCGCGGGTTGGCTTGCATTGAATTCAAGGTTCGTCATTGCTGTCTTTCCCATCCTCGCAGCAAATAACACCTTCATTTCAGGAGAATCTCATTGTTTCGGGGTGTAACGATTGCAAGATCAAAGTCTGGGACCCTTGGACTGGGGATTGTCTCCGTACCCTAGTCGGACATGACGCACTTGTCCGTGCACTGTCATTTGATCCACGAAGTGGTCGTCTCGTCAGCGTGAGCTACGACAGAACTGTTAAGGTGTGGGATCTGTGGACTGGTATGTCCTTTCATTTGCACAAACGGTGTTGAATTTTCTGACGTTTTTGCTTCTTGACCCTTCAGGCAAGCTCATCCGGGAATTCAAACGCATCCATGCAAGCCATATTTTTGACGTAAAGTTCGATATTGCTCGGATCGTCACGTACGCCCGTCTCCTTTGGAAGGACCGACGGTCCTAAGTGCTAACCGATATTTTCGTCAGAACGTCGCATGACCACAAGATTATCGAGCTCGACTTCTCGGCTGGGTTGGACACATCGCTCTTTGTCTGATTTTTCATCTCTCCACTCAAAAGCCTCAACAACAATATCTTGTTCGGTTGGACTGGCACGGCGCCCCCTTTACCCTTTCTCTGTTTATTATTTTCGTCCAATTGCAACTTTGGACGCTCCTTCTGATCCAGAAACATCTGTTTCCGAAACACAATAACAGCAACCAGACCATCAACCACAGCACCATCTTATCGACATACATACACCGTTCATCGGACGACGAACGACGGGCGCCGTTTTCTTTCACCATTTTTTTTTTGCCATTTGTGCATTCTTTTGCACACTTTCCGATCTCTTAGCCGCCGCGTGCCTCCTCGTCGGGCGTGGGCGCTTGTGGTGTACAAGTTACTACTGTAATTGCACCCTTATTGTAGGTAGTTGTAGTGTCGCCATGTGGACTGTATGCACACAGGACTGTACTATAGTCTATACTCAGTATGTTTGGCCTTGGGCCCCATATGTTTCGATACCCGTCCTTCCTCCCGTCTTTTTCCCAATTTCTGCATCTTGTACCAGTATTCGACGTAAATATTTATGGACCTGTTACTGTAGCGATTCTGTATATTATCTCTAGGAATTATTCGGCTTGGAAGATGACTCTGGGTCTGGCGGTGGAGACATTCTCAAAGCCAGATATGCAGGGTTTTCAAACCCAGCGAACCTATAATTATTGTGGGCGCCGAGTTAGATGCGAAGTTCCCAATCCCATTCGCCTCTAGTGGCCCCTCTGTGATCGGTCGATCAACAACCTACCGGGTGCTCTTGCTTGGAGGAGTAAAAATATAGACGACGGATATCTCACGGGTAGTAATAGACGGTGAGGGGAAGGTGCAGTTGAGATTGAATTGTCTAAAAACAGAACCCATTGAATAGGATATGGTAGACCACCTGGCCAATAAAGTATAGATTACACTTGATTGTAGATACCGAAAGTACGAAAAAGAGTCAAGAAGATGATCAGCCCCAATGCTGGAAATAGCCTGTGTCCGTGGAATGAGTTTAGGATCAAAAGAAAGTGAATGCGGTGAAAAGAGAAAAGATAGTAGACTCCGCAGGGGAGGTTAACAACACAGAGAGTTACGGAGTGATAGTAGTACATGAGTAATAGGAGTAGACGAATAAATAAGTGCGTAAGTAAATATGCAGTTGGATGAAAGCAATGCGGGGATGTGGTAGGTGTAATTGATAAAGTTCATGGAATGAGAACGGGGCGCGAAAGAGGAAAACCAAGAGACGATAAACCAAAAGCGAATCAAAACGTTTGAGCAGTGCGCCAGACAAGGGCACGCAACAAGGGATGTTCGGGAACAAGATTGCGGTGGAAACGGGACATGTCGCACAAGCGAGCGAAAAGCTTGCCACGGACCATCCACCCATCCAAAATGAAAAGGGACGCCGGAGAAAGTGGCGACGAAAACGAAGAAAGGCGTATGTAAAGACCAGAATCACACACGAAGTCTATACGTACGGATCGCCGAAAGAAGAAAGTTCAAAGGGCTTCCCGTTTCTCTTCGTTGATTGGACTTGTCAAACACGAATGAACACAAATTCCGGTCGTGTGGGACAAGTGTACACCTAACTGGCGAATTGATGATAAACATAAGTTGAGCCGAATAGCGGAATAGGTGCAGGGTAACGTGGCGTGGGGTTGAGATGCGAATGAATGAGCGTTGGAAACTTGACAAGTCGATAACAATAATAGTCGATTGAATAGGCAGAGGGTTCGTCGAGTGAGGTCGGGAACATCGGGAGTGCTAGTGAGGTCGGTGTCCTGCCCGCGCGTCACAGTGGTCGAAAGTTCCGGTCTAAGTCGCTCGAATGGCCGCTGCACAAGGAGGTGAATGAAGTCGGAGGGTTTTAATAAATGCAGACAGCCATCTGCCAGAGAAGAAGGCTCGGTGAGGGGAAATGAGTGATGGAATACAGGCCGAAATAACATGGGCGTCAGGACCGTTGACGGAACTGTCGCAAAGTTGAAAACCAAGGGAAAGTTGAACGAAAATGGTTAGAGCGTAAACGAAAGTGAGAGTACAGGTGTCATGAGGAGGGAGCAAAGGGCCGTAGCTTGTCGAGGACGTCACCCATGTTGGGCGAGTTTTCGAGAACTTGGGCGATAGAGGGCGGTCTACTCCGTTTGAGATTGGCGGCGTAGGCACTGCTGGCGGCCGTACTCGAAGATGCCATCGAAGATGTCGATATCCGATTGGCGGTTCGCACTCCTCGCCTATCTTCTGAGTCGCTCAGAGAGGTCGGTTTAGAGGAGTATCGAAGAGACGAAGGTGTTTCGGGGATTGATGAGAGAGACGACAGTGTCATGCTAGGACTGGGCGGCAGTAGAGATGATGTCGAGGATGAGGGGGAAAAGGAGCTGATGGATGATCGATTGCTGCTATGAGTCGGCACCTCGGGCAGTGCACTGTCGGGAGCAAGGGTTTTGGGAGGGGAACGCCTGCTACCAGTGGCTGCAAGATAGAGGCTGTGACTGCCCTCTCCGAGGCCGAAAGGTCGTCGAAGCTTTCGATAGCGTAGAGAGCCTGATTCATTGCCTGAGGTCTCCGAACTTCGAATTGACTCGGCACCAGATGTTGGGTGAGATTCAGCACCCGAATCGTCAGATAGCTGGGTTCGCCGGGAAGGTAGCCTGCTCTTCGACGGGACTCTGGGAGGCTCCTGCCCTGGTTCTGCATTGGTTGCAGGCAGCGGTGGAAGGGCAAGGTTTGGCGGGAAGTCGGTCGCAGGAGGTCCTTTGTTGTTGGCAACCAGCCACATTAACCCTTTAATCTGGTTGTCCTTCTTCGCCATCTCCCGTTCCAACTGCGAGACCTTCTTCTCCAATGCAATTTTCTCAGCGTTGTGCTTGTCCACTGTCTTCTGAAGATGACTCTTCAATTCGTCATACTGTCGAGTTCGATTCTGAAGTGATTCCTTGAGCTCTTCTCGAGTGGCGGAATCAAGATCGGGCCTGTTGCCTTCGGCTGGAGGGGTAGGAGGCTCGTCTTCAGGCTGTGGGCCATCCGCTGGAGCGTTGCACTGGGTTCTCCGGGAGCTCGCGCTGGCAACACTGGCGACAGAACCAACAGTACTCGCTCGAGGGCGGGGAGGAGGGATGGACGGGCTGCTGGTGGTGGGAGATGTCGATGCTCGGGCCATCTGTGGTGATGAGGGGGGAGGTTGAGGTAAAGGTATGGAAGGTGGTTTGTTGAGCTTCTCTGCAGCTGCAGCTTGTTGCCGCAAACGAAGCCGCTGTTGAGCAGAGTACTCCGAAGCAGGTGTGGTAATCTGCCGCCGTTGAATCGAAGGACCTGTGAGTTTATCAGAGAGACTTGACCGAGCTGATTCCTTGCCATCAGAGGTTCGAGGGGTAGAGGGTGTGGGCGAATCCTGCTTTTCAGTTGGAGAAGACCGCCGTGGAGGTTTTATTGACTTAATCGCTGGAGATTCTGGCTGCTGGTTCCTCGCTGATTTCTGGCGGGAACTCTCGAGGATCGTAGGTGCTGAGCCACGCCGAGGGGCCTCGACAAGCTTCGAGATCCGTGGACTCGTTGAAGGTCCGGAACTCGAGGTGCCATCAGATTCAGGTGTATCGCGGGGTGAGGGAGACTCTCGCGGTAGTGGTTTCTTCTGCTTCGGCAGAGTAAACAGGTCCTTGTACTCGTCAAGATTTTCGTTGGACATCGAAACCATTATTGTGGGCTGCACAGGCCGAGGTGTTGGCGATCTGGCGCCCGATGAGCCAGAATCGAGCGATGTTCCGCGTGAAGCAGTCACATCGGGCGGTGATAAACTGGCTGTTTTGGATGTTTCTTCCAACGGTGGTTTTGAGCTCAACGCGCTCAGTTTACGTGTTCTTGGGCTGAAATGTGCAGCCAGTTTCGACCCAAGCGATGTTGGCTGTGCTTTGCCTGGTGAAGGCGGCAACATGCTCAGTCTCGAGCTAGGCGAACGTTCCGAGAGCTCGACCGTTGGTCGCCTGGAAAATTGGACAAGACTGTAGGTTAGCAACGCGCATGGTGGACGTTATGGAAGACTTGTGGTGGTGGTCGTCGCCGCCGCCGTTGGAATCACACGGGACATTTGACAAAAGCCGTGACATCGTCGACCGACGCGACGGATGTTCTCAGGCGCCGTTGACGAAAAAGGAAATCTACGATCGCTCCGGACTCACCTATCTGTGCTTGCCGTTCCCCTCGTCTGTTCCCCAACGTCCGATGATTCCCGTGCAGAGTCACTGGCATATGGATTCGACTTCTTTCGCGGTCGTCCAAGGAATGGAATGCGTGTTGATTTTTTCTTCGCCAATCCGTCGGGGCCTGTGCTCGTCGACACGTCCAGTGTGTTCGTCGATGCTTGCGACTGTGTTGAGAGGTCGTTCGCAGGTGATCGTGTGTGGCCATGACCAGCACGGAAGAAATCCGTGAGTTCAGACGTCTTGCTGCGTATCCGGCTGGGGGTGAGGCCAGACATTGGCCAGCAGTAGTCGGGGCCGTCCAAAGGTGGGTGTGGAGAGTGAGAAAGACGCGTCAGTCAACGAAGACTACGGCGAAAGGGTGTGCAATGGAAGACGGAGCGAGGTATATAAATGACCGACAGATTTCCAGGCTCGCCCTCAATACCGTACAAGCCCCGTCTGATTGAATTGCAGATTTCGCGGACTCGGAGGCTATGGCTTGTTGCAGGTGGTGACTTGTCGCCTCGAAAGACGTGCAAAAAAAAGGTCGCAGAAGAGTCGTGTCGCGAAAAGGACGTCTCTGATGAGACTTACGATACGTGTCTGTATTCCACTCTCATCCTAAATTTTTCCACAGCTATCTTCTGTTCAGATTGAACCCTGTTCCTTTTGACACTATAACCAATCGGGACTTGTGACAACTAAGCCATCGAGATTTGCCCCTGCCAGATTTCTGATGTCCCCGAATATCCTTGTTCCTTTAGATTGCCAAATCAACTTTGGTAAGCTCGATCTCGGAGATGCTGCTCTCCAAGAGCCAACTGCATGGGCGGCCTGCGTACAATATTCGTGTCTGTTTGTAGGCCTCTCTCGCCGTCCTGTGTGGCCTTGGTGTGCTGAATATTCCACTTTTGTGTTCCTTTTCGTGCTGTTGTACTCATATCCTCGTTTTAGTTCCCCCACGGCCAACATGAAACGGCCGGGTCTGTCTAGGCAATTGAAAGCCAATTCGACCCGGTTTTGTTATTGGGCAAACACCGGATTCACACACCAGCCAGAACTCTCGGCCAGAGGATGGTCATGTTGCGTTAAGGTTTGCTCGAAGACCAAACTTCCGCGCTGTTCTTAGCTCGAGCGAGCAATCGAATTTGAGAATCCGAGAAGATGGCTGGTGCTGACGAGGCAAGAACAAGGACGATGCAACTCCCCTGTGATGATACCAAGGTGATACACACATGCCGGCGGAAGTCCTGGCTCGGTGACTGTTCTCGATTGATTCTCGACTGCTACCGACCTAGTTTTGCGCTCTGTTGTGCGCTGCACGCCTGCCATTCGCGGTCGAAGGAGCTGGACGGTGGGGTTATGGAGCATGCTCTCTTCTTTTCTCAGCAACTCCGCATTTCCCTCCTCCACCGAGCCAACTGTTGGCCAACTATGAGGACATTATGGGGGTCGACGTCACGGCCGATATACTTACGTTGACGCAGACCATTCACACTTTAGTCGGCCAAGGCAGCAAGTCAATTAGCGCTTCCACTTACTACATTGCGCTGACGTCTCATGGCGGCAAGGTTTGAAGCAAGTGCCCTTACGAACATCAGAACAGCTCAAAGGAACATCACAGAACCGACAAGATCCAACATTGGATCTTGTCGTTGGTATCCAGGACCCATTCCGACCCAAGCACTAGGCTCCTCCTTACCCGTCGTACTGAGCCGTTTCCTCCCACTCAATGGATGTTTTGAAGCGGAGATCATCTAGAAGGAGCTGTTTAATGAAAAGTCCCTTCCGCTCGAGCGCCTTTTACAAATTCTTCCATGTCCCTGGGGCGCGTAAACCTTTTCCTGGTGGTTAATTAAAGAAGTGACCTCCACCTCAGGCTCCGCCTACGTCATCACATCCAACCGCGCCAGGGATGTAGGGGCGGGAGACTTAGAGGAGGCTCTCCAGGAAGGCGAAGCTTGAAGAATGCTTCTCCACTGCGCAAAACGAGGCTAGGAACCATTGGCCGTCGGCCCTTGGTCCGACCCCGCCAGTCTGGATCATCACGTCAATTCAATTGTTAGGGGTGATATACCCGAGTTTCTCGGATGCCGCTACATGCATTGCATCCTCAAGGGGGCTTTTCAATAAATGTCTTTATGTGAGATCACAGCTCGCTTCGTTCGCTTCAAGCTTTAGGCAGAAATATCGTGGGTTCCGCGTCCCGCGTCTAGCGCCCATACTAGTTTCAGGTCACTTGACTTCCAGCGCCCCGCCCCCACTTAGCCGGAAGACTCCCAACTTCCGACGAACTGGAAAACCAGCTGGAATCCCGAGAAATGAAGTCATTGTGGGCTCCTGAGAGCTGACAAGTGTCATGATAGCTGGCTGCGTGGATTGACTTCCAGCTGTTCTTCCGTTCGATACACGTACTTTATAGTACAAGTGATTAGCTCGCCTTTCTAGCCATTGGGCGCTCTGCGCGCACAACTCGGCTGGCCGACACCATTGGCTGGCACTAGACTCTGAGTCACTTGTCGGCTACTACTGATTGTGTCCCAGCGACTTGTCCGACTCGAATGGACCCCCATCAGGGACATCCTTGTCTACATTGAGGAACGAACGTACAGCTTCGCCGCCGTCTCCGAATAGGCTTTCAACCTGCTTAGGATTGTGTGTCTGGGGTGTACAGTCATTCATATCTCGCATGGTAACTGTAGTCTTTGGTTAGACCAGGACATGCACTAAATAGAGAGGAAGCCTGAATTAGCATCGACCCTATGGTTCTGGGTCAACTGTTGGCGACTTGACATCCTGCAGTCGAGCTTATTGGGCACCTCTCCGTCGCCACAGAGCTTGGGGCGAGATCCACTTCATACACCATGAAATTACAGTATCTGTCGAAGATGGCTCTACGTTGCCAGGGTGTTTGGGACATTCAGCACAGATCACATTCGAAGTTAATAAATGTTTGAATGCACACAGTGATTGAATACATACCAGGTGTCCCAAGCGAGACGTCCGGTAGACTTTTGCCTTCCAGTTCTCGACTAGTCTTTGTCACCGCTCAAAGATTACCAGAAGACATGGGAACATGGAGGCACACGTACGGCTGCAATTGATCCAAATTTCCTGCGGTTGGAGCGCTTTCACCCAGGCTTACATATGGGTCGGACGTCCTATTAATAGCCTGCTTGATATTGATGTACGCTCAGACTAATATTAGCCTTGACGCCTCTATGCACGAGGGATACAGAGAAGCCCGGCAATTGCATAAGTAGCATTACGGCGTAGACCATGTACGGTGGGCGAGAATGTGCGCGTAATAACCCTGGGTTTTGAATAGAAAGGGACACACCTTCCACTAATAGCCAGTAACCCAGGTGAACCGGGTGTGAATCCCGTTGTTTACGAGTCCGTTCATTACTTGCTACTGCGACGAGACCCTAGATCAGCCTAGTATACCTGGCAGTAAGCTACCTTTTTTCGTTGATTGCCTATATCTTGCTTTCAATAAGCTCACTAGTATGCGTCCTTAGTATCCTCCGAGGTTCATGCGAAGACGTCTATAATTAGCCTCAACCTCAGTATTCGTCGACGTCCCTCTCTCCTCCCATCACCCAGGTAGCGCCCGTAGACGCGTCTTGCCGCTCCCGTCGGTACATCGAGGTAGACACTCCCATGTGAAGTGGCGTACCCACCCAGCTTTCTGCACAAGCACCCACGGGGACGAGTCTTCATCGAAGCACAACGCTGAAACCTGTTCCAGGCCTTGCAATTTTGCGCGCCTAAGCGGCCTTTCCCGTGATATATCCTTCGTGCGCTATAGGGCCCCGGTGAAGAAGGCTTTAAGAAGGCGCTTGAGTGCGTAACGCAGTGTTATGAATCAAAAGAACAAGCCTTCTCACCCAATGGCCCTCCCATGTCAGATTTGTCACGCACATGGCCCATCGTGGAGCCAAGCCAATGCCGAAAAGGAAAAAGAGTTTCCCGCAACAAGGAAAAAAACATTCGGTGGCTTTCGTCGAAATGTCCAGTCGTTACTCTGTACTGGAGTCACCAGTGAAATGAACGGTCGGTTTGCTCCACTTGATGGTAGTAGGTCGGACCGATACGAGAAACTTGAAGGAGTTTACTTAAAGGGCTGAGTTGGCCGTATGCCACGCAAGTTTAGGACTTGGGCGCTTGTCTTACGACGGTGGGCCTATAGGCAATGGGAAATACAATAATGTTCGCTTTCGAGTCTCCAAATGACGAGAGAAAGCAAGGCACTTGGTCAGGAGATAACAGTGAATTTCAAAGCTTGACAACATCAGTAAGAAACACAGGAATGTCGAGCGGTTGGTCTATATTGAATCGGTCGGACCACCGACGAGCCTTCAAGCTTCAGGCAGAATCATACGTCTACTACAGAAGGAAAAGAAAATCAATACCTCTTCCACGTTTAACTGTCCTGCTATACCCTTTGATCCAATGACTGTGCACAAAGGTACTAGGACTTTTCTGGCAACGGCATGGACCTGTGGGACAACCACAACCGCTTTGACCTCTAGGGTTCTTAATATCCTTTGCTGGAGGTTTGCAAACTTCCCTGCAGACTACTTTTCTAGAGACCCCATCAGAGGTGTCATACGTTTGCTATCTTCAAGTTTACATGCTGCCAAATTACTTTCTACATACATTTTCCGCCTGGTCAAATCCGATACAATGGCTCCAAAGTCCAAATCATCCAAAGTTCGTAGCATCATGAAGACATAAACCACCCAATGGACCCAAAAGGATGGGCTCATCGCCTTTTTTTCGAAGTCGTCGAACGATGATCATCCTCACTGCACTCGACATCAATCTTATACATCTCGACCTCATCCTCGACCCCATCCTCAGGTTCACCAAACTGTTTCGGCCTTCTGAGGACCCGCTCATAGAATAGGACGAAAGGCCATGTCAAGCGGCGCCAGAAGGGCACGTTGCCCTTGAAAATGTACCGCGCTTGGAAGGCGACGATCACCCAGGCGGTGAAGATCGTCAAGGGGAGCGCGATGGCTATGTAGTGGGGTATCGTTGCGTTGCCTTCCGGGTTAATTTCGCTGACGTTCATGCCGAAGACGCCCTGTGGGGAGGGAGTGAGTGGAAAGTGCGGAATGATAGGAATAGAGTGATACGTACTGCGACGAAACTGGCCGGAAGGAAGACCATGGTTAGGTAGGCAATCTGTTTCATGGCTATTAAAGAAAGGTTACGATCGACAGTATGCTATGAGCATAGTATGGGCGTACCGGCGCTGTCCCGAACAGCAGCTTCAGTCATGTCTCTCATATACCTACTATCCGTGATATTCACACTACTGAATACCTATACGATCATCACGTCAGAAAGTCATATCTTCGGCAACTCTACGACGAGGACATACCAGGTTCATCACGTTCTTCAATCTCCTCTCCTGCATATGCAACCCCGATTTGAGCCTCTCAACTTCTTGTTTGAGATTCTTACACTCCCTGACCAACAACCTCCCATTCTCATCTATCACCGATTGGTCAAAGTTTTTGGTAGTCATGAACGGGTTAGTGGTCTCTTCGATGAAGGTGATATGTTTGACGAAATCTTCAAGGAGCGCGGTGTAATGGAGGTGGTGTGCACGGATGACGTGCAGCTCTCGTGTCAATGGCATGTGGGCCGTTGAAATGACACGGTTTTCCTATTCGCAATGAGAAGGGAGAGGTATGTCAGCCACGGAATACAGTAATAGCATGAAGTGATGGACAAACCAAAGCGATGATATGCTCGTAGAGCGACTCTAGTGACTCGTCCCAGGCGTATAAAGCATGCCAAATGAAACACATGAGGACTAATGTAGGATCGGGAGAGCGTTGGAACATGCTCTGCCAATACACGGACTGACCTTTAAGCGGGGGTGTTAGAGGATATAACAACTGCGCACAGCGTTCGCACGTACCGGCAAACCGTATTCGTTCATGGAGGTATTTCGCGGAGGTGGTGGGTAGGTTGAGTGTCGGGTGGTAGGAGATGATAGTGCTACCCTCGATATTTCGAATAAGGTGCACTGAGATCAGGTCAAGGGCAAGAATCCGCTGGTCTAAACGAAGGGGTGAGCACGAGACTGGTGAGTAGAGGGGAGAAGGCGCACTGGAGTATAGTACGAGCGGAGCTTGTGTATCGATCTTCTGGGAACCCAATAGTGTCCCCTTCTTGGACGCGATAGACGTCCCCGACGAGTAAAGCGGGAGCTGCTTGATGACGAATTCGTCTTCCGGCATCGACTTGATAAAAGGTAGCGTAATAGTTATATCTGCGCAGCACACCGCATGAGATGACAACGGGACCAAGGAACTGCAACTCTTACGATCGCCGATGTCATCTTTAATCTCCTCTTGGAACCTCGACGGGATCCAGTTTAAGGACGACGAGAAGAAGAAGGGCTCGATGTTAAATCTAAAAGCCATGTTAACCGAGGGACTTTGAATGGAACGGATACAACTCACCGAGCGCCTAACATCTGCAACACCGGCCCTGACATGTTCTCCACGAATAAAGCTCTAACCCGGAGGTCCTTGGGCCGCTAAAGACCATACAATCATCAGTAAAATGAAATCCATAGGCAATGACAAGCCAACGCCTGGGCGCTCATCACTCTCTTGGCAGAAGAGGAAAATGAAGCCAGAACTCACCTCGCTCTTCGCAGCAATGACCGTACTCCATGTATAATCCTCATGACGCTCAACAGCATGCACCGATCCCGCATCCCTGAAGATCCCATTCACATCCACATCACAGCGATAAATCGTACACTCCAAGTCCTTCCTGTATTTATGAATTGCGTCCCAAATCTTGCTCTTTTTGACTTGCGCCTCGGTCCAGTTAGGGAATCGCGATTGGGGATAGCCAGTCCAGCATTGACAGTCATTGTGGTCACATTTGGGCGGTATCGGGGGCGCCTCGTTCGCCAATTGGGCTTGGTCGACCTCTGAAACGTCGACTAGGTACTCAGAAACTGTGAATTGGAAGAGACGAGGAGGAAGTTGAGACGTACCGTCGCCAATGTCGACCCAGGGCCATGGCGCAGAAGGTGCAGCGTGTCGGTGCGATGGAGGCGCTATACGCGAAGGATCTGACTGCCAGGACCTTTTGCCCAGGGACCGCCGGCTACTCGCTGCTGAACGAGGGTGGTGCACAGATAGTCCGTCCATCGTCGTCTGATTTTTATCTCGTGTGGTCGTAAAGGGGTCGTCGCAGTCGTAAAGCCCAGGTCAACGAAGTAAACTTGAGGGCTATGAAGAAGGGGGATTGCTGAAGGGAAATGAACAGTGGCGCATAACCTGGGGCAAGGAGGCTAAAAAGGCGTGGGCGCCGGGGACCTTAACCGCCGTCAACGGCCTCGAGGCAGCTAAGCGCCCACCTGCAATGCGGCAGCCTGCCACAGGCCCCATGGTCAGGGAAAATTCTTTTTTGAATACAATTGGCTGATGGCTATTCTTGTCGTGACTGATCAGATGAAAGTCAATGCATCGGAAGCAATTCACTGCCGGTGGAGCAAGAACAAAACTCTGGCGAAAGAGCGGAAGTAAATGCCAGACGTCTAACAGTGAAGGATGGTATGGATGGATATAGCATTGGATGGTATCATGTAGGAGTACAGGTATGTATGGTTCACGAAATAATGTCCTCTCCGGTTCGTCCAGTCATGAGTCGTAAGTCATAAGCATTTCTTTCCCAAGGGTCCATTGAGTTCCCTTCAACCTCACCCTGTCCTTCCTTCACATATCCTTCATATCGAGCTTCCTATCATCGTCATCCGGACATTCGACCCCCACCCCGGGGACATCATCGTCCAACTCCTGCTGCTTGTACGGACCCCACCCCAGCCTCTTCAATGGCATCAGGATTGGCCATCCAAGGCGCTTCCAAAACGGCATCTCGTAACCCAAGATGTACTTGCTCTGGAAAGCGACGATGATCCAAACGGTGGCGAGGGTGAGGGGAGCGGCGGTTTCAAAGTAATGAGGGAGGGTTTCCGATGTTTCTGGTACGATTTCCTTGACGTTCATCCCGAAGATAGTCGCAACGAACGAAGCAGGGAGGAACACCATCGTCAGATACGCTATCTGCTTCATCGCTACCAAAGCGGTCAACACCTAGACTCGACGAAAAAGTAAAGTCCATACCAGCACTATCGCGAACAGCCGCCTCCGTCATCTTCTGCATTCTCTTGCTGTCCAGGATATTCACGCTGCTAAACACCAAGTTCATCACGTTCTTCAGCCTCCGATCTTGCATCTGTCTTCCCTTCTCCAGCCTCTCGATCTCACTAAGCAGATTCGTTGTCTCTGCCCCCATAATTTTCCTGTGCGCTTCTTTCTCTTCGTCCGAGAGGTCGTCGAGTGCGGGGTTGACTGTGTCACGGATGAACTCGACAGTCTTTTTAAAGTCGTCGAGCAGGGAGGCGTAATGGAGGTGGTGGGCGCGGATGATGTGGAGTTCTTGGGTGAGATTCATCTCGGAGGTGTTGATGACATGGGTTTCCTATCGGGAGAAGGGTCAACGGCCGGACGGATTCAGTGGACGAGTTGCCCATACGAGGTTACAGATGTGGGTGTAAAGGTTCTCCAGCGCTTCGTCCCACGCATACAACGCGTGCCAGATGTAGGTCAGCAAAACAAACGTAGGGTCATCAGACCGTTCGAAGATCTTCTGCCAGTATACAGATTGTCCTACCAGATAGAATTAGCTAGCATTTGTCGCAAATACACTTCAAACTCACCCGCAAATCGGATCCGCTCATGGAGGTACTTGGCCGTGGTCGTTGGTAAATTTAGTGAAGGATGGAGAGAAATGATCACGCTGCCTGTTTTCCGTCGGACCAGGTGTACAGAGAGAAGGTCGAGGACGAGTAGACGCCCGCCTGTACCTAGCTCAAGAGGCGCCTGGGTGTCAATCATTTGATTCGCTGTCCATCATGAGGATTTAATCTGTTGCTGCGGAGAGTGAATATTGAATAACGGGACGTACCCAGGGCCTCCTGATATTCAAGTTGGGCCTCGTGGCTCACGCTATTGGACGACATGGCCGAATAGGGGGAACGTGCGCTCATGCGAATGGCATCTGCGTTGGCGGGCATAGACCTCAAAAAAGTCATAGTGATAGTGATATCTGAAAGTCGTTAGATGGTGTGAAAATCCCGCAATGATTGTACTTACGATCTCCTTCATTAGGCCGTACTTCCTCTTGAAACCTCGATGGTATCCAGTTCAACGACGAGGAGAAGAAGAATGGCTCAATGTTGTACCTGCGCCGATAAGGATGGCAGTCAGTGCCGGTGCAGTGGAGTAACAGGGAGGTTTACATACTTGGCTCCCAGCATCTGTAAGACAGGCCCGGACATGTCTTCTATGAATAGAGCCCGCACACGGTTCCCTTCCGATGCCTGTCAAGACTGTTAGCATGTGCAAGGCTGTCACATCCGTAGACATCGGGACTGCTCGAGTACGACTGGAAATCGTTACATAGTTTCGAGCATTGAGATGCCGCTGGTGTCGCAAAGGGTTTCCCGCAGAAGGAAACAATCGGTCGTCGGTGAAAAAGACCTCTGCGCAGTACAACCAGCCCCCGGCCCGAATAAAGCTTCACAACAACAGGACCATTATACCGCGACGCGTGCTAAGGTACGAGCAATGCTCGAAACCGCTTCAGCCAACGACGTGTTGTGGTGAACTCTGAGCCCGAGCAATTATGGAGGGAAACTCGGTTTCAGAGTTTCGAGCACGGACAACACGGAGAAATGCAGTTAAATTGAGCAAAAATCCTACATACCTGGTCGTGTACAATCCAATCCCATGTAGCCTCGTTATTCTGGTCGTTTGCTGTGAACTCGCCCGCGTCTGTAAACAGCCCTTCTGAATTGACATCGACATATCGTATTTTGCAGTCACGTCCTTGCGGATAGTTGTGTATCGCATCGTAAATTTTGCTTCGCTTTACCTGGTATTCCGTCCAGTTGGGAAACAGAGACTGGGGGTAATGAACCCAGCAACCGTTACAGGTGTCTTTGTTCTTATGATCACAATGCTCAGGGATGGGTGATTCTTGGTTGGCTAGCTGAACCTGGTCCACAGCTGCTGGGCATCGAGAGATTATCGTCAGAGAAGATTTCTGTAGACGAACGTGCTTCCCGAGACTTACTATCTCGGATGTCGATCCATGGCCAAGGCGCCGAGGGGGCAGCATGACGATGAGACGGTGGCGGAATTCTGTCTGCCCCGGTACTGGTTAGGCTGCCGTTACGGTCGCTAGATGGAGGGCTGTGCATCGAGGAGTGCACTGGCAGCATGAGGCAATCCTACTTAGAAGTTGTAGGTGCAGCAATCCGGAATCGTGTCGTGTGGGCGTTGCTGTCGGGCGACAAGGTAGACAATTCAGCGCTCTTTAGGCCCCAGTCAGGTGGTGTGGTCGTGGTAAAAGGAAGACATTGGGCGCTTAAGTCGCCTCATGCCTTGTGTTTGTTGAAGAAAAGAATTTCGGGGATATCTCATAAGTTTGATGGCCAGCTCAACAGCCTTCTCACAGGGGTTTCATCGCCTTGGCGTTTGTCTTCAACCCCCACAAAGGCCTCAAGGTCACCTCACCATAAACCTCCCTGGTACGCTGTTATTATATTTTAGAACAAATGGAGCTTATAAAATGCACACCAGGGGTTAATGTGTGCTGTAAATTAAGTGGTTCCCCAGCACTTAAAGGCTCAGGATCCGGCGAGCCCCAGAACTACAACCAGGCTCCACCCCTTAGACACGACTTTCACGAAAACCTCAGGCACGCTGCTTGCAGGCCTAGGAAGAACTGCAGCCAATGGCTCTCACCAGGTTCTCGATCGTCACCCTCGTATTCTTCATTATCTCCACCTTCTTCGTGATCCAACCATGGTCATTCCATGTCAAGTTCCCTATCATTGGTCGGAGGAAGCTTACGCTGGGTCTCATGTCGGCGCCCATCCTCGCAATAGCTATCCTTTGGGCGTCGCAGTGCCTAGGAGCTACCCAGATCAGGAATGGAATCGTTGGGACTGGTGGGTTGCTCACTTTCCCCACCGCTTCGTTCAACCAACGTAATCTCTATATCCAGACAACATCAAGCCTTACAACATTCTCATCCTATTCATCTCCCTGGCGTACATGGCTATTACCCTCGATGGGACGGGTGTCCTGAAGGCTGCCGCCTTCTGGGTCAGCAACAGAGGAGGCTCTCGGGGTCGACTCCTCTATCTCTACTTCTACGTCCTCCTTACGGCCATCAGTGTCTTCGTGGGGAACGACCCGATCATCCTTTCGGGTACAGTCTTCTTGGTCTACTACACCGCTGCGACCGGCCTGGACCCCGAGGCCTGGTTGATTTCAGAGTTTGCAGCAGCCAACACGGCCAGTATGGTGTTTTTCTTCGGGAACCCCACAAACGTCGTCATCACCGAGGGCTTTAGGATCAACAATGTGGCGTACACGGCGTGGACCATCCTCCCCTTCCTGGCATGCAGTGTTGCTTGCTACCTCGCGCTCATGCTACAATTCCGAAATGAAAAATACGTTCCCCGCAGACTGAACGTGACCGGCACCCTGAACCCCATGGACGTCCTGCAAGACAAAGTCAGCGCGATTTTCGGAACGATATGGTTGGCGACTTGCCTCATCGTCATTGTCGTCCTCAGCTTCTTCCATGTCGATGTCTGGATGATTGTCCTCCCCTTTGCAGGCGGAAAGTTCATCTTCGATATCGCATGGGATCACTACCGATATAAGACCGGCAAAATTCCCAAGTTCGACCCAACAAGGTCAGATGAAGACGATCCTATGGCGAAGGCATTGCAGCGCGCTATGTCAGCGGAGATGGAACGGAGTGGAACCACTGCTTCCTTCGCCACTGCAGTACAAACCCACAACACGACCAAAGATGTCCTTGACGGGGGGCTCCACCGCACAGAATCACCGATTAGCTCTCACAGTTCCGATGAAACAACAACGACCGCCTCACCATCCAAAGCCGCAAAATTCATCAGAAAAGCTCACGCCCGGTACGACCTCACCTACAGAAAACTAGCAGCCCATTTCCCCACCTTCTTCATCGCGCTACCGCGGCTACCATTCGGCCTTATACCCTTTGCATTCGCCCAATTCATCCTCATCGAAGCTCTTCAAAACCAAGGGTGGATTGAAATCTTCTCAAGATGGTTGGTCATCATGACGGGCGGTAAAATGATACCCATCGTTTGGATTGTCGGGCTGTTCGGCGTCATCCTCTGCAATGTCGCTGGCACCAACATTGGTGCTACGATCTTACTCACCAAAATCGTTCGCGCGTCCAATTTTGACGAATCTCGCGCAATGGCTGCCGCCGTCGCGTTGGCGGTTGCGAGCAATATTGGAGCCGTCAGTTTCACGTATTCTGCAAGTCTTGCTGGATTGCTCTGGGATAGTATCTTGAGGGATAAAGGGATTACGATCAAGCAATGGAGGTTTGCGATGTGGAATGCATTACCTCTGATTGCGATGACTGGGGTTGGGTTAGCTATCGTGACTGCAGAAGTGGTTGTACATTATTGGTGACACTGACTAACTGGATATGCTTTTGAAACTACTTGCTACCTACCTAGATTTAGATGCTGTGAAATGATAACGATCTCGATGACCACACCTGGAGCAAGAATGAGTAAGGGTACAAAGTACGGTCCCCCAATGGGTTCACCAGTTGGGAGTTGCGTGCCAAGCCCACTCGGACATCGCGGAGCGTTAGATCCGTTCGAATCTTATCTTATCTTATGACCGCGTTATCTATATTGAGGCAGTGATCGATAGCGATCGAGTCAACGGAAGCAACGATGAAGAGAAAACTTGGATTCTATCTCGCGACGACGACGACAACGACGAAATCCCAAAAGCCAGAGCACGTCGCTCATAACTATACCAGTGCGTCTAACCCTTTATTCGACTTTAATTGGTTTGCTGATCTCAGTTTGGGCTTTTACTTTTTGAAATTGAAATTGAAGCAGAAAGATGACACTAGATATCTTGCACTTTATCGACAACAAGGGAGGGAATGCGGAGGAGATTAGGGAGTCGCAGAGGAAGAGGGGGCTGTCTGTAGAGCTGGTTGACGAGGTTATCCAGATGTACACAGATTGGGTTAAAAGTGCGTGTTTTGTCGCCATTCTGCTATCGAATTCAGTATTCAAGGCTTTTGTTCTGTTCGCCAACTACTTCGTCACGTTTTGCACACTCGGTGTCATATACAGTGGACTTTGAGATCAACCAACTGCGAAAGAAAGTCAATGATGTCCAGAAACAGATTTCAGCCAAGAAGAAGGTGCGGTTTGGATATTATGTGGTTCTTATAACTTGGTGTTAACCATAGATTTTGATGCTGGGTAGGCCAAGGAAAATGCAGACGAACTCGTCGCCGAGAAGAAGAGCATCGACGCGCAGGTTGAGACTAAGAAGAAGGAGGCTAAGGATTTTGAGGCTCTTATGAGGCAAAAGGCTTGCCAAGTTGGAAACATTGTCGGCAAGAACGTTCCCGTTAGCCTTACCGAGGTATGATTGTGATTTTTTGACAGCCGCGTCGAGTATGCTGAATGGTCGAGGAATAGGACGACAATGTCACCATCAAGACTTGGGATCCTACCGGAAACCTCGAAGAACCAGCTCCTCGTCCTGGTATTCTCGCCCATCACGAGGTTCTCCTCCGACTTGACGCTATGGATTTGGACCGAGGTTGGTAAAGAATCTTGCTGCCATCTGAATTCATTTCAAACACTCCACCAGGCGCCAAGGTCGCTGGCCACCGAGGCTACTACCTCACCAACGACGGTGTCGACCTCAACCAAGCCCTCATCTCCTACGGCCTCGACTTCCTCCGCAAAAAAGGCTACAAGAAGATCCAACCACCCTTCTTCATGAACAAAGATCAAATGGCCAAAACCGCCCAACTCGACCAGTTCGACGAGGAACTCTACAAAGTCATTGCCTCAGAAGACGAGAAATATTTGATCGCCACCTCCGAACAGCCCATCTCCGCCTTCCACTCTGACGAATGGTTCGAGAGCCCCGAGACGCAGTTGCCCATCAAGTATGCTGGGTATTCGACGTGCTTCAGGAAGGAGGCCGGTTCGGCTGGTAGGGATATGTGGGGTATCTTCCGAGTTCACCAGTTCGAGAAGGTCGAGCAGTTCTGCATCACGGATCCGGAGAAGTCTTGGGAGATGCTTGACCATATGTTGAACAACTCTGAAGAGTTCTACCAGAGCCTTGGGTTGCGATACAGGGTCGTCGCCATCGTCTCTGGCGCTTTGAACTTGGCTGCTGCCCAGAAGTACGATTTGGAGGCATACTTCCCCTTCCAGAGGGCGTACAAGGAGCTTGTTTCGTGCTCTAACTGCACAGATTATCGTACGTCGCTTCCGTCATGTTGAATTACTTGGTTGTTCTGAACTGATTGTTGCAGAGAGCCGAAGACTTGAGATCCGATGTGGCCTGAGGACCAAGGACCAGACCCGCAAGGTGTACGTCCACATGTTGAACGGCACCCTCTGTGCCACCGAGCGTGCCTTGTGCTGCTTGGTTGAGAACTACCAGACGCCGGAGGTGAGAGGGGTTATATTTAGGTGTTATTTCCGGTGCTGACAGGATTTTCAGGGCCTCGTTATTCCCGAACCATTGCGACCATACATGCAAGGCCGTGATTTCCTGCCCTTCGTCAAGGAGTTGCCCAAGGGATTGCAGCAGAAGAAGCAAACGTAGACTTGATAGAATGATGCCATCGTTCCAACCCCTTTAAATTCTTATGTATGTTATCTCGGTCGTTATTGAGGTCGGCCATCAAACATCATGGTGATACAAAGTACCAATTCCTCTGGAAAGGTTGAATGTCTCTTCCATTATTTCTCTCCCGTTTCTAGTCTCAGCGTTAAATGGGCTTGAGTCCCAATGAGTCCCGTTTTCCGATCGTCTCTGGCCACGTGCGTGCAGCCACGGCAGCGTGGCTGTGTTTGTGCTGCAGTCGCCAATTTGGATTTGAATAGGTCGTTAACTCTGAAAGCGACTTTTCAAGTGGGAGAAACAAACGTACCACTCGTGGGCTTTGTCCCTAAAAACGATACCCTGGCGCGATGACCAAGGATATACCCTCTCTACCCACGCATTCGTCGGCCGTCGAGGAAAAGCTCGAGCTCATAAACCGAAATGGCCCATGGCTTCGCTCCGTCTTCCTACCCATACCTGGAGTCCACCACCGCCGGCTACGAATATACATCCCCAATATACACAAGCTGCGACTCTCGAGGATGCGCAGAAAACGGAGCCCGTTATTCATCGGATTTGCATGTTTCCTTGCGTTCTTCACCCTTGTGCTGGTCAGGAGTATGAGCAGGCCGGATTGGAAGAGGGATTGGCACAATACTGTCATTGGCGAGCCTTCGACCCTGGTTTTTCATAGGAAGGATTTGCAGAAAATTTGGAGGTGGGAGGTTGCCAGTGGTCATTATCCTAGTCGTGCATCCAGTGAGTCGCACCTTCGGTTTCCTGGTACAATGCTGACGTCGTGCTAGTACCGAAGAAACTGGGATTCACAGGGGCATTGGTTAATCCCGGAATTCCACCATCGTCAAATGCCTCAAAATCCCAGATGGTGGGCTTGGACGGGATCGTGACAACTACCCATGGCGTTGGCCCCAAACGCGTCTACCTCGATATCCAAAACCACCCTCCAAACGTCGCTTACCCTCCCCGACCAGTCCCAGGAAGCGTAGCCGACCTAGACGAGATAATGCGACACTGTGATTTCAGCCAGAATAAGGTACCGTGTCTACCGGATTGTACGACTTGCTCGCGTTGATCTCGTTAACCGTAGTATGTTCGTGATTGCCTTGAGGTTCTCCGGATAGGCGGTGGCCTTGATAATGGACAGCGCTATCGTCGAGAGGAGTTGGACGATTGGAAGTACATCTACTTGGAGCAACCCCTTAATGCGACTGAGCAAGCTGAGCTTGTGAAGAATACCCCTCGCGTTTTGAGGAGCGCAAAGGTTGCGCCCAAGAAGGGGTCAGTGGATCCAGACGAGGGTTTGGTGAAGAAAAAGGGAGCAGAATGGGAGGAGAAGCTCATACTTTCGCGACCTCCTCTTGTTCACCGGCCATCTTCGACTCTCCCCGAACCATGCGACCCCGACAATCCTCGCATATTCCATATGTTTTGGACTGGCCCGTTTACCGACAAACCCTATGTTGCCCTCTTGTCCTTCCTCTATACACAGAACACGGGCTTGCACCTCAAGGATTGGCCGCAGGACTCGAAGGTTTGCCGGCCGCAATTTTGGATGTGGATCAACCCTGGACCAGCAGCTGCAGTCCCCAACCCTAACGCCGTTCAAGACATGTTTACCCAGTTGAAGACCAATCCCTGGGCTGCTCCGTTCCTCCATCCCAGATTCCACGACGTGATACACTTCAAGATGTGGAATACGACCGAGCAGTTGGATGGAATCCCCGAAATCAAGAGCGAGTGGAGGGCTCTGCAGGATAGTTTGTTTAATTCTGGCGGACATATTATTAACGTGAAGAAGAAAGGAATGACAACGTCTGGCACGAGTTCGACGGGTACTGCCACCAACGTGGATGAAGATGATCTCCTGAACCGGACAGGGTCAAAGTCATCCTCGTCGTACGACCGGCTATCTGTCATTCTCTCGGACATGGCACGGTTTGTCCTATGCCATCGATTCGGAGGGGTCTATCTGGACGCAGATACCATCTTCCTTCGTGACTGGGAAGAGTTGTGGGGATGGAAGGGCGCTTTCGCATACCGGTGGTCCCGGCTTCCCAAATACAACACTGCCGTGTTGCGCATGAACAAGAACAGTGCGCTGGGTTCCTTCTTGTTCAGGACGGCTTTGAAGAATGGACTGGATTTTCATCCCATGACGGTGTCCCGGTACACGGCCGATGCGCAACTCGAGGGTCTACTGTTGCGACTCCCTGACGCCCTGTTCGACTCGGCTTGGTTGAACACGGAAGATTATCAACGAGATCGTCCGCCACAGCCATACTTTACCGAGTGAGTCTCTGCTCCCATCGTTCTATGACGCACAGATAGTCCTGACGGCCCTCGTAGATTCAAGGATCTCTTCGAAACTCCTCAGCAAAGCAGTGCCTCTCCTCAAGCACTAGGTTTCCGAGGGTTCTTCAGAGGAGCCTACTCGTATCACTTCCACAACTTCTGGTGCGTTTAGCCTTGCTCGACGTCATTGTCAATTTACCTTCTAACTGGCCGATCAGGTGGAAACCTTTTGATCCTGCACGAAATTGGCCGGATCTTGGTCCTCGGTTTAAAGCGACAGAGGAAGTCGCGCATGCCTCGCTTCGCAAAGCCAAGGTCAAGACGGCGGGTGCGGTGGGATTGACTGGAATAGCTGCTCAAACCCCAACGTCCAGTACAACTGAGGAAATCCCTCCATATCTTATCACCCCCGGAAAGGATAAGCGTGACCTAGATTGGTCGACGGTCTTGAAACGGACTTTTGAAGCCTACCTTCGAGGAGAGACTCCTAATATGTATGGAGAGTGGTTGGTCTGGTGATGAACCTTCTTTCTCCATGGAAAGAAACGATAGATATGATGCCTAGATTTAATGAATGTATGTTCTATCTTCTTTCATTGGCCTTTCGCGCGTATGTATAACCGTAAAGTTATAGGTTTAGCGAATTGGTTTTGGGTATTAGGTTTGCTTTTTATAGACTAATGGCAATGTTACGCTCTTTCTCTTGGTGATTATTGGACCACGTTGGTTGGCAAAGGCTGGACACGCGATAAGATAACAACGTGGGAGGATATTCTTCCGCTCGGCCAAACAGGATCAATTTTGTGACTTCGCTCCGGATCACCATCGCATGAACCCACCCCTTTGCTGTCAATTTCCCCACACGGCCGCCTCTTCCTCTGTCCCAGCTCTTTTTCCCTTTCCTCCACCATCTTCCCGCCAGCGCTTTTTCTGAATTTCCGTGGGGATCTTCTGCCTCTAAAATTCGGGGTTCTTGCTCTACAAGGCGTTGTGTAAACAAGTTCGACCAAGGGGCTTCGTTGGAACATATCTCCAATAGACTTTTTTCATCTCGGGGTGAATTCTTGAACCCAGTTTCGGCTAGAAGATGTTCAAACTGCTGCGACGCATCTCTTATGGTGTTATTCCACGGCCTGATCGACCTTGGGAGGACGATGGTGAGTCTATATTCACTTTTAGCGCCTGGATTCTGTGATCCCTCTTCATCGTGGCCACAACTGCGGTGACATGTGAAGGACCAGAACACCGGGTCTGCACTATGACGGAATGCTCAACGGTTTCTTTGTATATCTTCTAACGCGACTCTCGAACGCGCCCCGCAATTCACGTACGGTCCTGTGTGTTCTGATCCCTTTGGGCGGCCATACCACTTCACCTACGTGTCGACGTTCCAACAGCCACCTCGAACGCCCCTGCTCCACGCAAAAAGCGTAGGCTGAGCTCTGTAGAGCGTGATCCACGGGAAGAAGATGAAGCCGAGTCTGCTCGCAAGAAGCGGACGCGCAGGGAAGGAGACTCGTCGGACGGTGAAGGGGAGAGCAGCACGCCGCTGCCACAACCAGAGTCGGAGACGAAGGAAGTGAAGGAGGTTACCGAGGGCGTCAAGGAGGTCGACCTGGACGGAGATGAGAAGAGCAAGGAGAAGGACACGCCGATGCAGGCGGACGAGGAGCCCACGGAGGCGCCAGCTGTTGCCCCTGAGAGCGTACCACTCCCGGACGATGTCAACGGCGAATTGGACGAACAGGACGAGCTGGCATCTTCGGAGCCTGAAGTACCGTCTGAAAAACCGGAAGCAGAAGCAACAGTCGTTGAAGAAACCAGGGAGAACACGGAGGAGACCAAGTCGGAGGAGAAGAAGGAAGAGGATAAGGACGCTGTCAAGGACGAGGTTGCGCCTGTTCCCGATGCGACGACGGCCGCGACGACTGCTGCTGCTGTACCTGCGCCACCTGAATCCCCGAAGAAAGCAGACCCGAGTGCTTGATTATTGCGACGTGTCGGCTGCCCCATAACGAATACCCCCATCCCCAACTACTCGCTCCTATTCCCCATCTCTCGGTTTTTTGTACAAACTAACTATTGCTTTTGATCTAGTAATCACCTTGTACGATCTGTCGGTTATACCCTTGTTGTACATTTGTTGACCTGCTTATTGGATATCTTGCGGTTACCCTTATACAGTCTAGTCCCTCGAATTCCCTATTTCTTCTCCGAGGTGCCATTAGACTTTTTGTTGTTACGTCTTTTGGCTTGCTGGTGTGGGTTGGTCCCTGATTTCCTCCTCCTCCGCGGTACAGAGAGCAGATCGAGGCCCATGACTTTCATCCAGCATCTGGTGAGCAACTTCTCAGACTGCTCCATACCCGATTTTCTAATTTCTGGCGTAGGTCAGAAGCGTGAGAAAGGCCCCTTTTCCCTACAAAACGGTGCATTCGATGCTCAGATTTGCCTCTCCTCGCGCCCAAAAACTATGCGAGATGAAAGCCGCATGTCCATTACCTTCTGACAATCTAAGTTCATTGCCGAGTGAATGTTTCCTTCCAATTGGTTTTGCAGCGGCCTACAGTTTCTTTCCTTCCTTCTTGGTTCCCGCATCTTCGAGCCTCGTGTTTGATCACAAGGTGTGTCGGTGTGTGTATCAGTAGGTTCCTTTCTCGGTGCATTTCCGTTGCTTTCAGCTGACCTACTTTCATATTCCAGGTTGCTCAGTTGGAGCTGGCTTCCACTTGGTGCAACCCTTGGATAGCCCTTGGGGTTGTCCGCCGAGCGCTGATCGATACGCCCTGTCTTCCAGGGACTCGACTTGTTCGGTGCGGCGTTCATGGGCAATGGCGGACGGCGGCGAGGCATTGGCTATGCAACATGATGTCAGCTTCCCTCCTCGAAAACACGACGCCCTTTGATCTAAAATGAAACGTTGATATACTGATACACGATGCAGTCGTGATTTACCAGGCTAATGTTCAGAGCCGAGTCAATATCGAATCTCGTGGAGTTGACAGGCCACGGTGCTGCAATGCGCAGACGATAAAGGGTCGCGACTCGACAGGGAGGTCCGGCTCGAACACCCCGCATTTTCTATACTCACCCCACAAGCACTTCGCTTGCCACCCCCCAGTCTCCAGACGCTGCACCATTATCCTCTCGCTATTCATAGCGCTCGACCTTTATCTTGCCGCTGAGGTACGACTCACGGGAGCTTTCCACCTTTGCCGATACTTATAGTCTCCTAGTCTGTTTAGCGCCTACCTGCCACCCCATGGGTTACTTCAACGTGTCTCGATGGTTCTCCTCCAAACAACGAAATGAGGACAGGGACCGAGAACAAGGCCCCAGTCTACCATGGCCAGCGACCCACAGTCCAGTTCCATCCTACTCGTCCACTCCCCGGACGCCCAACACGCACAAGACCATCAGCCCACCCATCCCGCGACCAACAGCGACCTCCCTCACCGGCTTCGACAACCCCTATCTCTCAGCAACTCCGCCCGGCAGCGTCAATGAGCTGTCACACTACCGCAACCAACACCACAACTCGAGTCTAACCCGGCTCGCTTCGACTTCGCATTCGAATGTCATCGACGTGTACGGTGCGAACCTGTCGAAGCCGCAGCTGTTGGCCCCTGACGATCCGACAGAGAGGGATGTGCTATCATCACTTCCTGCGGTTATCAGGATCGAAACTGGGTCGAACGTGACGAGGAACCCTCAAATAACCTCGAGCACTGCCCAGCCTATTCGAAGGACGGTCTCGTCGCCTCCGATGTCGCCTGCGTACCACCCCTCTCCGACCGAGTCGTCGTCGTCGGCGGAGATTACGCCCACTGCGTTTGCGGTGCCCAGTGTGCCGAGTCATGGCGGCAGGTGGAATTTGAAGCTGCAGACGGACGCTGTGGGCGGTGCGAATGCGAGCACGCAGTCGTTGCCGAACCAGGCCGGTCCGAGTGTGAACACGGATGTGTATGGGTATGCGTATAGCTATCCATTGGCGAAGCAGTTGTCGCCCATCCAGGAGCAGGATTATCTTTCTCCTGATTCGTTGCAGAGGACGCAGAGCTTGCCGGTGTCGACTGGGACTGCGAGTCGGACGGCGTCGGATAAGGACTTGGGGTTTAGCGCGTCGGCTAGTCCTGGGGGGTCGCAGACGTCTGAGCTTACTCGTGTGTATCACTCTTTTTCCCTGCTAAGCGTTAGTTAACATTTGACCAGGTCCATCCCCGAGCTATTCCTCGCCTTTCCTTACTCGACAACTCAATCGCACGGCTTCACAAGGGTCGTCCCGCACTCATGTTTCCTCTACGTCGACCACGCTACCAAGGCATTCAACCAAGTCAGCAGACACCCCCGTCATCCCTCCTCTCGATCTTCGACCACCATTCCCTGGGCCTCATCCTACAATAGGACCCGGCCCCCACCCCAGACAACCAAGGATGCCCGTCATCAGCAACGGCACCATCGACGAGGAATACGAGTATGCAGCGACGATCACCGAGTCCCTCCATGCTGAGAGTTTCGTAACAGCGACCAGCAACGACCGGCACAAATACGTACCTTCCGTTCGCGAGATCGAGGTTGTGGACCACGAGGCTCTAATCGTTAACACGGCTCGAGGCGAAGGGACGAGTATCCGGTCGCACGAATCTCGCAAACAGTCTGCCGGGACCGACTCGTACGTGACCCCCCGCTGGGATCGCGACGTCCCACTAGGCACCGGCGTGCGCACCATCCGCGCCAAAAAGCAGTACCTCGACGCCACACCTGCCTTCTGGACGTTCTGGCTCGGCTTCCTCTGCCCCGTCTTCTGGCTCATCGGCGGGTGGCATTTCACGCACTTTGGGGAACAGCCCCCGCGTCTGACGTTCTGGGAGTTTTATTTCAACGCGGGGTATTGGAAGGAGATGTGTTGTGGGAAGAGGAATAAGAAGCGGGAGATGGATGATCAAGCGAGGAGGGAGGGGAAGGGGAAGGTCAAGGTGGAGCCCCCACCGTTGCCGAGGTGGGTGGCGGAGAAGCAGGCCAGTGAGGATGGGAGGGCGAGATTGAATGATCCCAAGCGGTCTTTGAAGGGGATTTCGTTTGGGTATCCATTCATTCCCCGACCTGTTCCCGTGAAGGAGGAGGATATGACGGTTTGGAATAGGGTGTGGACGAGGGTGTTGGAGGTGTTGGACAAACCGAATAGGATTTTTGATCAGTTGTATGGAGTCAAGTTGAGGGAGGTCCGCGGGAGGCCAGAGTCGAGGAGGAGGTGCTTTGATCCGTGGATTCAAAGGTGTCGGTATGCCCTTTGTTATGCCATGTTCTTCCTTGCGATTGGACTATGCGTTGCCTCTGCTTATTTGATTGTGTACAATACTCGTCAACTCCGTTAGACGGGCTGCATGTATATATGTAATAATACATCTGCTTAACTACACCAAGCGGGCACTACTAAATTCAGACTGCATAACAAGGCGGAAGCTACATGACTGTTTAAGGAGTACATTGAATGAACATTTAGGTGCAATGAAGGCATACCTGGCTCTATTGTCGACATGTTGTCGTTGGTCTCACGACAGGCGCCGGAACTGGGGTACATCATTCTGGTCTCGCGATCGAAGTGCTGGTTCCAAGCAAACCTCGTGTGAGTCATGGGCTTATGGGGTCTTATTAGGGGCACAAAGTCAATGTTCATGATCATAGGAAGGTATGTAGTCCATAGACCGACTCTTGGCACACCACGATGCCTGATACCTGGCCCTTAGAAGTGGCCGCGGGTGGGCGTAAATAGCGTTCCTTCTTCAGGATTCTTTCATTTTCTCCACATTGCCATTGTCGACATGTCGCCAAATTTGATCTTCCTATCATCTTCGTATGAGAAAATTCATTATTTTTCCAACGTGCTCAAGAGACCGGGGTGTTTGTCCGGATAGAAGTCCATGGAATAAGTCGTGGTTTGCTGCCATTTTGCTGACTCCTCGAGCTTTCTCTCAGTGTTCAGTGTCAACTGACCATTCGAACTCGTTTCCAAGTGGATCCCCTTGGATTCAGCAGGCCGAAATGCCCCTTTTTGAGCGAGTAATTTGATTTGTAGCATGGGAACGGACTTCAACGGACGGAATCAATTAGGCGTGTGGGACACAGCCACGAGATTCGAGTTCGCCTTCGTTGAGGCTTGGAAGGCTTTGGTTTTCTGCCACCACCACCACCACGAACGACGACTAGAAACCAGCGCCCAACGCCGGGCTGAACGCTTATGGCGTTCGTATTCTTCCTACAGTTCTTGCTCCTCATCGTGGGCGCGGTCTGCTGGGCAGAGATCGTCAATGTCCGGTCAACCATCCCAGCAGCGGAGACGGCGGCGCTCATACAACGAACGAGACCAGCACCTACTTATGCGACCGGAGGGATTCTAGAACCCACCAAAGACCTAGAGCTGCTGGACATTGTCCTGGTAGCCTCGATCGACGGCAAATTCCATGCACTCAGTCGCTCGACGGGCAAGATCTTGTGGTCTATGCCTGCATTCGCACGGGCAGAAGGCTCGTCAACTCTTTCAAGCTTGGCGCCTCTGGTTAGGACGACACACCCAGAAAACGACCCCGACGACTTTGACGACGATACAACACCAGAAACCTATATCATTGAACCGCAGTCTGGCCACATCTATGTCGTAAACTCAGAAGACGACTCGTTGCAACGGTTCCCGTTCTCAATGGCGGAGTTGGTTGACATGTCGCCGTTCACCTCCCCAGGTGACGACGAGAAGAGGGTATTCATTGGGCGCAAGGAGACTTCACTATTGTTACTGGAGCTCGAAACAGGAAGAATCAAGGCGACCCTCAACTCCGAATGTCCGCCTTATGACGACAGGCGTATTGACCTCGACGAGCTGGAAGAACCAGAGTCGCGGGGCTCATCGACCACCGAAGTATTCATTGGGCGAACAGGTGCGGTGTTGACAGATTTGCGACCTGGAATTCAGCGCTGATGGCTAATTTCCCTACTTGGCAGATTATTACATTTCCATCTATCCCCACCGCTCTAAGGGCTACGGCACTCGGGCGCCCGTCCAAAACCTGTCATTCTCAGTCTACGGACCCAACAACGAAGACAACTTGCTCCAAGCAAACTATCGAAGGACTAGCGACGATGCGTACATCCAAGGTTTTCCCAACGGGGATGTCTACTCCTTTAAGACCAAGTCGGAAGGGGGTAGAGTCCAAACACAACCTTTATGGGTTCAGAAATTCCATGCACCGACGTGAGTTTGACGTTAAGAGTACCCTCGTTACATACTCAACAGCTTGCAGGGTCGCTGTTTTTGATGTCCTACGGGGCTCAACTCCACTTCAGCCACATCCTCACGCCTTTGTTCTCCTGCAACCACGACCACGCGCGGAAGATGTCATCCCAGGTCTCGACCGCTCTCTCTTACGTGGTGCAAAGTCGGCCTACGTTGGGATGGTGGAGGAAACGGGGAGCCTTTACGCTATGAGCCCTTCACATTATCCACTGGTTGCGTTTGGGGACGCAGAGGAGGGCAGAAAGGGACGACTTATTGAGGGTTCTGGGGGTTCAGCGCAAAGCATCCATGATATCATCCGCAACCAGAAGGAGGCTGACAGGCGGATTAGATGCGAGGATAACCCGAGAGACCGCGAGTGTCTACTGGGTATGCATCCGCTTGACGAAACGGACGGCCATGAAAGTCGAATGCGACGACTGCTCGAAGGACCTTCAAGCATCAGCCCCATCCCGACGTTCAGACCCGGTCAGAACCAATGGATCGATCACGGAATCGAAGTCGTCCCCAACATTGAAGCTCCACCCAACAATTCTCAACAACCTGCCACGCCTGTCCCCCCGGAGGAAGTACGGAAGACGGGATGGGAATATCTGGGAGTAACACTCGGGCTGGGTTTGGTGTCTTTGTGGTTCTTATTCAAGAAGTTCGGCCAGCGAGAGGGATTCAAGGTACCCAAATTCATTCCCGTACCCAACGGGGACGCGCAGATCGCCCGTCCCCTTGCTCCCATACCGGACACTGCCACCGAGCCAGCACCAGCACCCGAACCAGCTACGGTCCAGCCTCTTCAGATCATCCCCGAACAGCCTGCACCACCGGCACCCCTACCATTGCCTCTGCCTCCATTGGAGGACCCCACTACGGATGCACTTGCCGGAACTGGCGAAGAAGGTGATGACACCGACCGTGAAGGCGATCCAGAGCCCGAGACAGTCGCAACCCCTGGAAGGAAGAAGCCGAGGAGAGGTAAACGAGGAAAGAAGAAGAAGAAGGACGCCACGCCTATCCCTGGTGAAGAAGGTGTTGAGGGCAAGGCGCCTAATGGACCCGATGGACCAGCTGCGAATGGCACACCAAACATCAATCCGCCAGACAACAACCCAGATGCCACTATCGCTCCTGCAGCCCCACAATCTCCTTCACTTGTCGTCTCATCTCCCATAATTCCTGCGGCCGCAGGTCCATCGTTAGTCGTGTCCGATACCATTCTCGGTGAGCACTGCCCTTCCTGTCACTGTCAATCAATTGAACTGACTTCTTCTTAGGCTTTGGCTCTCATGGAACTGTTGTCTTCCAAGGTTCTCTACAGGGTCGAGCAGTCGCAGTGAAGCGGCTCCTCAAAGACTTTGTTACTCTGGCTTCACGTGAAGTCAGCATCCTCCAAGAGAGTGACGACCACCCGAATGTTATCCGATATTACTACCAAGAAGCCCACGCCAATTTCCTCTATATCGCTCTTGAACTCTGCCCCGCATCCCTAGCCGACATCATCGAAACTCCTGACCGAGAAGCCTTCAGAGATATCGCCATTTCCTTCGACCCCAAGAGGGCGTTGAAGCAGATCACGAGCGGTCTCAAGCACCTCCATGCGCTCAAACTCGTCCACCGTGACATCAAGCCCCAGAATATTCTTATTACGACAAACAAGAGCACTGGACGTGGGCGACCGACATATCGTATGCTCATCTCTGACTTCGGATTGTGCAAGAAGTTGGACGTTGACCAAACGAGTTTCTTACCAACCATGAATGGCGGGATGGGTGCTGGGACGGTCGGGTGGAGAGCACCGGAGATTTTACGTGGCGAGGTCAAGCTTGATGATTTGAGCGATGATCACTCCATGAGTTCGAGAGGAAGTGTGTCAACCATTAACGGGTCATCATCGTCGTCGTCGACGTCGGGTCTCTCAACCGCGAAGCCAACACGACTCACCAAGTCTGTGGATATCTTCGCCCTTGGTTGCCTGTACTACTACACCTTGACCAACGGCAGCCATCCTTACGGGGATCGATTCGAGCGGGAAGTCAACATCTTGAAGGACGCCAAGTCGCTGGATTTACTGGAGAGATTTGGAGAGGAAGGAACCGAAGCGTGCGATTTGATCGAGAAGATGTTGGATCCCGAGGCATCTGAAAGGTATGCCAGCTTTGATACTCTAATTGCCTATTTTCGGACGGAACGCCTAACCCTTGATCATCAGACCGGATACGACTGCGTGCCTATTGCACCCCTTCTTCTGGGATCCCGCACGCCGCCTTAACTTCCTCCAAGACGCCTCGGACCGGTTCGAAATCATGTGTCGGGACCCCAAGGATCCTCTCCTACTGCAACTCGAAACCGGTGCGCTGGCCATCGTTGGAAATGACTGGCATGCAAGACTGGACAGGTTGTTTGTTGAGAACCTTGGCAAGTTTAGAAAGTATGACGGAAAGTCTGTACAAGATTTGCTTCGTGCTCTTCGTAACAAGGTATGCTGTTTCCGCCTTGATGCCTCCTCCAATGGATACTCACATCTCATTTGTAGAAACACCATTATCAAGACTTGCCTGACAATGTTAAGCGAAGTCTTGGGCCGATGCCAGAGGGCTTCCTGGCCTACTTCACGAAACGTTTCCCCCGCCTCTTCTTACATGTCCATCGTGTCATCTCCGACACTGTACTACGGACAGAGTCTATGTTTAGATCTTACTTTGAACTGCCTGACTCCTGATCGCATTTCGCTTAGTTCCTGTACATTCTCCCTCCCATCCTCACTTCCCGCGATACAGTAATTCATCGACCGACCCGACGGTTATTGCATTCTCTTCAAAAGTTGACGTACTTACCGCTTATATCCTAGCTCAACTCATCCGCATTGCTCAAGTACTACAATCCTGCTAGTTATCTCACTGCATATTTATCTTGATGCCTCTCAAACGTGTATTATCTGTACTTCTAAGTAGTTAGCTTTCTGATGCCCCTGCCTGTGTTACATATGATACCGCCAATGGAATTTCTTTGCACATAGAATACACTGTGATGTCAATCATCAAGAAACGAAGAGTACAATCCTCGGGGGTTTCAATTCAACGGTCAATCAATACTTTGCCTTGACTTGAGCGTTCGCTTCGCTTTTAGTAGCTGTCGCCTGGAGTTCCACCTGCCCAGTCCGCTTGTTCTCCATGGCAGTTCTACTCGCTTCCTTCTGCTGTGCGACCTCTTCTTCGCTTAGAACGCGACCTCCAACCTCCTTCTCCACCTCGCGCGCAATCTCCGCTAGCCATACCCTTGTCTTCATGCGAGCTTTCCGTCCCGGTGACGAGGGCCGTGGTTCGGAAGGTTGGGTACCGGGGAGAGCATTGGCCGGCGATGGCGGGGATGCAGACGGGGAGGTAGCCAGGTCTCGTCCGATTAAGCTGACGAAGACGCCTTTGTAGAGGACGGGGTATGACCCCACTTGGATCCCGTGGGGTTTGAGCCGTTCCTGCAGTTGCGTAAGGTACGGGGCGATCATCGATTCAGGACGCCTATCAAACCCAACGTGATAACCAAATGTTAGTTATCGAGAAGGTCAGAGGGAAGAAGAGGTCCGTACTCGGTGAAGATTTGTATCCGGAGGGGGCGCTCCTGCTTGGGAGGGAGAGGAAGGAAGCCCGTCAAGGCGTGCAGCATTTTCTGGAATAGACCAGGGATTCCAGGGAGGATGCAAAGTTTGCCCTCGAGGCGGACGACGGGCTGTCAATTGTTGTTCAAAATTAGTTCATAGTCAACTCATGTAGAGACTCACCACCCAAATTTCGGGATCGACGTAAATGACTTCTGCAGTCTCTGGGAAGAGTGCCATCCTGTGCTGCGCCGCTTTCTGTTCCTCCGTCTGAGTGAGAGCCCAGTTCCTGTACTGGTTCATGATGTGCATTCGGTTGATTGTTTCTTGGTGATGGACGACTTTGGTGTTGAAGGCTTTGGCGATTGATTCATAGGTGATATCTGGATGGAGAATAAAGGCGGGATGGTAAGGAACAGACATAGAGGCTAGGGTGGCAGGATAAACACGGACCATCATGAGTGGGTCCGATTCCACCGCTGGTAACGACGAAATCGTATTTGCTGGTCAAACGGCGGGCAGCTTCGATTCTGTTGAAGTCATCGTTAGAGCCGGAGCTTTGGAAGCGTGAGATGGGGCATACATCTCATTCTCGTCGTCAGGAATCACTTCAATTCTCTTCCTAAGCACCCCCGACCGTCAGCGCCTCAACTCGGAGAAGACCAGGGAAATAGTAACGCACAAATCAATACCGTGCTCGAAACAGTACTGGGCGAACACATTTGAATTTGAATCTCGCGTTTTGCCATTAAGGATCTCGTCGCTATTGTCCGTTGGGTTAGACAATTCAGGGTTTCAGCGAACGTCGAGGTGTAACAACGGCAGAAATGACGCACCCAATGATGAGGGCTGCAGCTGTCCGTATACAGCGACCTTCTCCAAGCGGGTTGGGTGGTACAGGAGAAATTTGGAACCTGGGACGCGTTCGAGGCGCCTCTGAAGCTGCTGCTACCCCCGTGGTGCCATCCGCGGGCGTCGCCGCTGCCGTACTTGGCGACTTCGCAGACGAATCGTTCGACATGGTTGGTCGCTGGCCTTCTCCACCTTTTCTCGGGATCGGTACCGTCAAAGTCGACAGACGACGTTCTGTTGGTCGTGGTGATGAGAGAACAGCTGAAGCCCTCCAGGCGGCCGGTGTGGCCGTCGACCGAGTCGAAATGCCCAAGCTAACCGGTTGCGCGGGTCCCCGAATTCGGCTTCTTCCAACCAAGGCGTTGTAGCTTTGGACGACAGTCAAGAAACGAGCTTCCTTTGCTCCTGAACTGCCTGACCAAGCCCGGGACAGGTTCCTGGAGAACTGGGGTGGCGTCGTCCGCAGATGAATCATTAGTTGTCTCCCAGGTTCGTGTCCAGCAACCTCCCAAGTCGTACGCGCCGCGGTCGATGGCTTTGAGACTGCACAGTGACGACGGGGTGTCTATTACTTGGAGGAAATCATGGTAATGGCTTTGAGGTTTAAATAGGTGCAGAGGAAAAGAAAATGAATACCGTGGCCCCAGCGCCAGATGATTTCCAGATTCACACCATACCCCAAAGTCCGCGCCGTTCGGAATGCCAGACGGGATTCCTCAAGGGCAGGAATGACAAGCGTCGAGTATCACATTGTATTAGCCCTAATTTCGGGAATGTTTTATGGAGAGCGCGTTAGATAAACGAAGAAAACCAAAAGCCATTTCGACCGATGGATTCTTTCGTCTGCTTTGCATGGGCGCCTAATCGGTGAATCCCCCCGGTCGAGAATGGGCAGGTAGCCAAGACGGGGCTCATTGAACTTCCCCTCTACTACTAGTCCCCTTAAACGAGTTGTATCTTCCTTCGAGTGAATAGCAAGATAGGTTCCAATGCGCGGTGGGAGAAGGATCTACTCGCAACGGCACAGTATGGGATTTCTGTACTTGCCTCCCGATGACCTCAGTTCTGAATTCGAAAACCTTTGATGTATGACCCATTGTCGGTACTCAGCAGTATGACCACCAGCTCAACGGATAGCAGTGAGCCTTTCACAAAGCACACCTTGGATAGGGGCTCGGCTTGATCGTGCCGCGCTCAGCGGAAATGATTTAGAGTTCCCACGGCACTTGAGCGCGGACAGCGAGCGCTGTCCAACCCGTCCTGCTCGTTGTCTGCAACGATGTCCACCACGAAGCACGACGATCCCAGAGACTCGTCCCTCGAGACACCGGTTACCCCACCGAAGACATGGTATCTCGATACCGGTGGTAAGTCTCTTTGCTCGCAAACAGCGCGTTCCACGTCGCCTGACCCCGCATTTCAGAGGGAGTAGCAACCTCAGGCATGTTCCTGTCCGGTTTGATTATGGTCACCAAAAATCGGTTCCTTGCATGGCCTTCTGTGCTATTCGGAATCAACACGTTGATTAACCAGCACCCTATGCGATCAAAGGAAAGTGGAGGAAGCTGGTCTAACCTTTTGTGCGTCATGTTATTACGAATAAGAAGGTCACGAATGCTGACGGTCTGTCTTTGGTTTTTCCAGGCTGTGTGTCTCTGCTCTCATTGCATCTTACGTGCCTGTATTCGTGATTACACGAAATGTTCCTGCAGCTGCTCCGCCTGCTGCATAGAGAATGCGACTATTTATTGCGCTTCCCTGTCCCCCGCTGAAGACCGGAGTAACTGGAAGATTATACGGAGAAGCACTAGTCCAGCGCTGGGACCCAGGTCATTAGTCCTTGAACGAAGTCATCGACGATTCATTGCGTTCGCCCGATCTTGCGCGCCTGTTGGTCGGAGGAGTACTGTCTCCGCGCTTCCAGCCCTAGGCCTGTGTCTAAGGCATCGTACTTTTCGACAACTGCTGTCCCGTCAATCCCTGGCGCTATTCACAGTCGCTTACGTAGAAGTGACACTACTAGTCCAGCGATATATTGTATTCGGGAGTCCTAAGCTCCAGTGATAATCCAGATCATAGCTTTATCAATAACTTCATTCGTTCAAGTCTTCGCATTCCTTCCTTTCAATTTGTCACGACATTCATTGAGTGGTAACAACACCATCGGGTTCTATGAAATAACATAATCTCAGTTCACTGCTGGAGGGTGACATTCGGAAGGAACATACCGATGTAGTCGACGACCTCGTTTCCTTGCAAACGCGAGGTAAGGAAGCTCTCGGGGATCTTCGCAGCAAATCCCTAGTACCATTCGGAACGGTTAGATCATTGTCAAGCGTTTGGAAGGGTTTCGGTATGGCCGTACATTGAGGATGCCACCTTCACTGTAGTACGAGTTGGTCACCTCGCCCCCTGGATCACCCGGTCATTGGGTCTTCTTCTAATGAGTGGATCACAAGACGCACCACTGGTGTTGAGCTCGGAGACGTATTGGTCAATATCTGCCTTGCTGACGTTGTCCTTGAAGACAACAATGAACTCTACAAAGAAGATAAGATGAAACCTCGTCAGATTAGATCCAAAACCCCACACGACCCTTTACTCACTTCCGGTCGACATTTCTGCTGTAGGGGATTTGGTAGATGAGTGGCTAATTTGGTTTCTGAGAGTGGGTAGGTGGTGGAAAGAAGGAGAAGAGGGTGTGGGTTGATATAGTGGCCATAGCCCCTGTTCGCTGCTGCGTAATCGGGATGCCATCACCTGCCTGATTGGGCGAATCTGGAGCATCGTGGTGGATGTGGTCCAAACTGACATCACAGAGACCTCCAGGTCCTTCAAGCTCCGGTCAAGGCTGTGAAGGAACGCGATGCGAGCAAGTTCTTCGAAAGCGTCACGAGTACAGGACTGTATGTCTAAGCGGTGCACGCATATCAAGCGCTGATACGATATGCTTGGCGCCTGTCTATAACAAACTGTCAAGAAAGGTTAAATGACGCCTGATATGGGCCTGGAGGTAGGCTCTGAGGCCAACTACTCGGCTTGGCTGCACAGAAAGTATGTGAAAGGTTTGTGTCTCTGTCAACGGGCCTCTGCGAAGAGTCACGGACCAAGGGTTCGCGAATTTCCGAGCACTGAACCCTGACCATCACCCACGTTACTTGGGCGCTTAAAGGACGACAGGTGCTCATCAGTGCCTGAATGTACTGGCCTCGGCATCAATCCGCACAAGATGGGGCATTAAAAGTTCTTGCAGGTGCCAGTCTTGTTGTTGTTGAATGACCCCACGTTCCCGACCGACAGCCAGCTCGACGCCGGCCAATGGTGAGTGAATCGAACCCCCGCTCCCAGAAGCCCCCTCACTTTTCGTTGCAGGCACCGTCTAGCACTCTTATTGCGCGGGCCTTTGAATGGACAGACCTCGTGCCGGAGAAAGGACACGGACTACACGGCGAGATAAAATGTTATAGTCTCCCTTATGGCCTCCTGGGATTCATTTCCCATCTCCTCACCTACTACACCATCGCCTGCTTCTGGGCAGGTCGTAGTCCACTGTGGCCCTTCCACCGCCTGACCTACGGCAGAATTGGGTTCTGGCTCTCCATAGTCAGCTTGGTACTTACCCTCGCCGTTTCGACATTCACCATCGTGCGGTGTCAGAACACATGGCAGTTGCTGCTGATCGCAGTGTGGAAGCTGGCGATGTCGCTGATGAACTCGGCGGTTGCGATTCACGTTACGAAAATTTGCAAGGAACATGAGGATGGAGGAGGTACTCCTGGGGGAGATATGGGTGGGAAGCTGAGACCGACGATGTGGTGGACTGTTCTGTGTGAGTATCCCAATTCTAAATGAAGGGATTGCGCTCACATTGACTCCCGTGTACAGATCTTCCAGGGATGTTTGCTGGCATGGTCGGACTAATGTCACTCGTCGTCCAGAATTTCCACATCGAAGCACTCAAGATCCTGACAGTCGTATTCTACACGATCGTCGGTTTCGGGATTATGGTGGGCTTGCTATCCATCGTCATAGGGAGGATGCGAAAGCCTCGGTACGAAAGTATAGACAGAAAGGAGACTGTTCAGCAGGGGCTTGGAGGGCTAATCATTTCTGTGATGATCTACACTGTTCTGGCCGCTTTCTATGGGGATTGGGCTTTGGGTCTCATGACGGACAATTTGATAGGACTTCCCAGCGGGGACTACCGAGCCTTGTATTGGTTGTACTTTACAGCGAAACGCTTACCTATGTTTTCCATGTAGATGTAGCAATGGACCTGATGGTGTATTGTGTTGTACAAGAAAAAAATATAGATCGTATACTTATTACTCTCTCATTCTTAGTTAGACCTTGGGGTTATCGCCCAGTGGCAGGCATGGAAACAAGAACAGCAACATCGCCGCACCCAGCACCAGTCGTCTACAAGATACGTATATTCCACTCTCAATTCGATGACTGGCTTCTTATGAGCTCGTTGACATGATTTTTATTGCTTTACTTCTACTAGCGCGAACCTCGACCAGACTTCGCAAGGGCGTTGAAACAAGTCGAGGGAGGCGTGCGAATTGCAGACGCCGCGGCGTTGTCGGTCATCAAATGATATCCCCAATTGGGGTAACCAGTGACCACGACGGTCAACGTGTCGGGTTCAGTCTTTAGCTTCAAACCACGATCTCGACGACGACCAGCGCCTTTTCTTCTCCCATTACAGTCAAAGGAGGCGGGCCAATACCATGTTTTCAGAAGAAATTAAAGCCTTCAAGAGGCTAGGCTTTCGCCATGTAATTCGTCCCACTTTCCCAGGTTTCTTGGTGTTATTGACCGGGTCGAAATGAATTCCAGCTTCTCCTTCAAGTTCTCAATTTTGCATCAGTAATTGCTTCAGGGTTGATGATATGGAAAGGCCTGGGGATTGTGACTAACTCCGAGTCACCGATTGTCGTTGTGTTGAGGTGCGTACGACCCGTTGTTATTCCAAAGAAATCAAAAATAACCACAATCTACGCAGTGGATCTATGGAGCCAGCGTTCTATCGCGGTGACCTCTTGTTCCTCACAAACCCGGCTTCAGAGCAATACAAGACTGGCGATATCACGGTTTACAAGGTTCCTGGCTTCGACATTCCCATCGTTCACCGCGTAATGGAAACGCACAACCTACCACCAACAGTCGATGTTAAGCCGTATATCAGTCGAGCGCGCTATTCATCGTCAAAGGATGTAACGGTTCAAAGCAAGGACTCTGAAACCCAGCTACTTCTGACAAAGGGAGACAACAATGCCGTCGATGATATCGAACTCTACAACGGTTTGAACTGGCTGGAGCGGAAACATATTGTGGGCAAGGTCCGAGGGTAAGCAGGTTTCCTGTTGTCTCCGGAGAGGTGAATTACAAAGCACTTGCCTTCTAGATTCTTGCCATACGTCGGCTATGTGACAATTGCTATGGTACGTTCCTTCCTCGTTCACGCGACGCGTCTCTTTGATGATTAACGCGCTTCTCGCAGAACGATTTCCCTCAGCTGAAATATGCCTTGCTTGGTGGCCTAGCATTACTGGCGCTTATTCAACGCGAATGATCGTAATCGACCTATCTTCGGCCCTTGTAATTTATTAGTTTTGCAGCCCCAAGCAGACCGGTTCAGCAGTATCAGCCGGTGAAGCCTAAAGTCGCTCTGATTCGTTTGAAGCACTCACGCTTTTGTGTCGAGGGCTATAGCGGAGAGGTGATGCTAGCCTTCCAATGGCCGAGCAATTCGAAACGTAGACTCGCGCTGGACGGCGGACAAACTTTGAACAAAGCCATGCCTCCAAGCGGACTACCCTTCAAAGATTGAATTGACGGGCTCACTGTAGGTCCCACACTTACCGTCGCTAGCCATACACATTCTCTCAGCTTGGCCTACAAACCGACCTTCGCATTCTTGAGTTTACATGTCATGGAACAATCGACAAGACTTGAAGGAGGCACGCGTGTAAAATTCTTGAAGCTCAGGTGCTGCGGAGGGTTTTGGCGCGCGATGCCCTGCGATGTCCCCGCTTAAACTCTTGGCTATCCCGGACAGGCACCCAATGAGGTAAAGGCGAAGACGATCAGTCGCTCCCGAGCAGAAAATGTGTTCTTGGCAGACAGCAACCCCGCCACGACGCGGTGTGGTCTTTGGGAACCTGGCTCAAACAGGGTACATGGCAAGGGTGAGGAAGGTCATTCTGCAGCACTACAGAGCCTCATGCTGATGAACCATACAAGAATCTGTCCAGGGCGAGGCGAACAGACCCTGTGTGTGCGTAGGCGATCGTTCGCTATTTCTTGATTGGCGTGGCGCGTTGGCATTTTGGCCTTGGAAAATCTAGGCAGCTCCCATGGTTCGCCTGTCCCTAGGCCCTTGTCATGCTCAGAAAGGTATGCCAACGCAGGGAACGTACTACCCTCTCTCGACGCTGCGCAGGAGTCCGTTGGCAGATTCGGGGGCTCTGCGACCACCAAAACAAACTATGTACCAGGAATGAAAAGATACATTGTTAGGGGTGCCCGACGGCGGCATTGTTCCCGTCAGTGGATTTTAATGACATGTCAATGCCTATTCGGGGCTACCTGGCGACCAAGCCATTTGCCGAGAGCGTTAAAAGGGCCAGTGTCGTCGCTTTCTCCCATTCATTCCTCCACCTGCCACCTCACCAAGACTCCTCTTCGACGACGAATCCTTCGTCTGGCTTGACCCACACCGTCCACTCGTTTAACCCTTCCACTCGTTTATCTTCTCTTTCTCACTAGACAAAATGTTCACCAAGGCATTCGTCCTCCTCGCCATCGCCTCCCAGGCTTTTGCCACCGTCTTCGTAAGTCCTTCGTTGATTATGGATTTGCGTGAAGCACTTCCTGTAGATCATTGACACTGACTGGCGTGTCTTCTTCCTTCTTGTGATTGCCAATCATGTCCATACATAGATCACCAACCCAGTCGCGACGAGCACCCTTGTCGGTGGTGAAGAGGCTACCATTTCCTGGATTGAGAGCGGCGGTGGCCCCTCTTTGGAAGAATTCGGTCCTGCTCGCATTTCCATCTACGTTGGTAATGCTCAACAGCAGGTACGACCCCATCCCTTGAAGAAGCGATGGACGAGACTGACCCGATTTGGCACCCTAGACTGGCCTCCAAGTTATCGCTGAAGAAGTCGATGTCTCGACTACTTCATCCGTCAGCTTCACCGTTGACCCCAGCATCGGACCCGACAGCGATGAATAGTGCGTTCGACTTCTCGCTTGATATGCTCCTGTACTCCCTGCTAACTTCTGCCACAGCTTTATCCGTGTCGAGTCTCTCAACCTCAGGGACGAGGAACAACCTCAATACCCTGCTCTCGCTTTCTCTGCCAAATTCACGTAGGTCTCCAATGGAAGGTGTCCAAGATGTCCATCTGACAATACCCTTCTCTCAGCCTCTCCGAGATGACTGGTGTCTTCACCGCTGAAATCCTCGACCAAATCGCTGGCCAATCCACCGCTCCTCTCGCCCTCCCCACCGCTGCCGCTGGTGACGCCTCTGCCATCTCCACTCCCACCGGCTCTGGTGCCGTTCGAGCTGCCTCTGCCGCCAGCGACTCTGCTCGTCCCACCAGCTCTGGCGCTGACGATGAGGAGGATGATGATGAGGATGGTGCTGCCTTCACCAACTCGGTCGGTCTCGTTGGTTTGGTCGCCAGCGCTCTGCTCGGTGTCGCTATGTTCTAGAAAGTGGTTACATTGAGTGCTAGAACACCCAATGCTCAGGCATGGGCTTGACGTCCTCAAAATATATATACCGTTGAAGTAATAATTGCTTTACCGTCCGTTCTGAATAATAAAATTTGGGTTAAACGATCTTTCAATCTTTAACTGGAACGATTGGCCATGCTCACTTGACTAACTCTACGGAGTCGAAGTTGTTTGTCTGGAGTTGCGAACGTAGTCTCGTGAACCAGAGTCGATTCCAAGTTGGCCATCCTCAGTCTCAGGGTTCATATCGCGGCATAACACCACAACGTAAAGTGGAGTTCAAATCCATTGAAATGCAGAATCCAGGGGTATCATCAATTGACAGAACTAGAGGACTAGAGGTATTAAATAACCCAAGAAACAAGGTTGAACAACAGATGATACTATGCAATGATGGACATGGACACCGAAAAGGTCTAGGATAAACAAACGACTCGGACAAAAGTGAGGAAGGGCGATTAGAGGCATAAAGGTGTACATGAAAAGGTCATAAGGATCGTGAGTAGCTGATGTGCGTTTTGGAAAATGAGAAAGTTGAAAGAGAGCGCATGAATGAAGTAAAGTCTATATACAGTGAAAGAGAATATAATGCAAAAATGCAGTTAGCCTGAAGAAATGAGCGGCGATCTGGAGATGTTATCCATGAAAAAGATGAAATCTAAAAATACAGCAGGGAGGTGAGGAAGGAGAGCACTGAGACAGAGGATAACATATCGCAAGAAAGGGAAAGGTGAACATATATGGCGGTCAATGGGGGTCAGAAGGTTCCAAAGCACACTGTGCACGGCGAGTTAAAGGTGGGCCGTCAGAAAAGAGAAAAAGGATTTTGAAGGCATACTATACGTGGAACAGGCATTGTTGGGAGGTAGCCATCGATTACATCGAGGGCATGTGCTCACAGTCAGCCTTGAGGACTCCATCCCGTTAGATTCGTATTCCACGGTTGCTGCTCCTGCTGTCTCGACTGGTCCGGCATGACCGCACCTGTATGCTGCTCCATCGACCACTGACCCATTCCTTCGAAACTGTTGGTGTAGCCTGTTGCCTGGTATGCTACTGTGGGGTTTTGGCTAGGCTTTCCCAGGTCTAACCCCTGATTGAAAGTCTGCACGTGTGGGTATATTTGGGTGTTGGACGGCTGCTGAACGGTTTGCGCGGGGAAGTAACCGCCTGCAGAGTTATCGAGGTTCGGAGTGGTTATGAAAGAGGCGGCGGTTGACTGAGGCTGGTACGAAAGTTGCTGTGGTTGTAGAGATGGATCGTGGCTGCCACCGTCAAGTGCTGCACTGGTTCCCGGAGTCGTAGTCGCTGGCCCGGAATGGAAGCCAAACCCATTATACGCGTATTGTTGGGAGGGCATTGAGGCCGAAAATGGTGTTGGCGGTTCCGACGACGACAATGAGTTGAACCCTGCGTTCATGTCAGACGCAGACGGGTGATAGTTCAAGTCTCCCTGAGAAAAGGTCAGTATCGATGGATTGGCACACTAAGGCGATCCGCTCACCTGGTGACTTGCAAGGCCTTGCAGATGTTCAGGTGGCACCAACCGGGATGGACCGGACAGAGACCCCATTACTGGGGCAGGAGGGTCGGCAACGTTCTGGCTGTCGCTGAAAGATTCAGCGCGCGATCGTTGATAAGGTTCGTTGCCGGGTCCGTTTGGCACATTGGCGAGGAGATCTTGAGGAGGAGGATCCGATGGGGAAGAAGCCGTGGTTGCAGCTGTAGGAGTTTCGACAGGCTCATGCGTACTTGCCTGTATAAGTTTTTAAGTCTCAGTACAGGGTGAAAGCTTACTGTGAAAGGGGCACGTACCGTCTGGTCCTCTGAAGGGGGGCGAGTAGGGGCAACCCTCCTCAGTGGAGGTGCAGGAGTAGGGGCAGTTGTTGAAATGGTGTCCCCTTGGATAAGTTTGCCATCTGGCCCGTGTCGAACACGCAGAAGAGCGTTTCCGCTCGTCTTGCCCTTACGTTTCTCAGAGACACCCCGCTGCCGGTAACTAATCGCGTTTGGAAGTGGTTTCGGGTCTTTGGCAAAGTTTGTTAGCGTCGTAGAGCCAGACGAAGGCATGGTCCTCTGTGTGTAAGAAGGGGCGGAAGAACGATTACTTCCCCGTGGACTAGAACGAGTATCTGAACGGCGTTGACCAGGAGAGCCACTGGATGGGGCGGGACCCCTGTTGTCCGGGTTTGGGTCAAATCCAAACGGGCCCTCGTCCATGGAGTCATCGGCATCGTCGTCGTCGTCGTGGTATTGCCTCGAAGACATAGGAGAACTTCGGGGAGACCTTCGAGGCACGTTGTCCCCATCGGCGGTATCCCTCTTCCGCTTCAGCATGGCCGAGCGATCACTGAGTACAATACTGCGCTTCTTCCAGAGCCTTCGAAGTGAGGCAACTATTTTCAGGTTGTCGCGCCGGCGGCGTCGTTCTGTGTCCTCCCCCGAGCCGTAAAGCGCATCCAGGATGTCCAGCCCTATCTTAATGCTCTGCATGAGTTCGATACTGGCTTGATCTCGCCCCGTCAATCCTAGGAGCTCAGCCAAGCAAGCGACGCCCGTCCACGAAGGCCCCAGACAGACCCGCGAACAAACCACGGTGGCGTCGAGGATTAGCTGGTCGAAGGCGTAGATATCGAGTGCGACCGGTAAGATGGCATTGTCGGACAATGGAACAACCCGGTCTCGAAGCAGGTTCTTCAAAAGCCTTGATACACGGATTGTGGCTTGGGATGCGGAGACAAACTCCTGAAGAACATGCTTCAGCTGCTTGATGTTCTGTGGGTTGGGATTGGAAAGAAGTGGTATGAAGGGCGCGTGGATCTTCACGATCAATGCCTGGACGAAGAGGGCTAGTTCGCAGCTCATTAACTGCTGAAGCCATCTGTTACTACCGGCCACCGCGCGACGATTATCGTCGTTGTGGACATCGAAATGCTTCCCGAAGCCCATGAGTCGCGACGAAGAGCCGTAGACACCCATTTCAAATGCATAAAGGAGTTCCTGCGGGATCGTCTTCATCCACCCCTGGATTTCACCCATCAGCAATGCGGCCTGGTCAACAGTGTAGCCACAACAACAATTGGGAGTATTGATACGGCTCTTGACCTGGTGAGCGAGATGTACGAGGCTGATGAGAATGTTGAGGTTAGGAATGGAAGGCGAAGATGAAGCTGACACCATACCGAGCTCGAGAAGCGGAGAACAGACGTTCAGCCCGCATCCTAGTTGCTTGTTCTGCGTTTCTCTCAGCCTCTTCACCTCGAGGATGTCCATCTCGCCCAACCTCGTCCTTAACGCCTCCATCGAGCAGCTGCAGATCCAACGTCGGTTGCGGCACAGTGAAGAACTGAGCCGGAGCCAAGCACGGTTTCCCAAGTGCATCGGAAATCATGCTGAGCGACTTTCAGCAAGAACGTCCGCATGGAGAGAAGGGACGGTGCTTACAGCGTATAATAAAGCGCTTCCCACCACACCCGCTTTCTACTCTCCTCGATCTCGGCAGCGATAAGTTGTGCATGAGTACGTGACACGCCACGACCTTCGATGTTGGCGACTTCCGTGGGGGAGAATATCCCACTCTCATGGCCCCAAGCTTGCATGGCATTGATCATGCGTCCCAGCTAGATAAGAGTGCTTGAGCAAGGACAGGCCACGGGATCTACAAGGGAATTACTCACCACCGCATGGATGGCGTCCTGGTTCGAACGAGAAGCGGACGAGAAACTTGACGTTGACAATGGCAGTGAACCGTTGCCCAAGAGGTATGTGATATGAACCAAGCACGCTCGAATGTACTCCACCCGTTCTTCCAACTCCGCATTCTCGCTATTATCCATCCAAACCTCTAGAGCTTGCAAGGAAAGTGCCGATAAGAATGCTGGTGTGGCGTTGGGCGAGCCCGAACCAGCCGAGTCCTCCAAACTCTGACCATTACGAGATGCCCCGACCGCCATGACCGCACACATCAGTCCGAAGAATGCCAAACTGTCCCCGATTACACCAGCGGCAGTTGAGCGAGGCTTCCTGGACGAGGAGCTTGGCTCCGACCGAGCCGGGGTTGAAGCCCTTGGAGCAGGTGCGATAGGGAAGTGATATCTCGACCCAGAGCGATCGTGTCCCCTTCCAACACCCTCTCCCATATCATCATCACCACCTCGCCTTGACGACCCAGAACTGTAAGACGACCTCCTAGGCTCCCCTGGCATCGCCGAAACCAAACGGTCCACCGCAACCCTCGAAGACGACGATGAACTGACACTATCCCTCCCCTTCCTGCTCTTTCCCGCTGTGGTACTGGCCCTCGCATACACCTTTTTACTCCGCCACGCAAACACGTCAAATCCCGCAACCTTATGCTTGTTGTTCATCCTCGAGGGCAAACCAAGCTCAATCGGTCGCACCGCCATGGAATCTTTCGCCGATTCGATCAGTCTTTCGCAAGTGAGCGTATTTGGAAGCAGCTCTCGGAGAGCAGGTGTGATTGCTGGTTTCGGAATTGGCGCAGGCGAGTGTGTGGATGGGTTGAGGCTTTCGGGGGCCCTCATTGAGAGGTGAGGTGACATCGAAGGACCAGGCCGCCACGGGGAGCCCCTTTCATCATTGAGCGTACCATGGCCAGTTAAGTCTTGTTCAACAACGTCTCCGCTGCCGCCGGTATATCCACCCCAGGGTGCTGGCGTAAAGGTTGCCTGCGGTACGGCTGGAAAGGGCAAGGAGCTAGAAGCGGACGTTCCCGGGACAGCGACAGGCGCATGGGGGTAATAGATGCTGAGCGGCGGAAGCAAGAGTCGGGCTTCATATTTCTGCTGTTGGCTAACGGTCCCCTCTGCAATTGCGGCGGGCTTAGGGGAGGAAGAGGCGGTAAGCGGATTCGAACCAAGGTGTTCCATGGTCCCGGAAGATCCAGAAGAGTGCATCACAATGTCGTCGGTCGAGGAGCTGGCATCGGGTTCCGATTTGAGATAGAGATTAGTCGCACTGTCCGTCGAGAGCTCCCCTCCGAGTTGCAGCTCTTCACGCAACCCACAAACGATCTCCCGCAAGACCAGTGCTGCCGAAGGGTCTAGAAAACTAGATTTACTGGGAGGGGCTGCTAGGTGGTGGTGATGAGTGTGCGAGGGGTCGTGAGGAGGGGCGGTGGTTTGCAAGCGCGCTTGCGGATGAGGTGTGGCTGGGAATGGATCCATGGTAAAGAGGGGAGGGTCTGGAGGTTCATCCTGCTGATAGTCGGCGGTGGAAGAGGACGCGGAGAAGTTCATGGCACCCCCGCCGTGATGACGTGCACTGTCAGTCATGAGGCCCATGGATTTTGCTTCTTCCACCACTGGGGGATGTTTTGGGATATACTGAGGAGGGAGCCCGTGTGAGATGCGAACAAGCGCCATCTCTAGCGCCATTAGACGGTTGTTTATTGAATGCAGATCACTGTGAAAGGTTAGCAGAAGCACCACGAAGTGAATTGGGTCACTTACACTTTCTCTGTTGCCTGTTGCGAGTAGATACATCTCGGGACCGTGTCTCTCTTGACACAGCTGCTGCAGGGCGAATTGCGGTCACATTTCAATTTCAAGCGTTTGCACTAGAGGTCAATTAGCACAAGGCCGAGAGTGACTACGTGCGCGCGTACCTCTCCACACACTACCGTGATTCGTGAACGAATTTGCCTGGAAGAGCAAAAGGTCAGCGATTAAGAAGGAAAATGCGAAGGGGCCGGGCTCAAGCGACGGCGCGCCGTAGGCGAAAGCACAATGATGTGCACGCGCCCTCCTCTGCCGCGTCCATCGAATACTAATGACGATTGAAAGCAGGAATCTGGGTAAGAACGAAACTCACGGGCCCTCCTTTCCTCCAGATTTACTGTCGCGTTCAACCTGACCTCCGCCAGAGCCAGTCGCCTTGGAGCCAGAAGGCTCCGGTTTGATTGCTCCGCTCGACCCTGTCGACTGGGAATTGCTGTTACTGCTGCCCTGGATGCCCTCCATAACTTGCGTCTCTCTGAATGTCCGTGAAAAATGGATCGGAAGGCTCTTGTAATCGTTATTCTCGTATGCAGTTCCTGTGTTGTGGCGTGGATGTAGTATTCGACTCGTTCGTAGGCAATGCGCACGACCAGCGCGTAAAGGTTCGTCTGGTGGTCGTTGGGTATCTCAAAACGCGGTTTGGGGTATCGGTTGGTGGTCCTTGGTTCTCCCTAGTTCGAAGTGTCGCCAGTCACAGCCCGGGGAGAGTACTGGCACCAAGAGCGCCCGTGGCCAGTATTTGTGGAAGCCTGCAGACTAGGACCACCCCTGGGGACTATATAAAGTGGGGGAAACTGGGGAAAGATGTTGGGATGGAGAGGGGAATGAAGAAGAAAGAGGGCAAAACCAAGGTCACCGCCTGAATGCTATTCAAGTCGTCGCATCCCTGAATAGAAATGTTTCGAACGGCCCTCATTGGTCAATGAAGTCCATGTCGGAGAAGGACGGCCCAGCTGAACGGCTCAAGGCACGCTTTCCCAACAAATTTGGTGGAGAAAATGCAGGCCGAACCGGTTTCGTCAATGACCCTGATCAGAATTCTATTCTCATCCCAGATCCTGGAAATGAACTTCTTGCCTCATCTTTGGTCCAGGCCGACCACTCTTCCCTTTTCAATATGTAATATTTTCTTATTTCAATACACTCCAACATACGGAGTTGCTATGACGGACAAGTGCGCAAAGGGGGATCCAGATTTTGCTTCCGTGCCAAGTCCCTGCGCGGAATCAATTCTGCAACTTGGAGCCTATTTTGTGGAGCGCTATCTCGTGGATGCATCTACGCATTCTTCCAAAGGACATGGAAGCTGGAAGAAGGTCGTAAAAGATTGTGTTTTCTTGGGGGGGAACATCAGCATGGCTGGAAAGATTGCCACCTCACACTTCGATGGCACCATCCGGATCCTGGGTTGTACCTGACACGACGCCCGATACGACTGAATGCATACTAGTTTTACAGGGAAATCAAGGGGAGCAGTTTCCAAGCCGTTACAAACTTCCCGTTGTGACGCGGTCGCTTGTCACAACTGATAGAAATGACTGGATCAATCAACTCCAGGAATTCTTCCGTTTCTCTCGATCGTGGTGATGCCTTCCTCCAGGATGCAGTTGCGTCGAAGGCGCCGAATCGCAATCGAAAGGACCCCGTTAAAAGTGGGAGATTAAGTAGCTCGCATTTCATTATGGGTACCCTCGAGTGAGCATCTTCCATTTCTTGGAGAGTGAAATAGCTTCTGCATGCCACGCAACACCACACGCACCATTTCCGTATGTATGTACTGAAGTCCGTACCCAAATTACGTTTTCAGAGCTCACCTCGGCTGCTGTCGCCTGTAGCCGCAAGGAATGAATGTTGACATCAAAGGCCCTCTCCAGTGCTCGAATCTACATACCTTTGAGATCACCTTCACATGAGCTTGCTTCAGACCCAGGTGATGCAGATCAGCAAAGAATATTCACGGCATACCGAATCTCGACCACTCATACAGCGAAGGTCTCTAATTTGTTTAGTCCCTTTCGCTATAAAGTACAACGTGTCCTGTAACTGCGGACGGAGAGGAACATCGGTACGACATCACGGGTTCCCATGATATCCTGAATCTCGCCACCTCGCTTCCATGTACCGATGGTTTCACACGGCCGTCCTCGCCGCTCAGCCACTTCAGGTCACTTGAAAACTCGTGCGTCTCTGGGCCTTTAGTCTCGAGTTCTGTCAGACTTCACACTTGAGGAGACCCATGAAAGACTGGCCGAGACAAGCGTTGATGCCGGGCAATCAAGACATCCTACTATCGGTGCCGGCACGCAAACATCTTTCGACCGTCCACTTCTATTACTTAGTTCTAATGAGCCCGCACATTAAGTGTACGTCAGAGTACGAATATGTGAATGCTTCGATGAACACGCTCGTAAACGTCTTCTCTAAATGGGTTGATTCGGCGTTGAACGTTTTTTGACAGCCACACGACATGCCATGATTAGCTTTGAGTATTTGGGGTAGAAGGTTTGCCCCTCTACGCAATCACACACAATGCGGTTAATGACGTGACAAGGCCTGAACATTCTCAGACTTCACTGCCTGCCTCGACACAACGAGGCAGAGGGAAACTAGCACTATTCTCCCTAGTCTGGGAGACAAGAAGGGATCATTCCAAATTAAGCGCCCGTAAACCATCAGCCAAATGATGGCTCTGCTAGGGTGTGACGACTTATTTCCACTGCGACACGGAATGACGAAGCCACCTACATCCCCTCGATCCATCTATCTATTTTCCTTCCACCGGTCTGTGAAACGGTCCCTCAATTTCAAACACGACTTGGATATCATATTTCCATCTCTTTCATGCAGCCGGGCCCGCGCTCCGAATACACGTTGCGTCGTTTCCGTAACGCTTCCACTCACTGACATTAACACACCATCGCCAGCTCAATGAAACGAGATAAAGAACACACTGATGGGCACAAGTCAAAACCTTAACCCATCGATCTCGAAGGAAACGCCACTGGCTCAGAGAATATCAGGGTAGGCACTCGGAATGAACCGAAGTATGTGTAGTTGCAAGAATTATACAATATACACCAAAAAGTCTCGGTTCTAGATGCCGTAGGAATCGTACCGGCCAGCCGCTACTGAGCGAGATGTTGCAATTTGCAATACAACCACGTTCGGTCGACTTGCAGCATGCACGGGAAGGGCCACAGTCAGCTAGGGTCGAACGATAGAGTCGGACCACTGTGCTATATCCAACCAAATGGTGACCAGTTTGAGTACGTGTTCAGTATGTGGCTCCGAAGACCTTTTGCCACCTAGTAATCCAGCGCTCAACTTAATCGATTATAACCCATTCGCCCATAACTCCGATCTTGATCCCTCATTGTGAAGGGCGCGCTGTAGCGGAACAACAGTCTTCCCTGTTAGATTGCAGACCGGGACCCAGGTCTTAGTTGCCGGGTACTACTCGACTTAATGTATTTTCAATTGTGTTTTCATCATCTCTGAGGATGTGAAATCCCAGCTGTAACATCTCAGTTAGGGCTGACTGAGCAACACTCCGAAAAACAGCACTTTGCCAATTAGAATGAGATCCCCACGTCGATGATGGCGCATTGTCGACACCCACCTCCCTTTATGAATCAGCCTTTACCCGACTAAAGGAACCAAACATTTCGTGACGCTGGAAACACACCTCCCAGCCTCCAGAGTACTGGGCCAATGAGGTCATAATCGTCCATCTTCACAGCTACGATTCAAGGAGAACTGGATTTCATCCATCTTATGACGGCTTTTCCACGTTTTGCAGGTCGTCATTTGTCCCTTTCGAGTCGAATGAAAGAAACATGCTTGCATCCCGAGGCGCCAATCAAGTCCAGGGATGAGCCACAAGTGCGGCGTTTTCACTGCACTCATCCGCCATTAGCCGCAAGCCTGGCTATCTTCGAAGCCCCTTGACCACAGGGCACAACGTCGCCTCAAGGGCATGAACGACATTCTGCCGCAGTCCTTATCTCTGTATCGTGTCCTCGCCGAGGCCGAGTGCAAGTGGTAGTAAATGAGGGAAAGGTAACCGTTCGAACCGACCTCATGATTGGCGAAGTTTGCCTGGCCTTGTCTCACGAGGACATCCCAAGCAAATCTGATTGATACACACACCGGTCCCGCACGGGTTCTGGCAGATGAACGCGATTGCCAACGTGCCCTCGATAACACCATGCATCTGTTCAGTACGTGCAACAACGTGAGCGTTTGGTCTCTTGGGCCAGAGGAGGAAAGAGCGGACCCGCAGGACGGCGCGGCGAGAATATGTTGAGAAATCGGACCGAATTTTACGACACCATAGCCCTGAGTGTGAGAGAGGTTCGGAATACCTTGCCAGACACAGTGACCTTTCGAGGCGCGTCTGGAAGGCAGGCTGAAGGACGATGACCACTGGGTCTATAGCGACCGCGGGTTCGCGGCGGCATCTCCACAAATTGGTGAATAACACCGTCACAGTAAGCCCACATGTTCGCCTAGAACCTTCAAGTGATCACATAGGGACAGGGAATGACCGCGAGGTGGCCATGCAGGCACAGCCGATCATAGTCAGAAACAAGATAAGCATCGAGCCGCTCGCAAGCAAGGATAATCTGATTAACTTCGAAGCAAAATTCTTGTCAAAATCCATACGCACCAAAAAACGGACAAGTCGATTGAGAATTCTTTAAGTCTCGCAGGGACTCTCTGAAACGAGGACCTCCAATTAATTTGAAGCAGATATACGAGTTCAATCGTCGAGAACGCCGCAGCAAGGTTGAGATCGATGGTCGTACCTGTTCAATGGGAGAACATAAATCGGATCTTTAAATGTGTGTTCATCGAAAGGCCTAATGACGCTCTAACCATTCAGTTTTCAATGTACTCGAAACAAAAGCTCACCACTGCTGCACATGGCGTGCTCTCGCCATAGGACGTAGAAAGGACCCCGTGAACTGAATTACCTGTGTCACATAATAGGAGAATCACATATTCTCCATGAACTTGAAACTCAAGCTCAGGTTCAGAAAGTTCTGTCATTAATCTAGAGAAATTCAATTCAGTCTTGAGGGGGATGGATATTGAAACACTGCTCCTTCCTCACCTCTGATTCTACGAGTCCGGGTCCAGGAAACTGGACAAAAAGCCAATGCATTCCAGGTGATATAGCGTCATTCCACGACCCATGAAGTCATGCACCTAGCCTCCTCGGGATTCCTCAGCTCAGAACACGGCCGAATGAAAACAAGTCCCGTCATGACAGAGGTATTCCCCGAACTCGGGGGACCATAACATTGGCGCAAGAAGAGCCATTGTGCGTTCGAAGCTGGAGAAAGGCGGATGCGTGAAGAAAGGACCCTATCAGTAGTCGCGGAGTTCAAGCGACCTGCAGGGCATCCCGCCCATCTTCATGAACAGAACACGATCAGTTCAGATGACTCCAAATTTAACTCGATATGTCGAAAACTGAAGTCATCGCTGGCGACGATGACTGGAAAAAGAAAGAGAGGACATGGACGTTGGTGCCAACGCCTGGATGCCTCCGAAGCGATCAAACAAAGGCTGGACAACGCCCTCACCAGGCCCTTTCCGCAAAGTCGTATGTAGGTATCTGCGTCTCTCCTCGCCCGTGCGGACGGCGCCATCGTAGGATCAGGTTCAGAGACAAGACTCATCAGCATCCGCCACGGAAACCCCCCCTGAAACGACGACCCCCTTTAATCGAACAAAGCTGCGGCCCGTTGCAAGTCGATCGGGTACTCGCACCGAGAATAGCCTACGGCAAGTTCCCAGTCCTAGGACAGAGGCTCGCCGCTGAGCACGCTACATTGCCGCGCTGAAAGGTCCTGATGTCCGGTGGGGAAGTCGATCTGGAAACTGAGAAATGGAATCCTCGTGTAAAAATAAGCTTTTCCGGATGTCATGAATCCCATCATGGTGTGATTGCAACACAACGGAACACCAATGTCAGGCGCGTTTCGCCTGGAGTGGGTGCTGGACCCTGGCTAGTAGGCCCCGTTCCACGATAATCGTGAACGCGAGCGGTTCAAAGAGGCTGGAAAGGAGGTTCGAAGGCCCAGAAATCCGGAATAGGTGACAGACGTCATGCGGGAAGGGCATAGGCCGATCGTTCCCAGTCAAAGGCGCGGGATAAGGGAGAGGACAAAGGACATCGAAGGAATCTTGTGTGCACAGGAGACGTGATTAATGAGTGGAGATGCCGAAGGTCAGCTGAGGTTAACTCGGATGCTGGTGTACTAGAGGTGAAGTGTAGATTAGGAATTAAGTGCGAAAGCCCTATACAGCGTCACCGTCAGACTCATCAGGAAAGGAGTGTCATCACATACCGTTGTCTACTTATGGCTGCTGCTCCCGGGCGTCCATAACATACTGCTTCATGAGTGCAACGATTTTGTCTAGATTTTGACTATATTTGGCAGATGTGGGGACAACCTCCAAGTTCCTTCCATCGGGAAGGACCATCTGGGTCTTGACGAACTCTTCCAGTCGCTTGAGCTTCTCCTTTGCCGCTCGAACCGCTTCTTCGTCCCCTCCCTCAGCTAGCAGGTCTGCCTTGTTGGCGATGACCATGCGAGCCTTGGTGCTCATACCCGCTTCATACTTCTCCAACTCATCCCGCAACACAATGAGCTCGTTCCATGGGTCAGGGGCCGAGAGATCGATGACATAGACGAGGGCAGGAGATCGCTCCATAGCTCTCAAGAACGAGTGGCCCAGTCCATGGTTCTCCGAGGCTCTGGAGATGAGACCAGGGTTGTCGGAAATCGTAAACCTGAACGATTCGTACACGTCGAAGTGGTGTCCACGGCCGATCTTATCGAGGTATTCGTCGTCCGTAGCCTTCTCGTTTCTCGTGCGAGCGAACGCGTACTCTCCTGAGAACATCCTTTCAGCTTCCTGCTGCTCCTCGATGATGGTTTCGTCGTGAACTCCAGGCCCAGAGATGCTGCCTTCCCACGTTCCGTCCTCCGCAACGCGAACAATGCCAACGACAGGATTCAACGTTGTGAACGGGTAGTTGGCCACCTCCGTCTTGGCTCGACCCCCAGTCAAGGCACGCAGGAGTGTGCTCTTGCCTGCATTGGGCATACCGACCAAGCCGACATCAGCCAAGAGCTTCAATTCGAGCTCCAGCGTGATTCTCTCCCCTTCCTGTCCTCTCGTCGCATATTTCGGTGAGCGGTTGTCTGTGGTTAGGAAATGGGTATTGCCAGCACCACCCTGTCCTCCAGAGGCGACGAGGTAACCCAACGGGTCTCGCTGCTTCGTACCAAGTGGCGCATCCACAGGCCTCTCCGCCTTCACTTCCTTGTCGAGGTCGAGATAGATAGGTTCCTCCAGCGCCCTCTTCCTCCGCATAATCCTCCTCTCCCTTTCCAGTTTGTAGTGAGCTGCCTCCGCCTCCAAGAACGACTCTCGATCAACGTTGGAGTCTGCTGCTCCAGGGTAATGCAACCAACGTTTCTCCCTCATCCTGATCTTCCTCTCATCCGGCCCCAACCCTTCCAATGACTCTTCCTCCGCCTCCCATTCGTCCTTGGCGCGTCGTGGATCGCCCAGTGGTATTTCGCGAACAATGGTCCCCAAAGGAACCCGGAGGACATATGGAGGCGCAGACTTTCCATTCTGCCATGCTCCTTGTCCGTGAGTACCGTTCTCTGCGCGAATCTTCTTCGGCACGCTGGAGAGCGTCGTTAGGTGCGGTGTCGGTAAGATATAAACGTCTGCGCCGCGTCCACCGTTTCCGCCTGAAGGAGGCCCATATGGCTTGAATTTTTCTCGATGAAAAGCCGCACAACCGTCTCCTCCTTTGCCTGACAGGCCAACAAATGTAGAATGTAAGTCCGAGTTTCATATTCGTCACGACAAGAGACGCACCTGCCCGGACAGTGACAATTACATGGTCAAGGAATGTCTGTCCCTATACAGATTGTCAGAATACAATACGAATATAAAAAGATATTCACTGACGCCTTGTCTCCGCTTCCATTCGGTCTTTCGACGTCGACGGAACGCTTCTTCGTCCTCTTCAGCTCGGGTACCCTTCTTGGCACTGGTGCCAGCAACCGTGCTATTGAACCGAGGCAGGCTCGAGGTCACGAAGAGGTTTGCACGCACAAGGCGCCAGCAAACCGCGCCTCCGGAGTGCCCAAGGCTGCTGTTAATGCCACATAGCATTCTATGGTGGTGGTGGAAGCTTCCCAAGTCGCTGAGCCCGGCGCCGACACCAACAACTTCAAGCGCCACGAAATTCTGGGACTGATGATGATGCGAACAAATCTACATGTGCTGATAAGATAAGATAACAATACAGTGGAATTTCGATCGAGGCAACAAAACTTGGGTATTGTACAATTCTACAGAGTCCTTCTTTAAAGCTATGGTATACAATGTTCAGAATTGGTCGTTACTCTCATGTCTATCAAGAAATCAAGGTCGGACGAGATGCCTGATTCCCAACAATGAAGCCGGAGTTTCTACCTGGCGATTACGCTCGGCTCGAACGTTCGTACTCTTCTCCGAACGGCTTGTGTCGAGTGGGCAGAAGCTCGACTCCACAGAAGACGATGAATACGTCCGCACCTCAGACAATGAAAGCCGCCTTGTGATCGGCAATGCAGAGATGCTGTCCGAGTCCTCCAACGTGGGCCTGAACGCCGGGGAGGTACCTCCCGCGATATGGAGCAGAAGCGTCGCCGCAGACTCGTCTTCCATTGTTCTTGTCGGTGAAGTTAGAGAGGAAGTACTTGCCGAACTGGAAGGGTGGTCCAGGTTTAGACTCGGAGGAACGTGTGTCGGACGAACTGGATCAAACTGGGTGGATGATGGCGGTGAAGGGAGATACGAACTTGGGGGTTTAGGATGCGAATCCCTGTGGGGGAGAATGCGGGAGTCTGATTCTGAGTCTAGAAGCCAGGATGAGATCGGAGGAAGCGGACCATCAAGGGACGGATGGCGCGACGACGATGGACGGGATGAGAAGGGAGCTTGAAGGGGGGATGGAATGGGGCTCAGCGTCTCTCCGGCGACGGAAATGTAGCTGTCCCGCCTCGCGCGCCTAACTGCCCGATCCGATGGTGCCCCCATGTCCCCCTCTTCACGTGGGCGCTTCCTCGAAGCCGTTGAAGGTGCCGCGCAATTGGGGCACAGAGGAGAGGAGCTGGATGGCTGGGGCTGGGGCTGAGGCGGATTAGCTTCGAGGTCGCCAACGCGGCTGATTAGCTCTTTCATGTAGGCCACCGTTCGGACCAAGATCTCGAGTTTGAACTCTTTCTCCTTCTTCTCTTCCTTCCCCTGCTTCTTCGGTTTGCTGGAACCTGGTCTATACTCGCCATCGCCCTCCTCGTCAGATTCAGGAGGGTTGGTTGGCTTTGGTTGACCATAGTCGAGAGGAACCAATTCCCGGAGGGTGGCCAACGCCTCATTGATCTTGGTTCGACGAGCTTTCTCGATGATCGAGTGGTTTAGGCGGCGCTGTGCTTCCCGTGCAGCACGAGACAGAGGTCCTGGCTTCCTACCGCGTTTGGCAGGAGCTGGGGCGGCTGACGCAGTCGAAGGTGCTGATGAGGTGTCCATAGGGGAGTCGGCAGGCAAAGGGGGTTGTCCTTTGGGTAGGATAGGCGTCGCTTTGGGGACGTTGTCGTGGTCACTAGCCATGTGTGAAGTCGATGCAGCGGGTGTACGTTTCGCGCGGCGAGAAGGGTTGCAACTACCTGCATAGCGTTCCTTATCGACTTCCTGACCGACCATTTGTGAGAAAGTATGTATGTGAAACGGGCGTTGAATGTATGGGGGTGGTGGGACTGAGTGAGCAAGAGTAGAGAACCGCCTGAGGGTTCTTAACCAGTGAAAGAGGAGCGGTCCTAGAGGCTTTAATTTCAATTTAGATATGGGATTGGCTTCTCTTGACCAGCTCGTGTGCCCAGTAAACGTGTATCGCAGCTACGACAACGGCACACGACTGGGAAAGGCTATCGTGATTGGTGGAGCCCAGCGCACGTTCGTGCTAGAAGACCTACGTTTAGAACTCGGAGCGATAATCAACTCGACTGCCACATTTGAAACCAAGCGTAAGGCATGTACCCGATGCAACTGTTGCATGTTCGTTCGAAGGCGGTGGTATAGGTAACGGGTCCAAGGAAACGGCGGGCGCTGCTCAGGAATCATTTTATCGCCAAAGAAATTCCGCAAAAGATAAAACGGAGAATGTAACAGTTGGAGGTCGAGAGGCTTCCTCTTCGAGTTCAATTCGACCAATTCTCTTCTTCCTGGAACTTGGTCACCGCAGGCAGGCTAGGGAATCGAGCAGCGGTGGGCTGGCTTGGTGAAGAGCAACACGAGAAGCCAAGAGACGGCGGGCTGCGGCGGGAGTCCGACAATCTCGAATTCCCACGCCTCATCACCAACGTTCCTCAAGCAGTGCTGTTTATTAGGGGAGGTCTTTCCCCGCTTCTTGAACTGTGTATACCAGAGAGATATACCGTATGACCAAACATTACGCACCAATATTCCTCGCCCTGAATGCTTCATAATACTCCGGAGAGAACGTTCTCCCCGTGAGAGGGCATGGATGAATTATATGAAATTTCCATCTATAACCTAACGGGAGGCAGGTTCTAGTGTGCTAGGTAAAGCCAATGCGAGAAATGGCACCCTGCGGCTTGAAGAGGGCATCTGGAGCAGATGTTCACTCCTAGGACATAGTGGAATTGAACTCTGTGAAGAATTCATGAACTAGCGCCCCGCGGGTGACCTGGGTCACTGGGTGGTGGCCAGATTTAGAAGGTGCCTACACATATCGGGGAGGCTTGGCAGGGACTCCTTGCAGGAAATAGGCGGAAGATCTGTCGTGACTTAGGCTCAAATGCCATATATCGAGTTCCCATCTAAATTAAGCCTTAACTGGGCGAGCTGGTAGCTAGGGCGAAGCTCTTCGAATACATCATAAGATGGTGAGAACACTGGTGCCCACTGACCGGTCCCACAGTCACAAACAACTCGAAAGCAACATGCTCGGGCGTGATCTCGAGAATCGAGCATACGACGACCAGTAGACATCTACAGCATCGACATGTCCGAGCAGCGACGCGCAGAAATCGAAGCCAAAAAGGCTAGGATCGAAGAGTTTCGACGAGTACGGGCAGAACGCGAGGCAGCGAGGGCAGCTGAGCGGAGGCCACTGAGGGTATGGAACGTCCTCACCCACAATAGTCGCCCAACCTGAATAGATTAACTAATGAAAGCAGGAAGCCGGTGCATCCCCGTCCAGGAGAGCTGTCGAGGAACTCGTCAATAGCCTTCTATCTGAAAGTCCAAGGCAGGGTGGCAAGGCGGAAGCGGATACCACGGCTTCGGAGTCCATTGAGAACGCTCCTTCTCCATCTGGTCCAGAGGCTCAGTCCATGTCGAGTAACTCTACGGACGACGTGACGAACATGTGAGTCCCGATTGCGACATTAATTAAAAGACATGCTGAGTTAATGCGCCGCACAGACAGCTCACTCCGCGCTCCTATACAAATCTCATTGATGTTGAACAAGAGCTGTTCGAGCTGCCACAGAAGGTAATATCTCTTTGACGCCCTGCATATCAAGAATCTCATCGTCAGGTTAAAGGAGCGGATTGTCTATAGTAAAGAAGTTCAAGCAACCGTGACCCAGAACGGCACCTACGAGGGAGAGACAGAGGAACAAACCCCAGCCAGGCGCACCACCGAGACGGAAGAAAAGGAGCCAGAAGACGAGGGTGCAAAGTTAGGTCAAGAGATTCAAGCAGAGATCCTAGGTATGTTCTCCCGCCGGTTCCTTTCACGGGTATCGCTCATCCCACCATTTGACTTAAGAGATGACAGAGGAAGAGAGAGTACGCATTCTCACCGCACCAGAGCTACTCGAATTTATCGAAAGGACGTCCAAGATCGTTCAAAGAGCCTTGAACGACAACTATGATCATTTACGTGACTACACCCTCGACGCTGAATCTTCGAGGTGAGCTTGAGCCTCATCACAAGTACAGATCGGATGCCCACCGTTCATTCAGCGATGCTACAGAGGGACGCATTAAGCGTGTCTGCGAGTTCTTCGACGAACGCTTAGGCAAGAACCGCTCCGTAACGGATATTGACTGGTCGCCCAAGGCAAGTCGCGGCTTTTAATTGACAAACCTTCCGAACTCAGTCACAACTCTCACTCCCTGAAGTATCCTGAGCTGAGCGTCGCATCATACAATAAGAATGGCAGCGCTTTGAATGAGCCTGACGGTATCGTCGCTGTTTGGAATCTTCACCTCCTCGAGCGCCCAGAATTTGTATTCCACTCCCAGGTACGCCCCCTTCTCCTGTATACACGGTTGACAACGGCTCACACCAAATTACAGTCCGATGTCCTGGCAGTGACATTCTCACCATTCCATCCAAACCTAATATTTGGAGGAACATATTCCGGCCAAATCCTACTCTGGGACACCCGTTCAAAGCATCTTCCCGTTCTCAAAACACCGTTATCTGCTACTGGCCACACACATCCTGTGTACGCCCTCCGTGTGGTCGGGACACAGAACGCACACACCTTGGTCACTTGCAGCTCTGATGGTACAGTTTGCACCTGGCTGGTAAACATGCTCGCACAACCGCAGGTACTACTCGAATTGCCGGTCCCCCCACACCGAACCGTACTAATCGAGATACAGGAAACACTGGAACTACTTCAGCCCGGGCACAGCAAGACAAACGAAGTAGCCATCACCACCCTCGACTTCCCAGCCAACGAAACCTCTACCTTCTGGGTTGGGACCGAGGAAGGAAGTATTTACCAAGCACATCGGTACGACCGAGCTGGCGTCAAGGCAGGTCTAAGCCAACAAGAAGTATACAAAGGCCACCATGGGCCAGTCCTCGGACTGAATTTCCACCCTTCAAATGGACCTGTCGACTTCTCCGACCTCTTCCTATCCAGTTCGGGAGATTGGACAGTGAAGTTGTGGCGTGCTCGATTGGCGGGGAAGCCTAGGTCCCCCAAGACTACAAACCACCTTTCACCACTTCATTCATTCGACCAAGCAGATGACTACGTGTACGATGCCAAATGGCATCCTACTCATCCAGCACTCTTCGGAACGGTCGACGGCTCTGGCAGGTTCGACATATGGAACTTGAACATCGATATTGAGGTGAGGACTCTTTCACTACCCGGAATTTTCATCTTCTGACATCCACGGTAGGCCCCAGTAGCCTCTGCGACAGTTGGGTCTGGACGAGGTCTAAATAAAATCGAATGGGATCGGAAAGAAGGTAGACGGGCTGCCCTCGGCGGAAGCGACGGTCGCCTCTACATCTACGATGTCGGCGATATGGCTGCTCCACGCGAGACGGAATGGGTGGACATGCAAAAGGTCATCGCAGGTATGTTAGAAGGACAGATGAATGGTATTACAGATTCTCGACTATAAGAGGAACAATGGGGGCAGCTATACTATACATTATACTACAGGATGCTTCTTCAATTTCACGGCGAGCAACCGATTAAGCGCCGTTCTCTTCAAGAACCTCAGCTGCATGTTGCTTGGCAGCCTCCGAGGTTCTGGGATCTGGACAGAAAACCATGTTAGATGCCCCGTCAGAACCACATAGACAAGACAAGCACTTACTGGACAAGGTGGCCTTGTATCCGGCTAGCACTCGGGTGTTCTGGGTACCCCCGCTGTTGCCAGATTCTTGACCGAGAACCTCTCGAGCATGTTGCTTGGCTTCCTCAGAGACATTGTCATCTATCGGCATTTGAGTCAGGAAACACTAGTGAACGGAAGCAACCGAGTCTGCTTACTCTTCAAAGTAGCCTTGTAACCAGCTGTCGGTGCTTCGTTAGTATTGGCCAACATAAATCGAGCACCAAAAGCCTTACCTCGCTGGCGAGTCGAAAGTCCGTCATGATCACCAGCATCGTTACTGGATCCTGAGTTCCCGCCAGGCGCATCGTAACCCATCTCCTGAAGCTTCTGAATGTCGCGCTGCTTGGCTTCCTCGGAGACGTTAGGGTTGTTGATAGCTGCCTTCAAGCCGCGAGCAACGTTGCCGGGGTCTTTCTGATCGTCTACTCGAGAAGGGCATTGGGTAAGAGAAAATAACACCGAGAAGGACGAATCAACTCACAGTTGGACATGTTGGTAATGTGATATGAGCTTGAAAAGTACAGGGAGTTGCAGTTGGTTTGTATTGGTTTGTCGGAAAGGGTCAGGATCGTCCCTCATTTATACCAATTCCCAACCATTGCATCATCATTTATTGGGAGGACAAACAAAGTGGAGAGTTGGAGCCAAATGTTAACAACGTCCTCCTTCGCCGCTTGTTGTCGAGGGCGAACAAGAGCTCGTAACCAGCTGGGGATCGCTGCTACTCCACAGTTACGTCGGAAAGCAGCGGGAGAAGGATTGCGATCAATCCGTCGAAGCGAAGCGTCACCAGTGGCGAGAACGACCTCGGTGACGCCAGAGGTGACGAAAATAACGGCAACGGCAAGCTGGAGTCCACCCACGAGCCCCGGCGTTGGAACATTTTGGGCAACTCCCGACGCTATGAAACCAGTATCGCCTTTGACAGGTTGTCCAAAAGAACCAAGCGCGACCCTTTCAGAAGACGTATTCCTTCTGAAGTACGCTGACCTCCCTTCCAGGTTTCGTGTTCGTACTTCCATATGTCCAGCGCCGCGCGCACATACATGCTTTTGTTGGCAGGATGGTACACCTTGATATAATCAAGAGAAGATAGCGGAGAGGAGCACGAAGTTCGGGCGGATGTCGACGCAGAGTCAGCAGAGGTGTGACTATCCCCGTCTTTCGTTGTGTTTTCTTGATGGACCGACGCGCTGATTTCTCTGTTCAACTCCGCGTCGGTTTGGGTCGAGATATTGGCAGAGCGGGCAGCATGGAAGCTGAGTCCAAGCGCACCAACACGCCCACCTTCCTGCAAACTCGACAAAAATTCCCAGAACGCTGCGATTGCCGGTCTTGTCCAGTATATCGGTTCCTGACTTTTGAGAGGTGCCGGTATAGGGCGGACTGCGTGGATGTCGGGGTCCAGAGGATCATGAATGGAATCGTCGAGAAGATAGGCCGAGGTCGCGTCGCGCCATGGCAGCGTTCCGCGTAGAGGGATAATCCATGCTGCACGGTCGTATACATTCGGTGGAGGTAGGGGGTCGCTATGGGGTGGAAGACAAATCGGCGGGAGGCGTTTGTATTCACGAATCTTCGTTGACTCCGATTGAGAGGGACTCAGGATGGGCGTCGGACGGATATGGGGCTGTGGTGCAGAGTTAGACAGGGCTGTATCCGGGTGTAGTTGCACATACATGTGGAATAACATCGTGTAGGAGACCGTAAAACGTCTTCCTCCGTTTGGGCGACGGGGCTTCCCCCTTACTGGACGATTCCTCCGCGTCTCGCGTTCGTTTTTTTGAGGGGCCGGCAGTCGAGCCAGCACTCGCACGGGCGATTTCCTCGCCTTTGTACTTGGCCACTTTGACATGCACAAACTCTTCCAACTCGTTGAGAGACCACAGCTCGTCGTTTGTGACAGGGGCACCCCATTCCCGGAGCTCGAGCGGACGAGAAGTAGTGACCCCAGGGATCGTAGGAGGTCGATATCGAAATTCAAATACATTTCCTATGCGATATGAGTTGAGTGTTCACCTTTATAGGGCTAATCACTTACCTGACGATCCTGGCCCCTTTTTCTCCCATTCAACATCCTTCCAGACGCCAACTCCGCAATTCGCGATGCAGGATTCAACCAAAGCCCGCGCCTCCGCAACCAAAGAGGTAGGCGAGGGTCTCGGAACCGTCCTTCCTTCTCCCTCCAAACGTCCTGTAGGCGGCGGGGACGTAGACCGCTGCGGGGTGTAATTGTGAACGGTGACATTGGGCCTGAGTGCTCGCTGAAGCTGCGATTCCACAGCTTGACTTGAACTAGACATCGCGTCCTCCAGGTTCCAGATTCAATTAAGCAATTTTTCGAGAGATTCTGCAGCCTTTGATGCCTTCATAGTCGTCGTTCTGCCATAGCCAAGCAATTCATTGTGGAGGACATGAATCGACTTGAATCAACCCCGAACCGTTTCTCACTTTCTTGGGCCTCTTGATGCCATCACGCAATTTCGCTCACGATCATCGCATCGTGAAAACACAGCCACCTTCGTCGCGGGCGCTAATTTGGAGGAGGGCTTAACTTCTGACTCAAAAGAGAACACAGTAAGGATAGGTAGCATATACAATCAGAGATATATACATAGAAGAAATCCCCTCGACCACCCGTTTAATAAAACTCCCATTTTGTCACAACCTCCACAAACATCCCTCAATCCCTACCGAACTCGTCAGCCATTCCATTTCTAGAACCACCACAGAAAAAGAGTTATTCTCACCTTCCCGCCCAGTAGTACCGATTATTCATATACCTCTTCGAAGGCTGTTGAGGAGCCACCGGTGCAGCAGCCTTCGCAGCCGCAGCAACCGTCTTCCGCCCAAAGCCCTTGCGCCTCTCGACCCTCGTCCACCCCGCCTCGTCTAGTGCTTGTGCTTCTCGCTGATACATTTGTGAATGAGCAGTCGGCCTGGGTGCAAGAGTGGGTGTAGTATATCTGCTAGTAAATGGGGCAGCCCTCGCGTTGAGTTTGCTCGCAGTCGTGGACTGAAGAGACGTAGCGGTTCCCGGATAGACATTCCTGGCGGATGTCGCCGAAGATCCTTGGTTGTTGACAAATGTTATGGTTGTAGTGGGCGTAGACTGGCGACGAGATTGCTGGGATGTCCACGTCGAGGTTGGTGCTCGAACATTGGCAGTGTACCCATAGCCGTTGAAAGAGGTGTTTTGATATCCATAGGAACCAGGCTGTTGATACAAACGCGACTGAGTCGAATAGGCTTGGGGCTGTGTCTTACCCCGGTTCACGAGCGAGTACTTCTGGGATGTGGGGTTCTGCTGAATATCCCAGCCCTTCTTCTTCGGCAAACTCGGCATATGAGAAAGCGAAGGCCACTGAGTGGGGGAAGGGGTTCGCGGCGGGGTTTCGATGGATGTGGATGGAGGTGAATGGGAGCTGGTCTCCGGCCAATTCCAACTATTGGAATGTGACCACAGCTCTTCATCGGTTTGGAAGTAGCTGGTGGATTGCTGCTCAGCAAACTTCGCTTTGTTGGCCCACAACTTTGATGTATCGAAACCTCCCGACGCGCCCTGATACCTCGCCGGGACACGCGCACTTCCAGAATTCGACTGTGTCGAGAAAACAATGGAGCCAAACTGGAAAGAACTACGCCCGCGGTTCGGGCCCAGAACACCGGGCATGTCAGCCGAGCCAAACGAGACATCCCTCCAATCCACCCAGGTACGAGACTCCCCAAACATTCGCGCCCAATGGTTGGCGAGCCTCGCAACCAAGGTGTGATACCCAGATGTCCTCAGGAAGTCTCGGTTGGTGACGATGATCATCCCCTTCTTGCATCGTGTGAGGAGGACGTTGAGGCGATTGAGGTTGGACAAGAACCCGACTTCGTTGGTTCGCACGAGGGAAATGATAATGTAGTCCCGTTCATTGCCTATTCATGGAATGAGAAGGACGTGCCAGTGAGGAAGGCTCCACAATTGACACTGACCTTGGAAACTATCCAGATTGAACACTTTATCCTTCCAGTTAAGGTCGTTGACCGTGAGCGCCTTTTCGATGCGCCCTCGCTGCGCGTCGTAGGGAGTGATGACGGCGAATTCATGATGGTTGTAGTAAATCTTGATGAGGTTAACGACGGTCGATATCTCTCCCTCGTTCTGGGAAGCCCGTTATTAGGATGCAACTAGATTAGCGATGAATACACACCATCCAACTCCTCCCTGACATGGACTCGCGGCCATTGCCGGCATTCACAAACTTGATACAACCCGAAGAGACATCATCGTGGACAGATTCGAGTTGCCCTCCATATACCTCCTGGGAGATGAAATGTCCAAGTTGGACAGGCATTCGATCTGAAAACTATTAGCATCTCTCGATCACACCGAATCATGAAGGACAAACACTGGGTCTTCAACATCCATCGTCTCTCGTTCGTATTCAGGTGGGCAAGATCGAACACCGTTTTCATGGTCCGCACTTTCTCGTGGTTGAAGGGTGATACTAGAAAAGACGATGAGCATCTGTATCTACTCGCGGGGATCGTAGCTCACATTGACATGGGTCCCCAAAGAAGTACACCTTTTCCAAGTCCTTCTGGAATTTTTCGAAGAGGTGCTAAGCATACAGTCAGCACCGTTGTCCAACAAGGACGAGACAAACACGTACGAGAAACTCGAACACCCGAATCTGCGAGGCCTCGTCGACAATCAGGCGCTCCACAGGTACCAATTCAAACATCTTGTTCTGATCCAAGGCAGGATTGGAGAGGGTGCTCAGCGTCGACAAGATGACACACGAATCGCCGATGACACGCTCCAATCCGACAGGGTCTGTCGGGAGTTCGTCCGTGCGGATGAGCTTGGCCTCGATAGCAAGATACAAATGTTCATGCCTGTGTCGAGGTCAGCGTTCGAATAGTGACCAAGCCAACGGAGTGAACATACCATTCCTCGTAGAATTCCTTGGACACGATGATCTTGAAATCAACATCGCGTTTGAACAACGCGTTGGCGATATTCTTCACCGCAACATTGGAATGCGCGACGATCCACACTGGGCAATCGTGCATGTCCCAGATTCTAGAGATGGCAGCAATGGTGGTCGTCTTACCAGTACCAGGGGGGCCTAGCGAAGTGTTAGCTTCTAGGCAATCCGGCCTTATCTAGGGAACAACACTCACCATGCACAATGATCGACCTCTCGTCCGACCCGATAGTTTCCACTACCTTTCTCTGGGAGTCATTGAGATGCGCACTATGCAGAACAGACTCGACGCGGTATTGGTCCAGCCTCACAGAGTTGGCCGGAGGCTTGAACTTCTTCCAAGTTGGGAACCAAAAGAGACGGATGAAAGGGGATTTCTGGAACGACTTGGTGCCTTGGAGGACCGATAGAAGCAAGAACTCTGCAGCTCTCTCCGAGTTTGTGAGTTCCTGCCGGCCTATAACGTGCACGCTTTGAACGTCGTTGAGGTTCTTCATGTTGAGCGCGGAGAGGGTCGTGGTCTTTCCTCTCATACCAACGGCCCGAGTGGTATGCTCTCTGCCCGAGGTCGTGGTGATAACAACAGCCTTCAGGGAAGGTCAACCGATGGTCGACGCGTAAAAAACGAGCTTCTTACCTGGCGAGAACTTCTTCTAACACGCGTCTTGAATCGATCATTCCGTAATTCGAGTTTCCCATCCTTGCGCTTCGACAAGCTGTTGAACTCATTGCGGAATTCTCGTGGTTTGAGTTGATCAAGACGATGAATCTCGGCGACCATTGCTTCCAGGCATTCCAGTTCCTGGGCTTGGGTCAGCCATCTTTCGCGTTGGAAACGACGGGACAATGGCTTGCCTTGGGGTTCAGTCGCGAAGTATCCACGGAAATTGCAGACTTGATTTCAGTACACAGTTCGCCAACGCTGTAATACACCGGTCAGTTTACGTAGAAGGTGGAGGAAGCGGTATCATACCATTGAGAGAGCCATGCTCTCATTACAAAAGCCTCTTGATCCTCCTCTCGATCCCAGTAGCCATTGACCCTCATGGCATCGATTTGATCAGAGACGCGGCGTGCGATAACCTTTGCAGGCGACCACGGTGCAAGGGCGTTGGGAGCGAGGATGGTACTGAGGTCATAGCCCTGCGTATGGCACCCAGTGTGCTGTCGGATGAGCAAGGCAACTCGGGCCATGTCGAAGGACACCAACACAAACTCGTTAGTGTAGTCTTCTCCCAGTTTACTTGGAAAAGGGGCCTTTCCCGATAGGAGATCACGAAGGGGTCCATCGACGGTCCCGAACGACCCGGCGACGTCGTTGAGCGGTACGGAAACAACCCTGTCGTTAATAGAAAAGCCCAGAGACACGACGTCCTGCTGGCTGTTGGTCTTCAGCGACACGCCTACAACGATGGGGGTTTTCCTGTACGGAAGAGACTCAAGCAATTGCTTAAGCTCCCTACCAGCCCATCGGCGAGAAAACTGTTGGACCTCGATTTTGGTTGGAAAGATGCCCGAAGTAAGAGTGCTCTGGTGAACGTGTGAGATGAGATTAACCCGACTCATCCTGTAGTCGGCGCTGCGATTTGCGACTCGCTTATCAGAAGAGAGACGATGGGCGGGAGGCAAATCGATGAGAGGGTCGGATTGTGGGCATGACGTTTATATATCCAACGCGCACATGCTATCGGTGAGGCACTGGGAAGCATTAAACTTCATCAAAACGAGCCCGGGAGGTTCCCCTAGTCGGAATTCCTGTAGAGATCCTATCCCGCAGCAGAGAAGCCTGTGGCGGGATGGCTTTTGACTGAGGAAAGAAGCAGCAACCCGACGGATGTATAGAATAGCTCGGGAAGGAGAGTTCCTTGGGGCATTGTCGTTGTTCCCTGATCGAATTAGACGCTGAAACGATGACCATACGTGTCGTCAGTTCTGAGGTTAAGTCGAGTCTTTCGCGTTTACTTCGAGGCAACAAGTCGAGGGGACAGAGACAGGAGTGACAAGAAAAGATATGGTCAAGATTCCAAATGACAGAAGACGAAAGAGAAAGAAAGCCAAACGGACTCTGCGACAGGGTCACCTTTGAATTTTCGGAGATTGAAATACTTTCCCAGTTTGAATTGGCGAAAAGGTCGGCACACCGAGCTGACCGCTGACCGCGACGAGCAAGACGCTGGAAGACGAAAATCGAAATATTATACAGCGCTAAACCACATGCAAAGCAGACTGAAACATCATGCGAACCGAAAGGCTAGCCCCAAGTCTCCTCACCAATCTCTCTGGGCACCGATTCTCCGCTCGGGCCTCTCGCTGGATACTGGCCTCCTCCCAACGCCTGGCTCCTGTTCTGCTGATTGCCATACAACCCCGGATGCTCGTCCTCCCCTGCAAGTCGGACCCGTGCGCCTTGCTTCTTTGAGAAGAACATCCAATAGATGTACGAAGATAGCAAAGCCAGTGGATGCATCACCGTGAAGACGATGACCGTAATCTAAACCGCCGTAACGTCGTCTTCAGCGATCGAGTTCAACAGAACGAATGGACTACGCACGTAAACAGGACCGGGCTTCGGTCTGCGACTCCATATGCTGACGCAGATCCAGGTCGCCGCGACACACCACACGATGTCTCTCCTCAACAACACCACCAAGAACGCAACAGCATTTGTACCCATCACCACTCCAAATCCTGCCCAGGCGTGCCATTTGTTGTAATCTTGAGGTCCGTCCGGGGTTGGTGGGGTGTACGCAAACCCGAGCTTGACGCTATGAAGGTACGTGTTGGCAAATTCAACTTTCAAAAGGGGGCGAGAAACTCACAATAGACATAGAGGGAAGAGTAAAGCGAACGGCAAGACGAAGAAGAAGCGCATAGGGGCATGAATGAGTGCTGTGTCGAGCCACCGCGCGCTCGTTGGCCGGTGATAGACAAGGAGAGCGACGTTGGAGTACAGCAAAGCAACGAGGATAAGACCTTGCAGTATGGTGCATACGAGGAACCATTGCATGACCTGGAAAGCGAATGCTCTATCAGCAACTTCTCTAACACTCTTTAAGCACCACGCACCCAGGCAATCGCCCATAGACCCATGCAAACATTCGAAAATACCAGCGAATATCCGACCCCTTTCACGAGCGTTTTCTGTCCATCCAACGTTAGATCGTCATTCTACAAGCTATGAAATTCGCACCTTTGTATCCGGATTATTCGCGGTCACCAATAACAGGCAATACCCAATCTGGCCCAACATTATCACTCCAACGTACGAAGCAATGATACCGAAATTTGGTGAAATCGCCGTTGGGTGTAGCTTCGAGATTCCATCTGCAACACCAGTTCAACCTCGGCGATGTCAAGGACCAAATTCTGGCTACGCACTGATACTGGGCGTTGAGACCGTCGCACAGACGATTACACAAGCGATATTGATGAGCAGAGACAAGGGAGTGAGGACTTGGAGTCGAACAAGCGACAGATAGTCGCGTACAGCTGGGTGGGACGTGTCCAATGGTAGTGCGTCCATGGTGGTGAGTGTAGGGAAACGAATCGACCGGGGTGGTATTGGTATTCCTGTCTCTTGCTCCGATGATGTCACCGTGACGATGGCCCAAATACAATCACCGAGTACAGATAGTCGAACTGTATTGCGACTACCTACTAGAGCGTTGCTACGCCCTTAAACTACCATTTTTCTGGCTTGGTGGGCTAAAGCTGGGCTCCAGTGGTTAGAACGGGGGCCAATACACGAGATGTGCACGTGGTTAGGGTTAATTCTCAATAAGCGCCCGTCCTTCCTTCCTTTCGGCGCCATAATGCCTCGGACGTGGAAGCTCTTTACGTATGCAAATGTCAAACGCGGTGATAGTACTCAATTACACTACGAGCATAGACGATGCATAGAAAACGCTCACTGTGTACTCCACTGCCCGAGATCGCAGCCATCGCTGCGCCTGCAGGCGGCTTACAACGCCTAACTGCTCGCGCACCCCCTCGTCCTTCATTAACCTGCCTTGATTGAAGTTCCGTTCTAATTGACGCACAAAAATGGTGTCTTAAGCAGCTCCCTGGAATGCTTGTGTGGGCTAACACGAGATTCAGCGGTCCCGTCCCACACGTTTCAAAAACATCAAAGGGTGAGACCGAGCCGAGGTGTGCATCCGACATACGCATGGAGGTACCGATGACCGCAAGATTGCCTTTAAAGTGTTACGGAGGTTTCTCCCTATTTCTCCGCATTTTCATTCCTGACATGGGAGACGTAACTACACGCGAGGTAGAAATGCTCTCTTCTCGGTGTTCTTAACCCCGGATAAACTATTTAAGCGACCCGACGATCCACTCGAAGATCCAATTACTGTTAGGATGCGGCCTTCCATCGCACTTGCCTCCGTCATGAGAACGATCTGGGGTCGTTCCCACCAAATTTGGAAATTTATCATGCGCTTCGGTCGGCCCCATGCGATAAACTCTACGATTTGCCGTGCGTTGCAGTCGCCCCCCATGCACCCATGACGACTCCATTAGCTTTAGTCCTTTGAAAAACGTTCAAAGTACCACTTGGATAAACAGTCTTGGCGGGATCCTATGGTCACCTCGACGTACAAATGGGTTCAAGTTCGGATGAACCCTGGTTGAACGTCCTCCCCGAACATCGCTCTCTGGATTTTCTAGTCATTTCTCTCGCAGTATAAAACGATGTGTTACTCTTCACTAACCCCACAAAACCCAGTCAATCACATCCAGTAACATGCGCGCCGTTACTGCGTTCTTCCTCCTCCTCGCCGCGACCCTCCAGGGCGTCATCGCCGCCTCCACCCCCGGCTGTGGCAGGAGCCCACCCTCGAGCGGTACCAAGAACATCGGCAACCGACAGTACATCCTCCAAGTCCCCGCCAACTATGACCCCAACAGGCCGTACAAACTCATCTTCGGCTTCCACTGGCTCGGTGGCAACATGAACAACGTCGCCCCAGGCTACTACGGTCTCCGTGCCCTCGCAAACGAAAGCGCCATCTTCGTCGCACCCAACGGCCTCGACGCCGGCTGGGCCAACACCGGAGGTCGCGACACCACCTTCGTCAACCAGATGCTCACCGAGCTCAAGAACAGCATGTGTGTCGATGACACTCAGATTTTTGCGACTGGCTTCAGCTACGGTGGTGGCATGTCCTACTCTCTCGCTTGCTCCAACCCTCGTGAGTACCGCATTCAAGTTGTAGATCGATTGATCATTGACTCGGGCTTTTCTCTTTAGGTGACTTCCGTGCTGTCTCCGTCATCGCTGGTGCCCAGCTCAGCGGTTGCAGCGGTGGCGAGACCCGAGTTGCCTACCTCGGTATCCACGGTGTCGTCGACTCCGTCCTCAACGTCAGCGCAGGCCGCCAGCTACGTGACCGCTACCTCCGTGTCAACGGCTGCCAGTCCAAGAACGCACCCGAGCCCCCTCGTGGTCCCGACAGCAACTACATGAAGACCGAGTACTCATGCGCTGCCGGTTACCCAGTCTGGTGGATCGCTCACGGTGGTGACCACGTCGCTCAGCCCAGCGGACAGAACTGGATGGCCACCCAGACATGGGACTTCTGGACCCGTGCTATCTATGAAGGTGTTGAGAACCCCAACCCTCCCACCAACCCCCCTCCGACCCAGCCAACTCAGCCTCCCACTCAGCCCACCAATCCTCCTCCGGGTAACTGCGCGGCTCGCTATGGTCAATGCGGTGGCCAGGGCTGGAACGGCCCTTCATGCTGCCAATCTGGTGCCAGCTGCCAGGTCGTCAACCAGTGGTACCACCAGTGCCTGTAACTCTCTCCATAACTCCAACTTAGTTAATGCCGATTCGCCTGTACATCCATACCCACGCAAATTGTATTCTCGAACTTCATGTTTGAAAGACGATGTCATTGTATTGAATCATCCGGCCTATGCACACAAGAAATTGGCATGGGAGGGTTTTTGCTTTCATGTGTTTTTCCGAATTCCATAGCCTTCTATTACCCCGTTCCACCATGATTCCTTAGAGCTCAGAGTCAGAAGCTCTCGTCGAGTAAGTCTGCACTTTTTCAATCATGTCAGGATTCCTCCAGAGAGCCAGAGAGATCACACCATAGTATATCCGTCTTCCGACTCGGATGGCATAGTCTTCTCAACTTGCATGGATACCAAGGCTCAACGATGCCCAAGGATCTCCCGAGTGGAGCAGAGAACCATAATCAAGCAGTCTCAAGATGGACAGGTCAGTGTGGCCGTTACATTGCCAAAAACCGTACAATACATGCTCCTCTTGTGCCTAGCTACACCCCTATTATCAGTACCAAATGTCGTCAGATCTATTAGTACGAAATCCAGAGAGTTGGTATCTGGGTATTAATCAAGAACTAAATAACAAGTAGCAGTAGCATAAAGTGTCAAACCCAGGTGTATGGTATACAAACAGATCATTTCTTCAACAACTTGAACAGCGCGTTGACACCATCGAGACCAAAGCCGTCAGGAGGGTAGCACACATACATGGGCTCGTGCTCCGAATCGAATTTCCTCTGCAAGCAGCAAAATAGATTAGAATGACGATGAAAGCCAACGTCAAGACGTCATCACTCACCCTGAACTCTCCCCTGTTAACCAACTTGGCCGACGAAGCCACCTTCTTATACGTCTTACTCAACGCCTTCACCTTCCATCCACCGAGGTTTTGGCCTGGTTCCAACTCGGGTGCAGCGCTGATACCGAAGGTCACCGCAACACGATCTTCATCCTGCAACGTCGACACCTCGCTTGACCGCTCGTGCGTGCGAGGTGTGGAGACTTCGGAAAGGTTGTTCGTGCTTGCGGGCGAGAAGACATCAGAAGACTCGCGCGATGACGGCGGCTCCACTGCGGTCGAGCTAATGGAGGCCTCCGAGGTGGCGTCAGAGTCTGCTGCCAATGACGATTTGATACCGTCGGCGAGTTTGGCGGGGTTCGGTCCTTTGCCATTGACAGATGACGCAGGGGTGGTAGGCCTTGACGGGTTCTCTTCGTACAGGTCTTTGAGAGCGGTGTAAATGAGTGCTTCGGATGTTCCCTTGGGTGCGTGAGGGAATGACACGGCGTTCTTGATTTGCCATGAACGTCCTTTGATAGGGGTGAGGATGAGGAGGCCAACGATCTACAGCGAATACATCAATACGGACGCCCTGCGTACAAAAACGGTATGTGCGTACCTTGAAGTCATCTTGCCTAGCGACCCAATAACGACGATGCTTCTCGTCAAGCCAAGGCTGCAAGCTCGTCGAAGCAAGTTGCAGGCCGCTACGGCTAGCCTTCCACTCGCCAATTCCATCTTCTACCGCCTTGCGATCCTCCGGTGTCCACTGGTCACTTCTAACCTCCGACACAGAAACATTGTACTTCTCAGCTCGATTGAGGTTCTTCTTCAAATCCTTGACGACGTGCTGGCCTTCTTGACCCTTGGCATCGGGCGAGGTGAGCTCAATGAGGTGAGCGGGATCGATGTAGTCCTCGTAGATACACGAAACTGTGCACCAACCAAACTCCTCGCCGCCGAGAACTTCTTCCAGGTCGCGGTCAACACAGGCCCATACGACGTGGAGACCTTGGCTTTCTCCAAACTCGATGAAAGCCCGTGCCGTAGCAGGGAGGGCTTCTGGAGACGAGACCAACGGGTTGCCCCAGCCGAAAATGTACTTGTCTGCCACGTGTTGTTGAGCGCAAGTGTTGCTATGCGGAGCACTAGAGGACGTACCTCTTGTCATGTATCCCTGAACAGGAACGAATTCAGATTCCGGAATGGGGACTTCAGGCCTCCAGATCTTGTAGCGCTCAAACTCGAGCCAGGCCGTTGCGCTGGACGAGCCGTACTGAGCGACGAGCTCGGCAATTGAAGCTTTGTCGTGGTTGCCTTGGGATTCAATGGTCATTGCTGGATAGCGAAAGCAGGATGCAGATTGGTGACGCCAGGGTAGAGCCGATGGACCACTTATAGTGGTCAAAGGATTAGTCTGACGTCATAGCTCGAGCAGAGGTCGGAGGGAGCGCTCCTCTGCACCTCGGTGTTCATCACCAATGACATGGAGCAGTGTAATGGAATTGCTAGTCCTTTGACTGCGGTATTGCGTAGAGGTCGAGCGTCCGAAAACGCGCACGGTGGGGCTAGGGAGCAGCTCCTGACACTTGCTTGAACATATATATAATCACGCTGGTACTGCTCGATCGTTTCGCCCGAGTCTTGTGTCGCCGGGAATCCATACCGCACTGAAGGTTGTGCCAAAATTACTTTTGACTTGTAAAATGCTTCCGGAGCAAGCACTGAGTGTATAAATAACGATGAGGCATTGAGGCTCCAGGGGGAAGATGTCGCAGCTGCATTCTTTCCCTGGAAAAATATAGAATCTATCAGAAATGAAAAGACACGCATTCGAGAGGCCAGACTCACTGAAGCTCGCTTCCGCAGCGCCAAAATATTCTCTGTTAGAAGTGCACGACTTCAACTCGAGACGATGTTTGCCTTAACGGAGTCTGAGGACAAATCGCTCAGCCCGGCCGTTCCATGACTTTTCGATTGAATTCCGCCATGGTAAAGGCAAGCCTAGATGCCTCATAAGCATGCAGAGAGGGGTGTCGCCAGGCCTCATGGCTAGGTGTTGGCTTGGGAAGAGCTACGTCGTCGTCGTTCTTGTCCAACAGCGCGCTTTCGACCTGACGAAGGCGCGATGCACAGCCACTAGATCACCTCGACCATACCAAACGCTGGTTCGAACACAAGGAAAGCAAAAAAGAAATTTGTATTTATAGTCTAGATTAGGTTCGTGTATAACGGAAGAATATCATCTCCACATCTAAATTTGAAGCACATCTACTATCGTTAATTCATCTTCTACTGCATAATGATCATCTAAAGAATCATACTTCGTCTAAAGCGTCTAGCAGTTGCCGCAAGGAATATGGTGAGGCATCTTGCTGACGGTAGCGCCACCCTCATACTGGGTGTAATCATCCTCGACGATGAGAGGAGTGTAGCAAACATCAGTCTTCTTGCCGTAGTTGTCCACAACAGGCTTCTCGCCAGTGAGGTCGATCTCGATTTGCTGGAGGGTCTGGCGGGTAGGATCGCTGAGGAGGTAGTTGTGGGGGCTGAAGACGACCGAGGATTGGGCAGTGGACATGAGGGTGATGGGGAGGTCACCGGTGTGGGGCAAGTGGTGCATGCCGAGGTCTGTGATAATTAAGTTAGACGATGGTGGTAGAAAGGGTGGAGAAAGGACGCTCACTGAACCAGAGGACGATATCTTCTTGCTCGAGGTTCTCGCCATCAAAGAACTTGCTGAAGTCGACGAGAGGCTTGCCGCTGTCCATGTTGTTGGTGCTGTGCGTCAAGTGCCTGGCAAGGGAAGCAGTGTCAAAACCGGAACCGGGATACCAACTAGGGTGAGTGAAAAGAAACATACCTCTCAGTGTCCTTCTGCTTGGTAACATACATGTGGTGGGTAGCGAAATGCATCGAATCCTTCACGATAGAAGACTTCTGGACGGTGGAGTGGATGGGAGTACCGTGGCCAGGCATGATACGGTAGCCCGGATATTCACCCCAGACGTTGGGAGCGTCCTTGTTGATGATTGCGTACATGTTAGCACCATTGGGAGCCCAGTTGATCTTCGCATCGTCTTCGCTCTTGAGGATGGAGCGTTCAACCTTCATGGTGCTGCGTTCACCGTTGGACCAGGGGTAACTCTCGACGGTAGGGACGAAGGATGTGGTCTCGAACGAGTTCTTGGTGCCCTTGATATCGAGATCAGCTTTGAAGGTGAGGACGTGGTCGTGCATGGAGCCAGAAAGGTGCTTCTGAATCTTGTAGCCATAGTCTTCATTGCCGTAGTAGTAAGTGGACTGGATGTAACCGGAAGCACGGACGGTGACTTCAATGCTGCCATCAAGAAGGAAACTGTAAGTGAAGGCGTAGTCGTAGTCTGTAATCATGTGAGTACTGGTGCGTAAGAATGAAGTCGAGATCACTTACTGCCGATGGTGGAAACAAAGCGGAGGTTGAAGACGATGTTCTTGGTGACGGTAGCCATCTTGCCGGTGGTGTGCCTTTGGATAGGGAAGCCAGCGTCGGACTCGAAGAGACAGATGCTGTCAAAGTTGGTGGTGGTGTTGCCGTTCATGTGAAGACTGGTGTCGAGATAGTCGGCGTTCCAGGGGCAGTCGTAGCTGAAGGCAGCAGGTTAAGAGGATGTCGAGAACGAGCAAACCCACTCACCCCTTGACAAGTTCATAGACATAGGGACCGAAACCGTAGTATGAATCCAAGAAGGCGGTGTGAGCGGACTTGGGGTCGGAGCCAGCATAATGAGCGAGAGCTTCCTCAAGACCAAGTTCGTAGAAGATACGCTCGCCCTTGTACTTGATGTCGTAGAGGGTGACAGCGACATCCTTGTTGAAACCGATGTAGAATTCAAAGTCCATCCACTTGACGTACTTCTTCTCCTTGTCGACGGTCCACCGCTTGTGTGTCTGGAATTGGGCGGGGGGAGCTTCGTAGTCGTAAGGGAGGATCTCGCCAGTGCGGTTGGTCATCATCGACTGGGTAACAAAGGTCTTCTCGGTCCTGACAAAGTCGGGCTTCTCCCAAGCAGCGCGGAAGGCGGCGGCGCTCTCGTAGAAGATACCACCGTAGTAGATGCCAAGTAACTTCCAGCCAGCGGGGTCACGACCAGTGATGTCTAAGAGACATGAGTAAGCATGTACGGAGGAGACATAGGAAGACCATCGACGTACCGAGCTTGAGGTAAAGACCCTGAGGAACGAGCGTTTCAACAGAGTGGACACCGACATCCTTGGGGGCAAGTCGGAACTGGGCCCATTCAATAATCCTGCCATCTTCCTCCCAAAGGGGGTCGATGGATTGCAAGCTGGACGTGGCGCTGGTGGTGTTGATGTACTGAGATGATGTCAGGACGTATGCTCCCAGAGGGGGCAAGGAGAGACTCACTGTTCCCAACAAGTCGAGGGTAATGTCCTGAATCTCTTCGCAAAGCTGAGCCTTCCACTTGCTGCGAACTGAGTTGTCGTGGCGGTAGTTGAACTGCTTGGACGTGCCCTTGTTGTAGTAGTATGTCAAAGGCTCGACCTTCGTCTTCTCGGAGACGGGGAGAGGTCCAACCTAAAGCGACAGGGAAGAAGTTAGGAAGTGAGAACGCGAGTCAATGGGGCAGAAAGACTCACAATCCAATCCTCGTAGTAAGGGGTCTCAGTCGCACCAAAAGAGATGGCGACACGAGCATACCGATCGGGGGGAGGACCGTCGCCATCAATGTAAGCAACAGCCTCGGTCTTGTTGGGCATAACCTGCTCGACGAGGTAGACGTAATTGTCCCAAAGCCCTTTCTTGTCATACGAAGTGAGGTTCAAACCGGAGGCGGGGTCATGGACGTAGCCGAGAACAGCGGTCACTTCCTCGTTGGTCAAACCGCCCCAGATGTTCTCCTTGGGAGCCTTGCCGACGAGCGTCTTGGGGGCAGGGCACTTGTCCCAGTTCTCTCGGGCGAAGACAGAGGCGAGACCGCGGCGTGAGTGCATCGAGTACGCATCGAGTTCCTCTCCAGTGCGCTTGGAATGCATGGAATAGGCATCGAGCTCTTCTCCCGTGCGCTTGGAGAAGGGACTGTAGCTGGGAAGTGCGGAGACGACAGACGAGCCAGCGAGAGCTGACACGAGAAGGGTGGAAAGCCACGTCATGGCTGGAGACCGAAGACCGTGCAGAGAAGACCGGTGAGTAGCAGTGGGGAAGATGAACTCCTGCTGAAGAAACCTGGCCAGAAACTGAAGGGCATTTATAGTACAATGAACCTAGGAGTCGGGTGCCGCCGCTGGGCGCAATGTTCTTCGATAAGCAGAAGACATTATCTGCCAGGCACCCCCTCTGGTAATCGGTGGAGGCTTATCGACTTATCTGGCGATACGACGATAGCAAATTTGCTCAAGATTTTGACCGCCTAAACACTTGAGGAGCCACTATCCGATTCGTGTTCTGTCCTGAGTTGTCCACGAAGCAGCATTCGACGAGGGACACATTGCCGGTGCCGATATATGGTGTCGACTAAACACGAAGAAAATTAGTACATACAAGAGACGCGCGCTTGCCAATTTCGCCAGCGGCGCTGTTTGCTCCTATTTGCTCTGTCGGCAACTGCACCCGCGTGATGCCGCAGGAAGGGGGGGACAAATGCCTGCGGGAAATGCCTCAGACTCGCCAGAGATTGTCGTGTTTCTCGATGAGATAAGATTCTCAGACTATGGGCAGCCAATCGGTGCACATCGAAGAGTTCATACCGGTCTAGATATCGATAACGCAGTGACGACTTGGATGACCGGTACCGTTTGCAATCTCAAAAGCCAATAGTCCCCACAGATATCGATAACCAAATGATTAGGCCCATAAATCCGCCCAGAAATGTTATGGCTGTGCGCATAGAGACATTTACGCAGCTTTTGAAGGTTGCCCTTCTAGCTGGGATCCAGGGAGAATCTCGAGCCCATCTCCGACACAGAGTATCGAGAAATGAGAATTGCGGTGGTCGTGAACCAATGGAGACCTAGTGGGGCTTATCTATGGCCGAAAAGGTATGTTTGAAATAACCGATTTCCTTGCAACTGAGTCCGGAGCGCCAAGCGCGTCGGCAGCCTTGCGAAGCCTCGAACCAAAACGGGAAAGATGCCAACCATATTTGGGTATGGCCTCCCTTCTGGGTGGAATGGTCAGGGTTAGTCTGACCTGGTTCATTTCGGATAAAGGGGTAGGTGGCTCAGTACCCGTACCTCCCTGACTTTAAGACTATTTCCTTTCAATTTCTTACTGTATAAGTACAAACCTTCCATATTTGATCTGTGGATGTGACAGGACGTCAGTGTAGATGGTGTGTTCAAGTGACTCGAGTCGGGGAACTTCACGCACGGCACCTCCTAAGCAGCTTCCATCGGTCAGCATTCTATTTCTGTTTCGTGATATGGCATTTACGCTCACGCAATCATGCGGTCCATTACTCCCATTCCGATGTTGTCGTCTTCGCTTTCGGTACTCGTACTACATCGTTCTCGCTCCGTTCTGAATTAGCACATCTCTTTCTCTAGGCCAGTCCGACCTCTCGGCAGTGCTGGTAATGGAGATGAGACATGCGATGCAATGATGTGCTCAATACATTGTCGATCACGGCCGCAGTTGGTGGTCCAAGCCTCGACAACTCGAATCGTTCTTCGAGTACCGGCTTCTGCCTAATTGACAAGTATAAGCCCAGAGATTCAGAGGTTCCTGGTACCGCAGGTGCGTGAACTGCTGAGCAGCAGGAATGCCTGACAGGATCTCTTATCGAGGCTCTTCTGGTGATGGCATCATTTCATTAGCATTCTGCTCATCTTCTGCCAACTGCCGCTAAACCTCCGACATGAGCGCTCTCAGCGGTGATTCAAGTTCAAATGTTAAACTGTTTGTGGGCGGAGGAGCACTGGCCGATCTATGGAACACGATTTTGGCTCTTTGTGGGTGACAGCTATTTCAAATTCATCTTCAAATTCATCTTCTTTCCCGTAAACGGCGTACACACTGCATGCTATTCTCGCCAGCTAGAATCTACCGTTTTTTTCCTTATTCGTATCCACATATGTTCTATCTTTTCTCCCCCGTTGATTAGTATACCGTAACGAACAGATCATCATTCTTCAGGCTTTCTCGGTCTTACCGTATGGCTAAGTTCACTGTCGTGTCAGATAACCCCTCCGACCGAGGTGTTCAAAAGGGCACCACGTATTCCGTAAAGATGAAGCCTTCCAACCCTTCTCCTCACCGCTCGTGCATACGGCGCTCAGTAACACTCTTTTCGTAACCCTCACAACCATAACTATCCCCGACCCAAAGCGACTCCAACGGCCACAGCCTGAGCGCATTTATAATGCCCATCAGTATCACCGCGACCCTGAACCACCTCAGGCAAAAGCGACGCAAGTCTCAACTACGGCTCTCGACTTCTGCCCCTCCACTATGGTCGCTCGGGAACATGGACTTCACTGAATTCGACCCGGCCAAAGACTGGGTGAAAAGCATCGTCGACCAACTCTCCGTCCCTGACGACAAGTACCTCGGCCTCAACGAGCTCTTCGACCCCGCGCTCGTTGAGTTCTATGTCGAGTCTTCCGAGCCTGCCGCCAACAGTAAACCTTCCTCCTCTCCGGGAGGGGATGCCACGGAACCATTGGACAGACTGAGGAACCTCGTCCTCGCTGTCGAGTTCCACCGCTCACCGGCCAAAACGGACGTTTTCTGGCACGGCGTCTTCACCGTCGCAGAGGAGCGCCAATGGCTACGGAAAGCTCGAGGAATCTGCAACGCATGGGCAGAGCTCTACCTCAACGGTGTGCCCTCTGACATGCACCCTCGGATGCTCACTGGTATTGCCGGCGCGCCGAGGGACGACGAGTGGGTCGCAGCCTCCCTCGCTGCAGGGCGCTTATATTCCTTGGGGTACGGCTACTCGTCCTATTCCTGGGATAAGCTCATGCAGGGCCTGGGCGACCGCGCCAACTGTGACAGCATGCGCCTGGGATCATGCGTCCAACTTCTCGCCGGCGGACAGAAGATCAAGCAGTGGATATACGGAACAGGCCCAGTCTGTGAACCTGGCAAGTTCGCGGGATGGCTGCAGAAGCCCGAGAAACCCTTCGGTGAAGCCTTTTGGCAATCCATACTCGACAACCTCGAGACACAGCAGGTGCATGCGCTGTCTCCTCAAGTTTCAGAATTACTCAAGGTAGGTCAATCACGGTTATTTTTGTGTTGCCTTTGCTGACTGTGAGGTGCACTAAAAGGCGACTCGCGAGCACCTCATGAACGACGGCCCCGATCTGACGAGCGAACAAGTCACTGAAATTATCTGGCCAAAGCAGCTGCTGGAGGAACTGAAGGAGGTACCAGAAGTACCCGATGAAAGCCCCAATCGAAGCTCTGATGCGACAGAGTCACCCAGTCGGCCTGCATCACCAACATGAAACCCTGACACACCTACTCACTTTTTTACGTTCCATTGCTTCTTGGACTGGTACTTTCTAATGCTAATTGCTTTGATATCTCTTATTGATACCCTAGGACTTGCTGAATCATGCCATTGTAAACTTGGTTATCTGTATAAATACTCGATCACTATCACCATGCACTGCGCCGCAGTGGGCCCCAGCCACGCCGTACTCAGCCCACTCCCCGCAGGTCGGTACCATAACCGCAGCCCTTTGTCCAGAACCACCACCATGAAATCATTTTCGCCTCACTCCATATTCCTCATGTTGACTTTCGTCCTCCTCTCAGCCTCCATAGCAAGCGCTTGGAAACGCGGGGAGTGCGAGAGCGACGACGACTGTAAAGGGTTGAAACGAAAGACAAAGTGTTGCTATACCAGAGCGGTAAGTCTACCCTAAAACGCCAAAAACATGCGGCACTGGTGTTGACGAGACGCCACTAGACGAGAGGAGAGCCACCCGGAAAGTGCATGACGAAGAAGATGTGCTCGTTGGTCTCATAGTCGGACTCGAGCACAGTTCCTCAGCAATACAACACACCAAGCATGCATTCCATACGCAATCTCCAAAGGCGGGCCACACAATCATATCGATGGGAGAGGTACCAGGAGGAGGGGTAGTCATCCACCACCGGGTACAGGGTGCAACCAGAGTAGACGGGCATTAGGCGGGGGCGATCAATCAGAATCGCGATGCAATGTAAAGAGCATAACGTCAATTCTATAGTGCGATGGTCTGCAGTAAGTGACAGACCAAGTGAGCTAGATACAACCCAACCACTAAAGTTGGGTCGCAATTCAACGGGGCATAGGGGGCGGAAATGTACAGTGTACAACGGGGGTGTCCGTAGGGATAGCGAATTGGATGAAGCTAATCGAAAGCACAGGTCCAGCGAGTCCAAAGCAAGATGAACAAGTACTTTAGAAAGCGGGTATAAAGCGATGTGGAGAAGTGGGGTTAGAAGGTACGACTCGGTGGTACGTTGCGGATGTCCAGCCAGGGAAGGTTTTAGTATCGCACACGAAAGGTGTCCGTAGTAACTACAAGGGCCATTCTTAATCAAAAAGAACAAGAGGCCCAAAGAGTTCAAAAGTCGCGAAGAAAGGTATCGCAATAATGATAGGTCGAAAAAAAGGGAAGAGTCCAACCCGGCTGGCTGATGAAGGTAAAAGGGTGTCCAATGCCCATGCATGGATGTGAAAGGACGAGTGTGTTCATCATGATATGTACATCGTTGCGTCGGTCGTGGCCATCGTCGCTATTGTCGTGAGGTCATCATCCTAGTCTGGGGGGGATTCATTTAGAAAACAAGCAAGACGGCCAGGCTGGCTAACAACGACAACCGCACGGGTGCAGTTGTGAAGATAGCAGAGCTCTCCTCGATAGAATCGCTGGTAGGTGCCGGTTCTGTTGCTGAAGATGCTGAAGCTGGTGTCGAACTGGATCTTGCGCTTCCAGCAGAAGGGGCGGACGAGGCTTCTTCAGACGCAGAGGAAGCGGTTGTGGGAGCTGGAATCCTGGAAGTAATGAACCCTGAAGACGTAGGCAATGACGATGAGCTCGACGAAGGGGATGGAGGTGGAAGTTCTTCTTCTGGAGAAGGCGATGGCGTTGGTTCAGGATCCGACGGAGGAACGGGTGTAGAAGTGAAGGAGTCACTCGTCGTAGGTGCAGTTGGGGAAGGTGCACCAACAGTGATAGTCGATAGAACGGTCGTAGACGGACGAGGGGTTGTCAGAGAAGAGGGGACGGGTATCGATTCGACGGCAGAGGGTAATGGTTCCTCAAAGGAGCCCGTCATACGATCAAGACTAAAGTGTATGGCCGATTAGATAGTTCAATTGAAGATCCATCGACTTTTGCTTACCGGAACCAAGGAGACCACGACGTGTAAGGGCCCGTCTCATTAACCATCAACTCCACAGACGTGAACGCGATGTAACTGAAAGATGGTCAGAATAGGTTTATTCCGGAGCGCTAGGGAAACATACTAGGCATCGGAGTCGGGTCCCGCAGCAGGATTGGGCTATGACGCGAGGTGGGCATGAGTTGGAGCTTGAACGTCACAGGTACGACTTACAGTGAAAGTGAGCGAACGGACGGCGCTCACGTCAACTGGCTTCAATCTTTGGACAAGTTGCTGTAGAGTGTGATGAGAACGATACTGGAAGAAAGACGCAACCTCAGACGCACCTGGTCACCAGTATAGAGTCCAACAGTGACAACGCCGATGGCAGATAGTAATGGAGCTCGTCCATCGTCCAACCAAGTTACAGTGCAGGGCTCACCGCCATGGCAGGTGGAGCCGCTGAACGGTTCTACGACCTAGAGAGTGATCCAGGTCAACCCAGAAGCCTTTGCTTAAGCGCCAGAATACCCACATAGAGACCGGCTTTCACGAGCGTTACACCATGAAAGGCCAATAGGAAGGTTACCAGGGTAAAAAGTAGCGATTCCATTGAAGAAAAGAATGTGGGGTTTTGGTTCGAAAAGAGCGTATTGTGTGTTGAAAAAAGTTGGTGCTGATGTTTGAGTTAAAAAGCTTGAGGTTTTCTTGAGATTTTCGACGAAAAGCTAATGCATAGGCAGAGCGGGAAGGAGAAAGAAGAAGACAAGGGAAGAGAAGGCCGTAAAAGGTCGTTGCACACTTTTCGTGGTCGTCGTCGTCAAGTTCAGTCCCGCGTCATCTCCACAAATCAACCATAAATAGCCGCCAAGCCACGTGCCCAGCCAACGGGCGCACTCTCCGTTTCTCATCCGTTCCGATCCAAAAATCGTCTCGCGCGACGCGAACCATGTTGCAAGCCTGGATCGCAGTCTTTGGCACTGAGCCTAGGGCATTGGCGCTCATTGGCGCTCTCCGACGTCGACAAAAAGCGCAGTATGAAAGCATGACGGCCCAACTGTCGACAAGCGCTGAGTTGATGTGGGATGGTCAAGTAACCATCAGAACGAGATGAGAGAGCGAGACGGCAGCAAAGGGATGATAGATTTCACACCAAGATCATGTTTTCAGTGCTGACAGCGAGTCCTGACTGAAGAAATCATCGGTCAGAAAAGTCCTGCGTCTGAGCTTCCTTTTTCAATGAAACATTTACCATGATATGCTCAGCGTGTAATTAACGGAGGCCGTGGCATCTTGGGCTCTGCGATTCGCGAGCATGGAGAGAGTCCAAGCCAGTTGAGGAGGAGGGAGTGTTGACGAGGGCTTGAGTTTTGACTTGCTGGTGATTCACGTATGAGGGTCTAGAGGGAGGTGAAGGCAAGGAGAGAGTGCATGACTGGTCTCGATGCTGGCATGCATGGGCGGGGGGTTGAATGTTGCCCAATGACGACAGGGATCTCTGGACTCCTGTCCAGGAAAGAACATCGAAGCTTCTCTGCAAGGCTCTCCTTTGCTATCTCGGATGCACATTTTACAAAGAGGGAAAAAAATGCTCTCAGCTGAGAAACGGGGGAAAGATCGCTCCTGGCTGTTAATACCCTCCACGTCAAACTCAGACAGAAAGGACCACCGCAATAATTCATCAACCATAAATCGACTGAACCTCGACCCATGATATCAAGGTTGTGTCACCAATAATAGGACTTCAGCGCTCACTTGTAAGGGCATCATGCAGCCTGAGACAGACTTGTGACTTTACAGCGCCCATCGAGGGTTTATGTCGTCGTTTCCGAGTCACCCAATCAAAGGATTTCAGGTAACTGAGAACCTGAGTCGATTGGGAAGTTGCAGAGATTCTGGCGATTCCTGCCTCCGAATTCGTTTCATCCTGTGAGGCTTTGGAGTAGGAAGTGGGCGGTTATCTACAGAAACGCGAGTCCGACCCAAGAAAGCTACTAAACGATTCCAAATGGCTGTTGAAGCACATACTCGCAAATGGACTTATCTTTAACGGAGAGCCATGAAGTCTAAACTGGACTCTGAAACCCATGTGCCAGTTCATATGTTGTGTTTTTTGGAGAGTACTGAATTTGAATCTGAGGGCGCGATCAATACGATGAGAAATAAGCGCCGTCCATCAGACGCGAGGTGATGTCAATCGAAGGCTGTGATCGCAGGTCTACCACCAACCGCCACCATCTCAAGGTCCAAGATGCAACTTGGAGCAGAAGACACAAGCTCCATAGAACTCCTCTGCAGTCTAGCCGCCGTCGATACAGAAACTGCGCGTCGGGTCTTCCACAAACATGGCGGGGACATGAACAAGGCTGCGGAAGCGCTGTTGGGGGGAGATAAAGGCGAAGACCACTGGTCGACCCAAGTTCAACGCCATAACACCCCGGAGAGCAGCTATTACGAAAATGCACCAGGACCTCCGATACAAGTTACACCTGCGCCAGCTGGATCCGAGATTGACTTGACGGGAGAATCGGACCCGTATCAGACGATTCCTGCAGCTAGTTTTGGTCCGAGTAACAGGGCTCCAGATCCAAATTGGCAAATGGTGCCATCCAACGTACGTTTCTCTGACCCGTCTGTGGACCAAATACCAAGATGCCCCATATAGCTTGCAGTATCATCCACACCCGCTGGGATCAGCCAAGAAGACCAGAGTTTGAACGACGCAATAGCAGCAAGCTTGAACGATTTCAAGTCCGAGGAGAAAGACACATTTGAACTGACTCAGCATGTTCGTGAAGGGGGACGGTATGTCTGCTTTCAGTGTTCAATTGTCTGGTACTAAGAGCCCATCAGGCCTGTCGCGCTGCGACCTGAATCTCCTTCATTGGCCTGCGCCGCACTAGTTTGTTCTTCCTATCCAGCAACAACCCTTTGTCGTACTCAACGCGCGGATAGGTGGTTCAAGCACTATACCATGTCCCTCAAGTGCGAGCAGCCGTTGCGCAAATCGGTTTACCTGACGTACCCTCGGACGTCGCTCTCAGCCATTCTGGTACGTGTGGAAAGCTTAACTGGCCCTACGCTGCTGATGGCTGTTGCTAGTTCGTGCTGTCTGGAACTTGGTCGAGCTCTTTACGAACATGGACTTGGCGCAACTGGCTGTTATTGTCGACGTGGAGGTGTTACCATCCCTCGTGAAGGAGGAAGAGATGGAGAAGACGGGAGATAATCCTTCAGACCGTGCGGCTGGTGTGTTGATTCCCTTCTCATTTAGTTTGATCAACCGTGCTGAGATGAAGAAGCCATGCTGAATAACCTTGGCGGTACACTGGAAGAATACCTCTCTGCCCGGACTGAATTGTCATAGGTCTCCGCCACTTCTTCAGAATCGTACTCTGACATGTAGAAAACAGAATCCCCCTCTTTAACTTCACCCATGTCAACGTCGAGCTCATTAACCGCCTCCCTCGGAAGGTCAGCCGAACAACAATTGGTGGGATAGTCAAGATCGAATTCGATGGAACCGAGAACGATTTGATTCAACGGCTTTCCTCCATCCTCTCCCGCTATGAAGAGGGGAAATCGTCACACGACGTTATAGTCGACCCCTCGCAAATGCTTGCATTTAATCTTTCTCGACATGTCGCCTCGACCGGAACTACACAACGAAAGGCGGATGCCGTCCCACTGAACTATCCTAAGACATTCTATCTGGATAGGTTCATGTTCCGAAACCTCGAACTGGCGAATCGAAAGAAGGCGCAGGAACAACAATACCAACGGGAGATCCAAGATCTGACGAGTCAGAGGGAGGCGCTTACCACGTTCGATGTACGTCCCGCCCATTCATATGGTCATTCGTCGTCTGATTGTTCTCTTTGAAGGGCCGGGACGCGATACAAGATTTGAAAAACTCGATCTACTACTACGAGAAAGTAGCCCACGCGAATGGCGACCAAGCGCGGCAGCAAACCTTGGACTATACCGTAAATCAGCTGAAGGACGTCTTGACCATGGTTGAAAGCAAGGTAGAGGGTAAGTTGGCTATTGCGGTATTCGACGATTTGGACACTAGAAGCTTATCCGTCCAGGTATTGATCGCAGGATACAAGAGCTAGAAGCGCTAGCTGCGGATGTGTACAATGTCCCTGAACTCCAGCAGTTCCGATATGACCTTCGCGCTGTCCTGATGCATACCGGTCTGCCTGGAAGAAAGCAAATGTACTCCTATGTCCAGGACGTGGAGGGCGTATGGTGGAAGACTTGTGACTACGAGGTCACAGAGGTCAGTACCAAATTACATGGGGACCAAGAAGATGCTCATACCTGGACAGGTCACTGAAGAAACGGTCCTCACGGACCCAGCAGGGCTACACCTGTCAGCCGGACCTTTCCTCTTACTTTACAGCATGCATCTATCAGACGAAGAGCTGCGACGCCCAGTTCAGTGGCCTGAAATCTTCGCGGTCTGTATCTCCTTTGTCTTTCAGCGTTCCGTCTTGGTTACTTAGCCTGTCTTCAGAAACCAACTGAAGAAAATAACCGCAAGTTCCTGTCGATGCTTCCCCCAGAGATCGCGAGCAAGGCCAAGAAGCGTCGCTCACTACCCATACCGCCCACTACACCTCGCTCGACTACTCCATCCAGGACGGGCCAGTACCTTTCGCCACAGCGGTCGGCGACTCTGGGGCCGCGTCCGAGTCCCGTTAGTCGATCCAATTCCAAGGTTTCCGAGACGATGACAGTGGATTAGTGGAGCACCCCTCGATTTTTTGTACTATGATATTGGACTTTGCTGTATTACACGACACATGTATAATCACGATATGTACAATACTACCGCCTTGGCCAGAAATATGGTTTCGGTACCGGGTGTACGACTCGATGATTGACGCTGTTTGCCTACCTACTCGGTCGCGACTTGTCCCTCAACCACCACCACCACCGCCAGCGAAACCTTATTAATTATTCTCGACAACGACGATGGTTTCAGCAGAGAACCTCAACTTTGACGTCCTCGACTTGATCTTCTCTTATCTTTCTGGCCAAGATCTCGCGTCCATCGCGCTGGTCAGCCGAACCTTTCTCGCTGGTGTCCTACCGTCGTTGTACAGAAATGTCTGGTTTCGACTTCGTGAAGGAAAGGCATATGCAGCGGTGAGCAAACTTGGATACACGTACAAGTAAAAGTACTGAATACTGCTAGGGTCAAGTTATATCGCCGTTTGCTGTCATCTTGAAGCATCCTAATCTGGGAGCCTATGTTCGAAGCATCGGTGAGCTCCAGTCCTTCCAAATTCCTGCCCACAACCTCAAAACTATATACTCAGACATCGAAAGCGTACCGTACAGCATTTCAAACCACATAACCCGGCAACCACATCCTACCTTCATGAGGGAATGTGCAAAGGCAATGGCCCAATGTCGAAACCTGATGACCTTCAAATGCAGTCTCCCAAACGTCGTCCCCTCGTTCCTCACCTCCCTCCAGAGCAAGCAGCGGCTGACGACGTTGAGGATATACGCGAGCCTGACGACGGAGCAGACGAGGCTGCTGAGCAAGATCCAGGGCGTGGAGAACTTGGTGCTGGAGTTTGCGTCGTGGAATGTGATTGATGCGTTGCCGCGGTGGGTGGAGAATGGTTTGTCCAAGTCGTTAAGGTCTCTGGCGTTTTATGTGAGTTTAACTTGACTTGTTGGGTCGGGGGAAGACTAATTGTCCTTGCAGATGACCAATGAACTCAACACGGAGACACTTGAGAGGATCTTGGAGCAGGTCCCGGAATTGGAGGGTCTTCATGTCATGAGCTGCGCCCGAGTGGACCATGCAGCGACACTTAAGCTGCTCAAGTACACACCCGAGTTGGAGCATCTGTCCATGTCTGTTACAGTGCGTCTAGTCTCCTCTTCTTCTACCCGTTCTCATAAGCCTGCAGGAGAATATTGGCGCGCTGCCACTTTTGCCACCGACATTAAGCAACCTGCGCTCGCTCTGCATCGACGCCAAGTACTCCCGCGCCAACTCACCCGTCCCCGGCATTCTCCAGACGATCCTGGACTACTTCAAGGGCTCGGCCTGCCAACTCTCCTCCTTCTCATTGAAGATGCCCGACCGCAAGATCGGCGTGGGCCATCCCTTTGTCAAGAACTTACTGGAGATGTTTGGATCATCCCTGAAGCGAATGGCCTTTATTGACTGTCATCTGGAGTTTGAGTCGTTGCGGCTTATGAGCAAGAAGTGTGTGCAGCTGGAGAGGTTGACGGTTGTGGTGCCCCCGAAAGACATCGTGGGTCTTTTACCTTGCCTTTGCGATCCGCGATGCTGATGGTTTCCTTCTCAGTACTCGTTTACGGACGCGCTCAAGCCTTCGAAGTCCTTGAAGACTCTCATCAATCTCGACAATAATCACCATGTACATGGAGTACGCCCTCCCATCAACCAAGAGAACGTGGAACACATGTTCGAATGCATCACTTCTCTCCACACAGTAGTCAGTGACAAGCGGGTATGGGTGGTACGTTGTCCTTTTGTCGTAAATTGAATACAACGTTGTTGACTCGAGCTCATTTCTTCCAATGTTTTAGCGAAAAGAGCTGGGGCATGGTTATGTCCATGCCAAAATCGAAAGGCGATTACCTCCCGGGCCACGTTCGCTGTGGTTCTTACCTTCTTCGAGCAAGATTTGAACAGCTGTTGGTTCGCTGGGTAGAGTTTAGGTGGAGTTGAGGGCCGATCAGTGCGCTATTCTTGTTCCATGGCCAATACCTCCGCGTCCATTGGATGCGAAAAGCTAAACTTCGTGTCCAACGAGCTGGATTGACACAGAAGGCATTACTTCTCGTCTCGGTCCTTTGTCGGTTCGGATATGACGCTGTTGGAAACGGATTTACCGTCAATGCTACTGCGAAGTCCCATTGAAATGCTCTCCGAAACACCGAAGGGATTGAAGGGTAGTGAAAAGAAGATGAAGTGGTATACAGATGTTACTGTACAGATCAGACTATTATACTAATACAACGGGCAATGGATGTCCCGATAATTTGCTTTGATTTTTACCACCAACGTTTAGCGTTGGCGAGGATTGATTGTCATTGGGTGGAGATGACCAACCCAGCACTGGCGACGGCGCCAACAGCTAGAGTGCCAGCGATGAGGGCGCGGACTTTCGGCTAGATAGCACATGATTAGATTAGCGCGCGCCCCACTCAAATGAAGCGAAAGAAAACATACCGGGTCATTGGTGGGTTTGCGATGTTTGTGCGGCCGTGAAGGGCCATCGAAGATGAAGAGTTGTGGTTGGGCCGCCGTATTCCCGACTTTATTATGATCCGGTGATGAGGGTGAAGTAGATTGAGAGGAGGTATGCGAGAGTCGAGTCACAGCAGGGCTACGGCCTTGTCTTAGACCTTCCCTTGAATCCATGAGCACAGAGGAAGGTGGCCGACATGATGGACCGTCGAAAACCTCGACGACGATGTGTTTGGGGAGGGGAGACGCAGCGCGGGGGCGTGGCCGTGGCTCGCTCAACGGAGAGGTGGGCATGGCGGCGAATGGAGGTGTGCGTGGTAGGGGCTGCCGCCGTGCAGGGGAAACGGTGCGTTCGCGCTGTAGGTGTACTGGTGCATCGAAGATATCGAATACGGGAGGGATCTTCACTTCTTTTATGTGGAGGGTCACTCTCGACGACGGTGCAGGTGAGGAGGACTGATGCCGTCGGTGCGAGGAAAAGCCGCCAGTCGTCGACGAGCGGCTCGCAGGTGGCGGCTGGGACATCGAACGGCCCATCTGGCCTATTCTCGAGACGGCCTGTCGTGTTGTTGCGGTGGGCATGGGTGGTTGGGAGTATATGGAAGGTGAGGTGCTGTATTTGGGAAGCGGGGTGGCGGTTCGAAAGGATCTTATAGTCACTCGTGTCCGTGGGATTGCTTCTTCAAGGTTGACTCATTCGAAGGGGAAGGGGAGACAGAGAGGTCGTGGATAAATCCTCCTGGTGGACACGGTGAATGGAAGATGGATTCCTTTCTGGATAGTGCGCGAATAGTAACCCCAAGGATATTACCTAGAGGGTATGACTCTGTTGGGTCGTGACCACGACGAAAGCCAAGCACAAGACTTTTTCGTGCGTCGCGAGGGGTTTCTACGGGTTGATGGAATCGGCCGAGTGAGCACCCGGATGGGATTCGGTTGTAAGTTCTACCGTCGGCAGGTGTCTACTGAGGACTACACTCTACCATTAGTTTGGGGTGCGAGAAAGGTACATCCAGTTGAATACATGTGTGAAGAAGACTAAGTACTCGCCTTCTGTGAACTCCAAGAAGGGGTCAAGCGGCGCGAGAAGGCGAGTTCTGGATGTCTGGGTCGTCTGGCGCAGCTCTATCGAGAGTAGTCATACCCAAGGACACAATTACTACAATGGCTATTGTAGAACCCGGTTGAATGCTGGGACCAGCGGCAAGCGGCCACAAGCGCTCAAGAGTTGGGCCACGGGTCTTGAGATAAATTGTGCCCATGCTGCCTCGTGCTTGCCGATGATGAAAAAGCTGCTTTGGAAATGAAGCGTGAAGGATCACAAGTGTCCTAGTATGAAGGCATGAGATTAACGCGGACCCCTTGAATACTAGAAAACCCTGAAGAAACGTTGGCTTAATGAGGGAACAACATAGGCGCTCGTGTCGTTCGGTTCAATATGACTACGGCGAGAAGTTCCTTGCCTGTAGGGCTTGGAAACAAGGTGAAACGAAGGGATACAGGATGTCGTCACTGTCAAAAGCCATCTTGGCGGCAATCAGGAACCCGGGCAAGTAGCCGGTGGCCAAGATCACGGCCGGAGATTATTTGTTTCAGGCGGTGAACGCAAATAAAGCAGCACAGCCGCAGCTTCCAAGGACTGCCTCTCCTCTGTTGTTCTTTAACTTCCACCATCGCGGCATCGCCTATATTGAATTCCTTGTTGTCTGATCCTCCTTCAACGTCAGTTTCTCAATAAACAATGATTTACAAGGTTCAAGAACAAAACCCAAAAGTCATTCCCATGGGCGCCTTATGACCTCCAATGTGTCTTGTGACCAACTGGTGCACGAAAATTCCTTCGTATTGTTTTATCTGACAGTTTCCAGTCCGCAGAGCACCATTCCTAACGTCAGTTTCACAAGAAAACCCCTCGATTCGTCATGTCGGTGCACTTTCGGGGCCTAATATGTCTCGTTGAAACCAAAGTTCTGGCCAAGCCTTGCCTCGTTTCTGGTCTCTGCAATGAGGCCTACACGTGTTCTACCTCGATTCCGACTTCCGATCGATAATAAGCTGGGACTGAGTTAATAACCTGCGTGTGCACTTAAATTAGTCTGCGGACGGCCACCATGAGGACTGTCTCTCCCCGTTCATATAAAACCTCGGACTCGGGGGTTAACAGCCTCTCTTCAATTCACCCACCCATGCCTACTCCCACAACATCACCAATAGCTGAGCCAGCGCCTTCCCCGCTACCACAGTACGGCTTTGGGCCGGATGTGCACTTCAAGACGCTGATCAAGAACAACCGCTTCCTCTACCGAGTATATACGCCAAAGGAGCGCTCACCGTTTGCCGACGACTCAGATCCGTTCCTGGTAGCGCCCAAGTTTGATGAGCTCTATGCTCGAACGCCAGTCGAAGTTACCTCGCAATCGATCGTCGATCCAGCGGAAGCTTCGTATGCCGATGTCGCCAGGCATATGGATTGGACGACCAAGTCGACCTCGGTTTACCTTTCAGCATCGTTCAGTTTTGCATGGTCGATATGGGAGGCTTTGAGGCGGTACCACCAGGGGATGAAGAAGGATGTGGAGATTGCAGTCATTGATGCTTCTGCCCTTATCGGCAGGGCTGCGACTGCTGTCGAGATGCTGCAAAAGGGAACACCTGAAGAGTAGGCCGTTGCATCGATTACATTGGTTTGGGCACTGACGTTCTTTCAGGCGGAGTCCACAGCATGCAAGATGGAACAGGTTCTCTCAAGAATCTCAAAGCGTTCTCATCTATGGCTTTATCCCAGTATCTGCCGTCATGAGCTCAATCCCCCTCCTTTCCCTTCTCGAGCGACTTCCATCATATCTCCTTCGAACGAAAGCACAATTCGTGCATGGAAACCCCTTGGACCACGTCGCATGGAACTACGCAGATAAGAAGCAGACCTACCGCCAATTCTGTCAAGAGATGTCGACTCGATTCTTTAACATTTCGCAAGAAATCCGGTTCCGAGATGCAACTGGAGGCTCGTTACGGCTGGCCCTAACATTCCTCCGACCATGGTTCTACTCGATGATCCTGAAAGACTTCAACCTTGCCGTCTCCACCCTTCGAGACCTCGCCATCATCATCGCCCATTGGGGAGGCCAGTGGTGGGCACGCGACCACGCCGAGCTGAACAGTACTCTCGACTCCATGACTTTCACGCTGGGCGAAGAATTACTTCAACGGATCAAGCGTCAGGACATGGAGTCTTCAAAGCTCCAGGATACGGTCGAGACTCTGGAGAGGATTATTCGAACGCACGAGACGGAAAGGTTGACACAGCCTTCTCCTCTCGCGGAGACCTGTCATCAATGTGCATCCTCACCGATCACACCCTTGTCATCTCCCAGGGTCCGGCCAAGGCGTACGATGTCAATGAGCATCTCAGGGCCCAACCCTGCAATTCCGGCGTTTCACACTCCCATCACCCCGCCGGATTCTCGAAGGAACTCGTGGGTTATGTCAAGGCCTGGTTCGCCATCTCGACAGCCGTCGATTCATTTCCAACCTTTCACCCCTCCACCGGATTTCCCAGTGCAACGTTCCAGGGCTCCCTCCTTGTCACTGTCGCGACCACCACCGCTGTCTCCTCTTCCTGCAACTCCTCCTACACCTACGAAGCCTCTGCTTCCAGTTTCGACAGTTGATGAGCCAATCCCTGAGGTCGCCAGTCCCGTTGAGCAGTACGAAGCTCCGAAGACTCCAGTCCGATCGAAAGAGCGGGAGCTCTCTGAGGATTCAGGGCTGGTACCGGCTGGGTCCTACCTTCCCACTCCGCCCATGGAGCACGATGTCCCTCGAACCCCCATTCAATCCCGGATGAACCAAGTCGAATCAGACGACGGGATCATCCATCGTGCACAGGTTGTATCCGCACTTCCGACACCTCCTTTGGACTCGCTCTTCACCGAAGGCCTGCGAGCACGGACGCTGTCCGACGTGTCCTCGAAGGGACTCAGGATCCTCATCCCGTCTGCGCCGACCCGACTTGTCTTCCCTCCTTCTCCACAGCAGGACGGCCCTACTGAACTCGATCCTCAGGCAGCAGAAGGATCAACCCACTCGTCTCCCCAAACCCTCGCGTCACCCTTCTCCGAAACCCCCAGTAGAACCGACTCCACACTCCTCGAGCCCTCCACTCTGGGCTCTCCCATCCGCCTCATCGGCTCCAACGACTTTACCCGACTCCCTGCTGTCCCTGCCTCGCCCGCGGTTTCGTGGGGCAGTGCACCCACTCTCCCAGCATCGCCTGTGACCCCAGAGGGCTCGCCCACGGGTCAGGCGAAGTGGTTGAGCAAGGTGTCGTCAAAGACTTGGTGGAGTCCTCGACGGACGTTCTCCGGGTCGAGTTTGACGCCGGTGGAAGGGTCACCCACGTCCGCCTCGAGGAGTTCGTTATCGGAAGATGCGGTCAAGTCTCCTCACAGCGATATATCGCCCTCGAGTCCTCATGTGCAGGTTCGAACCAGGGAGGATGAGGTTAGGTATCTAACACCCAGACCTGGCGTGAAGATCCTCGCTTCTCCTATTATCCCATTGGAGTTGGGCGAGGACGCGGCGGAGGATGGGGTGGAAGTCGAGTATGACGACAAGGGCCGCGTGCGGGCTGTTCGTCGGCGTCGTCAGAATACGATTTTGGATACGGCCTCGACGGTCGTTACGGGCTTCCTTGTGGGGGCTTTTGTAACTTTGTTTTTGGTCTCGACGCAGCGGAGGACGCTGCTGTCTTTGACTTAGATCCGGTATTAATGTGCTGGGCACGGGATCGTGTATGTTTAAGATTCGTTATTGCTTTGCGTCGTTTTCCGTTGGCTTTTAAATAGCCTTTGTGTATGTATGTACAATAGTACCATTTTGTAGAACAGTAACCCTTTAGCACGGGAATGCAACATCTTATGTGTAGAATAGATAGATATGTAGAACCACCACTTAAGCTTTATGCCTCTGTACTTTTATATGCCCTATGCACTACGATTCATGATTTGCCATCCTCGCTTCAAGTTTCTCGGACGTCGAACGCAACCCTGTGGTTCCAAGACAAGAATAGTGGTATCTGCTAGTAATACAGGCTGTGGAAATACAAATTGAGCTTCGAAGAACTCGTCCAGACTATTCCTGCCTCTCCAAGAAACCAACCCCACCGGTTTTGAGTTTGTTCATAAAGCTTTCGTACCATTTGACGATGATGCTCATTGGGATCGCGACGTCGGCGCCGGGTGAGCCTCCTGTGAACCCGCTCAGGTAGTTGAGTAGATGTTTTACGACCTTTTCTGCGAGGATGACTGCGTCGGTCACTGTTGGTGGTTTCGTCAGAGCTACAAAATAACGTTGTTAGCACGCGTAAATATTTTGAGGTAAAGACGACGAGACTCACCATTCGACGTCAAAGCAGCGTTAACCTGACTCGCAGGCAAGCTAGCGATCTGCGTCTGTATCTGCGCCAGGGGCTCGATAGCCAATCCGAGGATAGCTGTGACGTCACTTCCTTGAGGAACGGCGGACTGCTGCGAGAAGACGTTTTGCGCGCTGGAGTTGGGCGTGGACGCTGAGGAGAACGTTCCCCGGAGACGGAATATCGCAGATGGTTTATCGTTCGAGAGCATTCCTAGGAGTTGGAACCCTTTTCCTGGCCAGAAGAAGTGGACTGTTGCGCCATAGCCGTCTGGGAATGGAACTAGGCGGTGAATGGTATAGGATTAGAACGAGCTTGTTTGGATGTGGATAATGGGAGAGGGGGCACACCTGTTCCTAGCAAGAACACGCAAACGTGGTTTATAGAACTCGCGAATGGAAGTTCAAAGTAGGCGTGTGTTTCGTCTACTTGGGTGAGGTTTGTTTGAAGCAGACGTCCTGCTACACAGCAACCGAACATTTCGTCGTCTAGAGGTTCGTCGTGGGTCGTGAACGAATGTTATGAACGTTGGGTCGATGTGGCCTCGACCTGAGATGGTTTTGGTGACGTCGAAAGCCCCTGAATGTGCCTCTGGTCAGAAGCGGGCCCAAAGATGAAGGGAATAAGAAAAACGCACCTAAAGTGGAGATTCCAAGGTGCTATGTAGAACGCAAGATCATCACTCGCTAGCTCACTCTGGAGCGTCACAGAATGTTGGCGAATCTCGTGGAACATTGACCCTGGTGACCTCCAATTGCTGCTTTCGACACCAGTGTTCCTGAGAGTTATTCCTGGACATCTTGCACCCCGTTTCCTTCGCGAATCGCAGTCGGATATGTGCTAGTTCATCGGTCAAGAACCTTGTTATCTGCGGGCGCCTTTTTTGGGTCCGGTTCGAAGGATGTCTTGGCGTGAGAAGCCATAGAAAGGTTCTCACGGTATCATTGAGGTATTTGTTGCCCCTAAGTTCCAGCTGTTGTCACCCGCCATCGTCCAGAACGTTGTCCACGATGTCCAGCCCACTACTTTCGCTACCCAACGAGCTCGTTATTGCTATTCTCTCGAATCTCCCAATTATAGACCTGTTTCGTTGCGAACAGGTCTGCAAGACACTTCACTCGTTGATCAAGAGCTCCACCGAACTCCAGTACTTAATCGCCCTCGAACAAGCTGGCTACGAGGACGTACCGTCGTCTGCGGTGGGCATTCCGACAAAGCTAGAGAAGCTCAAGGCTGCATATGAATCGTGGCACAACCTCAAAGCGAGGTTCGTAACCGAGGTCGAGGTTACCCACCGGCCGTCTGGGATCTACGATCTGTGTGGCGGAATCTACCTGCTGGGAGAAGAAACGAGGCATACTCTCTACCACTTGACGCTACCACAGCATGAAGACGACAAGCCGGAATGGAAAGGTATCACTGTTACGGAGAGCATCATCGATATGGGCCTCTCGGTTGATGAACATGATCTCATCGCCATAATCACGACGTGCGTTTCAAAAGTTCTTTTTGAGTTTTTGACGTATCACTAACCCGGGTGTCCTTAGAACTCCAATTCCTATTACAGAACCGGAGGAACAGCAGTTGCACGAGATTGGGCTTCATCTGTTGCAATTCTCCACCGGCCAGCCGCACCCTGATGTCAAGGTACATCGACTCGTGGTGCACAGGAGCAAGCTTGATCGGCCGGCTATTGGTATGGAAATCGTTGGCGACAATCTGATTCTCATCTTGTCCCATTGGCGAGGTGGTCCCCACAGGCCAGAAGACAGACTCTTTGTCTTCGAGTGGAAAACTGGGAAACTGAAGATGGTGAGTGGCCCTGCTGCTGCGTAGCTTTTGCCTTGACTCAACTCGAAACAGTCCCTCGTCGCGCCGAATCGATCCTATTCCGGCCCCATTTTCCTTGCGGAACATTACTTCCTTCTCCCAAACAGTAAGAAGGGCCTGCTCGAAGTCTGGGATATTCCCCGGGGAACGTCGGAACCCAGCCCTTCTTCTCCCCGCTGCAATCTCCTGCTTCCGACGCTTGCACCGGGACGAATCTTCACGTCCATATCATGCCGCGGTGAACCCAACCCAATGGGAGACACGTCCCTCCCGGGCTCCAAGTTCAGACACCGACCTTACCAAGCCAACACGGATAGCGCGATTATGATCTTCAACGTAAACGTCGAGCCGTCGCTCAACCGATTCGGCATCCATTTGGGCCACACGTACTCGTTCTTCGTCCACAGAAGAAGCATCATCAACGTGGTGGAAGGCGTTGAGAAGGGTCTCTACTCGGATGCTTCGGTCACCAATGGCAGTCTACCGCCGGCAACGCTGCCAGTGGGGTCACCACCTATCGATATCCACTTCCCTGGTCCCAGCGATAAGCCAACAGAGCTACCTGGACACGAGTCCCCCACCGTCCCCTGGGCGGAATGGGGACCTAAATGCACGAGGTGGTTTGAAGTGGATAGGTTGCCGACGAGATGGATCACGACAACCGCGGGTCAGAGGGCTGTCTTGATGGGGAGGGAGCCAACGGGTGGGACGACATTCATGGTGTTTGATTTCAACCCATGGAATGTCAAGCGGGTTGCTTGGGAGGATAAGCAGCGGCAACGCAGAAGGCGAGAGAGGAAGGGTAAAGGGAAGGCAGTTGAAGCTGAGGATGAGAAGGAGGATTTGAAGGGCAAAGGAGTGGATAGGGGAGAAACGCAAGTCGAACCACCGACTATCGAGACTGGATCCGTCCACTCCCCGAGCGAAGACGGGCGGGAGGAGAATGGCGCTACCAGCGAAGCCGCCGACGACTACTTCTACCACGGCTCCCCCACGGAATCCATCATGGCTTTGGAAGGCGATATCGTACTAGAGCCGGACGGTGTCGAAGAGGTCGAGGATGACGAGGATGGTTGGGTCACTGAGGAAGACGAGGGTGAAGGCGAAGGCGAAGTGGAAAACGACGAGAACGAGCCTCCAGCACAACAGCCACAACCTCTTCCTGCAGCAGGCGGGCCACTGAACTTTACGATGCTCGATCTGCAACACCTTCACCCAGGCTTTGTGGCGCTACTATTTGGGGAGAACGGGGCGGCGATACAGGCACAGCTTGCGGCTCTGCAAGCACCTATCATGAACAACGATGGTCTCGGCCATCTGGGCGAACTACTTGCGCCGGAGGAAGCTGGTGGAAGCGGAAGTAGCGATAGCTCCAACGGCAATGGTACCCGAGGCGGCTCGAGTAGCCATGCGATGCCAGGCGCATGGCAAGAATCTGATGAAGAGCGCGAGGAGAGCGTGGTACAAGCAGCAAGTGACGACGAATGGGATGACGATGATGACGACGATCGCGGGAGAGGGTATGGAAGAGACCAGCACGGCCGTCCCAAGAACGGCGTGGTGTACAAGCAACCTAACCAGGTTGACAAGATTGGGCGGTCGTTTGAGTCGCCCATCATTTCCGAGCTGCCGTTTGTGCAGTATGTGGCCAGGAACCAGCCAAGTTATGATGGTGTCCTGATGGATGAGGAGAGGATTTTGGGTATCGTGGTGAGTACACATACACTTACGTCTGGTTGTGTGCTGCATTTTATTGACTTGGGCCTCTTTGTAGACGGACGAGATGGATGTTATAAAACGAGTCGATGTCCATTATTTCGGCTAACTGATTTATTGGAAGACTCCCATCAAGGTTTGGAGGACCTACCTTTGGTGGCATGCGACACCCTATTTGCTATCTATTGTACCATTAGCAACTACCTTTTGAACCCCCCACTGTGAATATGTATTTTTTGTGCCCGATCACGACGTTGCTCCATAGTTCGGCTTCCCGACGACCACTCGCTTGTATAGCATCTCGAATTCTGACTTAAGCCAAACGTTCGTCTGGAAAAATACAGGTACAGACCAGCCATCGGTATCCATTTTGTCCCACTTCAATACGTCTTCGCTTTGATCAACCCAGCCATCAAGTCGAAACTATTCCCATCCGGCTGCAAATCGATGTACTCCTGCTTCTCGCCTCCAGGGTAGACATAGCGGGCATATGAAAGGGGAAGTCCAAGGCCCACAGAGCCAACACCCCCACTCTGAGACAGAGGTTTTTCGGCAACAGTTCGCAGCAACCCATAATCAGGCGTAATCCCCACGATGCGGACGGGTACAGGAGGCTGGACGGTTGTGAGCATGACCTTCTGGTCCCTGAGAGAGAGAAGCGAGGTGAGAAACTAATCCAGTGTAAAGATAAAGGCGATGACGCACTTGTGTAACCAGTGATATAGATACGTGCTTTCAAATGCGGCGAAAGAACCACCGTCGTACACGAATCTCGACCACATTCTCTCGAAGACGGTGATAACCGACGCCACCATCCGTTCAAGGCTGAGCTCTCCAACATCATCTGAACCTGAGAACTGTTTCTTCAATTGCAAGAGGGATACGATAGGCGGTTCATTGAGGGTGTTCACACCGCAGCCTAGATTCCGTCAGGCCCACTGAGGCATGAGACCGAGAGATTTAACCCACCGATAAGGAGATCGACCTTTCCACCGGGAGTAAAGTTGGTGTTCACAAGCACTCCTCCGATCTTCTTCAGCTTGCTCCAATCCGTCGGTTGGGTCCCCACCCCTTCGTCGCTGAGATCAACGTAGATGTCGTTGGGCCATTTCAATCTCACTCGTCTTCCGAGCTTCGGGCCTAATACTTCGGGAAGGCTGCATGCCTCGGTAACCGCCAGGGCGAAGAGGTATTGGACGAACACCAAGCTGGAGGCGGGTAATCTGGGGAGCGCGGGTGGAGGGACGTGAGGGGAGCTGAATGCGTAGCCCATCTGGCCCGAACCTTCGGATTTGAGCTTGGTCTTCAAACCAGCGGTAGTCGATGTCGATGAATCTGAAGACGGTGTTCCTTGTGAAGTTGTTTTCGTTCCACTGGAAGTAGTCTTGCTGGTTTTGCTACCCGTCCCCTTTAGCTGTGAACCTGACGACTGCGATCCACCGGGATCCAACTCAATCCTCAATAGTAAGCTGACCATCATAGAGCCGGCGGGAGAAAGCCAAGGGTTCTTTCCTCTCCCTCGTCCAGACATCTGTTGAGACGCAAGGGAGATGAGGGGTGTGGGGAGACCCGACATCAGTTGAGGGTTTCTGTGGAGTACTGTCGGCGCTTTGTTGAGCTGGATCGAAGTGCAGGATTGCTTACTTGTCTAGGAGGCTCTGGGTGCTGGTGACCCTCTCTCCGTACAGCAGTGCTTCGCCGAAGCCCCAACCGCTCTTCTGGCCTTCAGGAACTGTTTCAGACATGGGGACGCGGAGTTCTGGTTGTCCTGTGGCCTTCATCCTCCTTAAAGTGTCGTAGAAAAGCTTGATGTTAAACATTGGCGTATCCTCGTGCGATGGAAGCACACCGTCTGGACAAACGATGATAGTCTTCTCCTTCGACTCCTCTGTGTTGTCGTCTCGAGCATGTTGCAGCGCTTCTCTGGCTTCTTTCGAGTCGTGCGAGAGGAAGTTGAAGGTATCCGCAGTGTCTTTGATAGTGCCGATGGAAGGCGTTGAGGGAGTGGGGAACAGGGCCTTGACGACCGTTGAAGCAATGGGTTTCGGTGGCTCGTTGTCGTCGGCCGAAGGAATGGACGTTAGGAACTGAGGGAGAGACTTTGGGGGCCCTTCCGCGGTACTGGTGGCTGAGACGGGGGCATCCTTTTTGAATTCAGGTAGCACAAGGCCGAGGCGTAGAATCACGGCATGTAACCAAGGTGCCAAATCCTCGAGGGTCTCCTTGGTCAGAGAAACCAAAGTCGGGCGAACGATCCCAACCTTCCCTTTCCCTACCGATCGCACCACATCGTTGATGTGTGAGTCGTTATCAGGGAGGGCGATCTTTGCATCTGTCAGATCGACATTTGCCACCTGAACGACATCACCGTCACCCTGCAGATCGCCGGAAACAGAGTGCGGACTGGTCTCTGGCACCACGTAAGAGTTCAGAGAATCGTCTTTGAACTTGAGATCCTCTCGAAGGTCCTCTGCCTTTATCGTATCCGATCCACCAAAGCCGAGTCTGGACATCGAGGATTCCAGAGAGGATATGGTCGTTGCTGTCTCCCAGCGCGCACCCAGGCCAATTCCCAACAACACTCCTCCATCTTTCTCCACGAACGTTCTAAGCCTTTTGACTTCTTTCGGTCCAAATATGTCCAAGGGCCTACTCTTTCCCTGCTCCGTGGCTCGACCGGTAGGCGAAGCTGGCTTGATATACGGAATCACGAAGAGCTTGCAATCGATCTCCCAGGGCTCCTTGAGGAAAGTGGCCTTCGAGAGAGGCTGAACCGTGTAGTGCGGTAGGCAGACCGTTCCTAGCAGAGAGACTGTGTTGGCCAAGGCATTCGGATGGACCTCAGAGCCAGAATAGACCAGGACGTTCATCTTGGGTGGTGGTGGTTCGAAGACAGCTGCGCGACTTCCTATCAGCCCCTGTCTTATTTCCGGATATTCCGTATCCGACTCGCCGTGACGGCACCGAATCCGATGTTCGAAGTTCGGGTTACGTGTTGCCTCGTTTTGACAAGCAAAGGCGCTAGGCCCAATGGTATTCATAGGTCGTACAAGACATATAGTACAGGAGATAAGAGAGAGATTAGAAAACATTCGTGTTAGGGAGGGAATTGTGTGTGATGGTGAAATATCAAGGCTTTTCATCGCCAATCCGTGCCGCGCGGTGGCGCTCAAGGGCAGAAGGTGATGGTATAGTCGGCCTTCAAGTTCGTGGGGCAAGTATGGAGCGAAGTTCCGCTGCTCTCGTCGTATGCGTAGACATACGAATTGGGGCAGGACCTCTCTGGAAGCATCCGGTCAGAAGGTGATGCCGGGTTAAGGCGATGAAATATCACTTACTGAAGTAATCGTAGTATTGAACTCCTGGAGTTAGGTCGTTAGAGAGAATGAGAACCAAGCCTCATCGGACGTACCGGATGGAGGGCACCTGTCAGGAGTGCTAAACTCGCCAGAGCAGCAGTTCGTCGAGTTGCCTAGACCGCGAGCTTGAGTAACTGCACACGAACAGCTCGCTGAGTTATGCTCACCTTGATCTCCGTCCAGGTTGGCGTAGCAAGCGGACTTGCAGCCTGCCGAGAACCCACGGTGATCGAGGGGTCCCTGAAGGGGTGCGGGACCTTGATATGTGTAAGTCAGCTGAGGCAGATCGTGAGAGGGTCGTCAATTACAGCTTGGTCCGAGGTCAACTGGACAATCAGCAACAGGGCAACCCTTGTTGTTTGAAATCCTATAGTCTGTTGTCAGAACCCTCGCATGTTTCAATTGGTGCTAACTTAAAGCGTACCTGATAGGCAGATTGAATCCATCGACGAGGGAGACTAGAGAAATGACCAAGGGGGTCAGTTTCGCCTTGGTGTTAGCCGATAGTTCGTTGCAATCTTACCGTTGTACCAATCAGAATCGAGCCCACCGCTTAGAGTGAACTCAGCCAAGGAGGCAGGGGGTACACCCTAGGTACGGTGCCGATCATACCAATCAATATCCTCGCGCCTCGGAACAGTCAATGGCGAAGGTACTTACTGGACCAGTACGAGGATCGCAGAGCAATCCACCATTGCAGCCACCCGTGAGGCATGAATTGGGGCCAGGGTTCTCTGAGAAATCACAGCCGCGCCTTCCCTGAAAGACGAGCAGTAAGGCAACCGTCGAACGAACAGCGATCAGTACACTCACCCAAATCCTACCAGCCGTCCAGTTGTCAGGGACATGGAAGGTGACCTTTGTACCGGGTTTAGCCTCCCAGCTGCAAAGCGCATTAGTTGTGAATACACGTTCACAGATAGGTGACGAACCCCGTAGGATGGTCAGGGATGGCATTGCCGACGTTCAGGTCGGTGAAGATCTGAATCGGAATTAAACCAGTGAGCAACATTCATGAAGGGTGAAGTAGATTTGGCGCGTACAGCAGGCCTAAAGGAAGTTGATTAGAGCGGGTGCGTGAAATGGCCGACCGAAAACATACCAGATTGTGAAAGGACACGCGTTGTAGACCTGGCGACAACGAGGAGGTAATTAATGATAATAGCGAGCGGGGTCAACGCTGAGAACATACGGTGAAGGTACGTGCAGCAGCACCAGAGGCGAGCATAATGAGAGGGCCAGCGACAGACTTGATTGGCTTCATCGTTCAAAGTGTGTAGCAAGAGAGATGGACAGAGATGGGGAGGTAGGCTGCTGATACATTCCAGAGGCTTGCGGTGAAGGCTTTTATATTTCTGCAGAGGAGAAATTCACGCTGTATGTGATCAACTCCGGGACGACCATGTGAAGCAGGTTTCCGCGCGACAACTAACCCCATGATCTTCATCATTTCCCAATGGTCGTAACCGAGAGGCACTAGATTGTCCAGCTTTCCGTTTACCCTCTCGTCAGTGCATTTGCCAAGCATATACAAGAGGATGATGATTGAAAATTATCCCCGTTAGTTAACGTCGGCAATGGATAGCGGTCTGACGTAGTATCCCCAAGCTCGAGGAAGCTCGAGTTGTTAGGGATGAACGGATAGATTTTCCCAGATGAGGTACTGTAAACAATACGAAGGACAAATGAGGTACCGAGAGAAGTGTCAGGATAATCACATTTACCTGTATGTTTTCGTCGATAGGGCGGTCTTGGGTGAACTACTCTGTAACCCTGACCAGTTTAGAACAACCTTCACGGCCAGATCGGAGACATCGTATTCCCCTCACCTCGTCGAGTCGGTCGGGTCTGCTGGCAAGAAGCTTTGCGGGTATATATCCGCGTGCTAGTACCATTCCTTGGTTACAGTCAAGTCTTGGAACAAGATTATGGTTTCCGGATCCTGGTTGATTTCTCCAGAACGATGCCTCTGCTGGCGACATTACTGTCGTTCCAAGCCTGGTTGGGAGTAGGGTTTGTCCTGTTCAGAACTCCGAAGTATCTAAGATCCGCATTATGGACCAATTGGATTCTAGAGAAGCCGCTATAGATCTCGAGAAGACATACACAGCGGAAATACGGGAAGAAAGGGGTCACTTACCGGGGAAAAGACAATATCCAACGCACGGTGATACGGCGTTATCACGCGCTTAGAGCGTAAGATTGTCACGGAGGTCCATGATACATCGCCATCGACGCTGATCTGCAGGAGATTGTAATGAAATGAGTTGAAAATCCATGTTGGCCGTACAATTGGCCCATGGAGGCGACGATCTTCAACGAGCGGGAACCTGGAAATTCATTAGAAGTGCAGACCGAGCAGAATCAGTGTGAACATCTGTCGAAGAGATTCTTCGCCCTGACTACTGCTTACCCAGTCGTAAACATGTCGATTCCTGCGATATCCCAGGAGGCATAGAACATGCAATTCGCAGGCAAGTCCCGATGTGAGCCCTCTTGTGACCTGTGATAAGCCACATAGAAACTGCCAGAGTGCCGAGTGCGTTCGGGGTTAGAGAAGACTACTGATATTAGATTGTGCGGTCCTGACCAAGCCACGTCGGGGGATGAGGTGCGTTCACAGCGGCCAAGCCTCATGCTGCTTGGAAAGGTGTGAGAAATACGTGGGCTATAAATGCTTGAGCTTGCGCGAAATGGTAATGCACCAAATATAGTTCATTCCCACCCCGCATGGGGCACGATGTCCATCTGGTCATGGAGACACTAAGAAGCGAGCTCCGGCCCTAGTGTTTATGTCGCTCTCCCTTTTGAGCTGAATGCTGCTTGAACTTGAGCGGAAATATCAGGAATAGCAATACTTAAGGTTTTGCGGGGAAGCAACCGACCTTCTCTCGATTAAGTTGATATGTGGGGTAGTGAAGGCTAGCGGTTGACAGCAAAACTACAAATGCAGTGGTGGCACCTGCCTCATGAGTAGATCCCGACAGCCACGCAATTTTCGGAGGTCACCGCCGAGAGGCCAAGCCTGAGGTTTGCTGAGAACTGTCGGGGAGGTCGTCCGAAGAAATAAAGGAAATTGAATGTCCTAAATGATTGAATCTGTTCACCAAAGATCAGCGAACGATGCAGGAAATGGGTCTTTTACTGTGCGATGCGTGATCGTGGTAGCTGGACAAGTTGAACATTGCCTCGTGGCCGGTTTGCCAAGCGGTCGGAATAGGCAATACCGGATCACTCACATCCGGTCTTTGGACCGACTTTTTTGATCCTTTTGATCTCCCAGGAAGCCCGAGGCCCTCGGTATGGGAAAAGCCGCATAAAAGCAAATCAATGTCGACAATTGGTGATAAGTAATGGTACAAGATTTAACACGCTTAAGTATAACGCTTTGTGGTTTATTCATATTTTCGAGAAGCCGAAAGAAAAGGGGGATTCGCATAGGACCTTCGCGACCTAGGCTCAACTTGGTAATCGCATAGATCGTAGCACCAGGCCTTGTTAATTGACCAATTGGAGCCAGCTCAAGGACAGAAAGTGACAGTGTAGTCAGCCCTTGCGGAGCCGGGGCAGGTGAGAAGGGCGCCGCTTGGTTCGTCGTAGGCGTAAGCATAGGCCCTAGGACAATTATTCTCTGCAAAATTGTGTCAGCATCTCTATGATAACCTGGGAGACAAGACATACTGAAGTAACTGTAAAATTGGACGCCTGGGTTTAAAGGTCAGCTTACAGAAGTATCGCTTCATATGAAAATAACCTACCGGAAGCGGGACATGTTGCAGGGGTATTGAATTGTCCGCTGCAGCAGTTCCTAGAATTCGCTGTTCGACGGTTAGACAGACTCAGATAGCATGTACGTTAGCGATACTTACCTGGGTTGCCATCCAAATTGGCAATGCACGCTGATTTGCACCCAAGCGGGAAGCCGGATGAGTCGAACGGTCCTCTGAGGGGAGCAGGGCCTGGATTACAGTCAGCATGTCCTCAGACTGACATGATAGACTCTTACAGTTGGGGCCGAGGTCAACACCACATTCACCTCGGGGGCAGTTTGCATTGTCAACCGAAATGCTTATTTGGAGTTACATTAGGTGGGATCTGACTGCGTGCTTTCTGAAGGGCTTACCGGACGGGAAGATTAGCTCCGTCAACGAGTGACACTGCAGTAACGGATCAGTTTCTTGAGAGGGCTACACTGCACTATCAGGGACCAACCGTCGTAGAAGTCCTGGTTGCCGTCACCGTTCAAAGTAAACTCGGCCAACGAGACAGGTGGAACACCCTGGTCGAGATCATGAGCAAAAGCATTGCAATGGCATTGACCAACTTACGGGGTGGGTACATTGCATTCCTCCATTGCAACCACCAGAGATACACGAGCTTGCCCCAGGCCTGGAGAAGTCGCAGTTACGCCTGGCCTGTTATAGCGATCGCTTTGGGATAAATAACAGCGAATGCTGAGAAAAAACTGAATTAACAAACCCAGATGCGGCCAGCCTTCCAGCCGTCATCGACGTTGAATTGAACCCTGGTGAAAGGCCTCGCCTCCCATCTGCAATACCGATGATGATTAATGGGTACTTCATCGGAAGAGAAGGAAAGACATACCCGGTAGGGTGCTGTGGACGAACGGGACCCCTGTTGGGGTCGGTGTAGATAGCAGGCCTAAGATGACGGGTAAGACGACTGACGACGGGTACACTGGACGGCTTAGCCTCACCAGATGGTGAAGGGGCAGTTATTGTAAACCTAGTAGAGAGAGAAGTGAGTAACGAGCCCCAGACAAAAAAGGCAGAGGAAGCTCACAGTAAACCTTCGTGCTGCAGCCTCGGTGGCAAGCAGAACGAGGGTGGTTGCGAGAGTCGTGAAAGCCTTCATTGTAGCAGTACAGAGCGGTAGAACCAAGTAATGGTGCTGAAGATTTCCTCGACATATAGGCTACATTTTATACCGCCTGAGATACAGAGACCGTGGTCTGACACTCTGATACCATGCGGTCAAACCGGAAGACCTGTGAACCAGGCCTGCTCTGAAAGGACGAGCTATCGCGCTCAAAGGGACAGGATTATGTTAATTACATGTCATTTCTGACAGATATCCACGCGAGAGAAATGATCCCCGTATTGCAGGCTCTGGGGAAGCACCCATCGGTGCTCCTCGACGCTCGGAAACATGAGTTCATGACGAGAACAGATAATGGTGAAGGGCGATTACTGAGCTGTGATCGCTAGTAAAGAATCAGAACGGGTGATCGAAACTGACATGGACGCCTCAGGCCTGAGGCGAGTCTTCCTCCAGAGCCTCACAGACACCAGTTTTTCCGAGGTTAGAATACGCAGGCGCTACATCTAGGCTGAGGCTCTGAAACCCGACCAACCCGACTACCGATACGGCTTTCGCTCAGTACGGCAGTTCTCCCCTCCAATCGGGGATAGCGCAGCGTACATTGCCTCCTCAAACGGCAACAGTTAAACGTTGAGTCACGACTAGCGATTAGCAAGCCACGGATGTTCACTATCGCCGGACCAAACCGTCAACGACCGGACAATCCTTTCGCAATATCAAAATCAGAACAATACTTGAGCGGCCAAAAGACCCCTTCCTGGGGAAGAAATCTCCTTTTCCTTTTGACCATATGTAGCGAAAGCGATGCTCATCGTTTACTCAACCCGGAAGAAATATTAAATGTTCGGAACGCAGAAAAACCTAGGCCGCCATGCCCAGACGCATCCCTTCCATTCCCCATCTCCAGAATCAGGTCGCCGTACCCCAGCGTAACCTCCCAAGCACATCCATATGGCAAGGACAAAGATCGAAGCCGTCCAACCCATTCCCGACCTTCTAGGACTCCCTGGCTCGACGGTATCATGGCTATTTTTGTTGATAGACCAAGTGACCAAGTACCGTAACAAAAAGCGCAGCGCTCATTCAAATATTCCACTGACCATCGTGCCGACTTGATGCCCTCAGCTGAGCCATGTGTTTTTTCACCAAGGATACTCCAGCGTGTACGTACTCGTCCAATAGTATCGGAACTCTAGTCGGGCTTCGCAGCAACAGAGTAAGTCGGTCCATTATGTGTGCCATCTTGAGGCTAGTCCTTGAAGCACGGTCACCGCGGTGGTGTTTCAAGACAAAGGTCAGATGAGAATTCACGTCTGATACTCCACCACCACGTACTCGGTACCGCACCTAAAGCGCTCGACAGAAGCATTCCACCCCCACAAACCACAAGTCCCCACACTCCAAAAAACGAACCACATCATTCATTCACAAACGAGCATAACAACCAAAACCAACAGAAAAAAAAAGATATAATAAAATACTAACGAAAAAAGAAGCAACAACTAAACAAACAACTAACACGATCATGGCAGGCAAGCGGGGCATCCACCAAGCGTTGAGACGCGCGAGGCGAGTGTGTGATGGAGATATAGAGATAGAGAGAGAAAGGTCGTATTGTCTGTCTGTCTTTCGTATAGGCGTACAGTAATAATAGATGTCCTTGCAACAAACAAAAAAGAAGAAAAGAGATATAAAGATCCAGGGATAATCATCGACTATCAAAGAAAAAAAAGTATAAAGACGTAGGCACAGAAGATGATGACAATGGGATGGATATGGATGGATGGATGGATGTATATGGGTTGTTGCAGAGGTGAATCGGATGAGGTGCTGAGCGTAACGGTGGAGCGTAACGGCATGAATCAAAAGGGAGAAAAAAAGGGTAGAAAAACATCAGAGTCCATGTACTCCATCCCTCCCAAACGGGAGGAGATCATCAACACACACACACACAAAGAAAAAAAGAGGGGGATTAAAACGCGTCGTACAAGATGAACAAGTATGGCATCGGTCATGTAGAAAGAAGATGAAAAGTCTATGCGAGATCGTAAGAATGAGAATGAGGTACTACTACTACTATCATGGGAAAAAGGGGTTTAAATGCTGTCGCAAATTGCGCAATCGAATTTGAGAGTATGGCTGAAGATGATAGCTGCAGAGGTCATCAGTATCACTGTCAAGATGAGAGACAAGATAGAGGCGTACGGATAGCAATGAGAGCAGCAAACACAGCGATCACGAAAATGTAGATTAGTCCATACTTGATGACCTACAACAGCACCGTCAGCATCCCGAACCCAACCAAAACGGAAAGTGAACATACAATGGAGCGTCGTTGCTTTTTCTGTTTAATTGAATACAGCGGCGCACGAATCTGTTTCGAGGGTCGAAGCCAGACTGCAGATGCTCGTCAGTAACTCTCTCACAAGCAAAAAAGGAGATGAAAAAGACTCACAAAGAAGCGTGGCATGGAACCGATCAAAGTAGGGTATCAAAATAGGCGGCGTGAGCATGAACAACAGCAAATGCCCCAACAACAAATCTCCACTCCACAGCGAGAGCTCAACAATCTTGACGATGAATTCACGTGCAGGCTGCGACAGGACATGGTTGCCCAAGCCGCGACCGTACCATCGGCCAGTCCACCACGCCATGTTCGTCTCGTCGTGCTTGAACTCGCGAGAGAGGAAGACGGAGATGAGGATCTTGTGGAAGGCACGTTGGATGGCGATGACGGCAATGAGACCGAGTACAGCGTCGGCAGTGTTCCAGCGTTCGAGAACCCACTACAAGTCAAAGAATTAGTTGAGCGTTTCAGACACACACAATACCCAAGAGGACATACCAAGAACTCGAAAGCACCAACCATACCCAACACACCCAGCCCATGCGTAATCGAAGCCATAACCGATCCAAAGTTCGAATTCTTCGCACTAAAGATCGGTCCAAGGAACAACGAAATAAGGAACTGCGTCAACAAAATCGCCGCATTCCACACAATCGGGCCCAACGAAATCAAGGCAATCCGGATGAGCGGGCTTGGCGGGTAGTTGCCATCCTCGTCAGGGAAAGACTTGACGAACATGTACGCGATCGTGAAGAGGACAGCCATGAACACCGGGAAGAAAATCTCCGAGAAAAGGACGGCGCGCCAGGTTGCACGGGGAATGTCACCAGAGAGCTTCTCAGAGGGGTTGCCGAGTTTCTTCTTCTTGTAACCAGTGATCATCGTGCGCGAGAGACGACAGTATCCAATCCACGAGTTGTTATGCGACTTGGAGTTTCCTCGTGACATCCATCGCAAGAATTCGCTGTGAACCATCCCATAAGCAATGCTATCCTTTCCAAACGAGAGTAAGCAACACACCGATAGTCAATGATAAAGTCTGAGAACACGAATTGATGCGGGTTGAACCAGAACGGCGCAATACACAAGGCAAGAATAGACACCCAGAAGTAGAGGAGGAACGGCGTCCACAGCGATAACGTCACATAAAGCAACATTAACAGCGTCCTCATACCCAAGTATATACTCGGCCCAGCGAAACGCGAGAACAGGATGTTGAAGAAAATCCTAGTCGTCGCGAAACCACGTCCAGTAGCGATGTATCGAGCACCACCAAAGGTGAGATTGCTGAGGATGGAATGGGTGTAGATCTGCGTCGAGAAGACTTCGAACACAGGCGAGAGAGACCCGAATTGTTTGGCGAGACGGAAGACGGCTTTGAATGTTCCGCGTTCGACGAGTTCTACAGTAACCAAGTCAGTCCGTGCCACCAGAAGAGAGAGAAGGGAGCGACGCACCTTGAAGGAAGAGCGGCAAGAACGCAATCATGAAGACCAAGAAAATCGAAATGATACACCTCTCGATCCACTCAAAGACCGGTACGAGGTTATAGCATCCACCCTGGTTCCCAATCATCTGCCCACTCTTCGTATACTCGCAAATCGTAAGACGCGAATTCATGCTACCCAGGAAAACCACTACAAGTAAAAGCATCGTCAGCAATCCATCCAAAAAATGAAAGACGAGGGAGAATACTCACTAGTAACAATAAAAGTCTGCACCGACAAAATGACCAACATATTGTTGATATGGAATCCAGGATGGCCATAATAAAACGTCAAGAACCTATCAATGGGCAACTGCGTCCCAAGATAGTAATACTCCCGACTCAACATCTGCTCTCCCATACCAGTCCCAATCTTCGTCTGGAAGTTTAGGATGGTACCAAAGCCCAAATCACGACCCTTGCCACACTGATAATACTCCGTATGCTTGATCCGTCCACCTCGTCCAAAGGCATTCATACCCGCATAGATATCCTCGTTCAAATGGAGTCCCTTCTGGGCTTTGGAAACACCACCACGAGTGGTCATGTACAACCCATTCAGGAAATCCGGATGACCGTAGTGCAGCTTCCCGCCAATCCACGCCATAGACCGCGCAGCGAGCGTACCGAACGTCTGCTCCTTGCCAGCCGCCAAATCACCGAGAATACCAATGTTCTCCGAGAAGATGTACTCGCGCGCTCCGACGATGGCGACAGGGGCAGTCTTGAAGTCCTTGTGTCCCCACTGGGCGTACGGCGACTGACTCGACACAGCGTACTCTTCAAACTCGCCAAGGACGTTCCGGATCTTGAGACACTCCTCGAGGTAATTATCCTGGTTGGCGTCGATAAGTTGCAGGTATTCGCCCCGGTAGAAGATGATCGCGTGGTTCTGGTTGTCCGACTTGCCGTCTCCAAGAATCGGGTTGCCAGGGAGCTCAATACGGAACTTGGGCCTTCTCCTTCCAGTCTCCGGGATGAAATCCGAATGCCCATCGATAAGCGCCGAGAAAATCCTAGACTCCCCTCCTTCCTTGCGAGGCGGCTCCTCTTCGAGATAGGCGATCTGCAAATCTGGGTAGGCTCGCAAAAGGAACTCGGCGTTCTCGTGCTCCTCCTTGTTGAACTTGGAGTACCGTTGCATCGAAACGACAAACTTGAACTTGCGCCTGGCCATCCTCTCGAGCTCCCTCTCCAATTTATCCGTATTCCCGCCGAACAACTGGACGATCTCGGGGTTCTCGACGCGGTAAAGCAACTTGATGGCTTTGGCGTAGTTCATCATGCCAGACACCGTGCGGTAGAGCGTTTGAGCGCGGAGGGAGGCCCAGATTCGGGTACGAAGCGTGAACTCGGGGGAGGAACTCTTGAATCCAATGAACGTGAACGGAATGTCGTCGGCCTTTTGACCCTTCTCTTCGTTGCCGAATGGATTGGCACCGTTGAACATGGCGGACTCCTCGGCGAGGATCTTGGTATCCTTGACGAAATTGTCCCACTCGATAGGATGAAGCTGCTTCAAGTACTCGAGCAGCGTCACACGCGTGTTCTGGTCCTCTTCACGGATAATTTCGCGGAGCGAAAGCAGAGTCTACAATCATACCCAGTCAGCCCACCTCCAACACCCCCGACAATAAGAAACGCACCTTTTCGCTATAATGAGGCGTAAGAACCGTAAACGTAGGCATGGCATCCACAGGAAGAGGCTCCGGAATCGATGTAGTCAAAGACTGCGCAAAGAACGAAATCCTTCGCTCAGCCTCACTTCCAGCCGGGAAGAACTCGCCCTTGACACTCTTGTCGCCCTGGCTAATGAAGAACGGCGGGGCACGTAGACTCCTTCGACCGCCTGCGCCGGTATCGACTTGGTGGTACAGCAGCTTCTGAACGTGATCGATGGAGAGCAGGTGTTCGCGGTACATGGAGATGATGATGGCGTTCCAGATTTGCGAGACGAGGACCTGTCGCGTATTCGTTAGCATGTTTATTCAGTTGACAGATAAAAAGACTCACCTTGGGCTTATACTTGACCTCCATATCCCCCGTAGCCAACAACTTGGAATAAATCCTCTTGGGTAACCGGGTATAGATATCCTTCCATGGAGTCCAAATCGACAACCCCAAGATAAAGGACCGCGCAATACTAAACGTGGTGTTCCAAATGATATACCACAAGAACGTGTCCAGGAAGAAGAGGATCAAATCCATGATATACATGATCGTCAGCGTGAACGCAGCATGGTTATAGCACAAGGCCCGTCCAAAGAACCGGTCGTTGCAGCCTTGAACCTTCATGTGCACCATCACCGCGATAGGGTCCCGGAAGGAGAGGGTGAGGAACCAGTACGACTCGACGGATTTGCAGAGGAAGACGAGGATCCAGAGGGTAACTGACCCTATCCGGGACTTGCTGCCCAAGACAGGATAGCTGGCCGTGAACGTCTGACTTGCGAGGTACTTGCGCGATTTGCCCGCAACCCGATCACCAAACATGCGACCAGAGGGGATGATGGCGAACAAGAGCGTGGCGATGACCGATATACAAAACTGGACGATAGCGAGGATGAGCGCGAGTGTACCACCCGTGTTGTTCGATTCGACGATGGCGACATAGAACGTGGGTCCGGAGGTGAGGCCGAGGGTGATGAAGAGGAAAAGGAGTCGTCGGGTGAGGTGGGAGGTATTGTTCCAGGTTGTCGGGATATAGGAGAATTCGGCGAGGGTTGCGAGGATCATGATGATGGTGGAAACAGCGCCGCCGAGTGCGGTTGCACTCCATCGCATGGCTGTCGAATCTCGGTTTCCAAACCGATAGATGGAGGGAGAGTGGTATGCGGTGTAGAAATAGAACAGAGAGATGTGAGCAACCCAAACACGGTTAAAGTTGACCAGGAGATGACCAAAGGAACGCTTCTCGTAATAGGTCTTGAAGAACGCTCGATTCCAGTCAATCCTGTCGAACTTGGTGTACCGTTGTGCGGGTGGAAGGTCGATTAGGCGAGTCTAGAGGGGAATTAGGATCGGATCGAAAGGGAAAAGAGAAGACATTACCTTGTCGTTGAGGACTATTCTTGCAATTCCCTCTGGGTACCAAAAGAGCTGGTTCACATCGTCGTAACCGATGATGTCGGCGTGATCCTTCTCCCTTCTAACGAATTTGCCATCAACAACCTCATAACCCTGGTCTCGAATGAAACGGTAGAGAGGCTTGATGACGGTTTTCAAGTAGAGACCTTCGGGTACTGGTTCCATGCGATTCTGGCACTCGGGCGACCGGTAGTAGTCATCCGCGCATTTGAAGATGAAACAGAGACACTCGGGGACGAAGCGGACTGAGGCGGCCTCTCCCCAGCAGAGCAAGTAGAGGGCGATTTGTCGCAGACGGTCGTACTGGCTCATATTGTTCATTGCTTGCCTCCAACGCTCTAGTGCGGTTGCGAGGGACTTTTCATGGCCTCCGCGCTTCTTTGATCCCCTTTTCGACTTCATGCGGCTGAGGCCTGGATTTTGTGTCTGGCCGATAGCGTCGTCGAGATCGAGCTGGGCGGCAAAGTACCATTTGCGATAGTTTGCGTTGTGGCCGCCGATGTAGTCAGCATGGAGGGTCAAGAGAGCCTGGTTTGGGGTCATGCGAGATGCTCGACTGTCAAGCAGCTGCATAAGGAAGTCGAACTGTGGGAAGCAGGACGATTAGTGGACTGTGGACATGGACTGCGAGGATGGAAGCGAGAGAATGTTGAACAAGGTTACGCCACCACTGACAATTTCTTGGCAAAGCGGTGCAGAAGGGGAGCAGCGACGATGTGGGCGGTAGAAGCGGAAAACTCACCATATTCCTCATCGAATCCCGTTGGAAACCAAACTTTTGTGTGAGATCCAGAAAGACGTCCTCAATCTCCTCCTTGGAGAGCGGTATCTGTCGGTCGGCGCTCCAGGCTGGGTACTGGTCTCGCGGGGGGACGTTGTATTCGTTGTAGGACGGTGCGCCTGTGTCTAGGTATGCTGAGCGCCCTCCTGTTGGCCCTATGGACTCTGAGGACGGTGCTGGTCGTTCTGCATAGACGTCTCGATCTGAGTCGGTATCTTGCATGGCTGGGGAGGTGGGACGATGAGACAAAGCAAAAGGAGGCTGGGCTGTCGACTCACGATACTCATAGTTTCCGTTGTTGTCATAGTCGTTGACTGCAGGGTTGCTCGAGTCTGAGGTGTATGTTTCGCGGCGGTCGCGACGGCCGAATTCAACATGGTCAGACTCGTTATCGTAAAAGCGGCGGTTTGAGTTAAAAGGGTCGTTTGAGTGGTCCATTGACGGGGACGAGGAAGGGTAACCCTCCTGACTTGGAGCCCCGTGGCGGCCAGACATGAGACTGGGCACTGGCAGCGAAAGAGCAGAGAGTCGACACAAGACAACCTCCCGACGCCGGTGGCAGACAACAAGCCTTCGAATGTACAGCCACCAAACAATCACCAAATTGCATTTCCCACGACGCTTTACCACAGCCTCCTCGCTAAGAATTATTTCCGTCACTTATGGCGTCCTTCCTGGGTTACCTTGGGCCTTGTACTCACCACTTCACTCCACTCTGACCTCGTCCACTGTCGTCAATAGAACCCGACGCCAAGAACGCTCCCCATCAATTGGGAAGTCTGCGGCCGTTAGCAGGGTCTATAGTCATAGCGCCCACCGGACACACCGCCGATTGTGTCTCAACAATCCAACTGTCTTGCTGGCGGACAGCGCCCTTGCAGGCTAACGCATGCCCTTCCACACGTGTTCCATTCCATTGATACGACTCGCTGCTCCAGCCTCGCCCCACGTGGTCCGACAGAGGCGCAAATGAACGCTTTGCCTTGCAGTCAAACGATTACCATCAGCCAGGTTAGGATGTACAAGAAGAAGCCTCCGCCGAGGCTCGAGGCGGCGGGCTCTTCGTCCAATTTTTGGAAATCGAATGTCTCCCTATGCTGCCCTTCACAAATACTATGATGCTCCGGAGGGATCGAATCGAAGGCATCCAACCCGTCGACATTGCCTTTCGAATTCCAGACCCTCACCACACATTGCTCAACTTGATTTGGTGACAGGTCATATGTCGCATGATCGCAATCGATAAAACAAAAAAATGTCCTTATCGATAACTCGACTGGGCCAAGTCGGAATACAAAATAATACTACGTACATGCCTTCCTTCTTCACCATCGCTGACGAAAACACACTGTTTGCAGGCAACGGGCCGCGGCAAGCGGTCCCATCCTCAAATGACAAACACGCCCCTTACGGACATTAATAGTGACTTAAGCGCCCTCCCCAAGTCGAAGGAAAAAACCCGTTCCCGAGGGAATAAATTTTAATCTCGAGCCATTATTCGACAGTCACAATATTCATATCCGCCCAATTCCCAAGCACAGCGAGCCAACCCCCTGTCACAACAGAGCTCCCCCGGCCGCTCCTGTTCTTCAAATTCCATTAGCCTTGGACACCAAAAATAGCCGATTTCCCGGTATTTGGATTCACCTTCCATTGAAAGAAAAGAGGCGCGTGTGTACATAACGTCTGTCCGCAAAGGCTCGAATAGGCGGTCACAGCTCGAAGCTCGTCCTATCGTCTTCTCACAGTCTGACACCTTTCGCTCCACAAGACACCGTCGGCCCAACCCTCCGATGAAAGGCGTGCGCAGAATGGGACAGAATCTCTGATTCTGACATATGCTTCGTATTGATGACACTGTAAAACCACAGACGATTCCTCCCTCACTATCCAAATTCAAACCATATTCAAACAAACCTCCGTGGCGCGGTCTACTACGTGGCACGTCGACATCAAAGTCTAATAAAACATTACCTTCACTCTAATTTTTGATCATGATCATGATACCCAACTTGAAGGCAGCCCGACTCGAACCCACTCACATGCAATTAAGCGCCCAACACGCTCCCTGCACGGTCCGTGCAACGTTTCATCCTCAAGGTCCCAGCCTCTAGACAAACCCGTCTCGTCTTATGTATGTGATGTCACTTTCAGCGGGAAGTATAACGTATATCTAGCAGTCCAAGTCGAGAGCTCGCAGGTGGCGATTTAGCGCCCACGGCGGACTCGTACTCACAAACCCCCGCAGATACAAAGCAGCCGTTACAATACACGAGTATGACCGATACGGTCCACTGATACAGTCTAGTCGAGTCGCCGTACCGTAGCTACGCACATATAATGCACACGACGAACGAGAGGAGAGCGAGAGGAGAACGCATGATAGGAAAGTTGAAAACTGAACCGCAGTCGCAACGAGATAGTAGATAGATACTATGTACACAGATCCCCACAAAACCCATGAATAGTAAATATACGTAGGAAGGGAATCAAGAAGATATGCAGACAGAAAGAGGCGGAGAGGGACTACTAGTGGCTGTGGGTCGTACAAATACAAAACATGCAAAAAGAAAGATGAAAGGAAGTCGCAAAGCCGAAAGAAACCGTCCGAGAAACCGAGAATTGTCCATCCTAGAACGCGTGTCGTGTGTCGTGTCGTGTCGTTCCACCCAAACAAGCAGGAAGCAAAAAGAAAAATAAGAATCGAAGGTCGCCATACCCACCTATGCATCATCCTCCACAACACTACCCCTCCCATTCCAACAATCCAACCACACTTTCACCCCACACCCAAGCCGACGAACGAACGGACCGAAAAAGCCCAACAAACATCCCTTCCCAGCGAATCCGAAAGATCCTATCTTCGCATCCTTCACCACAGGCCTCCGGTCCATCCGCCACACAACGCATGATAATGCCATAGCGTTAGGAGGCCGACGACAACAGCGCCGAACTTATACCATGGTTAAAGGAGTCGTACCGACACCCGACCGAGTGAACGGAAAGCGTCAACGCTTGACGACGAGGGTAGGAAGGTAGGAGAAGGGTGAGAGCAATCGAAGCGTCGGGTGTACTCCAAGGATATCAGCCGCAAATAGTACTTGTCGTAAGCGAATCTAGTCGTCGTCTTCGTCCTCATCATCATAAGGATGCCGACTTTTGCGTTTAAGGTTGAGCGCAGTGGTGGTATACGGCGAGCTGCGCTCGTCAGGCGGTGTCATATCCCGCTTCTTCCGCCTCCTTCGCTCGTTTTCTCGGATGTTGAGGCGGACGCCCCATCGTGCGAGGTGCTGGAAAATAAATAACAAGAAAAGGGAGCGGTGATTAATTCAGTTCTCATTCGAAGATAAGATAAAAGGATGGTTGCGTACCTTCGTAAGCTCAGTAGACGCTTGAAGACCAGGGAACTCCTTCGTCGAGAACACACGGAACGGGCCACCAAAACATTCAGCCTGCATCACCCGCACACCGTCCGGACTCCCCCTCGGGCTCCCATAGATATCAAAAACGCTATATCGAAGGATGAAGTATCCTTCATTTTTAACAGCCAGATCCTAGAACCACCAAACGCACCCAAAGAAAAAAACAAGTTACTTGTCAATTTCAAGTGCAGGCTACGAAGGAAGTTGGGCTCACCGCAAAGACGAAAACCAACGTCTTCTTCCCTCGGTATTCCACCAGATTTGGTTGAACGACGGTGGCGCCAACCAAGGAAGTGGTGCTGACCGAGCTTTTCATGATAGGGAAGTTGTTGATGTACCACAGGACCTGGTCTGCACGTGGGAGGCATCGTGGAGGGGAGAGCCGAGGTAGACGAGGGGGAAAAGACCAAACCAAAACTCAAATGTTAGAATCGCTCGATCAAGGAGTGTAGGGTAGAAAGAACGCGTGGAAGGAAGGAAGAAAGAAAGTCAAATGTAGCGTGAAGAAGAAGGGCGACGGCGCGAGAAGAAGCAGAAGAGTAGATCGACACGAAAATCGAAACCAGAAAACAACGAACCGGTAGGTTTCGGATCCACTTGCAAAAGGGGATCGATAGCGGTAGCAGCGACAGGGCTAGTTGATTGACTCGGGGAACTGGCATACGACGACGTCGAAGGAGGCGGCAGTGCGTGCTGACGATGAGGCGAGATCGACCCTCTTCGCGAATGCGGGTCGGTGGCGCTTCTGGAAGGACCTGGACTTCCAGTTCCACTCGCATTCGCCAACGATTCCTTTGCGGGGGGAGGGACAGGGTACAGATCGACGGTGCACAGAAGGCCGGGTGTATCAATTGCCCTACTCAGCCAAAGGTAGAAAAGACAATTAACGGTCATTTAGATTTTGGCCCTGGAGAAGGAAGAACACGCGACGTACTCGTAATTCGGGACCTCCCTTTCAATCCCGTCCTCTTGAACTTCAAACAGTTTGTATTGAACCACGGGAGGTGGATCGAGAGGTCTCCTGTCCACCCTCGCATACCTGCGACCGTTTGAAAACCAGTTGGTGGCAGAGCAGGAACAAGCGGCAAAAGAAGTAAAGGATACAAAGTGGAAGCGGAGAGAAAGGGTATGAGTGTTAAAAACAAGACAAAAAGGCCTCGGAGAACACTCACTTTCTTCCCAAATCGGCCTTCTGGATCTCGACGAGTTCGGCTCTCATCGTCCGACCCGCGAATTGACCTGTTTCGAAGTACATTGGCTTGTTTATGAAATCAGTGCTGTCCGCACTGCCTGGGTGAAAGAATGTTGCGAAAGGGGTGTGAGAGCCCGAGTCGTTGGTATTCATCGATGGAACAACGGGAGGGACATCAGACACTGGAGGAGAGTCAGAGGAGGTCGTGGAGGTCGCAACAGGAGCTTGTGGGCGAGTGTAAGTTTCAACAGAGCTATGGCGCGTGGACGATAAAGATCGTGGTTGGCAAGCGTCCCCGAGAGCAGAGGACGTCGATCTTGAGAAATAATGGGAAGAGCTGGGTTGACCAAAATTTAGCGGGGGGAGCTGTCGGTCAAAGGTGTGCGGAACGTAAACGTTGCCCTGTTCCTGTGGACCGGTTCTGTACATCCTCGAGGCCGACGAGAACAAGAGCGAGGCGGGACAAACCCAATACCAGCGTCCAAGATTGTGGAACCCTGCCGACTCGACGAGCGCACAAGGGTCTGTATATCGCTAGGGCTCCGCACCCAAAGTGAGGAACTTCAGCGATCCCCGACGATCAAAGCAGGGCAAGTTGTGGTAAGCGGGAACGTCGGCTGCGGGACAAAGACCTCTCGCTCCAAAACCCTGGACAGCGGATTTCCTAAGAGATGTGCACCGGATGAAAAGGATTTTCCAAACCGGTGCCTTGATTAGCTCTCAACCTTCTACAACACATCGACGCTAGATCCACTCACCACGGGCAGCAAGGGTTTCGCTGTTGCTTTCGACAGCAACGAGAGCGAATGGGACAGGGGGACGCAGTGGTGTTAGGTCAAGCCAAAAGTTGCAGAGTGGAATGTCAAGCGAAGGGGTAATCCAAGTTCCAGGGAAAGGGATGGCGGCAGACCCATATATCTAAGGATAGAGGAAAATCGAGATTGGTTTCCCGATCTGGAGGCCAATACCCGGATGTATACAACCAAGGGAGAACCCGTGCTTCGATATCCCTTGGGCAGAAATTCATCGACAGATTAGCTGTCGGCTGTCACAGGCTTCATCAAGGGTGCAATGGTACTGTTAGACTTTATCCGGCCAATGAACTGGTTTTCCCAGCCCTCGGACACGAGCTTGTCGCAAGGTTAAGTAGTCTCCTCTGTGGTCAAGGCACCACCTACTAGCCCAGCCTAGTCCTCCGTTGCTTCCCCGCGAAGGAATCCTAGTTTGTCAAGAACCCGGATCCGGAGAAGAAGAAAAAGTCAAGGGATAACTTATCGATGAGAACTGGGGATTCGGAAGTGCATGATACCAGAGTGGCCGTAAGCGCCTGGTTACATAATTACACCGAAGGACAGGATAGAGACATTGTCACCGAAAGAGAGGAACTGAAGGTGGACTGATAAGTGCATGGTGAGCCACTAACCCGGTAAACATCAGGGAGCGTAACATTTTAGGACCACCACCAGCCAGCCAAGACGACTGAGTCGCCATAAACCGGAATAAAAACATATAATTGAACGTGAAGAGGGATAATGGGGTTCAAAAAGAATCAAATACCAACGTGGAGTTCGATCCAGCCAACTTGTTTCCTGGAATGAGGAGATCCCAGTGCACCAAGTTCACCACGACCTCCGGGTCGAAACTGCCTATCCGCGACTGCTTGAATCTGCCTCATGGCAAACCGTGAACTGATTATCCACTGTATCACAAAGCTTATTTGAAAGGTGATCAAGGTGTGGATAGCCCAGTGTTACTGTAAGGCTTGGAAGACGAGGGTCATGACGATAAGTGGAGCGGGACAACCAACGAGATAATCATCCAGACAACGGATCATCCCACTATGCTGCTACCACGTCGAGGAGATGAGGTCACCCTTGATCTGGGACGTTATTGCCAACACCTTCGATGTCAAAGCCATAGAACATACGTTTGGCCTCCAATTAAATAAGTAAAATCCTACCCCTTTGACGGACTCACCAAGGAGATTGGAGGCGAATCCCCGCACCTTCCACGTTCACATGAAGCAGTCCCTCAAGTCATAGGGCCTCACCGCACCACCCCGATTCTCGAATCACAACTCCGACATGGTGCAAGATGACGAACCAAGTGACCACTTGATACAGTGCCGGACAGATAAACGTGACCTCTCAGGGCAGGGGTCAAAAATTGAGATTTTTCACTCGAAATTTGAGATTTAGAAGGAAACCTGGCCTAATTCGCGTAAAAATGCAATCTCCGAAAATGACCCAGTCACGTGACTTTTTCCAGATTTTGTCGAAAAAAATCCAACTTTACTTGGGTTTTAGGGGGTGGGATTGACAGGGAAGGCATCTCTGTCAGTCAAAACAGTGACTTAGGCCGTTATTTACACCCGTATAGGACTATAAAACCCACTTCTACCACCCCGATGTTGGGTTGGGGCCATTATCTATACCTAAGATTAAGATTGCCCCTTATCTTTGATCCCATCAATAGATTAGATCTTCCAAATGGGGAAACTTTCCAAATTTTGGGTAGAACTTTTTCTCAAACCTTCGAATTTGGGGACAGTTTTGAGTTCATTCGAAAGCTCTCGTTGAAAGGAGTCGTTTCCGATAGTTTTCGGAGAAATCCAAGTCATTACCTAAGCCCAGATACAGACGCGAGTTTTGGCGTGCCAAGAGGTCACTTTTGAGCGTCCCGCACTGTACTCCAAGTGGGAAGCCAAGGACATGGAAGGAACATCAGGTTATATTGGGCGTTATGGAGCTATTTCATAGGAAGAAGTTGGATTTTGCATGCAGGAAAGCTTCCAACAAAACGTACATATTCATTGTGAGCGTCTACAAGCAGAAAGGCGCTAGCTCTGCCCTTTACGGTCGATCCCGCTACGCCGATTGTGCCTCGACGAAGCGCTTCTCGGCCTCCTTGAAGTTGATAACGTTCCAGATAGCGTTCAAGTACTGCAAATCAAGATGCATGAGCTACCTCTGCCGAGTCGCAAAGGGACTGGATGACTCACATCGGGCTTGACATTCTTGTACTGCGGTCGATAAGGTTTAGAAGAACAGCCAAATCACATTTTGGGATGGACGCGAGGCGAGTTTGCCGATCAAAACACAGACAAGCCAGCTTTTAGAGGACTGCATGGTTTCGAGAAACGAGTTTATCGTACCTGAAGATAGAAAGCCTATATTTGAAGGTAACCAATGTGAGTGACATAACCAGACAGACAGGGCCTAGATGACGTACATGCTCCCAGATGTCCACACCAATAATGGGCGTGTGCGCTACAGAAAGAAAGTTATAAACACATCCAGTATGACGGAGGTTCAGAAGTCACATACAAAGGAGGGGATCTTGATTGGCGGTGGTCACAATCTCCAACTTCTTGTTGGAGGGGTTGTAACCCTGTGAAATAGGTTAAGTCTCCCGCCGGCCTGTATGACAGGCAACGTAATACTCACAAGCCAACCCCAACCACTTCCTTGAATGGCAGCAGTCTTGGTGTTGAATTCCTTCTTGAAGGCCTCAACGGAACCAAAGTCCCTCTCGAGGGCTTGCTTGAGCGCGCCGTCAGCGAGCTTGCCTCCGTCTTCCGAGGCAGGGGCAAGGTTCTTCCAGAAGAGAGAGTGGTTAATATGTCCTGTTCATGTGGAAGTTCCCGAAATTGAGTTCAACGGTAGCGGTCAGATGAGCCCGAGAGGTGGTGAGCACCGTGACGAGGAGGGGTGAGAGCATGCGAAGCAATACGGTTCGGAGTACGGAAATGGAACAAAACATGTCAGCCTTCTGCTTCGGAAAACGGTGACAGGGCTATATACTGACCTCCGCCATTGAACTTGATAGCAGCCTGGAGAGCAATCTGCTCCTTATACGAAGACGTCTTCGCGTAGGCTTCTTGAGCTGCATTCAGACCGTTGACATAGGTCTGGTGATGTTTCTGGTGGTGCAGCTTCATGATCTCCTCCGAGATATAGGGTTCCAAAGCCTATCAAATCGCACATGTTTAGCACTTCTGACCTTCAATTTAGTTCAACTGAGCACCTACATCGTAGCTGTAAGGAAGGGGAGGAAGAGTCGCCTGGGACGCGATCGACCTCTTCGCAACAGCTGGGGCGACGAATCCACGGCGAATACCAGCTCTAAAAGCGTTTCGACCGGCAAAAGACAACATTTCGAAAGATTCTAGGAGATTACAGGGAGAGAAACAGAGAGAACGTTGTGGTACAACGACAACCTCAAGTTCAGTGACGAAACGCGAGGTATTCCGATGGCCCAAAGCCAAAACGTCATTCATGACTAATCGACTCTTTGGAGACATCCACGTGATTGTCGCGTCGCCAAATCTTGGCACTTCCGCAAAGGGGCAAATGAATGAAATTGCATTCGACAAGCAAAAAGCAGGATATAAGTTTACGTACAAGTACAATCGGGATAAGGTATAACATTAACATCATCATATAAGTTACCAACGGTGTTCGATAATAATACAACGGAGAACTCGAATACTGGTACTGAAGTGAACGGGCAAAGAGTGAAGCGCAAGTCCACCAATCGGCATTATTTAACGTAGGCGTCGAGAATAGACAAAGAGCTTAGACTACCACAAAGCTTGATTGAGACCCAGTCCGTCGGTGCCAACTTCGACTGTCGCTGGAAATAGACGACCGAGGCGATCGAGCCTCCCAGGCTGGGCTTCCAGGAGGCAATTTGGCGGAAAGGTTGTGGTTGAACCTCCTCGTAGAGACGGATCCAAACGTTTTGACCTTGCATTCGGTGGCCTGCATCGATTCAGGGTATCCAAATACGTCGTAGTTGCTGGCGCGATAGACGCCCATTTGCCTGAGTCGTCCAGCGCTCAGGGTCGGCCATCGATCTTGCGTATACTGAAGAGTGAACTTTTCGATGTTGGGGTTCTCTTGGAGGATGCGGATTGCACTTGTAGTCATGTCTTCATCAGATGACTTGTACATTTTGATTAGGGTGAACGATTCCAGGTTGGGTGCCTGACGAAGTGCTCTGGAGAAATCTCGCTGGATATCGGATGAGTATTTTTGGACATCTTCATGCCTGAACAAGTCAAGACTTACCACGCGGAAAGTTGGGCGAGTGAAGCACATAACGTGGAGATGTCGAAGCGTTGGGCAGGCGTTCAGGAAGGAGCTGAACAACTGTGTTTCATCCTGAAGATAGAGTTGCCCACCGAACGACAGATCGATCCAGACACTCAAAGATTCCAGATTGGGGAAGTCTTGGAGGGCATTAAACGTCGGCTGGAATGAGGACATAGTGTGGTGGAGCGACGTGAGAGTGAGGTGACGCAGTTTCTCTGGGTGGGGGATGCTTCGAAGGTACTTGAGAGGACCATGAAAGGATTCGAGACGGGGAAGAGCAGAGAATGGAAGAGCAAAGGAGGAAGGGAAGATCGTGCTACCACCGGCATGCTGTAGGGCGATATGCTGTAGCCTTGGATGATTGGCAAAGAACTTCATGAACGCCTGATAATCCTGAACGGAGGAAATGTCGTCCTTGGTGCTCTCCTGCAGGGCCATGTCCCCCAAGGTTATCGAGCGAAGTCTTGGCCACCGCCCCAATGTCACGTTCCTGGCGTCGAAGATGCGGTGCGCAGGCGCCACAGCGTTCAGGGTCAGTTCCTCGAGGCGAGGGCACCGTTCGATCAACATCTCCCAGAACCTTCGCGGTAGCCTTTCAACCTTTGGGGGTCCAGCTAAATGAACATCAGCACGCCGCCCTAATCCCTCGGACATGATAACTCACCAGCCAACCAGTCCAACGATTTCGTCTTCACAGTGAGCGAGAATTGCCTCAAATTGGAAAACTTGTACAGCTGGATAAAGCTCCCTTTAGCCTCGTGACGCACATACTCCTCAATGGTACCGAACACACCTGGCTTCCTGGGTTCAGAGGTCGGTCACCAATAACGCTGCTGATTCCTTTCAAATGCGGACAACTGGAGTGACTTCAGATATGACGGAACGTAAGCAAAACTGGACCAACATACGATTTCCTCAAGGCCGTCCACAAATCGTCCGAGGGCATCTCCCAACCGTCCCAGGCAAAGTACTCCAAGGACCGAAGGTGAGGTGCGAGCGTGCAGACGAGTTCGCAGATAAGGTTCTCGTCGATTTCTTCGCCCGGTGCCGTCCATTCGATTGGGTTCGGGCAAACGGCGAGGCGGCGTACGTGCCGGGCGTTTTCCAGGCGTTTAGAGAGTGACACCAAGGTCGACTTGCATTGCTTGTTGGTTTTCAATTCGATATTGGAATAGAGACAAGGCAACAACTGTGCTCTCAGTCTTCGTGACTATAGAAGGGGAACGATAAGGACCGACTGGATGGAAGGGGATGCGATGCCACACGTACGCAAAGACTGAGGTTGAGAACGTCGCTCAGAGAGTCGCAGTGCCATCCAATATCCCTGATAACCTGACCGGGAAGGGTGTCGAGGATACACTTTTCCGCATAGACCAGAGGCTTGAAGGAGTCTCCAGACTTGAGGAGGTTCTTGAGCCTTGGGAGCGGGCTCATGGTTGGCAATGTCCTGCTCGGCATCGCTGGCGAGGTGGAACGTGGCGTCGTCGCAGTGAAGTATGTGGGCAGGCGAAGAGCAAAAAGCCAAAGCCAGGGTCCCGCTTGTATATATCGGCAAACGGGCAAAAATACCGTATGGATTTGTGATAGATGAACGCGGTTATATACTGCGTCAAATGGGCAACGGGGCGTGTTGCGGATATATCCTTTTGCGTTCGCAGGCACCTAGACCGGGAAAGCTAGACAAGAGGAATGATTCTTCCGACCAATATGGAATCTAGCCCAGAGGGTGAGCGGATAGCCCACGAGAGCAGATATTATCGACGACGGTTTAGAAGCGGAGAGAAGGGTGAACGCAGGCCAGAACGAGGGTCTTTGTCACAGTTGTCGGAGCCAAAACATATCTTGGCGCCTGATGATGACGGTGACGTCTGTTGACTCTTCAATTGACGCCATCTTATGTTTTCGACACCTGCTTCTCGTCAATCCTCTCCACTTCGTTGCTAACCCGTCAGATAACCTTTCTACACAGTTGGTAGCTTCACCTTATCGCTGAAAGTAAGAGATTGCCGCCTCTCTAAGTATAGACGGAAGGGTATCGGAATCGAAACCAAGCCGAGCTCGAGGCCGCTGTATCTCAGATCCTGTCACCTTCGAACCAAAAGGCGCCGACTCCGAACAAAGTGTACCTCAGACCTCTGGAACCTTCTTGGAAGACCATTCAGTCACCTTGTGCTCATCGATGCGGTTAAAGCTGTAGGCCCGCGAGAACAGTAGAGAACAATTCTTACTAACGCCTGCACCTAATGACGAAAATGAGTGCGATTACAATCGGACAAGTGTCTCAGAGCAACCTCCTCAGCTCAACCTCGAAAGGACAAGCTTACATCTCGAGAAGCCATGCCGTCGAAACGTTTATTCGGTCAACTAACCATGCTTTGTGCTGTCTTTCCCAAGGCTCGCCAAGTAGCGGGGAACCGAGGTCTTGATTGTGAAGACAAGCGACGCCCCTGACACGCCTTTCCGGTGGTACCACTCCGTTACCGACTACCTAATCCGGCAATTCCTCCTCTCCGAGTTGGCCGCTCCTGTTTACAACCGCAGACGAAGGTGTCTAAGACAGCAGTTGACCAATGTAGCGCCAGGCTGTTGGGACAGATTATAGACCTCATGAGCGCCTACTATCTGACAAGCTCTTCTGGAATGGCAGCGGCGTCCGAGACGACGTCCAATGGGAGAAATTGGGCGTTGCATGAGTTTCTCTGGTGAAACAGATAGCTCAGTCTGCGGCACAGGCTTTAGAGCACCCGCTCTGTCTTTAGTGCAATAAACCGTCTTAATTGCCTGGATCGGACCCTGCCCCTGATGCTTTCATCCAAATCGTACATCCTCACATCCTCACATCCCCACAACCAACACCCTGTTCAGGGCGATCGCCTTCCATTAAGGACTTCAATCACACTTGCTTCTTCACTGCCATCCTTGGCCAGCCGCTATCCCAGTTCTAACTCCTACACGTTTGCCCCAGGCACAATGGGCTCAATAACTACATGACATATTGCGAGCTCGCATTCCCCACCGGCCGCAAACCCAACCATTAGGAAACTCCTCCACAGCATGTAGACCAACTTGACGTACATCTCCAAGCCAAGTGATCATGACCCTATATCTCACTCGTCTCACCTTTCGCCACTCAATTCAAAAGGGTCAGCTGTGGCGGCTGCCTCAAGGCTCGCTGTTTCTGATAACCTGAAAACACGAGGAGACTGCGGAGAACAGGCCCCGGACGCATGCTTTTTGTGTTGTTTTTTGTACAGATCATGGAATACTTGGAGATTTACGGTAAATAAGTGAGACGGCGGTGATGTGTTTCCGAGTGCAATCCGAGTGTCTTGGTGGTACGGGCGCTCACATTGATAAGATCGATAAAGCCGGTCCGCGTGTAGTATGGGCGCTTATTTTGAGGTGCACATCCCGGGCAATGCGGAGCGCGATTACGCTCCCGCATCCCGTAATCTCAGGAAAGAGGCGAAGTAAACGATGGCTGTCCGATTTACTTTGACAGAAGACATGTTCGACCCTTACATCTCGCGTCAGATCGGTTACCTGGGAGCAACGTTCGAAAATGAAGGGCAGAATACACCCCGCACCCGCAATCGGGCACGCGACTCAGGATTAGGCGCGTTGGAGCTAAACAGAGCTACCCTCATGCTCAGGACTCGGAATGTTGTATCCCTCGTTTGTATTTTCCTTTCTCAACAAATGGAAAGCACTGGAAAAAAGAACACAAGGCTAACACGCTGCTTTCATAGATGGGTTTGAACCCTGACTTGTCAATTCACCCACAGAAACCAAGGGTCATGGACGAACGTGACAGGTCCACCGGTGATAACAAGCAGCCCGTACGTAGTTCGACAGTTTGGGTTTATGTACTGGAAAATTCTCGACTAGTCTCAGCCAAGCCCCGACGCCTCGACAACGTGTCGGGAGGCTGACGCTCAGGAAGCGAAAAGATCGTCGGAAAACAGACTTCCTTCCGGTGTACAAGCGAGGAGATCTTCTGGCATCGGCAGATAAAAATATGAATCCAGAAGGATATTTCACCGGCTTCGTGCAACGACGGACTCGCTTCAAGCGTCTACCTCACTTCGAGCGCGTTGGGCGGCGCCTCACCCGACCCCGTCGAGAGCGAAAAGCTGAGAACCACCTTATCCAGCGCTCGCGCAGCATCTCCACTGTCAAAAACACATGTATTCCCCGAAAGCACCAGTATAATATGAAACCAAAGAAAAACAGTTGGCAGAATGGGGGAAGGATAAGAAGGGGAAAGTGAAACCAAGAAGGCACACCCCAGGAGAGGAAGACGGCCATGGGGGAGCATAAACTACACCCCCAAAAAGGTCTACACCATCTTCCCAAATGTCGATAGATTACAGGTCTATACAGGCGGCATGTACACTCGAATGACGGACTGAAGTATCACAGAATCGAAATACATCGATAGTGCTCACAGATGACCAACCGAGACGAGTTTAAATGACGCATGTCGGCGTTGTCGTCGTCGAAAGGCGTTATAATAGGACGGCGGTGACGAATGGTTTCATGTCATGCACTCTTGGAGAAAGCTATTGTCGGAGTGAGAGTGACTGGCGGAGTGAATGGAGGAAACGCAGGAGAAAGCAAAGATAGAGAGAGACGAAGCCCCTGTCTCAGAAGTCGCCCAAGTCAATATCGATACTCTCAAGAAGCTTCTTCTCGAACGCCATGGTGGTGTTGGCAGTCATAGGCCTCATCGAAGCGTCATCAGTTTTGCCACCAGGAGGGGGAGGAGGTTTAGGAACAGGGGTGCCGGAGTTGGAGTTCGCTGCTGGTGTGTTCGGCCTAGAATGGGCAAGACAGAAAGAACATAGGAAGAAAGGGAGTCGGAAGGTCAACGATCGATGTCCAATATCATGGTCCACGCCAAAGAGAGTAAGTTGAAAAGAAGAACCCACCTCGAGGAAGGCGTAGCAGCATTGAACAATCTTGGCATGGTCCTCAATCTTGCACTAGGATCATGCTTCGTCGCAACAGCAGCGGCAGCACCTGCTCCTCCGGTTAGTGCTGCTTTTGCAGCCATTTCCCTCTCCTTCCTCCTCCGCTCGCTTTCCGCAAGCTCTGCTCTCCTGACGGACTCAACGTTCGCCCGACGATTCCGCTCATTCACCCGGCGCAGTACCTCGTCTCGATCGTCAGCAGCCTTTCGGGGCGAATTGCTGGCTGTGCCTCCCGAGGGACCATTTATCTGTGCTTCGAGCGCTGCGATCTTGTCTTCTAGCTCTGCCGCTTCTTTGTGATCCAACCGCTTCAGGGCTAATGACCTAGCTTGACTAAGCCGAGATCTCTCGAGCATGAGTTCGGACGAGCTCTTGGACGATTGGAGCTCCTTCTTTCGCTTGAGCATGAAAGTGATATCTTGGTCTGTCAAGGGAGTGTCCTGGAGCTTCTTCATCTGAGCTGTCTTGTCTTGCAATTCCTTCCGTGTGGGTAATGTGACGCCTTCCGCCTTGCAAACTCGGACTAGTCGGTCGAACTCTCTCTGCGGCGGATCATTTGGCCCATCGTTTCGGACAGGAAGTAGGTTCTCCTCACCTGTGTAAAGTCCGAGTTCGATATGCGGTCCATGCTGAACTCTCGGACGGATTGACCATGCTTGAGCTCAACGGCTTGGTTGATCAAACGGTCGTTGACTTTATATGGCTTCACCGGCTTGGGTGCAATGCCTACGACGCCTCAACGGCAAACCCCAAAGCGAAGATAGGAGCGACTTACCTTGGATCTCGCACATTCGGTAGACAGGCTCGGAACCTTCATTTCCGATGAGATAGCGCACCCAGGAGTCTATGGTGGAATGATGAATACGAATGGAACTAGGAGCAAGGTCTGGGCGCTTACTCTTGACATACTCGTCGAACCACGGGCATAAACACCACTTGGCGACCATATCTCGGCTAAGGCGACAGTCATTAAAATCTTGAAGGGAAGCAGGTGTGGTGTCTTCTTCCTCCTCCTCTTTCGACTAGACGGGATAATTTCAGAGAGTGTTGACATTTCTCGGAACATGGGGGACGCACTCTGGACGTGGAGATTCCCAATAAACGACGTTCCCTTTCCTCCTCATGATCACTTCTCGTGAACTGACCATCTTCAGATTCTTCGTCGGAGATATCCATATCCTGAGGTGACGTAGACCGGCGATTGGCATTCGGTGAGAGCTTTGCCTGTTACAAGCAAATGAGAAACAGAGTGACAAAGACCGTAGGACCGGACGTACTCTTTTCCGAGATTCGTCCTTCGCCCTTCGTTTGGCCTTCAACTCGTCCAATTTCCGTGTCTTTTCTTTCGTAGCGCCGCGTTGCATGTGTTGGCCTGTTCAGAGTTTAGCGGCGGAAGGAAAAGTATTCCACAAGTTCACATACGTTTTGCCGCTCGTGAAACGCTATCATCGTCTATCACCACGCCGCCTCCACCGCGCTGCTGCCTGACCATCTGGGCCAGCACCTGCTTTTCCTGCAAACGCTGCTTCTCCTCAATACGCTCGGCAAGGATTTCCTCGCGCTTAATTTCAGGCATAGCCAATAACCTGAAATGCGTTAGCACATAGGCTTTTCCATTCGGCGTAAATCGCACCTTTGCTTATCTTCCTCGTCGACGTATTGTCCCTCATAAGGATAAGGGTCGGAAGCCTCGTCCTCCTCCTCAGCGTCTTCCTCGCTTTCAACTTCTGGCTCCGAATCACTGTCCATACTGCTAATAAACAGTCATTAGTCGCCCTGCTAGACGGTAGTGGTGTTATTACGTACCTCTTTCGCTTCCTGGAACCCGATTTCGACTTTCTCCTCCTTTCCGTGCGATCCCCTGCGCCTGCGAGCTCAAGGAGCTGGTCGTCGATATCATCTTCGAATTCGGACATGGCGGTGTTTGAGAATTATATAACTTTAAGCTGAAATACACAGTATGGCTCCTTGTAGATGTTGTTCAGAGTCCCAGAGGTCGTCCTTGGGTTGTCGTCGTCGTGGTTGTCGTCGGAAGGAAAGAAAGAGCGGTCAACAAGCTGAAGGTGGCCACGGCATGGACCGTGGGAACATCATAATATTGCCTCCGGCGACGGGGTCGAGCGCATCTTGGCATCGTCCTGCACGCTCTTGACGCTTTCCTTGACAATACTCTTCATCGCGAACTAGCATCGACAACAGGAAGCAAGCGATTGGTCTCAAGCCTATTCAACAAATAATACGATATATCGAGCGGTATGCCCGCTCCAACCAAAGCAGCGCGTCACGACATGTCTGTTATCCTGGTCACCGGTTCTTACGACCACGAAATCCGATTCTGGGAGGCCTGGAGTGGGATCTGCTCGAGGACGATTGCTAGGACTGGAGAGACAGGTGTAAATAACCTATGCTTTAACTACAATATATGAATCTCATCACCTTTCTTTTCTTAACAGCAAGTGAATCGTTTGGCCATTTCACCTGAGTAGGTCCGCCCATCACCAACTCTTGAGAAGCGAGTTTATGGACTGTAATTTCGCGATAATTACAGTAAACGCCTTCTAGCTGCAGCCATCCACAAGAAGGTCAATATCTATGAGATTGGGAGTCCGTTGAATGAACCGGTATGTTGCTTTCGAGCTGGTTGGCTTCCAATGCTGAACAGACTTTCAAGCTAGTGACTTTCGAAAGTCATACAATGAACATCTCTGCCGTTGCTTTCCACAGTGAAGGAAAGTGGCTCGTCACTGGCAGTGAAGATGGGACAATCAAGATCTGGGACCTTCGGTATGTCCCTGCTCGAGCTGTAGAAGAATAGAATTAATGAAAGTGGTCAGAACATCGTCCCTTCACCGAACATACGACAATGGGGCACCAGGTACGTCCTGCCAACCTGTGTCAAACGCCAGTATCTGAACTATATCACAGTGAACGACGTTATCATCCATCCAAACCAAGGCGAGCTCATCTCATGCGACCAATCTGGGAGTATCAAGCAATGGGACCTGGCAGAGAACGTCTGCTCGCACGAATTGGTAGGTATTCCTTTCTTTCGACGACCAATAGGTCTAACAGATGGTTCAGACTCCTGCAGGCGACGTCCCAATCCGCTCCGTGACACTCGCCTCCGACGGTTCATGTCTGGTTGCTGGAAACAACAAGGTCCCTACCAGTTCCATCTCCTTTGCCCCCTGATCTTGACTTTTGTTCCCCCAGGGCCAATGTTATGTTTGGAAGGTCAATGAAGAGAATACCAACCTCCCACGATTCCAGGCCGTGACAAGATTCCAAGCACACGGCAAGTACCTAACACGATGTCTCTTGAGTCCAGATGCAAGGTGAGTCGATGTCCCCGCTAATAGGACACCCCCCTTGCTTAACCTACCGTCCCAGATACCTTGCCACATGCTCCGCCGATACAACAGTGAAGATTTGGTCTATCAGTCCGACCTACGAATTCAAACTCGAACGTATTCTGGTAGGACATCAGCGCTGGGTGTGGGATTGCGCGTTTAGCGCAGATTCTGCCTATCTAGTGACTGGTAAGCCTATCCTAATTGGAGCTTCCGACTTTAGCTGACTCCCGCACTTCAGCATCATCTGACCACACTGCTCGACTTTGGGAGATGGCGTCTGGGGAAACTGTGCGGCAGTATAATGGCCACCATAAGGGTACGTTCAGGCTCACAGTAATTACATTTTGGATACTGATTGCCGTCCCTGCTAGCCGCCGTCTGCTGCGCCCTCCATGACGGGGCAGGGTAGAGTTTAGCTGTTACAGATAATTTACAATTCCATTTCGTCTCGACTGTTAAGCTACGCCTTGGATACCTCACGCCTTAACCTGACCAATCTCATACAGGTACGTTCCCAAGAGCTTGCTCTGTCGGATTGTCAGCAGCCGCCCGAGCGACGAAAGAATCGCATCACTTACTCCCTGAATGAAGTTGCTCCTGTCCAACTTTTCGTTCGTAGAACTAAGGCATAATCAGCCACTGCATCATCCATACTTTCGCAGATACTCACTGGGCACCATCGTCTCCTCGACCCATTGGCAGCAGCAACACGTTCACACCCAACGACTCTGCAAAAGTGAGAGTAACAGGGATCGAACCTCCCTCTCGCGTGAGGTCAGGATCTTGCTTGTACACCGCCTTGGTGGCCCGTTTGGCAGCCTCAAAGTTCCAGTGGTTGACATCCGCAACCCACGGCTTGCCTCCATGCAAGTTCTCGATGATCAACTCGTTCTTGCTGTTAAGCTTTGCGAATTCTTGCTTGAGGTAGGCGATGACGAGGGGGTCGACCTTTTCGGGTGTCTGAGGGGGGACCAATCTGCAAGCACCGTTAAGTACACCGACGGAGAGAAACTTGTCGAGAATCCTCACCGGATGCTGAACTTGCCAGAAACCTTCGCGGGGATGACTGTCTTGGCTCCGGCACCGCTGAATGCGCCTTCGATGCCGTGCAAGGACAAGCTGGGGTTGCGCATACGGCCCATGAGAACCTCCACCTTGTTCGAGCTGATGGCGATCTTGTTCCCAGCGGCTTCCTCCACATCAGCGATGCTGTAGTCCAGGGATTGGTAGATCGCCCTATAATAACACGTTTGGTTAGCTCATCCGTGTGGACCAAGTATGTGCATGCGTACCTTTCTTGCTCATCGGCGGGAGGAACCATCTCGTCGACACCTGGAATCATGATGTTGCCCTGAGTGTCGACGAGCTTGCTCATGAGATGAATAAGGTCGGTCATGGGCTCATGGACGGTTCGTCCAAAGACACCAGAATGGAGATCACGACCCGGACCAGAAACAGTGACCTTGAAGTAGGTCAACCCACGGAGACCATAGGTGAGCGCCGGGGTGCGTGTGTTCAACCAGTAGTTATCCGACTATAATTCCACTCTTTAAGTGAGCTGAATACCACTGTCTCAGAAGAAGCGGCACGTACGATGCAAACACAGTCAACTCCCTCGAACCATCCTCCGGGTTTCGATTCCCTCTGGACGAGGTCGTCAAGACCCTCGCTTCCGCTCTCCTCCATACCCTCGAAGCACATCTTCAAGTTCACAGGCAGAGGCTTGCCGGTCTCGTGATGGTACTGCAAGACATTGAGCCAGCCAAGAATAGGACCCTTGTCATCCGAAGATCCACGCCCGACAAGTCGCCCGTCCTCCTTAATGACAAGGGTGAACGGGTCGGTCTCCCAGCCGTCAGATTTATCGGCCTACACATTTTGGATTCCAGCGCTCTTTAGACATCGTCAAATATTGAAACCAAGTCGATCTTCGCTCACCGGTTGAACATCAAAATGTCCATAAATGAGGACAGTCTTCTTGGAAGGATCGTTTCCAATCTTTCCGAGGATAGCAGGAGGGAGAGGTAGTTCCTCTCCATCCATGACATGTTTCCCCAAGTCCACAAGCTTTGTCTCAACGCCCACAGCTTTCAACTGGGCGTCAAGCCAATCCGCCATCTTAAACACGTCCTGCCTGTGTTTAGCATCCCCGCTAATCCTGTAAAACACAAGATAAATTCAATTTCGAAGATCCGGAAGAGATAACATGCACCCGACAAAGGGCAGCGACAAAAGAAAAGACAGAGACATACGAAGGAATCGCAACAGCATCGGCCAAACGTTGGATGAACGCGTCCGCCTTGTCGTCGATATACTGCAAGAACTCTGCTGGTGCTGCCATTGTCGTGTAGTGCCTTTCGCCGCTGGGTTGTGTTGTCGATAACCTATTGGTTGAAAGGAAACACCTCGAAATGGATTTCTCAGCTTGTGTACAGTGTGGTCGTAGTGATACACTGATAGGGGCATGTGGGCGCAGGGAGATAAGATAAGATTAGCGATCTTGGATTCGCGACCGCGCTGGACCGATCCAGCAGTCCCTGCTGAGTCCTTTGTCCGCAACCACCACCAACGACAACCTCCACCTCGCACGATGTCCAGCTCTATACTCGCCAACATGAGTGCCTGGGATGATAGCTCAAATGTTAGTCTAAACCCACCCAAGCAAGCTCGAGATCCAGCTCATTGCTGACAACTCCAGGGTTTCCGTTAGACACAAAGCTCGTCGAGCAGCGGGCCTGCAAGTCGGTTACCAGCAAAGCCAAGACCTGCTAAACAACCTGTAAAAGATGACTGGGAAGACGATGATGATGAGGAAGAGGACGACGAACCTCCAAGCGCCGAGAGGAACCGCCAGATCTGGGAAGACGCGTACGTGCTTGAACAATGTTCATCTTCTGCATTCTAATACCGTTATCTCTCTGTCGTCCATTAAAAATCCAAAATCCAATGTTGAAACAAAAAGAAACAACAAAGTCCATCACCCAATGCCAGACTTGATTCTCTCCCGAAACTCATCCCTCGCCTCATCTTCATCAACAGCCCAAGGAATCTTCCAACAACAACCAACAATGCGCATCTTGAAACGACCCACAGCGAACTCGAACAACTCTCCATCTCCAGCACCCTCAGATAAATCAGCAGAACAAAGTACAATGGAACAGCTGAAAGAGCGAGAGGCGAGGTATCAGGCTGCGAGAGAAAGGATCTTTGGTTCTGGTGGGGAGACCGCAGAAACGGCGCGAGCAAGCCCTAAACCTCAGCAGACCCAAGTGAAGATTGCCCGGGAACCTCATGGGCCCAGTTCTGGTTCCGGCTCATCTGGACAAGCTCCAGCGTCGAAAGGATTTGTCAATCGAAGGGGGAAGCCACCATCTCCCGGCGTCTAAAGTTGTGATATGCCAGTTGACTGTCTTCGTTTCACCTTGGGAGAGGGTTTCTACCCCCAATATTATACCAGTATCTTTCATTTCTGTGCTCACGAACGAACATATCGGATCGCTGCCTTCTCGTTCTTGGTATCAGGTACGGGTTCGTGGTCGATTTCATGCAATTAGGCTTTACTCTACGAATCTATCAAACACTCCTTCATACAACAGAAAACGTACTACTACAGTACTCAAGTCCTTCTTCCAACAACAAAAGGGTAATCAACGAAGGTATCTAAGATAAATGGTCGTGAATGAATTACTTGCGTATCAATGTCCGAAGGCAAAGGTATTAAACCGTCATTCTATGGATATTAAAGGCGTCTTGAAGAAACAAACGTGTGGGTGATGGAAGCAACAAATCTTCGACCTTGCATCATGACGCACTCAAGGTCGTCCAATGGTGGTAACCTTGAAACCAATCTTCCTCAGCTTGTCGGCATCGAGGAGCAATCGTCCGTCAAAGACGAAAGCAGGCTTGTTCATGGTCTGGTAGACCTCCTCCCAGTCGATCTGAAGGAATTCCTTCCACTCGGTAGCAATGACAACGGCCTCGGCGCCCTTGCAGGCTTCCATTGCCGATTTGTGAACAGTGACCTGTTTCTTGACTGGCACAGGTTGAGCAAGAGGCAACGAGGAGTATACTAGAATGAAACTTACTCTGCTCCAGAGGGACCAAGGGACTGGCCTCCTGCAAGTCTTGCCAGATTTGCTCTTCCTCGACTTGAGGGTCGAACACGCTAACGTAGGCCTTCTCGGATTGGAAATCGCGGATGAGGGTGATAGCGGCGGATTCACGGGTGTCACCAGTGTCGGCCTTGAAGGCGAAGCCAAGGACGGCAATGCGCTACAAGGGCATATTCGTTCAGCCCTCCATGCGCCGAGAAACGGAAATGAAGCCAACAAACCTTGCCAGTGATGGTATTGAACATGGTATCCACCACACGCTTGGCAAACCTCCTCTTCTGGTGCTCGTTCATCTCCACGACCTGCTTCCAGTAAGCAGCAACCTCGGGGAGGTGCAGGCTCTCGCTAAGATAGACAAGGTTAAGGATATCTTTCTGGAAGCACGATCCGCCAAAGCCGACGCTAGCCTTGAGGAACTTGGGACCAATGCGGGTATCATAGCCGATAGCGTGCGCCACCTCGTCGATGTTGGCACCAGTAGCCTCGCAGATGGCAGAGAGGGCGTTGATAGATGAGATACGTTGGGCGAGCATAGCATTGGCCGCGAGCTTGGAGAGCTCAGATGACCACAGACCAACGGTCAAAATGCGGTCCTTGCTGTAACATTCGGCGAAATGAGTTATCGTTCATTAGCGTAGCAAGTGGAAAGAGCACATACGGAACCCAGTTGGAGTAGATATCACAAAGTGATTGGCAAGCGTTGAGGCCCTCCTCGGTCTGGAGAGAACCAATGAGGACACGGTCGGGATGGAGCAGATCGTTGATAGCAGTTCCCTCTGCAAGGAATTCAGGGTTGGACAAGATGTCGAATCGGCAGCCGGGCTTCGAGTTGGCCTCGAGGATGGTCCTCATCGACTCGGCGGTTCGACATGGCACAGTCGACTTTTCGACAACGATCTTGGAGGAAGTAGCAACACTGGCGATTCTGCGGGTGGCGAGTTCGACGTAACTGCGAGGAAAGGGCGATTAGTTGGCTCATTTATCAGAGCGGGATGTTTAGCCCGCTAGCGAGCCGAAGAACGAGGTCAATCTCGGCTCGCCGTGGGCCACTCACTTTAGGTCAGCAGCAAAACCAGCACCGACACCGCTCTTCTTGGTGGGGGTGTTGACACTGACGAAGATCAGGTCAGCCTCCTCGATACCCTTGTCGACATCGCTGGAGAAGAAGAGGTTTCGGCCTCTCGCCTGCTTCACGACATCGACCAAACCGGGTTCATAGATGGGGAGCTTATAGTCGGGGCTGTTCCATGCATCGATACGCGCTTGGTTGAGGTCAACAATCGTGACCTGGATGTGGGGGCATTTGAGGGCGATGACAGCGCATGTCGGTCCGCCTGTTTACAGACAATGTTTCGTGTCGCAGAAAGCGTAACGGCGAGATCGCTGTTAGTCGCAATCGTTTTGAGTACTCGACAATAAAGTCGACTTGCCTACATAGCCAGCACCGACTACAACGCGTTAGCACGTTGACACGAGGAAAGAATATCGAATGATACGTACTGCAGCAAATCTTGGTGACTTTGACTGGGGCCATTAGTGGATATTTCTACAAGTCTGGCGGCGTTGGGCAACGACGGCGACGACGAACAAGGAGAGAAGAGAGATTGTTGTGGTTGGGGAGAAAGGAGAGGAATGTTGCGATTGTTTGCTGGAAAAATAGTTGGCGGACAGCTAATAATTACATACAAAGTCAAGCGGGATCATTGTCCTTCATAATTGATCTCCGTTTGAACGGCCGTCCTGCATAGTTCGTCTACACCAGTCTTGGACCCCATTTCTCTTCGGTTTTAGGGGTTCCTGGTTATTTTTTGTAAACAGTTTCTCCAGGACCAGGGCGTGCAACATGCGCCACGTCGTTTCAGGGATCGAACGGAATATTGATCACGGAAGCAACACGCAGCGACTGGGGCTAGAATACACCTGGACGTCATCCTCGACATCTTTTTCCCTTGTTCTCGACGATGGTAAGCACTGGTAAGCATCTATCTCTTCATGAACGTCGCAACCTCACACAAAGTTCCTAGATGTCCAGCGTTGGTCATGATGGTGCTCGGGGCATTCCAATCAACTGCCACCATTCAATACAAGATGCCAAACCTGCGGCGCCAAAGATCACTTACGGGTCACCTTCAACTCCTTGACCGCGAAAATGGTGCCCCAAAACCGACCCTGACGGCCATGCTTGGTTCGTCGTTTGTTGGCTGGTGGAAATCGCGTCCAGGCTCAGGGTGGATAACGTGAATCGAGCGGCTTGGTATTCGCCCAGTCATTTGACACGCTTTATTGGCCACTTGGGAGCACCTCTTCGCCTGTTCACTTCCGTACTCGGAATGAGCTCCACTACACGTTCTCGTCTCTCGATAACCGTTATCTTTGCCACCACGTCCTCCGAAAAACCCTGTACCACCAGCAAACGGCGTGCAACCGCCAAACACCGACTACGTCTCGGTTGCCCAGGTCAAGACGTTTCAGCTCGTACCAGAAGATTCGATCTTGTCGAGATTTTGCTTTTTGCTATCAGAATCAGTCAGACGCCAGGAAGAGTATCATGGTCCCGCTACGCGCCATACGAAAAACCCTGGAGCCGTGACCAACAAGCATGCTCCCTTTGTGCCCTACCAGAAATGCATGGCAGGTCATATGTTCCAAACAGGGTTGAATTCTACCATTCGCTGGTGTATCTCTAGTCACCGAGCGTGGGGCATCCCGCGTCGGGTTGGTCCTCGGTAGGTTGTGATATGAAAACCGATTGCCTGGTAAATGTAATGATATCTAGTCACCCAAGAGAACTGCGTATGACCAGCACCGGAAGGCACGGTGCCTCTGACATCGAGTCTGATCGACCGCGGCTGGCAAGGCGCGACGGCCGCTATCCTCGGGTGCCAAACAAGCGCCAACGCAAGCCATCCAACTGAGGCTCGGAGTTCGAGTATACTCAGGCTCACTCTGTACTCACTCTATCCGCCACCACCACTGATGTGCGCTACGATTAACCTCGATCTCTGCTACTCTGGGGATAATCGGCCTTGCTTCGACAGGACACTAGGGATGATTATTGGGCTTTTCTCAACAGCTTTTTTATAGGTTAACCTGGAGATTGCGGGGCTTGCCGCGAAGCCCTTGCCATTGGACTTTGAAAGCACAATCACACACGATTGACCAACACACCCGTTCCTGGATAAGTCGTAATGTCATCAGCGTCATCGGCCCTCAGCTGTAGTACTTGGTGGGTTCGAAGGACTTCTCCAGGAACGCCGACCAGAAGCCTCCAGAAGTTTCATTGCTTTCGGCTTGTCTTTCTCTACCCTCTGCCGACCCTCTCGAATCTTGTCCTTCACCGATTATCGGGGCTCCTTCCCCGGCACGCTCTCGTGGACCCCCCGTCCATTTGGTATTGTGGGAGTTTACTGTGGGGTACGGAAGGGTACGGAGTCAACGTGATTTGAGGGGAAATTATCCCCTTGGCTATAGTGCTCCTCTAGTCATCCGAGGACCCTACGCCACCTACGACCGCACTTGGAGCGCTGAAGAGAGCAGCGCAAAATAGCACTGGAGGGTCCCAGACAGTTTGAAAGAACCTCCTCTCCTGCTCGATGAAAATTCGCGCGTTGCCACGGTACAGGCGATTCTGAAACGACAAAAACTTGGCGGGCTTGTCCTTGAATCGAAGGTCGTGACTTCCCTTCCGCGACTGCCGAAAGCTTTCAATTCACTGCGCGTTGCAAAACATCAGTGCGTGCGCTTCGGATTTCCCTTGACAGAATCTCGGGTCATCGGGTGCTATTCAGAGGTCGAGCTTCTCGTCCCCCGCACGCTGCATATCGCAACGGAAACGAAGAACGCCCGTGCCCTGAGGCCCGTTCCCCCACACTGCAGCAACAGGACACCCTCCTCACATGGCCTTGTGTGGGGAACGCTTGCTCGCGCATTTCCCTCGTCCCCCGTCGGCATCTTGTTAGCCATGCTTTGCTCGTCAAACGAGGTGGAGCGCCTGGGATCACGGGGAGTGAAGGCCATTGTCTAGCAATCAACCAGCGTACGATGGCTTGGAAGGCGCTGGTCTTTGCATCTTCCCGTTCAGTTGAGGTCTGACACTCACTTTGGCGATCTCGCTCGGACAAATCATTTCATCTCGTCTCCCTTAGATCATTGAATCATTATCAGCGCTGTTACGAGCGGGAAAGAGGTGCACCAGAACCTCAGGCTGTAGACCGAGGACGGTTGCAGACTTCCGGAACCTGTTTCTGGCTCCCATGCCTTTGCCAATGCGGGGAAGATATCCCCAGATGTACAGTCAGAAGGTAAAATTCCAGTGATTCTGTATGACTTCCCTGATTGTTCACCACATGTCCTTTTTTCAACAGGGAGTGCGCCCAATTCAATTCGTTGAACCAAGTCGAAAGCCGACAAACCCTTGTATCGGCATAGTCCAACTGTGTAGCACAGCGACCAGAGAAGAACAGTTTTATGCTGCTTTGTTGAGTTCGTCGATGTGGTTCTCAGCTTTGGACCGTGTGGGTCGAGTGCTTCTTTCGGGATCTGGGACACGGCAGTTCGTTGTAGCCAAGTTTTTCCGTTTGTATTGAGACTCGATTGCTGCTTAGATAGACAAACGTATAAAAGCGCTCTGGATGTTTCAGTTGTAGAGTCAGAGAACCTCTCGAGTACCGTCTCTCTTACAGCTTTACCTTCACCCCCCCCTTCGACACCTCGACGACAATGAAGCCCATCAAGTCCATCGCTGGCCCTCTGGTCCTCCTCGCTTCTGGCGCTGCTGCCCGTACCTTCACGGTATGTCCGACCGCTCGCTTTAAGTTTGCGGTTGCTCACAATGCCTCATAGGTCTACAACGCTTGCCCATTCACCATTTGGTATGTTCATGGCTCTCTTCATTTGTGACCTTATCCTGACATATGTCTTTTCACAGGCCTGCTGTATGAATTATGCGTAAATTTCCACCAACTAGGTCACTGACTTTCGCGGCCCATAGATCTTTACCGACCTTAACGTTGGTAGCGCCCGTCCCAACCACCCCACCGGGTAGGTAATCTTTACAAACGTTTGTGATCACCATAACTGAGCCTCTCCCGCAGCTGGGAAGCGAAGCCTTACACCAGCGTCTCCTTCCACGTCCCCGACAACTGGAGGGCCGGTCGAATCTGGGTACGTCGTCGCCCTGCTCACCCATCCAGACCTCTTCTAAACCCGGCGTCCCATACAGGCCAGGCGTGACTGCGACTTCTCGACCAACCCCGGACCCAACTCCTGCCTCACTGGTGGTTGCAACGGTGGCTTGCTTTGCGACGAGCGCACCGGAACTGTATGTTCACCTTCTTTGATCGCATCATCGTTCGCAATGTTGACCTGTGGAGCGTAGGGTGTCCCACCTGCTTCCCTGGCGGAGTTCACTTTGAGTGCTGCTGAGGATTCTGACTGGTACAACGGTGTGTAAAGTGCTTGCTGATCGATGCGTAATGAGGCTGACGGGAGTATCGTTATCTAGTCTCCCTCGTCGACGGATACAACTTGCCCATCAGGTCAGTTGCCTCCACCGAGTTCCTTCTCTGATTCCGGGAGGCTGACGCTCCCCCTTTTCAGGATCTCCAACAACGCCAACTGCCCCGTCGCTGAGTGCCCTGTCGACCTCGGCCCAACCTGCCCCCTCCCCATCCGTGGCCCTGTTGACAAGAACGGCTGGGTCACTGGCTGCAGGTCCGCTTGCCAGGCCAACTTGGACGGCAACCCTCGTACGTCCACTAGCATTCCTTTTCTTCTAGCGCTCCGATTGACCGTCATTTGCAGAAAACTCTCCCAACTGCTGCTCGGGCGAGTACAGCACCCCCGACAAGTGCCCTCCTTCTGGTGAGTCGGACAACCAGGCCTGCTCCAACTTTGTGCTAACATCGCGTCTAGGTGTTCAATTCTACGACCACTTCAAGAAGAACTGCCCCAGGTCCTACGTCTATGCTTACGACGAGAGCAGCAACACTGCCCTCTTCACCTGCCCCAAGAACAGGAACGCTGACTACACCATCACCTTCTGCCCTTAAGAGTCTGCACCATCGTCTCAGTGCCCACTTGATATAAAAACTATATCCTTATTAACGTTACCCCGTACGCAACTTCGCTTTCACGAATGGATGTACGCTCGTCCGAGCCGTCTCCGATGTCTTTTATTATCTTCCCTTGAAAAATATCATGTTTTGTTATTGATGTCATTGGCCTCCCTGGATGAACTTGAGAACTTCCGTGACTGACATCGGTCCCCTCAACGGAAATCAGCTGTAATCCTCTGTGCAAAGGACAAAGGTTATCTTCGAATTTGCTTCCGAAGCCCGCTGAATCTCCCTAAAAGGTAGGCGCTCCGCCGGTCCTGAAACGGGAAAGGGACCCGACATGTTCCGTCGGCGCCTTTTGCCTCCGAAACGATGTCATTGACGCCCATCATCATCAACGTATAAAAGCAGAGAGACCTAACAAGCGAGCTTTTCGTACGACTTTCTTACGACTTTTTTTTTCTTGTTCTTGACGTCGACAGTGACCCAGGATGCTCTCGACATTGACCAACCAGTCTCGTGCAGTGGTGTTGCGCGGCGCGCACTCTCAGCGCCAGATTGTGGCGTACGGGTCGTACAACGCTCAGCGCGCCTTTTCGTGGTCATCTGCCAGGCATAAACAGCGTCTGGTCATCCTAGGTTCGGGATGGGGAGGATACGGACTGCTGCGGGGGATTGACAAGAATCGATGGGGTATGTTTCCTGTGTATCGTTGAACCGGTTGCGATTCTGAAGCTTAAGTGGGTTAGACGTCATTGTTATATCACCTAACACGTACTTCAACTTTACGCCGCTCCTGGCGAGCTGTGCCGTTGGAACTCTGGAGTTTCGATGTGCTGTAGAACCAGTACGTGGTGCTCAACAGTGTCAATGGACATGAACTCACGAATGAATCAGGTTCGACGCTACTCCCCGGAAGTGGTGAGCCACATTTCAGGCGTCCTAACCAATTGGGTCGAGTCTGACGACATTGTAGACTTATGTTCAGGCTTGGTGTGATGATATTGGTGCGTCTTTCCTTTTCTCGACCGATGCATCAATCTAAACGCAAATCATTGCTAGACTTCAAACGGAAGACCTTGACATGCGTGCGTTCATCGGCGCCCATCTTGGTTCCTCGAGATCAAAACGCTAATCCTTTGTTCTATAGATGCCGGCCACACGACCACCAAAATCTCAACCGACAGATGCAACAGGAGACGAAGTCGCGCGTGCTGAAGCGAGTGCGGACAGGGCATTCACTGTGGGGTATGATAAATTAGTCATTGCAGTCGGAGCATACTCGCAGAGTGAGTTTCTTGTCCAAAGCTCTCAGGAAGGATAGGTCTAATCGTTTGCAGCTTTCAATGTCCCCGGTGTGAAGGAGAACGCACACTTTTTGAAAGACGTCAGGGATGCACGGAGGATACGAAGCAGGATTCTCGAATGTTAGTTCTTAGCCCATGTTGGTCTTGCTCGCTGAACTGATCTAGGGGGATAAACAGGTTTCGAGCAGGCCAATCAGCCAACGATGTCGGACATTGAGCGGATAAATCTCTTGAATTTCTGCATCGTTGGTGGAGGTCCCACTGGCGTCGAATTCGCTGCCGAACTTCACGACCTGCTACACACTGATATCGCGAGACATTACCCTAGGACATTGGTTCGGTTGGCCAAAATTACGCTTTACGATGTCGCACCGAATATTTTAGGATCTTTTGATCAATCACTTCGCAAGTATGTGCTTTACTCTTGGATCGAGTGAGGCGTTCGTTACTGACGTGTTTCTCGAAGATACACTGAGAAGACACTCTCCCGTGAAGGTGTTAACATCCTCACGTCGCACCACGTCGAGAGGGTAGAACCTGTGAGCATGATATTGAACTGCTAGTCGAGTATCTGCGCTGACCATCACACAGGGCAAGATGATCGTGAAGGAGAAGGGCGAAGGTGAGTTACGCTTCATGAAATACACATGGTTTCCACTGACGGAATCCTCAGTTCCCTTCGGACTCCTCGTTTGGAGTACTGGCCTTGCGCCCAACCCGTTAATTAAGGCGATTACAAGTGTGCAGAAGGACCCGAAAACGTCCAGGTATGTTAATCACGTTCACAGCGTTTTCACAAGTGGTTAGACTGACTGGTTGGCATCCCAGTCTTATCACGAATGATCATCTGAATGTGATCATGGAAAACGGAGAACCGAACCCCGATGTTTGGACAATTGGTGATGCTGGCACCGTTGTCGACGCCCCGCTGCCCGCCACAGCTCAAGGTATTTCGTTAGGCGCCGTGGGTCAAGGGTTCGCACTGACAGTGGCGGTCCTTAGTCGCAAGTCAAAAGGCCAAGTATATGGTCAAGAAATTGAACAAGCTCGCTAAAGACCGAGAACACAATGTGCCCTTTACTTTCCACAACCAAGGAAGTCTGGCGTACGTCGGTAACTGGTTAGCATTTCCCTTTTGTTATAGGTGTGGCCGATGTTGAGACGGGGACTTGCAGGAAAGCGATCTATGAGAAGCCTAGTGGTCCGGCAGCGGAAACCAAGGAAGGATTGCAGGGAAGGTCGGCTTGGCTCTTGTGGCGGTCTGCCTACTTCACCATGACGCTAAGTTGGAGAAACAAGTGCGTGCTACCCTTCAACACCGTCCCTTCATTTCTCTGATATTGATCTCCACTCTAGGATTTTGGTACCAGCATACTGGTAAGGCCTTATCGCGCTTGTAAGAATTGTTCCATACTCATCTTTGGCGAACCGAAATCACAGGTTCTTGAATTGTAAGTCCCATTTTTCTCCTTCATCGCCAAAGTCACTGACGCAACGCCCCCAGGGATATTCGGACGCGATCTTACGAGGTTCTAGATTGTCATTTGGACGATGCATGCACATAGACTTATAACTTACTTTCGGGACTAAGGGTATACTATCTACAAAATTGCCTAATAATACATAGATTCACTCCTCTCGTTAAACATGGAACCGGCCACGACGTCTCATTCAGGACCTTCCCATACCCCGGAGCCGACAAGTGTGTGCGATCTCTTCATTTCCCTTCACGATATTAACAGGCGACAGCGACAGGTTGAGGTTGCTGGAAGTTGGCGACGCTACTCACGCGCGACATTTTCTTCCCGTCGACGTCATTCCAGAAGTCTACGACGAAGCTTCCTTGCTCTAGGCCGTTATTGCCTACATGCTGCAATTGGAGAAGCATATCTTTGAAGTTGGTACTGGCGAGGTCTTTCGACATCTCATACACTCCCGTTCGGTTCACTCCGATATGGGAGATGTGTCGGAAAGAGTTTGTTACCGGGTGCGAGATCTGGGCGCGGGTAATTGAAGCTGAACGTCCGTTGAACGATTTGGAACGGGTGTGGTGTCTGGATCGGAAACTCCGTCCTCGTTTCGGTGGAGGGACTGCGGGATCGTGTTAAGATCGTTGTCACAACCGACGGAGGCGGCGAAGATGTCCACTCACCGTCTTTGCACACTTCGCTGAACACCTTTTTCGAAAAAAGAGCAGCTTCATCGTCATCTTCGAACAGGAGGCCATACTTTCGCGTCTATAATTATCCTCGGCGTTAGCACCACAATCGAACCCCACGGAGAAGGAAGACTTACCCTGCCGCTGAATACATGGAAGAAAGGCCTGTCGACCTCATACTGGAGTCCGGCGGCTGGAATCTCAAACATCCAAACCGTTTTTCCATTCGCTTCGTCGGACAAAGTGAACCAGTGCTGGCCATCGCCCTTGATGTCATTGGGCTTGTTCAAGGACCAATTTCGGCCAAATGTCAAGGTGCCCTTGAGGCGCGAATAGGTCCATTCGTCCTTCTTGGCGTCCAAATCAGTGTGGTAGATTCTGGCGTTGGCGACGGCATGGATTGATTGAGTAGACGTGGTGGCGGCGGCAGTGAGGTTGGGGATAGGGTGCCTAGTTGCGGCGTTTAGGTGATGACTGAGAGTCAAGGAAGACGACGAGCGAGTGGGGACGGGCATTCTTTGCGAATAGAAAGGCAGGAAGGATTGGAGCTGGGAGGCTATTCATTTGGGATGCGTCCATTTAACGGCCAACCTCGCTTGCAGCACGAGGCGGTATCGATTGCCTGCAGTGCTTGGTGCGCAGACATGCTCTTGTCGTGCGGTGTTTCAAAATGTTGCGGTCACATTGAGGCCAGAAAACAGACATAGCAGGTAAGATCCAAGGTATAAACAATAGCGACGACATGCTCGATTTAGAAACCGATAATGGGGTGACAAAATGTGATGATTCAAAGTCCAATGTTGAATGCAGGGTCATGCGGGGGACATGACGAGACTAGTAGTACATGTGATGCAAGTTGAGTTGCTGTGAGTGTGATAGTGGGTCCAGGAGGGGGTGGGTATCACAGAGCGCTTGGCCTGTCGGGTTTCGTTTTGATGTCCCATGGCTCGACGATGACGCCCTGCTTCATGTTTTCAAGGATGGGACCGAGGTATTCGAGGGTATTGAAGTAGTGTCGTTTTAACGTAAGGTCAGTCTTCCTTGCGGAATCGAAGTCGATGATGCGGTAATTGTGGACTGTGCCGTGGAAGGGGCAGACGGTGCTTGGGAAGCTGCCCGACGAGTTCGGCGCCTGGAGGATGTTGGAATACCGTATGTCGGTTTGTTCAATACCCATGCGGGCGAGATCCCGGAATACGTCCCAAAGATCGCCTCTGTGAGGAGCATGTCAGTTTCATCGGTCACCTGCTTCGAGCCAAGCTGTTGGAGTGACTTACTCTTCCTGGAGTTTGTCGCCGAGTGGCAATGGATCTCCGACTCGCTCGAGTAGAAGGATTGACACTTGTCTGTTATTGGATTGGACGGGGTTAGAGGGTGTCAAGGGCGGGAGCTTCTCAGAACCCAATGCGGGGATCACGATGTCGGAGGGGAGGTTGGCCGTGAACAAGCCATAGCAACGAGGAAGAGAGACGCCTTGGAGCAGCTCCATCTCCTCGTACATGGCAGCCTCGTGGGCGAGACTTTCAGCACGATCGAGAGCGGCCACTTTTATGACCAGGTCGGGCAGATAGGGAGCTCGGGGATGGAATAGTCTAAACGACGGGTTCTTGGGGTTGGTCATTCGCATGGTGTCCACAGCGAATATGGTCCCACAACGACCTTGACCAATGGCATTTTGGGTCGAGACTACGAGCTCGTTGCAGGCCGGGGGAGGAAGTTTGGATGGGGGACGGGGAGGAGGGTTTGGAAGCACCTCTCCTCGCCATGTACGTGTGGCCTCAACTGGTGGAGGCTTCTGCCTGGTGAACTGCACGTAAACAGGTTTCCCTTTGGATGTTTGGGCCCAGTCAACGACGGTTAGGACCTTGATGGCATTGGTAGCCTGAAACTAGGTGTGAGCGTCCTCGAACGTTGATATAGAGCTGGTCAGACGACTTACCACTGCTTTCTGCTCGTTGACGGCGCTCATAACGAAGAGTTCTGAATGTGTGAAGAAAAAAGAGGGCTTGGGGGATATTTGTGATTTAGGGTTTGCCCTTTGGAGCTCTTTTTATGATGGTCTGGCGGTCACAACTTCATTGCGAAAGTTCTCGGTCATATGACAGCGAATAAGAGCGCTAAACGTGTCACCCCGATGACTACATACAGCCCTGTCAGAAAGCGGTTAATGAAGGGCACAAAGCCTTGGTGCATTTCGTGATTGGTTTCCAGTTCTGATTCGCCCAGAACACTGGAATCGAAGCGAACCATCGGACAACCCCCTTTCTGTCGGACTTGCGGCCCGAAGGAATCGGGACCAAGCACAGACAAATAACGCGCTCTCCTAGTCACGCGATCACGTGGGTCAATGTTGATGGCAAAACGAGTGGCGGTCGCTTATCGACGCTTGGCCACCGCCGTCACCGTCGCCGACGCTCAGCAAGACCGTATGCAACGCTAGTCGCCAATGTCCAACTCGACGGCCACCCAGATTCTCTTCAACTCACCTGCGTTGCACTCGCTCAAACGCGATCAACTCGTTAGGCTCTGCAAGACACATTCCCTCAAGGCAAACGGAAAGAATGTCGACCTCATTGAACGACTCAAACAGCATGCGCTAACCCTGCCCAAAGATGCGCCACTCAGCATTGCCGTCAGGGGTGAAGACAATGAAGGCGAACCAATGGACCAAGACGACAGCAACGACAGCATTAACTCTGAAGAAAACTCAGTGGCGACGTCATTTTCCCATTCGACAAGACCCAGCGAACAGTGGGAGGTTGTGATGGATAGCATCGCTGAAGAAGAAGAAGGCTCGTCAAAGGGCTCATTGTCTTCTATGAGGACAGTTGTTAATGGAAACAAAGCCGGTGAATTTGGCACCGGTTCATCCAAATGTGAGTAATGTTGGGATGTTCCAAAACCCAGCAGCTAACGGTTATACGCAGCCTCGACGGTCGGCTCGTCATTCAGAGCGCTGGCGACATCACTTGGCCTCAAACGAGGCACGTCCACGACGTCCTCCAAACACAGTGTTCGTTCCGCGCTGTCCCGTGTGACCGCCACTCCAACGAACAACAAGGATGAACTCGAGGAGACTGCAACTCCCTATTCTGAACTACCCCCATCTGAACCTGTGACCGAAGTCAAGCCGCTTGCATTCAACCCTGCTCGAATGTCAATGACCGGCTTCTTGGCCGAAGGCGAAACGCCCTTGCCAGGCCATGCTTTGCGACCTGGTGTCCCTGCGCCCGAGAATGCAAGGCTTAGTCTTGGACTAGGACTCGGGGCACCCGCCACTCCTCGCAGAGCGCAACCGACAACGACCATCCGCCTGGTCTCCCACGGTGGCAACGAGGCGGCATCCAAATCTACTTATAGCTACGCAGGCCCTGCCACACCTCAGCTTAAGCCGCTCGAAACTACTTTCGATTTGATCATGGGTAGCCCTGCCGCGGAAACTAACAGCTGGTCAGCAATCGGAAGCATCTATCCGAAGTTAACTATGGACGATCTACCTCCCGCTTCCCCTCATCAACCGCCACCCGCAGCTACAGAGACAACCACCACCACACCCACCCCTCAATCACCAGAGCCATTTGTGTTCGGTTCACCGCTTCCAAAGCATCGCGTTTCCAATGCCCAGTTTGCATCCGCTGCGGCGAGCGTTCTCGAAGAGATGAACAAGCGTCTTCAAGAAGATGGCGTGGAAGGCGTAGACACTAGCATCATCGATCGTCTGCATCCCGGGGCTAGTAATCGACAATCCCTGTCACCCCAGGAGGTTAAGCCTCTTCCCGCCACTCGGAACACTGGCGAACACAAGGAGAAATTCGATTCTCTTCATCAGAAAGAGTTTGCGAAAATGGAGGGTATTGACGGGATGTTGAAACGAAGGCAGGAGCGTGCTGCGAATGATGTTCAGCCTATTGTCGGCAAGAAGCGCAAGTCTAGTGTCATGGGTGACGATGGTCCTCGCCGTCCTGGCATGGTTGGACGTGCCAGCCAGACTAGGGTTATCAGCAATGGTCGCCGCGCCAAAGCCCTTCCCGGTGCGTTCGGCATGGATGACGAAGAAGAAGAAGAAGAAGAGCAGGAGGCTGAAGCTCAACCTGAAGAAAGGGCTGGCAAGCGAATTCGTGTTTCTTCCAACCCAATCGACAACGCCGCACCTGCTCAATCTTCGACAGATGAAGAACGCGCTCGTAAGGAAAAGGAGCGCCAGGCCGTTAAGAAGAAATTGGAGGCCAATAGGCGCAGGAGGAGCAGTGTCGCCGGTAACCGTAGGCGGAGTAGCCGGGTCAGCGGAGGACTCAGTACGTATTTTTGTTCCACAAAGTTTCTTATCACTACTAACTTATTGTTCATCAGTTCAACCTAAAGCCAAGCCATCGCGATTTGGTTTCTTATCATCTGCGAAATCCCTGGTTCAGAGTGTTTGGAATCGAGGGAAGACCACTGCTGCCCCAGCTGCAAGCACAAACATCCCCAAACCCAATACCCTTGTTAAGCCGCCACCAGCATCGAAGGCTCCGCTTGATCTCTCCAAGAAAGCAGCCGCTGCACCTGCAAAACCAACTTCAGCTACTGCTGTTGCCGCCGGTCGAGTCCCCTCTGGCAAGGCAGTTAACAAACCGTCGGAGGCCAAAGGATCTATCACGTCTGCTCGTGCTCGATCTCCCATCCCGTCATTTGGTGCAGGTTCTTCTCGAGGAAGTATTGCAACCAACAACGGTACGCAAGGCAGCAGGATGAGCCACCTCTCTGCCATGGCCGCTGCAGCGTCCAAGAAGACCTCTGTAACAGGTACTGCTGCTTCCCGAAGTTCAACTGCCAACGTTTCTTCCGTTGGTACCCGCACGTCGCTCGCGCAGCCCACTACTGCTGTTGGTAGTATGGGTGTCAAGAAGCCCAGTCTTGCCCCTGGTCGGGCCTCCGTTGTTGGTTCAAACAATACCAACTCCTCCCTCGCTGGCAGACCCTCCAACACCGGTTCGAGTTCATCCAGACTTTCCACGTCTTCCCGTCTCTTTGCACCCACTGCCAGCTCCTTGGCCAAGACCAGTAACAGAAACTCTGCTGCCGGTCTCAGACCTGCTCTGGAGAAGAAATCCAAGCTCAGCCTCCCTTCGGCCCCTCGACATACGCCTCAACCTCAATCTCCACCTGCATTGACTACCATCACTAACAATCCTCGCCCAGGCAACATTCGATCTCCGGGTACACCTTTCTCTCCCACCCGAGGCAAGATTTTCAGCACTCCTCTCCAAATGCCCAGTGGCATTCCAACTCCCGTAAAGAAACGTGTTCCTTCTACTGAGAGCAATACTTCCAAGGCCACTACCGATACAACTACCACCACCAACTCAGGGGGTTCAACTTCTGGTAGTGGTGGAGCTACCGTCGTACGTCAGCGAAGTATCTCAGGACGCAAGCCCAGAATCTCGCGTTCCAAGGTTATCGCTAGATTGGCTTCTCAGCGGGCTGCTTCCTCCAGTTCTTCCTCCTCGAATATTCCAGGTACGCCTAGCGTGCTTGCGAAGAAACCGGGTGGAAGGCCTAGGTCCAGTTTGGGAGCGAAAGTACATAGGGCTAGTTTGACGGGAGGTATACAGGCGAGGAGCAGGATGAGCGGGGGTGCAGGTGGCGATGTGTTGATGAGTGCAAAGAAGAAGGCGCGACAGAGCGAGTATATTAGGCGAAGGAGCAGGGGACTAGTGCTTTCGCCTACACCTGCCGCGAAGGAGGGTGGCGCGATGGAAGTTGATGCATAGACCGATCCCTCATCCTTACTTAGCGACATCTTTTTCTCGTACTTCACGTTTCGTTCACCCACTTCAAAGCGACCCTTTCTTCCTTCTCCTGTTCCCAAACTCCGACATTCTAGACACTTTCTTCCCATCTACTGATTAACTTATCCATCCACGTCTACCCCAGCGGAAGACGGGATGACTTGAGCTCACCTTTTCCCTTCATCTTCATCTCCTGGACTCTCTCGATCCCCCGTGCTGCGAGATCGTTCTCTTTATGCTTCCTCGTTCTTGCCCCAAGTTTATTTCTTGTTCTCGATTTTCGTTCTCCAACCCATGCCCATGTGAGGCTTTTCACGTTGACTCTCGAACTCATATCTTCATACAACTCATACTTACCCGCATCGTCTACTCACTCGACTCATGTATCATCTCATCTCATCCTGGGTCTCGTCACCTGTGTTGTATCTTAAAGATTATTGTATATCTAAAATCTCTCGGTAAACGAATTGTATGGACGTCGTTGAATGACTGCGCAATCGTCTCGAGAAGTTTCTGGACGAAGAAGGTGCGCTAGGAACCATTGTGGCTGTAGACTGGACATACCCACACTGTTCGGTGGCTCTGTGAAAGTGTAGGATGTTTAAGATAATGTATCTCAAATGGCCAACAGAGCCTCGAGCCACTTGGAGGACAATCGTCGCGATCGCGACTGCGACCCACGGCCTTGTAATACTCTTGATCTTCAACCTCCACCAACTCATATCGCTGCTTGCCTGGTAATCCAGCAGAACCTCTCGGCTTCAAATATATTTTTGACACGCTTTCCTATCAAGAACCCTATTTACTCTATTTTGTCCTTGGAGCAACGGCGGTATCGTTAACGCGGCCTTGAACCCTAACGTCTCCCAGTGCCAGGCCCACAAAACACCATGGACACAGGTGGCGTTCGACCCTTTGAAAGGGTTTGTTTTAACCTGTCCAGACACTGTGGCGCCGTACCTTTGGCTAGTTTTCTGGCCAACGATTACCAAGATCTCGACATCAGGGACTACCATATCCTGCCGTTTGGCCAAACCCCAACCGATAACGAGCCAACCGACGCGAATCTCGCGACTCTACAAGCAGCCACGGTAGGACCTGAGTTCAGAGGTGTGCAGGACGGCGAGGAAGGGCAGCCGGCTCGTGCTGGCGCACCCAGTGGTGCTACTCTGCCACTGGGCGGGCCAGCGTCGGCGACTACTGACTCGCTGGTTCCTAAACCCTCTACTTGTGGCACCACAGGTTCGCACCCAACCTCTTCCTCCTCGACCACGGATTCGAAATTATTACACTCGAAGCCTACACCCGAAAACGCGCAGGACATGCTCGAGCAGACTTGTTTGAGGCTTTGCGGTACAACAGAGGGGCTCTTGATCTGGGAAGTGTTCCGGGACCACAAACTGAACAGTGAACATCTTCTGTTTCTGCAGTCACAGTAGCCGTTGCTCACCCTCTTCTCGACAGCTTTTGGCGCAATCTTGACTGTAACATCTCTCACTGGACTTCAACGCACGTATCGAACTCCATCTCCTCAATATCCCACGGGGCTTCAGGCAAAACGCGAGGCTGCTTATCTGGCTATCCAGATGGGGGCGCTGGATTTCCTCCGGACTGGCGAAGAAGACCGGATGAAGCACAAGAAAGAAGAGCTGGTGGCCAGAGCGAAGATAGCGGAGCAGCAGAGTAGACAGCAGCGGGAAGAGAAGGGTGAGGATGAAGATGACGCGGTCAGGCTTGTGGAAGAGGCATGTGAACGGAAACACGCCAAAATATATTGGGTACCGTATCGTAATCCTACCAACAGAGAGCGTAAGTGGTCTGGGTGCTTCTGCAGACCTTCGTGCTCAATCTAGGGACGTAGAATGGGGAATGGCACTACGTGTGGCCTTGTCTCTGCACCAAGCAGAGACCTACTCCACGGAAGCGACGTTCGAAAGCAAAGCCAAAGCGAAGGCTCAGTGCGCTTCGACAGCCTTGAAGGAGGACCTCCTGGAGTATCTCAAATCGGGGGAGGGCAACGGCGAACCTTCCGCACGTTTCCCCTCAGGTCTCGGAATCCAGCTGCAAAGGGCTGCCTCCCACAGGTACTCCCTACAGGAGTACTTCGATACCCTGCCTAAGCCTTTCCCGATCGAAGTCGGCCAGAAGTCAGCCCTCGACCTAAAGCCCGTGAATTGGGTGAACAGTCTGGTCCAGGGCACCAAGGTGCCCGGCTTGAAGGTCAATTACTATTTTACTAGTTCAGACCAAGGTGCCGCAAGTACGCGTATTCTATTTTTCTCGCAATTCCTGTGCTCAGCTTTGCCGACAAGGCTTGTCCGGCTGTGTCCTTCGCGTCGAATGGCATCCCAACGCCGCCAACCCACAGAAGATCGACTGGAAACTGCCTACCTATATTGTCGATTGTCACTTTGCGAGGCGCGCCGACGCAAAAGCCGCCGTCTGTCTGTTGGCCGTGTCGCAAGATATGCAAGGCACCATCCAACAACTAAAGGAACGATGGCAGGATTCACGCGAGGCACTATTGTCCAGGGCGCACAGAACGCTGGCCGAGTCAAGAATTATACCTACACTGATGAGCAAGGGCTCGAAGCTTACACAGCGTGCAGGAACGAAAGGCTACCACCGGATTAGATACGAATGGGGTGGAGCTGATGGAGGTAATCTTCTTTCCACTCCTCGCTTTTCATACACCACTGACTCGTTCATTGCGTAGCCTTTGGGTGTACGCTCAAGGTTGACGTCTCCAACGACCCGAATTTCCCTGACGTCAGGGAATTCTCGGTCGCACCTCAATACCTTTCCAAGCTTGAAGCCAAGTGCGCTGCAGCATGCGTTGCTGCGAAGTCTGGCGTCATTGAATTGCTACATTCGCGCAGCGGTGGTGTTGTTTCCGAGGTTCGAGGGCGTGATGGACAGAAACGAGGCTATTGGGATATCCTCAATGACCTGGATATGGACGAGGAGGATCGAGGCAGGGAGCTCAGTCTCCTCTTCACAGAAGGCGGTCGGGGAGTGAAAAGGAAGCACGACGGGGGTAAGGATTCCCATAGCAAGAAGATCGACGTTGGAAAGATGGGTGTGGATGACGGCGAGATCGAGCAAGGCCAAATCGTAGAAGATGACCCGCAGGGAACGGTAAGGTTTTTCTGGCTTGGAACGGTCGGAAGGGCTTATCAGTGGCCAAGGCTTCAAACTATTCAGTTAGCACCAACCCGCCTACCGCCCCGGGCAGGCGCGCAAAGAAGAGACAGGCGCATCAAAATAGCGAACCTACCAGGCTAGGTGGTCCATCGTCTCTACCTCGCCCTCCCCCGTCTGCGCGTCCATTACCCGCACGACCGCCACCCGTCCATCCTACGCACTTTCCTCCACACGGATACCGACGTCAGTTTAGCGGAAACACTGGTTCGCTGCCACCGCGCCCTGAGCAACGAATTGGTAGCCATAAACACGCGCTACGTGAAGACAGCCAAATGCGGTGGACGTCGTCTATGGACTCGTACAAGCCAAGTCCCACCTCGCATCGCCATCCCATGACATAGCAACACGCCGCCATCCATGAGCCACTCTTCTTTAGGGATCCCTTGCTATTCGCGAAGTCCTACAACACCCTCTCTTCCACCCTATCACCGAAGAAAAGCTCCCATGTACATTAGCACTCATTGCTCCAATCTCATGCAAACCTCGCGCGCTACAGTTTAGCGCCGGCACAACCGATGTATGTACCACTTTCCGGTTTCAAAGGTTCGTTTAAGTTGCAAGTTCACCTCTGAACCCAAAGCCGCGCCAAAAAGATTGATGTGGTCTAGAACGTCATGTCATTAATTGGTGGTACGAATTATCAATAAAGATAAAACAAGTGTTGGTAAGGGAGGCAAGGAGGACAGACAACATCGAAAACATCAACCGTAAAAAAGGGTAGGGCGGAGAGGGTCATTTCATTACAACAGGGGGGCGTATGATTAGCATTTACTGGTCTAGTGGATGGTCGTGTAGGGAGTCGGAGGCGGGTAGGTAGCGGGAATTGGCTATATTTCTATACAAGGGGGAAGTCGAAAGTGGACGAATGTGTCAAGAGGGGCACAAGGAATCCAGGCCGGCTGTGACGTCATGGCTGCTGTTTCGGTCGGCGAGATGAAGCAGAGGAAATGCTAAAAAACACGGCGTTTACTTCAACATGGCAGCCAACTCTACAGCCCTTGAGGTGATATCCTCAATGCTCCACCTCTCCCTTCGAGGAATTCCATGCTTCAAATCCAACACATCACCGATCTCATCACATGCCCTCAAAATCGTGTCGATGTCGTCCTTCGTATGTGCCGCACTGACACAGAACCGCACTCGACTCGTAACGAGCGGCGTGGCGGGGTAGGCGACGACGACGGTGATAATGGGCGTCTGGCGGTCCTTCATCATTCGGTGGAACATGTTCATCTTGCCGGGGTTGAAGAGGAGGAGGGGGACGATAGGGGAGGCGGGGTGGCCGTAGGTGATGAAGCCGAGTTTGATGAGACCATTGTGGAGGTAACGGGAGTTGAAGGCGAGGCGGCGGAGCCGGGCTTGACCTTCGGAACCGGAAGAGAGTTGGACAGGGAGGTTTAGCCATTGTGGGAGGCTGGAATGAGGAGCGGGACCGGGATGGACGTATTCTTCCTCGACGGAAGCAGGGGCGGATGCGAGGCGGAGAGTGGAAGAGGATGTCGAGGCGGCAGGGGCAGTCACACCCATGATACTGGCCATGGATGCAACAACCTGAGTAAGGACGGGAGGCGTCATTGCTTCTGCGTAAGGTCCCGAGTGTCCATGCACACGGAGTCGATCGATGATAGCCTTGCTGCCAGCAATGTAGCCACCAGCGGCACCGAAGGATTTCGTGAATGTGCCCATGAGAATATCAATGTTGCGAGGATTGATGCCGAAGTAGTCCGCAACACCGCGGCCGTGAGGACCCATAGCACCGATCGAGTGTGCCTCATCGACGAAGAGGTAGAACTGCGCAGGAATGGTCAATGTACGAAGATAACGCTGGCGCGAGCGGACTAACCTTGTACTTCCTCTTCAATTCAATGATACGAGGCAAGTTAACAAGAGTTCCCTCCATACTGTACAAGCCCTCAACAATGACGAGAATCTTCTTCCATGGTCGGTGGGTTTTAGGTTGCCCCTGACTGATGACTTCCCGCAGCAAGTTTTCCAAGCTCTTCATGTCATTGTGCTTGAACAGTCTGACATGGGCACCGCTGATACGAACGCCAAATCGGATGGATGCGTGATTGAGCTCGTCGGAGATGACTAGGCAACCTTTGGACACGAGTGCTGGGATGTACGTCGAGTTGGTGGCGAAACCCATGGAACAGATCAGAGCATCTTCCATGCCAACAAACTTGGCTACCAAGGCCTCGCTGCTGGTGTGCAAATCACTCGAGCCACCTTCAAGCCGAGAACCACAGGTCGAGACGCCGTAACGCCTGATGCTTTCTTCGACAGCGTCCGCACATCCACCGCGAGCCTGTGCAAAGCCGAGGTAGTTGTAAGACGAGATGTTAAGTGCGCGGGTCTTGGTACCGGTAAGGATTTGGGTGTGGTTGTAGTCAGGTGAGATGCGGTCGAGGAGCATGATCGTACGGCCAGCGACACCGGTGACAGGTTGAGAGAAACATTCGTCCATCCTAGTTTTCAGCCGCCGGGTATAGAAAGAATCGAAATCCGAGTTGAGAGGTGCATATCCCTGTGGGCGCACGATGTCAGACACGACGATAGAGGCACAGGGTTGAACTTACATCTCTGGGTATCAAGTGCTGGTAAGACGCAGATTTGAGACGCTTGCCAATAAAGTCCCGAACGTGTCCCAAGACTATAAGAATAAGATAGCTGATATAGGTGGAGAGGAGGATGTAGTAGGGAGGGTCCTGTTCGATGTGACCTGGCACATCCTCGCCGGGTGTGTGCTTGGATGTCATACGATACTCTTCGTTGGCACAGTGTCCAAACTCGGTGTGCACGGTCGTGAACACCTGCTCAGACGTGGGAGGCCTCGCTGGCAGCGACAGGCCATGCGAATTGTCCTCGTCTTCATGCAACACGGTGTCCTCTGACGAAGATGTGATCGACGACGAAATGGACAGCGCAGGGGTCGACGTGGGCGAGCCGTTGGAAGTCCCCCTTGCCCTGGCGTCCGCCTGCGACAGAGCCGACAGATATGAGGCCGCCGACGCCATTGCCGACAGCGAAGTCGCGGAGCGTTTCTTGAACATTGAGGTGGTCTGAGGCTTGGGGACCGCCATTGGGGAATGATGGGGGGAGGCCAGCGGCATGTTTGGCGCGAACTATGGCCCACTCAACTTGGAGAACGTTGGGCGCGATGGGGCGAACGACGTGGGCGACGTGGGCAACGACGAGGGCGACAGTTGGGACGAAAGGAAGCGGGCTCGCCGTTGGGGACAAACCGTTTCGCTTATATTTTTCTCACCTCAAATGGGGATTTTGGTTTACCAAAACAAGGTCACGTAAGCCACGAATTCCATTGCTAACATTCCTTTTATCTCTAGTCTTCGGGCGTCTACTGGCCTTGCTTTCTAGTAAATACTCCTCGAATGTGGGGTATCAAAACAGTGTCTAAGACAGTCGCTTTCGCCAGGTTTCTCGAGCAAGTCGTTGGAGACTGCCCCGAAACCTCCGATCATTACTGACCAGTCAATTGCAATTACGAGCGGCAAGTCCTCCAACCGCTCCCAGGCTAGGCCCTCCCTTAGAGACTGCCGAACAATGAAGGGCGCCCGGGTGGGTCAGCGGACGGGTTACAGGATGTCGATGCTGCGCCGCAGAGCCTGGGAGGCGACACCCCGGAAGCGCCCATGGCTTCGAAGCGCGGTTCGTCTTACCCTGGTTCCCATCAAACTCGAACGCGACATCCAACCCAAATTGGGGACAACCATTCTGCAACGCTCAACAATACTTTCCCTGAGCAAATGAGCGCTCAAACAGGCCCCTGCAACAAAGGACAGAACGATGAACACCGTGAATTTCATGAATCATGATGTCATCGATTGAACAGGGGGAAAATTCGGATTCCAGCCAACTTGAACTGGAGGACAAGAGCATCTCTTCTTGAGTATCCATCATGTCCTCGTCAGAACCCCCAGCACACATCGTTATCGTCGGAGGCGGCATCATCGGTTGCACAACCGCCTACTATCTCGTAAACCACCCGTTTGGTGCCGCCACTCCGCCCAAAGTCACTTTGATCGAGGCATCGAAGCATGGTCCAGCCCAGGGCGCATCCGGGAAAGCGGGCGGTCTAGTCGCAAGATGGGCGTATCCGAAGGAACTTGTGAACGTTTCGTATACGGAACACGAGAGACTGGCGAAAGAACACAATGGAAAGGAGCGATGGGGGTGGAGATATGTTGGCTGTGGTAGTTGGGAGGGTCGAGCGGGGTTGCTGCCGCGGGGGGAGGGCCCAACTAACACGAAGAGCCTTGAGAAGACGCTGGGATTGTCTGGTGGGAGCGAGCCGCCCACCCGAGAACACAAAACACGCAAGTTGCCTGAAGACTTGCTCTGGGTGAATGAGGTACTGACGGATGCGTACGCGCCGATGGCGAGGGATGGTGAAACGGCGCAGGTTCACCCGTACCAATTCACGATGAGCATGTTTGAACTGGCCAAGGAAAAGGGATTGGGGTATATCCACGGAGTAGTGACCAAGGTCCTCAAGTCGGACGGAAAGGTAACAGGTATCGAATACCGCGACCCAACCACCAACTCTTCCACCACCCTATCAGCTACCCACGTCGTAATCGCAGCAGGTGCATGGTCCCCGCACATCGTCGACAACCTCCCCATTTCTGGCCTTCGAGCCCACAGTGTCACCTTCCGCCCACCAGAACACGTCCAAATCGCCCCATACGTCCTCTTCACGGAGATCACCCTCCCGTCAACCGCATCGTCACGCCGTCCCAAGGTCGTCTCCCCAGAGATCTACGCCCGTCCTGACAACGAAGTGTACGCCTGTGGGCCAGGCGATGACGAACCCCTTCCTGAAACCGTGGACGAGGTCGCAGTGGATCCAGCAGCCTGCGATTCCATCATCCAGAACGTCACCAGCATCTCGGAAGAGCTCGCGCAGAGCAGAGTGGATGCTCGACAGGCGTGCTACCTCCCCGTGGTAAGTGAGGAGGGTGGACCGATCGTGGGTGAGGCAGAGAAGATTGCGAAGGGATTATATTTGGCCACTGGACATACATGTTGGGTGAGTGGTGGGCGTAACTTCCAGGGAAGCTTAACGGTTGGCTGACTGTATGAGCGGGTCGTTTTGTCTTTAGGGGATCTGCAATGCGCCTGGGACTGCACGAGCTCTGGCGGAGTTGATTCTCGACGGCAAGATACGGTGTGCGAATCTGAGGAAGTTGGCGCCTTCAGTCTTCATTCTGTAAACATGCATGAGGAAGAATAGAATGATCTGACCCTCCCAACACGTTCCCCTGTAGAGATCCCGACGCGCCAATTAAGAACCGCGTCCGGTTCCATCGTGCAACTGGCAGGCCCTCCCGAGGGCAAGTTTTCGCGAAGATTTCATTCGCTACGGGTAACCGCACAGGGGCAGCTCGAACCGCCTCCGATGTAAATTGTAGGGGCTCGATTTGAGATTCAGCTGGACAGAGACGATCAAACCGGCGGCGAAAGTTTTTTTAGTTTGTTGGAGTGACCTGGCACTTGACTGGCCCCTGTCATGTGTACAAGACTAGTGAGAAGGACGATCCTAAACGAAGGTCGAAAACGTAGCAAGTAGATTCCCAAGTTAGACTTCGAATTCACAGGAGAGTTTGATAGGTATCTAAAGTATTAGGGTTATAATGAGTGTGGAATACTCACCCGAGGATGTGTTGGCGTTCGAGGGGTTGGCTGAAGCTCTCAATGAACATCATCTCTGCACGAGAACTAACGTCGTCAGTTTTGGCATAAGACTTAGTTGCGGCCAGCGAACTTCAATACTGGAAGGAAGCTTGAAACGCTTGCTGCGTCTGAGGCAACTGTGGGCGGGAAGTCGAAGTTCTCGGCCGCCTCGAGGCAAGATCGTTGAGAAATTAGCCTCTTTTGTGGGACCACTTCCTGCCTCGAGGCCTGTTGCAAATCAAGTCATGCAGAACCCGTTGCCCCTTCTGAAAGGCCAGCGAGGCACCAGAAAAGCTGACCTCCTGTAGATCCACGACTGAATGCGTGCCGAAACCTGAAACGGGTGCGTGATTCGGGGACATGGTAGTATATGCCTAAAGGGATTGAATTGTACGAGGGTCAAGAAGGACCATTCGGTTACGAGGTGAGACGCCGAGCCAAGAGGAACAGGTAAGATTTGAGGGTGCGCGCTTGATGTATTAACTGCCCCTCGCCTTTGTCGTTGATATCGGCTCTTCATCAGCGTCTTGTCAAGGCTTAATTTCCCGCTTCTGGTCCGATATCATGACAGAGCGATAGCCTGCTGTTTCTTTGTCAGTCAGGGAGGGTTAGTGGCCAGACGGTCGGTTCTTTCACGTCCTGACATTGAATGTCAGGGACAGAAACAGACTACGACGAGTCTAGTCAAAAGCGCGCAAGAGCATTGGTTCCGAGGGTGAATGTAACATAACCTGCGCACCGCGTTTTGCCTTGCATGGAGCGCAGTCGGAAAGGGCTATCCTCTCCAAGGAATGAGCGACCCGGTGCTGAGGAGGAGGGCTCATAAGGGCAAAGGTACGCCGGAGATTGGCCGTAATTGGAGAGGCCATTGCACGCGTTTCGCGGCTACCTCGCGGAAACGTGGCTACTAGTACCAGGTTAACAGCAGTTCGCAGTCGGATCGCTCCGTGGGTCGGTACCAGTCCGGAGTCGACATGCGCGAACCCGGTTCTCGCAAGTCGAGGAGATGAAAGCCAGAGATTCCAAGACCCGTTAGATCGAAATGAGGTGGGGTCGAGTCATCGGAGGGTGGTCGATATGCTCTTCTAGTCCCGCAGTTTCACCGTTAGTTGACCGTTGGAAAGGTCAGGCTGGGGGGCCACCATATGACGCAGGCGCGATGTCAGGCAGTTAATTCCATTCCGACGCGTAACAAGACAATAACAAGAAGTCCAAAAGGACCCAATGGACCTCGCTTAGCACGGGTCGCGTCCACCTCCGATGGTGCAGCAAGTCAGCATGTCGTCAAGAGAGAAAAAATCCATTGCAACCAGGTAAACACGTCCTTAGATCCGTAGCACGTTGTTCCCCAGCTCCAATTTGCAATCCCGCGGGGTAGAACAGAACATCCAGCGTCCAAGGCAGCAACGAGAACAAGGGTGCTCTCAAGTTTTTTTCAAACTTGAAAAAATAAGATGCAAGGAAAACCTTACACCCATGGATTAGGTTACGGCTGTTTCCCGTGGAATTTGATTGCCGGCGCTGGAAAAGGCGCCTGCTCCAATCAGGAGCGGACTTGAATCTCCACTTGTCATTGAACTTTTTCTTTCAAAGCGCCGGGAAGGCCGTTCGACTTGTGAGCGCAATCTATGACTTGATCTTGAAGCGACTATCGCCTAGGAGTTCGATGGATTCGGTCAGCCGCATCTCTCGTAAGTTAAAAAGGCGCCCGTCACATTTCCGTTCCATCGGTGCACTCACCAACAGCGCTTTTAATCCTCAGATTCCGAGCCCGTCAGCGATCTTGTCAGTCATCATCATCATCGTTTTGGTATCATGGGCCCGGAAACACTTAAAGCTACCTCGTGGCTTTGACTCCACCTCCATTTGGCATTTGCGTCAAACAGCAGACCGTCCAGATGGTCCCGCCCAGCACCTGCTGGCCCCCAAGTTTTTCCAGAGGTCAGATATAGGTACCCTATAACCCCGAAGGGGAGTGATCTAATCTCTTGGGCAAAGAGGCTCATCTCAGCCCTCAAAGGAAAACGTCATGTCGCCTTTGATTTCGACTTTTTTGATGCCTAAAGAGCCTGGTGTTACTTAGGCACTTGTTCGCTGCGCCTCCCGAGCATCTTGCCGAGAAGTTGGGCTATAAAGTACGTGTCCTTCCGTGCTTTTCCCTCGCTATCGTTCCGGTCCTCCTTCCCTCCCCCTTCCGCTTCCTTGTCCGTCGTCACCTCAAGACTTGCACGATACAATCCATTTTTGGCCATTTGTATGATTTTGGACGGTCGATTACTGATAATATCTCGATTTTTCTACCTCTCGTCATAGGCTTCCCGAGGCCAAACTCGTGCAAGACCACGTCTTATCGACGCCGATCGATCTCTGGTATATATACCGTCCAAAATCTGATTGCCCACCACTCCCCCGTCCGAGTTTTTCCCCGACATGACGCGACCTTCCTACCTGGCGAAGGCTGAGCCTTATGAGTGAGTTTGTCGGTCCTGTCTCAGTGGAAGTGCTTCTAATACGGAATGTTCAGTGCTCTATGTCAACACTTTAACGTTATCCCACCCCAGGCAATCGAAGAGTCCATCCCGGAAACATATGAACTGAGAGTGACACAGGCAACTCATTTACCCACCCACGTCCTAGCCGCCACTCTCGCAGATCCCTCATCATCGCCAAAACCTCCCCTATTCCTTCCCATTGACGCCAATCTATTCGCAAAAGGTTTTACGGTGGACACAGTAACCATTCCATCCAATTCGCCCTCCGCGACACCTAGTACTTCACCTGGTGGATCCCTTGTCATCACACTACCCGTCATCCCCATCTCTGTACTCCACCTCCCTTCATTGCCGCTACTCCTACTCTATGGAATGGGTTTGGAGACCCAGCACAACGCCCTCGCCTGGCGTCTTCTCCCCTCCCAAGTCATCGAGGAATTCCCGAACGCCGCTACCATGGCCCAAATCCTCTCCCGAGCGCGTCCAGAACAGTTCGACCGAATCTTCCTGTTCAACCAAGGCCTCTGGCGTAACATCCTGTCACTTGGTGTGCAGGACAGCAAGGTCATCGAGCTCGTGCAGACAGCTTGGAACGTAACGGCCGAGGCTAGGAAGATACGGCAGAGGTCCGTGTCGGGCATTACTGGTCGGATATAACACGATGGGAGGGAAATGGGAGTTCTCGACTGCTCGGCGGCGGATGGGTTTCAACCCCGTCGAGGCCATTGGCCCCGCACACCCTCTTCTTTGACTCTATGGGCCCGGATTTCTGGCCCTGTTAGGGGACTGGGGAGCAAGCAACACGGGGTGTTGTAGGCGACCACGCTACCTGCCTTTATTCAATGCGACCCATCCCTTGTACTCCCTTTCCACAAGCCGTCCTTCCTCTTTCCAACCCGCCTTTCCCACTTGAACCCCGTAAGCGCACATCTCTAATCTTTGATTTACGTATAATCGTTACACAACCATCCCCCTAATTCCTCTACAGAGGCGCGTCCTGCTGCCCCTTCCCATGGCACATGCTTCCAACTTACGATTTCTCACGTCCCACTCGTCCCAGGTTTCGCCTTTTCGGATTTCGTCCGTGTTGTGTTTTGTCTTCTTCCGTTGTCTTCCTCCGTTGTCTTCGATTTGATTCCCCACACCCGACTGCCTATCATTGTTCTTGCTTCGGATTCCTGGGCCACCTCGTTGAACTGGTGCTACTCAATAATTTATCGTAATTTACCATACGTTATCGATACATACTCCCCCCATTCCGTTGTATTCCTTCGCTGTAGCTTTTGAGACCACCACCACCACCCTAGCCTCTGTTGTATAGTTTTCGACTTCGTCCGCCCGCCGTTGTCCTTGTGAACCATTTTTGTTGCTATCGCACACATACATACCAAGTACACTGCTTCTTGCTATCCTCCCTACTAGCTTTCTACATGCATTGCTACTATACAGCCCTCTACAGCACTTGAAATGAAGTAATTTGAGCCCGGAGCATCCACGAAACCTACGCGAGGAAGAGGTTCTTTAGGCGCTGGTCTGCATTTTCGCCCATACTCAGTCCCAAATTCCAGGGAACGAGGCCAGTAATACTACTGTATTGATTGTCGTTTTACAGCCACTGTCACTGTCATTCAATGTCAACGAACGGCGTCCAGACTTGTCAAGCATCGTGCCAACGATTTGTTTCCGCGTTCACAGCATCCGCTCCAACATCTCCCTATTTTCGACGTACAAATCAAACCCTAGTTGACAGCAAACCTAACGGTAGTGTTGTTGCGAGGTGGAGGTCCCTCAAGGTGGAGTTACCTTGAGGTCCCGTATTTGTGATGGTGGCGTTCTCAAGGTCCCTTGAGGTGGCCTTGATGTGTTTTCCCATCCCTGTAACGGAATCTCCGGGACGGTGATGTGGCAGCGAGTGCGAGCGCTTGTCGATGCAGAGTGCATTAAACTTGCTATACTTCACTTGCTATTCTCATTTTACTACCTTATGACTTCAAGGATATGCAAGAGTGCTGTGCTTCCCGACCTCTAATACCGAATTCCCAATTCAACGTGAACAGGTGCTTGGGGCAGCTCGAGACCTTGGGATATGGCCAAACTGCGGAATACCCTTCATTTCATACTAATGACCTTCTGGATAGACAAACACCTTTGAATAGTTAAGAAACTTGCTCTTACCGCGAGCGTTGTTCGTGTTCATTGCAACTTTTGATTTTCTCATCCCCAGTATAGAAATAGGTATTCGTGGGAATGGACCTCAAGGTCCAACGAGGTAACTTGAGGTAACGCCACCAATCACCTTGAGGTACCTCCACCTCACCTCGCAACAACACTACCTAACGGGCAAGTGGAGGAAGCCAAACTCTAAAAATAAAGTTTCCCTGGGTAAGCTCGGCCTTGAGGCTTGGGCGCTCCGACTCTTTGGATGCAACTTGGAAGGTTCACTCTCCCGCGGATCCCCCTGAACCTGGTGCACACGCCTTTCATCACTTCGACCTCGCTCAGTTTTGACTCGGTCACACAAAGAGTTGAGAATGCAAAAGGAAAATGGGTTGAATGCGATGCGTGGTATATAGTACAGATGCTTGTTTCTAGAACTACACTGATAATTTTACTTCATAAAAAGTGGCGGGATGTAAAAAATGCACGTCGATGTCTAAGTGGGAAACCCCAAAAGGTATGGTAGAATAACGAAAGGTATAATGATATGAATAAGGAGGTTGAGCAGGCGACGATGCGTAGGGGGTATGATGAATGATAGTCGCGGTCGAGATGGAATGGATGGTTCATAAGCATAATGCATAAGAGCTTGAAGCCATAGGATGATATGAGTGATTGGTGGCTTAGTCGGTAGAAACGGAAGAGATCATGAGCGATGGCTTGCCTGTGCTGACTGCAAGAGCAGTGAGCATGACCTGCCATGCCAAATCGATCGTGTCCCAGAGCAGCTGGTCGTGGATGCCCAGTGCGCAGGCGTTCTGCCAGAGGCCGTGGATCATCATGGTGTTCAAAAGAAGTTTTTCAAAGGTGTAGGTGCGCCCTAGCCGTGTTGCGAACGAGTCGACGGTCGCGCCATGCTTTTGTTCGATTTCAAAGTTGTGAGGAACGGGGCTGGGGAGCATGGCGTTGAGGAGGGTGGTCGTTTGCTTGTGGTAAAGGTAGGCGGCGAGAGGCGCGTAGTTTTCTGGGGATGGGAGGCAGAGAGAGCGCACGGGCAGGCGAACTTTGTCGTCGCTCGATGCGGGTGCCGAAGGGATGGTTGCTGCAGGTGGGAATGGTGAGAGGTTCGAGCAGTGGGCAGCGAGCACGAAGCTGTGGACGGGATAGAGGGTGACTTTGCGGGGTTGGGTACAGCAGTTCGCGGGCAGGGGCCAAAACGGGCGACCATGTGCGATGGTGCGACCTGCACATCCTTCAGCTGACTTCGATCTCGGAGGGGAGAGCATTGGTGGTGAGGGTGGCTTTGACATTTGAGAGAGAGGCGAGCATCCTATATCGATTATTAGCAAATGCTCGGTTATCAAAGAAAAAGGAGTCACTTACTGAGGCCCGTGAGATTCAAGCACCTGGCGAATGTATTCAGGATCGGTATCGGCAAGCTCTGGGTTCACAGCCATGAGAGCCTCGCGAGGAACTTCCTTGAACTGTGGTCGAGCAAGTTCCTTGGGGAGGGAGATAGGAATTGTGAGCGGGGTTGAAGTTGATGGAGCAGCGTCGCTCATTTGAACATCAGTCGATGGAGGCGAAGTAATAGTGAATTTGAGCGAGCCAGTAGAAGTCGATTTGGGTTTCATGACATCCCGTCGCTTTGCCTGTTCGACAAGTTGCTTGGAGTTGCGGGGTGTGTTGGTTGCGCGTCCTCGTCGTCGTCGTGAAGCGTCGTGCAAACTGCTTCGGAGGCGGTTGGCGGCAACGCCTTTGACGGCCGGGGCGGGAGGCATATTCTCCGCGTCGGCCCGTCGTGCTTGAACGTGCTGTCTCAGAACTGGCATTGTGGCAGAAGAGGGCGGGAGACTTGAGGGGAAGTTGCTTGTTGACGAGGAACGCTTGAACTGGGGGAACAGTGACCGAACCAACACGGCCCCGCACCTGGTTTTATAGGCGAATTCGCAAAACCAATCGACCCAATCCTTGAAACGAAGCAATCCAGCATTTTTACCCAAAAAGGCAGAAATCGCGTAGCGAGACTATGTGTGCATTTGTTTGCATCCCAATCCACTTTTGCCTTCGCCGGCAGTTTTCTTCCAGAAAGGGTAATTCCTGGGAACCAATCCATTTGCCATCAAGCAAAGATACCTCATCAGGGTTCTGATTGCCCACTCCTGTTCGCGTACCAATCCCGTAGCGCTGCCGGCATTCAGGGTGCATGCACATAACCAGGAAAGGCAAGGATCCCGACGAGCAATTGCAACGAACAATGGAGGATTGGTTTTCGTTCCATTTTCCGCGATACCTTGTCGTTGCCAATCGCACGTTGCTTTGTGCAGGGTGGTAGTCCGTGGAAATAGTGAGGAGAAAGCGATTGGTCCATCTCGTTTGTGGGTACACTGGCAAGTCATATTTGCCCACTGGAGTGAAGTGTCGCCCACAGACCAAGCAATAAGGTTCAACTCTAGACATGGGTATGCTGAATGGCCCGTCGATGGCAGCTACTAGAACTCCTGTCTCTGTCCAATTCTAGCAAAAGAGGTGCCCATATTACGGTGGCCTCGAGGTGAAGGCGACGGAGTGCTGATGATCATTGATTTGGAGTGGCCACCTGGAAGTTTCCTGCACGAGAAAAGGCAAAAGCAGACACCAAGCAGTCCTAGAGTAGGTCTTGCACCAACAGACGAGCACACACAAGTCAACACGAGGGTTCTAGAAAGGCGCCTAGCAAGGGTATCGCGGAGAAACCGATTGGAATAAGCGCTGGGGGATGGCGAAAGAAAATTTGGAGAGCCAAGGGCAGCGGAGGGAAATCGTCGAGAGGTCTCCCTTATTTTTGTGCCCTCTCGTAGCATATATAGCGCGCACAAAGGCCCTTGGTGATCGGGGAACTTGAGAGGAAACACTGCCAGAAGTCTCGGTCGGTTGGGGTGGTCGCCTGCAGGAAGGGGCCCTCCGATGTGTTTGTCCACAGATAGGCGCCGAATATCGTTATCATCAATCATTCGAGTGTCAATCCGATCCACAGACAATTGAGGGTACCAAGTTAGTCCAGTCCAGGGTGTGGGTCCCCACACCTGCCTTCTATGAGGTTGTGGGCGTAGTTGAAATCCTCTGGGAGGAAAGAACGGGCCAACGGGATGGTCACGAGTGAGGCTAAAGCGGGAAGCACGACGGAGCACCTAGGTAGACCCTAGAGCAAATGGGTCCCTTAAGGCATAGCCTGTCCAGAGACGACCATTGTGATAGTGGACGAAGACGATTGTAAAGGCCGTCAGGGTGTTAAACGGAGCAAAGCCCCAACGGGTGCCAGGGCGAGCAATGTGTTCGGTGCGTGCGCGAAGAAATGATGACGTTAGAAATTCCTGACGTCGAAGGGAGATAATTGCGTTGGGAAAGAGGCCCCAACCAGTTTTCCGTTGGAAAGAGTGGCTGAGTTCAATACTGAGGGGTTGAGCTAAGGACAGCAGCTGTCTAGCATCCACGCCAACTTCGAGCGCAACTCGGATGAACCTTTTTCCAATGAGAGTCAATCGCACTCTGGGGACAAGATTTCAACAAACAACGCACCTGGACACACTATCACTTGCATATATTCTCCGCGATGATTGAACACGAATAAGGCGAAGACCCAGGGTCAGCTTAGCGCCCGTCCATGGCATGTTCCAATTTCAAGATTACGTTCAAGATGCACCTCTTTCATGACCGATAGATGAGCTTTTGGGGCGTCGGGAGGTAGTTTTAGTATTGCCTTTAGACCCTCCGGCTCAGTACGTCGACAGAAAAGCACCTGTCCCTTCCAACCCGGGTGGTAATATAAATCCGCATACTAGATCACTGAGGGTATGGTGCGTCAGTGAAATGAAATCGGGACATAATACGCACCCAATGCGCATTGAATATACCTATTAAAACTTCTGACTCCATTAAAAGGTGGGTAGAACGTGGTGGTCCAGCTTCAACCGTTTCCCTGTTGCTACTGACCGCCAGTTTGAGGTCCCACTTGTTCCCACGTCCATGATATCCGTCAAACTCGGAAGCCTATTGGCTCTGACCTTGACCAGGACAACACGAACTCGACGCTGCCGCTACCGGCGAGCATGAAGGCCAAGGTCAAGGCAGTTACCAAGACCGGCGTCTCTCAACGCTTAATACCGACCAAGTTGCTACGATGCCCAGCGTTGTCGCGTCTACCTAAATCACCTCTTCCTCGTGGTGTAACCGTGAGTTGACATAGTTTGTATGGTGAACAATGCATTGACGTCCACAACGCGAAGTTAAGTACTCGCGTCGAACAGCAGGCTCACCGCTGAAGCTCATCGCGTCGGGCGCGAGCGGGCCTTACATCGACCCACGTCACCCAGCGGTTCAGTCGATGAAGGCGAGGCGCGATGCAAAGCAGTCTTCAGGGAACCGTGGACCAAGAGGGACCGAAAAACCATTCAACCTGGTACGGTACAACCCCCCGAGTCAATCTTTCAACATGGTCGCCGCACCGAGTGCTTTTCTCTTCGAGCCTGAGCGGAAGTGGTATCCCTATGCTGAACTGGCGTACGAAAAGTGGGAAGACAAGGTCAAGAGGATTGCGGCGGAGCGAGCGTCTGCTGGTGCTGTTTCTACGTCTTCTGATGCACCAAGTTTTTCTCGGACCACTCAGACGCGCCTCAAATCCCAAGACGAAGAACTTGACGACGACTCGGACATGGCAATAGTCCAGCGCATTATTTCTCGGCGACAAGAGGTTCTCTCCAAAGCAGTTCCAATATCCCTCAATTTCGCTACCAACAAAGCCAAGATGGGAGGGAAAGCGGTCTATGCATCCCATGTACGGAGAAGAGTTCGGAGTGCAGTGTCTTTGATTGTCACACATGGTGCAAAGGCCAAGGAGGAAGAGGGGAGCGCCAATGGTGCACCAAGTAGGAAGAAGCTTGTGTACGACCTCGAGGAGGTTGAACAACGTCGGACGCAGCCAGGCAATGGATGGATATTGAAAGGTTTGTCGTTGGTCTCTTGCTTCGTGTTATCCTGCTGACATGGCTTCGTAGGATGGACATACCTGGTGTTCCCTACGCTACAGCTCTATCGGATGCCCATCCCAGATCTCGTCTCGGAACTTCGCGAGGCCCTGCAGCAGATTTACAAGATTGGATCAGCATGGGAGGCGCAGTGGATTGAGAAAGCGCTTCCTCCTGATTCTGTAGAACGACAATCAAAGACGACCATTCGACAGCTTCATGACAATCGGGGCGGCAGTGACAAAAAGGAACTTGGAAGTAAAGACCAGCTACGCCCGAGACATGAAAACCGTTCAACTAGACCGCCTGATGGTGATGCAATGGCAGCTCGACGACCTGGTAAGGGAGAGGGCGACGAAGAGGGACCGACTAAAACGGACCCATTGCACACGGAGACGGAGACGAATGGAAAGCATGACAAACCGCCACGGGTTCGCAAGAGTAGGTTCAAGTTGTGGTCACACGAACCTATTGTGTAGAAGTTAGCCTACTCCTATCTCTCGTGTCTCTCCTGTAAATACCACTTGGAATATTCTATGGGGTCTTCTGGGGTACATATTGCGGGGTAAGGGGGCGCTTATTCCACCGGGAGGATTGGGATTACCGGTGCCGGTAAGGCCGGAACAAGATCATTCGCGCGCCAGAACTTGCCTTGTGATTGCGCTGTTATAAGCCTCTCTCCAGGTCATCTCATTGCTCTCACCTTCCATCCCCTCAACTCTATCACCATGGCCGCTGAATTGTCCAAAGTTGTTGGCGCTACCGTTCCCGACAAGCCTGTAGGTTTCTGTTCAACGTTTCTGGCGCACGGTGTCCTAATGAGTGAATTGGTTTCGTAGGTCGCCTGGAACAAGCGCGATCTCCTCACTTACGCTGTCGGTGTTGGCGCGAAGAACGACGAATTCCCCTTCATTTATGAACTCGGTGGGTAACACAACGTCAAGCTGCATACCTGATACTCACCTCGACAACCAGACCCCAACTTTGCCGCCCTCCCCACCTACCCTGTCGTCCTCGCCCTCAAGGGTGACGGCCAGGATGTCAACAACTTTGCTGAAGCTGTAAAAGGCCGACCTATCCCTGGTCTTCCTAAGCTCGACCCCAACCGCGTTGTGCATGCTACTCAGTCCATTGAGATCGTGAAGCAGCTCCCCACCGTCAGCGGACCCGGCTGGAAGTGGACCGGCAGGTACACTGGTGTTGTTGAGAACAGTGAGTTATTGTTCGTGTATCGTTGGAAATAGTGCTAACGAAAGTACAGAGAGTGGCTTGATCTTGACCATGGAGAACCAATTGGTTTCCCCCTCGGGTGAAGTCTACGCAAGGCTTTACGTGCGTTACTCCTTGGTTCGGTTATGTGACATCCGGCTCAATGGTTTTCTAGTCCTCTTCATTCAACCTCGGAGCCAAGGTTACTGGTGAGAAGTTCGCCAAGGTCATCGCTGGTCCTCCCCAGGGCAAGCCCGTCCCCAAGGACCGCGCCCCCGATCACGTCGTCGAGGAGCAAACCACCCCCGAGCAGGCCATCGTCTTCCGATTGAGCGGAGACTACAACCCCTTGCACATTGGTGCGTTCTTTCATTCTGCCTCACGTTTCAGACTCGACCTAACTTCTGTACTAGACCCCAGAATCGGCAAGGCAGCGGGCTTTGGCGGTGTCATCCTCCACGGTCTCTCCACCTTCGGCTTTGCAGGCCGTGCTGTCCTCAAGACTGTTGGCGGTGGCGACCCCGCCTCGGTCAAGTTCTTCGGTGTCCGGTTCACCTCCCCCGTCAAGCCTGGCGACAAGCTCCAGACTAACATCTGGGAGATTGGCCCCGGTCCTAATGGTACGACCGAAGTTGCGTTCGAGACGAAGAACTTGAACACCGGCAAGGTCGTTCTTGGAAGCGGGATTGCTTACGTTGTGAAGAAGGGTGGTGCTAAGTTGTAATTGGTCAGTGTAATGTAGAAAGAATTTGTATAGTATTTATTGCTGTATTGTACGCGGCTTGATGAGGGGTTTTTGTGACTCTATCGACCAGTACTGAGTATCGTCGAACAGAACGTCTGAGAGTGCATATCCAATTTGAGCTTGAAAAGCCCGTTGTTATGTAGCGCACAACTGATGCACAAATTGGTACCACAACAGCTATAGTGTTCACACTATTACTGACAATATTGCGTCCTTAGGACACGTTAATAGAAGACGACCCGCTACTGTATTGTCCGTTGGTGAATCCTTCCGTTGCGAAGACCATGTAGTCGTGCCACCCCAATCTCATGCCAACCCTAGCCCACTCATCGAAGTGCCTCTGGGTGGAAATCGTGCCGCCGACGCGCTTCTCTGTTCGAACGGACCAGTACTGCTGGAAGGTCCTCGTACCCTCGATCGAAGGCTTGTTGACACGCGTGCTCTCGTACATCTCGTAGGTTCCCTCCGGAGAAGTGAACACGCCTCTGTAAGTCCATGGCTCGCCCGGAGCGAGAACAGCGTAGGATTCGATGACATAGTATTCGATCAGAGGGTTCCTCGTCCAACCGTAGAGAGCGAGATAGCCAGGACCAGTGGCGTTATACGTTCCACTGTATGTGACTGCCCTGTCGTGCCAAAATATTTTGTTAGCAGTGCCGCTCTCTGCTCACAAAACTGAAGGCGTTGTACCTGCTTCCTCCTCGGCTCCATCCTTTTCCACATACAAAACCGCCGGTCGAACCACCCCAAGTTGCGGTGTATGATCCTCCAGCACCGGGTGTGCATCGAACGCCAATGTTTCCTTCGGACCAGTTCGTCCAGAAGGATGCGGCCTGGCGACGCTCGAGAGTCGTGGAGTTGTCAGGAGTAGGGGCGGTGAACGCTCCTTGAATCAGAAGGACCAATGGCAACGCAAGAAGATAGAGCAGTTTCATGATGGAGAATGCGGGGTATTGACTTCCACCGTCGACTTCTTACCTTCACGGTCGACCCTGTATTTATACAAAAAGGATAGTCCCGACAAGTTACCATGCTTTAGGCTGAAGTATTCCAACAAGCCTTCGATCGTTCCTTGTGACCGTCTTCGGCAGGCTACAATGACCTAATAACGAAGATTAACCTGCCAAATGCAAACTTAAAATGGCTAAATCGACAGCTCCTCTTCCTTCTGTGAAGAGTTTGGGCAAAGTTCGATCCTGAATGCAGCACTTCTTGCGATGTTCGGGGCTATCAGTGCGACAGGAGCGTAGCCCATAGTCCCGACAACGTGCCATGCTTTAGGCTGAAGTGTTTGTGGCCGCCTTCGGTAGGCTACAATGACCCTTTCCACCACATTAGCATAGAGAATTCGAAGAGATCGTCGCAGACAAACCCCCCGCGGGCCGGGAATAAACCCATCTCCTTCCTACCTTCGGTGTGGTCCATCGGACCGCCTCGACGCGAATCTATTTCTGTATGCAAAAAGAACCGTACATACCGCTTGACCGTGACCACCACAGCGGTCAGGCCTCCACATCCATGTTCCAACGTTACCGCGGGGCGGGCGCTAACCTAGAACTGCAAAGGCCTGATCCCTCGTGAAAACGTCGACAGGATGACATCCGAATCGGGTCTTCAAGCTTCAGGGCCCGGGGACAATCACTAGTTCTTCCCCGCCTCTTGGCTTCAGTCTCCCACCTCCTCCACCCGTTCGCGATGTTCCTGACCACTGGAGCGCGAGCCCTTCGACGATTCGCCTCAGGATCTTCATCGGTTGCCCGGTCACGCACTTGGACGTCAGTGACGACTGCAAAGGATGGCTTGAAGGTCCATAGTCTGAACGATACCGTCTTTCCCTACGTCTGGCTCCGGGATTCATGTCAAGGCCCGGAATCTGTGCACCCATCCAACAGGCAGAAGCTACATCGTAGCTCGGATATCCCTCTCGATATCAAGCCTGTGGAGGTAAAGGAGGGGGAGTCCTTCGCGGCTGGTCGACCTTCAGCTGGCGTCAAGGTGGCGGAAGAGGGCATCGAGATTCGCTGGGTGGATGGTCGCACTTCGTTCTTCCATCGAGATTTCTTGAAGACTCATGCATCGACGTCGGCTCTGTATGCTTCGCATCTTGTTGAATACACCTCACCTACGCCATGGACTCTGGAAACTGTGACGAAGACTCCCAGCTTGTTCGTGCCGTACGAGTCGTTGCAGGAGACGAGGGGTCTGGTGGGGGCTATGACGCAGTTGTTGAAGTACGGGTTGGTGTTTGTGACGGGGGTTCCTACGGAGGGGAAGACGAATGACGAGTGTGAATTGAAGAAGCTGGCGAACAGGTTTGGAGAGATCAGGGAGACGTTCTATGGCGAGCTGTGGGATGTGATCAACATCAATAATAGCAAGAATATTGCCTATACCAACTTGGATCTTGGGTTACATATGGATCTGCTGTGAGTATCCCATATTCCCCATATCTCCGTGTATTATATTCATACCTCCTCCAGATACTTCCAACATCCTCCTCGATTCCAGGCGCTTCACTGTCTCCGTAACCGAGTTATCGGTGGGACGTCCGTCTTTGTGGACGCGCTACAGGCCTCACATGCGCTGTTCCATGCCAATCGAGAACACTTCGACCTTCTGACAAGGACGCCAGTTGCTTTCCAATATGTCAATGATGGACATCATCTCTATATGCAACACCCTACGATCCAACTCGAAGATGCACGAGACATCCACTCGTACTCGACTTCATCGGCTGTTCCACCACCCATCTCGCACATAAATTACTCTCCGCCATTCCAGGGCCCCTTGCCTCTCAACACCCCTCGGGAATTTTTCCCCGCTCTCAAGCACTTCAGCGATATCCTCAATGATCCCAAAAATACCTACACTTATACCCTGAGGGAAGGAGACTGCGTTCTGTTTGACAATAGACGGGTTTTGCATGCTCGAACGGCGTTTGAGGAGAAGACGGGTAATGATAGGGAGGAGGGATTGAAGTTTGGAAGTGGGGATGCTACGACGAATAGGTGGCTCAAGGGGTGCTATCTCGAGGCTGACGCGGTTGCGGATAGGATGCGGGTTGGTCGTACAAAACTTGGGCTGCTGTGAAATTGGGAGTATCTGTAGTCAAGATCTAAGTTGAGGAATATATTGTAATTTTACTTCGTTGTTTTCGACTTGAACCAGGAGCCTCCAGGCGCAGATCTTGGAGGCCGGCTACCATCCTATTAGCCGGGTTCAAGGGGCCACAGTCCGAGAAATCGGAGTTTTCAACTTCCCAGGCCAGGTCGCGAGACAGGACTTGGGGTCTCGCTTATAAATCGTGATCCCGTTGATGCCGGCTGATACCCCTCCCCTATATGAGCCTCGCGACGACGCGACGACTCTTCGCAAAACATCGTATCTCGACGTGGAAGGCCGTCACACAGTGGGAATAGCCCAGAGTTATGTTTATTTTCTATCGTACCGGCGTCTACCTGATTCTGAGAGAGACGCGGCGCCATCGGCACAGCTTGGGAATTGATGGGAAGCCTAAAATGGGACTGGGACCCCGAAGCTTTTCTGGGGAGGTGAGCCCAGAACAGGGTTCCTCCGATTTCTCGGACTGTCCCCCCTTGGCCGGGTTACTTCTCCCGAAAATCGAACTGGGATCACGTGCCCATCGAACTTAATGAGCGCGTCTCAAGGCACGCCACAAGGCAACTTTTACGCTTCTACCACCAACCACCAACGTTGTCGTTGTCAGAAGGCGACCATGGAACAGCTGTGAGCACCAATCTCGCCTAAAGTCAGGACTGAAACTAAAGGAACTCGTAGGCGAGAACGATTTGCCCGAGATCCACGTTTCTTTGCTGTGGGACAGGCTCCCCGCCCACCACCGCGACCAGATCCTATTGTATGTATTGTTTATCAAGTCAAAGTGGGGAAATTGAACGGAAGGACTGCAGTCTATAGGATCAACGGATTCAGAGTCGTCGACTCGACAGAAATCCAAAGCCAGAGGGCCCAGCAGGCCAATTATTATATCTGACGACGAAGATGAGGACGAAGAGGAGGACGAGGGCGACGATGAACCTGAAATTGTCCCACAGTATGCTGATTTATTCTTCCCTAAATGCTGTTACTTACCGGACTACCAGGCCGCCGAAACTTTCACACCCGCTGAAACCCTCAAACCAGTACAATGCAGTACCAAGTCACAGGCAGAATGAATACATCAGACCCGCTGTCTTCGACCCCTCCCAGTTCCCCAAGCCACTCGAAACGAGCAAGACCAATGTGCAGAGGCTCAACATTGGCGAAGACATCTCGTTGCCCAAGTTCCCGGAAGAACATCAGTTCATGACGAGCGCGGAGACGGAGAAAGCTTTGAAAGAGCTTATTGGGAACTCGATGAACGAGGATATCCAGGTGGATGTTGATCCTGAGGATGCAATCGTGGAAGGGTTCAGGGAAGGAATTGAATTGCTTCCGCATCAAATCTTGGGGAGGAAGTGGATGAAAGAGCGGGAGGATGTGAGTAGGAAAGCATATGGCGGTATCCTTGCAGATGATATGGGGTACGACCCTATTCCTCATGATGGGCTGTTGCACTACTGACACGACGTTCTTAGTCTTGGTAAAACAATTCAGACGTTAACCCGAATTGTGGAAGGCAAGGCAACCAAGTCTGACAGGGAAGACGGCTATAGTGGTTCCACGCTGTACGTATCACAGCCCCATGACCCCGATAGTTGAAGCTTAATTTTGTTTGTCAGGGTCGTTTGTCCGCTTGCCCTTGTCGGGCAATGGGCTAGCGAGATTGAGAAGATGACCCAGCTCCGTGTGATCAAGCACCAAGGAACCTCGCGTACTACAGGTGTGTGGATCTTTTTTTGTCTTTGCCTTTTCCTTACCTGACGAGTTTTATCTAGACCCTATGATTCTTAGGAGATATCATGTCGTGGTGACTACCTACGAAACGGTACAGTCCGAGTATAACGTCTATACACCTCCAATCAAGGATGGATCTGCAACAGCGAAGAAAAAGAAGAGCTCAGATTCAGACGAAGATTCGGGCAGTGACGATGATGACCTTGTGGCCAAGCTTAAGGCAAAACGGACGCGTAAGGCGCCAGCGAAGAAGTGTGCCTTGTTTGAGGTGAAGTGGATCCGCGTTGTCCTCGGTACGTTCTCCTTCTCTTTGCCTGTGGTAGCAAGGTCTGACTACGAATAGACGAGGCACATAACATCAAGAACATGAAGACGAAGACTGCCATTGCTTGCTGTGAACTTCAGAGCAAATTCAGGTGGTGTCTGACTGGTACACCAATGTAAGTTTACGAAGCGCTCTTTCAAGATGGTCAAGTCATGACAACTCCTGCAGGCAGAACAACGTCACTGAGTTGTATTCTCTCATCAAGTTCCTTCGCATCAAGCCATTATCCAATTGGACAACGTTCAACGAGCAAGTTGCAAAGCCTATCACAAGTGGTAGGGGTGCGGGTGTCGCAATGAAGCGTCTTCAGGTGGTCCTCAAGCGTATCATGTTGAGACGCAAGAAGACGGACACTGTCAATGGCAAGACGCTGATCGACCTGCCCAACCGTACGGTGGAGGTTGTCGCCTGTCCATTCGATCCGTACGAGCAAGCATTCTATACTGCTCTCGAGGCGAAGATGGAGTCCGCTCTCGACAAGCTCATGTCGAGAGATAATGGTAACAAGGCGTATATGTCGGTCCTGCTGCTCTTGCTTCGGCTTCGACAAGGTTGATCGCATGTCTTGTTGAAGAGGAACCGGTGATTGACGGCCTTTTCTTAGCTTGCAACCATCCTCTTCTGGTGTCCAAGGACTACAAGAAAGATGCTGAAGCTGTGGAACCTACTCCTGCCAAGTCCAAAGATGATGCAGACGCCGACGCCGACGATTTGGTGGCAGCTTTTGGCCAAATGGGTGTCACCCGCAAGTGCCAAGTGTGCACTACGACGTACGTCTTCTTTGTTTCGTGCACCAGCTTTCTCTCGACTTAAAAGTCTCTGCAGGATCGACGATTCGACCGCAGGTGAAGGAGAGTGGAAGAACCACTGTCGCGACTGCGTGGATTTGGCCAAACAAGCGAGGCAAGCTGAGTTGGAGAGACCTACCTCAGCCAAGATTCGCATGGTTCTGAAGCTTTTGGCGAAGATCGATAGGGACTCCAATGGAGAGGAGAAGACCATTATCTTCTCGCAGTTCACCTCTATGTTGGACCTCATCCAGCCGTTCCTGGAGGAGAAAGGCATCAAGTATACTCGATGTAAGTTCCATCTTTCTTTCAGTTCCCGTTGCGTACTGACCACTGCTGCAGATGACGGTTCCATGGCACCGAAGGACCGTGAAGCTGCCTTGGAAAAGATTAGGAACAGCAAGTCGACGCGAGTTATCCTCATCTCGTTCAAGGCTGGTAGCACAGGTTGGTCTCCTCTGAGCGCCTGCCTGTGTGCACCTCTGACCGATTTTAATAGGTCTGAACCTGACTGCTTGCAACAATGTCATCCTCGTCGATCTTTGGTGGAATCCCGCTCTTGAGGACCAAGCCTTCGATCGTGCCCACCGATACGGTCAGAAACGTGACGTATATATCTACAAGTTGAAAGTAGATGCGACTGTCGAGGACCGTATTCTTGCTGTGGGTGATTTCGTCATTGACTGGAATTGCAGATGACCTGACGGTGGCTATGTTTAGCTCCAAGACAAGAAGCGCGCTTTGGCTGCCGCTGCCCTCAGTGGAGACAAAATTAAGAACATGCGTCTTGGTATGGACGACCTTCTTGCGCTGTTCAGGCCTGGTGCACGGGATGGCGACGATTCGGATGATGACTAGCTTCTGTCCACTTGACTGGATGAGTTCGCCCATTTGTTCCTTTTGTATATACCTCAGTTCTCGGGCCTATCCCTGGAATTCCTTTATCTGCATTATCACCACATCTTTCACGTTCAATCTGCATATATTTCTCTTGATTCTTCCCTCTGTATATTTTTGCATTGTGTTCGATAGTTTCTGCATTCATAGTGTCTACCCGCACCCCGTTTCAGCACCCTTTGAGATCTGATGCAAAGTTGCAGAATGCCAAGACCAAAGATAAGATAAGATTACAATGGCATCAAATGATTTTGGTGGGTTCGGCTTCACGGGTTGATTCCAACCAAATCGCTCCAATCCCCATACGACGAGTCAGGGACTCTGCCGAGGGCGCAAAATGACAGAAACACAAGTTGTAATGTCTACCTTACCACCAGGGACCGCGCCTATCAAGCCACAGTGAGTACTCTCGTGGCAGGTTTGGGCTGAACGAAAAACTGATTTGGAGTTGGGCAGATACCTTCTTTCGACGAAACCACAGGCAATCCCGGACGACGATGCTGCCGAGGGCACGACGTCGATTGTAAAAAGTGCAGGTCGTGGAGAAGATGATTCCGGGAATGGGCAACCTTCGCGGAGGGCTCTGGCCAAGGCACAGAAAAAAGCTCGCCAGGGAGCCAATAAAGGCCGGAGGTTTGGAAAAGTACGAGATGAAGTTGAGTTGTGTTGGAAGGTTGCCAATGGGGCTATCTGTGATTTTGGAACCAGGTGCGTGTTATTTTCTATACTTTCGGTGGTCCTGTACTGATGGAATTTGACTGGAGAGCAGTTGCCGATTCACCCATGATATTGCCGAGTATATCAAGGAGAAGCCTCAGGATTTGAGGATACCGCTGCTTTCTGAGTTCAAGGAGAGTCCTCCTTATGGACCAGACCTGACCGTTATTGGGAAGCCTGGAAAGAAACACCCAAATATCGACTTTAGTACCAAGTGTCCAGTCCATGAAGAGAGTGGGGAGTGCAGGTTCGTAGTCGCGGTTGTCTTCAATTCGACGTCACTAAAGGCACGGTCTCGTCGTCAGATACGGATACAAATGTCGCTATATGGGTGGACATGCCTTAGAGGATGAGGAAGGGAACGTTACGCTGGTGGCGGACGAGGACAAGAAGGCGCAGGTTGCGTTGACCTCACATGAAATTAATTTCGTTGGTGGTGATGTTCAGAAGCAGCTGCGGTCCAAGAAGGTGTGTAAGCTCGGTTTTGGATGTGTTCAGGTACTTACATATAGAGTATGGGATATAGTACCCCACTCCAATTGCCTCGGCGTACCTCGAAGAGCTGAAGTCGATGAACGATGAAGCTCAGAAACCTCAGGCTGTTGTCTCTGAGACCACCGTGATGGAGACCGACGAGGCGCAACCTTCCTCGACTGACGCCGTGGCGAGCGAGGCAACTCAGAATGGAACGGAACCAGCTCCTGCTGAAGAGGTCATCTCGAAACGAGTTGGTGGTGTTCAATCAGGCAAAGACGAACCCGATGTTCCTATGCGGTTCTCTGAGAAGAGGAGACTAGATTGGAAAGGGAAAACATGTGCGTACTACCTTTTCTACTACTATTTCTCAACTGACATGTCGTTCAGATCTGGCTCCGCTTACGACTGTCGGAAACCTTGTATGGAGGCTGTTGTTTCGAATTCAGTGAGGCAGTAGCTGAACCATTGCTGTCTTAGCCGTTCCGTCGCATGTGTGTAAAACTGGGTGCCGATATAACCTGTGGCGAGAGTACGTGACCTTATAATACAGTTTGACATTCATGGCTATACTCACTTGGTTTCAGTGGGACTCGCTACCTCCTTCCTGGCAGGATCAAAAGAAGAGTGGTCACTAGTGCGCCGACATCCTAGCGAGAAGATATTCGGTATCCAGGTTGCCGGCAACAAGCCCCATACGCTGGTACCGACAGCAGAAGTGATCGCAAAGGAGTTCCCTACCGGGGTTGACTTCGTGGACCTTAACTGTGGTTGTCCCATCGACCTCGTATTCAAAGCTGGAAGTGGATCAGCTTGTGAGTCGTCTGTCAGTCCCTCCTGTGTTTAATCCTCATGCATCTTGAAAAGTGCTCGACAATGCTGGAAAACTAGGCAAAATCATCCAAGGAATGAACCGCGCTCTTGGCGAAATTCCCTTGACTGTAAAGATCAGAACCGGGGTGAAAGAAGGAAGGAACAACGCTCATAAACTGATGCCTCGCATTTCTGCTGAATGGAGCGCTTCTGCCATCACCGTTAGTACCATTTTCTGCTCAGCATCTTGCAACTTCTCACCGTTTACTTCAGCTTCATGGAAGAACACGACAACAGCGATATACCAAACTAGCGGACTGGGACTACATCAAGGAATGTGTCGCAGCTGTGCGTGCACGGGAGGCTGATGAAGATCGTACGTCTAGCGCTATTGATGCAAATCGATTCTTTGTCGTTAACTGGATACCCTACCAGTCCCTCCCGTCCCAATCTTCGGCGGAGGCGATTGCTTCTCCTCGCAAGACTACTGGGAGAAAATCAACAACTATGGGGTCGATGGGGTCATGATTGGAAGAGGCGCATTAATCAAGCCATGGATTTTCACTGAAATTAAAGAGCGTCGGGAGTGGGATATCAGCGCAACAGAGCGGTTACAACTCATTCGTGATGTAGGCTCCGTTTGACTTCTACCGTTTTCGTCATGCTGATTGATCTCGTCATTTAGTACGTCGAATACGGCCTGAAGTAAGTCGAAGCACATCTGAAATGTCAGGTTTGTGCACTGGATTCTGATGTGCTTTTTTAGCCACTTCGGTTCAGATACTGCTGGCGTCAATACGACGAGACGGTACCTCTGCGAAGCTCTTTCCTTCCAATACCGATATGTTCCCATCGGACTTTTGGAAAGACTTCCTGCCAAGATCAACGAACGAGCACCCGCGTTCGTTGGTCGAAGCGATCTTGGTACGTGTTCTGAAGATGCTCTGATCCTTGTTCTCACTCCCGTTTAGAAACGCTGTTGGCAAGCCCGGATAGCCAGGATTGGGTCAAGATTTCCGAAATGTTCCTTGGACCTGCACCGCAGAGCTGGGTGTTTACTCCTAAACACAAGAGCAATGCTTATGGGAGTGAAGAAGGGCAAGGTTGAGCATAGGGGTGAGTACCTTCACTTCGTTGTGTTCACAGACCATTCAAAATGGAAGCCCTTTTTAAGTTGTCACCTTCGCTATCTATATATGTTACCTGCTATGAAACGGCGACTAAGAGACTGAACAACTCTCGTTGTGATATGACCTGAAACAGCATCTGCTACTTACTTGAATACTAACTACTTCCACCTCATTAGCCCGATTTCATCTCGAAGACACATCCTCTCGCCATTTGCCATCTACATGTATCTGGTCTCTCTGCACAAGTAGCGATATATGGAATAGTACAGGTTTGCGGCAAGAACTGGCCATAGAAGTCATCAGCATGTCTCGACTTCATGGAGTGTGGCCACAGATATTTCCAAGACAGATAATTATTCTGGGGCTGTTAGAACGACAGGCGCCCGAATCGAGCAGCACATTCAAGACTATGCTGCTGTGTTGACTCCTGTGCATTGCCCCTTCTTAGGTCGAGGTGTGGCCGATTGCTATCTTGATTCTCTACGATCACTGAAACTTCATCTGCAGGTGTTCGCTCGCGTTCGCATGGAGGGTGTCCAGAATTTCATCACACCGTTTTCTTCTGATCTAAAAGCGGGCGTCGGGGCGTTCCCGAAGCGACGACGTGGGACTGCCTGAGCCAGTCTGATAAAAGAGGCGGCCAAGTGACCCTAGGAACCGATCTGAAGTACTCGCTAGTATGCCTTACTCACCGTCGGGCTTCGTATCGCTGGTCAAGGCCGTGGCCAAGTTTGAGCCACAAGTTCATTCTGCACTAATCACAGTTTTACTTGCTGCTGTCTTGGTTTCTTTTGCACTTGGACGGGCGATCACTGAAACCCGGAAAGGTGGTCGTCTGTCTACCCTCCTCCCCCCTGGGCCCAAAGGAATCCCGTTTTTCGGCAATCTGTTTCAAATACCCCAGGAATACGCTTGGATTGTGTACAACGATTGGGCCAGGAAATATGGCGAGTCATTCTTTCATTTTTCGCTCGTAGGTTTGCTTGACGCATGCTAATTAACACAGGCGATATAATATACTTCGAAGCGCTAGGACAACCAATTATAGTCTTGAACTCGTATAAAGATGTCGCAGCCTTACTCGAGAAGAAAGCACCTAAATATTCGGATAGGCCTGGTTTGCCTGCTCTTGAAATGTAAGCGCCCAATATTATCCTTCTAATCGTACCCTGTCTCAGTTACGTGGTGGTTGCCAGGATGGGAGCTAGCTGGACGTCTGGGTTCATGGAATACGGGAAGAAATGGAAGGCCAACCGACGAGGCTTTCATCAGTTTCTTGCCCAGGGGAAAATCCAGAATTACCACCCGATCATGAAAGAAGAGACCTTGACCTTCTTGCGGAACCTTCTCGACGAGCCTGAAACATTCATGTCTGAATGTCGGTCGTAAGTGCTGCTTTTTTTCTATCACATTACACGGCCAATGATATCCGACGGCAGGTTGTTTGCTCATACTGTCATCCGAGTATCCTATGGGGGCAAGGACTTCGATTACAACCGAGAACTTATTCAAGACGCTGAGGAGATTGTCGATCGGATCGCCACTGCAGTAACTCCTGGAAGATACATGGTTAACGTGTTTCCGATTCTAAAATACGTGCCATCCTGGTTCCCAGGGGCTGGATGGAAGAGGCATTTACTCAAAGGTGCCGCGATTACCGAGAAGATCATCACACGACCATTTAAAGACGCCAGGGCGAGACTTGTAAGTGTGGTGGTATCGTTCGATCGGTATTCTACGATCCTGGGAACAGCCTCCGAAAGGAGCCTGTACGGCGGCGACGCTGATGCAGTCGGCTCGCCTAGGGTCTTCGAGTCCCCCTTGAGGCTTGCAATCACTAGGTAATTAGAGAATTAGTGGTATACCAGACCCCCCAATCGACATTGTACGCGATGCTCTTGCTGATGGTGACTTGAGCGGCGGTGTGCTGTGTCAGCACACAATCTTCCAATCTTCTTAGGGAAGTGGCGTCCCGCCGTCCCCTTTGGACTTACTTTTCTGCAGTTTCGGTTAGTGCTTTACTTCAATGCTACGAAGATTCAGGAATTCAGTGGAGTGCAACGGGAGCAACTCGCGCGTCGGCGGTGTGTTCCCCATCAATCCATCATCTTGTACCCCGAGACTCCAGCTCCCAATGCACTCCCATACATGTTGCTGAGGTCAATCGCAATATGTCTGAACAATTCTACTGAGCTACCAAACAGCGCGACAACGATATCCCACCAGCTATTAGTGTCCGGGATTTGCTAATGAGAATGTCGTCCCCGGGACCCTCCCCAAGCTTACCTTGGGTTTACCATCTAGAAATGCCCGGTACGGGGTCGCATATCCCCTCATATTCTCTCGGCGCACGGAGGCCACCCCGCCGCCTCACCTCGCCCAGCCCGAATTGATTGGTGATGCCCGACGTTTGCCAAGCTAGTGCCTCATCGTATAATACCGATCGAAGTATGACTCGTAAGTGTGCTCTTTGGAGTCCTAGATCCGTTGGTGCAGATGTTTGTTATCTATCTAGAAAAACCAAAGCGGGGGCGACTCCGATGATGTTGACCACGTTAGCATCGCTCGTGGTCTTCTGGACGGGTTGCCCGCGGAAGATCATCCCGATTACCACGAACAAGAGAGAATAGCCATAGAGGTCTCGGCGACTGCCTACGCAGGCGTTCTGCGATCATAGTGGTTTTGTACTCGGGCTTACCTGCATTGTATCCAAGGGCTATCTTGCACGACCCGGATGTCTTCGATCAGCCGCTGGAGTTTAACGTTCCCGGAGCGGTGGCTGAAGGACGGGCAACTTGACGACACTCTCCTGGACGCCAACTCGCTCGTGTTCGGCTACGGACGTCGGTACGTTTTCACTACGCCGGCTGCTGAAACAGGACCTTCGCTGACCTTTGTGACCCTTGAACCCAGCGTCTGTCCCGGTCGTTATTTGAGCCAGGATTCACTCCTCTACATGACTGCAGCCTTGCTTTCCGTCTTCAACGTAAAGGATCCCTTCAGCACCCAGCCGTTGTCACTCGATGTTACTCCGGAACTATTATGGTAAGTGGAAAGGCAATCTGAGCCCAGAACCGAAATTGACAGACTTCACGATTGAACAGTAAAATCTCTCCGTTTAAATGCGATATCGCGCCTCGCTCGGAGGCACACGCGGCCCTGATTAGATCCTTGGATGGATAGGTTGGTTCTGTATACGCCGTACATGATTGGACAATGCCAATCTGTTAGTTGAGCGCTTACTTCGAGAATTCAGAACGGGCGCCGTAGGCTCGGATGTTTTAGCGTGCGAGGGTGCTTCCGCGTGGGTTTTTGTCGTCATCCGACTCCCGAGCATGTCCCGCAAAGGGTATCGAAATGCTTCTTTCGTCCCACCGACAAACTTCCACAGTGCGAAAGAAGCGATGGCTCCAGGCAAGCGAGGTGCTGACGCGATAAACCTTTACTTTTTCGACGGAAGTAAGCAAAATCGGGCCTCGGTTGGCAACATGATTTAAGTATCGCGGCGACTGGCACAGCTGGATGTCCAACGCAATCAACGACGACGACCGAGCACCCAAACATTCCTGAAGGCTTGACCTGTTATTCCTCACATCCAATGACGAACGTTTCTCCAACAGTCGGGCAGGTTGTCGGTGCATCTGTCCTGACGTGGCTGGTGTGGAAGATCGTAAAGAAGGCGACGACAAAGAACCCGTTGGATAAGGTTCCCGGTCCGCCCTACAAGTCATTTTTGAAGGGTGAGCTTTCACGACCATCTGGGTGAACAAGTGGTAATAATAACGTTACGTCTAGGGAACTTCCCGGATTTGGTTCATCCCCGAGCATGGGACTACCACATTGAGATTGCGGAGAAGTGTGCGTACCGCCTACCTCGTCACATCGTTTTCACCACCTGACGACGAGATTTGCTCACGTTAGATGGAGGAGTTCTAAAATTCAATGGGTTCTTTGGCGTGAGTTGACGCCTCCAGATACCCTGCTACGCTCACTTACCTGTTGATTGGGGAATTTAGGAAGCGCACCTATATGTATTCGACCCAAAGGCATTGCATCATATCATTGTCAAGGTTGGCTCTCAAAGAGTGTTGCTTAAACGGCTCTCACGAGAAAATATGATTACCAGGATCAATACATCTATGACGAAACGGATTCTTTCTTTGTGTAAGCGCTTCTTAAAACCCTGTCGTTCTTATGCTCACGAACCTTGACCCACAGGGCGAACGATGTTGTATTCGGCAAGGGTCTCCTTTCAACTGGAGGAGAGCATCATCGCAAGCAACGGAAGATGTTGAATCCAGTATTCTCAATTGCGCACATGCGTGAGATGGGTAAGTGGTCTCCGTGATGCCCAACTGCCCTCAATTAAATCCACGTCCCAGTGCCAATATTTTATGACGTCGTGAACAGGGTACGTTCCGCTTATAAACCGTATGAAAGCCATCTTGTTCACACCCTTTCAAGCTCGGAAATGCGATTGAGGCTCAAGTCGCCAATGGACCTAAAGATGTGAGAGCTTTCCTCATTTGCAATGAAGTCGCTGACATTGAAGACGTCGGAAAGATTGATATCCTGGCATGGATGACCCGGACTGCATTGGAACTCATCGGACAAAGTGGACTAGGATACTCGTTCGATCCCATGACAGAAGATGGTGAAGAGCATCCGTATAGTGTCTCGGTCAAGCTGCTTGTGTGAGTGTGAAATCCATTGGTCTGCTTCCAGTCGCTAATGACCGCCTGCTAGCCCGGCTCTCCACAAACTCAACTTTTCCCGCTTCGTGTTGTTGCCTCTTGTGTACAACATTGGACCCGCTCGTTTCAGGCGTTTCGTGGTGGACATCCTCAGTATCTTCTGGGGAAATTTGCGCCGAGTCCGAGATATTGTCGACATCATCACGAACACTTCTGTGACCATCTATGAAGAGAAGAAGAAGGCTTTGGCGGAGGGAGACGAAGCGCTGCAAAATCAGATCGGGCGAGGGAAGGATATCATCAGCATTTTGAGTACGCTCTCTATTATCTATCCATTTACGCTCTTCTGACCCCACTGCAGTGAAAGCCAATATGGAAGCCTCTGAAGAGGATAGGTTGCCGGAATCAGAGCTACTTGGTCAGATGTCGTATGTGCCTGTGCTTCCTTTCGGGATACCCCAGTTAAAGCTTACGAATTATCCAGAACTCTTACCTTCGCTGCGATGGACACAACCTCCAATGCCCTATCTCGCATCTTCCACTTGTTGAGCGAAAATCCTGAGGTCCAGGAAAGATTGCGAGCGGAAATTCTCGAAGCTAAAGCTCAGAATGGTGGCGAACTCATGCACGATGAACTGGTAAACCTTCCATTCCTCGATGCCATTTGCAGGGAAACGATGCGATTGTAAGTCTTCGAGCATTTGAGACCAACTTCAACTAACTGAGCAAACTCTAGGTACCCGCCCGTCCCTATGCTGCTCCGAGAGTAAGTGTTTAAGCGTCCATCGATTCTGTATACTCCTTTCTCATGCTTATATCAGGGCTCGTCAAGATATGATTCTTCCTGTTTCAAAGCCGATCATTGGGACCGACGGACAGGAGATGAATGAAATCCTCGTTCCCAAGGGCACAAAGATCTTTATCTCTACTCTTGCTTCCAACAGGAATACTGACTTATGGGGCCCCGACGCACACGAGTGGAAACCCGAACGCTGGCTCTCCCCTCTTCCGGAGAAACTTTTGAAGGCGAAGATTCCCGGTGTTTATTCCCATCTGTGCGTACCGCTTTTTTGTGCACTCCGTGTAACCATAATGACTATGATTGAATTTCTAGGATGACATTCCTTGGTGGTGGAAGGTCCTGCATCGGGTTCAAATTCTCGCAGCTGGAAATGAGTGCGTGTCTTTTATTGTCCTCGCCGTGACCGATGAGATTGAAGGAAGGTTGTTCCCCAGAGGTCGTGTTGGTCACATTGCTCGAGAAGCTGCGGTTCACTTCACTCGGCAAGAAGGTTTACTGGCAAATGAACGGTATTGCACAACCGATTATCGAGGAGGAAGGATCCTTGGATCCTCAGCTTCCCATAAAAGTGGAACTATTGGCTTCCCGAGTGTAACCTACTGGCGATTGTCCGCCTTTCGTAGTACTTCGCTGTCAACCAAACCATCGTCAAATTCATTGCACTTTCCTGCGACATCGTATAGATCTTCTTTCCAACCTCAGCCTGGTACACCAGTCGGCGGGCTGTCGAGGACTTTGACTATTGGCAAGGACAAGCTTAGGTCAGAGGAATATGGGGCTCGGAAGAGCGGATCACGAAGGTTGGCGTGGGCTTCCGTGCTATCGTCTGAGGGGGTGAAGGGAAAGTTGGCCTGGTGCCTGTCCGAGTCCGACATTAATTCGGAAGGGGAGCTAGCTTAAGACCGCAATACCTTGTAATCTGTACCCACGAATGATATCCAGGAAAAATAAACAAAGAGCATATACACTAGTATATCAACCCGCTCTACCGTTAAGGGCAGAAAGTGACGGTATAGTCAGCCCTCCTGATGCCGGGGCACGTGAAGAGGGCGGTACTGCTTCCTTCGTCGTAGGCATAAGCGTAGGAGTGAGGACAGGCATTCTCTGCGAAAGAGCATCGGAGTCAGACGCGTGCATCGAAGGTCATGAATGATATTACCGAAGTAGCTGTAGTATTGGGCATTGGTCGAAAATGGTGATATATGATAGTGGGTGGAAACAAAACATACCGGAAGCAGGACACGTCGCAGCAGTATTGTACTGGCCATTGCAACAGTTCCTAGAGTTGTCTATCACATCCCACATGAGTATTGTGAATTCGCGATAAAAATGCGAGGTATTACCTGGGGTACCATCCAAATCGGCAAAACACGCCGGTTTGCATCCAAGCGGAAAACCGGATGCGTCGAAAGGCTACTGCTCGTTCCCGACGATCCAGGAGACGTCCACTTGATGGCCCTATGTTCACATCTTTCATAATTGATGTGCAGCCCAACATATCGAATCGTCGACGTGAACCATGTGCACTCTACCATCCGGCCAATGACTTACACCGTAGTCTCGCGCTAATGGCTTCCACATATTCCGGCGGCGGATCTCGTGCTCCACAAAGCGTATGAGCACTCTGCAGTTCTTGCGGTGGACACACCATTTTATGAAGGGAAAAGCGCACTATTATTCCCAGTCAACTCGGCATACTGGACTTCGAGAACAGCCGCCCATGGGCGCTAAACGACCGGACATAGTGTCCGACCTTCAAAGCTTCAACTTGAAAGTCCGCCGATCACCTGCCTAAATCGTCATTTACCCCTAACAAGCGCCCAGTTGCCTACAACCTCCACAACGCATCCGAAACCTTCACCACATCCTCCATCTCCTGCACATCATGTACCCTTACAACAAGCGCACCCTGCTGAACCGCACACGAGACAGCAGCAGCAGTCGCAAACACGCGCTCCTTTGGTGTCGTTTTGCGTCCATGTTGTCCTTCAGCAAGGATGGCACCCAAGAACGACTTGCGCGAGACACCAATAAGTTGAGGGAATCCATAAAGGGGATTCATTTTGTTGCCCTCTGTAGACATGTGTCAGTCTCGAGCAAGCAAGGCGTGGGCGAGTGAAAAGATACCAACCAGGTCCAATAAACGGCGCATCAACGACTTGCGAGGCGTGCCTCAGCACCTCAAGGTTCCCATCCAAAGTCTTGCTAAACCCAATCCCAGGATCCACAATAACAGACCATCTACGCACCCCACCCTTGCCTTTCACAATCTTCTCCACCTTCTCGCCCAACTCGACTCTGACACCCTCCAAAACCGCCTCGTTCGGTCCAGCATACTCGTATACCTTGTAATCCTTGTTCTGACCCGCGTCCCCTCTGGAGTGCATAAGTACAACAGGCGCAGCGTACCGACGTGCTATCGCTTTCATCTTCGTCATGATCCCTTCCGCTTCCTGGTTATTTTTCTCGGAATGGGGGTACGAGTCGGGTCCGGTGAACGAATAAACGTCGTTGATGCAGTTGGCACCAGCTGCTAAAGCCGCTTCTGCCACTTCCCAACGGAAAGTGTCCACGCTGATAGGAATGTCCGCCACTTGATCTTGCCCGTTTTGCTCTCGGATTGCTTGCACGTACGGAACGACCCGATTGGTCTCCTCGTCAACCGAGACAAACGCGGCACCAGGACGCGTCGAGTACCCCCCAATGTCGATGATACGCGCACCGGCAGTAACAGAGTCCTTGACATAGGATATAGCGGCAGGAAGGACATTGTGGGTTGAACCGTCTGAGAAGGAGTCGGGAGTTGTATTGAGCGTCGCCATGACCTTTGTTCCAGCTTTGCCGTATTTCCAATGGGTGAGGGTATCTGGAACTTGTTCGATAGGGTAGGCGAAGGCGGTATCTTGACGCGGTGGTAAGCGAGGGAAAGGTATTACTTTCTCCATAGGCGGGTCGCTAGGAGATATATGGAGGTCTTGGAGGAGCCTTGCGATACTCTTCTTCAACACAGGGTGAACCAAGTCAGGGACGATGCTGTTCGAACACGTGAGCTGTGGCAGCAGATGGCGTCTAGGGGAGAGCTTACTCATTGAGGGGACGAAGGACGAATTCTCGTTCAGCCAACCTAGGGTGGGGTATCACGAGTTGCCCCTCCAGGTTGTCCAGGTCCTTGCGGTCTTCCACAGGTCGGGTATCGAAAACATCGTTGTCGTATAGAATGATATCCAGATCCACCGCTCGAGGGCCGTTCCTGACACTCGGGACGCGTCCTACGATAGTTTCAATAGTCTTGACCAAGAGAAGTAGCGTCAACGGTGATAGATTGGTTTCTATCTGAAAGTTACAATTCAGGTTGTGTATACTGGACATGAAGGGAAAACATACCACACAAGCACCGTTGATAAAAGCCGGCTGGTCGGTGAAGTACATGGGGGCAGTTTCATACAAGAAAGACGTGTCCACGACGTCCACCTTCATTGCCTCTGCCTTATCACCATCAACCGGTTTATGTTCTTTGAGCACTTCTCCCGGGATTTCCAAAAGACGGAGTGCCGACTCGATATTCTTGAATCGATCACCGAGGTTGGATCCCAGAGCCAAAACAACTTTGTGAACGGTACTCGGAGCCACCGTCATAGTCCGAGGAACGGTGCGGTGGTCGACATGATGAAGATGTTCGTAGTCTTCTAGGGTGCGCGTGATGACGACTTCTGAGCTTTTGGCGAGGGGTAGAGCGTGGGGTTTGGAAGCGCTGACGGTGACCTTCACTGGCGTCTTCCCGTACGCGAGGATCATCAAAATGTCTTTGGCGATTGCAGAGGATAGGGCTTCCAGCGTGAGGTAGGTAGAGTCCTGTACCATCTAAGGAGAGCCATGAGCAAACCACCCGCGGGTCCAGAATTTTATCGCGACTAACCTCGAAGACCTGCTTGACTAGATCGCGTAGGTCCGGTGGATCGATGACCATAGCCTCCACCGCATTTTGAATTTTGAAGTTGACGACAACGTCCTGTTTTTCTAGTCGCTCTTGGGGGCCTACGCCGATGATCGTTGGGCAAACCAAGTCCTCCACGAAAAACTCCACCGTCGATACCATCCACTGTCCTCGAGTTTTGTAGGACGCAAACCCAACAGCCACGCGTCGACATCGCAAAGGTGCTTTGAGTTGCGTAACCTTCAGCTCGAACTTCTCAAAAGACTCGGTGTAGCGGAGGACGATAAAGTCGCAGAGAGATTTCCCGACATCATGCAGGGACGCGAACGACGTCTTCGACGCGAGATGAACCTGGAGTCGTTCGACAATCTGCGCATAGTCGATAGAATGCGAGAGGTCATCCGAGGCAGCAGTCTTGCGAACGTCGTAGTCGATAAACAGCGAGATCGAAATGGGCTGCAGAACCGGTGGACTCCCTGGCTGAACGGACCATTGCGCGCCTGATCTCAGTGGTAAATTCAGGGCCAAATCGTTGATGCATATAGAATCGCCCTGGCTGGTTTTATGAATATTCGATTGTTGGATAGCGGTTGGTTTTACCTTGAAGGTGGGGATGTCATGGTGGTGGTGGTGGTTATTGACGAAGATGGTAATCCCGATGTCGTGTTTTGACGCCGAGAGCTTTGATCGCTGTTTCGACCAAACACCACCATGTCCGACGTCGCCTCTGCCTTGCAGCGCCTCGCCTCGTATCGCGCCAACCACTCTAGGGCTTCACAGGATGTATTCAAGAAGGGTGACATTGTCTTGAAATCTGGAAAGGCACCAAAAGGGGAAGAAGGTATGGCCATACAGGCTGTATGTGACACGGCGTGTATATTGACCGGGGTATAGGATGGGCGTTCCTCGAACAGCTGGCACTGGCTGCTATCGACCTCGACAGATTAGAGGTCGCTGATGTACGTCCTAAACCTCTCCTAGTCACCAGCTAGGAAATAACATCAACCCCACAGGCATGCATCGCACAACTCGCCAACAAATTCCCCGATTCACCCAGGGTGGACGTCCTAACTGGCATCCGTATCGAAGCTACAGAACCTCTCGACATAGTCCTCAGCTACTACCGCGAACTCTTGCAAAAGGATTCTACGAACGCTGTGCGTAGCTCGCTTTGAACGCCTCGTTTCGTTTCCTGACAGAGTCCACTGAAGGCTGCGTGGAAACGCAAGATATCTGTGCTTCGCCAGAAGGGAGGAATCGACCAGGCAACTGAAGAACTCATCCAATACCTCGATACTTTCTATACCGACCCAGAAGCATGGCTGGAACTCGCAGATATCTATGTAACGAACCGACAGTAAGTCCCCAAGGTTGCGGTTGTGGAAGCGCCCAGTTCACAGGCTTTATAGATACACGTCAGGGTTACAAGCGCTTTCGCATGCACTGGCTTTGAATCCACAGAACCCATTCACATTTGTTCAGTTCGCAGAGACTGCGTATTCGGCTGGTGACCTCCCACTGGCGCTCAAGATGTTCTTGGTTGCCGTGGACATGATTGAACGCGACCTTGACTCGCCTCAGACTACACCGCCGACCGGACTGGCCATTAGAGCTTGGTGGGGAGTGAAACTGGTATGCCGACCTTCCTGTTCCTGTCATGCAGAGAACTAACACTTCTATTCAGTGTTCTCGTCACCTACTCGAAACCCCGAGCTTAAGCACATCTCCCTCGAACACAAAAGTGCCTAAATCACTCTCAGCCATCGACGAACTTGCAACAGAACGGGTTCTGGTAGCTTACAAGGGTGAAGAAGCAGCACCCCAGCGGCGGTTGGTAGAGAAATGGTTGTCTTCCAAATAATTTCATCGTATCTATACCCTGTATATTCTTTCCTTTTCTCTATTATAATCCTGGGACTTGGCTTCTGAGAACTCTATTGGATCCGCGTGAACGGTCCAAGATCCAGGTTTGTTTCGCGCCATCATGATGGGTCTCAATCCAGCTTCTCCACAACGTTTCTCGCATCCGTGTCCTGTTCGAGGGCCCTCAGGCCCCTATCTCTTCGATCACTGCGTCCAATAATGAGCACACCACCAAGTCCTGTCCGCCGCTCGACCATGTCTTCCATCGGACTAGCCACTCCCCCGCAGATTGGCGATGCAGCGCCAACGACGACGTGCAGCGCTGCCCTCGCCACTTTCCTTTCAACCTCAAAGGTCACCTTCCTCACCCAAGTCCGCGAGGCACCGGAAGACGCGAAGAAATGGACACTCGTCACCGGAAACGAGGCTGGAGGTTCGCCTAAGAATAACCACAAAACCATCGTAACTAACAAGCTTTGGCAGATCTCGACTCGATAGCCAGTGCCATAGGCTATGCCTGGTTCCTCTCCCAAGTCAACCAGCAACCCGCCATCCCACTCATCCAAATCGCCAAAGAGGACTTTATCCTCCGCGCAGAGAACCTCTTCGCCCTCAGCCTCGCCGGGATCCCAGATCCCCAAGAATACCTCCTCTCCCCAAGCGACCTGTGCGATTTCCACCCAGACAACTTTGCTCTAGTCGATCATAACCGTCTGGGGGCGCAGTACGCCGGTGGAAAAGTCGTCGGTGTCATCGACCACCACGAGGACGAGGGGCTGTACATGGACACCGCAGTCCCGAGGCTGATCAAGCCATGCGGAAGCTGCGCCTCACTCGTCGCGTCCCAGCTCCCCCCAGACCTCCCAGCCGAACTCGCCACCCTCCTCTTATCCGCCATCCTCATCGATACGGCGGGGTTGAAGCCAGGCGGGAAAGCCACGGACGACGATCGCCTGGCAGCCGTTAACCTCGCGGTCAAATCCACCCTCGGCATCTCGCATAATCTGACGGATGTAGGGCTGCGCGATGTCCCTGCAATCAAGAATCTGTCGAAGGAGTTGGGAGAGAAGAAGAATGATCTGAGCCATCTGAGCGGATGGGATCTGTTGAGGAGAGATTACAAGGAGTCCACATATATCCTTCCTTGGGCGGACGGCCAACCCGCGATCAAAGTCGGACTCGCCACCGTTCCCGTTCAACTCAAGGTGTGGGGCTCAGACGGTAAACTCGAGACCGATTCGTTGGCATGGATGAAGAAACGCGACCTCACCATCCTCGGCGTCCTCACTACCTTTAGAGAAGAGAAAGACGACGGGAAGGAGAAGAAGAAAGACAAGAAGGATAAAGACGAGGAGAAAGAGAAGAAGAAGGATAAGGATAAGGACAAGAAGGACAAGAAGAAGGAGAAAGACGAGGAGAAAGAGAAGAAGGATAAGGATAAGGACAAGAAGAAGGACAAGAAGAAGGAGAACGACGACGACGACGACGAGAAGGAGAAGAAGAAAGACAAGAAGAAGGAGAAAGACGAGGAGAAAGAGAAGAAAAAGGACAAGAAGAAAGACGACGACGAGAAGGACAAGAAGAAGGACAAGGAGAAGAAGAAAGACGAGGACGAGAAGGAGAAGGAGAAGAAGGAGAAGAAGAAGGAGAAAGGCGACGAGAAGGAAGAGAAGAAAAAAGACAAGAAGGAGGAGAAAGACGACGAGGAGAAAGACAAGAAAAAAGACAAGAAAAAAGAGAAGGAGAAAGACAAGAAGGACGACAAGGAGAAGGAGAAAGACGAAGGCAAAAAGGGCAAACACGCGCGCGAGCAGGCCTGGATCATCCTCGACAACGAAGGGTCATCAGTCGACGTCAACGCGCTGGCTGCACGACTTTGGCAAGGTCTGGAGGAAGATACAACTCTACAGCTGAAACCCCACAAGAACTTTGCCGTGGACGACGGCAAGACCGATAAGCTACCGCCAAACTCCAAGATTCGGGTGTACAAGCAGAAGAATGCGGATGCGACGCGTAAAGCGGTTGCACCGTTGGTGAAGACTATCTTGGAGAAGCCGGATGCCAAATTATGAAGCCATCGTTGTTGGCGCCTTTGACTGCGAGATCGATGTAGACACGAGGAGACCCACAGTATATACTCACACCCATCTGAAAGGATAGCCAATTATTACATCTTTTGATTCGCATTTTGTACATATCTAATCATACATGATGACGCTTGCCTACTAGACTACACCGATCCCAAACAAAGGTTTTACGTGCTAATAATACAAACGAAGCTAAGTAAACGAATTCGAAGTAACAAAGCGGCGTTTATAAGACCCAAAAATAAACTCACAACTCTGAGAACTCTGACCGTGCTGTACGATAGGTCGATCGACTATCAGGTCGTTGGAAGGGATACACCGGTTCAAGATCTTCCCATTCCCCGTCATCATCATCACCATGATCAACTCGAACACCCTGGTACCCTCCTCCCACCATAACCATCACCTGCTTCTTCGCCACCAACTGGCCCTGTGCACCACCACCACCCTCATGATACCCATACCTATTCTTCTTCTTCTTCTCGTTGCCCGCAACAACAACCGTGATCTCGTCTCTCGGGGTCAAGGGCATGTCGGAGTCCGTGGAAGTAGGCGACGAATGGTCGTCCGAGCTCGACGACGCACTAGAAGCTCCCCCCTCCTCTGATGACGTCCGAGATGAAAAAGCGGATCCAGAACGGTCAAGCGTCCCAGTTTGAGAGGCGAATAAACCTCCAGCATGCGATCCAAAATCACGCTCGATGCTCGGGGTGCGTAAAAGGCGTCGTTTTTGGCGGCGGAGGGACCGTCGCACTGGTGTACAAGCTGTCGTCGTACTGGCCGTAGCCGTCGCCGGCGACTCGGACGACCCAGCGAGCGTCGTCTCAGAGGTGGACTCGGCAATCGACGATAATTTTCTATGCCTGAGATTGTTGGTGGCCTTATCGGACCTCGGATGCGTCGTTGTTTTCGTCGTCGTCGTCGTCGTCGTCGACACCGTCGGTCGTTGAGGTCTGGTCGGGGGTACGGGTGGTATCGATCGCGGCGGCGGAGGGATAGCATAATTCAACCGACATAGTTCAGGAAGCTGGAATTGCAGTTGACTCTCCAAATCTCCCCCTGCTCCACCCTTCCGCGACTTGTAATATTTGGTATATCCACCAGGTCCTACAGGTGGAAAAGGATTCATGAAATCGCTCCAGCGCCTCAGATCGGGCGCCTGCGGAACTGGCGGAGGCTTGTTCTGGTGGGCATTAAGGGCTGGTTGGGAGGGTTTAGGGGCTGGGATACGTCGTTTCACACCGGATGCGACTTTGGCGAGGACCGCCATAGTGAAGGAGATGGGCGTCGTCGACAGAGAAAGACCCGAATTTAAAGCCCTGGAACGTCTTATGGGAATCGCGGCGTAACAATAAAAAGTGCGAGGATTCCAAAAGTGGGATATGACAAGAATCCGGTGGTCGATAAGGTTACTTGTAATGAAAAAGACCTATAAAGGTCAACTGTGAGTGCTTCACTTCGGGAGACGAGCTTGGGTACTGGACGTACGTGTGCACACACTGCAGTGCTATTTTAGACTCGTCTAGGGAATGAGGGTGGTCGTCAAGGGAAGGATGGCCGATGATGACAGACGCAACGAAGATATATAGCTTACTATTCGCTCAGCCCATATCAGTTTTGGGCGAGTCAAGACATTCTCATCAAGACCCATAGAAGGATGAAACGGACCAGATGATCGTCATCGTGCAACGTCAGTGTGAAAGCAACATGATACTTACAGATTGGGCCTGAGATTTGTAGTGCCGACGTCATGTGATGCGCGTTCCTGGCCTTCTTTGCAAGCTTTCAACCTCAGCTAGCAAAAGGCAGATAAACTCGGAATCTAGACGGTCAGTAAAAGCAAAGGAGAGGACGAACAGCGTATACGGAGAGACCAGAGTGGCCATCCTGGCTCATCACCCAGTCGAGATGTCACTAAGCGGATCAAGATTCGAGATAGGCGCGGGGTTGAAACTCCCAAGCCGGATTGTGTATCATACTCGACCCCCTACGGTGACAAACTAACACCGGGTTCGGGGGAATGATACAAGACGAATATAGATTTTGGTGACCTCATCCCTAGGCCTTTACCTCACTACAGCGCAGTTCGTATGGACCAGGGTGTTAGACAGATTTTCTCTTCGGTTACCTCATCACACTACACGATCACATGTCCACTACTTTAGTCGCGTCTCTCTCCATCCTCATTCTCCAGATCATTATCACCATCTGGACAGTGAGTATACTTTCCATCGTTCTCGTAGATTCAGACGACTCATGTATCCGTAGTTATTTCTCACCTGTGTGGTGATTCACCAGGTATATAGATCATTATCACCATCTGGACATTATTTCTCACCTGTGTGGTGATTCACCAGACCTAGAGTGTCTGTTTAACAGGTTATGAGCTACCCTTAAAGCTCTTATCTCGCCTTTACGACGTTTATCCGCTTGAGCGTGGCTCGCGATTGCGTTTTAAAGGACCCGCCTTGAGCCATTGTTGCATTCCCCACTCTATACGACATGCCGACCCCCGCCGGCAGTTATCCTTCGGGCGATGTTCGCCAAAACCCCTGGGACGAAAACTTGGGGATGGAATGATGAAAGGACAGTTCATCACGGTCAGGAACCCTCGACGAGGTACGACGAAGAATTTTGAGGGTTTGACGCCCGGCTTCGATTCCCAGCATAATGTGCGAGAGCGGTCGAAGAGGACACGCAGGTTCGTAAAGTCAGTCAGACGTCCGATTGAAAACAGGTTGACTGGACTTTTGGGTGCATAAAGGCAGTTGCGAAGAGTTACCGCACATCGTTGACCGTTGGTCAGACGAATAGTGAATTTGACGGAACCGACCCCGTTGGCGATGAGAGGTGAGGCACCCGCAGTGCCGATTTCGACACTGATGTCACGGAAGGTATGGAAGACGTGACGATCCTTGATGATATGTTGCGTACAGCCGGAGTCCCAGATAACGAACGAGGTGTAGGACGAAATCTCCTTCGTAGGTGGGGAAGGGAGTGGGGCAATACTGAGCTCACTGTCCGAAAGGTAGCAGCCAATATCGAGAGTATCATTGAGGTTGGTAGCGACGGACAGAGTTCCTAACTTTTGGGCCAATAGTACAGCGTCTACCTCGGAAACATCACCCCCATCGTCCGGGCCTGGTTCGTCGGTTATCTCCTCTATAACATCCAACTCGTCCGCACCAAGGTTTCCTTCATCCGCCAGATAAGCCGATTTGTTTGGTTTACGACAGGTGGCTTTAGTGTGGCCAACGGCTCCGCAATTGTGGCATATAACCGCAGCTTGCTTGTTGGTCTGTGCCGTAGAGGAAGCAGGCTTAGTCGGTGCGGATGATGAGGTGGCAAGGGCAGTGGATGAAGAGATGGAGTTGGGAGGGCGAGGATTGGTGTTTCGGAAGATGAAGGAGTTAGCGATGAGTTCCTTGTGGAGACGTTCAGCGCTACGTAGCTCGTCAATGACCATTTGCCAGGGGACTATAGCCCGATCACCCCCATTGGATGCCAGCCAGATGCGCCAGATCGAGCGGAGGCTTTCGCCGATGCGGGAAGGAAGGCGATAATGGAGAGTGTTGATGATGGCACGGGGAGAGGCATCAGGGAAGTGGGAGTCCTTGATTTCCGTGGCGAGGTCTTCGAAGCGGGCGAGGTAACCAGGGACGTTGGTGCACTCTAGAGAACGGAGACGAGCCCAAGCAGCTTCGCCTTGTTCGTAGGAGAGAGCGCCATATTCATCTCGAAGGATCTGGTAGGCCACACGAGCGGTTAGGGACTCTTCACCTTCACGTTGGACATAATAGTCGATGCGGCGGCGCGCGGCAGGAGAGATGGACGCGAGGAGGTGATGTTGAACGAAAAGGTCAAGTTCTCGCCAGATGTGAGCAGCGTGATGGTCGAGTTCCGAAGACATGGCTGTGATGACAGGTGGCTGAAGAGGGCGGCTGATGGGTGAGAGTTTGTTCGAGTTCTCCTCGGGTAAGGTGATCCAGCCCAAGACGTTCTTGCCACGTAAGATGTGCCTGATGCCACCAATCCACTCGTTCCAATGCGCATGCTTTTCGAGAATAGGTAAATGAGAAACGGATACCGAAGTACCCTTGCGGTGCATAATAAGCGCCGTGCGGAAAGGGTTAAAAGAAGAAGAATTATTACGGCCGTCGGAAGATTCCTTGGCCAGAAGACGAAGGAAATACAAATGGTCGAAAGGTAAAGGGTTAAAAGAGTCAGAGGCAGGAGGGCGTGAGGTGCGAGGGGGTGGTGGGGGAGGAGGAGCACGAGTGTAACCCCGATCGCGACCGGACGCGGGATTGCGTGGCGGAGGCAAATCGTCATCCGAGGACTCACCCCCATTTAGACCATTCCCGAGAGCGGACCTCGCGGCATCTTCCAGCTCGGTAGGGACAGAACCAGTGACAGCGCGAACATGTGCCAAGAGGTCAGCCCAAACCTTAGGGTCCGAAGTACCCGTGGTTGGAGGAGACAAAGAATTAAAATAAGGTTGTTGTTGAAAGGGATTAAAATAAGGAACAGGCCAGGGGATGAAGTTAGGTTGGCCGGATTGTTGACCATTCTGAGAGAAATTCCATTGAAACTGGCCAGAAGGAAAATTGGGATTGTTCTGAGAAGCTGAAGTTTCCTGTTGGACAGGGGCCTGGGAAGCCGAAGACCAACGGGAGGTCTTGTCGTAATCGAGATCATACGTAGAAGGGCCTTTATCGGCAGTTTTAGAACGAGAAAAGGAAAAAGGTTTCTTAATTGTAGAAGAGGAAGGTTGGGCTTTAACCGAAGAAGAATAAGAGTGTTGGCTCGTGTATGAAGGAATCGAAGGCATGGCATTGGGCGAGGAATCGGGGATAGGATCGACAGGCGCACCTATTTTCTTGGAGCGAGAACGTTTTCCCTTAGCGCGTTGGGCGTTGTCCGGGGGAAGCTCCTCAGCTTGGTCGTCGTCATCAAACACAGCGCCACCATCATCGACCTGTCCATCATCCTCGAGATCGCGGTTTTCGTCCCAGGGGTTTTGGCGAACATCGCCCGAAGGATAACTGCCGGCGGGGGTCGGCATGTCGTATAGAGTGGGGAATGCAACAATGGCTCAAGGCGGGTCCTTTAAAACGCAATCGCGAGCCACGCTCAAGCGGATAAACGTCGTAAAGGCGAGATAAGAGCTTTAAGGGTAGCTCATAACCTGTTAAACAGACACTCTAGGTCTGGTGAATCACCACACAGGTGAGAAATAATGTCCAGATGGTGATAATGATCTATATACCTGGTGAATCACCACACAGGTGAGAAATAACTACGGATACATGAGTCGTCTGAATCTACGAGAACGATGGAAAGTATACTCACTGTCCAGATGGTGATAATGATCTGGAGAGTGAGGATGGAGAGAGACGCGACTAAAGTAGTGGACATGTGATCGTGTAGTGTGATGAGGTAACCGAAGAGAAAATCTGTCTAACAACCTGTTAAACAGACACTCTAGGTCTGGTGAATCACCACACAGGTGAGAAATAATGTCCAGATGGTGATAATGATCTATATACCTGGTGAATCACCACACAGGTGAGAAATAACTACGGATACATGAGTCGTCTGAATCTACGAGAACGATGGAAAGTATACTCACTGTCCAGATGGTGATAATGATCTGGAGAGTGAGGATGGAGAGAGACGCGACTAAAGTAGTGGACATGTGATCGTGTAGTGTGATGAGGTAACCGAAGAGAAAATCTGTCTAACACACCCCCATCGCGAAGGTGGACGAAGAACCAAAGAGAGTAATATCAAGATGTCGTAACAACAGGTGAGGCAACTCGTGGAGAAAGAATGAGACCAAGGGATTCACGGTGTTTTTCGAAAAGAACGGTTTTAAGAGGTTTTGTGAGGATATCGGCAACGTTAAGACCAGAAGAAATCCAGGAAGGGGTGAAGATGCCTTCTTCGAAATATTGTTTGATGAAAAGTTCGCGAATGTGAATGTGTTTGGAGCGTGAAGATATGCCAGGTGATGAAAGTTGATGAATAGTGCTACGGTTGTCGCCAATAAGATGGAAAGGAGAAGGTACGGGGATACCACAAGATTCGAGTAGTTGTCGGAACCACAGGGCTTGGCGCACGAGGAGCGATGCTGCGTAAAGGAGAACGGAGACGAGCCCAAGCAGGTTCGCCTTGTTCGTAGGAGAGAGCGCCATATTCATCTCGAAGGATCTGGTAGGCCACACGAGCGGTTAGGGACTCTTCACCTTCACGTTGGACATAATAGTTCGAAGACCTCGCCACGGAAATCAAGGACTCCCACTTCCCTGATGCCTCTCCCCGTGCCATCATCAACACTCTCCATTATCGCCTTCCTTCCCGCATCGGCGAAAGCCTCCGCTCGATCTGGCGCATCTGGCTGGCATCCAATGGGGGTGATCGGGCTATAGTCCCCTGGCAAATGGTCATTGACGAGCTACGTAGCGCTGAACGTCTCCACAAGGAACTCATCGCTAACTCCTTCATCTTCCGAAACACCAATCCTCGCCCTCCCAACTCCATCTCTTCATCCACTGCCCTTGCCACCTCATCATCCGCACCGACTAAGCCTGCTTCCTCTACGGCACAGACCAACAAGCAAGCTGCGGTTATATGCCACAATTGCGGAGCCGTTGGCCACACTAAAGCCACCTGTCGTAAACCAAACAAATCGGCTTATCTGGCGGATGAAGGAAACCTTGGTGCGGACGAGTTGGATGTTATAGAGGAGATAACCGACGAACCAGGCCCGGACGATGGGGGTGATGTTTCCGAGGTAGACGCTGTACTATTGGCCCAAAAGTTAGGAACTCTGTCCGTCGCTACCAACCTCAATGATACTCTCGATATTGGCTGCTACCTTTCGGACAGTGAGCTCAGTATTGCCCCACTCCCTTCCCCACCTACGAAGGAGATTTCGTCCTACACCTCGTTCGTTATCTGGGACTCCGGCTGTACGCAACATATCATCAAGGATCGTCACGTCTTCCATACCTTCCGTGACATCAGTGTCGAAATCGGCACTGCGGGTGCCTCACCTCTCATCGCCAACGGGGTCGGTTCCGTCAAATTCACTATTCGTCTGACCAACGGTCAACGATGTGCGGTAACTCTTCGCAACTGCCTTTATGCACCCAAAAGTCCAGTCAACCTGTTTTCAATCGGACGTCTGACTGACTTTACGAACCTGCGTGTCCTCTTCGACCGCTCTCGCACATTATGCTGGGAATCGAAGCCGGGCGTCAAACCCTCAAAATTCTTCGTCGTACCTCGTCGAGGGTTCCTGACCGTGATGAACTGTCCTTTCATCATTCCATCCCCAACACCAATCCCTTCTACTCCCACCCAAAATCCATCCACCCACGCCTTCTATCTTTCCTCGGAGACATGCGACCTACCCAACTTCTTCCCATCTTCACCGCCAAATCCTGAACTGCTTCACCGACGTTTCGGACATTCGTCTTTCGAGATTGTCAAGCTAGTTGTTTCCAACAACCTGATGAAGAACATCAAGTGCATCGGTAGCTTCTCCACCCAATGCCGTTGCGCGGTTTGTACACTCGCCCAACGTGCCGCTACACCATATCCATCTGAAGGTAGCTTGCGCGCTACACGCACTGGTGGCCATCTTCATCTTGACATCTCCGGTCCGTGGCCTGTCCAAACGCCCGAGGGCCACAAGTACTACCTTGCAGTTCTCGATGACTACACACGTTTTGGCTGGGTAGCCCTCCTTCGAGCCCGCGACGATGCCTTCGATGCCTATGTCCACATCGAGGCTCGCGTGGAGAACCAGACCAATCGGAAGATAGGCCGCGTACGGGTCGACAATGCTCCTGAACTCTCTCGTGGAGTAATGGAGAAACACTTACTATCCAAGGGTGTGGAGATTCAACGTTCCGTCGCTTACGCTCACGGGCAGAACGGTGCTATTGAACGTCATGTCCGGAAGATCCAAGACAAGGCGAGCTGTCTTCTGGCGGAATCCCAACTTCCTGCCACTTACTGGGGATACGCGGTTCAAACTTCGCAATATCTTCTCAATCGACTCCCTTGCAAGGCTATTGGATCTGATACCACGCCTCATACCCTCTTCTACGGCGAACCACCAGACGGATCTATGCTCCGGGTTTTCGGCTCTCGTTGCTGGGCACTTATACCCACTGAACTCCGCAGGAAGGGTGATTTCAGACGCGTCGAGTGTACCTTTGTCGGTTATGGTGATGGCCGCAAAGGATATCGGGTTATTACTTCGACTGGCAAAGTCATGTGGTCTAGGGATGTTATCTTCGATGAGAACAACATGGGCCGGGTTACAGCAAGACGTTCCCGCATTACGACAGAGTCCAACCCTGACGACCTCGTCTCAGTACGGAAAGTTCTTCAAGAGGTTCGTCGTTCTAATCGTCTCGCTGGTATTCCCGCTTCCTCTCTGTACACCGACCTCGACTCTCCTATCACTCTGGAAGATACACTGGCTTTATTCTCTGACGATACCGACTCTCCTACTGGGGGTGCACCTTCTGGGGGTGCCAAACTCGATGCATTTCAACTTGACGAACTCAGGGCTTACTTTGGGATTATTGGCGGTCACCGGATGATGGACGACTCCAATTCTCGCTCCTCTCTGTCCGATCGAGGGAAATACATGGATTCTTTGATGTTTGACGAAGAATCTCTCGACCCCGAGTCGTCCTACTATCTCCATGATCTCACCCAAGCTCCCCTGTCTTACCGACATGCTATGGCTCGACCTGACCGCGACATCTGGATGGCTGCAATGCAGAAAGAAGTCAGTGGATTACTGGGCAAACCCGCACTTCGCGTTGAAGAGAATCCTCCTCCCGGCGCCTTTATCATTGACGGACGATGGGTTTACGCCTTCAAAGAGGATGGTACCGCTAAGGCTCGTTGGGTCGTCAAAGGCTTCCAACAACGCCCGGGCTCATATGCCAGATGTTATGCTCCTGTCGCTGAACAAGGCACCATCCGAATGACCCTAGCTAACGCCGCGGAACGGGATTATGAACTCTTTGCGTTCGACATTACTGCTGCCTTCACCCATTCCCCCCTCGAAGAGGAAATATACTGTCGCCAGATCCCTGGTTTCCCTCTCGAAAATCCCAATGCCGTCTATCGTCTTGTTTCTGTACTTTACGGTCTTAAACAAGCCGCCTTTGCTTGGTACCTTCATTTCATGAAGGTCCTCATAGGCTTGGGTATGCAGCGTAGCGAGGCAGACCATGCTCTCTTCTTCGGCGTTTGGCACTCTTCCCCAGACCCCGACATCCCTATGCCTACAGACGGCTCTCCTCTCATACTATTCGTCCCCATCCACGTTGACGACGGCCTTGCTTCGACCAATTCTACACCTCTTTGGAAATGGTTCATTCGCAAGGTCAATGATGCTGGGATCGCCATCAAGGACCTTGGTATCGCCAATATCTTCCTTGGAACCCGCATCGAAAGAGATCGCAAACGTCGCATTATCTACCTTTCCCAATCCCCCTTCATCCAATCCCTTCTGGAGGATTGGAAGATGGACAAGTGCCGCGGTGTTTCTCTCCCTATGGAATGCCTTCCTTGCGATCTTCCCGAGTGGACTGGTCCCCCTCCGTTCGATGGTGTCACCCCTCAAAACCTCACAAAGAAATATCAGTCCCTTATTGGATCTCTCACCTGGCTGGCTGTTACCACACGGGGTGACATATCCTTTGCCACCATGTCGCTCGCTCGCTTCAACTCTAATCCCGAGATGAAACACTTAGGCGCTGGAAAACATCTTCTCCGCTATCTTTACAAAACGAAGGATTTCGTACTGCGATTCGCTCCAACCAACTCCATCGACCCGGGTATTGACCGTCACATCTTCACTGGATGTGGATTCTCTGACGCCGACTGGGCTTCAGATACCGACACCAGGCGTAGTGTTTCTGGCTGTGTTCTATACTACCGTTGCTGCGCCATCGTTTGGTTATCCAAGCGTCAACAATCCATTGCCCTTTCCTCCACTGAATCCGAACTTTACGCAGCATCGCTCCTCGTGCGCCAAGCCCTGTGGTTCCGACAACTACTCGAATCTTGTGGTATCCCCGTACCTTCTCCTTTCCATCTTATTGGCGACAACCGTAGCACTATTCATCAACTTTCATCACCTGGCATATCTTCACGCTCCAAACACATTCACATTCGCGAACTTTTCATCAAACAATATTTCGAAGAAGGCATCTTCACCCCTTCCTGGATTTCTTCTGGTCTTAACGTTGCCGATATCCTCACAAAACCTCTTAAAACCGTTCTTTTCGAAAAACACCGTGAATCCCTTGGTCTCATTCTTTCTCCACGAGTTGCCTCACCTGTTGTTACGACATCTTGATATTACTCTCTTTGGTTCTTCGTCCACCTTCGCGATGGGGGTGTGTTAGACAGATTTTCTCTTCGGTTACCTCATCACACTACACGATCACATGTCCACTACTTTAGTCGCGTCTCTCTCCATCCTCACTCTCCAGATCATTATCACCATCTGGACAGTGAGTATACTTTCCATCGTTCTCGTAGATTCAGACGACTCATGTATCCGTAGTTATTTCTCACCTGTGTGGTGATTCACCAGGTATATAGATCATTATCACCATCTGGACATTATTTCTCACCTGTGTGGTGATTCACCAGACCTAGAGTGTCTGTTTAACACAGGGGAAATGACTTGGCTGGTATACATCTAGCGTGCCTCAATTCCAAACGAGTCGAACTATAAACCGCGATCCGTCAGTCTTAACCCAATTGAAACGGGAACGAAAGGGACACGTTACCACACATAGTTCAAACTGCACGCTAGAATTGATGATAGCGGTATAAACCGAGTCTGCGATGACTTGAGGCAGATGCACGTTGACTGAGTTGTTGATAGCCCGTTCGATGACCTGGGCGTTCCTCGTAGGATCATTGACCTTGTCTCTAGTGCTCTTGAATCGCGTGGCTTCCTTGACCAGTGCAGCCCTGCGTAAAGATTGATAAAGCGAAACGGTTCGTATCAGCATACGTGTGTCAATACTGGAGTATATGAGCGCCTTACCTCTGGGAGAGTAGCTTCAACAATTGTTGGTCGACATTGTCTATTCCTGCTCTGACTTCATCCAGTGAAGTGCAGCAGGTGGATGTCCCATTCACGATGCCAGGTGAGCCCCAAGGGATGATCCTGCTGTCAGGGGACGGCGGTAATCCTAGTAGAGGTTCCAAATAGCATGGAGTGGTAGAGCCCTCGTTTCCAGAAGCGCATTGGGCTGAAGAGGCTGATACAACCAAGGCGGTAGCAAGCCAGACCAGGTTCCAGACACGTCCAATCATAGGGAAACGTGGTGAGGTGTTGGAGCTCGCCAGATCGAACTATTGTTGGGTTTAAGAGCGAATTGACCAGTTAGGTGCAGTCTTAGCCCGAGCTTCAAGGAACCAAAGCGTAGGAGGCGACTGTTCTGGTTTCGATTTAGTTGAGGACAGCCATGCTCCATGATTCGATGACAGGGCAAATGCCAGCGGTCGCTTTTTTGATATGGAAGACGGTGCTCCACCAGCCCCTTTGTGCAGTAGCATTTTGCCAATTGTGCCCAAGGCACCAGACCCAAGTGGACGCATTGAAGACGGAGAAGAAAGAAAGACGGTGACGGCAAGCGCGTCTGAACTGTGGCGCGCCTGGAACAGCGTCAACCCTAACCTTAGATCTCCCACTACGACTCTCATCTCCCGTTGCACGCCTTCACTCATCTCCAATCCCTTTCCAATTAAAACAACAATAACTATTATTGAAATGCAAAATAATAATGATACGATTACAAGCGATGATCCAACCAGAGACAGAAGCACGGACCTGAAGTTACGAGTTGTCGACGGGCAGCGGTCGTGGATTAAACGGCTGATTCCGAAGGATTACTGTATGAAATGCGGGTGCCAGCACGCAGAGAGAAAACGAAGAGACGACCGGGAAAGTTCAAGTCAAGTACGTGGAGATGCAGTTAACAAAGCAGGATACATAGAATCAGAAAATCAGATAAGTTAAGATGTGAGCAACAACCCATGTAGAAATGATGATAGATCCACTAGTTACCTCCCATCTCGACACTTGTTGTCAAGATATTGGAAGGAAGAGGATAGGAAACACCGATGTTCTCCCATCTCGATGAGTGTCAGACTGTGTCAACCCCAACGATAGGGCCGGCAGTTGGGCACAGGGGCCTTAGGATATGTGTGCTGGGCAATTTGGCCCTTGCCGGGCGTGGCAGGTCCCACATTCCGATTCAAGATTCGAAGATGGAACATCAAGGGGTTGCGTAAGTCCTTGGGTAAGAACCGTGGTCACGCTGGGCTTGACCTCCATTCAAAAGACACATCGTCTGCTATAGAGCAAGACAGTGACTGATGGAGGGATACTAGAGTTCCTTGCGGCGAAGTAGCAGGGCCTGATGGAGGGATCGCGGACCAGTGGAGTGGCTCGAGCCAAATCCTCGGTTAGATGAGCTGAGAAGCGGCTAGGTTTTCGCGCAGGACACCATCCCGGACCGACTCTAGCGTAATCGCAGTAGCTTCCGTGTCCTATCGCAGAACTATCGCTTAGTCTCCACTAAAGAAACTTGGGATAGCGACTTACAGTGACGGTGGTTGGATAAATGTAGGCCGACCTGTGTTCCGGAGAACACTGCTTCTGAATGTCCTTGAACTTTTCCCGCAAGTCTACGAAGACGGTCAAAATCTGTAGCAGGACACACAATCGGCAACTCACATTTCACAACAGAAATGACTTCATTGGGTTTGTCCCCATAGCTTGGTAGATACTGATTGACCTTGACGCCTCGCTTCAGCTTCCGACGCAAAAGGTCACATTTGTTGAGGAAGAGGATCAATTGGGTTTTTGCTAGAAGCTTTGACTGGCAGATGGATGTCCACAGTATGATGGAATCTTCCAAACGGTTGACGCGAGGGTCTTCTTCCAACCATTGATCAAAGACCGAAACAGGGGACACTTGAGAAGTACGTCAGCTTTAGAAAATCACTTGAGATGGATAGTGTGGAACGCACAAAAGATGATCACGTTGACTCCCTCAAAATAGGGTAACCACGCAGCTCGCTGGCACAGGGTCAAAGATCGGTGGAAGCTTGGAATGATATAGGCAAACATACCAAAGTACGACATCCTCCAACGTCGAATATCCGCCATTCCCAGCCATGGTGTCCCCCACCTAGTAAAGTGCATGTTAAGAAAGAGGCAGCCACAAGGGTAATAACTGCAATGCACTTTTTGCATTATCCCACGGACCGTGACTGAAGACGAGCTTATGCTCTTGTATTCCAACTGTTCGTAAACGCGCCCTGACGATATCATTATCAGTCACGACATAGTCTCGGGTCGCGATGCGATCGAGGTCATTCAAAAAGCTAGAGTCAGTACGAAAGGCAGTGAGCGATCGAAATCAATGTCCACCGAGAACACAGAGGTAGACTTACAAGCCTGCTGAGTCGGAGAGCTGGACCTTGTTTCGCTGCAAAGCCTGCTGTATTGTCTTGTCTTGCCAAAGGGCCTTCATATCGTCCTTCAAAGCGGCCAGTGTCATGGTGGGGAGATCGACACCTGTCGCCGCTGCGTCCGAGCTTTGTATTCGAGACTCTTTGTCCAGAACGTCCTTCCACGAACGGACCGAGAACTCGGCGGCCTTCTTTCGCCTGGGGTTGGGTTGCTGAGGCAGTTCGAAGGGTGTGGCAGCCATTGGAGCGGTCTGCATAGGTTCAGCAGCACCGGCTCCTAGACGGCGCTTCAGCTCTGCCTCGACGCCCAACAACGGTGCAAGTCGTATCATGAGAAGCTGGTGTCTATCGGTGAATTTGAGCCCTTCATTTTCTTCCTGGTCCCGCTCCTCCATGGCGATAATCTGCTCTTCCTCAGAGTCTGCAGCGTCCCCGTTCATTTCGGCCTCGACGATGCGAATGATGGTTGTTATTGAGCGAACGATGTTGAGCTGTACGACCGATCTCCAGCCGCTACGTTCCTCTTCCCATTCCTCCTTTGCATATCGCATGCGAAAGTCTGTAAGCCAAATGTTGGATAAACAGACTGCACTCAAAAGAAAAGGCTACAGGGCGCCTACTTTTCAAGGTTGTCGACTTGCCTGTAGTCCCGGGCAGTTAGCGCGACCGCACACGACAGCAGGGTGAAAAGCTCACTGACCACTCTCCGATTGCCCCAATAGAAGAAGTTTAATAACATTACGCTCTTTCTTCGCGCGAGCGCGCTCCTGCTTGATTTCCTCGTCTATCCTGTCGTTTATCCTCTGAGCATCTAGCTCTCGTTTCTGGCGAGCTGTGGCCTGGGCTGGTGTCTCGTCCGGTGGCGGCTGCATAAGCTCATAGAAGGGATCGCTGGGTCCAGGGACGAAGCCCATATTGGAAGAAAAAGCAAAGCTTCTAGAGGAGGGAGGAAGAGGGCACCCGCGCCGTCACTAGCATTGCCAGAAAGAGGGCGGTCGCTATTTCTAACTGCCCTGATGCTGACTAAGCCAACACCGCTGGGCTAGGTACATGTTTTGATCTCAATTTTATATGCCAAAATCTATAGAAGCCGGTTATCTCCCCCGACTCCATCTCTTACATGATCTATGGGGCTAGTAGCACCGTCTTGGTCTCGAAGAAAGCTGCAAAACGAGTCCCCATATTGCCTTAGCTGCAACTTTTCAAACCCCTCTCGATCCTGATCCATAGACATCAATTCCCATCAGCTCGGGGAATGAGCGTTCAGCCGCAAAGGGGGCAGCCGAACACACAGGCGGGACCCGCCTTGCTATCACAGCCTCGACACGCCCACAGAGCCATGTACTCCGCTCAGGTCCAAAAGAAGCACAATCTCCGTCGACGATGAGGTCAACGCGAGCTAGGAACGAGCCCATGCGTCACCATGGAAATGCCGGCATTTTGGCGCCAGCGGGCGCTAAACATAAACCTGAGACCCCCTCTCGGGCTCCTGTACGAATAGCTAACATAAACCTCAATACAAGTCACACATAGAGCTTAACCTGCCCCTTGCATCCCACAGAAAGCACCCATGCAAGCCACAATGACGTCCATCCAACAAGGCGCTCTGGGCTCTAAATCGTCAATTGCACGCGTATGTACTGAGGTGGTATCGATCATTTTCTTCGGTAATTTATTCGGAGGACCCACAGATGTGCCCAAAAGCACCGGTAACCTACACCCTTCTCGACAAGGAGAGCGGCGAAAGATGCCTACCACGTCTGTCCTTGCCACATCATCGACTGACATGGGTTCAAAGTGTATTGAGTGTGGGGGCTGAGTCTATAGGGTAATTTATTTGGGATAAATGCTTTCTAGATTGTGCCTGTGGGGCTAGTCTAAGTTCACGGTAATTAGCATCCGTTGCAGGTTAACGTTGGATGTGAGAGACCATGAGTGAGTCCTGCTTCCAACAGAACGTAGGTCTACAGAGGTCCGCGGGATCGACCGCAAGGGATGCCAACGGGCTTCGACAAGGTCGATCCCTCTTCGTACCTTTAAAATCGAGTCTCTCGGAGGAGCCTAGGTGAGTTATCTGATAAATGTCAATACCGATTGTACCCGAAGACGTTTCACGGGGCTCAGCCCCTTACACCGACACCTGGTGGTCCCTCACCGTGGTCCGCAATTTAAACAACAAATGGTACTAACTTGAATCACAGTAGTAGATCCATGGGCCAGATTGAAATACGTACATACAAACGACCCTGAACGCCAACTGTTTCGAGATGCACACATTACGAGCGGGCACCCCACCATCGCGCACAAATCGTTTCACCGGTGAATAAGATCCCACCTTAATCCCTTGCAACTCGATTTTTGAAGCTCGCCGCCACAAGCACTGTCGCCCATTCAAATGCGAGTATAGACCATTCAAGGTGTCAAGGACCCACAAGGAAGAGTCAAACAGGAAACCGAGGAAATCTAGAGACCGTGTATTTAGTATTACAACACTGAACATACAGTACACAGTCCAAGAAGAGCGCAGGGGAGCCATGAACCGAATGCAAGAACCAGACCAGAAAACCGAGGAATGCGAACCGTAACCCAAACCGTGATCCAAAATCTAAAGTAATGACCTAAACTGAGAACCTTGAACAAGTGCAAACAGGCGAAGTCGAAGGGCGTGGGTAATCATCCGAGTCATAACAGTGGTACTCATTGACGGTTGAAGAGGGTTGGACCGTCATTGAGAAAAAGGTCGTAGAGGAGCGCACCGGCCTGCGCACCAAGGAAAGGTGCAATGATGGGGCACCAGATCCAGTAATGACTGGAAAAATCCAGGATCAGAAAGTCAGATCAGAACAATTGAAAAAAGAAAAAAAAAACCCGTGGACGTACTTGAAATATGTGAAGACGTCCTTGCCATATCCTGCCATCGCGAGGAAAACCCGTGGTCCAAAGTCTCGCGCGGGATTCAAAGACCACGCTAGAGAGGACGGAACCCGATGAAAGAGCGGCGATTAATGTTAGGGACTAAGATTTGAAAAAAAAAAATGCGGTACTCACACGTCTGCATGCCCAAAGAAGTACCAAATCCAACGAACAACACGAAGAGGGCAAGAGGGAGCAGGTCAGCAGTGGGCATCATGTTGCGCTTATCCGTCATCGCCAAAACCATCAACGACAGAATCGCCGTAGCAAGGAATTCAACGAAAAACGCGGTAGCGGCTGGGACATACGGCAACTAAAGAGCAATTTCGTCAATCTTCTTTCCCCAGACGCTCAGTCTCGACAAGCTACTTACTGCGTAAGTCGCGAAGATACCGGCAGTGGCCTGCGTTCGAACACCAGGTCCCTCGAAGATTTCAATCGCATGGAAATACGATCCATAGATGATGGCCGCGCCAACAAGGCCTCCCAAAACCTGAGCGGCGATGTAGGCTATGGCAAAACGCCCATTCGATACGTAACATGCACACAAGCGCCGAAGAGAAAGAGACAAAAGGGTCAATCAAACGCGCTGGGTAACCGACAAGATCGGTGGCACTCACCAGGAACCTTCTTCCAGGGGAACCCGCGCCAAACGGCCATTGTTAGAGTAATCTGGAATGGATGTCAATAAGCATTTTCGAAGTCGGAGAAGAAGCGGAAAGAGGATCGTCGGAGTCCGACAGTGGTACGGGGCTTGTATGAAAGGGCTTGTCGTAGGATAGGTGAATGGATGAAAATATAAACTTACCGCAGGGTTAATATGTCCGCCAGATATCCCACCGCTGACCCAAACTCCCATGGCGATACCTACGTGTAAATGAAAAGGCAAAAAACGTGTTGATTGAGAACAAATTTTTCGATGAAGTCTGTAGGCATCCACTTACCGATGGCCCATCCCAAGTTGATGGAAAGGAAATCCTAACAAGGGGACCACACAAGCGTTAGCACATCGACTGGCCCACTAACAATAAAGTGGGAAGGAGACCCACCCCTCTGCTTCCTGGCGCGACGTCCGAGTTGCTCGAGAGCACGACAGAGCATCCCGACCCGGCACCAAAGATAACCAATAGGGCGACCCCGACAAACTCAGCCATGGGTTCACGAATCATATTCCTACAAGTGATAAAAAAAGCGTGTCAACCAAGAGGGTGCGAAAAGGTATGGTCCGCTGTTACATCACCCCACATACCTGATATTGGCGAGAGTCGAACGGCGGGGAGGTTCGTCGACAATCTGGTCGACAACTCGGATTCGGTGGGACTCGATGTCATCCGAGATATGCGACCCCTTATTTTTCAAACGAGTAGAACTGAAGGGGGATGCAGCGTGAGCTGAGCCAGCTTCGATACTCGGGTTAGTTGCGGCCATCGCCCTATGCAGAGGGGTCACGTATTTTAGAAAAGAAAAGAGGAAGAAAGGAAAAGGGAGAAAGAGAGAAAGAAGGGGAAGGGAGGATGTAGACTCACACTGATCACGCCCCGCTATATATGTGGACTTGCCGTCCCCACCAAATAGCGCGCTCAACAGCCCAACATTTTTACATCATCCTCGTGGGCCGAGGGTTCTTTCCGTCACCCTCGCCAGTCCATGGGATATGTCAAGGTTCCAGCGGGCGATGAATGAAACGAGTGTGATCTCAGGCTAAAATAAAATTATTACCATCCCTGTCTGACACGGATGTGAAGCCTCGGGAAGGGTCCATATTTTGAGATTAGCACCCATATGCGGCTAACGAGGAGAAAAACCATCTGAAGAGGTAGAAAGAAAAGTGGGTTTGGATCACGCACCGAATACCGAAAGCAATCCACCAAACCAGACGTCAGAGAAAGCTCTAGAGCAGGTTCCACAAGACGAATGGTTCTTGCAGTCCAGTCCAATCCACTGCTTTCGCCGCTTCTCGACGGAACTTGAAGCTCAAAAGGGGAAGGTCTTGTCAAGCGCCTATACGGTGATCTGATGAAGGTTAGTGACGAACGTCCTCGAGGCCTCCAAACCTCCCGAAATGAACAACTGCCATCATCAATTGACATCCCAAGACCCAAGGAAGAGGTCCACCATCAGGCGCCTTTTCTATCCCGGCGTCTCATCCATGCATTCCCTCCCACCAGGGACCGCAAATCATCGTGCTTCCTCCCCAGAACAATGACTAGCCACAAGGAACCACGTCTCCGTGGGGAGACAGGGACGTAAAAGGTTCCGATGTGGAATGGTTATTGTAAACTCTATCGGCGCTTCAAGGTTGTATTTAGGTTATGCTTCGTGGAGACAGGTATCGCACGATCGAAGTGTGGGATAGCACCCAGTGTTAATACGCATACATCTAGAGGGGATTGTACAAGGTAAGTAAGGCTCGGACAGTCTGAATGATAGGATATCGTACATCACCCCGATAGCCAGAACATGAGCTTCGTAAAATGGTCTCCGTAGTCCTTCCATGGGCCCTGTTCCGACCCTATCGAGGACGACTTTTGATATCGAAAGAAGGATCCGACCAATGGGCACTAAGAAATGGTCATACCTCATGTCCCTGCTCAATTGAAAGCCAGCGAAGCAAAGGGATAGACCACGAAGCACCCGAGTATTGTTTCACTAGACTGCGAACCGTTGATTTCGGGACGAAGGTGGCGATACTAGAAGCCATAGATAGTGAATGCGATAGCCTTTGCACTTTGGAAGAGCCATATGTCGAATAGTGGCAAGAAGTGGCAGTAAACGCATGTTCTCCGTGCAGGCTAAGCTTGTTCCATGACCCAGGCTCGCAGGTCGTCATGTCACTTGACGTTCCTTCACCCATACGACGCTGGCCATGCCGTTCCCGGTGAATCGCAGCGCCTGCGTCGTTTTTGAGTCTTTTGTCCGGTGCCTTCTGTGTCGTTATTATCAGAAAAAATGAAGAGAACTCGAGATTGACAGTGACAATTGGCAGTGGTAATGGTCGGAGGACAACCAACGACGACGACGCGCCCCGCGCCTCGCATCAGCAATTCCAAGGCGAAAGCTTCAATTTCAAACATTGACAAACTATGATCACTCAGCCAAGCTGAACGCTCCTCGTCGCCGTCATTGTTCCGTCCAACGTCGACCAAGGTCAGTAGTTCGATAACGGTCGTTAGAATGTTTTATTGAACAGCATTTCACCAGCAGAAACCATGACTCCCGCAGCAGCACCTAGCAAGCAGGCTATCCTCAGCCTTTACCACAACATGCTCCGCTCGTCACAGTCATTTAGCTCCTACAACTTCCGACAATACTTTGTCAAGAAGACGAAGGACACCTTCAGACAAATGCAGGTGCGTTCAAAAACCCTTCACAACCACACCCAACTTACCCATACTTCGTTTCGGCATTTCAGAATGAGACAGACCCTGACAAAGTACGGGATCTCTACGCTCAGGCTGTCAAAGATTCGGCTGTCCTCCGACGGAGTGCAATCGTGAACCAGCTGTACGGTGGCTGGAAACTGGCAGTCGAGGTCCAGAAGCCGCATCCTGAAGAAAGCATGCAACGAAGCGATAACTAGGCGATGAGATATGGCCTGGTTTAGCGTATCGTCATAGATTCGCGGACTGCCGAAAATCCTTCCTACTACCCATTCGAATATTGGATTTCAACCTTGCGCATTCAAAAATGAAGTTCGACACCGGCGTTTCGCTGCTTGCTCGCCCCCGGACAACGAGATAGTTCCTTGGCGGTATTAAACCAATTCAAACCAGAGTCCACGCGAATGCCTGGTGGATCGAAGTTAGAAGGGAAGGAGATCTTCAGATAGGGTTTTCGACATGGTTGTGCATTGCGTGCGCCAGTTGGGGATGTTGTAAGACTACATTAAGATTAGTATAATGTACATGTCTGCATTGACGTCGGAGAGTAAAGTGAGGCTGAGGGATGGAAGAAACCAAACGAAACGTACAGGAAATCCATGTAGAGCAAGTTACCACATTTTCCACCAGCTCTTGCCAGACGGGGCAGGCGTCGACGGCCTGTTTTCAGTGTCTACCTCGACACCAACAGCAGCAGACTTTTGCGCGGCTTCAGCAGTCTTCGCCTTCCTGACATTCGCCCCAGCAGCCAGCGCCATTTCCTGCGCATGAGAATACTCCGCCTCCTTCAACCTCATCTCAAACTCTTCCTTTTCCTTCTCCAGTTGCCTGATCTGTTCTTGTGTCAGTTCCGGGGCGTTGGCAGCCTCCAACTCCGCTTTCTCTTTAGCGGCTTTGAGAGCCATGGAACCGGCGACGAGGGCGACGAGGGTGAGACCCTGCAAGCCCACTCGGGCACGCATCCAGTAGTTCATTTCTTTTGACCGTCCCTGTCGCATTTTGACGGCGGACATGAGGAGGGCGCCGCATGTTGCCAGACAGCCTGGAGGTAGAAATATCGGTGAGCCTTGGGTCAAACGATACCTGGATTGCTACGCACCTAGTGGCACCCAGGGATTCTCCTTAAACTTTCTCTGGAACTTCTCTCCCCATGTTTCGTACCCAGGTGGGTACACAGTTGCTACTCGAGTTGAGTCGGGCATGGCTTGTCGTCGTTCCCTTCGAATTTCCTGACGTGTTCTGTAGTCCGTGAGAGACAGAAGTCAGGTCTCGCCGTGAACACGTAGCCAAAGGCGAGAACGTACAGCCGAGTTCAAGCTTTACGACCGACGATACGGTCGCAGGAACCTTGACACTGAGGGTGGTGGCCGAAGGAGGAAACCTCGATGAGGGCGTTCCCGACATCCGGGACTTCCTTTTTCGGAGACCATGGAATTTCGAGAGCCAGTCGTTCAAGCGCCCAGGCCCTTCCAATTCTCAGGAACAGGTCTTGATGGCAGATATTCAAGCAAGGATACAACGAGCTAATTGTCACAGACATATTACAGGGAACAGTTTTACATTCGACCGTGTACATAGCGCATCCCAGTAAGATCTCCGGGATCTCTCTCCTGCTGGTGGACAATGATTCTTCGACGACCGAACGTTTCGCATCGTATCCGTCTAGCCATGGGTGGCGCCATGGAGCTGGGATCGTCGTCCAGAAGTATTGGGTATGATGATTGCAGTGGGTTTGCTTGACGGATCGGGGTAGGCGCCATCCAACATGGTCAGTCGTCTAGCGTCGATGTCGATGTCGATGTCGAGCGTGGCGACCGACCGACCTTTGTCTTCTTCTCCTTCTATCTCTAGTTAACCCCCGTGGAGAGTCGAAATGAACACGACTTCATCTCCGTCCTTCAAAACGTAATCTCCCTCTCCTTCAAGCTCCCAATCGGTGTCGTTCACGAGAACCAAGATCCCAGGTCGTCTATAATTTCTAAAGGTCAGTACCGCGTTTTGTATTACTTCCTACCACGTAGAAAGAAAGAATAAACCCGATAACCACTACTCACACAGTCCCGTTCTCCACGAACAACTCCTCCCTCTCCTGCAACAAATGATCTCGCATATGATGAATGAGATACGTGATATCCGCAGGCTTCAACAGATCATCTTTAGGTGGTGGATTCTTCGCTGATGTAGTGTTGTCCTTTGGGACTAGAGAAGGGATGGAGACCTTGTGCGAACGTTGGTTAGAGAATAGCAGCTCCAGTCCACCGCCGAATTCAATCTTGATGTTCAGAGTGGTTGTTGGTGTGGGTTCGGCCATTTTATCTCTTCTGGTCGGTTAATTGGAGCGTCAGGCTGTAGGAAGACAAGATCGAATGTAGTGCGGTATTGAGAAGGTAGACTGAGGAAAGAAGAGTCAGATTGGGCCGGCAATCATCTTGATTGCCGCAGTCGGAATTTTCCGATGAGTCCTCTGCACGACTTCAACGACTTGCCCTGACCTTGACCTCTCAACTCGCTATCCCACAACGCATTCCGGTACACTTTAACATTGCGTGAGTTCGATAACCAAGAACGACGTCACAAACGAACGACCAAACGCCGCAAGCTATGCAGGCGTCAGGTATTGCAGCAGCTGCCTCGAGGCCAGCTATTTCTGAAGCCCTAGACTCCACGGAAATCAGACTGACTCCCATGCCTATGTGCTTCTCGTCGAACCTTTGCAGCCTTCCGACATGGCACCTTCACGACGAATCTTCTGCCAGCCTTCGTTTTTCTTATCGTACTCGAGGAATCCATATCACTCCTATCGGCGACACTCCCTCTGGCTCTTGCATCTGTCCTGACACAAAAGACCTAACTTACGCGCTGAGAAAAACTCAACTCCTGTATGACCTCAAGGGGAGAATCCTGTGGTGCTAATGGTCCCATGACGATTGGTGTCATCCAGGTGTCATCCAAACCTGGACTCTTTTGTTTGGCGGGAGAAGCATATTCAACGTAAGCCATTCAGTCTCCCAGCCTTATAAACCTCGCACAATGGTTCGATTGCCACCATCCTTCCCTCTCCACGCTATCGCTCCCGCAAACAGTTGAAGCTATATCGTCGAGATGGCCGGCTCGTACTTCTGTACTACTGGAGGCTGCAACAAGTCTTTTAAAAGTGAAAAGGGCCGCTTGCAACACTGCCAGGACAGGCTTCATGGTACAGTGCCGAGGCCATGTTAAAGAGTTACTGGCTCGCCTTAACCTCCCTTCCACCCATATAGGGCCATTCTCTAATCCCGATACTCGATACTGCGAACGCTGCGACCGGTTCTTCGATAATGAAGGCCTCCTCAATACTCACAGGAGGCAAGAACACAATTGGTGCTTTATTTGTAACAAGGGTTTCAAGACATCTCTCGGACTGGCCATGGTAAGCAAAGATCATCTCGCGATGTTTATGTTTCATTATTAACGGCTTTACAGCATGGAAGCGCTGGCTCTTTAGCCCATGCAAACAGGCACGTCGAGTGTCGCGTCCCGGGGTGCGGGTCGTGCTTCAAAAGCCCCTCGGGTTTGGCGCATCACTTGGAATCCAGAACGCACAACTCAATCGACCGCAATGTGGTGACTGGAATTGCTCAAAAGATGGACATCGTTCCCCCCATCTCGATTATCCGCGAACGGGGCGCAGGGAACGGTGTCAATCCAACGCCAGCCGCCAGCTATGTGGCTACGGCTGCGTCGTGGAACGGAAAGCACTTCGAGTGCTACCTTTGCCACCGCGGCTTCGCACGCCTCGACTCTCTGAATGCGCACTTGAACTCGGCCGCTCACGATGAGAACGAGTTTAAGTGTCCGAATACCAAGTGTAAGAAATCGTTCACTCTGATCTCGGGATTCGTCCAGCATTTGGAGAGTCGATCGTGCGGACTCGCCAACATCAAAGAAATACAGGCTAGGTTTGATGATTTAGCTGCACAGTTTGACCATATGCTTGCGTTGTAAGTAGTTGATTTGGATCGTGTTTCCTGAAGTGTCTCGTTTCTCTTGGACCTTGCTAGTGTGTGCAGCGCGTTGTAGACCTTTTAACACTTGTAAACTTTGTAATACTATACGCCTCCCCCAGAACAACTCGAATGCAACCATGTGTTTCCTCAAAAGGCACGAATTATTCTGCGAAACGCGCTCCAGGATACTGTCGTGCGTCCGGGTGTTCGGGGCTTAACGCAGCGCCTCGCGGCCAACTCCACGCCATCACCGGCTGCGGAGATATCCGAAACCTTATCAGCGAAAACTGCACAGGCCTACTGCAATCGTCTTGGTCATCGTCCTCCACGACATCCTCATCGTCAAGCAAAATGGGAAAAGGTAGCTACGCTCGCCGTCCTCGCCGTCGTTGAAATCGGGAAACCATGTACTGATCGCTGTGTCCAACGTCAAAAACAGTTCACGGATCTCTCGCCCGTGCCGGTAAAGTCAAGTCGCAAACCCCCAAGGTTGAGCCCCAGGAGAAGAAAAAGACTCCCAAGGGACGTGCTAAGAAGAGGCTCCTCTACAACCGACGGTGAGTCGATTTTTTACGAGATTTGGAGAGAGGTAGAAGTGCTGATATGGGACTTTAGATTCGTCAATGTCACCACGCTACCGGGCGGCAAGCGAAGAATGTGAGTTGCAATTTCCTTCATCGGACTACAGACCAGCCCTCCTTTTTTCGATTGGATCCCTATCGGACTGGCCTCAAACTTCAAGATGATACAACATTCGCATAGTTCACCCTGAATCCTACACGGATATGTGGACAAACAAGCATCTTAAACGTCTTTCACCCCTATCTGACCCTTTTTCCCGCTTGCTCGCTTTTCCCTTCGTTATCGCCTTTTTACTGACTCGCAATCTCTCTTCTCTCCAGGAACCCCAACCCCGAGAAGTAAACGCACCAACTAGATCTCAGTGGACGCCCATTTCCCAGCTGCTGTTTGGTGGGGACAAAAGAGATACACGACCCTGGGCAGGACGTTGTAGCATTACCTACTTTTTTGGGGGTGGTCATATCATCTTTCGGTTTCCTTCGCATCTCTTCGACAACACGCATCTCGTCTATGCCCGCCTTATGATTAATGCAGATATGATTAAGCCCATCCTCGTTCGACTCTTAGATCTCAACCCAGGGAACCCGACTCCCGTCTGGTAGCTGCGCATTCCCTCGGCGTTTTTGGCCAACCATTTAGGATGACTCGGTCCTTTGTGTTCGTGCCTGATGGGCGCGGAGAGCTATTCAGCGCTTTTCTGGACAATCGTCGGGACAGTGCCCGTTCACGTAAGTAGGACTGTGGGCCCTCGGTCAGAGACCCAGATGGCTTGACGGGGCGATACGAAAACAGCGATCTCCATGAGCTGGCGTGACGGTGATAAACGATATCCTTATTCACGAGCCAAAGCCTGTCTAAAGCCCAAAATTCAATACGAAGGGAGTAAACGAAAGCAAGGTCCGAAATTATATGGTACAAGGTATCAGTGAATGAAAAGGAGTCCATATCCGCTCTATATAGTAGGTCCGTTTAGATTTTGAGAGTAGATGGCACAATTCTAGGCCTTGACGATGCAATCGCAAGTTCCTTTCTCTTTGAGATCTTTGAGATTCTTGAAGGTGGTGTCGGCGATGTTGCTCAAAGCTTCCTCAGTCAGGAAAGCTTGATGACCGCTAAAGCAACACAAGGTCAGTGACCGCGCGGTCGATAAGAAGAAGAGGGAAAACTCACGTCATGAAGACGTTGTAGAATGAAAGTAGGCGGGCGAAGGTATCATCGGCGATGACTTTGGCACTGGAGTCTGCGAAGAAGTAGGATGACTCCCTCTCATAGACGTCCAGACCAACAGCAGCGATGTGTCCACTCTTCAGAGCGCTATATGAATCGTCAGTCCATGCCTTGATCATAGACGAGAGCAGACACATACCGGATAAGTGCATAAGTATCAATCAATCCTCCTCTCGAGGTATTGATAAGAATCACGCCCCTCTTCATCTTGCCCAAGGTATCGTCATTGATGATGTACTTTGTCGAGTCGGTCAGAGGACAATGCAAACTGATGATATCCGATTTCTCGAGCAGTTCATCGAGCGTATCCACATATCCAAAACCATACTCCTGAGCGAGCGGCGAAGGATACGGGTCATACGCAATCACGTTCGCATTGAATCCTCTCGCGAGGATGCGCCCCGTCAGTAGGCCAATCTTGCCGGTACCGATGAGCCCGATGGTCTTGCCGTGGAGGTTGAAACCGAGGAGCCCGTCGAGGAGGAAGTTGCCCTCCCGGACGCGGGCGTAGGCTTTGTGGTACTTGCGCACGACGGTCATCATCATGCCGACTGTGAATTCGGCCACGGCTTCGGGAGAGTAGGCGGGTACGCGGGCGACTTGGATCCCTAGACGGGCGGCGGCTTCGAGGTCGACGTTGTTGAAGCCTGCACAGCGAAGCGCGATGAATTTCTACATTGTATTTCGGGAGTTGTGTCAGTTTTTAAGAGGGAGGAAGCAGTGAGATAGGGACGTACCACTCCGAGATGGTGGAGACTCTCGAGGACAGCAGCATTGCAGATATCGTTCACGAATATGCAGACTGCTTCATGGTCAGCGGCAAGGATAGCCGTCGTCTGGTCAAGAAGTGCTTCGATGAAGGTAAACTTCAGGAAACCGCCTTGATTGGCGGCGTTCAACGAGTCTTGATCATACTGGTAAGGTGAAGAAAAGGGACCAAAGTTAGAACTAGCCGAGTCGCGTTGAGATAAAGATAGCGAGGGGCATTCCCCGGTCCACGACAGAAAGAATTGCAGAAGAAATCAATGCACGCACCTTTCGAGTGCCAAAGACTGCGACCTTCATAGTTTTAGATGTTTGAGTTGGTGTGTTTCGATAAGCGTAATGGTAGGCAGGTAGAACCTCGGTTTTGATCGAGTTTGGAAGTTATGAGTTCTGATCCCAATTCAGTCGACATGTCGCTGCTTTTATACTTGTCCCCTCTTTATCACCCACGCGTCCGACCAACAGTGCAATGGAACGACATGACAAAGAGTGTGCGAGGAACGGTGAAACTCGCGAAAATTTGTTCGAAGCAGTGAGCCATGAACGCTCGAACAAGAGGACAGTGCAGCGCGACCGGACGCGTCTTAGGGGCCTAGTCAGGGGTCTAGACGCGGTCCAGTGGCAGCGCACTGGTTTGCACCGGTCAAAAAGTCCCTTGATAAAAAGCTTTAAGGGATTAAACCATTTCATTGGGCCGTCGAGGCTTCAAACTTCAGGTCCCGCATTGCGAAGCAACAAGCGTCGTGATCAATATGCGCGGCGAATGGCCTCGACGTTCGGAGAGCTTCTACGACTGACTCGAGCCGCCTATGTAAAACTTCGTCAGAATAAAATCCAGCCAATGAACGTTCGAAAGCGGCCGGCTCAAGAACTCTTACCTGAGATGTCCCGAACCGTTGCGCGCTACTGTCCTAGCCGCTTCCGAGTCTTCGCTCGCTGGAGAGCATCTAGTACATATAGATCGCATTAGGAACGAGTACAAGCAAGAACAATACAACCGGGTATATACAACAGAGCAGTAAGCAGTGCTAAAGATAGAATCGAGCAAACAAGTATCGGTACAGATTAATCTTTTTTATTCTAGTCCATCTTACGGATCACCCTCCTCTCCCTCTCGCCGACAACCTTGACCACACCCTCGTTCTCCAACCCCTTGATAACCTCCGCGAACTCGCTGGGGTCAATCTTGGTCCCGCTGTTCTCGTTCAGCTGCTTGATCACATCCGACCACTTCACATTCCTACTTGATCCATTCAACATATCCAACACAGCCTTCCGCATGTCCTCCCTCAGCTTCCTCTGGCCAGAACCGGTACCAGTGTTCAGCAAGCTCATATCGATCTTGCCAGTTCGAGGGTCCATCGCGCTCGTCCTGATAGCTTCCTTCATCAACCGGTTCGCCTCTTTCACATCTTGAACCTGGACTTCATGCGAGAAGCGCATTCGGGCGTGTGCTTCGGAGAGACGGATCATGCTTTCAAGCTGTCGAGTGGTGGCCGTGATTCGCTTCTCGCTGCTGCGCGAATCTTCACCGAGACGGCGCATCTCGACGTAGGCCGAGACGAGTTCAGCACCGGCTTCCTCTGTGATTACGGGGTGGATGTAGTCTCGGGCATAATCGATATAAGCGGATAGTTCATGCAGAGGCTGGAATGGGCTTCAATATCAAGTGACGAAAACCGGGAAGGGAAGAAACGCACGAGAGTGTCCTGGCCAGCGCCAGCTGGTTTGTCTTCAAGGTAAAGGCTAACCAAATGCTGGGCCAGCTTTCGGTCCAAATTCTCATCAACCTGGTCAAGAACAAGGTAGAGTAGATCGAATCGAGAAATGAGCGTAGGAGGGAGGTCGATGTTCTTGGTGACCGGTTGTTCGACGTCGTACTTTGAGCCGACGGGGTTGGCAGCGGCTAGAATAGACGTCCTAGCGTTCAAAGTGGTGATGATACCAGCCTTGGCAATAGACACAGTTTGTTGTTCCTAGTGGGTCATGGTCAGATGCGAAGAAGAGAGAAACCATTGTTGCTAGGCGTACCATGACTTCGTGGAGCACACTGCGAGTGGCGTCGGACATCTTGTCGAACTCGTCGATGCAGCAGACACCGCCATCGCTGAGCACTAGGGCACCACTGCACATAGGTCAGTACAATGTCCACAGCCGAAATATAGCTCGACGTACCTCTCCAAAACCAGCTGCTTAGAATCGGGGTCGCGGGTGACATATGCTGTCAAACCCACAGCGGAGGATCCCTTTCCTGAAGTATATACTCCTCGAGGGGCGATTTTGTGGACATACTAAGGTCCTTGTCAGTATAGCCGACAGTCTGTCGTGAATCGCACTCACCTGGAGAATCTGTGATTTAGAGACACCAGGGTCACCAACAAGTAGAACGTTGATGTCGCCGCGGTAGCGCGGGCCACCGCCTCCACCCCCTCGTGCAACACTCTTATTGGTACCTCCGAAGAGTTGCAACAAGATACCCTTTTTGACGTCGTCCATCTCCCAGATCGAAGGGGCAACGGAGCGAGAAAGGAGATCGTAGATGTCGGGACGTTGGCTGAGCTCTCTGAGTTTGTTCTCGAGCTCTGCCTTTCGACTGTGCTCTCCTTCCTGCTCGTCTTCGTCTTCGCCATCGCCGACGCCACGAAGACCAGCGGGTCGATCCCCATTGGCTGGTCGAGTGGACCTGTCCACATTCAAGCCACCTCCCCCTAGCTTCATGTGCACGACATCGATGTAGGTCTTGAACAAACTCTTGAGAGTGCGCTGGCGAGGGTTGACGCGGACAGGGATGCTTCTGAAGATACCCGTCAGGACCAGGCGGTCACCAGGCTTGGCGACATCGACAAGTTCATCGTAAACACTGAGGGAAACGGTGTGGGGAGTTTGACCATCGGGTACTGCGTCGGGTGTCTCTTGCAGACGGATAACTTGACGATCAGCGAACTCGCAGCGGTTGTGGATGAGAGTCATGGTGCCCACAGATGCACAAACGTCCCTGGGGCAGCGAGAGGGTTCTTCAATCTTGCCTCGGTCAATCTCAACCTGGACAGTGTGTTGGCATGTCAGGCAGCGGAAAAACGCTACTTTCATGTCAGGGATAACAGGAGTTGCACGAATGACGAGACCCTTGATACAAACGAGCTTGTCGGTATCTGGGAGCACTTTAGTCAATACCTTCATTTCACAGAAAAGCTGAACGAACCTGTCGGGTTCAACATTCGCATATTGACAGGAGGGAGGCCAAACGGCCGAATCTTGTAAACCTTGCTGATGATGTCGGCAATCTCTTCTTCTCCCTGCTGGCCCTCCATTCCCTCTGCCCCAGCTTGATGGTCAATTTCCGCAATTTCGATCATGAGATCCTTCAGAACCTGATCCATTGCAGGAACGACTTCCTGAGGATACTTGATAAGTTGGCCGTGAAGCTTCTTGGCAGGTGGGTATGCCAACAAATTCACGATATCGAGGTTCAAATTGGTCTCTCCAGTCCTGCGCATGCGTCGAAGGTAGGTTTCGTAGAGCACAACTTCAGCTTCTTGTGGGGTGGCGAAAGCGCGGGTTCGGATACCATGATCCCTATCGTAAGATGCACGGTACTTGGGCTTGAACCCCTGGAGGAAATCGCGGAAGGTCTTCATCGTGTCCGTGAGGTTGACGGTGGTACCCCAGATAGCTCGAATCTCATCTGGCTCGTCGGAGGGTGCTGCTGCTGCTGAAAGGTTGGGTGCTGAGGACATGGGTACGTCGAGGACATCGGAGCTGAGATCGCTGATGTTACGAGTGGCAGTAGTAGGCGTCCTTCGCTGGCGCCTAGCAGAGCTGGTTGGAGTTATGGAAATCGAGGGATGAATGTCTCCTCGGCGATGCCTTGGAGTGGTGGGTGCAGCAGCGGGGCTCCTGTTGTCGTTGAGCAAAGGCAAAGGGACCAAAAGTACGTAGACTCACGAAGGGAAGTCCAAAGGGTCGGAATCAGCAAATTCCACGGTCCTGCGGGGGGTCTTTGCAGGCGAGGAACTTGGATAGGCAACGGGCGAGGAACTCCCAGCTAAAATTTGGTCAGCTTCATACGCCTCGAGCACGTCCGTTAATCTCACCCAAAAATAATGGTGTTCTCTTAGGGGTGGCCATTCCCAATGCCCTACGAGCTACAGAGCCCCTCAGCGGGGTGCTGTTCGGCGCTGCTGAAGCTCGCTGCCTGGCTGGTGTGCCTGCAGCTGACGGCGTTCCTGGCAAGAAAAGTGGGTTCGCAGGGGACGACGGCGCTGCCGGTCCAGCAGTGCCGTCCTCCATCTCAGCGTCAAGTTCGGAGGTGGGGAAATCGATAGGCGGCGGCGAAGACATGATGATGGGTGTTCAAGAGAAAGAATACTCGACGCGTCGCGTCGCGTGCAAAATCTACTTTAGGGCCGGCTTAGTCATGCGGTTTCTCTCAGAGGCCCTCAAACGTTCTTTTCTGTTACCCTGCTCTGTGGTTTAGCGACGGTTAACGTCTAACGGCGATCTGCGATGCTCTCAGTCTCGTAAAAAAAAACAGTTGGAGATTGTTATTCATTATACTGTACAACTGTCAGGGGCAACGAACATATCCACTCATGGAGATTCACATTCAGCGGTCAGTAGCAAATATTCTGCCTTCAATCGACTGGGAAGAACTAAAGGTCATTCTGCTCCAGAATCTCAGCAGCATGATCCTTTGCCCTCTGGCTGACATTGGGATCTACGATTATCAGTCAACAAACGCTTCTTGACACATTGCCCCAAGGAGTACTCACTCTTCAAAGTCGCCTTGTAACCAGCCATGACTCGAGTCCGGTCAGCACCACCAGATGATTCCTCTTCCTCTTCGTACTCGACGTCCTCATCCTCGAGGTCTTTGCCGCCTGAACCCGAGGACCTTTGACCTGGAAACAGAGGGAGCGGGTTCATCAGCAACCTCGTCTCGAAAAGCCTAAATGGCAGCGTACCTTTGGGAACGGTGCTGGTGTTCTCCTCTCCAGGGACGGACTCGCCCATGTCGCGAAGGCGCTCTCTGTCGTGCTCTTTGGCTTGTTCAGAAACCCGAGGGTTGTTGATCGCAGCCTTCAGACCACGGGCAACGTTTCCTGGATCTTTCTCAGCTGCGAAGAAGCAGTCAATAAACCTTGCGCGACTTGGAAGGCATTGAAAACCTACTGGGCATGATAAAGGTGAGCGACGGTATTCAATTGAAGTTGTGAACGAATTGCTTTGGGATGTTCTGACCTTCCTCGACGAGGAGTCCTGCCTTTATATATCCGCGTCGCCGATTATTCCTGGAGCCTGGAGTCACATATCATGATGTCGATGGGGTCTCAAAATATGCGTAGAGATACGCAATTACTGTCGTCACTTTGTGCCACCCATTTCATTCAGCGCGGTAGAAGCAACGAGAAGCGGAGTTGCAGTTGGGCGAGCGATGTCTGCGGCATCAAGTTACGGTGGATCATTTCCAACATACCGAACTCAGGGCGCGCCGTCCCTTCCATAACACTTTGAAACCCGGTAGACAAGATAGCTACTTCACAGATATGCTACTTTTCTTTGACCGCGGTGAATCCCAAATCTCAATTCGGACCATTCGGTTTAGGAAGCTGCCGCATTTGGTTCCAAGTATTTATTCTGAGGTCACAGAGCATGCCTCGCAGGTTGGAGCCGGTCAAATATGCGTCATTATGATTCAAGGCGAGAAAGACGCTTCAAAAAGTAAAAATGAACATAGAAGTACACTCGTATTGATACAGGAAATCCAATCCAGGAGATACAAATTCAGAGAAGTGTTGGAGGGAAAGACTCGAAATTCAGGTTGGTATCAAACATCCTATAAGCTTAAGAAACGGCCGCCACCTAAGCCCCCTTGCTCTCCTCTGCCTTGAGTGAGGTACCACTCTCCCCGAATTCCTTACTCCACAGATCGATCTGCTCCCAAATCCCATCCAAAACCTTCTTGTCCCACCAAAATTCGTTCAACATAAGTGGATCATGACAAGCATCCGGTGCCCAATACATCGTTAAATCCACCCCGTCCTTCTTCATTGCACTAGCCAAACTCCTCACTTCCCGAACAAGCCGCTCCGCATCCCCGCACACAATGATCGTCTTGGGGAACGAAGCGAACAGGCCGGGGAATTGACAAGTTTTGCGGTAGGGGTTGTCGCTGTCGACCCAGGACCCGCCGAGTTTCTTCAACGCATCGAGGTTGGCGGGAACGCGGGTGGACTTCATGTATGAAGGTAGGTTAGGTAGTCCGTACTTCCAAAAGTTGCGCGAATGTTCGCCCTCAGGGTCTTGCACGACGGTGTGACCCCAACGTTCAAGTACGATGGGCGAGCAGGGTGACACATACTCGGAGTGAACGATTCGCATGAGACGCAGTTCCTCTTCTTGGGTTGAAGGGCCTTCTTGATGCTTGAATCCGAGGAAGGTTCGCTGGAGGAGGGCTCGAGGTTCTGGATTGTCCACGAGATAGTCGCTCCATTGGTTAGGGCGAGGAATGTAGGAGGACAGTGTCTGTGGCAGGTTGTGTGAAGTATCGCAGGACGGCTGTTTGACAATTGTCAGTACCAGATTTTCGAAGGGCAGTAGTTTATTTACCGAAAGAAGTACAAGCCCGTCTGGCACACGTAGTTTGCCTTCATCCCGCAGCCAGCGGGCAAGGGCTAGCACAAGGTTTCCTCCAGAGCTATCCCCAATGAGGAAGATTTTGAAACGTTTTCCTTCGGCGGTGTATTTTTCGACGACATGGCTGTAGACTGTGGCAGCGTCCTGCACGACGGCAGGGAATGGAGCAACTTGAAGCAACCTGTATTCGACCGAGTAAACTTCATCCAGAATACCTCGCTGAAGGCGTCGTTAACGATAGTAACATCGGTGAATTTCAAGAGTCACATACCTGGATAAACCCACGGGGCATGCGGGAGGTGCGCGAGGACTCGTGTGCCGACATGTGGCAATATCCACCTCCATGCATGAATACCCCAACCAAATGGACCCGGTCGTCGTCCTTTTGTGCGCTAGTCGAAGGACGCAACTTCGCCTTCATTCTACCCCTCAAGGTCTTGTCCTTGCCGGGCCAGACGTAACATCCAACCTTCATGTACGGCGGCGTTTCCTCCTCCCTCAGGATCCCTGTTCTAAACTCCTCCTTCAATGGCTCCACCCACACGAAGTCGGTCTCCTTCAACGACGAAGGATCCGGGGCGACCGTAGGATCCCTCGTTCCCCATGTGACGCCAGCAACCTCCGTAACCTTGAATATCCTTCGGGTAAAGTTAACATTGACGATCTGCCGTAGGTTCCACGATTCGCGGGGTCGAAAAGACCTCGGTACGACGCTGTAATACGCGACCCACCAAGGCACGAGAGCCAGGGTCGTGAAAAGCCTCTGGAAAACGTACAAAGACTTCCAAGGCTCTTTGGCGTAGGGCAAGTGGTCGTAGTGTGGGTACGGTGGATTCTTGTCGTAGAGCATGTGTGGTATAGATGGTATCCTGAGAAGGGTTCTGGAGGTTAGTCGCCCCATCGTATATATGTTCCCGTCGTTGTGGTAATTCGCTCCACGACGAGCACAGCAAACGGTGGGTCGTGTTCTGGTGGTTCCGACTGGTTTGACGTCATACTCTGCAATCCAAGCCTGGGTTTACCCCAGATTTCTCCACTTTGAATGCCAGACAGAAGGCGTGGATAGTTGCTGTTACTATGATATGATAGCGATAACTGTTCGAAGAGAGATGGTGGTTGTGGTGAAAGAAGATTTTGATGGCTGCAGGGAAGCCCGATCATGGCTTGGCAGTATCATCGGAACTCCGACAAGCGCCCAGCCGCTTCACTCTGACAAGACTTGACTGCAGCTCCCACGAAGTACACCTATATACGATGAGTATGAATTATATTTCCCTGTTGCACCAGATTAATGAAGGATAGAATGAATTCCGTTCGTGTGCAGAACTCCATCCCTGATTCAGGTGCCGCCGATTGGAGTGTCTGACCTTGGTTTCAACTTTTATAACTGGAAAAGACTCAAAGAATCTCTTCCAACCCACCATTACCACTATGCCTCCAACTCCCCGTATGCAAACTACTCCTGTTTCGAGGCCCATACCTGACCTTAGCGCAGAGACCCATCAAGAGCGTGTCATTGGCTCCCTCAAGTCTGTGATCCACAACCCTCGAGACTCCGAGGAAGCAAAGAATAGCGCTCGCGACAGGCTCCGACAGATGGGCGTTGATCCGGACCACATTCCCTCTTCCTCCAGTCATCGCCCGAGTCAGGCTGAGACTCTTCGAAAGCAAGAGGAGGGGAGGAAGAGCCAAATCCACCAAGACCGTGTTGAGGGGGGATATAAGGCTACTCTCAAAAGTGAGTGGTCATGATGACCCACCTATGCTGACTGTTTTGCTGATGGGCTCCAAGATCCTAACGTGAGCGAAGCGGCCAAGCAGCATGCCAGAGATTATTTGAAGAAACATGGCGCTTTGTAGACATTTGGCCGTGTGCACTTGAATTATAGTACCTTTCCGCGATGAAATCTCGTCTACAAATGTATTTTCTGTGACCATCAAGTCGTCTCATGTCTCGAAGGTGTACGAGAACGATGATCAACTGTCGAGAAGTTGGGATTTTCGGCGTCAATGAAGGCCCTCACCAAAACGTTGGAGAGTTCGAATGGGGATATCAACTGATGCCGACCTGGAAAACGAACCTCGTCCGGCCTCATTGTTCGGAATGGTGAACACGAGGCTTTTGCACCACCACCACAGCCTCGACGATTTGTCGACAGCTTAAAGCGCCCCTTCATTATCTGGATACCCCATCTCTTCTTTACGACTCACGAATACCCTTAGACTGCCTCCTGGACTGAGCGCAACCTACTATGCATCTTCAGTGGCCGCGCCTCGCCTCTGCCACGACTTTGTTATGCCTGGCTTTCTTTGCTTCTCCATCTACGGCTTCCCGAAACCGGAGCGAACCACTCGAACGACGAAACCAATATCTCGATAGGAATAGGGATGGAACGCCATTTGTCTGGTTGTTGGAGGATGATTACAAGGGACACGACTTCTTCGAGTATGTAGTGGTCTGTTTCCTTCTTCCTAGTGCAATGAATGACCATTTGCAGCCATTTCGAATTCTTCAATTGGACCGATCCCACAAAGTACGTCCGATACTCAATGTACATCATCCTAGAGCTGACGAATAAAACCCTGTAGTGGAATGGTTCGGTATGTTGCTGGACCGACCTTGACCGTGACAGCCCAAGGCTGACCACTCGCGCGCAGATATGTATCCCGAGAAGAAGCGTTTGCACGAAGGCTTGCTTATGTCCAAGACGACGGGATAGTGGTCATGAAAGCCGACGATACCTCCCACTTGCCTAGAGGCGAATTCCGCTCAAGGTGAGCTTCCAGACCTATCCAAGAGAGCCAGATTCGCTGACCTGCTTTCAAGCGTGCGGATTAACACAATCAAACGATATACCACCGGCCTCTTCATTTTGGACTTGAACACGGCACCTTGGGGCTGTGGCGTCTGGCCTGCTTGGTGGAGTACGGGAGACAATTGGCCAGTGGTATGTAGATCCGGTTCGGGGTGTTGGCCAGCCCACTGAGGATTTCTATCTACAGAGCGGCGAGATCGATATCATTGAAGGTGTCCACGACAACGAACATAACCAAATTGCATGGCACACAGAACCCGGCTGCGTTCTTGACACAGAAGAAAGCTTCACGGGCAATGTTTCGGTGCGCTATAATCAAGTCTCGTCTCGTCCAAGTATTATATTCCTTACCTCTTTTTTCTAGATCAAATCTGGAGGACCCGCAGTCGAGTGCAACGCACATATCAACCAAAACGCAGGCTGCAGTATCACAGAATGGAGCCGAGCCTCCTACGGACCTTACTTCGATGAGCAAGGAGGAGGCGTGTTTGCCATGAAATGGGATGAGAATGGTATCGCTGTTTGTGAGTGCTGACACTGCCCTGTTCTCCCATACTTGTGCTGAACATTTTTCATTAGGGTCCTTCTACCGAGCTGCCATTCCAAAGGACATCACGGAGGGTAATCCCAATCCCAGGAACTGGGGAGACCCATCCGCATTACTTGGTCCTGGCAAATGCAACATCATGGAGTACTTCCGTAACCACACAGTTATCTTGAGTACGTATGTTTACGACACCGACCTCACTGGCTGTTGAATGATTACTCTAGATATCACCTTCTGTGGAGATTGGGCTGGCAATTCATATGCCACCAGTGGTTGCCCGGGAACGTGCCCGGATCGCCTCATGGACCCAGCCAACTTCGTCGTACGTCAACTCTTCAAACTTCTTTCAATAATTGCGCTCAAAACTGTTTTCTAGAACGCAACATGGAGCATTAACTCTATGAAGGTTTACCGAAAGCAACCTATCTATGCCGAGGTTGTCGACCCAAACAAATCAGCGGCTTCAAGAAACGTCTTGGGATCTCTCGCCTTGGTCCCTCTCGTTGGCGCTGCTCTCATGAACTAAACGAACATAGACACGGACATTTACGACCTGCTTTGATTATTGCTTTCATGACACACTTACTAGTATTTAGGAAATGACCAGGGAATCAACTATCCTATCGAATGGAATTGGTCGGGAATAGACGCAGGTCGCTGGATTTCATGACTTGGTCGGGCTATCTTAAAATGGGACAGATTTCTTCGGACAATGCGACTGTTTAATAATGACGGTACGAAGCGCAAAAGAAGGGGCGACTACTTTACACTCAATAGGACACCGTAACCGGATTACACGGAAGAAAGATCGATACCGCTATCCTGCAAGACCTTCTTGGCCTGGTTCTTCGCCGTCTGGGAAGCATTGGGATCTGCAACATTGTTACCAAACCGCAACATCGAACACGAGAATGGCCACTCACTCTGTAAGGTCCCGATATAATGCTTCAGGATCTGACTATCCGCTGTGGGAGCTGGCTCCTTCTGTGGACCGACGTTGACATCCAGGAGGGAGCCAGGGAGACTCTGGCTATCAGACCCACCGCCGAGGATACCGCCAACACCACCAAGGAGGCCTCCCCCGCCGCCAGAGCCTTGCTGGCCGCCTTGTTTCTGCCCTTGATCACCACCGCCAAGGATACCACCGCCGCCGGACTGGGGCTGTTGCTGCTGACCTCCTCCACCGCCCCCGCCTCCAGTCAGGCCACCGAGGACACCGCCAGCGCCTTGTTCACCAGTGAGCCCTCCGGCGAGGCCACCAGCGGTTCCAGCTACGTCACCGACGGCGCCGCTTATAGGGGAGAGGAGATGGGTTATCTCCTCTGTCAATATGGGTCAATTAGATGTCTCTCGGGACGAAGGGAGGTTGGCATACGGGTACTCAGGATACCGCCAAGGTCGATGTTGGCCTTGATGAGGGACTGCAGTTGCTGCTGCGCTTGCTGCCTCTGAAGGATGGGTACACCGGGGTTGTCGATGGTTCCTTTGAGGTTATTGACGATGCCAGAGAGGTCTCCTTTCGCAAGGTGTAAGAACGGTGTTCGGTAGTGCCAGTACACGGAGCACTCACCTTTACCAGCTCCGAGAGGATTGGACATAATTGCTAAGTATGAAAGTGGGTCTGTATGTGGTATGAAATGAAGGGAAGGGAATGTTGTCTTGCATCCTTCGCCATCCTTGAGGATTATATACCATGGCTAGCATCTCAAACATGATTCATTCCCTCCCCTAGGCAGAAACTCAATTCAGTCAGGAACGTCGAAAAACGGACAGGAGGTACTAAATTCCAATGACGAGCGGCTCCCAACCCGCAGTCAGGTGCATGTCATTTGGTTCAGTATAGGGAGAGAAAGGGGTTCGAGCGATACAGCTGGACGGGCGTCATCGGGGTCGTCGATCGAAACGCGCTACAATGGACGATTAGGGCATTTGGTGTGTCATTCAGTCATTCAGATGCATAATGTACAGTTGTCAAGGTCGAATTCTGGGAAAATACATCTAGAGCATCTCCCGAAGCTGAGGCTGCAAATCCTCCATCTCTTCTCTCCTAGGTCCCTCTTTCGCCTTCTCCTTTGCTCCTCCTCGAGCATGATGATCTAAAATGGAACGTTCAAGCAATGAACACAATGGTCCATAATAAGAGGGAATACTCACTCTGAGTAATGCTCTGGTTCATGGTGTTCACCTGGGTTTTCTCGTCTGCCTGCCGATGTGGGTTCGGGTCGCCCATTTGGTACCTTGCAAAGGCCTCGTCATCGCGGAATATGGGTGAGTCGGCTTGTCCCTGTTCGTTCACAGAGCCTCGGTGTCTGTGAATGTGCTTTTGGGCTACAGTCCCCTGTCAGCTCGAAGACGAAGGTGAATTCAAGAAGCGATAACGCACCTTCCATCTCCTCAGGGATGACCTGGTTGCGCTGGGATTGCTGTTGATCTTCAATGAGTTAACGCCCAAGTCAGCCTCGATCCCTCGGAGGAGAGAAACCTCTGCACGTACTGGACGACATATCTGAAGTTCGAGGGTGCGTAAAGCGTTGAATAAAGCGTTGGATGGAATCAGACGGGTTATAAACGATGGCCGGCAATATTGCGTCCACTGTGACTTAATGAGTGGGGTTACGTTGATGGTGGTTGAGATTGGGACTGCGGTTTTGGACTGGGGTCAGTTCCACCCAGCGTATGATTCGTGGTGGTGTCGTGGAGCAATTATGGCCCCATGCATTCTCGTGTGAGAGACATTTGGCGTCATAGTGCCACTGCTGAAGGAGATAGGGGCTTCCCCTATTTGTGATCGGATTTGGAGCGAGACTTGCCGTTTTCGGCGGGGGCGTTCCGTAGACGCGACCACGGACCACAGCGGGGGATAGTCGTCGTGATACGTAGAATTCCGCTCTAATTTGACGAAACCGAACCTCTCAGCTGCATCCTGTCCTGTACAGCGAGCTCGTAGAAACGGAAGTAAACAGGCTCAAGGGTCTTTACTTGTACGACAAAAGGAATGACATCAGTTTCTGAATGGTGATATACAGGATCAGATATCTTTGTCCTTGAGGACGTCCTCTGCCTTCTTCTTGGCTTCCTCGGAGACTCGAGGATCTGGTCTCTCTAAGTATGCACTTCTTGGATGAGGCTTGTGCAAATACTCACTCTTCAGAGTGGCTTTGTATCCCCCGATGACGTTGCCTTCGTTCTTGTCACTGGAACTTTCTCTATCGGTGATATCTCCAAGGTCCTCATCTAACACCCAAGGCATAAGCACCTGTATCCGATAAAAGCGAGGAATATACTATACTCATTATATACTCACCCTCGAGGCGTTGCCTAGCGTTGTCCTTGGCCTGCTCGGAGACGTTTGGGTTGTTGATGGAAGCCTTGAGTCCACCAGCTACATTTCCGGCGTTCTTTGATTCTATGAGAAGGTCGCGTGAAGATGTCGCTCCTTAAGTGGATATGTAGGGACTTACGGACGGGCATATTGAGGTATTCGGAGATGTCGCTGGTTTGCAGTGAACCTGGCAGACAGTGGGATAGGGCGGGATTGATTGCAAAATCGCCTGGTTCCTCGTCGAGTTATATGCAGTTCATCGTTCAGCACTCCTGGAATGTCCCCTGTTTGACCTCTCCTCTGCACCACCTGGCGTCTATGATGACGGGCATGTCTTGTTATGAGAAACACTGTCTTCGTAGGACAAGTCTCGGCTTTGGGACCTGATGTCGATGCTAGATAGGGGTGCCTGCTTGGGAACCCTTCCCAAAGGGACCCTGGCCAGACTGAGATGGAATCAATTCCCAGATGTCACCATGTACCGTACTTCTAAGCGAGCACAATAGGATTTCTGGTTTTTCGTGTATCAGGCGCTGGACGTAATTTACAACGTTGATGCCTACCTCCGTCGCTTAGATTGGGACTCGATACACGAGGGTGAAAGCCGTCGTAGAATTTATTCCTCAAAGTTCTACATCCCCGCCGATTTGCTTTGGAGTCCCGAATGGTCAGGCCGTTAGCGGGGGGTGCAGTCACGGCATCATTACTACTCAGGCGTTAGCTAACGCGCCACCCTTCTCATGGCCAGTGTGCACCCAGTGTACAGTAGGCGAGGCTGCGGCGGCGAGCTCTCGCCGTCGGCCATTGGGGCTGTTGCATGCTTAGTGAAAACGTACTTCGATACTGTTTCTATCTCACGGCTCTTGACTACATTGCAGTGTGATAGTGAGATAGCTCCAACAGCCAAACATCTTCATTCTATTTAAATGAAAATGCAGCACCTGTTCGAAGCTTAAAGCCTATTGTTTGCCTCCGCGAGGCACACGATTTCGGAACGGAGTGGAGTCGTGATTCTTGAGGAATGAAGAGAAGTGATAGCTGTAAGGAAGGGTCAGTGTTCAAACAATAGACCAATGTAAAGGCACCCGTTTCAGGCAGATTCCGTGAGGTTCCACCGGGGACATTGGCACATTCCGTCATCCAGAGCTATCGGATGCGAATCCTCCGACCTCCATTGGCGATCCAAGTCCGCCTCTTCGGAGCCTTCCCAACGGTGATAAGCAACGAATTTCAACCCTCCGCCGCAGAGAGAGGTGATCCGGTCGAATGGAATAATGAATTTAGAGCAATACTGACTGCGAGAAGGGGAAATGAGAGAGAAGAATGATATGGAATATAGGCCAAGGACGTACCCGAATAGCTTCGTCTGCCTTCGAGACGCTGCATCGCCGAAGATTTGACTCGTGCAGAGCCGAATGCTGTTAACCTAGGATTGCCCGTATCTGTTTCGAAACCACGATTGATCGAGCCGCAGCAGCTGGTCGATGTTATCTGGTGCACACTTCTCAAGTGGTGTACGTGCGAAGGAGAAGAAAAGAGTTATTTTCAGCAGACCTTACGGAGAGGTCGACTCGGGAATTGGTGATAGGGGCTGCCAGAACTCTTCCTTCGCAGTATTCCGTAAGTCTGCATTCCTGAACAGGGTCTGAAAGGTGTATCGTCGCCAATAAAGGGTTTGTAGAGCTGAACATCACCCGAGGAGGGTCGACTAGACGTCAGAGTTTCCAGTAATGGGTAGCCTTTCAGTCTAAATGAGGATCCCCCAAAGGCCTGCGGGCGTGCCCATCAGGATATGAGGTTATGGCAAGTTCTGTCGCCAGATTACGAGGAGTCGAGGAACCGTCAGGTGTCGAATAGAAGGTGTGACGAGGTCGAAGAAAGGAATAGACATATCAAGAGATAAACGACCAGCGGTTGTAGTTGATATGTTTTGAGAATTCTGTATCGTTGGCTTTAGCCCAAACTCAGACTGCCCTTTGTTGAGGCGCCAGGATGGGAGGTGGAAGGGACAAGCAACGTTCCAAAACGAGAAGAATTGACGATTAGCTAAGATTGATGCCGGCCACGGGTGAAATTGCGGAAGTTCTGCACAAGGCAACTCTGAACCACCAGCTTGGTCCCATTGGCTTCCTCATCTCCTCCTGAAAACACAGGAAAACCGTCGGTAGATTGGTCCTGCATTTCTCCAACGATGCTCGAGCAACTGACAAACCCCACAGTGCTCCCATTCAGGGATCCACCACTACCTTAGCATTTATTTACAGCTAGAAGAGAACCACAAGTAAATCGTTGTAAATGACGACGAGAAATACAAGGCAGGTTACGATGGTGATAAACGAGCGACGCCAGACACCTTAAAAAGCTGAGGCAAAGGAAAGAAGCTTTATGGACGAACAAGAAAACTGCCAATTCGAGGGGATAGCGCGCTAGAAAACCAGATTTGCAGGCGAAAGTCATGGTGCACGCGATTTCCGGATTTGGGCGGCCCACAAACGATTCGCCCAAAGAGGTTATCCCAGAATCTCGATCACATTGGCCTGGATATGTGCTGTAATGACTCCAGGAAAGTTATATAACGACGCTATGGCTGTCATCCTGGTATCAAACAACTGGCACTCTCTTCTCCTCCTCGACGCCGTTAAAGATGATCCAAGTCGCGTCCCACCCTCCATCCTTCACATGCACGCTCACGGGCACCCGATGATGTCCCACTCGTCTCCCAGCGTCCAACTTCCCCGCACATTGGCTCGTCCACCCTTCGCTGAGGTGTCTCGGGACGCTATCCTGGCTGCCGCTCCCGAACTGGGCAACGTCCCAGTTGAATATATTCGACGATGTCTCCGACCCAAGGCTAATGAGTACGTGTATTTATCTTCTACATTCTGCGCTACAGCTAACGAATGTCACCTCCCAGAATGCTTTCTGGGATTTCGAGCCTACCAAGGTCCCAACTGCCGACTTCTATTCCTCGTTCTCAGCTTCCTACCTCGATATCCGTAGCTGTTCAGCCACACCACGCTCATCCTACACATGTTCTTGCCGTTTCTTCTTCAAAATCTCCATCCGGAAACGAAACACTCGCCATCTTCCCCGTGCACTCCATCGTACTTGCATCCCATTGCGCTTCCTTGCCAAGACTCCCCTCGTCGTCGAACGCAGGGTCCACGGTTAACCTTCCTGTACTTCCTCTCGCCCTCCCTTCCCCGGCAGCGTTCTCCATCTTGCACCAGTTCATGTATCATCATCGATTGCACTCGGTTCTCGAAGCACTCTTCCCTCTCCCATCAGCGTTCTTACACAACCTCTCGCACCATACCGTTCAATCGACGCTGGCCTCGGGAACCCTCCTTCACCAACTCTCCACCTACCTCTGCTCCTCGGCCTCCTCTAACCTCACAACCCTGACAACGCATGCGGCACGCGTCAAGGAGCTCTGGCAGGATATGGTCGCCCTCGGCCTCCACGACACAGAGCTTTGGGATACAGTCGACCTCGCCTGGGAAGTCGTCCTCGGAGCCCTCAACCTTGCCGCCGCTCAGCGATGATCAAGGGTACCATGACTTGAAACTCGAACCGAACGTGACCAGATCCCACATAGACTTGCATCCACCGCATCCACAACCAAAATATTATTCCTCAATGTCGGGTGCTCCATCCCACCCAAATGACACCATCTATTCTCAAAGTCTGCGCAACAGGCCCGCAGCACCACTGTATCCATATGACTAGCTTTTTGGTAGACGCACAACTCCCTCAACTGTATCAACTAAACCTTCGTTCTTCTATCTGGGTTTCTTCTTCGGTTTTCCTATACCCTCTATTTGCTTTTGGTAGTCTGGCATCCTTGTGAACGTCGTCTTTCGCTTTCGCATTTTCGTATCTTTATTGCTGTAGATTATTTGCTCCTCGATGGAAGGCTAGTTCCTCATCCTCATGTAGCTTGTTCACCACATACATCAAATCCTTAAAACATTCAATCACAATGTCCGGTCATTCTGAGTTGGGCATCAGAACGCAGATTGTATTCTGCTGTTCAGATTGGCCATGAGGATCGCTTCGAGAGAGAGATTACAGAGACATCGCCCCTGGGTCCCCCTTCGCCGAACTCCCGCACTCCGGAATCCGGGACGGAACTGCCCATCATGGCGGTACGGCCAAACCGCCGACACCTGTTTCCCACAGTCTGAACCCCTAAACACGATTTCCGACTCGCGTAGAGGCTTTTCGTCAAGATACCTCCTCTGGAAGCCTTTTCAAGGCTCAGATTCTGCCTGGCCATTCCTTATTTGGAGAGCAGTGAGATTATGCCTTTCTCTCCACCTCTTCGACGAATGGATCGCAATTCTGGGGTGCGGATATCTATCCGCCACATCTTTAGACCCTGACACGGGGGCGTCGACCTGTGGCAACGAATTCACCGTCTGCACCTCGGAGAACTGAACGCTGGTTTCTGTCTGGGTAGGTCAAATCTACCTTGGCCTTATACGCCCCTTCTACCAAGCGGGGTAGCCTCTGGAAGCCACGTTGCATGTGCGTTGTGGTTACACCCATCCGGTCCTTGACCCTGTCCATTCCAGTTCAAATTTTTGGCTTCGGCGGTCGCAAAAAATGAAGGAAGGGAAACACACAGGTGTACGACTGGACCCACTTAAGATGGTACACTAACACGTTGCAAGATGGGACCAAGACTGAGGTCGCCCGACTACCTCCACAAAGAAAGATGCACACATATTGCTCGACTCAAGATGATCTGTGTGGCACCTCTGGAAACGATAGTCTTGTGCCAACATAGGGTTAATCTCCTTCAGCTGTCCACCTGACCTTATATTCCGGGACACTGTAGCTGTACTGTTGATGCGAAGTCTTCAGATATGATAAGGCAAGTACACCTCAAGACGTCCTTTCATTCATTTCACTCACCTGACAGCATACCTGACATCTCCTGCACAGTCTGCAAGGCCCGAAAACAATTGGACTTGCATCAAGTCTCCGACTTTGAAAAGTAATCGGTAGATCGAAAGACGTGGGTCACGGGTGAAGATACAATCCTTGCGCCCCATCCTGCTGGCTGATCCACTTTGAGATTCTGGGCCTACTTCCGTGGGCCTTACTCTGGTAGATTACACCCCAGAAGCTCTTGGCGGATAGCCAAACCCTGCGAAAGCGTCTTTCGATATATCGCCTGCCAGCTCACCTCCCGCTTACAGCGGCCTCTTAGTCGACGCGACTGTATGGAATATGTTGCCTACAAAGTGCGAGTGTGTGCGTGTTGCTCCGAGGTTTACTGGCGTAATCCTTTTTTTTTTCCAAGATCTTGCCTGTTTGCAAAGTTCCGTGCCGTAATCTGACCTCGTTGCAAGAGAAAGTACCATTGTGGGCACAGGTAGGCAGCGAATTACACCCACAGAGCGCGGACTCAACGGGCGCCCACTCTGGCGACACGTTGAAAGCACCAGTATCGCTTTCCCTCGCACACTGCACCTACAATGGCAACTTACACACACGGAGATCATGGACCATGTCATGTGGAGCTTGAGCATGTCGCATCCCATCTCATCTTCAAGTCTGCCTTTGGCAGATACTCGGATTAGGCGCCTGACTACTCACGACTCGTGACACGACAAAGACCTTACGACAGACCCTATGGAGATAGACAAACAGACCAGAGAAGCGTTGTTTATACAATACAAATTGAGATATGTACATAGTAGTTGATCGAACTGCGAATGACGGTGGAGAAAACATCGACAATAGAAGCCGGTGGTCAAGCTGCACTGCGAAGTCAGTCGTCTGCGTCGACGATGAGATCTATCGCTTTCTGGCTCCGTGGCTTGATCGTGCATTCGAAAGCCAAGGGGTGACTGAGGGGGAGACACATGAGACGCCAATTCTCAAACAGAAGCGAACTTTCGCCCACCTGACGGTCCCACTTGTCTGGCCAAGAGGAGGCTCCACGACCTCGCCATTCTTCACAGCTTTCGATACATTGAATGTAGCAATAAGCATTGCAACAGATATGTATACAGATGCATCGGCAAGAATTCGACCTTCGAAAGTTGTCAATATACAATAGGGCGACGGGGGAATGAGGGACGAACCTGGGCATATCCTATCCGAGGAGAGGACCGTTTCGAGTTCGTAAACAAATGGATAACGAACAGAGCTACCGCATCCGCACTCACCTCCTTCCAAAGCCAAAGCAAGCGTTACGTGGGTCGGGCTCGGGAGTAGGGCCTAGGAATCTTTCTGGCTTGAAGTCCATGGGGTTGTGGTAAACTCTAGGGTCGTGTAACATGTTCCTGTACAACCATATTGGTCTTCTTACCCAGACACACACGATGCGAAGGAGCGAAGGCATACCAGACGTTGGCGATTACCAATGAGCCTTTGGGGATGAAGTAGCCGTTGTGAATATCGTCTTCCAAAACTCTATGGGGAACACCTGTATGGCAAGGTGGTCAGTCGTAAACAGAGTCATGCAAAAGCGGTACTTACTTGTGGGAGTGACGGCATGCCATCGCAGGACTTCAGAAACGAGTGCGTTTATATATGGCAAGTTCTGTCGATCTTCAAATGTCGGAAGTCGATCGTTTCCAACCACAGCATCTATTTCGACCTGCGCCTTCTTATGAACTTCTGGGAAAAGGCAGAGGGCCAAAAACAGTGCGTGTATGGAGGACACGGTCTGGCCACAGTAGATCATGTTAATACGGACGAGAATGATTCGGAATGCTCCGTACCGTGTCCGCTCCTCCAGAATATAACGAAGCAGAAGACCATTTGATATCGTATTCTCTGTCTTCTGATAGATTGGGCTCCTCAAGAAACTTGGATGTAAACGAAGGTTCGGCACTGCCGGCCGCCTAACATAAGAAGTTGGCTCAATACTGCAGAGAGAGCATGGTCGGTTACGTACAATTTGTTCCTTAACGTAGCGATACGGTTCATCCGCCATGCGATTAATCGTTGCTCGCCATTCCTTAGCCGTCTGTTTGAAACCTGCTCCCGGGAACCAGTCGGGAAGGTGCTTCACTGTCGTAAGGAAGAAAGGACAGATTGGATGAGGCACATTATCAAGGGGAGGTTCAAGTCATTAATAACTTACGGGGAGGGATAAGATTGACAAGGAACCCGCCTGGCGCTGTCGCTAGAGCGAACTGATGCATGGCCTCGTCTGCAACGGCCACAAGCGGATCGTTGTTTGGCTTAACTCTGTATCCATGGGATATCCTGAGAATTATCGCGCCTGCCGTCCTGTAAATACGATCAGAAAACATGCGAACTTCAGTATCCGTAAACCACATACTGCCGAATGTGTTGAACGAAATTGCTTGGGTCCCTCAATAAGGCCCTGAGAAATTCTTGTGTTTCCTCCTCCTCGACGGAGTGGAAGTGGGCCATCGAAGCATGGGTACCAATGAGCTGATGGAACATCTTTCGGAACCTTCGAAAACGATCTCCGTACGGAGTGAGGACCAGAGCGTTCTTCCAACCCACGAGTTCACCTCCCATTTCCATGACAGGGCGATCCGAGTAATTTAAGCTTTTCTTGTCCAGCATTTCGACAGCTGCTTTCATGGAGTTCAGAATGACTATCTCTTGACCGAAAATTGAAATAGAGGTAATGTCTCCTGTGGAGTGCGATTAGAAGCCATTGCGTACGAAGATTGCGACAAACATACCCCATTTTTGACCCCACTCAGTAAAAGTCAACCACTCTTGACTGGAGGGCATGTCGAGGATGTTTCCTAGTAAGGGCAAACGCCTGGGTCCAGGCGGAAAGGGTGCGGGAGGTCGACGACTCGCCAAAAGTCTGATCAGACAATAGAGAAGCAATGAGGCTGCAGAAATGTCGAGCAACGATATGCGGGTGCCCATGAGACTAAACGGAAGAGCAGAGGATAGCGCCGAGAGGCTGATAGCCATGGTGGAGACAGTCTGAGGGATGTGGATAGTTGTAGCAACAGTCGATCCCCCTATATACCGTTTTCTCTATAGATGAGAACCGGGCATTCAATTGCCTGCATCAAAGTCACAGACTACATAGTTCTGTGACAGCTGATATCGATCCACTGGCAGCCTGCGACGAATACATTCCAGTGCGATTTTCGGTTCCGGGTGGTTGAGCAGGCTCAGCAGGGCAAACTCCAAAGTGAGCGACCTGGCTTTTGGGTACCGGCCTTTCTCTACCACCGGATGTTGACAAAGCTCCGAAGTTTTGTCAATGTTCGTATTACGCACCTAAGCCAAGTTCCTTCAAATCCGTTGGCAGAAATGTCTGTGTCAAGTGACCACGAGGGCCCGCTGCCATCATCCTGCTTAACACAACGGAAAGGCGCAATATAATGTGCGGGCAGCGTTGAATGAAAAATAGAGACGAGGAGAAAGGCCAGGCAAATGGAGGGTGGATAGTCGCAAGGATCGCCGCGGCAGCGAGCGCGAGCGCTTAGTGTTTGTTTGCCTGTGTTAGGCAATATACTGGGTACCAAACTTCTCGCCATTGTGCCGTCCAGCGCTGAGTTTCTGCAAAAATCAACGCACTACTCACCTGTTCTCTCAATTCGTAAATCCAGAGTACAAAACAATCGAACTTTTGTGTTATACAAGAGTGGCACCGTCCCTAATGAGACTGCCCAATACAATCGTCACCCTCGACAATCCTGAGCACGGAGATGACTTAGAAGAATACGATACAGAGAAGGGATCAGCGATCTACGCTTAAAATGAGATCCATTGCCTTCTGGCTTCGTGGCTTGATGGTACATTCAAAATCGTGTGGATGACTGGCTGTCTGTTAGTAGATTGCACACTCACGTCGATAAAATAAGCGCCCACCTGACGGTCCCACTTGTCTGGCCAAGCGGAGGCTCCACCACCTCGCCATTCTTCACTACTTTCGATACGTTGAATGTAGCGAGGAGCATGGCAGCGGATATGTATACAGATGCATCAGCGAGAATCCGACCTGCAAGAGTGGTCATTGTACAAGAGGACAGCCAGGGAACTTTGAGCTACGAACCTGGGCATATTCTGTCGAGGCGATACCGTTTCCAGTTATTAAGCACCCAGTATAATCGAGAAAAGCTACAGCTTGTTCTGCACTCACCTCCTTCCAAAGCCAAAACAGACGTTACGAGGATCAGGTTCAGGAGTGGGTCCCAGGAACCTTTCCGGCTTAAAGTCCATCGGGTTGTGGTAAACCATGGAGTCGTGTAACATATTCCTGTTCAACCATATTGATCCCCTTACCACACACACGATACCAACGAACGAATGCATACCAGACATTGGCGATTACCAACGAGCCTTTGGGGATGAAGTAGCCGTTGTGAATGTCGTCTTCTGAAACTCTATGGGGGACGCCTATATGGCAAGGTGGTCAGTCGTAAACGGAGTTGTGCAAAGGTGATACTTGCTTGTGGGAGCGACTGCATGCCATCGCAGAACTTCAGAAACGAGTGCATTGATATATGGCAAGTTCTGTCGATCTTCAAATGTCGGAAGTCGATCGCTCCCCACCACGGCGTCGATTTCGGCCTGCGCCTTCTTCTGAACTTCTGGGAAGAGGGAGAGAGCCAAAAACAAGGAATGTATCGAGGACACCGTCTGGGCATCTCGGGTCAGCTATACGCGGACACAAATGAGGTGGGAGACATCGTACAGTGTCAGCTCCTCCAGCATATAGGGACGCAGCCGACATTTTGATATCAAATTCCCTGTCTTCTGATATTTCTGGTTCTTCGAGAAACTTGGATACAAAGGAGGGTTCAGCGCGACCCGAAGCCTGCGAACAGCCCTGTCAGCAATCGGGCATGGTTATGGACGTGGTCAAGTACCATTTGTTCCCTAACATAACGGTAGGGCTCGTTTGCCATGCGATTCAAGGTGACTCGCCACTCCTTTGCTGTCTGTTTAAAGCCCGCTCCAGGGAACCAATCAGGGAGGTGTTTCACTGTGTTGGAAAGTGATAGATATTGAATAAAAGTAATTGTCAGGCCCAGAGAGGGGAAACCCACAGGGAGGGATAAGGTTGACAAGGAAGCCGCCCGGTGTTGTTGCGAGAGCGAATTGATGCATGGCCTCGTCCGCGACGGCCACTAGCGGATCGTCGTCTTCCTTAACTCTGTACCCATGGGATATCCTGAGAATAATTGCGCCTGCCGTCCTGTAAGCGATGTTAGAGAATCTGTGGACTTCAGCATCCATAAACCGACATACCGCCGAATATGCTGGACGAAGCTGGTTGGGTCCCTCAGCAAGCCCTTCAGAAATTCTCGTGTTTCCTCCTCTTCGACGGAAAGGAAATTAGACATAGAAGAATGGGTGCCAATGAGCTGATGGAACATCTTGCGGAACCTTCGAAAACGATCCCCGTACGGAAGGAGGGCGAGAGAGTCCTTCCAACCCACGAGCTCACCACCCATTTCTATGACAGGACGATCCGAATATATCAAGCTCTTCTTGTCCAGCATATCGACAGCTGCTTTCATGGAGTTTATGACGATCATCTCCTGACCGAAAATCGAGATAGAAGTGATGTCTCCTGTGGGGTGCAATAAGAAGCCATTGCATACGGTATTTCCTATGAACATACCCCATTTCCGACCCCACTCAGCAAAGGTCAACCACTCTTGACTGGAGGGCATGTCGAGGATGTTTCCTAGCAAAGGCAGACGCCTTGGACCGGGCGGCAAGGGTGCGGGAGGTCGACGACGTGCCGAAAGCCTAACCAGACAATACAGGAACAGTGAGGCTGCAGAAACATCAAGCAAAGATATCCGGTTTCCCATGACGTCCAACGAAAACGCAGAGGATAGCGCTGAGAGGCTGCTCGCCATGGTGGAGAGAGCCCGAGGAATGGGAATAATTATAGCAACAGTCAGGGGGGCTCAGGCCGCTTATATAGCGCTCCTTCTGTAGACGAGAGAGAGAGTCTGCATCAGAGTTCCACAAGGTCTGTGGGCTCAAGCGGAGCACACAAGTGTGAGAGTTGATTAATGTTGATTTCGTCTGTCACTTTTGGCGACATTGATAAAGTCGAAGTCCGATTTTCGGTTCCACTGGTGGTACTTACATAGAGTATACAAAGCATTCGATTGAGGGATTTTGAAGGCTTCCGCACCGTACTAGGTAGGACCTGGAAAGCGCCCTATCTCTACGACTTGCTTGGGAACTTGACAGAACATCAAGTTTTGTCAGCGTTCGTGTTTACGATGGAGTTCGCTCCCAAGTCTTCCTTCAAATCCGTTTGGCGGAAATTACGTTGCGTCCGTGGCAAGTGACTCCTATTAGTGACCACGAGGCCTCTCTTGTCATCACCCTACCACAACGGGGAGGCACAGTATCAATTGTCATGAGTGGCACCGTTGGCGATCGAGACAAGGTGAGGGCCAGGCACATGGAGAGTGGACAAAGACCTAGTCTAGAGAAAAACTGAGATGAGCACAGTGTTAGCCAAGATATATTGGGTGCCAAACACCTGCCGTCCTCGCCGAGTTTTCTGCAAGGATCGTCAACGCCAGACTGAGATTCGCCTGTTCCCAACTCCTAAATCCCGAGTGTAAATAATCGAATGTCTGTATTATACAAGAGTAACACCGTCCCCAAGCGAGACTGCCCATTAACATCGACACCCTCGACAAGGCTGGGCCTGGGCACGGAGATGAATACGGAAACAAAGAAGGAACTGGCGTTTCATGGTCAGCAACCAACGCTGAGGATGAGATCTACTGCTTTCTGGCTTCGTGGCTTGATGGTGCATTCAAAGCTTTGCGGGTGACTGACATGGCCAGTTAGTAGCTTGCACTCAGGTCAGTCAATAAGCGCCCACCTGATAGTTCCGCTTGTTTGGCCGACAGACGGCTCCACGATCTCACCGTCCTTCATAGCTTTGGAAATATTGAATGTAGCGACAAGCATCGCAACAGAGATGTAAACCGAGGCATCAGCAAGGATTCGACCTATGGATCAGGGTGAGGCAAGTCGTCAGGTTTGGAATGGCGAGAATAGCGACGGACCTGGACAGATTCTATTTGGGGGAGTCAGGGTTTCGTAAGTACCCAGGGTGAGAGAAAATGCCTCCAACACCTACCGCCTTCCAAAACCGAAGCAAGCGTTACGCGGATCAGGCTCGGGAACGGGACCCAGGAATCTTTCCGGCTTGAATACCATCGGGTCATGATAAACACTGGGGTCGTGTAACAGGTACCTGGCGTGAGTTATCCAGGTCTTCAGTACGGACACCGAGATTGAGCTAGGATGAGAGACATACCAGATGTTCGCAATCACCAACGATCCTTTGGGGATGAAGTAGCCATTATGGACATCGTCTTCAGAAACTCTGTGAGGGACACCTGCGCCACGGCTTGGTCAGTCTCAGTGAGTAGGACACGACAGGGCGGTACTTACTTGTGGGAACGACTGCATGCCACCGCAGTACCTCCGAAACTACGGCATTGATATATGGCAGATTTCGTCGATCTTCGAATGTTGGCAAACGATCACCCCCAATCACGGCATCTATTTCTGCTTGCGCTTTCGCCTGGACTTCTGGGAAAAGGGAGAGGGCCAAAAACACGGAATGTATAGAGGATACGGTCTGATTACCCAAGTAAAGGTTAGAATGGAGGTGAATGGCAGGTTCCAGTCTTTCCATACCGTGTCTGCTCCTCCAGAATACAGCGATGCGGAGGACCATTTGATGTCGAATTCGCGGTCTTGGGATATGTCTGGCTCCTCGAGAAGCTTCGACGTAAACGAAGGTTCGGCATTACCAGCCGCCTAAGAGGTGTTATTCTGGAAGCTCAGAGAGAATCATCTTATACGTACCATTTGTTCTTTCACGTAGCGATAGGGTCCATCTGCCATGCGATTGATCGTGTTGCGCCACTCCCTAGCTGTCTGTTTGAATCCTGCTCCAGGAAACCAGTCAGGAAGGTGCTTCACTGTTGTCAGAAACAGATGAGGGCCGTCGTCGGGGAGAAGCTGCTCGTTACTTACACGGAGGGATAAGATTGACAAGGAAGCCACCCGGTGCAGTCGCGAGAGAAAATTGCTCTGTCGCCTCTTCCGCAACGGCCACGAAAGGATCCTGGTGTTCCTTAACTCTGTACCCATGGGATATCCGGAGAATAATCGCGCCTGCAGTGCTGTAAGATGGGAGGTCAGCGTCACTTCCCACTTTAGTATCCATCAACGGACAGACCTCCGAACGTGCTGGACGAAGTTGCTCGGGTCCTTCAGCAAAGCTTTGAGGAACTTCCGAGTTTCTTCTTCTTCGACGGAGTGGAAGTTGGACATTGACGCGTGGGTCCCAATAACCTGGTGGAACATCTTTCGAAAACTGCGAAAGCGATCCCCATACGGGATGAGTACCAGAGTGTTCTTCCAGCCCACGAGTTCGCCGCCCATTTCCATGACAGGCCGATCAGAGTAAATTGAGCCCTTCTTCTCCAGTATGTCTACAGCCAGCTTGATTGAGTTGAGAATGATTATCTCCTGTCCGAAGATTGAGATGGAAGTCATGTCTCCTGTGAGGGGAAATTCAGTGATGCAGCTCGAAAACGACGATTACATTCAAACATACCCCATTTGCGACCCCATTCAGCAAAGGTAAGCCATTCCTGGCTGGGGGGCATGTCGAGGATGTTTCCCAGCAGAGGTAGGCGTCTGGGGCCGGGCGGCAAGGGAGCAGGAAGTCGACCACGGCCCAAGAGTTTGATGAGATAGTATAGAAACAGGGCGACAGCCAAAGTGTCCAACAAAATTGTCCTGCCACTCAGAACGTCGAGCGACAGAGTAGAAGACATCGTTGAGGAAGTGGTCATGGTGGAGGAGAGGTGTGTGGATCCCGGACAAATATAACGACTGCCTGCCTCTCTTATATACCGTTTTCTTCTAAGCTTACCTGCCAGTCATTCTAAGATCATTCCGGTTTCTGCGTCCAGTAATACCGCCGTGTTATGTCCTCGGAGTTCCATAGGATTTGTCGACCCTAGGCTGCGTGGGTCGTACCTTTATGATCCAAGCTGTCGCCGTTGGTTGTGATCGCTCACCGGTCTTCGGTTCCGCATAGTGGTGGAGCATACCCAGCCTAGGATACGCGGGGCAGGCTCCAAGTCGAATACAAGGTGACCTTGCAAATAAGCTTTCTCCAGAAGCTTGACATAGCACCCTCGGGCCGCCGCACGAAGTTACGATGGAATTACCTTATCCGTTTGGACAAGTTACGTTTCGTGCATGGCAAGTGACTGGCATGAGGTACAGCTATTACGCGCCTCTGTCATCACCCCGGCAAAATGGGCAGGTACAATTGGACCCAGGGGGTGCCTGACCAAAAGAGATGAGAGATAAAGTCGGGATGGAGACAGGAAGCTGACAGGTACGTGGAAAACGTGGACTCGTGGAGGGGTCAGGTGTGAGCGCTTATTTGCACCTATTAGGCAAGCTGCTGGGCGTCAAACACCACCATGCTCGTCCTGACAGATGCATTACGATTGAACTGCGACTCTGACTCTGAGTGTCTATCCTTGTCATCCACTCCATTGCATATGTTACTACTATATCAGAATCGTAACGAGTGCGCGCTCCCTGTGAGGCAGTGCCTTGCACCAATCGCTACGCGGCAAGAATACCTGTGTCCCCTACGTTCCCTTCAACCGAGAATCAGCGTCTTGGACCTTCTAAACTGAACGCAAACAATGATAGAAATGGGCTAGAAACTCGATAGAATCTGTCTGCGTGCATCCCTTTTCTGAAGATTTCCAGCAAGTTCTACGAAATTTACGTAAGTCGAGTCCCAAGCCGCGACATAAAGCTGGGTGCACGATTTCCCTTCCACACGATTTAGCGCTCAACCCATATCGCGATTTTCCTCCCATAACGATGGCCTCAGAACGCCCAATTGTCTACTTCGATATCAGCATCGGCGGCCAGGCAGCTGGTCGGGTCGTCTTCTCGTTGTATAACGACCTTGTGCCCAAGACCGCAGAGAACTTCCGTGCGTATTGGCTGGTGCGATTGGGCGCTCTGGGATACTAACTCTCACCTTAGGCGCACTTTGTACTGGCGAACATGGTGTCGGAAAGCTGGGAAAGCCCCTTACTTACAAGGGATCTAAATTCCATCGTGTAATCAAAGGGTATGTCCTTTCCAATTCGAAATACAATCAAGAACGCGTTTGCTTAACTAGTCCAATCGCGTAGGTTCATGTGCCAAGGAGGCGATTTCACCGCAGGAAATGGTGCGTCTGTTGAGTTTCAAACAGGCGTTAACGTCCCAAACTGACAATCTATCCAACGAAGGTACCGGCGGCGAATCGATCTACGGCGAGAAATTTGAAGACGAAGCTTTCCCCGTCAATCACTCTAAACCATTCCTGCTGTCGATGGTACGTCGAGAATCTCCTCCCGAAAAGCTTGTGAAACTGACCTTTGTAACCCATTAGGCTAACGCTGGTCCTAACACCAACGGATCGCAATTCTTCATCACGGTAGCCCCTACACCCCATCTTGACGGAAAGCACGTCGTTTTCGGTGAAGTGATCAAGGGCAAATCCATTGGTACGTAAATAGGCTGGTTTCACTCTGCAGAAGATAGACTAAGCCTTCTCAATCACAGTCCGAGCAATCGAGAACAACCCCACCGCATCAGGCGACGTCCCAATCGAACCTGTTGTGATCGAAGACTGCGGCGTCCTTTCTCCCGACGATCCTTCCCTCGCCGAATCAACAGCAGAAGCACAAGACGGTGATCCTTATGAGGACTACCCAGAAGACGAGGATCGGGATCTGAATGACGCCAAAGCCGTTTTGGACATTGCCAAGCTCATCCGGGAGGTCGGAAACAGGTTGTTCAAGGAGGGTAAAGTCGATCAGGCGTCAAACAAGTATCAGAGTACGTTCCTTCTTCTTTACAACTTGTGGACTGGTCCTGATCGATTTACGCATTTATAGAGGCACTCCGCTATCTGGATCTCCACTGGCCTCTACCAGAGGATGCTTCGGAAGAGCTCCAGGCAGGATACAAAGAGCTCTTCACCCCTGTCCTCCTCAACTCGGCCCTCGCTGCCATCCGCGTAGAACCCAGATCTACCGTAAACTCCACCATCGCCATCACCAACACCACCCGCGCAATCAACTACTTTGACCTCAAACCCGCCGACAAAGCCAAGGCTTACTACCGTCGCGCGCTCGCCAGGTTACAACTCAAGGACGAGGACAAAGCCGAGGCTGATCTTGTTGAGGCTAGCAAACTCGCACCCGAGGATGCTGCAATCGCAGGCGAACTTAACAAGATCAAGCAAGCCCAAAAGGCGCTCAGGGAGAAAGAGAAGAAGGCATATAAGAAATTGTTCGGATAATTGTACAACAGACGATAAATTAGCAATGTACATCTAATAATCATACCATCTTGTATCCCTAGGGTAGACAGTCATCAATGTAGACGGTTCAAAAGCGCAAAAAGAAGTCCTAGGAGATAAAGTAGAGCAGGAATTGGCGTTTCTTCGCAGGCGATATCGGCGGCGAGAACGACGTGGGATCATCGCGCAAGAGGATTGGGGCAAAGACGTTGGCTACAGATATGGTCAGATTCAGAACGGGATAAAGTTAACATCAAGAACATACCGAGGCGTTCAGCCTGGTCCTCATTCGAGGACGACTTCGAAAGGAAATGTAAAAAAGCCGTTAACGAAATCCACACATTGACAGCCGCAGGCTGGACTGCATCCAGAAGCTAAAAGACCACCATGGCGTGAATAGCGTTCTCATGATAAGCATAAATAAGGGAGGTAATTAAATACCCACCTCAAATGCCTCATCTCTGTTCGACATCTGAACACAGCGTGGGTGCAGTATCCCAGGGATCACCGGATCGGGAAGAGAATTGAGAAGGCGTAGCAGCACGACTCCGAAAGCCAGTGGAATTTGAGGATCTTTCGTCTCCGCTGCGGGGTAGGGGAATTCGGCGCCTGTGTCGAGACACTGACAATAATAAAAAAGGTCAACGACATCAGGAGATATTTCACAGAGAATGGGAGGCTTGCCTCGCAGAGTTTGAGTACAGTCTCGTCATCAGCGGGTTGTAAGAATACGTTTTCCTAACAGAGGATACGTTCAATTGCGGTGAAGCGACGAGGGATAAGGACATATACCATATTGGTGCCATTGGTCATGAGCCAATTGATAAGCCGAATGATCTCTGAGGGTGCATTCTTCCTGTGTCGTTCATCCACGAGGTCGGTGGGTGACTTGAGACTCCGAATGGGGCCAGGAAGTTGCGTCAAAAAGGACAGCGAATTCCCGAAGCACGTAGGTTCTGGTTACCATCAAGCAAGGTCAGAAAGTAGCCAGTGGGTGACATCTATGTGAATACTCACGGTATTCCCCCGCTACTGATATAAAGTGATCTTTCCCCAGAAGAGTGTGTAGGATGAGCGTCCCACTCAGGTCAGTAGGCCTCCGATTAAGTCCAGAAGCAATCGCGTTGGTGACATGAGCCGTAAACGTGATCTCTATAGTTTCATCCGGGAGGATGACACCCTGTAATGAATCTTCTGTTTAGATAGGACCTTCCATGCGAACGAGGGATCTCACCGTCTTGGGTTGGATAGATAACCACTCGGGATCTGACAGTGCCAAAGGTAAATCTCGACACGTGACGTGAGGAGAAGACCGTTGACGTACGAATGGGAGTATCTGTCTGGACAGGTACGAATCGGAACGCGCAAGGGCCCTAGACCACCGAATTAACCAAACCTAGAACGCTCTGCCACGCAATCCAGGTCATACCTTGCTCGCATTGGTAACTTTGACAATTTTGACATCTGGGACTTCATATCTGCAACGGTGTCCACATGTTTTTTCAACTGGAACAAAAGAAGCATGACATACCGCACTTTCCCAAAGTCAAGGTAAGTTTCGTCAAGCTTAAGACCCTTGCGCTCATGTGAACCTTCCAGATGGTCAACATCTCGATACAATCTTCGCAGAGCAGTCGTGTATGCCTCCTGATCCAAAACATCGACCTGTAACGAAAAAAAAAAAAAAAAAAAAAAAAAAAAAAAAAAAAAAAAAAAAAAAAAAAAAAAAAAAAAAGAGGAAGGAGCAGGTCAATAGTCGCCGAGATGATTTAGATACGTCGGTTACCTCAATCTCAAAATCCGCGGCGACTGGACGGTGGTCGCTCATCGTTATTTGCGGATGGCTGGTATACGACAGCTGCTCCACCCTGCACGTTGGGCTAGGGATGTATAGAATGCGGTCCGTCCATGCCGGTCTGCGTCTGTGAACAGAAAGGTCAACGGAGAGTCTGGGGACATAGTGAAGCCTGGTTACTTCAGATCATATCCGAGGGTATCCATGCCGAGTCCTGAACTGAATCGATATGTCCTATCCAAGTGTGAGATAACAAAACTCTCGAAAGCAAACCAGACCTACGGAAGATGTGTAATGGGGCTCTCGTGGAATCCGACGAATGCCTTCTTGGCCTCAATAGCTTTATGAAGCTATCAAACACGTTTGTAAGCTGTTGTCCCACAACGGAGAGTAACAGCATACCTGGTCATAGCGCAGCAAGGAGGCAAACTTTTCACGATTGTTCCACTCTTCGTCCCTCAAGATCCTCCTCAGGTCCATATCCCCGACGTCGATCCTATAGTTCAGGTCTACATCACAGTCAACACAACACGACAAATGTCGACTATCTGAGGTCACCAACCTCCCTTCGAACCAGACGTTAACCACGATCCTCATAGGGAACGATGAAACTTACCATCCAGAACAGCACATCGCTTTCATACGCAGTTGACTGAGGGAGCGAGTACGACATGTCATCTTCTTCCTCTGGTTTCGAAGGCAGCGAAACAGGGAAATTCAACCTCTTCGACAGATCATGAAAATCCTGGTTGCGTTTGTCCACCATCTCATCGAATGCTGCCAGATGTGCATTCACAAATGTGAGGATAGTGGGCTTGGTGCCCTTCGCAGGGGTGAATGATACTCGAATGGCCGTTCCTCCTTTGTTTCCCTGCAGAGAATGCCATGAATGTGCATTGGATGGAGATGATGAATAAGTGCTCACCATCACTCCGAGGATACCAGCCCCAGCATAGACGGTCTGAACGTCAGTAAAGCATGCTCGAACACCTTTCTTAACCATGATGATGAGTAGCATTCCGACAAGTTGCTTCGACGCCAACTGAAGAGAAAAGTCAGCTAGAGATCATCACGGTAATGGCAGTGAATCCAACCTTTTCGTACTTGTCCCTCTTTTCTCCAAGTGCAGCAAGGATTGCGGTGCACCAAGCATCCTCTCGTGCAGTCGACGTGGAATAAATCAAGGCTTCCGTTGAAAGGTCTAGCTCTTGGAACCCCCATACCAGAATCTCCGGATCCATATCGTCAGGGTCTACTGGTTCAGCCTTGGTCAGTTTTACAGATTGAAACTTTGACGTCCGTTCTGTAACTGATAGATGCTCGCTTCAAGGCATCCCAGGTCACCATAAAATACCACGCACGCTTATCAAACGGGTTCCCGATAACCTCGCTCAGCGACAACGGCGAAACAGCTTCGATCTTGGGCAACGAAGTGGATGGTGGACCTTGAATCCAACTCGACAAATCTTGAGAAGGAAGCTTTCCATTTACATTGAACGTTCCTATTCGCAGTCTGTGGATATCAACGCTGTTCAGTGCAGTCAAGTTGAGTAGGCTTACCGCAAGCTCTGCCTTCCACTAATACAAGACCTCCTAGCCTCCGCTCGAACCCACTCGTCTCTCATTAGATGGAGATCGGCGTAGTCATCGCCAGGCTGGCCAGCACTTGCTGGCGAGAGTCGTTCATGGAGAGGCTGATTCACGAGTCGTAGGTCAGGCGGAATAGAGGCCACTACAGGTCAAAACACATTAGTTGGTGGGGGTGGGTCAATGCGTTTGACCAGCACGCACGTAGCAGCGGAGAGATTTGCTTGAGAATGTACGGTCTCAACCAACTGAAATACGTCGTCGACTGGGCAATGTTGATCACTTCATTGTTGTCGATATCTGCGGGTGCTCATATGAGTCCGACCTTCACAGAAGGCGCGAAGTGGATACACACTAGTCTCCGCTTTCAATCTCTTGCATTCAGACACGAAATCCCGGAGTTCTTGAACGTCCTGAATGTAGAACAGTGCTGGCTTCGCCTCATCCTGAAGTCCTTCTGCTGGGGTAACAGCCAAACTAAAGCCTATTCACGCCTATAACTGAGCATATCCATCCTCTAAATAACGAAGATGGGACACTTACCAGAACGCGGTTGCTCCACAGCAGCTTTCTGCAGTCCTCCTCGAAGATCTATAGTGCTTCTGCGCATTTGACTCATTACGATGGAGAAGTTTCCGTAGATTGGTAGAACACGGTGAATCTCGAGCTCGTCGCCGTTGTCATCGCTTGGTACTCTAGGCTTGCAGACGAAGACACTAGGTGGGGTCAGCATGGGTTAGTCCCGAGAGTGAACTTGGGCGCTTCGCAACCGCCAAAGGCCATTCGCAGCCTCGACGATCCCAAAGCGCACCAAAGAGCTCAGCGTGCAACTCACCATCCTTCCTCAGTCAAATCCCAATCATCCTTGTGCGAAATCACCGCCAATATTCGCTTATTCTGGGCGTCCTGCCGTGCGTCTGGGACTTGGGAAGCGGCAGATCCTGGGATAAAGATCGCTTCAAGAACGACTTTGACTTCGTCTGTGGACCTGAGGAGATTATGAACGCGGTCAAACGCGGTGCTCATCGCGCCAGACGTTGAGCAGCACGGTCGCTGGAGGACGAGGTCTGACGAGGTCGGTGGGCAGTTGCCAAGTTCTGCCAGAACCCGCCATCATTGTCATCGCGCCAAGCTTCGGACGAATTTCCGCAAGTGGACATTCGCCCCTAATGGACCCCAGACCCTCCCCGCGAGGAGCTCGTGTTTGACAGAAAGGTATGTAGATAGAGTAGTACCAGCTAGCGTGCAACCCAAATCAGTGTTATACAAGAAGGAAATTCGACTAATACTATCGTTCTCAATCCAACGATTCCGCTTCCCAGAACCAGTCCATCAGCTCGCGATTACCCCGGTATCGCAGTTTGATTCCCGCTTGGCATTCAGCGGCCTCCTTCTCCATGCCCAGTCGCAGATACGCTATCATCATAACGCCCAAAATTGTATGATACCCACAGGCCTCGATATCCATGCCGTGCTCATCCATCCATCTCTTGATCTCAAGAACAGGTTTCAATACATCGACCTTCAAATTCGGGTCGTGCACCCATACGTTGTTGGCCTGGTCGAACCAGCCGTTTATGAGCTTGGGCAGCGCTGGACGCAGACGATCCGAGTAGGGCCTGTGTCGAAGGCATGTAGGGCATGAGCAATTGTAAATCCCGTATTCCTGGAGAGATTGGGCGCGTTGGGCTTTCGTCTCGTAAGGCTGGGTGTAGCAGTGGAATATTTGTGAGCCGGCTTCGATGTCGCGCACAGCGGTGTATTGCATGGCGAACGTTGTTGGGTCGAAATCTACAGCCACATCGGGAACGCATCTATGCGCAATGAAAGATGAATCCTCAGTGGCAACACATGGGATTCGAGGCAGCGACATACGAATGGTTGAACCTACTTCCGACCCTTCCAACCGCAGCATACCATCCGCCAAAATCGTTGTTCGCCTCACCAAAGTCGAGGACAATCCCATTGGTCCTTACGATCCCTCCAAGAGGACCACTCCCGTCCTTGTAGCTATTCGTCAGCGTCCTGAACTCCGCGCGGTCTTCTTTCGTCATGCACGTGGCGAAGCTGACTGTGAGGAACCGTTCAACATGGTCGAGCTGAGCTTGCATGATCTCCCGCGCGGTAATTTCCTTTGCGGCGCTCTCGGGAATGCCCCCTCCGAAGAAGGCCATGTATTTCCCGGGAAAGACGAGGAAGGGGCGCTCAACATGGAATGTCTCGCCACGCTTGAGATTCTGAGTGGCAAACACCCCGTATCCCATTCCATTGTCGGTAGGTTTGACGACGAACTTCTTTGGTCCCAGCTTGGGAAGAGGCATTGGGACTGCACCCTTCGAGAAGTAAATGGCTCTGCGCTCCGAGGTCGTTAGCCAAATGGTATGCCCGTCGGGGTCGCTACCAGTAAGATCGGTGTTGAGCGGCGGGACGACTGTGATGACATGTCTGCCCCAGTCGTATGGCACGACATAGTCGATAAGTCTCTTCGGAGCTAGACTTTTGCATGAGCGTACAACGTACATCAGAGCTTTGATGTACTCACCATCCATTCCACCGAGCACGTTGTATCTTCCGAGAGTGCGCTTGATGTCGTCATCGAGGAGATGTTCGTGCTCTGGATGATCACCTTTCAATCGGTAATAGTGAGTGCCCATGAGGCGTCGCAGGCGGACGTTGCTCCAGAGATCCAATCTCTCGTGCACAACGGTAAGGAACACCCAGTTGGCCAGTTGGCCAGCAGCAACCTTCCTCTCAGGGAAGTGCTTCTGAATTTGCTGGATTGTCGCTTCTAGCAAGCCCGAAGGTTTACAACCGGGCTCGACATAGCTTGGTATGTCATGCTCGAGTACCTCGCATAGCAGTCGTTCCAGCGCCGCAGATGGAGGATAGTCGTGCTCGTTGCGACAGATGGTGGGATTTTCGTTGAGTGCGTCTTGGAAAACCTTCTTGAGTAGCTTTATGTGTTCAACGACCAGCTCAGTGTCAACCTTGATGTCCTCGCGAGAAGTGACAGTGGCGGTAGCGGTGGCCATGGTGAATGTGAAACCCTCTACGCTCCTTTGTCACTCAACACGTTCATATATGAACGACAATTGACTTGAGAGGCCGTATCACAGAAGATGTTATCGATGACAGGCCCACAACAGAGACACCTTCGGTTCGCCAGAACAATGACTTTGTGGGCGTTTCGAGTTTCGTAAGACCGCGAGTGCAGCAAGGCTTTCCTATCACAGAAGATACTATCGATGAAAGTCCCAGAGAGCAAGATGAGAGTTGTGATGGGGCGCTTGATGTCTGTCCATTTGACTCATAGTCGAATGAGGGTTCATGATGGTGGTTTGAAGCCAAAATTCGAGGCAAGCGCGTCCCTGGTCCCAGGACTTCGGGGTTTATTTCCGCCGGCAAAATGGAAATAGGGGCTAACTCGAACAGTGGTCAGTGTCGCGAAACAAGGGAAACTGATTGTGAAGGGTCCTCACATGAACTCTGTCGTAAGTCACCCACTACTGGCAAGGAGTCACAGAGACCAAGTTTTGGAAGCTCTCCCATGTCACACACATAAGGCGGATCTTGAGCAATTATATGTCGCGCATTCAATACAACTACAAATACAATGTCCGATTTTCTACATTGCATGCTACTAGTGGTACACGGTTATGATAATGTTTGCGGGGTGAATTAGATGAGACGGGTCTGTAAAGACAAGTTAGAACAGGTGTGCGCGAGGAGCCATGAGCAGGACGTACCGTAGCGCTGATGGGGACGTCCTTATCGCTACGTCCAGGGCCACGGAGCATGCCGTCAGAACGTGGGGGAGACGTAGAAGCACCGACAGAAGTACGAGCAATAGCAGACAGGTCAATATCTACAGAGAAAGCGTCAGCGACTATGACCGTCTCAGTCGACAGTGGAGACATACTCTTCTTGTTCAACATGTTCTTCCTTGCCTTGCGCGCTTCTTCGAGCTCCTCCTCGTGGCTCCTCGACCTGGAAAGGCCGGGCTTGGATGGTCCGCTACTGGTCGTGTCCGCGGGAGAGCCAGCTGGAGCAATGCATCAGCGAGCAATTCTCAATATCCAGACTAGACCAACGCGTACCTCTGAACTGCTGGTCAGCGATGATGTCTTGTTCCAAAGGTCGACCGACGAGTTCTCCGTCGTCGACAATGCCCTCGTCATGAAGAGCCTCGGTGTGGAGTTCGCGTTCGTCCATGATGTTACCCCAGTTGTAGCTTCCTGCGCCACCTTTGCGAAGGTTGGGGTCCAAGCCTGAGCGGTTCTCGTGCCTATCCTTCTGGACGGCTCTGGGGAATTGGGAGCGTGCGGTTCTAGCCATTGTGTTGTGTGTTGTGAACGATGAGATGGATGTTGTGATGGAGAGACAGGGTTCGAAGGGCCAACCTATATATACCCTTAGACCCTGTGATGAGACCAAAGGGGTCACTCGCACCACATAATGGACTCGCGTGATACAGCCTATTCTAGATCATTCCACGTCCTGTCTCGCCCAGAATCCCGACTCCGCCCTTTCTTCTTCTCGTAAATTACCTTCTTCTCTTTCGCCATATCGTTATAACAATGTCATTGTAGGTTGGTCGTTATGGCTCAGTCCTTAATGAAGTCTTTGCAGTCCGCCACAAGGTTCGCGCCTGATTGCAGCCTGGCCAAGTGCGGGGTAATATCCCAGAAAAGAAACGGTGGCGTCACAGAATCTCTGATCGAGATCATTTCTAGGCCCTTTTAGGGAACACCCCGGGACAGGGGCTCTGCAGGGCTTTGCCTTACCTGACCACGAGGTTTTCTCGACGAGAAACGGGTTTAAATAAGGCCCCGGATACACCTTTAAAGTTAGAGCCACATGTGTAACACGTCGAGGAGACCGAAGTACACCTTAAAGTAAGAAACTACAGGTCACCAAGGCTTCACGAAAGCTCGCCAAGAGGCATCTCCACTCGAGTGGTGCAACGAGGACAGGCGACTGACTTCGATGGCACACTCTGAGGAAGGATATTCGTTTATTCGATAACGATTGAGCACCAGGCTGACGAAGGTTAAATGGTTACACCAGATAGGCAAGGAAAATAGAGATCGTTCGTCAACGTTCCCCAATTCCAGGCTTTCGCCACTTGGTATATCCGACGAGCGTCATTCTACGCCTTTCTACACTCCCAGATGCAAATGCTGACACCACCCCATGACTCGATCCGCCACCCTATCCACAAAGGCATCATAATCCAAATTAGACGATGCCTTGAACAAACCTGTATGCGCCTCCACCTCATCATCCACACCAGCGATCAACACCTTCTCCCAACGCTCCATCCCACCAAAGTCAAAGTCTAACGTCGAACTCGTAGGCAAAACGACAAAATGATGGCCTGACGACATGGATTTCTCCTTCTGCTTCTGCTTCTGGATATCCTCTGGCTTCGGAGCCTTGTGCAACTTGTTCCTCTTGCGACTTTCTTCCTTGGGTGGAAGCATGCCTGCTGCTTCCAGTGCCTTGTCGTTGGCTTCGTCGTGGCCATGTTCACTATCGCCGTCCTTGGGTACAGTCAATGTCCAGTAGTTGACCCACAGCCCCCCTTCCCAGTCGACGAGCCTCAAGTACCGAGATTTCAATCCCGAAGGATCGAACATACATCCTCCAAATTGGAACTTTTCCAGAATCCAGCGTTTAGTGGCGCGGAGAGGGTCGTCAGAGTGTTTGCGGAACCATCGGATGAGGGGATCATCTGGGTCCGTGTAGGAGGCCACAAAATCAAGTGCGCGATCGAAGAACGGGGACGGTGAGCGGCGGGAATTTGATTGGGATGAAGAAGTCCCGGAAATGGATGACGCGGTATCTTGTGGGGGCGAAGACGGGGAAGGTGAAGGTCCCCGGGGAGGGATATCCAGGTACGACTGGGGATCCAGAGACGGTTGCCACGACCGCGGCCTCGACTTGCCTAATTCCAAACCATTTCAGAACACGTCAACTCCTCGAAATCATCACTCAGCACTCACGGTGTATCTTCTCCTTGAACGCTTCCCAATCATCCGTGACTTTGGGCTCCACAACGTGCACTTCAGGATGCTGGTTGAGTTCTTTCTCTGATTTAGCTGGCTTCTTTCGTTCCTTTTCTTTCTCGTCGCTCTTTGGAAGGAGGGAAGCTATGCCGCTGATGACAACGTGTGGATGCATTCCGAGGAAGGGGGTATCGAAGGCGATGACCCCGATGACCCTCTTAGGCTGGCCACTGGGGTTGAGAGAGGGGTCGAGGGCGGCTTCAGCTGCTAGGAGGCCACCCATAGAATGACCCAGCAAGATTACAGGTCCCTCCGGTTGGGTAGCAAGCCTTTTGGATGTTCAGCGGACAAGAACCAAGGCAAAGACGATGGCATACCATTCGAGAAAGTTTCTGGTCGCATGCGAGAGGGGTTTTGCGCTCTTGTACGTCGGGTATAAACTGCTCTGCACTCGAAGATTCGGATTCCCTTCAAGCCTGGCCGAGAGCTTCTCTTGAAGATGTAAAGGAAAGGCCTGGGCGATTTTCAATTACGAGAACGATTTGCAGAGGCATTCGCTACGATCACACCTGAAAACTGGTATCATTTCCTATTCAATGGTATCAGTAGACGCTCGACTGCGATAAGACCCACTACATACCTTGAAACCCATGGATATAAACCAAGTGCAGAAGAATAGGCATTATTCAAAGGTATGGCTCCACCTTGGTTCTTCTCAGCAGACCAAAGATGAGCAAAGGCTATCCAAGGTCTCGAGGCATCGCCCAGCTCCGCAGCTGTTCTGGGCAGTTTGTACACACATGCGTGAGCCCCGGTAAGCTTTGCGCGATTGAATCAAGTCCTTCACATCGCCGTAAAGCAAAACGAGAAATTGTGGAATAACAGACTGGTGATGTGACGTCGAGGGACGAAGAGGAGAACGGGTGAGAAACGTTTACGCGATACCGTCTATTCGGGTCCACCGGTGCTTGTCATCGACCACCACAGCGAGCTCGACCTGGAACACGTCGAGTTAGCAGCATGTCTTCGATCAATTTGCAGTCTCATCGTGCTCAGCTCATCGCAACGGCTGTAGCGGCGTCTGTGACGACCGCAGGACTTTTTTACTCGTACAGCACCCTCACGAAGCGCCGGCGACGAAAAGAGCTCGACCTTGAAATCCGGAAAGCGCTGTCGCAGCATGACCGGGAGCATCCTCGTCCTGGACCTGAACCACCTTCACCGGGAGATATTTACATCAAAGCTTTAGAAGAAGAGGCGGCCAAGTCTATTAGGCTGCAGCAAGACGAGTACGACGAAGAGCTTATTAGAGAGCAGCTCGCCAGAAATTATGCGTTCTTTGGGGATGAGGGGATGAAAAAGGTGCGGGGAGGAAGTGTCGTCGTCGTAGGGTGCGGTGGTGTCGGGAGCTGGGCAGCTGTTATGCTCGTTAGATCGTGAGTATTCCTTGAACGTCTGTAATTCATCGTCTAATGGTTTTTGAAGAGGTGTATCCAAAATCCGACTTGTAGACTTTGACTATGTGACACTTTCGTCCTTGAATCGGCACGCAACCGCGAATCTCGCAGACGTTGGAACACCAAAAGTAAAATGCGTGGAGAGGACCTTGAAGGAGATTGCCAAGTGGGTGGAGGTCGACGCTTGCATAGACATCTGGAGGAAGGAAGAGGGAGGAGAGTTGCTCGACGGGTACGACTGGGTTGTAGGTACGTCTCTGTTCTTTCACCTCTCAATTCAGTTCCCTAATCCCGAGCAGATGCCATTGACAACATCCAGACAAAAGTCGACCTGCTGAAATACTGTCACGACAACAAACTCAAGGTAAAAGTCTCTTCGACGATCGGGTGGTCATCCGACTAACCGTCCATATCGAAGGTCTTTTCTTCAATGGGTGCCGGAGCCAAATGCGACCCTACCCGGATACAAATTAGCGACATTTCCTACACCGTCTACGACCCTCTGGCACGCTCTGTCCGACGCCGACTGCGCCTGCAAGGAGTCACCTCCGGAATCCCTGTGGTTTACTCCACCGAGGTTCCCGGCGATGTCAAGCTCCTCCCTCTTCCCGAAGAAGAGTTCCAAAAAGGACCCGTGAAGGAACTGGGAGTCTTTGATGACTTCCGAGTCCGCATCCTACCTGTTCTCGGTGCGTGACACGTCTTTCCTGCTTTCTACCTGATCTGACATTTCCGTAGGCCCTCTTCCCGCAATCTTTGGCCTCAACATCGCCTCCTACATCGTCTGTGAACTCTCTGGAAAGCCCATCTCAAACCCTCTACCCATCAAAAATCGAAAGAAGCTCTACGAGCGGATCTACCGAGACCTGTTGCATAGGGAAGGCCAACTGGCTGGTCAACAACTCAAGTACGCTTCTGGTCACCTGGAATCAAAGATTAATTTCTGACTCTTTGTTCCAGTCGACTGCCGATAGACGAAGACGATGTTGGTTTCATCTTCGAGGACTTGCATCGAGGCAGGTCCGTGATTCCACCACACGATGTGCCAACACGACCAACACTGGTCCGATGGGACTATTCAAAACCACTCACAACCGACAACGCGGTCGTCTTTGAGCACAAAGACGCCGAGAAGCACCATAGCAGTTGTTCAGGGAAGGACGGAGTCTCGCCGGCCAGCTTGTGGGGCACTGAGGTCGAAGAGATTGTCAACAGACGGTTTGAGGAGGCAAGAAAGGTTAGGCAATCGGTGATGTAAACCCTTCCTACCCTGCAACCACACACTTCCACAGATCTTCACCTGATATATGGCGTATCTATCACGAATTCATCGTTTTCGAAACGCGCATCATGGAGCTCCCAACATACATCTGAAAAAGTCGGCGATTATCCTCTTCCTTTCGCTGATGCGCGTACGATTACTGGACAGTGAGCATTCCTTCGGCTGCTTACCCAGATTTCGTTTCAGCACGTCATTTTGATGGGTGCTGGACCGACGAGCCGTCTATAAATAGTAGGCGCCGAGAAGTTATTTAATACCGTTCACAGTTTCACTCCAAGCCCCTACCTCCACAGCCCACCTCGCTCTGACCAACACCGTTTAGTATGGCTGCAGCTTCTCAACCCGTTGGCCGACAACCCTACGCACCGACCGGGATCGAAGACTGGGCCCGTTCTGATGCTTACCACAACTCGTTCTTGATAGGGGAGGACCCAGTTCTTGACGCCGTCGTGAAGAACAACAAGGCACAAGGCCTTCCTGACATTGCCGTTTCGACTGCACAGGGCAAATTGCTGAACTTGTTAGCCAAGTCGATAGGTGCAAAGAGGATTTTGGAGGTTGGCACTCTCGGAGGGTGAGTAGTACCGTACTCCACGTGCGTCAACAGTGAACTCATCAAGTTGTGATGCAGTTATTCGACGATCTGGCTTGCACGAGGCATCCCTCGCGATGGCAGGGTGGTAACATTGGAACTGTCAGAAAAGCATGCTCAAGTAGCACGGGAGAACATCACCAACGCGGGGTTCGCATCACAGGTTGAGGTGGTCGTCGGACCAGCAGCCGAAACACTGAAATCTCTTCAACCTGACCCACCATTCGACCTTGCCTTCATCGACGCAGACAAACCTGGGAACCTCACCTATTTTACAGAAGCGAAACGGCTTGTGAGGAGCGGAGGAGTCATTGTAAGTCTACCGTTATGAAGAAACTTATGCCGTGGTACATATTTTAACGACGGCGGTCTAGATTGTCGACAATGTAGTTCGCAATGGCCGTGTCGCTGACCCATCCCTCTCGGATGACAATATTGAAGGCGCCAGGAAGCTGCTAAACGGTATCAAAGGAGACAGCGAGGTCGACGCGACGACAATCGGTACCGTCGGTGAGAAGGGATACGATGGCTTCCTCTATGCTGTCAGGAAGTGATGAATACGAAGACTACGTCCTGAGTGGCCGACTCATCATAATGTCTCTCTGGCAGGGGTATTTATGGATATATCCTTTGAAAGCAACAAGAAGCGTTATGGTTACAGGAAAGCGGCACTAGTGCCGACCTCTAGGGTACTTCCAAGACTACGTTAGTTATGTTTTAATGCCCGCACATACATCTACATGTACCAAGCTCCTGGGGGGGTGTCGGTGGTAGGTCATCGCCTTCAGTCCCGCTGTCTTCCGGGCCACCGGCGGATTTTCCAGGCGGTTCAGTGGGCTCGTTGTCGTTGCTCGTTTGCCTGACTCTCCTCCGGTTCGCTTTCTTTGGTAACGTCAAGAAGGTTCTTCAAGTTGTTCACCGACAAGTTATCCTGGCTGATCGAGTCAGGGGAGTCTCGCGCAGGTTGAGCACTAGTCTGAGGGACTCCGACATGAGGGGAGGTCGTCATGCTTTCGTGCAGGGCCGGGAGCCAATCATGTATAATAACCTGATTTGATTAAGTCGCGAGAAAGGGGAACCTGGAGGGAGAAAAGTCGACTTGAGTAAGTCCTTTCAAAAATAGCGATCAACTTACCTTATATGGATTGTTAACGTTCAAGGCTGTACGAGAACCTCGAGTACGGCTCTGTGATGGAAGACGAGGCGTGGGGCAGGTAAGGATGGGGAGTGTTTTACGCGGAGAATGGCTACGATCCTCGTCCTTATATCGACAAACCACTCGCTGTGTGTACAAGCCAAGCTCCAGTTGACTCTCAATTGTCAAGGACCCACAACTTCCCTTCCGACTGTATTATGCAGGAAACAAGGCAGATAAATAATAAATGAGCACAATAAGCACTCGAACTCATTTGGATGACTCCCCTTTTATGTCTACAAAGCTTCTGCCCGTACTCAGATTCCCTCGCATAATACAAGAGCTGTGGGCACTTAATTTGCTACCATTGACAATTTCGACACCAGGACGACAGGTTGCACCTGACAACTGGATTTTCGGCTTAATCTTACGGAGAAAAGGTCAGAAGTGGATGTGTCCAGCAAATAAAGTGCGGATGGCAGTAGGGGCACTTGATCGCTAAAGCGCTAAACGGCGACCAGGGTAGGACTCCGAAGTTGTTATGGACTGCTAGCAAGAAAATACGACATCTGCATAGTTATCCCCTTCGACGATTGGGAAGAGCATCGAAACAGGCATCCGGAACATAAAGTGTAGAACTGGCCCAGGAAGTATTATACAATTTCAGTCGAAAGGATAAAGACCTACGCAAACTTTGAACCCTCCCAAAACTGAGCCTCCCTCGTCTTCTCCATGAACACCCTCAAAACAGCCATACACTCCTCCATCTTCCTTACCATCCCCAGCTTGCTATACACCGACATCATAACCTGCCAAAGCTCATAGTACCCCGCCTCAAACGTATCCAGCCCCTCATCCTCCATCCTCTTCTTCATCTCCAAAAGCGGCTTTAAAACGTCCACGGTAAGCTTCCGATCCTTCATCCACACGTTATCACATTGCTTCTTCCAGTTCTGGGACATCTTGAAGCATACCCGACGGAGCTGGTCTGTTTGCGGTGTGGCGTTGACACAGACGCGGCAGACGCATTGGATGCCGTAGGGCGCGAGGAACTCGTCGCGTTCGGCTTTGGACATGAAGTAGGAGGTGTAGGATGCGAAGATTTGAGATCCGGCTTTGATGTCCCTCAATGCGGTATATTGCAACGCGAAGGCTTTGGGGTGGAACTCTGCCTGGACGTCTGGTGTGCAGCTGGAAGATCCCCGGTCAGCTTCTACGCGCTGCCGATCGAGTAACAGATACCGACCTGTGATTGAACCTACTCCCAATGCGAGGAATAGCACCATAGCCCATGCCAAAATCACCATCCGCGTCGTCATCGTCAAACTTGACACCAAGTGCATTGGTTCTGATTATTCCGAAGACAGGACCACTCCCATCCTTCTTGTGGGAGTTGGGCAACGACATGAACGCCTCTTTATCTTCCTTCGTCATACGAGTGTTGACGAGAGTCTCGAACTGCATTTTTACCTGCTCCAGCATCACTTGGGCGGCACGGTACTTGTCAAGCTTGGTAACTTCCTCCGAGAGGGAGTTGGAGAAGAGGACGAGAGGTTGGTTGGGGTAGACCATATAAGGACGCTCGACAAGGACGGTTTCGAAGCGTTTGATGTTTCGGGTGGCAAAGACACCCATTCCCATCCCTTTGACGCGTTTAACCTCGATCTTGCTTCTGAATTGAGGCAGGCGTTTAGGGAAGCCAGGAATTGAGAAGTACTGTCGCTTGCGAATGGGGTTCGTCATCCAGATAACATACCCGTCGGGATCGGGGTTGCTCAAGTCGACTCTGCGTTCAGGAACGAGGGTGACGATCAGGTCTTCGACGGTTGCGTTGGGATTCTTTTCAGGATTGGCAGTAGGGACAAAAAGGACTGGGGAGAGGTACTCGTTCAATTCCTTCGGGACTAGTAGGCAGTCAATGTGGGATACCACTCGAGCAAGGAATTGTCGGCTTACGCGTCTCAGGGGTGACCTTTCCATATGGGAGACGAACTGACGCAGTGTGGATGAGAAAACAAAAGTACAATAATTGAGTTGAGAGAGAGAAACTCACAGGCAACTTCGACGCCCTTCCCTGCGAGCGATGCTTCATTAGGTGTGGATGTCGCAGAATAAACAGGCTAGCTGACCTTTCCTATCCGAAGGCTTCTCATAGTCCAGATTCGGGAGTGAAGCTCCGAGTCCAGAAAGGCCCCAGGTTTTCTGCTCCTCGGTGGTTTGGTAACCAGTGACAGCCGCCACCATGTCGTACATCCGCTTCAGCAGATCTCCCGCTGGTGGGGCCTCCGACCCACCACGGCTCGACGAACCTGCTGCTGCATTACCACCATGATCGTCCAGTGCACCAGATGCGTCGACAGCGTTCTTCCACCCTTGAAGCATCTGCCTCGCTGTGTCATGGGCATTGGTGGCGTTGAGTTGTTTCGCGTGCTCGGGGATGGCGCTGGTGACTAGGGCGAGGCTCGCCTGCTGGAGCGCCTCTTGTCGACTCAAGGAAGGGTTTTCATTGAGATAGTCGTCGGCGAGTTGTTCCAGAGCTTCGGTCAGTGACATGCTAGTCCCCTTGGGCTGAGGCTTTGGGAGTGTCCCGCTACCACCTGGAGAGGACTGCGGGTCCGCAGAACGACGCTGTGTAGACTTTGGCTTTGGGCGATCTGCCATCGAAGTCAAGGGTACTATGGTGTTATGAGGATTGTTGGGAAGGCTTGCGCTGAACTTTAATAGAAATACGAGTGGCGGACAAGCATGACCCTGGGTCCGATCAATACAAGATTCGATTCAAGTGGCCTCCTTGAGCGACTATTGTTCTAGAGAAGCTGGAGAGGCATCCTGCCATCAAGGTTAATGGGATATTGCCGGCATGTAATTGAAACTCCGAGAAAAGCGTAAATCGACCAGGGTTCCTGTTCAGTTTATGCCAACCAGAGTTTCGGGGACCGGTGAAAAGCGAGTGCGCGGCTTAGATTCTGAACGGGGCGATCTTCCACGCCACACGATGTCCCCCTTCCCTCGCGACGTCGTCTCGTGCGTTGGTCTAAGGGGATGGTGCCTAGTATTCTCCTGGTGTTGCGCGGTCCTAGATCGCCCAGGCCTAGACGTCATCAACCGCTGGGGAGACGGCTTTGTCTGTAGTGAAGAAAAGGGAAAGGTCAGATATCGCAGAACTGCAAACTAACTTTATACAGGGAATCTGGTCGGTTTAGCTGTAGCTGGGGAACCTGAGGAGGAGCGCGACACAAACCTCCGACTCGGGAAAGACCAAAGAAAATACATTCCTCTACTTGTTCAAAAACCTAGAATACAAGGGTGTGGTACTTTCCAGCCAAGATCTCCAACACTCCCATAGGAAAGGTATCCCTACAGAACCTACACAGACTTCGTACCCACCCAGTGGGTCGCCCACCCACTGAAAACCTCCGAAACGGGATCCAAAACAGCCGCACACTCTTCCGCCTTGCGTACCATCCCCAACTTGGTATAAACCGACTCCATGGCCTTCCAAAGACAATGGTACCCCGTTTCAAACGTATCCAACCCCTCCTCCTCCATCCTCCTCTTCATCTCCAAGAGTGGCTTCAACACGTCCACACTAAGCTTTCGATCCTTCATCCACACATTGTCGCACTGCGCCAGCCAGTTCTCGCACATCCTTTGGCATACCCGACGAAGTTGGTCCGTTTGCGGTGTAGCGTTGACACAAACGCGGCAGGCGCACATGATTCCATAGGGTGCGAGGAACTCGTCGCGTCCGGACTTGGACAACTGGTGGCCATTGTAGGCTGTGAAAATCTCAGATCCGGCTTTGATGTCCCTCACCGCCGTATATTGGAATGCGAAGGCTTTGGGGAGGAACTCTGCATGGACGTCTGGCGTGCAGCTGAAAGATCCCCGGTAAATTTCTGCTACGAACTGGGACAGATAGAATAACGGAACCAACCTGTGGTTGAACCTACTCCCAATGCGAGGAATAGCAGCATACCCCGATAACGACCCCAATGCAGCCAACGACATCAGCATCATCTTCACCATCGTTCCAGAGCGCGAAATCAACTTTACCAACCTCGATCCCGACGGGCATGTCATCTGGATGACGAGCCCTATCCGCAAGGGACGGTACTTCTCTGTTCCAGGCTTCGCTAAACCTCTTCCCCGGCTCAAAGGGAAGAAATCGAAGTTCGAGGTAAGGCGCGCCAAAGGGATGGAGATGGGTGTGTTTGCCACCCGAGACATTAAGCGGTTCGAAACCTTCCTCTTCGAGCGCCCTTATATGGTCTACCCCTGCCAACCACTCGGATTCCTTGCCGGCTCGCTCTCGGAGGAAGTCGAAAATCTTGACATCGACCAGCAGCGCCAGGTGATGTTCGCGCAGGCTGAGATCGGCTCAAGGCCATTGTTGACTCTAGGATATCGAAGGAATTATGTCATTGGCCAATTCCCACAAGGAGGATGGGAGTGGACCCATTCTCGGGATCATAAGGACCAACTCGTTGGGTATCATGTTTAGAGACAGTGAGGCCGACAATGAGTTTGGGACGAGAGATACTCGCTCAGGTCCTTGGGAACTGAAGCCCGGAGAACTGGGTCAGTTCGCGGCGATACCTGAGCATGGAGATAGCTCACGCGGCTTAGGTGTGACCTTTCCGTATGGAACGCCTAGTGGGGGATGAGAAAGCAAATTCAAGGTAATTGGGTCAAGAGAGACTGACGCCCAATATCGATGCCTTCCCCGCGAGACGATGTTTCGTGAATTTAGTTCCAAACGTAAGTAACAGACTGAACAGAGTTGAGCTGACCTTTCTTATCGGATGACTTCTCCTCACGGCCCACACTCGCAGGTGGAAGCGAACTACCCATTTCGGAGAGGTCCCAGGGTTTCGTCGCCCCGGCCGCCTGGAGACCAGTGGCAGCCAAACACACATCGTGCACACGCTCAAGCAAACTCTTCCCGAATATCGTCGGTCCGCCGCGACTAGTATTGCCACCACTCGATGAATCCGCTGTATTGCCAGTCCCACCATTCTCATGCTGCGCTGCACGACTAACGACGGTGCCAACCATCCCCAATGCGGAAGAAATAGCCTGCTGGAGTGCTTCTCTCGACTCAATGAAGGGTTGTTATCGAGAGCTCGTTGGGAAAGTAGGTCCAGGGCAGCAGCGAGCGCCGCGCCTGGACGGACCGTTGGAAGGGAGGTACTTGAACTACTACCACCAGGGGAGGACTGGTCAGACCTTTCCTTTGGGCGCTCCTGCCATCGGTGTGAGTTCAAGGGATGGGGATTACAGAAAGAACGGATGCAGGGAGAACCAGAATCTTGTTGGGGGGTTGGCAGATATACGAGTGGCGCCAGTATGACCATGGGTTCTACCGAAGAGATTGCATCTGTTTTTGTTCTAGCGAACTCGAAGCCAGAGAGAGATTAGATGAGCTCAGAAGTGGCGTCCATGAGAGAGTCCAAGTGGTCAAATGACAGATGCAGAAGCTCGCAGAGGTGACTCGAAAGAATAGAAAGTTAGCATGACACAGGGAGACATCTGCGACTAAACTTGGAAGAGCCTTTCCCACACTTACCCCTATCGACCACCCAAACCTAAGCTCCACAGGATGAATTGACCATGGTCCGCGGTTGGCGGTACAAAGTATGGGGATCCTCCAAAATGCTTGATTATAAATACTACAACGGTACAGAGGGTTAGCTTTACAAAGCTTGACGACGAACGGGACCCCGTTCATCCGTCTACATCAATGACAGTCCCCAGGCTGCCGAGCGTCCCGACCACATCCTCCAAGAGCCAAGTCCCCACGCACAGGGCGGCTCCCGCCAACAGACAGTGCAAATGGTTACAAGTACACAATACATACAAGAAATCTTGATCTTCTTTATAGATAGTTCGCGCATCTACGACACGGCTTGACGCGGAAGTTTAGAGGGGCGGAGAGAGGGAGGGTCGGGAGGAGGTATGAGGGTAGAAGTCTATTGCTGGCGGGCGGCCAACTTCTTCTGCAGCTTAGCCTGTAAGATGAAGCGGGTTAGCGAACCATTCGCAAAGGAAACGGAGAAGGGACAACGCACGTTAACAGCATCCATGTAGTCGTTGGTGACAACCCAGTGCTCCCTCTTCATGTTCTTTCCGTGGATAGCAAGAGCCAGATCCTTGGTCATGATGCCATCCTGGTCAATGACCTCCACGCACGCCGCCTCAAGGTCCTCGCAGAAGGCCTTGAGCTCAGCATTGTTGTCGAGCTTGGCCCTGTGTAGCAGACCCCTCGTCCAGGCGAAGATAGAGGCGACGGGGTTTGTTGAGGTCTCGTTGCCCTTTTGGTATTCACGGTAGTGACGGGTGACGGTTCCGTGAGCGGCTTCACTCTCGATGATCTTGCCGTCGGGGGTGAGGAGCTCGGAGGTCATCATGCCCAGGGAGCCGAAGCCTTGGGCGAGGATGTCGGATTGGACGTCACCGTCGTAGTTTTTGCAGGCCCAGACGAAGCCGCCGGAGGACTTGACTGCTTGGGCGACCATGTCGTCAATGAGTCGGTGCTCGTAGTAGATGCCGAGAGCCTCGAATTCGGCCTTGTAGGTGCTAATGAAGAACTTAGTACAGAGTCGAAGGTGAAGGGAAAACGCGTCACGTACGTATCATAGATTTCTTGGAAGATATCCTTGAAGCGGCCATCATATCGCTTGAGGATAGTATTCTTGGTTGACATGAAGAGAGGCATCTTCTTGGCAATGGCCATCTTGAAGGACGAATGGGCGAATCCGATGATAGACTACGAAATAGCCTGGTCACCTTTGGAATCTTGAAGGGAACGGGGGAGAAAACATACCTCATCAGTGTTGTACATGCTCATGGCAACACCAGGGCCCTTGAAGTCATAGACGGGGAGTTCAACGGGGGCAGATCCATCTGCGGGACTGTAGACGAGCTTGAGGCTTCCAGCGCCTGGAACGACATAGTCCGTGGATCGGTACTAAGTTCACAAAAGAATTGGTGTTAGCCATGTCGAATGGAAGATATATGGGGTAAGAATGCACACCTGATCACCGAAAGCATGTCGTCCAATGACGATGGGCTTGACCCATCCGGGAATTGGCTTGGGGATGCGTTCGAGGATGATAGGCTCCCGGAATACAGTTCCTCCAAGGATGTTTCGAATCTGGGGTGGGTGTGTAAGCAGCGGGGAATGGGCGAGGCGGTGAGGGAACGCACTGTGCCGTTGGGGCTCTTCCACATCTCCTTCAACTTGAACTCTTCGACGCGGGCCTCATCGGGAGTGATGGTAGCGCACTTGATACCGACTTGGTGCTTGAGAATAGCGTTGGCGGCATCGATGGTGACTTGGTCGTTGGTCTGCAAAAGTGTGAGGAATGCGAAGACAAAGGGATACCGCTGGTCGCGCACCTGGTCCCGGTATTCCAAACCCAAGTCAAAGTACTTGATGTCGAGTTGGAGGTAGGGAAGAATAAGCTGTGGAAACGATGGTTAGCACCCTATAAAACCCGATATTGAAAGGACCATACCTCCTCACGAATCTTCTTCCAGATGATCCTGGTCATCTCATCTCCGTCGAGCTCGACGACGGGGTTCTGGACGACGATCTTCTTGAAGGCGGTTGAGGACATTTTGTCTTCTGTGAATTGGCAGGAGTGAGCAAGAATGAGGAAATTGAAGAGGTGGTGATGGGAAGAAGGCAAGAGGCAAGAGACGGAACGGAGGGGCGGATACGGGGTTGAGTGATCACGCAAGGGTAAGAAAAAGAGCCCAGCATGTGGTCATCCGGTTCCAAGCATTGCGGCCCCTTGCTTCTTTGGCCACCGTCATCACGTCCACCTATATAATGACCAACGCGACACTCACGGTTTAGCACAAAGCTGGTTGCAAAGGATCTTGTAGCGTATGCAGGGGTAGCCAACAACGGGACGTGGGCGAGCTGAGAACGAGGCGCAAAACGGAGAGAACGTTGACCGCGGGCACAAGTCGAGAGTGCACGGGTTGTGTTGGTCGCTGTCGAGGAAAAGAGACGCAATCGAGGGCCTGCGATCTGCATTTTGGATCAACCTTGGTTCTTGCCTTATACGCTAATTTTTTCGAGCACTGGGCTGTGGAGAGAATTGGGAAAAATTTGCAAACGACTCAGCCGAAAAGGACTCGGAGGGCCGCTCGAGGCTTGGAGCTGCTTTTCGCTGGGGAACGGCGGGGCCAACAATTTTCCGGCTCGACGATGACGCGACCGCTCTTATAGGAACAACGATATCGGCGCGATGTGCGTGGGACGCAACCAGCTCGGTCGTTGTCGGGTTTCGATTATCGAGGTCGCTGCAACGTTAAACAGCTTTGGTGCTCGTCGTCGACGGTCGTCGTGGTCAATGTGTGTTGGGAAGAGAAAGAACCCTGTTGCTGTGCTCGATCCCACAATCTGGTGACTCCCCCTGTCATTTGACTGAATACATACTACTTATTATTATTTCTTCCCATTACACGTCACGATAGCGCGTCAAATGACCGAATCTATACCGCACGCCAGAGGAGATAACGTCCACCCCGGAGCTATTCCGTTGTAGAGTTGGCCACAATCGTCTACTAAAGACACTCTAGCCAGGCTATAGAACCAATTCGTCAAGAAGATGTCGTACATGCCGTCCTTCCAACGTGGGCTTCGCGATGGTCATGAGAGAAGCAACATGGTTCATCCTATTCCCTCCACCATCATGCCGCTGGGACAAAACCGCCCCTGTCGTCACACTTGGTCTTGTCTTCAACCCTTGGCTCTTGCCCAATTCAATATCAAGGTGAACAAGGCTACGTATGAGTGGCTACAACTGGCGCTCAGGACTACTGGAAGGGGCTTTGACCCGGGAGAACCCAGGGTGAACGAATTTACCTGACGCCTGTCGGTCAGAAGACAAACATGTCGAGGCCTTGCCGCAGCATCACCTTCTTTGGTCTTCTCAACGACAGCAACCAGGCTCTCGGACTCTCGACGTTCCTTTAAGCGCCGGCCGTAGGATTCTGGTGCAGCGCGCAACATTTTCGAATGGTTCTGGGATCCAAAGCTAAACCGGTCATAGGCAGCGCCTTCACAGACTAGACACAGATTCCCTGACATTTACCGGCGGTTATCGTTGGGACTTCTTGGGCGGGCTGGGTGGACAAACCTCAAGGCTATCTTTGAATCACATCAACTGTAGTTGAATGTCCCTGGTGGCCCCTCCAGATAACCTCCCCTTTCTCCGTAGAACCGACGGTAACGACTATCCAAACAATGACATCCCTCCCTAGGCTATCGTCGTCGAATCATCTCCTTCCTGGAACCCTCGCCGTCAACTTCGATGCGTCATTGAATGCGAAGCAGAGCGTTCTTGCTACGACTCAGCACCTCTACCTCGACGTCAGCACATTTCCGAACGACTGAGCGACAGGAATTCAACGGAAAGCTCTGACGCAGTCGCTATATTCGCTAGTACACACACTGTCCTACTTCTTGGAAACTACCGGAAGGAGGGTCAAGCAGTTACCGACCCTCCGGCACACCGGAATGCCCGTACTCAACTTCTCGCTACGTACGCCATCTATTGCTGGCATTAGCAAACCCCTAGCCTCCCATACTACCTGTTTAACACCCCATATCCTCAATCGGTGGATGTGAGACAGTCTGAACAGCAGCGCGTACTTCTCTTCCCGCTCTTGAACTCACCAATTTCACTCGTCCAAGTTCGAAACCGAGAGCGTTTGGGGCAGACTTGCGAAACAGATATGATGTACCCGGGATTATGGCATGAGCATCAGGACGCTGTAAAAACTGTAAGTACGAGTCGATTTCCGGGAGTCCGTCTCATCTCATCCCCCTGTCGACACAGCATTCGTCCAGATGATCCTCGAGAGGGTGCTTGAGTCGAATGTCGCTATTGCTTCAGCGCTAGGTGGCAGCCTAGTCAGCACCAATGTATAGTAGAACACTATACGATTGCCATGCATATATGCCGTGGAACACGCAGTGGAGCAAGGAGCTTGAAACTATACATACAGTGGACCACATTGCATCTACTCTGGCAGTGCAGGGGCATAGATGTTGGTCCGACTAGTATGATACTAATGGTATTGTACGTACATGCCCATCATGTATATACCAACTTGGCGGCAGCACCAGATGCTTACTTCTGGGACGGGATATCCACGTGGAGAGCTATGTACAGATAGACGGTCTGGACCGGGATTTTCCAGTTCACAGTGGGGAACCCGCATGTGAGATGTCCATGGCACCGTGAATGCCTATGAACCTGAGCGTCAGCCTCAAGTCCAACCCCTCAAATATGGTGGGATCCCCTCGCCTATGTACTGAATGAAGGCCCGTGGACGACAGCGCACCGGAGGGTAAGCCAGATGCTGACACTCACAGCACGCAGTGACCTACCCACCTTTGAGATGGCCGTGGCGCCGTGGACGCCTATGCACCTGAGCGTCAGCCTCAAGTCCAACCCCTCAAATATGGTGGGATCCCCTCGCCTATGTACTGAATGAAGGCCCGTGGACGACAGCGCACCGGAGGGTAAGCCAGATGCTGACACTCACAGCACGCAGTGACCTACCCACCTTTGAGATGGCCGTGGCGCCGTGGACGCCTATGCACCTGAGCGTCAGCCTCAAGTCCAACCCCTCGAATATGGTGGGAACCCCTCACCTATGTGCTGAATGAACGCCCGTGGACGACAGCGCACCGGAAGGTAAGCCAGATGCTGACACTCACAGCACGCAGTGACCTACCCACCTTTGAGATGGCCGTGGCGCCGTGGACGCCTATGCACCTGAGCGTCAGCCTCAAGTCCAACCCCTCGAATATGGTGGGATCCCCTCACCTATGTGCTGAATGAAGGTCCGTGGACGACAGCGCACCGGAGGGTAAGCCAGATGCTGACACTCACAGTACACAGTGAACCACGCACCTTTGAGATGGCCGTGGCGCCGTGGACGCCTGTGCACCTGAGCGTCAAGCCCAGCATCCACTACCCCATCCAAACCTATAGGGAAAGAACATCCCATCTCCCAACCCAGGAATAGACCCGTGGAAGACGGTGCACCGGAAGGTAAGCCACAGCCTCACAATGACAGGACACAGTGACCTACGTACCTTTGAAATGGCCATGGCGCCGTGGACGCCTGTGCACCTGGGCGTCAAGCCCAATATCGAGCACCCCATCCAAACCTATAGGGAAAGAGCATTCCATCTCCCAACCCAGGAATAGACCCGTGGAAGACGGTGCACCGGAAGGTAAGCCACAGCCTCACAATGACAGGACACAGTGACCTACGTACCTTTGAAATGGCCATGGCGCCGTCATTCCATCTCCCAACCCAGGAATAGACCCGTGGAAGACGGTGCACCGGAAGGTAAGCCACAGCCTCACATTCACAGGACACAGTGACCTACGTACCTTTGAAATGGCCATGGCGCCGTGCGCGGCGATGCACCTGAGGGTCAAGCCCAGCATCCACCACTCCGTCCCTGGCACCACTCTGGTTCATGCGACTTGAGCCTGACGCAGTACACAGTGGTACACTCACCTATTCCAAGGGGCTCAGCTCCATGGACGACGCTGTACCGGACGGTGAGTCTCCACTTCAGTCTCTGCAGTACATAGTGGGCAACTCACGCATGGTGGGGATACGTCACCGTGGACCACGATGGACCTGACGGTGTGATGCAACAAGGACCTGTTGCACCCTCTCAGCGGGGTTGAGCAACAAAACCAATCCACATTGGACAGTGGAGTACGCACCTGTGGGACGGAAACGACAAAGTGCCACTTACCAGAGGGACGTGCTCAACATCAGTCTAGCAGGACACAGTGGTGCACGCAGGTGTAAAAAGAAGATGGTGGCGTGGAGAACGATGTACCTGAGCGCTATCCATGCCGTGAACGATGTGGCTGTGAATGATGGGCGCAAGCCTTTCTTGGCATCCACCCAAGCCATTCCACTCATTGCTCCTGCCCCATAGCCCACAATCTCGAAAAACAACTACTCTGTGTTGACCCAAGTGTCACTCAAAGAAATCGTTGCCAGGATGCACGTGTATTGGAACCTCAATACGCATATACAACTAACTGGTCGTCTTGGCACAGGTCCACTCCGTCTTGGCACGGGTCCACTCCTTAAGCGCCCGTCGAGCGCCAAGTCCTCAGGGAGTGCCCAAAGACGAAATGCAGTCAGGTATGGGCCATTGTTATTCACTTAACCTGTAAGTACTTACTGTGCCCATGTCTCTGTTCTACGAAACGATGACTTACTCGACTACCTTAATTCCACGCCGGTCGCGGACCAAAGGGTTGTGACCCCTCCACCATAGCAATTATTTAAGGCGTAGTAGTCTAGTGGAGACAAACACTGATTTCTGTCAGAGCGGCGGGGGTTCGAATCCCTCTTCTGCGCAAACTACTCAAGAACCTTGGTGTACGAACACCCGTTCGTACACCAAGGTGCCTTGCGTAGTTCTTTGTTTTTTCTTTTTTTCTTACTTTATCCCCAGCGTCTGCGTGCCGCCATGTCTTATATTGCCTCAGCTCTGGCCACGCCCTCTCAAGTCCAGCACTGGTATTACCAGCGCCTCTACCTTAATTTAGCCATTGCTACGAACATTCATGGCATTCATGGGGTCGACGGAATTTGCGCATTCAAGTTAGTCTCCTACAGTCCTATCTACTCCACCACATTCTATGTACTGCCAGTAGTCCTAAGTCTCTCCGAAGGCCTCGACTGTCTTCCTGAACGACGAAGATGTTCCCCCACTCCCCGAGCTTGCCGACGTTCTGCCAAGGCATTCTCAAGTTGTAAACGAACTTGTGTCAACTCGGCGTGGCACTCCGCTAGGGAGTCGCGCACATCGGCGAGATCTGTTGAAGAAATTAGCAATCAAGCGAGTCAATCCCCGGGAGTGGTAACCTCACCGTCCTCAAGTTGCTCTATCTTCTCCTGGCGTCTGCCCAACTCAGCCTGAGCGAGCCTAATCTCCGTCCTGGTCGAAGAGAGGCGTGCTTCCCATTGTACTGGGGTGGGTACATTGGGTACATGCTTATCCAGAAGGTCATTAGTATGAAATGAAGGGTATTCCGCAGTTTGGCCATATCCCAAGGTCTCGAGCTGCCCCAAGCACCTGTTCACGTTGAATTGGGAATTCGGTATTAGAGGTCGGGAAGCACAGCACTCTTGCATATCCTTGAAGTCATAAGGTAGTAAAATGAGAATAGCAAGTGAAGTATAGCAAGTTTAATGCACTCTGCATCGACAAGCGCTCGCACTCGCTGCCACATCACCGTCCCGGAGATTCCGTTACAGGGATGGGAAAACACATCAAGGCCACCTCAAGGGACCTTGAGAACGCCACCATCACAAATACGGGACCTCAAGGTAACTCCACCTTGAGGGACCTCCACCTCGCAACAACACTACCGTTAGGTTTGCTGTCAACTAGGGTTTGATTTGTACGTCGAAAATAGGGAGATGTTGGAGCGGATGCTGTGAACGCGGAAACAAATCGTTGGCACGATGCTTGACAAGTCTGGACGCCGTTCGTTGACATTGAATGACAGTGACAGTGGCTGTAAAACGACAATCAATACAGTAGTATTACTGGCCTCGTTCCCTGGAATTTGGGACTGAGTATGGGCGAAAATGCAGACCAGCGCCTAAAGAACCTCTTCCTCGCGTAGGTTTCGTGGATGCTCCGGGCTCAAATTACTTCATTTCAAGTGCTGTAGAGGGCTGTATAGTAGCAATGCATGTAGAAAGCTAGTAGGGAGGATAGCAAGAAGCAGTGTACTTGGTATGTATGTGTGCGATAGCAACAAAAATGGTTCACAAGGACAACGGCGGGCGGACGAAGTCGAAAACTATACAACAGAGGCTAGGGTGGTGGTGGTGGTCTCAAAAGCTACAGCGAAGGAATACAACGGAATGGGGGGAGTATGTATCGATAACGTATGGTAAATTACGATAAATTATTGAGTAGCACCAGTTCAACGAGGTGGCCCAGGAATCCGAAGCAAGAACAATGATAGGCAGTCGGGTGTGGGGAATCAAATCGAAGACAACGGAGGAAGACAACGGAAGAAGACAAAACACAACACGGACGAAATCCGAAAAGGCGAAACCTGGGACGAGTGGGACGTGAGAAATCGTAAGTTGGAAGCATGTGCCATGGGAAGGGGCAGCAGGACGCGCCTCTGTAGAGGAATTAGGGGGATGGTTGTGTAACGATTATACGTAAATCAAAGATTAGAGATGTGCGCTTACGGGGTTCAAGTGGGAAAGGCGGGTTGGAAAGAGGAAGGACGGCTTGTGGAAAGGGAGTACAAGGGATGGGTCGCATTGAATAAAGGCAGGTAGCGTGGTCGCCTACAACACCCCGTGTTGCTTGCTCCCCAGTCCCCTAACAGGGCCAGAAATCCGGGCCCATAGAGTCAAAGAAGAGGGTGTGCGGGGCCAATGGCCTCGACGGGGTTGAAACCCATCCGCCGCCGAGCAGTCGAGAACTCCCATTTCCCTCCCATCGTGTTATATCCGACCAGTAATGCCCGACACGGACCTCTGCCGTATCTTCCTAGCCTCGGCCGTTACGTTCCAAGCTGTCTGCACGAGCTCGATGACCTTGCTGTCCTGCACACCAAGTGACAGGATGTTACGCCAGAGGCCTTGGTTGAACAGGAAGATTCGGTCGAACTGTTCTGGACGCGCTCGGGAGAGGATTTGGGCCATGGTAGCGGCGTTCGGGAATTCCTCGATGACTTGGGAGGGGAGAAGACGCCAGGCGAGGGCGTTGTGCTGGGTCTCCAAACCCATTCCATAGAGTAGGAGTAGCGGCAATGAAGGGAGGTGGAGTACAGAGATGGGGATGACGGGTAGTGTGATGACAAGGGATCCACCAGGTGAAGTACTAGGTGTCGCGGAGGGCGAATTGGATGGAATGGTTACTGTGTCCACCGTAAAACCTTTTGCGAATAGATTGGCGTCAATGGGAAGGAATAGGGGAGGTTTTGGCGATGATGAGGGATCTGCGAGAGTGGCGGCTAGGACGTGGGTGGGTAAATGAGTTGCCTGTGTCACTCTCAGTTCATATGTTTCCGGGATGGACTCTTCGATTGCCTGGGGTGGGATAACGTTAAAGTGTTGACATAGAGCACTGAACATTCCGTATTAGAAGCACTTCCACTGAGACAGGACCGACAAACTCACTCATAAGGCTCAGCCTTCGCCAGGTAGGAAGGTCGCGTCATGTCGGGGAAAAACTCGGACGGGGGAGTGGTGGGCAATCAGATTTTGGACGGTATATATACCAGAGATCGATCGGCGTCGATAAGACGTGGTCTTGCACGAGTTTGGCCTCGGGAAGCCTATGACGAGAGGTAGAAAAATCGAGATATTATCAGTAATCGACCGTCCAAAATCATACAAATGGCCAAAAATGGATTGTATCGTGCAAGTCTTGAGGTGACGACGGACAAGGAAGCGGAAGGGGGAGGGAAGGAGGACCGGAACGATAGCGAGGGAAAAGCACGGAAGGACACGTACTTTATAGCCCAACTTCTCGGCAAGATGCTCGGGAGGCGCAGCGAACAAGTGCCTAAGTAACACCAGGCTCTTTAAGGCATCAAAAAAGTCGAAATCAAAGGCGACATGACGTTTTCCTTTGAGGGCTGAGATGAGCCTCTTTGCCCAAGAGATTAGATCACTCCCCTTCGGGGTTATAGGGTACCTATATCTGACCTCTGGAAAAACTTGGGGGCCAGCAGGTGCTGGGCGGGACCATCTGGACGGTCTGCTGTTTGACGCAAATGCCAAATGGAGGTGGAGTCAAAGCCACGAGGTAGCTTTAAGTGTTTCCGGGCCCATGATACCAAAACGATGATGATGATGACTGACAAGATCGCTGACGGGCTCGGAATCTGAGGATTAAAAGCGCTGTTGGTGAGTGCACCGATGGAACGGAAATGTGACGGGCGCCTTTTTAACTTACGAGAGATGCGGCTGACCGAATCCATCGAACTCCTAGGCGATAGTCGCTTCAAGATCAAGTCATAGATTGCGCTCACAAGTCGAACGGCCTTCCCGGCGCTTTGAAAGAAAAAGTTCAATGACAAGTGGAGATTCAAGTCCGCTCCTGATCCACTTCAGTCTCTGCAGTACATAGTGGGCAACTCACGCATGGTGGGGATACGTCACCGTGGACCACGATGGACCTGACGGTGTGATGCAACAAGGACCTGTTGCACCCTCTCAGCGGGGTTGAGCAACAAAACCAATCCACATTGGACAGTGGAGTACGCACCTGTGGGACGGAAACGACAAAGTGCCACTTACCAGAGGGACGTGCTCAACATCAGTCTAGCAGGACACAGTGGTGCACGCAGGTGTAAAAAGAAGATGGTGGCGTGGAGAACGATGTACCTGAGCGCTATCCATGCCGTGAACGATGTGGCTGTGAATGATGGGCGCAAGCCTTTCTTGGCATCCACCCAAGCCATTCCACTCATTGCTCCTGCCCCATAGCCCACAATCTCGAAAAACAACTACTCTGTGTTGACCCAAGTGTCACTCAAAGAAATCGTTGCCAGGATGCACGTGTATTGGAACCTCAATACGCATATACAACTAACTGGTCGTCTTGGCACAGGTCCACTCCGTCTTGGCACGGGTCCACTCCTTAAGCGCCCGTCGAGCGCCAAGTCCTCAGGGAGTGCCCAAAGACGAAATGCAGTCAGGTATGGGCCATTGTTATTCACTTAACCTGTAAGTACTTACTGTGCCCATGTCTCTGTTCTACGAAACGATGACTTACTCGACTACCTTAATTCCACGCCGGTCGCGGACCAAAGGGTTGTGACCCCTCCACCATAGCAATTATTTAAGGCGTAGTAGTCTAGTGGAGACAAACACTGATTTCTGTCAGAGCGGCGGGGGTTCGAATCCCTCTTCTGCGCAAACTACTCAAGAACCTTGGTGTACGAACACCCGTTCGTACACCAAGGTGCCTTGCGTAGTTCTTTGTTTTTTCTTTTTTTCTTACTTTATCCCCAGCGTCTGCGTGCCGCCATGTCTTATATTGCCTCAGCTCTGGCCACGCCCTCTCAAGTCCAGCACTGGTATTACCAGCGCCTCTACCTTAATTTAGCCATTGCTACGAACATTCATGGCATTCATGGGGTCGACGGAATTTGCGCATTCAAGTTAGTCTCCTACAGTCCTATCTACTCCACCACATTCTATGTACTGCCAGTAGTCCTAAGTCTCTCCGAAGGCCTCGACTGTCTTCCTGAACGACGAAGATGTTCCCCCACTCCCCGAGCTTGCCGACGTTCTGCCAAGGCATTCTCAAGTTGTAAACGAACTTGTGTCAACTCGGCGTGGCACTCCGCTAGGGAGTCGCGCACATCGGCGAGATCTGTTGAAGAAATTAGCAATCAAGCGAGTCAATCCCCGGGAGTGGTAACCTCACCGTCCTCAAGTTGCTCTATCTTCTCCTGGCGTCTGCCCAACTCAGCCTGAGCGAGCCTAATCTCCGTCCTGGTCGAAGAGAGGCGTGCTTCCCATTGTACTGGGGTGGGTACATTGGGTACATGCTCGCTGCGTTCGACAGGTTCCTTGGGAGGTCGAAGGTTTTGGTAAAGACGACTTTTGGCGAAGTGTTGGTAGTAGAAGACATAAGCTTGTCCGTAACCGAGTTTCAGTTCCTTCTGAACCATGGCGATGTCGAACGCGTCCAGCCAAGGGCAATGGCGACCGGCAACTAAGCACCTTCCGCACGAAAAGTCGTTTGGTGCCAATACACAGGCGCCGGGGCTGCGAATGCACTCCTGCGTGTCACACGACTTGTGTTGCATACGATTAGTGCTATACGTCCACCCCCGAGTGGCCTGTACGCACCATATCAACATTCTTGAAAAGCCATCGTTCAAACCGCTCACGATCCCCGTATGCGTCAGAGAGAGCCCTGAACACTCTCTCAAAGCCAACTTCGAGCGACCCATCCCAGTCGTTAGGTGCCATGTTGTTAACGGTCAGCAGCCGTGGGTAGAGGAGTGAGAGAGAGGGAGAGAGGGAGAAATTCTTGAGAAATGGTCTGGTATAAATATGTACTACATTCGCGCCAAGCCACCCTCATCTCTCTTTTGCTAATTGGGATACCACGAATACTCGAGCTTCGCGAACTGCCCGAGTCATCTCCTCCAACAACACCTGCATATTCAGCACTGCTTCCATTGATTCCGACACTGCTTGAATCACTTCGGCTTGGTTGTCGCCCGTTATGTCCTCCGCATAGTCTCCAATGTATGCCAGGTGTGGTCGAATATCGGCAACGTGGAAGTCGAATCTGGCTGTCTCACAGTCCAGGAATTCAAGGACTGCCTGCGTCAACACCTCCACAATCGCAGTAAAGCAACCAAGACCTACTTCGCTTCATTTTCTGCAGGAACTCTACACGTCTCTCCAACGCTGGATTCTGGGGGTTGAATGTTTGAGACGCCATTGTTGATCTGGAGGATGGTTTTCGTCCGCCTCGAGCTTCGTCGTTGAGGATCAGTGGGTTGTTGTTGGTCAAGCGTCAAGTGGAAACTCCGTGTAAATCCGCTCTTGGCCAGAATTTAGCGCCCGGGCTGGGCCACGTGCCCACACCCTCGTAACTTGGGCAAACCACACATATGTCCAATCTCAGAACAAGCCTAACACCGGTATGTGCCAAGGCTCGAACACGGGACTAAATTCAAGTTGCCAGATGTGGTGTACAACCCACTAGTATGTGCCATTCGGTGTGTGCGAGGGCTTTGCCAAGCCTTCGCGACCGGACTTTGAATGCATTTTCATTTCGTTCAAGCTGTGCCGTCCAGTGTCCTTGTCTGCCCCTGTATCCTGTTCAACCACAACCACATGCCCACCTTACCAGAGTTCGACTTGAGTGCCGCGGCACAGCTTTCGTTCAAGATGGCCCGATACTGCCAGCAACTCATGAAGAGGGAGATAGACAGCAGCTGGAAAGGCTTTCCTTCTCTGCCGGTTGCTGACGGGCTGGACCTCAGCCTCAGGATGGAAGGTCTCCAGCTGGTTCGTGTTGTCGATGAAGCACACTCAAACCCAGGTTTGCTTCCTGCTCCGATGAAAAGTCTGTTCTAACTCGGAAGATAGTACGGCTAGACTGGAAATTCGATGATTACGCGCCTCATCTTGTCCAAGCCCAACTTTCCGGGGCCGATCCTCGGTTAGCCTCCCTGGCTGCTAGGTTCCCTGCTCCCAAAGGGGAGCCATACCGTACTCAGCCCCACTGTATCATCGATCACGCGGGAGTTATTGGATGGTGGTATCTCCCCGGTTGCATTTCGGAGTCGAGACAGGTGCATAGTGGCCACGGCGATTCATACTTATGTGCTAATCTAACTTGAATCTACCCTTACTTTCCAGCGTACGATCTACCACTCAGTACAGCGACTCAGCCATATGCCTTGTACCCCGATCCAGACCACATCGCAAGGCAATTGGCGCGATCATCCTGATCGTTTTGGCTCTGGCGCCGTGGTGGACGGACTGAAAGCTGGCGTTGCTACTTTTTCTGTTTGCTGGTTCCAGCGTGGCCATGCGGTGGGTGGGTCCTCTTCCACCATCGATTTCCGTCTCTAACACTTCAGGCAGGGTGCTGAAGACTTTCCTGCACCTTCGGCGACGCTGAAGGACCCAAAAAACCATCAATTCATCAAGGATATGACCGAGAGTTTTGCGGTTCTTGGCGCTGTTCTGGCAGTCACACAGCCTTGGCTTTTCGACGCTGGAATGGAGGTCTTAGAAAACCTCCACACGAAATGCATTTCCGTCAACAACAGCAAAGTACTTGACGGGATCCTTGGCTTCTGGTCAAATCCTTTCACGGCTTTTTCAGTCATCTGCAATCGCGAGACCCTTATTCATCGTGATTTGTCGAGTCCCCAGTGGTGCTATGATCTGGTATATACGGGAGGTCGATATCAGAATGGACGATTTGAAAGTCCAACGCTGGGTCGACGTTTCCTCTACGACCCTGGAACCGTCATGGTTGGTCTTGGCAACCTCATACACCATGGAGTCGCACCCGTCGAGGGAGACCGGTTCTGTATTGTGTCGTATTTCCGAAGCTCTATGCTTGAGAGAGCTTCCCACTATCGCAACGCCAAAGCCCCCACAATTCATCAACTACAAAACTTTTATTTCCAGCTACTTGTAGATCCTCCAGCGTAGTTCAGCTCTGTCCCTGAATACCAACACATCGTCTGCGGCAGGAATTCCTTGTCTTGGCGTTCTCAGTCTAACCCATGTCCAAATGGCTGTCTCCATCGTCAACTGGATTTCTAGAACTTGTTTTATCCGCGCCCAGCTCTGAATTCCCACGTTGAAGGTTGACTTCATCATGCAAGGACAATCTGGGGACATCCGACCAAAAGACGCTTCCCAGAGGCTGGCGAGCTACATACGAATTGCCACGAACGCTCTTAAGAACGGGATGGACCCCAATGAAGCCCTCCGGGAAGTTGACGCCGACGACCTACATCTACAAGAAGCTGCGGTCCAAATTGTTCTAATACTGTGGAAAGCAGTACCAAAGGGTGTGTATGCAGCTGAACGAACGCCAAGCCTTTGTGTTGACTGAAGACATACATATTCCCTAGCTAACTCCATTGGTTCTCCCTCTGTCGAAACGTCAGGGACTTTGCCCGACACTACAGGCGGTGGTGACCCTTCGAGAGGCCCGAACGGTGCGTATGTAGCTGAAAACGCCAAGCCTTTGTGTTGACTGTAGACATATTCCCTAGCTAATCCCGTCGGTTCTCCCTCTATAGAAATGCCAGGGACTTCGCTCAACGGCGTAGGTGAGGGTGACCCTTCGAGCACTGTTATCGAATGGTTTTTGCCTGGAATCCTGTCTGGAAACGTGAGTAGTTTTATATCGCAAAACTGATTCTAGTGGCGTTAATGTTCCATTTTTGAAGTAATTTACATGGCTACCTCTTGTACTCTGTGTATTGAAATGGAGTCGTTTCAAATTCTTTACCATTTTACCGATTTCCCTTTGGACTTGGCAACTGACAGGCGCTCGGCTTTATATTTTGTTTACGATGGAACTTTAGGGCTGACACATTCCGGACTGATCTCAAAACCCCTTACCGCGAGTCGGCCTCGCTCTTCTCTCTCTTCCTCATGCCTCCAATTCCCTCGTTCGACCTTACCGATGGCGCCCGCCTTACCGAAGCCTTTGGGAGATACTGTCAAAACACTCTCAGACGACGGTTCGACAGCAAAGTTGTCCCGATCCCAACGGATATCACACCGGGTCTGCGAGCTGAAGGTGTACAGATTGTGAACGTTGTAGAAAAGGCTTGGGATGGCATGCCTTGTGAGTACATCTCCAATTGTCTCCCAATCTCGTAGCTAACGTGCATTTTCGGGCAGTGGTGCTCAAATGGAACCTTTCCGACTATTTTCGAGACCAGGTTAACGCTTCCGAATCGCACAGGCGGGAAACTCAGCACAGATACGCGCCGCTAGGAAAGCGCTGTAGCACTGGCCTCCTACCACTGATCACCGACACCCAGCTCTTCGTGGATGCCAGTGGAAACGTGGGTCTGTGGTACCTTCCGGGGATTTTGTCGAGGCAGCGTGAGGTGAGTACCAGGCGCCTGTTCTCGCTTAACCCCCTTACGCTATCCAGGAAAATATGCTGCGTGCTCTCAAAGCGTTCTCGGATCACGCCCAAACGTGTCTCGCAAAGCTTCCTGAAGACGAAGGTCTAAACCGCTACCAAGAATCCCCAAGCTTCGCGCTCGCCAGTGGCGTCACTTCACTCTCCTTGCTCAAGTACGCACCTTCCGTAGGTGCTCCACTGGGTTCAGAGTTGAATAGGCGTTGACGTTGCCACACAGATCAACCGCCCTGGTGCCTCACGAGAGTTTTTGGGCAGTTCCGCACCCCCGACCCTTCAGCTCCTTCAAGACACCATGGAGACGTTTGTCGTATTGGGAGGCATCATCGCTGTCACTCAGCCCTGGCTATTCGACGCCGGTCTGTCAATACTCGAAATGCTACATGGGCGCCGCATTCCTGTCTCTGACCCCATCAACCTTCGTCGAGTCATCGGATTCTGGACATCACCCTTCACGACCTTCGACCTCATTATCAACCGCGAAACCGTGCCTCAACGCAACATCCAAAGTCCGTGGTGGGCGTACGACCTGGTCTGGACCTTGGGTAATCACAACGGACGCCTTGAGTGCCCAGGTTTGGGCTATCGGTTCTTGGTGCAGGGTGGAACCATCTTGGTGGGGGTGTTTGGATGTCTGGAATTCGGTATAGCCCCTTCCAGAGGAGAGCAGGTAAACATCATTTGCAGCTCGTACGAAAAGGTCCTTGATTTGAGTCCTCATCACTTTAATCCCAACCCTCCAACTCTATCGAAATGGCAGCGTTTCTTTTCCCAGTCGGATGTACAAGCACATGGTATCAGTAGCTAAGTTATCGTAGTTACTTCGAAATTCATCCTTGGCTTTTGTATGCGATGTAAATGCTATTCAAGTTGTTTTCAAGGGTTCTTATCTGGGTTTCATTTACACCAATCAAGCGCTCAATCACTATGATCAACTCCTGATACAACCCTAAGACTGCCTCGAGGTCTGCGATGTCACATTCGACCAATTTCTCGGGTGGGTGGTGTTCGAACCACCACGACGTGAGCAATTCCTCGAGTTTTGGTGGGCTTGGCTCTTCTTCGAGCCACCATTGCCTGCCAAGGGCGTTGTTGCGTTCTTCACAAGGATTGGCATCCGGATCACAACCGCATTGCCAAGAGGACATCCGCTCAGGGCAAAAGTGCCCGTGCACGGCGAGATCCACCAGTTGCGAAAGGTGGCCCAGGGCGGGGATTGGATCATGATGGACGTTTGGGGTGACCGCCAAGAATGCTTGGAAGCACTCAAGCGCGATAACCTGGCTGGTCAGCGCAGGCATAGGCGATTGAACATGGAATGCTCACAATCTCAGCTTCAAACGCTGCCCAGAACGTACCACCCTTCAAAATTGTTGAGGGTGGGCTCCTTCTTATCGCGTGCCCAGAAAAATGTACCCTGTGACCAAGAAAAGTAAGGAAAGACTTCCATTTGGCTGAGTCCCATGTGTTCATCCAGGGTGCACGCATCGTGTGTAGGGTTGGGGAGGAGGCGGTTTCGAAAGTAAGATTGGGATATAGAAATATATAGCCTACGTATATAGCCACGTGCTTATAAGTTACTACATTTGGGCGATCTCACCCTTCCCTTGGGCGCGGTGCGGCATCGATCGAGGGCCCACGAACTTTTCATAGGCTTGTTTTGTTTCTTGAATGGCACTCTGAATAGAGTCCAGACTCGCTTGGGCTAGCTTGAGGTCGTTATCAATAAGAGCGAGCGACTTCTCCGTGATGGCGTTGGCCTGGTCGAGCTGCTGGTCGAGTTTGCCGGACAAATCGATTTTCAGTGCTTCAAGTGATAGCGAGGTGGATTTCTGAACGGCGGCATCAAGTTGTTCCTTCTGCGCGCGCCAAGCCGCGACCAATTGTGGAAGACTCAACGTCTTGGGAGAATCTTGGTTCCACCAATCATCAACGTAATCCGGGAGGATAGGATCAGAAACCTCCTGTTCAACCGAAACAGCTTCGGCAACAATGGAGGGAACGGTCAGATGGAGCGACAAAGCAACCTTCGTCAGTTTAGTAAGGGCGTTGGGGCGGGAGACATGGTGGTTGAATCTCAGCGCTAAAGAGCTGAAGAGCATCATAGCTGAATGCTACACTGCACTTAGCAAGGGTGAAAGATGGAAACCGGATGAACTCACCAGATCGTCGGCAAATTGGTTGATAAACGCCCGCCGCTTCTCCACAGTCAAGGCAGGGTATCTTTCATTCCAAGCTACTCCACAGGCCCGTAGCCTGGACGAGAGATAGTTGAGAAGTGATAGATGATCGTCCAGACTGAGGCCAATAAGTGCGCCGGCCTCTGAAAGGAAACTGGGACTCTCGGAAGGGGTGGACATCGGTGGTGATTCGTGAACATTTTAATCCGGGAGGAATAAATCGTATTTACAGAGCAATTGCCTAAACCCTAACCCCCAGACGATCTCTTGACATTGGCAAACGCCTTCTCGGCGTGTACAGCCATGAGCCTCCAGACATTGGCTTGGCGGTTGGCGTACGCGCGATGTCCTGGCAGTCCACGAGTGATCGTGGCCCAGGCCTTGCATTCATCCTCCTTGAAGAAGAAAAAATTAACGACCCAATCCATCTCGGAAGTCAGAAGCAGGTGTTCCTCTCGCCACCTCTCCGCCCGAGACTTAGCTCTCAGCCAATTTACACGGTACACTGGGAATCACAGTCAGATATTACTGAACCGTTAGGAGACTGATTTTACTTACACTCCTCTAGGTACTCCGAGTTTGCGGAATCCCCTTCGACGTCCATTGTCCATATCCATGACAGGGGGGTGTTTCTTTGCCCACTTGCATTGGGTTTGTATACAGCCGTTATCGCTTTGGTATCCCCCTTCGTAATTGGCCGATACTTGTCAAGGATTTCCCGCGTGGCGCCAAGACAGTTAAGCGCCCAGCGGGCCCGATTATACGATTTGAGGTGAAGTCGCAGGGCTCGATCCACCGACTTGACCGCTGAGTACCCTCGCAGTCGTTGCTGTTTCCCCTCGGCCAAGCGAATATTGGATCGGTAAAGGTATGACTTGTGTCCAATCTCGGTTCTGATCTGTTCCAGAGCATCGTCTGCCTGTGCACATCGCAATTGCACTTCCTTACCGGCAGCACCCTTCAACCCTGAAGGGAGAACCTCGAATGAGGATGGCAACGGTACGTCCACGTCTTCTGCTTCGTTATTGGATAATGAAAATGGATTGTCGCCAGGGTCTTGGCGGTTTCCTTCATCATCCCCCTCGATCTCAACCCTGTCGTTGGGGGGCTGGGCACACTGGAGTTCGTAAAAATCGACATCGGGAAAGAGGATGGTGCCGGTTTCGTAAAAGGAATTGACCTCAGCCTGGATATGTTCCCTTCTCTTGGCCAGCTCCAGGTTTTGTTGATCGGTGCGTAGGGACTCCCTTGGCAATCCGGCTAGAAATAATCGCAGGTTCTCCCTAAGCATACATGTCAGATTTGGAGGAATCTACGAAAGGGTCTGATACTTCACTGCAGATCCTGGATCTTCATTCCAGACGTAAGCCAAGAGGTCACGCCTATCCCTGTGTTTTCCCGTTGCTCCGCGGCCATCAAGTCGTGTTGCACCTTGGCTCTCGTCGGTGCTTGAGGGTCTCTCGTCAGCATACCGAGCGGTCGATTCAAACACAAAACCCACGTTTGTTCAACTTGACGTTCAGGATATCCATTGCGGAAATATCGTGGTTCCTCTCCATTTGCGCGCGATTCAATTGTGCATCCCATAGCCGTCGCTGAGACATCGATGCCGTCTCATTCAGCAGTTCGAAATCTTCTTGTGCACTAGCAAGCTCATGTCGACTTTTCTCCCAGTTCTTGGTTATGCTAGTAACTGAGATGAACACTGTTAGTCCAGTATCAGACCTAGCTAAACGAGATCGGTTGGATGGCACACCTAAGTTTACCAATTTCTTCCAATTGCTATCCCCCATCACCGCGTCCAATCCCTCTGCTCGGGCTGGGATTGTCATCATCGACGTAGATCCTGCAGCCTCGTTGACAACAGCCCAGAGTGACTCCAAGATTTCCCCCGCCGACATTCCTGCCCCTTTGATGAATGTGAGAGCGTATCGCGCAAAGCAGGTGTCTTGATGTCCGTGCACATGGAATGTGCCGATTCCAAAGGTTATGTCTAATCTGTTGTCAATAGAGAGATAGTCTCCCTTGTCAATCCGTTTCCGTAGGTTTTTGCAGTATTGGCAGTTGACATCGTATACCAAGAGCACTTTGGAAAGTTCCTCCACGTGTGTTGTCTTGAGGGCTTCACAGAACCCGTAGTCCATGTTGACTTGTCTGTGGGGTTGTAATTAGACACCCCCACTGGGCGCTTAGTTATACAAATGCTGACCTCTCTCCCTTCTGGAAATCGACGACGCTGCCAGGGACGAAGCAACCATGTCTCATGCACGCGTAAGCTCCAACGCCGGTCACATCACATCCCTTGTGAACCTTGCTCTTATCCGCGATTGCTCGATGTTCATGACAGGTTTGAGGCTGAATGATCGTCAGCAAGCTACCGGCGCTAGAGAGATACGCTTACCTCTTTATGTTCCTCCGTGGATTCCAGATGTTTTCTGTAACGGGTACTCTCTGTCATAAATCCCTCTCCATCCTTCAGGTATACATCCTCTCCTTGGTCCTTTTGTTTCCGATGAACACACACGAAGTTGCCGTCGGCCACCAAACTTCGCTGGTATTTCCATTCCTCGGGGTCCTCTCTCCAATTATCTGGAAGATTGATGCCGGGTTGCGGACAGGCCGCACAGAAAAGGGCCATCTCCCCCTTTCCTGGGTTCCTGTTGGTGTGTCCGAACCCGAATCGCTTAAGTTCCTTGAGTCGTCGCCATTGACGCCCGACCCTTCTGAGTTCGCGGGTGCGGTCCTACATCCCAATCAGTCACACTCGTCGTTCACGATAAACTGTGACATACAGGGACGGAGTTGGGAAAAAACTTATTAGTGGTGCGCCGCAGTTTGGAGTAGTAATGATGGGTGGATGTAAAACATTCCAGGGTTTGGAGGAGATAGTCATCCAATATGGAGAAAGTAAACGCGGTGCGGATGTCTTGGAACGACGAGGGGTAAAGTCCGTGGCGCAGAAGCTGCCTTTCATCCGAAGGTGCGTCAAGGCAGCGACAGAAGTGAACTGGCAAGTGGTGGATGCCTGTAGTGTGAGCTATCGCGACAACTTTAGCACTACCTAGAGCACGCCTCGAGGGCTTGGCGCCGAAGGTCAGGTCGTCGTCGTCGAACCAGTCGAAGTCGTCAGAGCACAGCGTAGATGGCAATGCTTGGCAGGCGCCGGAAGAGCACAGGGAAAGAGCGAGCCCAGTTTGCCAAAGCCAGGCAGGGAGGAAGCACTGTCCGTTCCATCGTTGAACGCGGTGATATGGATTCGACAGGTGCTCCGTTCGACAACATGTTCGACAGAAGATGGGTGTGGCAAAGCAATCTTTGCACTTCCATATCCCTTCCGTCAATTGGCAGCTGCATCTTCGGCATACGGTGGTCTCTGGAAGGCCTTGCTGCTCTAGAAGTTCATACAGGTAAAGTTTCTGCTTTGGGATCCACTCTTTCATGTAGTCGTGTGATGTCTATAGACCGTATGAGCTTCATATCACTGATAAGGCACCTCAAAGAGACTCTTGACCTTGGATGTGGTTCCCAGATCGTTGTCGGCATTGAAAGGAATGAACTCGCCATCGTTAGAGGGGAAGGGCACTGTACTCTCCCTTCTATGGGCCGTTGAGGCTTTCCCCGTGGACCTCGACGTCTTGCGAGGTGAAAGAGACTGTCTCCCTCGGGTTGGGGTATATGGGATCAGCTGCACCTTCACCTTTCCCCTGCGTCTTCCCGGGCCTAAACGTCCGTGGTATAACTCTACTCGCTCCCTTCGTTTTACCTGTTGTCGGCGTCCAGCATACATGGTTGATACAGGAAGAGAACACAAAATGTATACATAGAAACTCTGTACGAGTCTGGCTGTGATTGATCGCATCAAGCCACCTACGGATCAATCCTACGAGCGCTTAACTCAAGTGAAATTGCCGATTGGTATTGAATCGGTAAGTCGAAGACATTAATCAGGAGGGACCTGATGGGATCTGATGGTTGATTGCCTACGAGAGGTTTGAACTTGTATTTTTCTCTCCATCCTTCACTCCTAAACAATAAGTGCTACCTATTTCGCTGTTGAAACTCACCACTACCATGTCAAACGGCCGCAACGGGGGTTCATCTGGCAAGTATCAAGAGAAGTCGAGACTGAAGGGGACGGTTGGGGATCGCAGGTCATACGAGGCGGAACACACTAAGCAGGCATGGGGTAGAGGCGACGAAGGCGAGCGAACCGACGACGGCGACGACGACGGCGACGACGACGACGACGACGACGACGACGACGACGACGACGACGACGACGACGACGGCGACGACGACGACGACGACGACGGCGAGGGTGATGAGGGTGATGAGGGTGATGAGGAGGACCACGAGGAGGGCGAGGAGGACCACGAGGAGGAGGAGGAGGAGGAGGAGGGGGAAGAGGACGACAGTGACGGTGACAGCAGTGGGGGAGATGAGGGCGTCGCCAGACGAGATGATGAAGACACTGTGCCCGACGGTTACCAATTCAGCGCCTCCCAAGTGGCGTACATGCAAAGTCGCCTACAACAATACCGCGAAGGCTCGAAAGGCAAGCGTTCCGATGTCGTTGTTGCCGTGTTCAAGAATTTTGTCTCTGAGATTATCAACGAGTCACGGAGGCCAGTTCCAAAAGCCAAGCGCAAGGCTATTAAACGTGTATGTGATTTGGTACACCCTATTTCCCAAGCTAACTCGTCCGGCTCGTAGGGCGTTCTGGGGTGGTTCAAGCAGAAGCTTGCGGCATATAAGCCCAAGCAAGAGAAAGCAAAATGGACGACACGGTGGTTTGGGCTGCTCGTCTTCAAGAGAGAGAGGCGTGACGCAATCAAGTACCTCGCAGGGTTGCTCGCAAGAGGCGAAGCTCTACCCAACCTTAAAGACCTCTTGGACAATGAAAGTTGTTACATTACGCCAAGGGATGACAATGGAGACGACGGGGATCTGGACAGGCCCGGAGGAAAACTGTCGCCAAAGGGTTTCGCGAAGTTCAATCCTGCTGCCTCACTTCTTTGGAAGAAGATGAGCGCCAAGGAAAGGCAGGCGTACGAGGACAAGGCTGCCAAGTGGAACGAGGAGACACCCCCACTAGAGCAGCAGAGGAAGTAAGTCGTATTCCTGTCAAGCACTTGCCAAGTTGTCAACAACAGATGTGTCAGAACCGCAGAGCGCACTGCTTCGAAAAAGTTGCTGGGGATCAGCGAACAGTTTCTAAGGGATATGAACGCCCGACTCTACCTGCTCGTTGCCTATGAGAATCAGGCTGGTAGGCCAGTTGCTTACGACTTTGAGCTGTCTGGGGGAGCGGCTGGGCAAGGTTTCCGTGACCGGTACGGAGACACACTGAAGAAAATGGGGATCCTCGAACTGTGGAAGGACTTCGCAGCCGACATTTACCTTGATCCTTTGGAGGACGAAGACATTCGTGCTCAAAGGTCCGCCAAGCGAGCGTTGATGAAGTTTGAACGAAATGAATTTGGGGAGCCAATTATTCCCAACATCCGTCACCGCGATGACACCGAGCAGAGGTCAAGGTGGTTGGTCCACTTCATTAGATCCTTCCTTACCATTCACTACAGTGAGTTCTTCTTTTCAGTATGTTCACAAGTCGACGAAGTTGACATTATCGTCAGACATCGCCAAGGGTAACCCATCTGGCCGCTCACCCGTTCCATGGAAAAGACTTGGCTTGAATCCACGGCGCTTCATCTGTACAGAGTTCCTTCCAGACGAGCTTGCCGAGTTCATTGGGGAACCCAGTTCTATGTCCACATCAGAGCGCGAACGCCTTTATTGGTTCTGGTATCGTCGCCAAAAGGATGGTTTGGACATCGTGTTCGAATTCAAGAAGTACTGGGATGGTCGAGCCAAGGAATACCGCCATCGCAAAGAACGGAAACCGACTTCTGCAGACGAGTATAACTTGGAGGAGGATGAGGACCCCAACCCACCTTCAAGGGACCCTCAAGGCGTTCAACGCGAAACTAACGCCTGGGACCAGTTTATGGCTGACGATAGGAGCGATTCGGATGAGGATGAAATTGTGTCCAGCTCTGAAGATGAAGAGGACCCGCCTCCACCATCGCCACCTGCCCCACCTGCCCCAACCCCTCCACAGAAGTCCCAGCCCAAGCCCAAGGCTGCTTCCAAGAAGAAGAAACGACCAAGCCAAAAAGCCAAAGCCCCACGTACGCACGATGTTGAAGAGCCTGAGGTGAGGAGGATTCCCATAACCGCACGCCAAGGCAAGCTGACCCTTCAAAAGCAGCCTCCCAGTGGTCATACAGGCTCTGCCAAGGGTAATCCTCGTGTGAGTGAGCCACAGACTTTCCCTACAAATTAGTCTGACTGTGCTCTAGAATGTGCGTGCACCAAAAGCAAAAGAAAAGTCTGCAGCCAAGCCCCCAGTGCAAGAGGATGAGCCAAGCGAGAATGAGATCGATGTGAGCGTCCGTTTGATATTGTCTGCCAGAGCAATCTCTCATCATCTTTCCAGTCGACCCCTAAGAGGCCATCGCGGGAAAGCCAAGCCACGACCCCGACTACACCTCCTCCACATGGAACGGCGCGAAAGCGAGCCCGGTCTCCCAGCGATTCCGAGACGAGTGACGAGGAAGACGACGAACTGCCTGGCCCCAATACACGTGCCAAGAAAAGACGTGCTGCGGCAGAGCAAGAGCCAAGAGACGAGCCTCCCACCCTGCGAAGGTCTACGCGAGCCATCAAGGTCGCCAAGAGGTTTGGGCAAGAGGATGTGCCCTCGGTCATACAGCGCATTCAAAAACCTGGGGCTAATAGTAAGGGTTCAACGACAAGGAGCAAGTCACGGGGTGGACATTCTAAGTCCACTGAGGGTAGAAAACATGACGCACCTGCCAAGGCGAAGTCGCGGACCAAGGACAAACGTCGATAGTCTTCATTTTGTTTCGTATCATCACTGCCATTCTTTGTAGTAGTTAGTCGTAGATGGATTACTGTCCGTTAATACATGTTTGTCTCATTTTCTCGAAGGTTATGGCTTGTCACTAACTTAAGAATCGCCGAAAGCACTTCAAAGTTCACACTTTACCAAATGGAAGGGAATTCATTATAAGAATTGAGTCAATTGAGTCGAGAGTTGTGAAAAATTATTACACGAGGGATGATATACGGAATGAATAGCAAAGTAAAAGAGATCTAGACTAATTGTTGTTCAGAAGCAGCAACTCCTCCACCTCGGCAGTGTGGGGATCCCGGGGACGACCACCGCTGCCGTTGCTGGACCCTGGTGGAGACATGTTATCTAGGTCCGCGATAAGGGGGTGATGCATGACATGTCAACAACGCAGAAGACTCACCAGAAATTACTTGCATAACTTGCATGATCCCTTCAGCATGCTCGGCAAGGTTAAGGGTGGGGACGGCGACAGGTGCGGAGATGGAGTTGGACGAGGAACCTGACGAGGACGCATTATTTGACTCCTCGGAAGAGTGAGACGACGTAGTCGTGGACGATGCTGCCAAGGGACCAGGCCTAATCATCAACCGTGCCGGGTTGATGGATTCGATGGGCTCAGCCACACGGTTTGGGTCATTTCGAGCAACCTGAGGCAGAGTTGGAGGGTCTCCAAATTCCTTCTTCATCTGGTGTCCCATCCACTCCATCAGACATCCGACGCTGCGATTGAGATCGTTGATGCGCTTTGAGTTGTCGGCGAGCTCACGTTTGATAGGCAAGAGTGCTTCGTTGACGTCCTGGCGAAGAAGCTTGATTTCGTTCTGGGCACCCTCGAGTTGTCGTTCATTGTCTTCGACCAAGCTCTTGAAACGTAGGGTGTCCGAGAAGAGTTCTTGGTGAGTCTTGGCATCCTCCAAGAGGATTGTGACGGTGGCGGAGAGTTCGTTGATGACATGTTGCTGATGAGCATTTTGGAGGACGAGGCGGGATATCGCAAGGTCAATGGAGCCCCACGGAATCTCGGTGGGGGACGCAGGTTTGACAGAGAGAAGCCCTCCGTCTGCCTTGGCAATCTGATATACACAACCCGTCAGTTACAGGACGTTGAATCGTTGAGAGAATCGCACCAATGATTTCGTATTCTTCGTGGTGGTGGCCAGCGGCTAAGAAATGAGAAGCAGTTCAGAATCGAGTTGATATGAGAAGACCATGGGATTAAAGACTCACCTTGGGTTGAACTGGAGCAGACGCCGAGGGAGCTGGGGTGAACTGGAATGTACCACCTCCAGTGCTAGGGGTGCCATCGCCAGGAGCCACATTGGAGTGCTGGGAACGGCATTTAGTGGAATGGACGACGACTGTAATCGTAGACGTTCATACCTCGTCTCTTGACGTTGGGGCAGACGCCCTTCGAGTATCCTGGCCTTAAGTCAGAAATCTTGGCAAAAGAGAACGAGAAAGTGTGAGCGCTGACCTTGAATCTATTCTTGGCGGTGCGTAGGTTGCTATCTTTTGGAATTGCTTGGTCTTCTACCTGAAAGCGACACCATGGGTTATTCAACGAAGGTATTGGATAAAGCCGAAACCAACCTCTCGACTCGGTGCTGGGGTTCCCTTCTCAGAATCGGTTGCCGCGCCATTGGCATCCTACATAAACGTGAGCATTAAGATAGTCTGGAGAAGTCGAACAAGGTACCTGAGCTAGACTTTCACGCTTCTTGGATTTTCGACTGAAGCTACAGCTAAGGCGCTTCCCCTTGCACGCCCTGCACGCTACGTTGGGTTTGGGGATGAGGCACGCGGATTTGGATACGTGGCACTGCTCGCAAGGAGGGCTCGCTTCGGTGACGGTATCGCCTGTCTTCGACGTCTTCAACTTCTTGGCTGGGTTTTCTCCTTGACCAACATCGTCGGTGCGGCGCTTGTTAGCGGGCGCAGTCGTGGGCTCCTTGGCGAGATTGATTTTCGTCGACTTGGCGTCTTCTTTGCTGTTGAGATTGCGAGGTCGTTTGGGTACTTCCGACTCGGCGGAAGACTCCTCGTCGGAGGGAGCACGATAACTGGCGTCACTGTCGAGTTTAGAGTTCCAATCGTCCTCGTTGCCGACAAGAACCTCCTTGCGGTGATCCGAGACGTTGGCCTGGTTGATGGACCTGGCCCGGCGGGGTTTATCGACAGTCTTTCCGACGTCATCTCGATCAACGTCCATGGAATCGGTGGTGGGCGTCGCGCGCTTCGCGGTCTTCGAGACAGATGATTTCTTGGGGGGAGCAAGAGATGGGATCTCGTTGGATTGGGCGGGTTGAATGGTGCCGGATGCCGCGTTATTGGACACAGAGTCATTGTTTCCTTTGGATAGAAGGGGAATGACGAGAGGAATCGCGTCCTTGAAAGGCCTAAGGCCGAAGTGCTCAAGGTTCACCATCTCGGGGGACTGCTTGGCGTCCTTGTTGTGCTTCAGCCAATTGACCCAGGTGGCGATGGGCTTCCCAAGCCGGCTGGTCTTATCATACTTCGGGTGCTGCTCGAGAATCTCCAGAAAAGCGAACTTGGAGACAATATAATCAAAAGCGACATCGAGGGGGGATGGCGATATCGACGTACCGATGCTTGCACAAAATCTCTCTTCCTTTGCTCCTTCGACTGTCCGTGCCACTTGTGAGGTTCTGAGTCGAGGTATTGGGCGAGTGCGCGAAGATTCTGGATGAGGGCTTTCGGGGCCATGGTCACAGAGTTACAGAGTGAGGATGAGAAAATATGATGTCGAAGGAAGAGTAGTGGTGTCTCGACCTTGTATTTGGCTATGTTTTATTCCGAAGCCAAGGTTCTGGTCAGAACCGACAAGTTTCAACTGGTCTGAGACCGCCAAGCCTCTACCATCACTTCTCTGAACCATCACCGACCGTTCCAAGATATGAAGCGTGAGTGGTATACGCACCTCCTCAACCCCGAAACGTTACTGAAATATCCACAGTAGCAAGAACAGATACGACGCTACTCCTCCAAGAAGGCGAGATGGGCGTAGGAGAGCAGGACAAAGCTCCAACTCCACGACTCACCGCTCTCGACGAGGAAGACCGGGGCACGGATCCAGGTACGTGGTCGTAACGCCAATATTCTCTTTATTTGTCGTGATTTCTGACGCTTTTGCGTTGGCTTGCAGAGAGTATGACTTCAATTTCCGAGGATTGCGATGACGCCGAATTGGAGAAGGGTGTTCCAGCAATTGATTTCAAATCAGAGGTCTCATCGCACGATGATGAGGAAATGGTGACTGACAGTGATCGGGAGTCAGATTCTGGCGAAGACGCCGAGGAATACGACGATGAGATGATGGAGTGGGACCCTCGAAAGCCTGTGGAGGTACGTCTCTCATGTCAGATTATGTTGCAAATCTAACCCATTTGTCGCCTGGAAAGGATGACAAGGAAGTGATCATACCCCAAGTCCCCATCGAGTTGGTTCTGAAGGCCCACCTCGATTACCTTCATGCCGCTCACACCGCCGCCATGAGCCATGTCAAAGCCCTCACGGAGGTTCGCTTGCTCTTGGCTAAGCAGCAGTCGGCAATCAGAACGGCTATGTGGGTGAAGAGAACCTCCAATGCAACGCACCGTCGGAAGGAATCCTGATCCGTAGATGTTTATTCGTAGATGTTTCGCTTCTTTTTCTCTGGTATCAATTCAGTATCGACTATTAGTTGGCGCCCGTGAATTTCGATCGCCACTCGAAAGAGCATACCAGTCACTCTTCTAGCAATTGTCCGAGTAGGCTTTTGTATCCTTCCCCTTAGTCTCGTACCCATCCGTTCCGGTTTTCGGGTTCCCCCGGTCGGAGAATGGAAATACAGTGCAGAACCCTCACCACCACTGTATTTTCAAGTGAGCCTCCGAAAGAACGGATGGGTACGAGACTACCTTCGCCTTTCATCAACCAACGATCGATCGCTCACCCATCCGTCCTTCACAATGCCGAAAGCGAAGTCCACCCCCTCGTCTTCGGGAAAAAGGCGGAAGCCCCGCAAATCCTCCCAGTGCAAACGGACACCTGCCTTGTCGGATGACGACGGCCCTCTTGGATGGACACATATCCGTGATGGTAAGCACTGGCTTAAAACAAATCTGAGGATGTCGCAGGTTAATATACTACTCCATTAGCCCAGAACAAGAGTCGAAAGGAAGCATCGCACGCGTCGTCCATCACCTGGGACCTTCGTCACGCCTTCCAGACTCTGCTCCTCGAGCTCCAGCTTCACGGTGGTGACTGTGAATGCTACATCAAGCTCACGGAGATCTGTAAGAAACACGAGGACTCCTTCAACGCCCAGGCGGATAGCCTGAGAGGATCGTTGGAGACCATACAGACTGAAATCGAGTTCGCAGGGTGGCATTTGGGGATGTTGATGCCAAAGGCTTGACTTTATGACATGTGTATGCTATATCTACGTCTAGATAGATGGCAGGGTCAATAGTAGCGTGAAGTTACCGTGGCGTTGCAGTTTCATGTGATGAGGCTGAGGGGCGCCAAGTGATTAGCGCTCGCCATCTTGGCGCCCAAGAACACTGTCGCTTGGCATAGGCATTTCACGGTGTCAGATGGTTCAGTGGTTGCGTTGAAGCGGAGTTGAAGTCCATGGCGTTTGATTTTACGCTATCATATACACCGACTCAGACGAGCTCATCTCAACCCACCACCGCAAACAAACATGACATCAGCCCTCGACGTGATCATGCCCATCGCTAATGGGTTCAGCGGCGAGGGCTCTGTCCCTGCGCTCGGGCCATCATCAAAGCCAAGGCTCCGGGGTGTGGGCTACCATCACTCACGGGAGGGCTTTCACTGGTAGCGCCATCGCTACTGGCGCAGCCCAGCCTTGGGCTATCAGGGAGCGGGAATCCCCCGCCCCATCAAAAGCCGATGGAAATTCGCACCCGCCAATTATAGCCGCCGCAATTCGCGCGGACGCTGGGCAGAAATCTGGCGGCACCGCCCGACATTCCCCGGCTGAAAGCTATCCTGTAGTGCGCAGTAATAGAGGGCTATTATTTTTAATGCTAGCAATTAGGCGGTAAGAGTATCCCAATTCAGCGAGGAACTACGATTCAACAAGAGAGCCCAGTCCTTTGAGGGATTCTGTCAACGCGATGCTCTGCTCCCGCAACACCATCGACGCCTTCACCGACTTCAAATGACTCTCCAACCTGTCGTAAACCTCACAGTTATGCATATAGTGGTTTACAAGGGTTCCAAGCCACGACGACATGTAGTTGAGCTGGGCGTCAATGAGATCCGCCGACATACCCGCGTCCTCCAGGTTGGGTAGATTCCATATCAATTGAGATTCATCAGAAACGATCTCGTTCCGGATGGACTCGGGCATGGTGTCGAGCAATCCCTTTAAAATGCCGTCCATCTGTTCGTTAACAGGTGCGCCTGCCTTGGAAGCACCCGCCTCTGAAGAAGTAGCGGCGGGCCCGCGAGCGGACTTGAGATCGGAGGCAAGAGGGAAGTCGCTATTCTTCGGGAAGATCTCGCGATGGGGTCGTCCAGATGTAGCGATGTTGTCGGAGAAATACCCGCTGAACAGGGTGGCCGCTTGATGTTCAGGAAGGTCGGCGAACCATTTCAAAGCCTCCGCCTCGTCAGAAAATGGGCTCCATGCATTCCCTTTCTCCTTCCCTTTCCCCTTTCCCTTTAAACCAGAACCTTCCACCTCCATTTTTCCGCCTTCATCTATGTGCAGCAGTCAACCGCAGTACGGGGGTCCTTATCGGACGATACACTCACCTAGGTCTGTGTAGGCGGGTTTGGGAGTCGGTGACTGTGAACCAGGCGGGCCTTCCGCCTCCTGCGTGCTAAACGTCCTCCAGCCCGCATTATCGTCTTCCAAGAGGGCGGGGGCGGACTCTGGGTCCTCAGTGAATGGGACGAAGCGGACGTCATCTGCAACCTCGTCCGTATCCATAGCTCCACCCGACATAGCTGGTTTGGTGATTGATTTGTGAGGCCCCCATCACAACAAACGTACAGTTAACTCACTTTGGTCGTCGTCGCTTTCTCGCTCCATAGCGGTGCTTGGGGTGGTGGCAGATCGATAAAGACAGTCCGCCCTGTTTTTGATAAGGCGGAGCCTCACGCCAAGGATCGGGACATCCCGAAGTGGCACGTGACCGGTATGACATCGCGTCGCGTTACGGTTTGCCTTGGGAATCCGAGTCACTCGGATAACCATCCTTCTTCCTTCCGCCGTCACCCCAAACTCCCAGTTAACCATGGCTACTCCCATCAACATGGAAGCGTACACTGAGAAGGAACTCGCACAGATCTTCAACCCCGTTCTGCAACGACTTCGCACATTGCTCAACAAGCATCCATTTTGGCCTCAAGATGCCTTGGGGAAGGAACAACTTAGGCGGGCGGTGGTGGGACTAATGGTAAGTTCCTTCTTCATTTGTAACGTTTATATAAATCAATGTATTTAACCCTTCAGACTATCGCTAACAAAGTCCCCCCGACCTGCCAAACCCTCTTCGCCGGATATTCTGTACGTGCAGCATTTAACGAAGTGCGAAAAAGGCCTGAATGGCGGCAACCTGGCGCCGTCATTGATCCCTCTTTTCTCGCCAACGTCAAGCCCGACAAGCCGAAGGACTTGGACCCCTTCGACGACGCGCGAGCCGCTCTGTTCATCGAGGGCTGCCTCGAGTTTATCACCAATTGGCGGCTGCCACCACCTCAACCCCGTGCGTCGGATAAACCCCCATCGCCTGCACCTCCCGCAAATCCACTGGCAAATCAAGTGGCCAAGCAACCCGGGACGACTGTTGGATCTGGAACTGGGGAAGACACGGCCTCAGCTCTTGACACGGAGAAGGCCGTCCAATCGAAGGGGGACCTTGATGTGGTGAAGAGTAACGTGAAGGGTAAAGGAAAGAAGGACGACGAGGAAGCCGACCTCGATGATGACGATCACGACAACGAGGGTGGGGATGGAGGAGACGCGGACGAGGACGAAGAGGACGAGGACGAGGACGAGGAGGGCGAGTTAGAGGGCGAGGAGGACAAGCAGACTCTGAGGAGATCTCCAAGAAAGCGAGGTCGAGGTATGTGGTCGCATTTCTCGGAACCCATTAAAGTTTTATCAAAATCGCCGCTGTATGTAAAGCAGGTAGACCTTCCACTACCGTCCAACCTCCGCCCGGCGACTCTTTCGTCCTTTGCGACCGCTGTTTGAAGGCAAGATCAGTTGCTCAACATTACAAAGCCCTAGGCAAGAACTACGACGCCGCCAACCTTGCTCCGGAGTGCACGTCCCCTGAAAACGGCAGTTGTCCTCGATGCACGAAAACGAAGAAAAAATGTGAACGAGTTCTCCAAGGCAACGAAGCGCTCGCGCTTGCCTCCGCCTTGAAACGAGGCCGCAAACGCAAGGACTTCACCCCCCCCTCCAACCCTGCAGTGACGTCCGAACCCCCCGTGAAGAAAACAGGGAAACGCAAAAGCGCCGCCTACATTGAAGATTCCGACATAGGAGAGACCCCGATTGGCCATGAGCACGCCCCCGCCGCCAAAAGAACTCGAGTGGACCCCAAAAACGACTCCAACGCTGTTCCCAAGACCCAAGTAAAGTCCAAGCCGGCGGGGAAAAAGCCAGCAAAGCAATCGTCGAAGGCTGCTTCTCCGACGAATTCGGTGCAGGTCATCCCCATGACCATGGTCCCATCCACGGCCACTGCCTCGGCAGCTCCAGCAGGTCCATCCACGGGCACCTCGTTCTTCGCTGGAACGAAGGAGCTGGGTCCGATTTTCGATCCCCGACATGCTCGTCCCATGATTCTGCACCCACCGCCCCCTATCCCAATCCCAGACAACTCAAACGTGGTGCCATCTTATCCGACTGAACTGCCGACCGGGAACCTGGTGCAAGACTTGGTCAATTGTATGACCAATCAGGACGAGCTGGGTGGGAGGGTCACGGAAGCTGAGGGGAATATTCGAGGACTCACCGCGTCGTTGAACAGGCTCGAAGAAAAAGCTCGCATACCAATGGTTCCCAAGGCCGACTTTGACGAACTCCGTAGAAAGGTGTCGGTCTTGGAGCGGGACTTTAACCAGCGGGAGGAGACACTCAGGAAGACGGTGGAGAGCGCACTCGCGCTGGCAAGTAATTTGGAGGAACGGATGAAGTTGTACGACGGTCGCCTGGACGGAATCGAAGAACGGTTGGGAGAAGCGTCGGGAAAAGCGAAATCGGCAGGAAAGGATGCGGTAGACTCATATCGAATTGCGCGGGATGTCGAGAAGACCGTTGAGAAGTATAGGGTGGATAGGGATGATCTTCGGGTTGCACAAGACCACCTCGACGACCTTGAGGGCAGGACAGGAGGCATTGAGCAAGAGATCGGTAACCTTCGACAGCGGTGCTACGATTTAGAAAGGGACACATCAAGGCTCAACACATCCGTCAACCAACAGACGCTTGAGGCCCTACTCGCGAGGTTGGGCCACATTCCTCCTCCTCAACGGCGCCATCCCTCACATAGGGATGGCGCCGTTTCTCCGATCCCCCGCCCCATTGTGCACCGATCGACAAGTCCCATTCCCGCTCCAATCGTTGCTCCCCGCCCGATGCAAGACCGCGCGTTGTCACCGATTCCTGCTCCAATCGTTGCTCCCCGCCCGATGCAAGACCGCGCGTCGTCACCGATTCCCGCTCCAATGGCAATTCCCCGCCTGATGCAAGACCGCGCGTTAAGCCCGATTCCCGACCCTTGCGATGAGCGGACGGAGAGATCCACCGCCACTAATTCCGACCCGCCCCTTTTCGCTCCTAATTTTACGGGTCCCGCCAGTAATTTCCAGGCGGCCGCTCCATTTCCTGCCACGTTCACCGCCGTCCAAGAATCAGCCTCTTTCGTCTCTGGATCTGGCGGCCTATTCGAACCCCTTCCACCCGATTCTCCTCTTTCTCCTCCCCCTGATTCCCCCCAGCCTCAGATGGCGACGCGTGGTAAGAAAGTCGGGCGCCGCGATGCTGATCCGCCGGCGGGTAGACGGTCGGAGCGCCTCAAAAAGACTTTGTGAAATTCTGCCATTTTGTTCATAGTGAAATCATTAGTTATGTTTACAATAATCAACTACATTTGCTTCAAAATTTAGGGAAAGTGAATTTAGGTCTGTTTCTTCCTGCTCCTGGTGACTCTATGGTTAAGCGCCTCCTTAGAACGAGTAGTGACTCCGGTAGTGGTCTGGGGGAGTAAGTCGATCCCGTCCATTTTAAGTCGTTTAGCCTGGGGTTTAACGGATGGTGGGCCAGTCGCCCGCTTACCAGTGACCGGGGGTTGAATCTCCGTTGACTTTGAGGAACCTTGAAGGGAACGGATGAGTTCCGCAGCGGATCGTTTAGGTCTATCGGTCCCTGTGGGACGGTTGTAAGGTCGAGGGGTTGGTTTGACCTTCGAGAGCGAGGGGATTGGGGCGGTAGCTTCCGATTTGGGCGCTATGGCCGGCTGCTCAAGTTGGTCGCCCACTGGTTGGCCGGCGTCCCCAGAATCACGGTCGGACTGGGCAGTGGGGTATGTGGGACGGTCGGACTGGCCTGTGGGGTATGTGGGAGCAGCCTTGGGGATGGGGTGGGCCGGGGCAGGGTCGGTTAAAGGGGCGGGAGCAATGGGAAAAATGGCGGGTGGCGGGGCGGTTTCCACGGAATGAAGATTCGGGGTGGAGCCAAAGGTCGGAACCGTGGCTTGGCTATTCGGGGTGGCCTTACCAGCGGGACCGGGAACTGGACTACTTGTGGCGGCGTTAACGGCGGGACCCGGGGCTAGATCCTTGGCGGCGGCTGTGGAACTCCCCTTTGCGGGCTTAGCTTTTGCTTTCAATCGCCGACGCTCCTCCGCCCCCGCCTGCTGCTTGGCCAATGCCTTGGTGGCTTTGAACTCGTCCCCGTCTTTCCAGTAGTCAAACCTAAATGACGGTTTGAGGTCTTGTTCTTGTCGATCGTACAAGTACTGCAACACCGCCTTCAATTCCTCTACAGTCATCCTTGATGGCTCTTGCAGCATCTCCATGTATTGTTGGGGAAGAATGTGATCGTCGAAAAAGGAAGCTGGATCTTTCTGGATGTCCGACCAGGGGCACTTCGGTCGGCGTTTCTCATCATCGGGTAAGCCTTCCACTGAATGACAAATCAGCAATGAATGAAAAACAGCTAACTAAGGAATCATACAGTATTTGTGGGTGAAGTACGACCGAATCAGAGCCATCAGCCAGGGCTTGTTGACCGAACCGACCGGCGGTTTCTCAGGGTCGACTAAGCGAACACCATCGGGACCAGTCGGCAGCTTCATCAGGGCGTTCGCCCCGTTTCTTCGGGTGGAGGGTGGCGGCAGTTCCCCAGAGCCGTCGCAATTGTATTCCCGCCTACCCCAGGCCGTCACCACTGCGTTTACGCCTGAGTCGTCGAAGATTCCTTGGTGCTGATGGGTGAAGCTAGTCCCGCCCAAATTGCTGCCGTGATCAGTCGTCCACACCTTCAACACACCACTCTTGGTGGGATAGACACAGGTGAAAATAATACGAGTGTTGAACTTTGCTTGGGCTTGGATGGCGACCCCCTCTAAGAAAGACGGAAGATCCTTCTCCGCCATCCTAAACAATTTAGAATGAATGATCAGTCATAAGCGCTACCCGATCGAAGAATACAACGTACTCAGCTTGCTCCGCTGGCGTTGGCCCATGTTCGCGATTCAGGTAAGCCCGTAAGCGGTACCGTTCCTTTTCAGCGGTCGGAAGCTTCTGCCACAACTCTGAGACCGCTTGTTGAAAGCAGGCAAAGACGCGGTTGCTGGTCTTCTGAGCTGCGGTTCCATTGCCGCTCTTCCCTGTGGGCGTAACCTTGACCTTGTCGTCGGTCTTGTCACTGGTGTCATCATCTTCCTCATCCAAATCGCTGCTGTCGTCGTCTAGTGCTTCCAGACGAGCCTCCATGCCGTGGTCCTGCAACATGGCGATTTCTTCTTCCGTAAAGTCGGGTAAAGGGTCGTCCGTCTGGTCGTGAATTGCATAGGGAAACGCCTCGCCAGTGGCGCTTTCAAAAAGCAATTTCTGCTTCTCTTTGATGGTCCGACGGTTATGCCGAATGTAGAGGATCCGCGGCTTGACACCCTTCCATGAAATGGCTTCCGCTTTTCGTTTCGCTTTGCACCTGGCGTTCAGCCAACCACGTACAGCCTGTAAAACTGGGTTAATATTTCTTCAACCATGAGATGGGATACTCACAACAAATAGAGACTGGCTAGCAGTTCTGTCCAAGGGTACTCCGCCCGCCTTCTCCATCTCCGCTTGAAGTTTGTTGGCAATGTTGTCAGCAACAATTTGCCGCTTCACTGCGTCGGCAGCCCGGAATTCCGCCTTGGCATCGTTGAGCACCTTCAGCTGGTCATCGGTCCACACCATGGGGGGTGGTTTCTTGGGGGCCATTGTCGCCTGTGCTCTGTACCAGAGTGAGGGAGGTTGTGGCGAAAGAGGATGGTTTGAGGTACCTTGCCACGTCAATAGATTGGCGGGTTTTTAAGTCGGGGATTGTTTGTGCGGCGGTTGTTTGGCCAGGTTGGAGAACCAAGCCGGAGATATCAGGCGGATCGGCTTCCGACCTGTTCTCTAATTGCCGGAGTCGGTCGGCCTTCAATCCTGATAATCGATTGAGATATGTATTGAGCTTTAACTCAACCACCCACAACCTCAGTGCCATGACGAGAAGAGGAAAGAAGAACGTTGTTACGGACAAACCACTTCGAGGGCTCTTGGTGGAGGTTCACACTAAGAAAGGAACGAGACACGAATTGACCGCCCTGCCTGCTGCGACAACCCTTGGAACACCGACTCCAGCAGGGAAACGTCGACGCATCGATATTCAACCGCCGTGGGGAGAGGAACAGTGGGCTGAAAGAGAATCCATTCCCGGAAATCCTTTTCAAGACTCGGCAGCAGGTGAAGCCATTATCGACAATGTAAGAGTATATTTATGAATGATACTTCGTGCCTGACTTGGAACACCTGAAAGAGCAATTATGATTACATGCTTCAATGGGAGCCTCGAATCAACACTTACCTCTCATATTTCTACCAGAAGCACGCTCGCAGGGAAGATAACGCATGTGACATATGTGGAGCAGACGAACCGTTATGGCGGTGTACCTCCTGCTTTGCAACACCAAGCCTTTGTTCGACATGCTGCCGCGACATTCATCACCGTCACCCCCTTCATCGAGTTGAAATGTGGACAGGGAGATTTTACGAACCGTCGTGGCTCTGGAAACTAGGAATCTCAGTCTACCTTGGACATGAGGGACAACGATGCCCTAGACTGCCGCCATCACAAGTTTCCGATCATACCAATGAAGAATTCATCGCCTCGTCGATATCGGATTGGAATAATCATACCGACTTTTCTTTCGGGGCCAGTCCAAAGCATGGTAAAGATGGTTGGGGTCAAGAGATGGTAATCGTTCACATTAACGGCATCCATCGCCTTGTGGTTTACCCATGTGCCTGTATTGGCGCAGCATCCCTGGACGAGCAGTGTGTGGCGGGTGGGCTGTACCCGAGTACCTTCAAGGCTGTGGAGACAGTATTCACCTATGAGCTTTTACACGACTTCAATCTCGCCTCGCTAGAATGCCGCACTTCAGCGAGTGAATACTTCAGCAAGCTGCGCAGACTCACCAATCCTGATTTCCCTGACTGTGTACCGGTGGGTATTAAGTGATGCCTTCCCACCAATCTTTAACATTGATCAGCAAAGCATAGAATCGCCATCGTGAACTTCTACGGACAGCCAGACAATTCCGACATCTAAAGGAGTTGGTGCAATTTGGGTTCACTACTCGCGAGGCTGCTAGCTCCCCTGGTTCCCTGGCGATATTCTGTGCAGCATGTCCACAGCCCGACATCAACCTTGAAGAGAATTGGGAACAGGACCGCAGAACGTTCGTCCCAAACATCTTTTATATTTCAAATCAGATTGCTAAAGTACAAATCTGTGAACAGATGGAAATTTGCCATGTCCTTCGTGGCCGACGGGAACTTCGTCTGCGTTCGGCAAAGTAAAAAAGGAGCGGGTCAGGACCTCTTTCTGAAGCGGGGCCAAGGTTACTTTGTCGAGTCCGAAGAGTACAAGCGGCATTTGCGTTCCGCTAGTGAGGAAGTCGAGGTACGGTCGAGGGCAGGTGGTGAAGTCACGGGGTTCTGATCTTTGTTTAAGCCATCCACTTGCAACGAGCATCGTGCAGTTGCCGATAAGAATAAAGGGCACAAGGGATACGACGCGACTGGAATTGGGGCTCTGGCATGCGCTCGCCATGGTGCCTTTGTCCCATCGTCAATCGTGGACTTCCAAAAAGGGGAACGCCAAATGAACATGGATTATTCGTTGTGCAAAGGGTTGAAGACTGTTGTCTCACCCAAAACAAGGTGTGTCGTCTTCATATACGATATCTGCTGCCAATATTGGAAGAACCTCCTTTCCCGCACACAGAGATACAGCCCGAAGCTTGACCTTCCCTGGTACAAGTCGATGACGTTCGGCATTGGACAATTCCACGTCCACGGCCACCAAGAGAGGTGTCTTCCCCGGTTTTCCCCGTTGTACATCGATGGGCTTGGGTGGAATACCGGTGAGATTTTGGAATCAAACTGGTCACTGTTGAACCCGACAGGGATTCTGGCGAGCACAATGACCGAGGCACATCGCCTTGAGGTTTTGGATGGCAAGCTCCTGGATCTCAATTGGAAGAAATTGACCAACCTCCGTGAGTCATCACCGCCTGTTTAAATGTAGCGGTAATCAGGCGGTTGTCGGCCGCTGGCGGTACCCGAACCCGAATGACCACGGCGGGGCGGGCGGCCGACCCATAAAATAGCCGCCTTGATTAAACAGGGGCCACCCCCGTTAGACTATTTGCCTGATGGTTAACTTACAATCTATCTATTTTAGATGTGTCGCTTCCGGGCCTACTAAAAACCGCTTTGACGAACCTTTTGGAATTCACCGAGGCCGTTGAAATGTTGAAGTCGTCGGCAACAGCGGACCAAAGGGCGGAATGGGATCAACAACTCAAGGAAGCTCAAAGGAAACGCGAGAATCACGTCCCAGAAGCCATGGATATCTTGATGTCAACGATAGATAAAGGTAAAACCATAATGAATAGAAAGGGGTATAGCGGCTGAAATCGTCCGAAACCCAAAGCACCATCTCGGAAAACTGTCGAGGCGCGCCTCATAACGGAAGAAATCAATTCGAGTCGAAATGTGGGAATGACATCGTGGATTCAAAAAGGAATTCTAATTCAGGAGTTGCAGTATGTGATACTATCTGCTATAAAATTCCCCGCCTGATGACTGTCTAGGATCGATACAATGACTTTGGCAAAGGATCTTGGTAGCACACCTTCTGACTCAAAACAGTTGGACTTGGAAAGGAAACGTGCCGCCCTCAAGCTTAAACACGACGAACACTTCGAAGAAGGGCTGATGTTATTTCCAGTCCTGGCGCCCAGTAAGGCGGACGACTCCGACCCGCGAGCACGCTTTTTCCTCGCCCCTATACGCGAGCCTTGTACTTGCGAAGAATTCGAATGCGGCCATCTAGACATGAACATTAATCCGTTTCAGGAGTTGCAGAAGGGCCCTTTGGAGAAGTTGGCAGTGCTGCTGCCGTCCTCAGAACCTCATGCAGGCTCCATATTTCCACAGTCTGCCCGCGAAGCGGAATTAGCCTTAAGGAAGGCCCAGGCGGACGAATCGCTGGCCAACATTCGGACTCAAGTCGGGTATAAATCGTTCTTGTTCAAAGCTAACGTCCAACTCGCGGAGAACAAAGCGCAGAAGACCCGGGGATATGCTGCCGTTTCGTCGGCGGAAAAGGCCATTCAAAGACACACCAGGGTATACAACCAGGCACAGTGGGCGATCACGCAACTCACCGACGATCTCGCGGTCAAGGACAAGTACCGCCCACTTCTTAAGGGCGATGCCAAACCGCTTCAGTCGATCTACCAACCTAATGCACCGGGACAGAGTCACGAGGTAGTCAGCTGGATCTGGGGGTGGAAACATACGGGCAATACCGACAGCCCGGAATTCCTAGCTGAGAGTGGGTGCGATTGTATTTTATTGCCTGCATCCGCTCACGACTACCGCCCAGTTTGCCGCCTCAATTGGCTCCGAACGACGTCCCGCCTCAAGCGGTGGGAGGAGGAAGTCCTTCTTGTGCGTGCTGAAATGGGATGGACGGTTAGATATATGGAAAGAAAGGCAGATGAATGGGAGGGTAAAGGTGGAGTGAGCAACAGTGCGGGAGTGCAAGCGGTTGCCTCATGTCAAGCCGCATCATGGCGGAAGTTGGCGTTCCAAGCCAAGGCGGCTTTTAAGGATTTTATGGACTCAACCCATTAAGGATTACGCTAAATGCTCTACGCATCGGCGTCCGGTACCCGCCTAATAGTACCCCGCTTCTGATAGCCCCCTGAAAATAACCCGACTGATATCCAACTGGTTCCCGCCAGTGAATCGGTATCCGCCTTCGATGCCCGCCTGAAAATCGGAGTTCAAGTTCGGCAAAAGCCGATCGTAGACTTTCCATCGATTTCGTTGTTCATTTTCGTTGTTCATCAACTATCATGGACTTCAAGTATAGCCCTCCGGGCAACTCCCCCGAGCTTGTAACAAACATGTTTACCGATCTCGACAACTTCGACGGGGCCACGATGCAACAATTCATGTACTATCTCTCTTCTCGTCTTCGGGGGGCGGGTCTCGCATACGCCCACCAATTCGCAAAATTGACCATCGATCAAAGGGCGGAATTTCTCAGAATTCTCTTCGAGGAAGTGGTGTGTTTGACCACTATCTTTACTTTGCGAATACGAAATCCTAACCTTATCTCAAGACTTGGGTAACCACCCTCTTTGGATTTGCGGCCGCCCGTTTTCCAACCATAAAGCCCGGCGACACTCATCGAGAATTGACTTCCCTTGTCGCCTACCTCCGCTTTGGTGACCCAATGCCTATCCTTGCCGCATGCACCGCCAACAACGAGGAAGTACCCGACCGTCTTCTCGCACATTTTGAATGCAATTGGTGGGAACCCTTCGACCCCACAAAAAATTGGGATGCCAGCAACGTATCATTTATCGCAAAGACATTTCGCCATCAGCGCCATTTTCTTCTCCCGCTCAACAAGCCCCCGCTTCCCAGCAACCGCCTGGCGGACCTGAGCACCAGGCAACTCGCCCAATGCGCTGACTCCATCGCCAAATGCTCCGAAATCGTCGCCAAAGATATCGACCTCACCGCACGAGAAATTTCTAAGGCGGTGAATCTCTTCTGCCGTTGGAAAGCCCTCTGCGTCAAGGCTAGGCTAGAAGAGGACCGTCGCCGACATGCAGCTCGGGTTGAGGGACTTAGCAAACATGGGCTGTCGCGGGATGTGGTGGCGGATGTCTTGGCGTGGGCAAATCAGATAAAGAATCAATGAGTCAATAGTAGCGGTGTAATTTAGTACTACCACTTGGAAGCGACGTTCTTGCCTGCATGCCTAAACCGATATCTTTCGCCACTTTGTCTGAAGATGAATGGATTTCTTTTCATGATTTCGTCGCGATCAGACTACAATTGGCATTCACAGCCTTCGCCCGTGACCCTACCGGCCGCCTTTGGAAATCCCGACAAAACCAATTTACTGCAGAGTTCGTAAGTAACTTTTGGAACTGTTATAGATCGGTTTGAAACTCATCTATTCATCTATCTATACACATAGCTACAGGCGTTGCATTTCGTTGGGATGTCCCAAATGTTTCCGATGGGCGACTACGTGAACGAGTTCACCGCCAAGCTAGTTGAGGATTGGGACGTCATTTTCGACGAGGTAGAAAAAGGGTCCCGCCCCGACTATTCAAAGGCGGAAGGATGGCTTATAGATCCACTGCCATTCCATGAGGTGATGCCGCTGGCCTGGTGGAAGGTGAGAGGAACCTTGTCTCTCTACGACCGCTTCTGAAATGTGATTCAGTGGAATGGTATTGACCTGGAAGAGGATACAGCCGCTGGTCACCCGCCCCCAAAGCACTTGAACGGCATACAGGAGTCCTTAACCGCCTGGAGGGCTTATTGCACTCTCCTTACCTCTCAGGGTCCGTCCGTCAGTTACACGCCAGACTATACCGACTCGATGGCCGACTGCCTGCAAGGACTGGCTAGTTATCGCGATGGAGCGGCCGACATGTTAGACAGCAACTCTCAGTCGGTGATTCCAACCCTTCAGGCCGCGGTCAACCGCATTTCGGACATCTGCCTCTACCCACTCTATCTGGGGTGGCATCACATTGGCTCCAGGGAAACCACGCTCGCTCGACGGAAAGAATATTACAGGAGGCGGGAAATAAGCGGCATTTCTGAACGCGGCAATTCCGTCAGATCCGCCCCCGCCCGATTGAATACCGCCACGTCGGCAGCAGAATTGCCCGCCCGATGGAATACCGCCACTTCGGAAGCGCAATTCCCCGCCCTGAAAACGCCGCATCTCCAAGAGGACAGCTCAGGCAGCGTTACCATTTAGATCTATGAAAGAAAAACGTTTAGAAACTGTCTCTATCTAAATACCACGTCTTTCCGCCTCTGGTACCCCCAACCGCTCCTCAATACTATGGACCGTCTCAGGTCGACTGGCATGCGCGCGCCACTCCAGGATGTACTTCAACACCTCGGGCCTCATAAAGCTCGCGAGACAGATCCTTTCACCGTCAACCTCAGCAACACCGTGCTCAAGAACCTGGCTAAGAATGAAGGCCATAGTTCCCCGCTCGTATCTAAAGCGGCGGCCGACCCTTTTCAACTCTAATCTGCCCCCTCCGTATCTCCCGACGGTAAGAAGACAATCGTACCAATTAGGGTTTCCGAGTGTGTCAAAATGGAAGGGTGTTTCACGGTTTGAGATGACCTGGGTGACCGTAAACGGGGACGCCCAGATCCTCAACACCCCAGCCATAAGCTCGGCGCATTTCGGAGCGGAACCTTCGCAATTGGTCGCCGCCAGCTTCTGCCACGTTTCTACGCCTTGTTCGTATTGCGAGGGATTCAGAACGTATAGGACCGCTCCAATAAGACTAAACGCCTCCCGCATCGCCCTCACGAACGGAATCCCACCGTCCTTTCCGTCGCGTCGGCGGATGGAAGCGGAAACCATGGGCTTATGCTTCGGTGGCTAGGTGGTCAATTGTTCAGCCCGGGCTATTCACAGTCATATTATTTTTGGTCACTTACTGGGTGATTTTGCATGAACCAACAGGGGGAGAGGCTGAGCACGCCAGGTGTAAATTCGGACGTGGATGTGTCTTTAAAATACTTGGCCTGACTCCTCCAGGACCGTCCCGTCTTTACCTCCATCTTTGAATGGGGGCATTGACGAGGTCCCTACATGCCTCCTCCACTATATCAAGTGNTACAGCGGTCAGGACGCGCGNAAGTGAGGAAAAGGAGACGACCGTTGCGATCGCAAACGTGGGCTGGCCCGCTGACTAGCTGGCTGACTCCATCTTCTTTGGGAGGGAATTCGGGATCGACCCTGTGCTGCGGGTTCTTCGCCTGTGCTAAGAGATTTTCGAAGGTTTCATTGATGACAACTGCGCCAAAGATATTAGAGGACGTTAATCAGTGCGCGCGCGTAAGCAAGTCCAGGATGGAATTACTTTGATTTTTGAGTGCATCCATAACAATATTTGAAGCAAGGTAAAGTTGTAGTCGGTACTCTATTGCGAGATGCTCGCTGTGCGGTTGCGGCTTGGTAGGGGCGGTGTACTTGGTGAAGCAGAGCGCATGGAAGTAACTAGCAGTGTGGCCAAGGAATTCGAGCGCTGAAACCGGGTCATCAATGCTGAGGAGGTCCACTTCTTCCGTGTGCGACATGACGGTTGGGCTCCAACTCCAATGAGTCGCCTCTTCTTAAGTCGACGTGATGCTGCCTCGTTGTTTACGCGCGTCCCTGGCACCCCTGACAATCGGTTGGGGTTTGGGGTATTATAATTGGATACTAGACTAAGGATGTTAATAATATTCCAGCTTTCTGACCGTCTGTTTCACGACTGAGACGTCTCATGGTCTCAGAGGGGAGTTCTTTGAAAAACGTGAGTAGCCGTGAGGAGCGGTTCAAGGGCGGAAGAATCGTTTCATGCATCGGATTTCAGGCGGCCGCGCGAATTGCGGCGGCTATAATTGGCGGGTGCGAATTTCCATCGGCTTTTGATGGGGCGGGGGATTCCCGCTCCCTGATAGCCCAAGGCTGGGCTGCGCCAGTAGCGATGGCGCTACCAGTGAAAGCCCTCCCGTGAGTTGATGGTAGCCCACACCCCGGAGCCTTGGCTTTGATGATGGCCGAGGAGCAGGGACAGAGCCCTCGCCGCTGAACCATTAAGCGATGGGCATGATCCGCGATGTGCAATCAGTAAGTATGGGTGAAGTTATGTAATGGGGTGGGCGTCGAGCTTGCCGATGATGATATCCTGCGTCTCCTTGATGCCAAGCATCTGTTTGAGAGCGAAAGTCACTGTTGGCGACAGGGCGCCGATGAAAGGGATACCCTGCAGCGGTCCGTCCGCGAGCGCAGCGGTGCCCTTTTCAACGCACATCACCAAGACCTCATTCAGCTTGTCCATGTCAAACCCCGGGGGGAGAGACTCTGGCTTCAGCTTCACGTCGTCGTGCTTGGCGGTATGTGGGTTCGAAAGATCCTTAGTCGCGAGAGCTGAGCCTTGGTCGACCACATCGTTAGCAGACATAATGCTGTAAGAGAAAGTAAGTTGCCAGGAATCCAAGTGCGGGGGGGGGGGGGGGGGTTTGATGAACAGGGATGCATGTCGCAGTACTTATCTTGTTGCGAGTCCGTTCGTTTTTGGCCATCGGTCATGGTGTGTCCCTGCCCAGGTCTCTGCCCTGGTGTTCAGGCCGTGACAGCAGTAATGCTGGTGCTCAGCGCTCAGCAGCCACCTTGATAACGGAGTGCCTGAGTTGAACGATTACTCTACAACCTTCCCCGGAGAATTGCCAGGTCCGGGTAGGGGTGACAGCAGGACTGAAATCCCGCCACCAGCACCTGACAATTGAAATCTTCCAGAGATGGCGGTACCTGAATCTGATAGAGCAGCTGAGTTATCTTCCGCCTCCCCCCGCTTAGGATGCAGTAACAGGAGTGGATTTCGTTATCTAGATCTCGCCTCTGTTAGTAGCTGTTGCATTCTTACTGCAACCCATCGATAGAGGAACTAGGAAGTCCCTCGGATAGATAGACAGGTGTATTAAGTCGTCGTATTCAAGAACATATGGCCATTAGGCCAGAAGCCAGGGAAGGTTAAAACTGCGAATACATCTCCGACTCGGATGTTTTTTGCGTGGACCAAGCGCAACACCCCTTTCGTCAAACCATATTTCCTGTCGTGCTAAAGTCCTCTTCTGAGCACAAATCCCTCACAATCGTAAGCCCTGGGGCCCGGGGCCTGAACACATCATCGTGGCGCAGTTGGCTTTGCTTACGGCGAGCGTGGATAATAATGGACTCCCGAGCCAAGAACCATTTCCGGCCGTCATTTGGGCGATCTTGCCAGTGCTCACAACGGCTTACAGAGCCGTTGGCGTTGTGTCGGGAAGGATGAAGTTATGAGTGCACCACCCTCCACCCCCCTGTGACATTTCTGGATACACCTGCTCCCCTGTCCATTGGCATTTCACCGCGAAAGCCCTTTTTCCGTAAATCATACTGACTCGCAATCGAAATAGATACCCAGGTATAAAGTACAATGAAACGGGTACAGTCGTAGCGGCAGGATGCCCGCTTCAACACCCAGGCACCGTGCTTTATGATTGTTCGGTGATGACCACCTTTTTCTTCTCCGCCGTAGGCTTCGACTCCCCGGCCCTCGTATGCTGACGTCTCCTCTCCTCCTTGACCCTCCTCGCCTCCAGCATGGTATTCTTGAGTTGGCCAGCTTTGTAAACCGCCTTGGGTAGATGGCGCGTTCTGTCGAGACACCATGAATATGAAACTCATTTGTATTGGGGGATAAGATCAACACGCACCGCATAACTCTGCCAACGTCCTTGTCCACAGACCACCGCTTGACGAGACTTTCGCGATACTCCATGGCGGCGCGTTCGCGCGCGGTGATGATACCGAGTTTGTCAGAGGCTTTGGCTTTCCATATCCGCACATTGCCGTCGTCAGAGCCGGAGAGAATGAAGCGAGCGTCGGCTGAGTACATAGTGGATGTCACACTATCCAGCTTGGATCAGCAAGCTTTTCCGGAAATATGATTCATGAACGCACCGTTGCATTCGCTTGGTGTGATACACCACTTCCCTTCCTCCAGGGCCCTTCGAGGTTGCACCTGCTTCTCGGCTTGACCAGATACGTACAGTCCTGTCCCATCCACCACTAACGAACTCCACGCCCGTAGGCGCCCAGTCGCAGCTCATAACAGCTGCAACGTGACCTTTGTAGATCTGTACCGGTGCGTCCAAGTGCCTAACATCGAAAGTGTACAAATTATGATCTTCGGAGGCAAGGAGGACCATAGTCGGTAGCGTTGGTGACCACGCCAGTGCGTTTGAGCGGAACTAGAAGGGACAGCAGGTGTGAGATTGTGGTCGCTAAAGCTAAAGGGCGTGGTTTTTAGGTATATAGCGCACCTGCATGATTACCCGTCTCTCTGCCTTGCCCGTTCTGATGTCGTATAGTGTGAATGTGCGGTCGGAACCTACGCTGGCGAGGACAGATGATTCTGCCAAGTTAAATCGGACGGAGGAAATGGTCTCGTTGGAAGTGGGGAAAGTAAGGTTTGATATTGGTGCCGATCTAAATTATCTTTAGCCGTTGTAAGGGGGGAGAATAAGCTATAAACTCACTTTGTCTCATCCCACACTTGTACGGTGCTCGAGGCGGTCGCGAAGAGGGGATCTGAACGGTGGTGGTCGATCGAACTGAAAAGGCGTCAATATACGTAGAAGAAATCTTGATGGAAGTGGCTTACTTGAACGCAGTTTTCCAGGGAAACACAGCCAATGGCTGGTTACGAACAGTAAATAGAGGTTGGGAACGGTAAAAAAGGAAATCATACCTCGTTCCCGCCGCCTGTTACGAGATGGTCCCCATCCCCAGTACTCGTCCGCCACATTTTCACAGTCTTGTCCACTCCGCAACTGAGCAGTCTCGTCCCCTTTGGATCGGCAAAGGTGAGGCCAGACACTTTGCCTTTGTGCGCTTGGGAAAGGTTCAACAGCTGAGACCGACTATGCAAGTTGTGGAGAAGGATTCCTAAGAAACCGCGGGGTCAGTCAAATTGCTTTTGACCTTGCACGAGGGAAGAAAGTCCTCGAAAAGCCAACTTAAACACGAAACCAAGAATAAAAGACGCACCTCCATCCCAACTGCCACTCGCAACAGTCGTCAAAGATTCTACAGGTTTTGCGAGGACTTCGACGGCGTCTATATGTCCCTCCAAGGCATCCACAAACGGTTTGGCGAACATTTTGTCCATCTTTGCGGCGTTCAATGCGCGATTCCGTTCTCGAGCCTTTGCGAAAGGATGCATACTCGATTTCAAGTTCCGTTGAACTGGGGTTGGATCGCCAGGGCGGAGTGGAACGTGCAGGGACGGGTCATGTTGGAGTGCTGAGATTTTCTAATAAATGTTATAGTCCAATACTTTGAAGCGAACACAGCTCGACTTACAACCATTTTGAATCTGCTTCTATGGCGAACTGAATTCGTATGTTTTTCTGCGAGCCGATGTCAAATTCTGGTCAACCAACTATTCACACTGAACTGTGCTCACAAATTGGTGTAGACAGATGAAAAGTCTGCCTTGATGTGCCTGCCCTGATGAACAGTCACTTCTCTCGTTGTGCGCAACGTTCTCGAGCGCTTTTACGAATTTGGTGATGGGTCGAAGAAGGTTCGAAGCAAAAAGATGGTGGACGACGCCAAGCACGATGTCGGCGCCTGTTCCCTCGTCGTTCCCACGATTTTCGTGATGTCGGTCGCTGTTTATCTTTGACCTTCCTCGACGACGTCGACGTCGAAGACGAAGGAATCAACAGTAAGTGCTCGTTCCTGATCGCTCTTCGTCGGCTGAACTCATATATTCTGGCCTATCAATACAGAATTTGCAACTGCACTGATGATTCAAGCAATGCATTTTGAGCAATCCCGATGACGCGGCGAGGATTCGAAATCCTGTTGGACGTCGTGTAAAGCAACCGACCGTCTGATTATTTGTCGGAAAATATCCCACCGTACCTACAGTTGCTCTGGGGCAAACGCTAACGACCGCGAGTTGCGTCGCCCCGGACTACCCACGAGCAACGGACCAGAAAGATCTTCCTAATGGGTGCGACATGATACCATCGTTTCCCGTTGCTAGCCTTGCCTAGCCCCCGCTCAAGCCCGCTCTCAGCTCTCTTTCCCTTTCTCCTTCACCCCCTTTTCACTTTTTTCGCCTTTCGTTCATTTCTCCGGGCTGGTTTTCGTCTTTGCGACGATTCAGAGGTCATCGGGATCCCTCTGAGCCCATTTCATCTTTTTCTTCTACTCCAGCAGCAAGTTCTGCTTTTGTCTTTCGTTCATTGCACCGCTCTTTTTACGACTGTTGGGCCTCCCGTTCATTCAATCATCCCAAAGCACCCGGCCCACTTGGACATGCTCTGTAATCTCTCGGTGGACTGGTTCAAGGTTAATTGTTTGCATTGATTGCAAAAGCGTTATACCGTTGTAAATGTCAGAGTCTGTATCCCTCGCGCTCTGTCTCTCGTCCGCCACGATCCTTCGCTGTCCTTCGCTCACTCGATTTCAAAATGTCATCATTGTCATCCCGACGGTACTCGAAGTCGTCTTCGGCACTGCTCTAGTCGTCGTACTTTGGAACTCGGGACACAGGTGCGCACACAACTCTTCCATCTTGGAAACCCGATTGATGAAGAACTGGCGCAGACGACATCTTCTTCTGACTTGCGAAAGCTGGATATACATCGTTCTTACCGTCCTCGACCTTCTTTCGCATGTCCTCGACTCTGCTCGCACGAACGTCAATGTCTTTTCTGCGTTTGACATTGCCACGGGCGTCGCCTCTTTCCTTCCCCTCTTCTTTTACACCTTCTTTCTCTACATTTACGCCAACTCCGAGCTCCTCTCCAATACCCCATCCCTCAACAAACGGCTCAGCAAAGTGGGGAGTCTGCTTTTGCTGCTCGCCATCCCCCTCATTATCGGCGGGAATGAAGTCGCTTCCTTCATCGGTGTTCAACGTATGTCCGGCCATACCTCCCCTTCTCCATTTTGCTGACAACGTTTACCAGGGATCGTTGTCGACCGCCAAATCCTCATTGGCTTCGAGAACCGCGGAGCCTTTACCGTCAACATGTTCTTCTCCTCCCTCACCTTGGCATTACTTGTTCTCTTCCAAGGCGTCGTCTTCCTCGTCTCCTTCTTCCGGCTCATCATCGCGCTACTGAATCAACGCAAGTTCCGTACGACGGGTAGGGACGCGGCACATCTTGTTCGAGGTCAGTATCTCGCTATTCCTCGTTTATCCATGATCTCACTCCTTCCACAGGTGTCGCCTGGTTGAGCATCGGAATGAAGTTTGGTGCCATTGAAACGGTCATCGGTTTTGCAGGCGGGGGATTTGGTCTCGTCCTCACTCGTCGCATTTTTCGGTTCGTAGCCAGGGCTTGTCTATGCTTTGGAGTCATCAAAGGGTGAGTTGACGATGAGATGGTCATCGGGATTAGCAGTTGATAGTGATTTCCACAGCGTCGACGAGATCTCCGACTTTAGGGCTGTTCAGAAAGAAATGCTTGAGAACGGTCGCGCAAAATACTTCAAGGGCGATTCCCGTGGCATCCGGGACCTCATCTCCAACCCTCGTCTCAGCACTTTCAAGCAGTTGTCACCTACCGCTAGGGAATTCTACAGTGTGCCCCGCGGCTACGCTTTCAACGACCACACCTTTGACTACAACAAGGAAGAGAAAGTTCCCTTCGACTCTCCCAAACACTCGCCTGCAACGTCCAATTTACACTCCCTTCATGAACTCCAGGGAATCGCCACATTCGCGAGCTTGAAGGAGAAGGAGGAAGAGTCCGAGAAGGAGAGAAAGAATGCTGAACAGCGTGTCACGATTGGTTACCGGGATGGAAGACCTACTTTGCACCTTCGGTTGTCATCTGGGCCCAAGTTCCCCAGCCCGACTCACATCTTGGACAGGGTCAAGTCACGGGTCTCGAACGGGAGCAGTGGCGGTTTCGAGAAGGTCTCTATCCCAGAGACCGAGAAGCGGTCCGTGTATAGCTGGCGCACTTCGGTTATGTCGTTCAAGACCAACGGATCGCCTGACCCTATCACCCTCTTGCGGCCAAACGTTTCCTCCCTCCTCATGATGCACACCCGGTCAATGAGCGAAGATTTGAAGCCACCCAGTATCAACCAGAACAGGGAATCGATCACCGCTTCACTTGCTTCGAGGGTAGAGATCGTGGCCGCCCCACAGAGGACTGTGTCGGTTTCCAAGCATCGACCCAAGCTTTTCAGCGTCTCCAATACGCTCAAACTGATGACCGCCTCCACTTCACCTATCACTGAAGACGGGCCCAAGCCTATGTTCGCCAACGAATTCTCCGAATCCCCCGCCACCTACCGTTCATCCACAGGTAGCATGCTCTTCCAACGAACCGAACCCCAAGTCCCACCACCCGTTGCCCAGGCACCCTCTTCCGCTCCTCGAGCCAACCCCCACGTCTCCGTCATGTCCTCGTACACTGCGACCGACGACGACCTCACGCCGACGGCCAATCAATTCCGCATTGTCTCTGACTACAGCACGTTCAGTGCACGGCGCGAGTCAGCGGCTGTGACGCTCCAGGAAGTGCGAACACTGACGAAGAAGTTCCCCGGGCCACCTATCACGTACAACGGGCGTCCTCTAATGGGTGGGCTTGGTCAGACCATCTACGAGGGAGAGAGTTCGGCACCTACCACGCCTGCGTACCCCGACAACGACAATGCTCGCGACACTGCCAGGGAGAGCATGGATTCAATGGAGTACCGACCTCTACCACCTCCACCAGCTCGGACTCGCGGTTCTGCAGGGCGCCAACTCATGGATAGCCTCAGGTGGAAAGCTGTCCAACGCGCATCTTTCATTCAGTCTCCTTTGCGAAACGAAACGCAATACGACGTCGATCTCGAAGCTGCTAGGAGCAGTGTCGATCAAGATGACGCGGACGACCCTGTTCGAAGCCGGTTTGATAGGGAATCCGAATTTTACGACGATAACGCGTCTTCACGATATTCGAGAGTGGGCACTGTGGCTACTATGGATTCGGATGATGTGCGCCCGTTGCCCAGCGTGTTTGGAGATGGTGTAACGAGGGACGATCATGGGAAGACACCCAAGGGAGGGGCGTCGAGCAAGTCGCTCAAGTCGATGGCTTCCAAGACGTCTTCCAAGATGTCGAAAACCTCCAAGACTTCGTCGATTATCAGTGTTGGGACAGCGTTTGGAGCGAGGCCACCTGCTCTTGGAGAGGATTCGTTGAAGCGGGCGTCGGCCTTGGCTGGAATGCCTGCGATGCCACCAATGAAGAAGGCGACGGGTCCTTATCCGCTTCTCACTGCCTCCCTTGCCCCTCGGGCTCCCACCACTACCAACGCCCCTTCTCACCCTGTCAGCGTCCCCGTCAGTCCCGAAGATCAAAGGGCGTCCGCCCGCATCTCTTCGTACACAACTCTGTCCTCCAACGTCATGATGGGTGCCACCGACCACTTGAAGCCGGAAGCAGCACTAGAAGACCCATACTCGGAGTTGGCTGTCCGTACAGGTGGATCGACGGATTTGAGGCAGAGTCGGGGACTCAGTCTTGCGATGGCTAAGAGCAACTGGCCGACCAAGACGATGGGCGCTGGAGGGTTACCTACGCCTCCCATGGAAAGCGCGACCGCCGCCACTCCCCGGGCATCTCTTGCTGTTCCCTCTACCGAACGTGCACGCAGGCCCCCTTCGAAGATCATTTGGATTACCGAATCAGGTGATTCGAAGGAGGGTGCCACCGGCGTACAGGAGCAGGAGAAGCAGGAAGGAGCTGTTGAACAACAACCACAGGAGGACGTTGTTGCTCCTTCTTCGGACGGTGCTTCTGCGTGGAGAGTCGGGAAGCTCGGAGAACCGCTTCGCTCCACGTCGGTTGCGGACGAGGAGCATCGCCGCCAGCAGAGCATCGATGCAGCTGCTCAGGTTCTTTCCAATTCAATTCCATGGCTCAAGAACCCGGAGATCGAGGAGGAGGAGAGGGAGTTGGCAAAGGCGCTGTCTGCCTCGAGTCTCAAGGTTGGGGGAAGGAACCAAATCTCGATTTCAAGGATTAAGAGTGTCGGCAACGTCAAACAGAGGACTACACCCTCGCCAACTCGGCACCCAGGCGCGACTCGGAAGAGCTTGCACATCAAGCCGATTATGATCCCTCCTCAAGGCTCGCATATGGGCAGGATGGAGATTGTCACGGGCGAAAGCACACCGCAATCTGCGTCGGCTGTGTCTCCTGGACGAACGAGTACGAGTGTTCGAAGAGATTCGGACGTCTTTGGTGTTGATGACCATGCGGCGACCTTAACGGCGCGATTGACGACGAGACAGGACGATTAAGTGCTACTTTCTGACATCATTTTTTTTAATATCTTTGGCCATTATTATTGATATCCCTTTCGCTTTTCAGCATTTCGTTTTCTGTCACTATTCGAGTGTACTGACCTGTTGTATTTTTGTAGTTTTAGTGGCCTTTCAATAACCCAGTGATTTTTCTTTGCACGGACAATGTATGGGTACTATGCTTCTTGCATTCGCTTGATTAATTGGCATCGAGGGTCGATCATTAAGAAAAAGGTGAAGTTGGCCTATCCTGGTTCCCCATCTTATTGCCCCTGTCCCCCCTCCCCTGGGTGTAAGTATGGGAAGCTGGTGGCCTCGTTTTCACTCGATGGCCGTTCTAATTAACTGGGCGGCAGGCTGCAGCCACCATGGTTCCTGGAGTTCCTCGGTGTTAAAGCGACCGGGCTGAACATTCCATTCGAGACTGTTGATACCCGTTCACCAGTACGGCTTCAACCGTGCAAAAAATAAGTGGCTAGTCATTAGATTCTCTCACTCCAATGCCTACCACCTGCGATTCTGATCTTATTCCAGTAAAACTCAGCTTTATTCCAATGGGAACCCGACTGAATTGGGTTGCGGTGACGCCGTGACGGGGCCGTGTAATGGTGTTACCCGATTTGGACGTAATTCGGTTCGCTGTCAATACGGAAGGCTGAGTGATTGGCAGCGTTTTTGACGGGATGAATCCACAATAATTTGCCCCACTGTGGGACTTGCTCACTGGGTATATATCAGTGTCCAACCTTATCGGCCATGTGTTGCTGCAATCCCCGTTTTTTCCCTCAACCATGTCGACCTCGCTGCCCCCGAGGCCTGCCCGCATTCCAACAACGCGTCCCAGGACTTACGAGGTGACTATCAAGTCTATCCTTACCTTTCCCGTGAGTATTCGCTTTCCTAATCTTCTTTGAAGTTTGGCTGATGGATCTTTCTATAGTGGAGGCTCTGCAACCCGCCCCCAGCAGTGGGAAAGGTCAGGTCGTGCGGGGGTGAGTTCCACAGTTCACTTGGCACGCAACGAGCTGACGAACGCTTGTATCCAAGTAACGCCGCTGTTCAAGGTCAAACTGGAGGATGTATTGGACAGGAACCATCTCCCGCCACTTGGTACGTCGTTGTTGTTATACTCAAGTCTGCAATTATATTGACTCGGAAGACCAGGTTTGAAGGATTTCGAGGTTCGTTGCAACCGTAGTCATGGATAGGGGAGGCATTGAATGACATGGGATTAGGAATGGCTGCTATACGTTGAGACGAGTCCAGAGAACCTGTAAGCGCCCAACCGATGTCATCTACAGGGTGACGCTAACCGCGACGCAGATACTTCACGCTTTGGCTACGAGAGTACCGTGAACGGTACAGCGCCTGGATGGCGCAGAACAAAATTCACCGCGAACTAGATGGGGAGTTCCGTATGAGCTGGGGGACGCACCACTCGCCCTCGCTCGCTCTATTTTACGCCCGCGCTAAACAGACCTTCTTCATGCCCAACTCTCCGTACGAACTCAACCTACCCTCAAGCCTGCTAGCCATCTTCCACACCTCGATGGAGTCCCCACATCCTGACCCAGTCATCTTCACCGACGTCGCCATCGAAACCTACCGCATGCTCGACGAGAGCCTGCGCCGCTTCGTCAGTGCCCAGTTCAACAACGTAGGCAACAACCGCGTCCTGTGTGGCATTATCGCGGGCGTCGTTTTCGCACTAGTAGGCTCGGTCCCTCCCCTCGCGCTCAACTTTGCAAAGCATCAGAGTCGTTGGCTGCGATTGCTTGCTTTCCCAGGGCTGTTTCTCGGTTTAACAGTCTTCCTGTCAGCGATAAATGGCATCTGCCTGGGGGTCTACATCTTTGGAGACCTGAGGCAGCTAAGGAAGTTTGAGCTTGCCAGACCGCCCATTTCCCGTCCGGTGCCTATCACGACGGATGAAGAGAAACCGACGTCTGAATCTATACCCGTACCGGCGGCGGAGATGGAGGAAAAGTCCCAGCCAATACCAGAAGGACGTATTACCGCCCATGCCTTTCGCGCTCCCACACCGACATCGGACGACCACTCTCTCTACACGGAAGACGATATCTCCACTGGGGAACACGGTCCAACCCAGATCCACATCTCACCCGCCTACTACGACAACGTCTCTGTCGAAGGCGGCATGGCCGTCGTCCCGGCGGACTACACCTTCCCCGCCCTCCAACCTACTGCCACGGCTGGTACCGACAGGGACGGCACCAACGACACCTCCGACTTCACAATGACGGCAGCGTTTATCCACCCCTTCGACACCACCTCGCTCGACAACGAATACGATCGACCCGATTTTCTCCCCTCCGAACGCCAACGCATCGATGCATTCGACTTTGACTCGCTCCCTCCCCTCCAAAAATCCAAATCTTTCCTCCGCGCTCGAAGACCCTCTTCCACCGTGAAATACGATTCACCCAACTGCTGTAGGTCCTCGATGGACGTGACGATCACGCCTAAACCCTCCGACCTGCCACCCGTTCTCCCACCCATCGAACGCCAGTCCTCACGCTGTGACATCAAGAAGTGGAGGCTACAAACGGAATCGACGGACCAGATCCTATTCACGTCGCCTTCCGGCACACCTGTACCCACTTCACCTCACGCCTCTGCCAAACACCGGTTCAGCATCACGGACAACCCATACAACTCGCATATCCTCCCACACGCCAATCGGGATCGATGTCACACACTGAAATCCCGAAGGAGCTTGGGGACAGAGTTCTCGGACACGGAAACCAAGGTGCAAAAGAGGAGCAGACTGATGGCGGCCGTACCTGCGTTTGCGGTGCCCTTGACGAAGGTTTTGAGTCCGGTTATCCGGAGGGGCCAGTGGGAGATCGTGGTTCGCTCCGGGGCTATCGCGTTCGTCCTCAGCTGGGTGATCGTTGGTATTTTTTTGGCTATCCCTGTTCGGAAGTGAATGAATATCTTTCTTCTTTCTGCTATTATATATAGAGCCCTAGGGGGCCCGCTTCGCATTCATTTGTACAAGTCTGCTCACTTTATTGTATATCCACCGTGACACTCAATTTCCCTGTATATTACCTCACCCTTCACTTGCTGTGTAGTCTTTGCTCGCATTATATCCCCTCACATTCCTTTCGCACTGCAGTTGTATATGCATTTCGATCTTTTGGACCCAATAGCTTATTACTTTCCAACGCAATCAAATGTGCTTTCGTCTGACCCCATGTCGAGAACACCCTCCCAGAGCAGGGCTGACTCTTTACTAGTTCGTGACTCCTCTACGGCGAGAGCACGTCATGGCGGTAGGCTTCTGGCGTTAAATAATGAAGCCAGTATTTATTCTAACGGGCGAAATCTACCATATGACTGGATTGAATTCCGGTAGGGTCCGTGGCCTATCCCAAGTGCGCAGGAATCTTCTACAACCTGGCAGGTTTGTGATGTCTGGACGTGTAGTTGCATTGTCAGGAGAAAGAGCTTGGAGCAAGGGTGTAGGAAGTGACTCGACTGTTGAAACAATTCCGAGGCCTGTTGGGACTCGGATGTGCTCACCGCAAGCTCTGCGATTGAGACTGCGTCTCCCTCGTACACATCAACGCTGGTACGGTCGGCTTCCTCCCAAGACTGATATCAACCCTAAAGCTCTCGAACAACTCCCTACTCCGTCCCCAATCCAATCCACTGTCATCCTCCCCGACATTGAAATCCTCCAGTACCATCGTCTTGGTTCCGATGAGGTCGTCCAGGCCTCGAACCGCAGATGGGCCAACCGACGAACCGAGGCGACTTCCAGAAGGCTGAGACGGCGTATCTGGAAGGCGAACTACCGAGGGTTTGGCGCGCGTGCTGACAGACACCCTCCTGGCTTCAACAACGGCCCTCTGCTGCTCCTCCGAAGCAGAAGTCTGCGATGGCGCGACCTGGCTGCTGGAAGGCGTTCCGTACTTGGCCACCAACGTTGCCCGTTTCTTGGAATACAACGCCGACACCTTATCCGGCATGGCACTCGCGATCCTCTCGGCGATGACGATCCTTTTGAGTTGCAGGTCCTTTGGATCTTGCGAGCTCCTGCGGTGGTGCTGGCTTTTCTCTGGGGAACGCTTGCGCTTGCGTTGACTCGTAGCCATTTGTTCTGGGTTCGAATTGCGTTGTCTTGCTATGGGAACTGAAGTCAAAGCCACTGAATGCTCCTGGTTCTGCTTTCGCCGTTTGACAGCCGGAGCGGGCATATCTATAGGTGAGCCTGCCGAGGCTTCGCGTTTGCGCTTCGTCGATGTCTGGGGCCTCGAACCGGATAAAGGCACGGACGGAACGGATTTTGAAGGCTTCTTGGATGGGGTGATAACAGGGCGGGACGACAAAGGTGGTCGGGGAGCCCGGCCTGAAGAGAGGAGAACACCCCCCACAGGCGGTGGCTTCGAAGGCGTGGTGTGTTTCTTCAACAGCTTGTTCAGAAAGCTGTCTGAACCTGCCTCCTCGGGATCAGGCGAGGAGCAGAGGTTGATAGGAGAGCCAAGACTGTGCCCACTAGCGGCAGCAGGAGAGTTGGTCAAAACTTTCGACATTATGGCTTTGATAGGGCTCTCTGGAGGATGGCTCGGTTTCTTTGCAGCCTTCTTATGTTGCGCAACAGGTGTCGTGGAAGGCGTCAATTTGTTGAGTCGCCAAGATCCGTCCCTCCCAAGTCCACGTTTCGCTTTTTGCGCAGATGAAGAACCTGCGAGAACGTCGGGTCGCATAGGACCACTGGCCACCAGTGGTTCTGCGGTTGGTAGGATGTCGCGCAAGATCGATAAATTGTCGCTACTCTGGGAAACGGGAGAAGACGACCGTTGAGACGACCACAAATATTGCATGTTCTCCTTGTCCTTGCTTCCCATCGAAGCTCCAAACAGGTAACGCGCAGTCCTTTCCCGTTCGTCATCCGAATCACCACAGTCCGTGTCTTCGTCACTCGCCGGTTCGTAACGAGCCACAGCCTTGCCCCTGTCCTTGCAGACCGCACCGGATTTCACAGGTGCAGCTTCCTGGATCTCAGGAGAAGACGAGCGAAGTCCAAGTAAACGATCGATGCTCTCGTTCTCCTCTTCCCCTAGGTATTCGCGAAGAATGTCCAGTTTTTTCAGCAGCTTTCCACCGTCTGCCCAGCGAGAAGCAACAGCTTCAGCACCCTCGCCGACGAGGTTTTTGAGTGCAACGTCGCCGTCGTCTTGGGCAGCCTGGGCCAATTCGTCAATCTCCTTACGCAACGTGTGAGACACTTTGGGTATTGAGAGGGAGGGGTGTAAACACTGTTCAAACATGCGGTCGATGCACGTCCAGTCCAGCCCGTGTAGTCGAGGATCCAATGTATTGGGGACGATTCGCCGAGGTCGGAATAGAGATACAAATCTGCGCAATTCAGGTAGTGGCGAGTGACGAGATAGGGGGACCAACTGAAGAATAGAAGTGAGAAGTTGCAGGGATGAGAATTGTCTATGTCTATTCTTACCAAGTTATTAACGGTTTCGCCTCTCTTCAGTCGAGTTTCCGTGTCGTGAAGGTACTTGTCCCATGTTTCCACGTCCATGGAGACTGGGTTGACATACACCACACGCTTCCCGAGCGTGCTGATGGTATTCGAATAGGAGCCTGGTTGATTTTCAACTTCAACGTAAGGACATCGGTGGAATCGTTCACAAGCATGGAACCGGGTCGCCGAAGGGTCTTGCGTAGTGATGAGTTGAAGGAAAGGGTCCGATATGTGTTGGTAAATGGAGTGCTTGTACCGATCGACATGAATCTAGGCGGAATGCATAAATAGACCGCCTCGCCCAAGCAGGATAGCTCTTACCTGTGATTGGAACGCTGAGGCAACGGCTTTGAGAATATCTTCGTACCCCCATGTCCAGCAATTTAGAAAGAAATATACGGTTTGCGGGAACAAGCGCATAAGAGATACGAGCCCAGAGGTAGCGGATTCCTATAGAGGTTCCACGTTGGGTTACTCGGTTTACTTTGAAGCGCTTCTGGCTTACTTTGGTGGGTACCTCTGAAGTTGAGAGGACGCAAGCCGTGTCAAGATAAATGGCCTCCAGCGTCCGGCTGAGAGCATGAGTGCCCCCGCAGGTTTGGGGATACAAATAGGGCTGTAAGAATGGATTCCTGACGATTGATTCCAGAAACCAGGGCTCAGCCCTGAAATCTCCTGTGTGCAATACAGCGCCCCTCGGTCCCTCAATCAAAAACCTAGAAAACGGTATTCAATTCACTGTAGACGCGTTTAAAGTATGAAGCTTACATGACAGCCCCGGGACAATGATTGGCGTCTAGTAGTGTAATTGTAACAGACTCGTTCGCGTCCAAGTCCATACGGGTAGGTTTGTGCAAAGGTAGCGTTTTCTGTGGAAGTCCATGGATTCAGAATCACGCCTAAGCCAAATGTTGATGATATAACGCACGAGAAGGTCCCTCGAGCCTTGATAGTACAGCGTCCCGTCTGCATGGACCAGCGGGTCCACTTTCAAATGCGAAAATGTCCTGATTTTTTCCGCCCGAAGATCCTTCTCATGATATTCCCGTTCTGCATAGACTTCATGCCTCAAAAGCATCTGTTTAGCGTCTTCAGAGCAGTACACATTGTAGCCAAAGGACCTCGCTGCAAGGCCATTAATGTGGTCTGAGTGCGTATGCGTCAAAAGGTGCAAAAGTGGTGCCGGCTGGACGTTCGAGCTGAAATCGTCGACTCGAATGCGGTATGGGAGCACGCATGAGTTGTGCGGCGTTCCTGTTGGCATTGGGGGTTACAAGATCATTATCGGCGCCGCCGACGTCGTCTATTTAAGCTGGCGGGGTCGTGGTGTGGGCGGGCAGTGATGGACGTTTGAGAACAAAAGCGGCGGGCTCCGTAAACGGAAATTTCGCGTCGCGATGAGTCACGCGTTAATGCGTGACGCGTGCCAGCCAATCAGATTCAAAGGACTAAGTACTATGTATAGACTCGAACTCCTTACTGCTTATCCATGGTCACATCATTTCACAGCGGGTATGACCTCCACAACCAGACCGGCGAGATCGTGTCGAGTATTGTCATCGTAGAAGAGCAGCGCGCAATCGTGAAGGCAAAGTCGCGTGCTTTATGCTCAGAGGCCAGATAAAAGCTGGGAAGGCGATGACATGTAGGACGGTCAGACACCGACGCTATCTCAGACAAACAACGACAAAGTCGCTGCTCCAAGGAGGGTCTTAAACAGTCTTAAATAACCAAGACAGGGTACTTAGTAGCACGAGTGAACCGGCGCCGATCTTTTAGCTTCACCATGGCCACCCAATATTTACCCTCAGAGTGGGAAAAGACCACATACTACCACGGCATCTCTCCCGACCCTCCTGAGCTTCTCTACCGCTCAGACTTTCTCGAGAATCAGTTTAGTGTTCCTGAGGGTCGTATCCAACACGTCCCTACCAAGACCATCCATGGCGTTTTCGACCCAAAGTTCAGGGCCGCCTGGCATGATCTGGGACCCAAGATCAGGGACGTGCTGAAAGACCGCAAGATCCGGTACTCCGCCATCCAGCCCGCTCGTTTCGAGACGCACACCGAGGACGGGGAGAGCAATCTCGGTCCCATTGTAATCTGGATACAACACCCGATGATACGCACGCCGCTTCCTCTGAGATCCTCGCTCTTCTAGAGGCCCGCTGTAACGGAGTGGTTTGAGGGAGCCGTCGAGCGTCTGTCTTCCAGTCGTCCGGCTCTCTTGGGCGTCACCCATGACACCAACCCTACCTACCACGTCTTCCACGAGGGGGGCCCCAGCGGCAACGACAGCGCCAGAGTGCTCGGCGTCACCAACTGCCACGTCCTGCGCAAGGACACCACTGTCCCGTACGTGCGAGAGGACGCCGGCCGATCGCGCCTGCCCGTCTGGATTGCCAGCGAGCGTCGCTTCCAGCGCGGCCTCGGCGAGATCCAAGCCGCCATTACCGACTCAAGGCTCAGCGCCGACTTATTGGCTCGGGAAATCGAGGAGCTGAAGGCGGAGGGGGCTCAGAAGGACCTCGAGGCCAAGCAGGCGCAGTTGACCAAGATGCAGAAGGACGTTAGCACCCTTGAGGCCTTCTACAACATGGTCCAATCCCATTGGTCTGACATTGAGGCTCGCAACGGCGGATGGATGGATTGGGCTCCCGAGATCTCCGTCGACCACTACACCAAGGACATTGCCACCTTTGAAGTCGACGCGGACAAGATCTCGGCCCATTACAAGGGCAATGTGGTCGACTTAGGTGTGTCGTATCTCATCTCCTCCCCTTCTCCAGTCTGACTTGAAGAAAACCTGCAGGCGCGAAGTACACCCTGCCGCAGCTCGTCAACAAATTCTACCCCCCTCAACAACAGCAAGCCCGCCTTCAAGTTCCCGATTAACCGGCAGCTCCGCATCGACGGCTACATCACCGACGAGGGTTTGGCCAATCCCGACAGTTTCGACAGCAACGGCGAGCCTTGCATCATTGTCATGAAGGTCGGCAACACCACCGACCTGACGGTCGGACGTTACGCCGGTCTCGAGGCCTTCGTTTGCGATAGCCTTGGCGTCGAGTCCATTGAGCTCGCCATCGGTATCCTTCACTCCGGCATCGTCAATGGCAATAACAGCCTCGTCACCTACGCGACTCCCGCCTGGTGGGTTATCGAGCAACTCAGGGCGCAGTATCCGTACGCCGACTTCAACCGCGACCACTTCTGAACTGCCGACTGCCTCAAGTGATCCCTGCGACCGCTCGTGCGTAATTGTATCTGTAATTTCGCATGTTATTGTCTGTATAGTGAGCGCATATAATTGACTGCGTATGTGTCGTGTATAATACTTAGTTACGATTCATCTACAATTCATGTTTGTAATGAAATGTCCTGTCTATGGAACTTCCTGTTGCTCAAGTAAAAGCCTGTATCAAGAGTGGAGCAGCTGCCAACAGAGGCGAGGTAACATCGATAAATCCGCTCCTGTCACCGCGTCCTCGACGATAAGAAGCATTAGATACCTCAACAACCGTCCTTTCAAGGGCTATAATGGCGTCGTCACCTGATGCTTTAGCACTTAATGCAATGAAACGTATTTCTGTCTGATCCCACAGCCTTGACAAGGAACATGGAAAGGCCAGCCAGAATAGAAAGGGGTATGGGGTATGAATTCATGGCAACAGTCATAGATGAGCACAACGCAGGCATTCTATTGAATCACCAGATCCGGTTCAGGTTCCCTAAAGATCGTAATCTCCTGCTGCTTAAAGTACCGCCTGTTCTCCTCGTCGATGAGGACGAGGTTCAGGTAGTACCTCGTGCTGAACTTCTTGTTCACGTCTCGGAAGGTCGGCGTTAGGTCGAAGCCTCCTAGGAATAGCCGGATAGGGATCTTCTCGCCTGTCGCAATGGTATGGGTGTCAGCGTTCATGAGGGCGTCAAGGTGGAGAGAGAGAGGAGGGGGAGGGGGGACGTTCAGGTCATATCACCGGTTTGGACAGGCGGGATGGAAGGAGACGTTCCAGTTGCGAACGAAATTGAACCGAACAGAAGGAAGACCAGTACTATGCGAAATCGTGACGTACCTCGAATAGGTGCTCCATCCATGATCTCAAACTTGGTGATCGTCTCGCTCTCGTTGTACTGGTTCGGCGGAGAACCTGTCGTTTCTCTCCGGATAATAGACAGTTCCATGTGCTTGATCTTTATCCGGACGAGGAGGAAGTAGATGTTGCCGATGATGACGTCCTTTAGGTGGTATCTGGGAACAGGAGATTCCAGTGAGCTTGGGTTCAGCATTGGCAACGCGACATACGCACTTGGACTTGTTATACTCGAACTCGATGTGGAGACAGTCTTCGATTCCAACTTCCATCTTTATAGAGTTGTTGCTGTCTGGTGGCATGCGGAATGAATGGACCCAGATATCCTTCTCCTTCACAACGTCTGCCATCCGCCGCGAAATCGTCACCCGTACGAAGTACCTGTTGTCCATTCAGTTCCTAGTCTTTTCCCATACAGTCCAACAGCAGCAACGCACCGTAACTTGACATTAATCCCCTGGTAACTCTCGAACTGCTTCTCCACACTCTTAAAGTTGAAATCAAACGTCTGCGCTGAGCGCATATCACCAGGCGCAGCCAGCTCCTGGGAGAGCGAGAGGAACTCGTGGTGGTGCCCTCGGTCATAGAATAGTTCTGTAGCATCCAGCAAGGTAACAGTGAGTCTATGAGCCTGCGCCATTCCTTCATTTAAGGAATAGATGGCGCACCAATGTTCCCAACGAATTCAACTTTGATACCTTCATGCGTCACTTTCTTGCCGTCCCTGACTCGTATTGAGACCTATATAGGCAGGCGCATAACGCCAGAGATAGATGAAAGGGAAAAGAAGTCTATAATGAACCTTGATACACTTGTAGGACGAGGAAACGCGTTCAAGTACCTGTCCGCCAACTGAATCTCCATCGTAATACACAGGACATGAAATGGTCTTGTCCTTTTCGCCTTTGATTTCGACTTGCTTGCGCACCTCTTCACCGTCGAGCTTGATGTCGACGTCGATGGGCGAGGCGAAGAAGTAGGCGGCCATGGTTGCGGGGTTGGGTAAAGGGGCTCGGTCAACGTCGCTGCCAGTGCCGCGCCGCGATCCCGCCGCCAATGGACGTGGGAGAGTCCTTCCTTATATAGGAGCACTACCATCCCCTCAGGCCTCGAAGCTCTCGAAGGCTTACAACCTTTCATTGAGTTCTAAAGCACCTCTCGTCTCAACCAAGCACCGAATGTGCATTATTTCATTCCTAGTACATGTAGACAGATCGGTGCGCACTGTCCTCCCGAATCCCTATTCCAGTCCCTTTTCCCCATTGCTTACTTGCGATCAACCATAGTAGATAAGATACTCCTCAACACGGTCGGGATATCACCGGTATTCGCGACACGGAAGCCCTTTCCAGGGAGTCGCTTAGGGATCCTACGGCGACGCGTCAGTGTAATCTCCCACAAGCACAGCTTATGGATGGATCTCACCAAGTAGCCTCAGCGCCCTCGCCAATACAGATCAACGCAGTGTTGACCTTGGGGTTCGAGTTCATCGCCTGCGTGATCTCCTCAGGGGTGATTTGGTATCGGCCAAAGTTTGCGTCCTAAACCCAATCACAATCATTCAGCGACAAGCCTTGTTCAGGAGAGGAACCAGGAACGTACGGTGATAGCAATGACAAACCAGTCATCAGCGTCGAACTTTGCCACCTCGTCGACACCTTTCCGGATGGCCTCCACTATCAACAGGAACCAATTAACATGCAGGGTTCTCCATGAAGACACCTCAGGATGGACGTACCAGTGAAGTCACCAGCAAAGGCATATTGAGGGATCATGTACATCTTCTCGGCGACCTTCCACCTCTCCTTGAGTTCAGTGGGAGGCTTGTCGGCCGGTACAAGCGGAATATCTGGACCATCTCCAGACTAAATTCATAATCATCCTGTCAGCTGTCTCTCCTTCACAATCTCGTTTGCCCCGACTCACGTGTCCAGTAATCTACGAAAGTAGGACGGTTAGTTGACTAAAAGCAGAGGAATTGTACCGATTCGGGCAACTTACATCCCAAACGTACTTGTCCTTCCTGGACAAACGATCAAAGGTCTCCATCAACATGACCGCTGTAGATTCAAACATGCATATGTCACCGCATTATCCCTGGAATTCAATCGAAGCCTGCACATACCAGTCTCCATACTCCGCTGCAACCGCCCGTCGTACTGGAATCGGTACATCGAAGCCGAAAGGTCAAAAATGAAACGGATGCGTTTGGGCCTGAGCGGAAAACAGGGTGAGTCCAGGTCGTAGCTCACGAGAACTCTGCGATAAACTTACTTGAGTTGCGGTCGGCCAAGCTCAGGTTTCTCCAGTCCTCGCCGCTTGTAAACCGTGCTCTCCCCCGTCAAGCCCTCAGTCAACCTTGTATCGTCCAGCTCTCCATCCGTCTGCCTCTTAACCCATACCCTTTCTTCCTCCTTGGCGGCAAGATCTAACGAGCTCGCATCAGTTCTCTCCCCCTCGTACATTAACCAGGCAAAACTCACGTTCCAAAAGATCGACCAAAGACGCCATATGCGCCTGTGTAGAGTTCAAGAGCACACTATAGCCCTTAGCCTCCGCTTGGCTCATGTCAAGCTCCTCCAGACGTCTCTTGAGTTCCTCCCTGGCCATCTCCCTCGCTTTCTCCTGGATATCATCCGGAACGCGCTGCTTCATCCGTTCAGGGACTTGCTTGATGTCACCGCCTTTCCAGAGACGCTTGTAGCCTCCGATACCACCCATACCTGCGGTATCGCGACCTCCAGTCTATAGCCGAGTACACAGTCAGCGCGGAGAAGTATGAAAAGACGAGACGAGAGCATACTCCACCAGCCCAGGTATTTCCACCATGATGCTCTTTATTATCGTGTTTCCCCTCCTTGGGTCCACCAAGCGAATCATCTTTAGGCGTAAACTGGATATCCTCGATCTTCTTCTTGGTAGCAGTGCGAGCAGCTTCCAATCCAAGCGTCGGAACGTCCAGCCTAAAAGGAACATGTCAGTATTGCTATAACCACAAGAGGCGAGAATTCCTCGAGTACCCATGGTGAATGAGAATCTGAGCAAGCTTATCAATCGTCTCGGGTTTGTAGATATCAAAGTCGAAGACGTTGCGAAGGGCTTCGCCGAGCGTGTCATTCGGGTAGGCCTTCAAGTGACGTACGAGGTTGATGAGTTCTGCCAAGGGTCAAACATCAGTTTCCTCTCTAAACATCTCGATGAAACATGGAAACGCACCTCGCAAAGAGTAGGGGTAAGTGAGTGCACCAGACTCGTATCCCTTCCTCAGGTCATCGAAGGCACCCACAAGCCTTGTAACAAGGTCTTCACTGAGCTCAGGTGCAAGCTGCGAGATCAACCTTCGTTCCGAGGCAATGTCGGGATTGGAGACGGAGTGTGCACTGAAGTTCTCTCCCAGCACTTGGAGGAAATGATTACCCAAGAACGCTAAAGCACCTCTATGAGCCTCTGAAGTCAACGAGAATGAAAGGAAGCATACGATATCCAGGCCGATTAGCTAGCAAAATCAACCTAAAGTTGGGGTGCACGACGATATCCCCTTCACGTTCCTTCACAAGCCTGACACGGCGGCCATCCGAAAGCGACAGTTCGCCTTGTCCAGCCAAGCTTCGGAAAATCGCGACGACGTGCTCAGGTGCTTTATCAGCCTCGTCGATGATAATGAATCGACCATGTTTGATGGCTCGAAGAAGTGGCGAATCAGTGTAGTTGAGAACACCAGCTTCGAGCGACGTGGTGAACATGAGCTGATTGACAGTCGTATCGCGGTGCAGTTGGATGTACTCTCTTGGTCGTCCGAGTAGCTAGCAGTAATCAGAGGGTGTTAGGAACCATTTCGTGGATGACTGTCTGAATGACTGAAGGGTCGACATACCTGGCACAACCGGTCCACAATCTTGTTCTTCCCAACTCCCTGGTTTCCGAGTAATACAACATGTTCTCCGAGCAGCTCCAGGTCGATGGCCAAGTCACGCATGAGACCGGTCTGGAGACTGTTGTCGTAGAAGTGGTCCATATGAGGGATATGAGACGCCGCTCCTTCTGGGTCTTGCTTAGGGTCAAACAGAGGGATGACAGTGGGTTTCATCTCAGTCTGGGCCCCATCAGCAGTTGTCGGACTAGGGAAGACCAATTTTCCATCTTGAATCACAGGCGTCGGGTTGAACTGGACGAGGCATAAGCAAAGAGCTTTGAAGAGCTAATGACAACATACCGGGGGAGTCTTCTTAAAGATATTCGAATCCTCCAGTAAGGTAGTCAGGTTTAGTTTCTCCACAGCTGGAAGGAAATCCGCCAAAAGTGCTCTCGAAACCAAGGAATTCAAGTCCACCTCTTCAGGGAACAGCGCAATCCTCCTTGCAAGCGAAACGAGGGTCCTGGTTCCGAGGCGTCTATTCTTGATGATATTGTCCGCCGAGAGACTGCTTCGGTACTTCTCCGCGAAGGTCAAAAGCATGTCCACAATCTGCGGAGGACACCCTGTTGCACGAAGGATGGCGCCTTCTTCCTGAGGGTCCATGGGCTGCGAAGGGATGGGGAAGAACATGTTGGCATGCTCGTCCGATACCCAGTCTTTGAGAGGGAGCGACTTGGAGGCGGTCATAATGACACGGAAGGAGGGGTGTGCGAGGGAAAGTTCACCCGACTCGAGTTCTTCTGGGGAGGCTTGACCGACGATTCGTTTACCCTCCCACAGTTCGGTTTCCCGATCTTGGATGAGGCGGGAGAGGGAGCCTGCTGTAGACCCGATGACGTCGAGGCCAGAAAGGTGCGCCACGCGACCTGACCAGACAGCTTCGATGAGGGGACTATTTAATAGTCAGTATAGTACGACTATAAAATGAAGTAAGAGCATACCTCGGTTCCCAATGAGTCGCACCACCGTCCTCGATCTTCCTCCTCATAATGAGTTCCCGTCCACCAAGTTCCTTATAAATGTGCAGTGACTCCAACTCATATCCCAAGATCTGACCGAATACCCTAACCAAGGTCGTTGATGAAGTGGATGCTGTGGATGGCAAGACGGGAGGAATCAATGAGATATGCCAGCCAAGCGCATGAGCTTGTAGGAAGCAGGTCAACAGCCCAATGAATCGAGGTGTAGGGTTGAATTCGAGACTTCCCGTGAACGGGAAAGGTCGTAATTGCTTGCTGCCTGCAGGAACATCAATGACAACTGGTTTCCTGACGCTGGGATGGGCAAAAGTGAGGCGTGCGGTGGTATCATTGGCGCGTTCGATCGCCTTGAGTTCGTAGCCCAGTAATCCTCCCTGCTCAGACGAAGGACTGCCCAACTCGCCAAGCCCAGCCTCTTCGATGTGTCTACCGAGGATAGCCCAGGCTTGCAATGGCGAGTGGATCAAAGCGGGATGAAGCGTAAGCAGCAACCTCGCCAATTGCGACGGGGTCAACGAGTCGGGAGGAGGGAAAGCCTGGACGAGACCCCGCAGTTTCGCAATCGCTGTCTGCGGGAACGGAGGCAAAGCCGTCTTGGACACAGCTTCCAGGGCATTCCTTGTCTCACTCGCGTACTGGGTGGTGAGGATGAGGTTGCGCAGCTTCTCGTAGAGCTGGTTCGAGCCGGTTTCAGATTTGCTGGCTTCTTTCGGTCCATTGATGGCAAGGAGAGCGCCAACAGGGTCTATGAAGCGGGCTTGGAAACGACTTCTAAAGGGAGGGTCGAGTGGGTATCCAGGGTAGGGAGGAACTGGGGCGGCGATGGCGACGACTCTAAAGTTCTTGTGGGCTGGTATGAAGAGTTTGCCTTGCTCCGAAGTTACGGTCCCCTTGGCCTCCAGTTGCTCATACCGCTGAGGGTGAATGATGTGGGTTCCGTCGTCGAGATTCCTGGAAAGGATGTGTTATGCCCGAGGTCGTCCGTTTTCAATCATATAGAGACCCTTACATTTCTCTATTCTCTAAGAGGTTGTTGAGGACCTGTCGAGCACTTTGCACTGAGAAAACACAATGCTTTGAGGATTGGCTAGATACTTACAGGCATTATACCTCTCTCAGCCTTTTCAATCCCTTCGAGAATCAACAGCCTTCCATGCTTTACAGCACGGACAGCGGGGCTGTCGACATAGACGAGGTTTCCTCCTTGTCTAATCTCTCTTCCCTGGACAATTGCCCATTCAGATTCAAAACACAAATTGCAGGGGAAAAAGCAATCACCTGCTTCAGTTCAGTCTCTCCAACATCCCTGTGCAATGCAATATACTCGTACTCCGAGTTGATAAGGCTGAACCGCCGCAGAGTCAGTTCGATCCTCCGACCACAATCCGGATCCGCCTCACTCACCTCGCAAACGTCAATGCCAACCTCCTCGCATACGGACCAGGCTGGGAGACCAAGAATATATCCTGACCCAACAAATACTTCTGCAGCATAAAATGCAGATTATCCAAATTCACGGGATCCTGCATGTCCAACAAGGCCTGGTCGTTCTTCACGAGCCTCGAAGGCGTCAAAGAAGTCGGTACATCATAGGAGATACCGCCCAATTTGAGAGTCCCGACCACAGGAGGAGGCGGGGTAAGCTCTTTGACGATCTGAGCTAGCCGGCGTTGGGCCATGGCGTCGTGTACAACGTCGACCTCTGTGTCCTGGTCGTTCCGAGAGACTGAGCTGGATCGGGAGAACGGTTTCAACGAGATTTCGGGCCTATGGGGCTTGGTGAACGTCGGAAACCGTTTTGAGAGGGTATTGGTAGAGCGAAACCCGCAACATCGTCTGACGACGAACATATACTGTCGTCGGCAATGTGATTTTAGCTTAACCGGTCTCGAATTATGGTTGGGCGCTCCTATTCCCATCAACCCTGCAGTTCCCACGCGCGAAACTTGACCGGACGCGTTCCGACGTGAGACGCGTTTTCCTCCTGGCATTATTGGAAAGTTCAACGAATCCATAACGTGTTGAAACGCTCTCCTGATCAACGTTTAAAATAGAGAGTTCAATGTCTATGGACAACATGAGCCTTACTACACGCAGAACACGTTTCAGCAGTGCCCGTGGTTCAGGCTCAAACTGCGGTTGGAGATGAAGAACACGCGGTAGGGGAGTATATTTCTGGGCCGTCGAGTGGCCTTTGCCACCTACAGAATACTCTTTCCACCATGGCAGAGCCCCAAGTCACGCCCAACCCGATGGACGTGGACGTCGAGCGCGGTCGACCGCAGTCGGAGGAAGCCCCAGAGGCGACGGAAGCCACCCATGTTCAAGAAACACTCGAGGAGAAACCGCTTCCAGACCCATGGCCAGAGCCCGAGGAAACTATAGAAATGCCTAGTGAGAAGCTCAATCTCTCCGCCCCTCGGCACCGCAGAATATTAACAGCTTTCCAGAACCAGAAATCATCGAAGAAGTGCCAGTCATTTCCAAACCGGTGGAACCAACTGTACATCCAAAGGACCTGCACTTTCAGGAACTGCAGAAAGAACTTGCGGATTTTCTAGGCCAACATATCCACAAGGTCGTCCAACTGCAAACTAGCCTTGTCGGTGGCTCAAACTCGATTCGACCACGGTTTGCTCGGTCGGACAAGGATGGTGCGTTGAGTCCGTTTTTATTCGTTCAGGGAACAACCGAGATTAAACGCGGATTACAGGCGACACGATGTCTGGAAGAGCATCCACAGGGCACTTTGCCGTCTTCTCGCATATGGATCTGGCAGGGACGAGGCCGACACCGATGGACATCCACCTCTTCTCCCTCGACCAGTTCCTCACAGTCCATCTGGAGAACGTGAATATCCTCCAGGAAACACTAAAGGGAAATGTGAACGGTCTTCCAGCGCCTCAGCCTCTATCCACCATCGCCGAAACGATGATAGATTCCAGCAGCCAGTACAACTCCCAAATGCAGCAATTCGCCATGCTAGCCATAACTGTAAGCCCACTCTCCCGTTCATCCTACCCAGTCTTACTCCTTTCAACAGTCAATCTTAATGTCCCTTTTCATCCTCGCCTTTCTGGGACTTTCATACGCCCTGATTGAACCCCGCCACCGCCGCATCCCCTTCAGCGTCTCGCTCCTCTTCGCCCTCCTCTGCCTGGGCCCGCTCCTCCTAACCATCGCCCTCTCCCTCTGGGGCATCATGTCCGCCTCCTGGCGCCGCATGCGCAACATGCCCGAAAGCGCCCTCCAATCCCACTTCCACCTCCACCTCGGCCGCCAAATCCAATTCTGCGTCTCGGTAGCCATGTTCCTCCCTGTCGTAATCTTGGCGTTTTACATCTTCGCGGCGATAGCCTTCCCGATTGTGTTCCTTGTTCTCTTGTTGGTTGCGTCGTTGTTGGTGGTGGGCAGTGTATTTTACAGGGTGCCCATTACGTTTGAGAATGTCTCGACGTTGATTTTGGGAACGAAGGGGTTGGAGAGACCCAACAAGCAGAAGAGGCCCGCACCCAGGAGTCGGAGGAGTTTTTATTGAGTTATTATTCGTACCCTAATATTTATTGCCTCGCCAGGAGTTGCGATGTTCATCCAATTCCCGTGATTGAAGATAGCCCGGTGACTTATAATCCCATACAACAGGTAAGTATTTACACAATCGATCGAAACAGATAGCAACGAAGGTTAGTGGTTTAGTAGATCCAGCCTCTAGAAGTTCTCTGTGGAGTGTCGTCAGGGGGAAGCTCGAGCGGAAAGACGGGGATAACTCACCCTTGCCGTAGAAGAACCTCGTTCCCTTGGGCGTCGAGTACTTATTGCACATCGAGTGAAGTGTCTTGGACAGGGGCGCAGGTCCGCAGAAGAACACGCCAACATCCGTCTCGGGGTGCTTCTCACAGAGCGAGCCAAAGACACGATCCCAGTTCGGTCTTCCAAAGTGAGTGGGTGCTCGGAGAGAAGTGATGGCGTCCTTTTCAGCGCCGACATCCTGGACCTGTAGAATTTATGAGTGGGTATGTTCGGGTTCACGTTAAATTGGTTGGCACGCACAATGATGTTGTTGACTTCATCCTCCTTCAACTTGGCAGTGAGGTAGATGTTAATCTCGATCCTGTTCTGGGTATCCTCCTCTTCGATGGCATGCAGCAACGAGTGGAACCATTCGGCAGTACCGAAATCCTTGATGACCCAAGTGAAGTAGACCTAGACGACAAGATTACAATCATTGTTAACCTAACCAACAACGAAGCAAGCATACCTTGGACAAGCGGGTAGGTTTGGCATCAGTCAGGTTGTTCATGCGGTACCAGATGTGCTTCAAGATCCTGTTGCAACAGAATGATTGGCATCAGGGAAACGAGGTAAAGATGGGCCGCCGACGTACGAAGCAAATGGCGTAACACCGATACCACCACCGACGAGGAGAACCGTCTCGTACTTGAGGAAATCTTCAGACGCAGAGCCGAAAGGACCGTCGACCATGACACGGGGAAGGGGTCGGTTGATGGGAGGAGGGACGGCAGCCGGCTTGGCAACGGCCCCATCATCGCCCTTTTTCTTCCTCTCAAAGTCGCATCCGAGAGCCTTGGAGAACGCCGTGGTCCAGTCACCAGCGACACGGATGTGGACGGAGATAAAGTCCTCCTCGGGGGCGCTGGTGAGGGTGAAAGGGTGCCATTGGAAGTAGGAGATCTCAGGGCATGAAAGGAAAATGTATTGGCCTGCGCGGGTGGTGGTCTTCTCTTTCTTGATTTGGACTTCCATAACACTCGAGGGGTGCTGGATGACCTTGTGGATGTGGGTGCGGTGCCTCGAGCGGATTTCACGGAGAATTCGTTCCCAGATCCAGATGACACCTCCGACGAGCCAGTACCTCTACAGAACAATCAGAATCAAAGACCGAGTCGAGAGTGAAAAACACATACCCAGAAGACACCGATGGTGTTGAATGAGCAGTAAGGCGGGCGGTCGGGCTTGATCATGCAGAACATTCCGTGGAGCTGCCAGTTGATGAAGAAGACGATGAAGAGGTGGTGGGAGTACCAGAACCTCTCGAAGTGGGCACGTCGCCTCTTCTCAATAGCGAACCATACCATGATACCGAGGGCGAGCCACATGATCCAACCAGTGAGACCTGGCCCCGTGGCAAAGTTGGCAGCCATGAACGCGCCAATTCGTTGACCGGTCGTCATGTTGGGGATGGACAGAGCGAGCTTGGTGAAGTTGACCATGTGCGCCAGAGTGTGGACGGCGGAGCCGATGACGATGGACCAGGCGGTCGCCTTGTGGAAGGTGATGTTCTTGTCGAAAGGAATGATGTCGTTGAGCGGGGTGCGGCGCAGGAGGGAAATGAAGTTCCTGCAGACGGGGAGAAGGATGAAGATAACGTCGACGTGGAGGACCAGCGCTGCGGTACGGGCAATTGCTATAGACAATCCATTAGACTAGAGAACACAAACCGATGAAAACCGGCTGGATACTCACGGAAGGTGATACCAAAAACCGACCGGGCACCCTCCGAGTTGTCCTTAAGCTGGTAGTGCATGAAACCAAAGACGGCGACGAGCAAATGGAGGAAAATCCAGGTTCCAAAGAACAGTTGCCTGCCTCCCTCGTTAATCATCCACACATCCCACCGCTGTTTCCAGCCCATCTCCCCCTGGGTGGTCCTGGGCGCAGCGGTGAAAGTGTTGGTTCTCTGCAGCCCCTGGAGTCGTCTTCGCTCGGTCTTGTTTCGCTGGAGATGTACGGGCTGGTTCGAGCCTGTCGAGAGCTTGTCGGCCAAATCCGGGTGCTGGGCAATGGTGGCATTGGGCCCAGTCACCTTGCCGTCTGAAAAGTCGAAGCCAGAGTTTCGAAAGGCCATGGTCGTTGTCTATTTAAAAAACCTGGGAAAAGGGGGTATCGAGGGGCAACGTTCTCAACCAACGTTTCCTGCGCTGTGGTTGAGGAAGAAGATCGAAGAAAAAGAGAGTGGTGGAAGGAATAAAGAGGAAAATATGGAACCGGCCAGGAGGGAGTGACGGGGGATGGGGGAAGAGCCAACTTGTTGTGAATTGCCTTATGTTGCTGTGCCACCGCCAGTGAGAAACAATAATGCTATGGTAACGCCGAATGTCCGTCAGCCATCAATAAAATAAAGTCTGGAATTGATTCTAGACATTCGCTACCTTTACTTCCTTCGATATCACTGCACATTTCTTCCCTAATGGTCGTAGGGCCCGTGAAGAACATTCACCAAAATCAAGCAACGAATGCGAGAAATAGAAGATTCCTGCTCCTTCGGTTTTCAAAGTGATACAGGGGGTCGATCAGAGCGGATGCTACACTTAGACCAACTGGTATCCGACTCACAAAAAGGATTTAAAAAAAGCTGCTGGACAATAGGTGCGGTTATCGCACTACATACAGAGGTCGCATGTGTCAACGTTCTGAACACCCGGGATCAATGTTACCACCATCCTCGTCCTTCATATAGGTGAACTGCTATGCCAACTGATCTTCTTGAACGAGAGCCTTGGCGGCCGCTAGCCCCTGTCGAGGATCCACAAGAATAGCAGAAACCCAATGGAACGAACATTAATCCCCTCGACGAAGAAGCCGTGTCACGGAAAGATGCAGAAACAGTGTGCCTCCTTGACGAAGCTGACAAGCAACCCGACCAAGCATAGATCCGATTAGATCAAATTATTACATGGAGCAAACGAAAACGAAACCTCCGACTTCAAACGTTCAACAGCTTTAATTCAGCAATCTGCTCAACCAAGGATTTCATAACCTCCGCCTTCAACGTTCCTATCTCCAACACCTCTTCATGGGACACAACCTGTGCCACAGGGAGCTCGACCTTCTTGCCCGCAAGCTATACCAGTAATGGTCAACTTCATCACTCGCAATCAAGAAGACTTCTTTTACGCACCTCCGCATCAACCTCCTCCTTGATACTCCTGTACTTGTCAGGAATAACCACAAAGTTGGTGACCAAGCTCATCACCATCACGTTCAACCCTTCTTCGCGTCCAGCCAGGACCTCGGGGATGGTACTCATACCAACCACATCCGCACCAGCGAGTCGAAGGAGCCTGCCTTCCGCTGGAGTTTCGTAAGTTGGTCCACTAACCCATGCGTAAGTTCCTTCCGCCAGTGCAGAGGGCTCGAGGTTGAGTTTGTTGGCGGCGAGGAAGGCTAGGCGACGCAGGGCAGGTGAATAAGCGTCGGAGAGAGGGAGGAAGCGGACGTAATCCGGTCGGTGAGGACCGAGAAGGGGGTTCATCCCTGTGAGGTTCGGAAGAGCGATATGGTCTTGGATTATGACAACTGAACGCGTCGGTTAGGATTTAGTGCTGACGGAAGGACGGGTGGTTTTGCTTACTCGTTCCAACGGGAATGGATGGATTTAGTGATCCAGCGGCGTTAGTGACTGTCAAGAAGATGTCAGATAAGGTAGCGGGGCGGAATGGGCATGTCACGGACTGATAAGATCTTTAATACCAAGCTTTGCCATGACGCGGACAGGGAAGACGGTGCTCGATAAAGAGTGTCCTTCGTAAGGATGGAACTAGGAATTGAGATGTCAGCGGTCCTTTCTTCACGTCCCAGGAGACTTGTAAGCACCCTTCCAAGCATCGCAACAACGGGCAGTCCTTTGCCAGATCCAAGGAATCCGAACGCAAGCGCGCTCTTATGACCGGGAACTACATACTTCTCAGCAATCTGGTAAATCGGTGGGAGAGGTAACGCACCTGTACTCCTGCTAAACCCAGGAATCTTCTCGTAAGGAATAATAACGACGTCCTTCAGAGCGCCAACTAGCCCACTCAACCCAGATCCGCAGATAATCCCTAACTGGGGTTTCTGCAACTCATCTGGGAGCTGAGCGAAGATGGCTTCTAGGGTGGGTGCAAAATTAATCTTTGCAACTGTGTCGTGGGGCATGTCTTCTAAAGTTTCTAGAGTGAGATCGTGGATTGGGTGAAAGTAGCTGTGGTGGGACGAGAGCAACTTTGTCCCTTGGCTTGCGTGCCGGATGATGATGGCGGCGGCTCCATCTCTTCACACGATTAGTACAGGGCGTCAATTGGGCGAGCGCTTGACGCTCTTCTGACACTTTCAATCTCTTTTAAACTAGCTGTGTGTATGGAATACCTTAAACAAGCTCAAAGAATAAAGAAACAACATGGAATAGGAGATCCGCAGTGAAAGCTTTCCGCCGTGTCGATGGTAATGGTGTGCTTCAAGATCTTGAGATGATTATAGCCTGCAGCGATCCTCATCTGCCTCGAGGATGTTCTTGTTCAGCATCCCACCTACTGGGACAGCTGGACGTCAGTGGTCCAATCTAGAGGCTGATCTTCCAAAAGATGGATATTGGATGATCAGAGGGCTGTGTATGTAGGTACCACGGTCAAGTATGGGAGCGTATGATGTCGCACTTCAACTTGCTACTTGCACCGCTGGAGAGGATTATAAAATCCCTTTACGTGCGTTGATAAATAGGCACAATTCACTCGAATCGTCCTGATATTTCAGTTAGATTAGTGGACAGGGGAAAGATAAGATTAGATCCGGAATTGCCGGTCGCGGTGGGCCAAAAATGGGACGGTTCCTAAAACGGACAAACTATCTTGGCTGTTTCTCGCGCACGCACCACCTCACATCTTTCAACGCCGGTTTGTTGTCCTCCACACATTCTTTCCTTCCTCGACGTCGTCCTCAACCCCCTCCTCGTCGTCCACCACGTCGTCCAGAGGCTAAAGAATGCCGAGTCCATCGCTCTCCCTGGACTCGCTCAGTTCTCCCTCAACATCGCCTTCACCACCACCCCAGCCAGCAACCCAGTCCAAAGGCAGATCCGCTGCCTCATCCACCAAGCCACCATCCTCGACCGCGGAAAAGCGAGACGCAGTCATTTCAGGTCTCAACTCTGACTCTGAGCTCTCAGAGCTGACCGAGGACGAGCAGGACAACAACCAACACCCAGCCAACGATTCCAAGAAAAGGTCGTCCGCTCGTAGTACCGACGAACCAGACTCCTTGGATAGCGATAAACGCCCCTCCGCATCCCATCGAACCACAAAAGCAAGGCGGAAAAAGCGGAGCAGTATCGTCCCAGCGCCAATGTGGGGATGGGCCAGCAAAGAGCAAAGGGCCCTGGAGGCCATGGAAGAAGAAGAGGCCAGCAAACGTGAAGAAGAGGAGGAAGAGGAGGAGGAAGAAGAAACTAACGGCCCCCCGCGAGCTATGGAGGAAGAAGAAGATGACGATGAGGGAGAAGACACCGTGCGCGGTGGCCGTGGCCAAACCAAGAGCCATCGACCAGACACCTGGCGTTCTGGCAAGGGCAAGCCTGTGCGTGCTCAATCACGAAAGGTTTCTTACAGGAATCTCGACGCCGAAGAGGACGATGTCCCCGACGACGACGACGATGACGCGGACCCGACATACAAACGGAACAACGTGTCATCGAGCGCCAACCCACGGTCTAACGGCGTCCCAGACGACGAAGAAGTCACTTCAGACAACGAAACTCTCTCTCGTTCTCCCTCAGCTTGGAAATCAACGAACCCCGACCAGGAGGATGGCGAAGTGTCTGACACCAGCGACGCCCCCGCCGCGCGGAAACCCCAAATCCGACGACGGGCCACCACCGCCTCGAAGCAAATTCAGGACGAAGAAGAGGAAGAGGAAGACGATCCACCCTCTGACGTAGAGCGTGGAGCCACTGGCTCAGGCGACGAAGTCAGCGGCAACGAAACCGAGTCAGAAGCGGACGAGCCATCTACGACCACCAAGTCGCAACCACCCAAAGCGCCCGTGTCCCCTAATGTGCCCGCATCTCCATCCAAGTTAACAAATTCAGACCCCAAACCTGCATCCCCGACTATCCGAACCCTCGCCTCCGCCGCTGAAGCAACGAAAACCATCACCAACATCAATGCTGCAGCCGCGGCTTCGTCCATCATGGCTGGATCGAATATCGTCGGTAAAGACGCCGACGTTCAATCCTCCACTGTAACTTCTCGCGAAGGCTCTTTGGCGCCTTCTCCTAAAGGGTCTGATGACGAAGATGAACAGGACGGTCGTCTCTCACTCGCATCTGTCACCAAGAAGCGTCGGGAATCCCTCATCCAAAACGCCGCCGACACCGATCCTGCGAAAGGCAAATCCAATCCCAAGAAGCCGGACCCAGACGGAGATGTCGACATGGACGGTGAAGTCGAGGTCGATGCCGAATTGCCTGAGGGGACCCCTGGCCAAGATGCGGATCCGTCTGTGGGAGACGTCGACCCCGATGGAGATGTTGACGTCGATGGCGAAGACGCCGCCGAAAACGACCCTGACGGCAACGATGACGGCGAGAATGGTGACGGGGACAACGACGACGACTTGGATCACGACAACGAACTCGAGTCAGACCTCCAACCTGCCCACAGGGCAGAAGCTTTGGACGTCCTCGCCAGCATAGAGCTCAAATTTGCACTCCTCCGCGAACGTGTCTACGTTGAGAAAATGGAGAGTTTGGCTTGGGAAGAGGAGCTTGTCAATATGGGTATGTGCTCGCTTACATCTCATTCACTTCCATTCTGACGTTCTTGACTTCCCAGGAACGCATCCCGAAATGATTTACCTTCTCGGTGAACTCAAAAACCGACGCGACAAACGCCTTGAACTCGCCAGCAGGAAACGATTGTACGAGATTGCCAGCATTGGCAAGCGGAGAAGAGCCGACGAAGATGCCACCTGGAGTTGGTGGATGGTGCGTAAATTGCTTGTCTATCGTTGTCCCTCGAGCTCACAGCATTCCAGTTCACCCGCGATGAATTGCAAACTGATATGATTTCCGAGACCAATCGGAAGAAGCGCCGCCTTGAACGAGAGCGCCGCTCGATTGAGCGACCTCAGCCAGGTTAGTCGGTATTCCAATTGGAATGACGTTATACTCATTTGGCTTGCCTAGTTCGCCGCATTCCAGCGCCACCGACCTCAGTCCCTCCTGCTCCCTCATTCAGAACTATTCTGAGCAACCTCCCATTCAATCACTCCAAGAACAAGATTTCGGCCTCGCCATCCAGTGGTGTTTATGTCTTTCCCGAGCTCGGAACCCTCCCATCCAATGATGTCGCCTCAGATCTCGAGTTTTTGCACCAGAACCGACGGCATTCACACCACTCCTCCAATTATGATTCGCACCGGCCCATGTCTGGCTTGTCAAATCCTCCCATCGTCGGTCCGGGAATGATGCGCAGCGCCTATGATTCACAGCCTTATCCCCCGCCTGCTATGGAGCCTTATGGACGCGCGATGGCTCAACCACCCACGTCGTTTCCTCCCTATAGCCATCATCAAGGACCTCCGGGGCCATCGCAGCCAGTTCATGGATATCCGCCTTACGCAACTGCACCGCCCCCTGGACCCGTGCACCACTCTGGCCCACACCCAAGTAACGTAGCTTCGGGAAGTTCGAGTCACAACCCCCGCCACATGGATCGAGGTTGGCGGGAAATGGAGGGTGAACACGCAGGGGGACATCCGCCTTCCGGTGCTGGTCATCAGTTGATGCCGAACCACCCATACTTTGGTCAGGGTGCGAATGGCGGCCCTGCCAACACCTACCCTCCTGTTCAATCGGGTCAGCCCCAGCAAAATGGGAGGAGACGATCCCCTTCTCCCATCCATGCACCCAACGGTGTTGACAGCGGCAAACATGGTCCGGGTGCTGCTCCGGCACCTGGAACATGGTTAGGGCCGGGTATGGGCATGGCTCATGTACCTTTGGGAGTCAAAGGTGATTGGGGAGAGAACAGACGTGTGGCTGGAACCATGGACTCTGTGATCGACCACGATGGTCGCGAGCGCATGGCTAGGGAGCATTGGGAAAAGGAGGCGCAAGAGAAGCTTCAGCGCGAGAAGGAGCGTGAACGACAGCGGGAAGAGCGGAAGGAAAGGGAGCGCCTCGCCATGGAAGAACATGTGAGGATACGCAAACAGCAGGACGAGCGCGAGCGTGAACTCCTTGCTCAGCATCGTGCCCATCAGCATCGACAGGGATCGACAGGCCAACATAGCCATGGACCTCAGCCGGTCCCTCACCATCACCACCGCCACGCTCATGGACATCACCATCATGTCGTACATCATCACCATAACCAGGGACATAGTCATGCTCCCCATGCTTCGTCGTCTTCCTCAGCGCATCCTCGTGTGCACGAAAGCCGAGGCCACCCTGCCCGCGAAGAACACCCTCGTGCTGCTCCCATTGATTATCGTGAGCGGGAACGTGAGGCTGAACGGGAGAGGGAACGCGAGGCCAGGATGCAGTCCATGGGACGCCCTCGGTCAGGACCGCCGCACCCTCTCGAGGAACGTGACAGACCTATTCCTGTCCCACTTGCTCTTGGTGCATCTCAACCGCCATCCCAATTAAGCAACGGTTCTTCCCGGCCTTCCTGGTCTGCTAATGACGACGGTTATCGTCCGCCGGCATCCTCTGGTCCTTCTGGGTACCCAAGCTCCCAAGAGCCACACCGCTCTCCAGTGCATCGCTATGCTACCCCAAGCAACGCTCACCCACAACAGCGTACTCCGGCACCTCCTTCGTCGTTGCAAAATAGTGTTGGACCATCTTCTCCAAGTCGCCGCCCTCCACCACCACCTAGCCCTAGCTCTTCCTACCCAAATGCTAGCCAGCAACAATCTCCTCCTAGATATGGCCCTCCCCCTCCACCATCCATGGCGCCTAGGTCTCCCCCTGTCAACCTCAAAATGCGACCACCTTCACCGCTGACTTCAAAGGTCCTTCCACCACCAAATTCTTCGTCATACGCGCAATCGCCAAGGCTGAATGGGCCTGGGCGTACATCGACCCCGACCAGCAATGCCGCCAATGTGCCACAGGGACCTGCAGCCCACGTTGTCGATGCCAAAGCACCAGGTGGACGACCTGTTGCCCCTGACCTTGCACCACGATCGACCTCGCCACCACCGCCAGCAACAAATACCCGACCTGCGTCTGGCATTCCCTTTGGCCCTCCCCCGCCATCAACTGCGGCCAACGGTGATAGACAAGCATCACCCTTGATCCAAGGTCTTCCCCCTCCACCCCAGTCCCACCCACCAAAAGTTGGTTTGCCATTGATTGATGGACATTAAGGAGGCTCTATTCTCCTTTCTCTCTTCTTGATTTCTCTTATATCGCGCGTACTCGTGTATATTTCCTCCTTCGATACCATCCGTGGCTCAAGATTTCAATCTCCGTTCAGAGTTCTCTCTTTCACTTCTAATACGCCTCGATAGAGATAATGGCTTGGAGTAAACTTTTATCGTCGACTATGTATCATGAATTCTTTTTTCTGCCTGTTGTCTTCTTACATCTTAGTCTCGCTGAGTTCAATAGCTCCAATATACTGAATCTTTACTAGTCATCTCATCGCTCCATCCCCGACAACCCGACGTCCGGCTGACAATGCAAGCTCGGGCGTTGACGGGGACCTGGTCTGACCTCGTCGTCGCTGGACGCCGCCAAGGGGGTCTATGGATTCACAGGGGAGAGGTCGACATGCTTCGTCGGTTCGACTCTCAAGCCAGCCTCCTGCAGCAGTCGCCGAGTGGCAGTGTTGCGGGCTGGGCATGACTGCCTCCATACAAGTCGCTTCAACATTCACGCGAGCCCTCCCCCAAAAGTAGATTCAAGTCCCATAGAAGGAAATCTCGACACGGAGCGGGTCCCTGACCTTGGCAAGGAACATCCGATGAAAATGACGTCCGACATACGCCGTCGTCCTCGTCGTCCCCCGAATCCGTCGATCACATTTTTTCAAACGTCTCGATCGCCACCTGTTTGAAGGCCGTATCCTGTCAATATAAGCAGCGAGGATCAGACCTGGGTGCAGAGTTTGTAAGGCGCTTGTCCAGAGGCGCTGAAATGTTTCGAGCCACTGATGCCATTTGGTGGTGATCGAGCGATGGGATGGAATGGATTTGCTGTGTTACGTTGGCGGTGTGCATTTTGGAAACTTGAATGGACTGAAACATGATGAGGGGAGCAGCCTTCCAAGTTCGACGTGGAAGAAGGCGGAGGTATATTGTCATTTTTTACCGAATATCACGCTGGTTTGCCCTTTACATTCGTTGGGGTGACCTGTCCGACCTGGCGATTGGATCAGTGGAATGGCCCTGGCTAGCCCTGGCCCCGTGCTTGTGCGATGGTACGCCGGACGAGGTACTTGTCGAACATGGTGCCTGAGGGTGACGCGAATGTGCTGACCTCTGGGATCCCGTGTGGTTCAGCTTGAAGTCAAGTGTAAGCGGGTGAGAAGAGGTGAGAAGGTGAGACAGAACTTTTGACCTTCATCTCTCACCGACCAAGGTCGGAAATTGGATTTCATTGAATCGTTAGCTATCTCCAATTCAAGGCAATTGGCGGTTGGAACAGATCGCGGTCACAGTCTTCGCATTTCATGATTGTATTCCTTCCGTGTGTCTTTCTCAATTCAAGGGCTTTACTCATCCAAGCTCTTGTCCGCGTGCAAGCAAGACGAGATTACGAGATTTCTCTAGTTCCTGTAAACTCCTGCAGAATGACCTTCCCTTATTTTAGAGGTTCCCTTGAACAGTTCTTGGAGGTGGCGCCTCCCGAGCTCATCAATGACGTTACAATGAAGCGCCGGCAATTCAAGTGAATGATTCGCCACAGAATTCTCAATTGCTTCGTAAGGATTGCGTGGAAAAAACACGAGCTTCAGAGCAGAAGACTGCTGGGGTTTCTTGGATGTTAGAACCGTAGCGCTGAACGCGAGGTCCGACGATGCAGACGCGTCTTGTCCTTGGCCTAGGTCCAATTTCTGATCCGGCTTGGTGGTAATTTTGGAAATAGTGAGCAATATACCATCGGAGCATCGGGAAGGGGCTGCTTGCTGCGCGTAACAGCATGGACGAGGTCGAGTTGGCATCACGGTCAGCATGCACCCTGATGACCCAGCCCAAGGGTTTTGCAGGGGTAAAACCACAAGGGACTGCGTTCTGACAAGCGCCGACTAGGCATTCTTGGACAGCCTGGGTCATAGCGCTCTGAGTCGCGGATGTCACCGTGGCCTGACATTTCATCTCCATAGATTAAAGCAACGGACACGGTCGAGCTGGGAACTCAACTCAAAATTGACACTGGGAGGTTCTAGAAGACACAAAGTTTGCGGAAAATTATGTTGTGCGCCAAAATTAACGAAGTGGTCACGTACGACGCGTCGTGTGTATGAATAGTTCAAAATCCGCGAACTTACCGTGGATGTGAACAGCGACCGAAGTTCGATGGCTAGATGGTGGCGGCGTCGCATCATAGAGCGCACACAACCCTCAGTAACTTGAACGAGAAAACCTGGACTGTTATAGGAAGTTCCAAGAATTTTAAATTGGGAAGGTTGCAAGCGGGGATGAGGGTCCAGGCGACACGGTCTGTCAAGTTAAGTTGGACGGGACCCTTGCGGGGAACTGCGAAAATGAATGAGAGAGTTACATACAGGGTTTCCCTCTGAGGCTCAGACATCAGTCAGGCGTAGCCCGACCACCGCGTGATGTTCGTAAAACCAGGGCGCCTATGTCGAAAACATAAGAAGTTCATTGCAGAAAGTACAAGTGAATGTCATAACGTTTGGTTCATGTGGGAACACATGGTCTGACACCCTTCAGAGGGAGCATTAGAAGCCTTTGGAGTAAAATGCACAGTCAGTGGGTGTGTATGACTCGCTAAAGACGATAACAAAGTGATGATCCAACAAGGGGAAACTGCCTCAAAAGGCTAGCGTACCTTGGGCCTGTCCTGATTTGACTTTCGCGAACCCTGACTGCTGATGTGATGGGACCCTTACCAAACCGAAGAACGCGTTATTAGGCTGTCTTGCCACGTTCTAATGGGCGTCTTCTTGACGTTTCGTAGGCTTAAAATGACGGAGGTGGCGGCGGATACCCGACGCAAAGCCGCATAACTTGAAGAAACTTGGAGAAAAAGCCCACTGAAGAGCTCGCTTTGCTCCGGTGAGGTCATTCAAAAGGTCACCGAAGAGGACACCAAGAATTGGAGCGGAGCACCCAAGGGCTAGTCTGAAAACGCGCTCCTTTTCGAGGTTAGGATGGCAGAGTGTGAGAGCCTAAGCGAGTGTGATTGATCTTCGATGGTCCAATGGTAGAGCATATTCAGTAGGGCGCTTCACGGCGAACTGGCATAGGGAATGAGTCCGAAATTAGCTCGAAGGCGTCCCTGAATTGTTGGAGAAACATCGAGATTTAGAGGGGTATGGAGCCCCGAGAGAAAAGGTAGCATGGGGAGCCATATGTCGAGGCTGTCGTCCATTTTGCTAAGTCCTAGTCTTCGGCCTTGGAGCAAGGTTTGCAAGCATTTTTTCAAAGGCTTCCTCGGACATCGGAGGAGCACGCGTGGTGGCTGTGCGCAACGCGATGGAGGGACGTGGTTGGCTGGAACGGTGAACCAAGGCAATTGCCGCCATGTCGTCCGGGTGTTTTGGCAAGCATGGCGTACTCGAAAAGGGAATGACGCCTATGTTGGGATGTGGAAAGCTACTTTTTTTATGGAAAATGACAAGAAATGAAGCGAAGAAATGAGGAAATAATTATTTTCGTTATCTTTCATCCGCCGGGCGTCGATCACAACAAATACGGGGAGTGGGTGGACCAAGTAATGTTGCAACATCCCCGTTCCTCGACATCCATTACCTGGCCCGAACTGTCCGCTTGCAATCGTCGAGGACGTCGCATACGATGGCCATGGGAGTGATAGCGAACCCTCACGTTCCCTATTTTATCGACCTTAATGGGCATCATCAGGTGCCAGTGAAGACAGAGGCTTCTTCTTCACCCGATTTGTCTCCGGGTCCACCTTCGCTGCAACATTTCCAGTTCAAGTTCAATCCTCCTCAGCCAATCGTCTCTCACGGCTCTGTCGCCCAGTCTCGTAATCCCTCCGAATCCCCTTCTTGTCTTATCCCTCACCCTGTTTATCGCTTTGGCTCGGACTCTGCAAGACACCGTTATAACTTCGATTCCGACCACTCTTGGCCAAATTCTGTGGTCTCCCATCATCTGCCGCCCCCTCACCGCCACGACGGTGTCAGTCTTGCCCACCGACACTTAGACAGGCAATACCACAACGACCAGGAATACATTCGCCCCGCTATGTCCTACAGCGACGAATACGATAACGCTTCCGACCTCGCCGAGATTGTAGGAGATCCCGGACACGGCGTCAACTTTGGAGATGGCGCTGGGAGTGGCCAAGGCAATGATAAGACGGTTAGGCGGAGGAGCAGTAAAGGTGTGCAGCTTGGAACTCAGTCCTCTGGACTTTGTATTCACAATCGCCTTTAGCCTGCGACCAATGTCGTAAATCCAAGTGTAAATGCGAGCGGTCTGGTCCCAACGAGCCTTGCAAGAGCTGTATTCTTCTTGGAACTCGTGAGTTCTCGTCATCTATCTTCCCCAGTGGCCCTGGGGTCGCTCGAGCGACCTACATCACATCGCCAGGGTTGTACCGCCACCCCTACTGTTTCCTGTTCCTCGCTGTGTGGACGTCGACTGACCAACCTCGACAGCCTGCACCTTCCTAGGCCCGTCGCGGAAACGCGGCCCGCCCAAAGGATACATTGACGCTATCGAGGCCCGCCTTCACCAGACCGAAGCTCTCGTCGGCATAATGTTGGCGACAAAGGACCCTCGCGCTCGGTCTCTTCTCGAGGACATGGCAAAGGTACGTTGTCGTCACCTTTCTTCGGATATATTCGTGGACTCGTTTGGAACGCTACACGAGGACCATGCTAGCGTGATCTAACCCCGGTTTACTTTAACCAACTTCTTTGTCTTCTCTCGTGGCTGCGGGGGATTTTCGCGGGAAAATAGTTTAACATGTCTATTCTAGGATCCACTCGGTCGGGAAATTATCAACCGTGTCGATAATTCGCCCTATGGCGTCAAAGGCCGAAAGCGAGACGGTAATCCAGCTGGTACCAAAGCTCGTCCAGGCGGAAATTCCGGCTCGGAATCAGCCACTCCAGATGGGACAGGAAAGATTGACCTGACTTCAACGCAGTAAGTCGTGTATATCCTTTCTTTGAGCAATTCGCCAATCATTAATCATCACATTGACAGTCCATCCAACGAATGGCAAGATCGCGTCGTCGCGATGCTCGACTCTGCGGCGGGCGTCGAGACAGTAGTTTCCATGGACTCTGAGAACGACAGCGCCAAGCCTACCGAAGAGCAGAAGGAAGCAAGCGCGAGCGCCAGTGGATCCAAAGTCAAATCGCCATTGCTGCGGATTGACCCCAACCGCCCAGCATCCACAGAGACGCAGTCTAGCGACGACAATCAATCACCTGGTCGGCGTCAAAGGAGAAGGATAGGCGAGCATGAATTCTCGTCCAACGGGTTACCCTATCCTTCATCAGCCAACGCATCTGCTGCTTCCCTCGTTCTTGGCCCAAACTCCGTTAGGAGACGAGGCCGTGGGTACTCTCACACATACTCTTCGTTGAGTCCCGTGAATCCCATTGTTGGTGACCGGAGAAGCTCAAGTGTCGACAGCCTCAGCTCTGACAGTGAAGACGAGTTGGCGGGTGCCGTGGGCCAGCTCAGTCTGAATGAAGACGAGCAGGTGCGATATCACGGCAAGGCCAGTGGTCTTCACATCCTCAACGACAAGGAGCGTGTGGATGGCCGTAACGAAGGTGGCATTTGGTACGTGTTTCATTTGCTGTCTTTGGCGATTTCTCACCGTCGAAAACAGGCGTTTCCCTAAAGCAAGGGTTTGGCCCCTTGCAGCTCCTAACTCCTCCGCAACACTTGAAGAAGAGGCGCTTGCTTCATACCTCCCCAGCGAGGCAGTTCAAGAGCGTCTCCTCAATCTCTACTTCCGCTTCATTCACTCCGCCTTCCCAGTCATTCACAAACGAGCCTTCTTCGAGGCGCACAGAAAGGGGTATGTCATCTTACCAAATGGATTCCCATGTCTCTAAACACTAACTAACTTGCATTCAGCCACCAAAATTCTTCCATTACCCTTTCTGATTCGGAAAATTCTGAGGGAGCTCTCTCTCATCGCCGTCGTCAGCGGGTACCGACTTTACTGCTCTTGACAATGTTCTCGCTCGCTGCACGCTACGACGAGACGACACCCCTTCCTCCAGATCCATCCCTGATGTGGTCGGCTGGGGACGAGTATCTGGACAAGGCCAAGCTCATCCTTGACAAGGTCTATTCAAGCTCCCGTCCGTCCACATGTCAGGCTTTGCTTCTCATGGGCTACCGAGAAGTTGGTATTGGAGCTATGGCACAGGCTTGGACCTATATCGGGATGGCGATTCGGATGGCCCAGGATCTCGGAATGCACCGAAGCGCTGATGGTTGGGCAAGGGTTGTCCTCGGTGGCCGACTGTTCAATGAGTGGGAGCTCCAGGAGCGCAAGCGCATCTGGTATGGCTGCGTTATCATGGACAAATACGTCTCCACGTATATCGGTACGTTGGGCTCTTACTATGTTTCTGAATGACCGGTGTTGACTTTCGACTCAGGCAGGCCTTTGATGATCTTCGAGCGCGATTTTGACACACCTTTGCCCAGCGAGGATGATGTGAGTTTTTTGCCGCATTAGTCTGTCTGACCCAGCGTGCTAATTTCTCGTAGCCCGAGGAAATGGAGGACTGGCCAGTCAGAATTCCGCAAGAAAACCCTAATCCCATCCCTTGCCACAGAATCTCGTGCTTCAACGCCTCCTCCATTCTATGTGAGTTAGGTTGGAATATGGTCTCCTCCCCAACCCTGATCTTGATTCAATTCTGTCAGCCGGTATTCTGAGTACCATCGTCCAGGCCATCTATGCTGTGAGACCAGTCTCAAGTCGCCACGCAGAGGCTCTGGTTTTGGAAGGCATACTCGATAAATGGTATCTGGAGCTTCCGGAGCATCTCCGCTATGATTCCACTGCGACGAACAAACAAACACCATTACCACACATCCTTACACTCCATATGCAATACTGGTGCGCAGTGCTGCTGCTCCACCGACCTTTGTGAGCATACCATTTCTTCTAAATCCGACCTCTATCCGATGCTGACTCTCGGGCTTAGTATCCGCCCAGTGTACAATGCAAAGCAAAAGGGAGACGGTTCCGAGGATCCTGAGGCTCTCAACATCGCCACAAAGAGCTACGAGCTCTGTGCGGGTGCGGCGAATCATATCACCTCAATTAGTGAGTCTTCGCTTGTCCCCATCCTCTGCGATCCGAGTTTTTATTTTTTCTTCACCCAGTCACTGCCTACGCAGAGAAATATCCGCTAAACCGATGCTCCGTGTTCCTCTGCTACTACCTCTTCACCGCCAGCATCATGCATATCACTACCCGTACGTTTTCACGATCCATCTCGGAAGATTACAGTGTCAGAACCCTTCTTTTTCTAGTCACGACCCACCCTTCTGATCCTCAAGCCCCTCTCGGACTTAAGAAATGCATGGATGCACTCGAGATGATTGAGACTGTCTGGCCAAGTGCAGCTCGTGCGCTTGAGCTTCTTCGTGGTGCCAAAGTCAATCTCCAGGGGTCTGAGATCGTAGCTCAACCACAAGGTTCTGCACGTCCGAAGCGTGCTGCACCTCAGCCGCTGGACGACACCGCTCATCTCAATGGCAGATACTTCAACCCTCCTGCCGATGACCCACCCTCGACCCGCCCCCATAGTCTTGGAACTAACTATATCTACCCCACAACCGCCTCTTTTGCTCCCCACACTCCGTCCACTAACCATCAGTCGCATAATCCTGCGTCGGTCCTCAGTCCTTTGAGCGCCCCCTCTCCCACAGCAAACTACCGATGGCATTCCGAGGATTTCCATTCACATCATTCCTTCAACAATAATGCCCCGCTGTCTACCTCAGTCCTTCCACAGCTGTACAGCACCGGATTTGGTGACGATCGAGCACACGTACCATCATCCACTCGTGTTCAGTCTCATGGAGACCAAAACGGACAGGCGTCATCCAACCGATACCCACAGTATTGGAACGACTATTCGACTTTTCCTCAACTCGGACAGGCATACACGGGACTCTCAGACCAACCCAATTCCACTTCCCATCAGCCGCTGAGCCCACATATGTATATGCAGGAACACTATAACCTCTATAGTGAGTCTCATTCATATCGCCGTGGATGACCTCGTGACGATCATTTCTTTCCAGATACCCAGCCATTTCCGGATCGCTAAGCTATCTTGCAAGTGAAGCTAAAAAAGGTCTTCACGATATTCCTTTCATCTTATTCATTTTCTCTGGGACAATGTTGCTTCATCTTCGCTTCTGCTCCTACTCTCGATATTTATTCGGCACTAAATGTTTGATGTATCGCTTAGCTTTCCCGTTTGGTCTTGATCGAAAAGTCAATTGCTATCCGCTCTCCTGTGTCCAATGGCCATTCCTTCTCCCTCTCATTGATGATCAATCACGCATATTCCTTGCCTAGTAGTCAGTTCTTTCTGCACGATTCCCCTTCACTTACTATTCGATGTAGCGGTATTCCAAATTCACACTTATTCTACTTCATTTACGATCCAGGTTATCCTTGATTTCTTGTTTCTCAAAAAACGTACATACTGCTTCCCCCTAGCATAATCGATCCCCATAGAATACTCCGCCCGCGTTGGCACCGTAATGAATACCCCGGAATGGGCTTTTTAACATGATTCGGAGGGCTCGATTTGGAATTCGAGGATGGCTTGGTTGGTTGAACTTGGTTCTCCCCATTTCCTAATTCATGCACCTTAGCGCACGCGAGTCGGATTTCGGAATCGAGAAGCCCTCAGGATGTCTTGAGAAATATCCGAAAGTGGTCAGCTGAAGAACTCGGGACCAGGTGAAGACCACTGACCAGGTGGCCTTGCACTCACTGACCAGCCGAAGGTCTCGAAACGGGTTCCCATCTTACCATGTATGGCTCGCGGCCCGGTATAATGAGAAGTTGAGGCAAATCGAGAAGCGCACGAAGCCCGCGCCACCAACTGTGGACAGGCATGGCCTTGGAGCATTCGGTTCAGTGCACCGATGAAGATGGTCTTGGTGATAGCGACCCAGAAATGACTCTGAGGAAACAGTGCTCAGTCGTCATACCCAGTGTCACGCTCAGCCCTAATCCTCCCATGGGACCTCGTGTCCCCCGACATGCCCACACCACGGAGTCCACCGGGCCCCCTCCAACTCGATGGAAAGTCTTCTCAGAAAATTTAGAAAATGGAGTGAATGAGAAGAAATGAACCAAAGGAGCATATCGACTGAGCAACAACCTCGGGGCACATCCTGACTTGTGTGTGGACAATCCGCCCTCTCTCGCTTTTGACGATGTGTAAATGGCGGCGACAAAATGGCTCTCGACAAGCTTCTGACCCAAGAAGATCCCATTCGAAGGAGAGCCTGACAGATTATCGATGCGGTGGATGTGTTAAGCACACAAGTGGACGAGTGAGCTTCTTGATTTAAGAGGATTGAATTGGACTGGGTGCGGCTCCGGGGTTTTGAGAAGGACAGTGCTTCACTCGGACATGCATCGAAGATCATAGTCGAGCTGCCACATTCAATACGAGGGCCTCGTGACATACCAGCGGGGACGCTAAGCCTGGCGGTGAATAGACCAAGAAATTCGAGGAAGAAAGAAAGGGAAGGTCCAAAGGAGTTAAGGCCGGCGAAATCAGAACAGAAGTGACGAGAGGCGAGAAGGGGTATGACCACGAGAGACCACGTTTTTGGGAACTGTGATGAAAGAATTTGAGGCTTTTAGAAGGGCGAAGTTTCCAAGAGTTTGGTTGACGGTACCGACGGTGGAGGTAGATCCGGGAATCATGAATTGTCGGGGAAAGGGTGCGGGATACGGGCCGCGGCTGCTGCCGCTGCGAGTGGACTATAGGGTAAGAATGCGAAACGTATGCGAAAGTGCAAGCGTGAAGAGTCCCATGAACCAAGAGCGAAGCCAAAGAAATCTGGTATAATGGTATGGATACACAAGATATGATCGTTCTGTCCGATGACAAGATGGAAGTGTGGCGTCGAGAAGAATCTGTGCTGTATGTATACTAAGAACTGCGAGAGTGAGTGAAGAATCGTTTAGGGAGGAATGGGGAAGGAATCAGCGGTATTAGAATGCGATAGGGAAGGCTAACATCGAAGCATCGTTCGTCAAGGACAAGTGCAAACAAAAACCAGGATCGGATCCTCCTTGGACGCAAAGCATACGCGGGACAAAAGATCTAGGACCCCGACGGTGCCTTCATAACGTTTGATAAAGGGCTCGGCTCAGAGGATTTGATGGGGTACATCGTGACGCCGTTGGTTGTCGGAATCGCTGGGGGCTTGCGTCGCTTAGGCGGAGCCGGGGGTGGTCGCCTCGTCGTACGCTGATGGGTACCAGGATCTCCATTCAGGGTGGAGGACCTGGGCAGCGAGGAGGCTAGTGAAGGATGGCTGGCATTTTTGTGGTGCATCGAAGGAACAGAGCGGACAGTCGAGGCTGCGATTGAGTCGGCGAGAGATCCACTTGAGGAAGACGAACCGGACTCGGAGTACTGGGAGCGAGCGTCGTTACTGTAGGAAGAGGATGCGGTGTTTCTTCGTTGGGGAACAGGCGGGGAGGTTTTAGCCGCAGATGATGTTGATGAAGCGACGGGCACAGCTGACAAGCTGACCGAACTTGCATTGTTGGGATGTCTGACTTGGTCAAGAGGGGAACGAGGAATGGGAGGTGGTCGTGAAGCTTCGGGTCTCAGACCCAAGTTCTCCACGCTCTTGCTGAATTTCATGTTCTTGAATTTGTCGGTGGTCACTTCTAGGTTCTTTGCGGTGGCAAGCGAAATGTGGGATGGGCGACCGAACATTGAGCCAGAATCACTGCTCGGGCTCCCGGGCGGATTCGAGGGGGGAGGACGAGACGCCTTGAGTTGAACGCACCATTCACCAGAAAGACAGCGTTCGACAAGACGTTTGGTAGTTGGGTTGATATCTCGGATGTTCTCATTTGCAATCAAGGACTCCAGCAACGACATAATGTGAGGTCGCTTATAAGGTGTTGTCCGCAGTTGTGTTTTCGTTAATAAGGGGTGAAGAACGCGAAGGTATGTGTGGCGTAGCTGTACCTAGAGGTCAGTTACCACGCCCAGATTTTTTGAACAAGCTACTCACCGATTCGTTACTTTCATCAAGGTTGGAAAGCTCTCGCAGAAATACGTCTACCAAAACGCAGAGATCATTTGTGTAGAAATACTCCGCCAAGCTTTTTGTCGTGAAGAGAACGTAAAGAAGTTTGAGGATCAGGAGTTGCATGCAAAGGTCCTCGGGGGTATGTTCTAGTCTGGGTTAAAATGATTTGAACTCGGTAAAAGGTGAAAGCACATACTTGCTCGATTCAGCATGAAAATTAAGTTTTCACCAAATGTGTGGCTGTTCCCAAACCGTCGAACGAGGATACGAATGATGCGGTTGTTGGATTCGTCCGGCGCCTTCTGAGAGTCGCTTCCGAGTCCCGCCACCATGAACTGCTCGTTGAGAGCAACCTGTTTCCGAATTAGACGAGATGAAATCAAACTCATGCACAGAAACAACGCACAATTAGTTTGATCACAGAGTAGTTGAAGGCATCATCTTGCATGTACTTGGTTTGCTCCACGAGCTCGAACAGATAGTCTATGAAGGAGTCGTCGAAAATCTCTGAAGATGCATGTCAGTTACAGCAATGGAAAGCTGTGTCATCGAAAGGAGCTGCGAAATTGGGCGTGTATGCTGAAGCGGAGGATTGCGCCATAGCCATCGCCTAGAGACTCCCGAGAAGGTCGTGCCAAGAGCGGGAGGAGGGGCATGGAATCAAGATGGTATGGGTCCGAGCACGTGGAAGAGGATATATTGGCCGTGCTTGGGGGGACAAGGGATTGCATGGGGAAGGAGGACAACTCACTAAGATCCACGGCGGTCATCTTCTGCACCTTGCATATCTCATACAACAGTTTGATTCCCAAACTCCTCAGCTTGACCTCGATCGGGACGGGGACTGAAGTGCCGCTGATGATTATCGACCCTCTTGATCCAGCGGCGCCAAAGAATGTGTCCTCCACATCCGGGTCAATCTCGACCAAGATGTGATCCATCAAATGCGGTATAATGGGTTGCCAGCGTTTGTGATTCTTCAGGGCTTCGACTCTGCGGTGACCATGGAAGTAAAGCGTATTGTAAAGGATGAAGAGAGTATGCGGGTCGGTCGTCTTGAAGAGCATAGTCAGTAACTGGAGAACACGGGTGAGATACCGTGCACACCTTGAGAGCATCTTCCACCACGATCTCACACATCCTTTCCGAGTGAAACTGGAATAGCTCGGAGTCCAGTAGAAGTTCAAAGGCGTGTTCCAGCTGCAATGGGCTCTGGAGGTATTGTTCTTCGGTGGATTAGCTTGGAACCAGGGTAGCGACGAAAGCGCCTACCATGATATGTCGCACAGAGCGTCAAAAATCGCCTCAGCGTCGAATCCAGTTGCGACAATGTTGGTGCGTCAAGCTCATTGAGTCCTTTTATAATGTCATCCAGTTCTAAACACGTTAAAGGCGGCCTGCTTTCAGCGTTGCTTCATAAAGTAAGATAAACTGGACACCTACCTGACCAGAACTGCTGAGCTGTCTCCACGACGTACACGATGCCTAGATGGTCCTCCATGACCAGCGAGGGCATCGAAAGAGACTGTTGGTGGACCATATCCTCGTTGCGGCGCCCATAGAAGAGCTCGTGGAGCTGTTTTAAGGTTGAGGAAGAGATCAATTTCTACCTTCAGGGGCTTGGGTTGCCACCATGCGGTCGCCGATATCGGAGGGTCATGCACAATAAAGCCAAATACAATAAGCGCCGGCCCCAACGCGCGCGGCGGATTGAAATCCTTCGCGGGCATGTTCCCAAAGTCTGAATTTCTCAGCTATCCCCCTAGGTTGTACTCTAAGATATGGACCTCATGAATCATTTCTGTACAGAAAAAGCGGAGAAATCATTCGGTTGTTCCGAGCTGTTCGAGGCATACATCTATCAAACAGGGTACTCCAATAGAAATCGACTCTTGATAGTGCTATCCAAGTCACTCTCTCGCCTTCTTTAACGCGGCATCGACAATCTCTGCCATACCAATCAACGCCTCCTCTTCGAGTGTCCTCCCTATCAACTGAATGCTAATTGGAGCATCCCTAAAAGCTTCAGGGTCGTCTATGAATCTCGAAGTCAGAGCTATCTTAAGAAGTAAAGCGAAAGCAAAGTACTGACAACCCTCGTAGTTGGCTCGATCATCGTCGCCTAAAAGCTCGGATCGCTCGACCTTAATATCCCTGACAGGGTCGACTCTGGATACAGGGATGACGAGGCCCGGATAATCAAGTGCGTTCCAGACCATGGTATAATGGTCAGATCTAGTGCGAGCGTTAGATGGTTTCGGTGGTATGAACATGCGCAAGGGCCAACTTACACTGTTTTCCCGTGGAGTGGCGCTACGTGAGGAGCGACCGGGCAGATGATGGCGTCAATAGGTCGTCCTGTGTCCGTTTGAGCCCATTCTTGACTTGATTGCCACCAATCGAGGTATTCCTGGCGTAAATCCCGCCTCTTCTTCTGCACCTGCCAGAGCTGGAAGGCAGAGACACCTTTAACTTCCGGTCGAGAGACTTCCCCTGTTTCCACCTTGAGCTCCTCCTCGATCGTCATGCTGGATACGAGTGGCTCATCCTCAATGGCACAGGTCATCTCGAAGTCCTCTGCGCATCCAGCCGCAAAGATATTCGCCTGTACGAGCAAATTTATCGCGACTGCCAGATGACATCATGGAAAGAACATACAATTGCATTGAAGATTTCTTTGTGCTTAATCGGTTTCCAGTCGACGACTAATGTTGAGAAAGCACCGTTAGTGTTGAAATTATACCTTCGGGACAGGAGCTCAGAATCTACCAACCTTGGTGTCTTGCAGAGACTAAGGCAGCTTTTACCTCTTCCAAGCCTCTTGTAACCGGGGGATTAGGAATAATCACCCCATCGTCCCAAAGAATACCGAAGCACAATCTTTTGCCTCCTCCGTGGTCATTCAACTTGTATTCATCTTCGCTCCACGCTTTTCGAATAACCAGTGGATCCATCATCCAGGGTCGCTTGGAAAGAACCGTCTTCATGAATAGCTTGATCATTGAAATTCCCGGTGCCATGGGTCCAAGGACAGATGGAACGGACTCCTGACCTTCCAGCGAGTTTCTGCAGTTGCCATATGGTATCCTGTGAAATGAGGGTCTTAACCCATAGATTCCGCAATAGCCAGAGGGGATGCGGATAGACCTGTAGCGATGTAAGCACAAGACTTCTTATCTCGGAAATGGTGACACGAACCCTCCAATATCCGAGCCAACCCCTGAATCGTCGTGTCATCGCCGATCACTATCACTGGGAAATGTCACATACCGAGAGGACTCCCTTGCATTGCTAGAATCACGCCATGTTAGACTGCCTGGAGAGTACAATGTAGGTATACTTACCTATGAGTGCGCCTTCTCCACCGGATGAACCTCCGGCTGTCAACTCTCGGTTGTACGGATTGACCGTTCTTCCGAAGACATAATTGAACGTCTCCGCCCACTGACCATCTTTAGTCCATTAGTGCCTCCTGACAGGTACATGTTCATGCCTACCATGAGAGTTTGAGGTACATTTGTCTTGACAAAGGGTATGGCTCCAAGGGACTCCAGGATATCGACTAGGACAGCATTCTTTTTGGCGACGTCACCAATCCAGGAAACGTAGCCTTGATTCATATGGTTAATGTCATGGACCGTTCGCAAACTCGACGAACACTCACCCATAGTAGATTCAATCCCTTTCACGTTTATCTGGTCTTTGAGGGATACAGGAAGACCTGCAATCCTAACAGTTAGAGATCACTTTGTCATCTTCCATCGCTCACCATGCAACGGGCCAACGACTTCTCCGGTCTTTTTGAAGTGCTCATCCAGCTTTTCGGCTTTCTTCAGCGCTTCCTCGATGAAAATCTCAGTCAAACAGTTAGTCTGAGTCCAACATTAGCCTTCTCAGAGCTCGGGTGTACAGGTGATAGAACATACAGTCTGGTGCGCAACCAAGGCTCTCTTCGTGAATGCAGTCATAACCTCCACAGCAGACCATTCCCCTCGCTTCATCTTGTCCAACAACGCATGAGCACCATCTCCCATTCGACGCTCTTCCTTCTCCGCAATGGTAGTAATCTCAATTTCTTTGCTTGTCAAAAGTCCACAGGTCTCCGGGAACGACATGACGTTGCGCTGTTCAGGGGGAGGTAGTTTGTCGGTGGCAATCAGCCATTCTGTCGGGATCTGCTTCTGCCGCTGGGCTCGTTTCTCGGCGACTTTGGTACGCCATGTGGGCGTCGAGTCTGAGGAGTTGGTGTTGGACATGAGTTCAGTAAAGAGTCGGACGACTTCGAAGTGGTGTGGTTATGGATAAGGTGCGTTCCGGACTCCGCGGGATTGCGACGGCTGACGTCGTCTGAGTACGCATCCCCATTAAGCAACCGTCGTTCCTCTCTTGGCAAATGCCCCTAAAGACCCGAATACTTTGCCATCCAATCCACGACCGAGTGCCACGGTGTCTGCTACAGGGGCCAAAACGCTATAATTTTTCATAGCTTTACTGTAAAGAGTGTGCTAAGACTGTCATGATTATGGATCTACAGAAATGAAGACCTGAAAGAGAAACAATATCTGCTAGAAATACATCTAGAAAGGCGCAGCGTTCGAGGTCGCTGAAGGGGTATAGGGAATGGAGTCTAAGGTAGCCAGTGAGTTAGAAGTCGAATACGGTAGCTGAATGTGGGTATGCGGCGTGAAACAAGTGAATGTTGAGCGAAAAAGGATCGTGAAGTGGTGTGTACCAGAATGAAAGGAACGTGGGTAGGGTGAGGTGGATCACGATTACGAGGGAGTGATAGGTATCCTGTGAAATAAGAGAGCAGACGTCGAAAGCAAAAGGAGAGCAGAAATAAAGATATGAAACAGAAGTGTATGTGAGATGGGCCAATGCAATGAAGCCGAACAGAAATTGAAGATGAAAGGAATTAGATGCAGCAATACAGTCAACACGATGATGCGAAAATAAAAGCTCAAAAAATTATGGTGGCTACAGTAGAATGGCGAACAAAAATGCGAGCAAAGTAAAATGTGCATCGACTTGAATAGAGTCCAGGTCTTAAGCACACCTGTGACTGGTGAATTGACCTAGTTTTGGTCTAGAGTGTTTCAGACGTTGAAAAGGAGAGATGTTCTATAACGACAGTCAGATAGGAACAACAATGAGAAATAGTCAGAAAACGAACCTTAAGCCACCAAAGAGCAATTTCAGCGTCCGGTTGAAGTGGAGGGAGGGTCAAAAAAAGCCAGGTCAATCCCCTTGCGGCGCATTGCGGATTTGGTCGTTGTAGTTCCTCTCACCACAGAAGCGGGGTTAGGCAAAAGGACTGCACCCGCAGTGGGCGCTGGCGGGTGAGCCGAAGGTTTAGGAGGAATTGGCGTTGCCGAGAAGGCCTTCGCAAGGGGCCTCTCCTGGTCGAGCCTCGCCAACTTCTGCTTGATGATCCCATGTCCGTGGAGGTGGCGTTTGCGCTCACGGCGGACGTCCATGGAGAGGGTGAACTCTTCGCCTGACCCTCCATCCGCGTCCACCCCAATCGTGTGGAGGTTGTCATCGAAAGGAAGGCCAACGATGGGTGGTGAAACGTTCATTAAAGCGGGAACGGCTTCCCAGACACCGTCGATTTCCATACCTTCCCGTGTGCAATCGATGACTTGGTCGTGGGCAATCGGTTTGGAGTTTTGAAGGTGGCCGAAGGACTGTGCTCTGAGCGAGGTCGTGGACGAGCTTGGGGTGTTCGGTCCGGTAGACGATGGGGATGTGACAGATCCATCCGATGAAGGTGTGGGCGAAAGTGGTGGCGGAGGCGATGGTGATGACGATGTGCTTGCCGGGGGGGACGTGGGGCTGGGACTGCGAGGGACATCGGGCGAAATAATCCTTTCACACTCCCTCGATTTAACACTAATCCTAAGACGGGGTGCAGAGGGCGTCACGAGGGATGAAGGGGCTGAGGGTGGGGGAGCGGCAGCAACTTGTTTCATAACCAATTTGACTGACTGCGGCTTCAAAGGCTGCAAGCTGGGTTCCGGAGAGACTCCTGCGGGTAGCTGCGCGAATCGGATGGGCTGGCAAAGCAAGCTGTCTTGCGACAGGGAGCCAGCGGGGACAATGTCGATTCGCCCATAAGGGACGTAGGGGTGTTGGCCAATATCGATGACATCGTCATACGAATCAGCAGGCGACGAGGTCGACGTAGGAAGGTCACGACTGGACAAGGCAGGCGATGGAGGCAGGGCGTTATTGTTACTGAACGTGTTGACGGCGACAGGGGATAAGCGCTTGAACATGTTCGTCGCATTTCCGGATGTGGGCTGCAACTTCAACCCAGAGGCTGCGGTAGGCATTGGCCTTTCAGCTTCAAGGGAAATACGCATCCCCAGGCCAACCTCTTGCTCCTCTTCGTCCTCCTCATTGATAGGGGAAATAGGCGACGAGTATATGGGTGTTTCGACGAAGGTATCGAGAGCGAGAGCTTGCCATTGCCTTCGATGGTTCCGCGGCTTCTTCGTCCTTGGAGTGTCATCTGAAGGGAAATCAGACACGCTCTTCGACCCAAAGCCTCCATCCATAGTCGTAAGGGAACCAGTCGCTTCCTCCTCGGAATCCTTCTCTGACCCAAACCCCACCTCGCCTGCCGAAAAACCTTTGTTTGCCTTCGCTCGCTGCCTATGATGCACGGATTCTTCACCACCAGGTTGTCCCAGTTTGAACTTGAACCTTCGTTGACCATGCACGACCTCCGCTTGCGCCCGCCTTCCCAATCCATCTTCAATATCGTCGACGATATGCGTAATATGAGTGATGTCCGCAAAGAATTCGTCGTCATCGTCCTGGTTGCGATTCGCCATAGATGATCTCATGGTGTCGAAGACAAATTCGTCCTCGTCCTCGCTCTCAGTGATGGTGCTGCTGGAGGTTGTGGTTCCACTGGCGCTGCGTAATGGGGAATGGCCCGAGTACAACGAACCTGCGCCAGGTGATCGAGGTGACAGTCCGAGATAGCTGGCGTCGTCTTCAGCGTCCTTGAACCTCTCCTCCAGGTCATCCTCATCTATATCCTCCTCGCTAACAGGCAGCAGTCTTGCAGGCGGCGGGTGGTTCCTCGTCGGCATCGAACGTGGTCGTGGTGGAATCAGGTCGCCCATGGATGTGGGCGATAGAGGTGGGTAATGCCCTTGCGAGTTGGTTTGCCATTCAATCCCATCATCTCCATCATCTTCATCGAACAAGAAGTCGTCGCTCCCGCCGCGGCCCGCCGTGATATCCTCAGCTCGATACACAAACCCGTCTTCATCCACCAAGTTTCCACCACAGTCTACAAAGCCTCCGTTCCCATCTTCCCCCTCCTCGTAGCCCTGATACCCTTGACTCCTCCGAATCCGTTGCTCCCTCGCGCTTAACATGTTCACCCCCATCGCCTCAAGGCTCAACTTCCCCCTTTTCAAACTATCGGCCGGTCCACCAATTATGACGCCTTCCGTGCGATCCCCGAGAGCTGGCACCCCAGGGTTCAGAAAGAGGTAGAAGACAGTTTGTTCCTTGACTGGGCACTCGTACACTAGTCCCTCCTTCTCTTCCTTCTCCTCGGCTGTGTACATGACTAATGCCAGTGGAGAGCTCTGGAAAGGAGTCGAGAGTGCGACGAGAGGGAGAGGTGGAAGTGCCCTATCGTTCCAGGACACGGAGGCTTGCTCGTCATCCACTTTCATCCCCTTTCTCTCCCTCCGTTTCCTTTTCTCCTCCTTCCTAACTCGAATCTCCCACTCCCTCTTTTTCTGGTCCGCGCGGCCCTTAGCACCAGCCATGATCTCCTGCAACATCCCTTCCCTGGACAACTCTCCTGATGCTGGATTCGCCCTGGAAGGGACACCACGCAGAAATGCACCGCAACTCCACGCCCTTCGTCGCCCTCTGACCTCCAACATCTCCATAATCCTTTGTTCCTCCTCCTTGATAGCCTGTGTCGATAATGTCGCATGAATCAATAATGACCGGAGCTTGTGTGTGAGATCCAATAAGTTGGTATACGAGGGCGGAAGGATAAAAGGTTTCGTCGGTTTGGGAGGCGGACTATCCGAGGAAGAGGGTCGGAAGACCGGAGATTCCGGCGTTGTTGGGAAAGAGGAAGATGAGCTGGGTGAGTTGGATGTGGAAGCGCAGATTGGTTCAGGAATGTCAGCGTATTGTTCTTGGTCGACGAAACATTCAGGTTCGGGTTCGGGGGCTTTGAGGGTCTCGGTACTGGGTGCTACCAGTGGGACAGCACCCAAGATATCGGAGTGCTCGTTGACGGTCACCGCCTCGTCGCATGTCACAGCGTACCCATACTGGATCTCGTGGTCTTCAGCCGAAACATCCGTATGCGCAGAGTCACTCTCCCCACAGGAAAGAGGCGGGGAAGAGGACGGAGTAGTCACACAGGTCTCGACTGTACCGCTGGTCTCTGTCTCCGTAGTCTCGCTGTCGCCCGAAATCGAAGTAGTGGCCGTGGAGGTGCTTGTCCTGGAACCTGACCGTTCTCCGGAGGAGAGACCGTCCCCGGTGCTGATAGCGCTGTCCACCTCATCCAGCTCGCCATGATCTTCGCCTTCGTCAGGGTCGCTGTCATCTGAAAATGAACTAGGCACGTCCATAGTGGTAGGGCTGAACCTTCCACTGTCGTCGTGAATGTCATCCTGGTGTCCCATCATCACGTCGGAATCCGCCACAAGCGCAAAGTGCACGAGGCGTCGCGGAGATGAAGGGCTTGACATGGGGGTCGCAGGTTGGACGGGAGATACTGGCGACACTGGCGAGAGACGGGGGGAAGGAGAACTGGGACTTGACGGCTCAGAGCGCGACCCTTGCTGCTTGGACTTGCGTTTCGCGCCCAACATGAAGTTACCCAGACTGAACCTGGATGAGGTTGAACTTCCAGAGGTGACCAGGTGTTTCAAGTTCCCCTCCGAACGCCTTTTCAGCAATTTCGAAGGCGACTTCTTGAGGGAGGGAGTGCCTTGGGACTTCGCGGAATGAGTCTTCTCACGTCTTCCTTCGTCGTGGTCGTCTGCAGCAGCCTGTGCACGGCGTTCTTGCTCCCGCTCCAGACTCTCCTTTTCTAGCAGCTCTGCATCCAATTCCCGCCTCCGCTCCTCTTCACAGCGCTTCAAGATAACCTCCATCTCCTCCTCTGTCCTTCTCAACATACTCTTCAATACCCATGTATAGTACGAGTATGCCTCGCGCTTCCCAGGAGCGTATGGATCCTTCGAAGACGAGTTGGTAGACGTGGTAGCAGCGGAATTGGCTCTTGACCTTCCCTGTGTTCCAGAAACTGAGGGTGTTGGCGGGCGGCGTCTGCGACCACTTCGCGGAGGTGTCGAGGTGACGGGTCCCGTCGAGGTACCTTCTTCAACAGGCTCTTCAACGTCCATTTCGACTTCTGTGTCAGAGGATTCCTCTGATGAGGACGAGTACACAGTGGATGTATCATCATCATCTGCAGCTTCTACCTCTTCAATAGCGGAAGAAGTCAGGAAGGCAGCAGAGGATGACCCTCCGACAGCGAGTCCCGCAAGTACAAAACGACGGTAGGCATCCACCAGAGCTGCTCGTACGCGTTCACGGTAATACTGGGCGCGGGCGTGATGGACAGCCGCCGACGTAAGGGTGGACTCGTCTTGTTGGTCCAACCAATTATGCGGCAGATGTGATCGATGGGAATGAACAGGTGAAGAGAAAGCTCCGAGTTTTGCGAGATCGTCCATACTGCTGAAAGAGTGGAGGGAGAGTGGGTTCACTGGGCCCGAAGGAGCCGGCGTGGGCGTCACAGTTCGAGCGTTGGAGGAACTAGCGGAATCTCGCGAAACTATCGAACTGTACGAAACATGATTTGATGAGTTTGCCGTCACATGAAGCAGTGTGCGACTCACCCGACAGCATTACGGATACTTTGAAGGAAGGACTTTTGGCGCTTGTGGGATTTTGAAGTCGAAGCTTCGGAGGAGATTGCGGACATAGAGTTGGACTGACGCATCACACTAACGGTGAATCTTCGCGCAAGGCTAGGGCCAACGGTAGATGATGATGTGGAATGGGAGACCGAGCCATTTCGCTGGTGAGCTTGCTGTTCGTACTGCAGAGCGAGTTTGGATCGTTCTTCCTCCAGACGCATCGACTGGATGTCCTTCAGGATACCGTGCAGCACCTTCAGAAACGGAGGTAGTTGGCTGTCGCCGGGGTTCGAACCGTTGACGCTAAGAGGGACCGTCCACTCCACGACACCACCATCCACAAATTCGCATCTCACATGGGTGAGTCCTGGACCCTCGTTGTCACCGCTTCGGCTGTTGCGCAAGTCGAAGCGCACGGATTCAAGGAGTGTGGTTAGACCAACGGCCCTGTCGAGCATATGCATCGACCTAGGCAAGTCGAGTTCGTGTTGGAGAAGTGTCGAAAGTTGTGACGACCAGGCCAGCGGATTCGGGTGTCCATGGGTAAAGTCGGCAAAGTCGATGAACAAACGGAATGAAGGCAATGTTGGCGACGGTGGAATCAGCTCCAGCAGCATTTTGGTTTGCCCAAATTCTAGAGTTCGCTGAACTTTTGAATTTCAAGTCGGGCAGTACTTCAGTTTCATCGACTGCAAACTCGAGTCGTCCGAGCACCTGTCGCGTCACTTGGTTAATCCCGGCCCAAGAAACCGTCGGATATGGAAGACGCACCGGTTACAGCTAGCACCAAAGCAAACGACGTGCTCGCAAGTCAGGGCAAGTGGTGCTCGCCGCTCAGTGTCGAGTGCTGTCGACGCTGTTCTGGCGCATTTCAAAAGGAAGGGATGTCGTAAAAGCCAGAAGCCCTCAATATCAAAAGTTCCCAAGGCTCATCGTCTCAACTCAGGGTCCAACCCCGTTTCCCCATCAGAAACGGAACCTGTCTAGCCTTTTTAGGCATTCCAAAAGCCCTGGTCGAGACCTTTTTGGCATTGAAAATGCCTCCCTGGCAACCTCATCCTTTCAAGACATGCCGGATGTGACCAGAGGCTGGATGACCACTCGAATGAGAAGTCGACACTGTCGCCAATAGTGCAGGACGAAAGGATGGCGGTCGGCGTCATCCCGAACTACGGCGAGCGAACATCGCGGTCCATCAGCTTTGCCTACAACTACCGCCCCATTACCCACAAGGTGACTTCCTTTTTCACTTATACAGGCCGCGACGAGAGCTTCGTGGCTCGAGTTGGTGACTGGCCATCCCAGCAGACGTCCAACAATGTAACGAGACTCCATGCGAATTCGAAGGGACAACGAGGACACGTAACCGGTTAACAGGCGCTCCTCAGTGTGTACACTGATGTGGACAGCCTGTCAAAGTCACTGATATCACGACTGGCAAAATGTTGACCAATTGCTAACCTTTTTTGCTCCTCCTGGGACCTGGCCGTTATGAATGATCGTAGCTTCCAAACCCAAAACCGCGTTAGGCACAGATCGCGAAGCGGCCAGAATGATTCGTTTGTGCAGGAGTTCAAGGTTCCTTCAACGACTGTCTCCATGTGCGCTTCTGGAGTCCAATGCCAGCGCTCCATACCCGGATATCCCACTCGACAATCTATGGTGCAAAAGAAAAAGGCGCATAGGCGCGAAAGTCACGGGATAGACAAGAACCTTGAAGAAAATGTTTGGTTCTCGTGATAGTCGCGGCGAATGTGATTGAAATTCAGACACCAAGGATGCACCAGAAGACGCATAGGGCTACAAGGGAGGCTACCTGCAGGAAGCGTACTCGAGAATCGTTGAGCGCCGTGTTCAACACACTTTGACATAGCAAACCTCGAGGACATTGGGACGTAATTATGGGCGCTTACCGTTCCTTTCTATCCTCCCAAAAGACGCGAATGTGTTTGAAAGCACTCATAACCTTTCCCGAGAGAAACCAGAGTTGAAATCTTGACCCAAACTTCAGTTCCAGTCACAGGGTGGTGGTGGGCGACTGGAAAATTGTTGGGAGCGCGCAAGAAACAAACATCGAGGTTCGAAAGGTCCCACGATCGCGGGCTCTCTTACCACCACCATTCAAAGGGATGAAGCCGTTGACGAGCAAAATAGCGTATCAGTAGGTTGTCTATCCCTCTCGCCCGGGTCCCCTATCTCTGCACGCCTCTCTTTCTACTACCCTCAGCAATTCGCTTTATCACAAATTATTCTGTATCGATGTCCTTTCATCCCGCGTTTGGAACTCAAAGATGGCTACCAAGGTGTACTCGATCGTATTCAAGCTATTTAAGCGCCTCAGTCTGTAAATGCCGCAATCGCCTTCGAAAGTTCTCATGACCAAAGGGTGGAGTTCCCCCTCGTTATCAGGCTATTTTTAGCTTCGGCTGTATGCAAGACTTCTCCTGGATACTTATCCTTCGACGTGCTAGGAATCTAGAATTCAGCTCTCTCATATCTCCTCTCTCGAGCCTCGATAGCCCATCGATGTCTCTGTGTCCTCAGCCCAGGAACAATGAGTCTGAAACAACGATGTCAAGTGGGCCTAACAAGGCTGACTCTGGTAGCACTTGGGACGATGGATTTGTCCTTAGGTGTTACGACGAGGACTTCATCGCCTTCCCTGTCACTTCGTCAAGCCCAAGCAACGAAGGCCACTGTATCTGGGTTACCAGACCCTCCTACAAGGACCAGTACTTCGCCTCACAGGGACCCCCAAGACCAATTCCCAATTTGCCCGCTCCCAAGCTCGTCGTCAAGCCTGCAGGGAATGGGATGGGCTTGGGAGTATTCGCAACAGAGGACATCAAGGCGCACGAACTGATTCTCATGGAACGCCCCTACATCGTATACCCCGCGTTTCCCCATTGCCATCTACCCAAAGAACTCCCTGAGGATGCGCGTTCTGTGGGAGGTGTGATGGAAAAGATCCAGTCTCTATGGAATCAGACTGAGCAACAGTTCGAGGCGATCTTCAACCACTGTATGACGGCAGAAGACCGCGCGGGGTTCATGACTCTAGCAAACAGTGCCCCCTCAATCGGTCGTCCGATCACAGGCCGACTCTCTACCAACGGGTTCAGCGCACCCTTTAACGACCCTAGCATCCCCGAGGAATTCCATGCAGCAGTCACCAGAATTGGGAGCAGATTCAATCATAGCTGTATCCCCAACGTCAACCAGGAATTTCATCCAAAGACGTTCTCGATGCTCGCGACTGCATCTCGAGACATCCCAGCAGGTTCGCAGCTCTACGTGTCTTACACCGACTCCACGATGTCGAAGATGGAGCGAGCCACTTTTCTGCTTCAAGAATTTGGATTTAGGTGCTCCTGCAAAGCCTGTCTGAACAGCACGCCGGAAAGGGACGAGCTCCGCAAGACGTGCTTTGTCTTGATCCAAGAATGGGAGAAGCAACTCGACACGGTGTGGTTGAAGGACCGGGGCCTTACGTCGAAGGTATTGGACCCGCTGCTGGAGGTGAAGAAGAGGATGGAAGACGAAGGTTTGGACATTCTCAGAACAGGATACTACAATCTTTGGAGGATCATGTGCGTGGTTTATCAGAGGTTGGGGATGTTATGCGAGGCACAAGAATGCGCAGACAAGTATAACCAGCCTATTATACAGCTTGCAAAGGTAATCAGAATGTTGGAGGGGCCGAATACGTTGAATTGACAGACATCCTTCTCTAATTTGACGAGGCTTTTGGGACGAAGCGTTGCGCCCAGCGCGGATCGAACTCACGTATATAAGTTTGTGGTTGTTTGGACCCAGTTTTTGGCGCCCGCCAACTGGCAGGACCGTCCCTTCTTCCGCTGTATTCTTCATTCCAATGCCCTCAGACGGTTGGTGCTTCAACTTTAGGACACGGGTCGATCTCGACGACTCGGACGACTCGGACGATGACGTTAAGAGCGGCGCCAACCAGAATTCAGACGCCGCAGAGTTCAGGGATTTGAATCTATCCAGTCGCGCGGAGACGGTCAACTACAAGCCGAACCCGTTCAGCATAGCCAAGATCAACGCGATATGTCGTGCAGAGAAGGCGAGCTCGAAGTCCTCAGATGCTCTCCAAATCAAGAATGATTCGAACGACAAGGCCAAGGACCGGCAGAATCAGTCCGAGGTCTTTCGCCTCAAGGCGAATGCTGACAAGGCTCAGCCTCGTATCCCTGGAGCCAGGGCTAAGGCTCCGGGAAAGGCTTTGGCAAAGTGTGGTGCTTCACAGCAAAAACTGACCTTCACAGCCGCCAAGAGAGCGCATACATCCAATGCCCCGCGTTCGAAGCAGCCGAAAACTTGCTCGAAACCAGCGACCAACTTGAAAGAGCCATTGAACACAAGATTCAGAGGCATAGCACCTCACGTTCCTCCTGCTTCGCCGATGGATGTGCAGCCTTCAACGAACCAGTCCGATGGGCCTTCAGCTGGACCGTCGTTTCCTCAACCAATGGAAAAGCTTGCAGCTCTTCCACAGCGATCAGTACTTGTAAAACCTGAGAGCCCTCCTTCTATTCTCTCCGGCTGCGGTGTATTGCCATACGACGAGGGCACATATTCTAGCCCCGGTGCACCGAATCAAGCGCGTATACAGACAGTCCAGTCGATTCCTCGTTCAATTGGTCTTATTTCTATTACCCCTTCCGCGTCGGCTTAATTGAACTCAACTTGATTGCGCAACTAACAGCAGATGAAGATAAATGGTCCCCGACTCGCAGCGTACACAATTCTGAAAATTTCCTGCCAAACGCTACAGCCAGTAGCTCTAGGACGGCAAACCAATCGAGTATACTTCATCTGTACTCAATTGAATCCACCCACTAACCCCAGTTCTTCTGCAACCTACAGATATGGATCCTCCTCGTATCGCACGGCATGGCTGCCACGGTGCCCCTGCTTGGGGCCCACGCCCCCTACCTTTTTCGTCTCCTCTCCGTCCTCAAGCTCAATGGCAACAAGTGGATTTCCATGACGACTCTCACATCGAAGACATTGAAGATGACAAGGCGTTCTTTTCATCCCCAGCCAGGCCGGTACCCATGTTCGAACCTGGTTTCCCGCGACATAACCCTGCCAACGCGAATGCCTCCAGACGCCAGAGTCGGGGCATCAACAGACATCGATTCGAACCGAGGAATCCAGTCGCACCAACCCGCTCGACATATCAACCTCATAACCACAGAATGTCTGACGGGTTGGCTATACAGGGTGAGCACGTTCTGTTCGTGATGGCCTACGCCAAGTCTGATGCGCCTGTCCGAAAGGCGGCCCGCCTATGTTTCCCAAACAGGAGATCGATCCACCTTATTTGGACACACGGTTCGAGAATGGTCCATGCGTCATGCAAAGGCCCACGGTGCAAATAGCGCGAACTGAGGTCGAGAAGAGGATCCCAAAGTCAGAAGAGAATGGCTCATTTCATTCCGCAAATCCCAAACCCACCCGTCCCGTGCCAGCCAAGAGGGACCCCTCAACATCCCCGCCGCATCGACTGAATCAAGCCGAACAGAAGAAGTCCCGAGCCCCGAATGCCGCGCTCAATGCACGTCCACTCGTGTTAACGACAGCACCGCCGCCTCAGAAGAAGCGCGCCCGACAGCCAGCGAGAGATGCGTACGGGTTTGGGAAGCCCGACCAAGACGAGGAGTGGAGTACACTGCCCTCGTCGAAAAAGGCTCGCCTAAGCAGGTACATCAACATTCACTCGTTCTCAGATTCCCGTCTCTGTGCTGATGCCCTTTCCTCACAGGGTTGCAGATACTCGAGCAGACTTCAGGACAACTGGGTTCTTCCAGATACCGGGACTGATTCCCTTGCTCCCGTCCGTGGACGTGGTCAAGAGCGGGAAGAGTGCGGATTCAAGCCAGAGAGTGATCACCTTCCTTCCTCCCCCGCAGAAGAAGAAGGGGGCACCAGCCGGGCCAGCCAAGGTGGATGTCAAGCCGCGCAGTGAGTCGTGCTGGCTCTGTATGTTATGTTGATACTCATTAAGGATGTTAGATTCGTACCCCTCTCCCCATCCGGAGCGCGGAGATGCAGAGAGCAGGTCTATGCCATCATCCCCTTCTCCCAAGGACCTTGCACCCACTACTGAAGAGCCTGTTCTCCGACGAGACGCTAATGGATACCTGGCCTCTCCTCCCACCTCTGATCTCCCGGATGGCGAGGTCCATGAGGCCAGTGATTACGACCAGACCCATGAAGACAATAAAATGAACGCACATGTCGAGCCATCGGCGATGGCAAGTCGATACATGAGAGCAAGGAACACGTTGAAATGGGTGGGTTTCTAAATAGCCCCTATCCTCTCACTGTACCCAAGACGATGCTTACTCATGTCATCAGTAGAGAAAGAAAAGGATGAGAAGATTACCAAGCTTACTTGGACTTCAAAGTTGCGGGGTTGTGTTCAGGGACGAATGGAAAGTAAAGCGTGGTGGAGTCGGAGGCGATGAAGACGTCGATTGGGAGATCCAAATCCCTTGTTTCCCAAAGGAAGTCGTTATGGAGGGCTATGAGTTTGACTATTCCAGATGACTCACTATTTCAAATTCAACTGAAGGCGATTCATGTCACACAAAGAATGAAGTCGGAGAATAGGAAATGCGTCGTGCTATTCTGAAAATGCGTTCGTAAATAAAATACTAAAGGCGTTACTGTAAGAGATAAGTTGATAATGTACATGAGTCAGTAATCGACATTTGATTGATTCGTGACGGAAAGGCGAAGATGTCGTGCTCGAGAATATGCAACCTAAAATGCCCGGAAGACCCCAGTGAAAGAGGAAAGGAGGAATGTGAAGCATTTAGAGTGTGTAGTAGAAGCCCTCGGTGTTCTCGAGAGGTCCGCACTTGCCCTCGCGGCGGAGCTTGTTGCGGCGAAGGAAGATGATTGAGTTGACACCGAGGAGGATCAACATGGTGAATTGGCAAGCCATGGTGGCCCAAATACCGGGGATGTAACGAGGGAAGTCCTTCTGGCGCCAAACGGTGGTGGCGAAGATACCGCCAATACCGCCCATAGCGATGGTGATGGCAGTGGTGACAGCACGCTTGGAGTGCGAGGTGACGTTGTTGGACTGGTAGGCGAGGACACCTGGGACGCAACCCGAGGCACCCATGTTGACGAGGAAGAGGCCGAAGTAACGGGTAGCATTAGAGTTGGTGTAGCCAGTAACCATCAGACCGGTGATGACGATCAAGTTCTGGCAGGCAAGCCAAATGGCACGCTTCCTGGTCTTGTCGGCTAGCCATGCGAAGAAGAAGGTGGAGAACATCTATGGCGATGGGGTCAATGAGGACTCAAGCTGTATCAAGAGTGATGTGTCTTACAGCAGCACCAGCGGGAGGGGCGGAGAGGAGAAGTGCCTCTGCCATGGTATAGCCCATCGAGAAGAGAATGGGAGTGATGAAGAAACCAACGGCATAGGCGGGCATAGTGGAGGACAAGAACATGAGGCCACAGGACCAGGCGATGGGGTCGGACATGTGCTTCAAGACCTTGGGCAGGGTAACCTCATCGGGGACGGAGTCCTTGCGGTCAGCTTCAACACGGTCAAGGATCATCTAAGAAGAGAGTTGTCAGACAGGGCCTCGATGAATCTGTGACGAGGCAACTCACCTTGCGCTCCTCCTCATTGACGAACCTGCTGGTCTCAGGGAAGTCGGCAGCGAACAGCCAGGCCAAAACGCCAAGACCGATGGTGGCAGCGCCCTCAATGATGAAGATCCATTGCCAGCCGTTATATCCATGAGTTCCCTTCAAGAGAGTGAATACGTAGGCTAGAAGGACCTGTCAGGAACCAGGAAGCATGGGCAGACGGCGGTATGCTTACCGAGGATGGGAGAGAAACCACCAGTGATGATAGAGACGATGTAGAAGAGCGCCAAACGCTTCTGGACTTCGTGCCGCTTGTACCATGTCGTGATGATGTAGACGAGAGCAGGGAAGAAGCCGGCCTCGAAGACTCCCAAAAGAACGCGGCAGATGCAGAGCTGAACCCAATCCGTGACAAAACCCATTCCAAGTTGTGCAGCACCCCAACCAACAACGCAAATTGTCAAGTGAAGTCGAGCGCCGAGGTATCGGAGGGCGATGTTGCCAGGAATTTGGCTATGGAGCTTTGGGTTTAGCGAGTGAGTTATGCGAGCGACGAGTGTGACTCACAGGATGGTGTAGGGCACGAAGTAGATCATGGATGCGATACTGTACCGTTCACCGACGTACAGTTGCTGAATGGAAAAGACAATGAGAACACAGCGACTTGGGACTTCAAAGCAGAAACCTACCAAGTCCTCTTCCATTCCTGCCGTTCGAGCGATGCCCAGGTTGGTACGATCGATGAGAGCGACAGCGTACAGCAAGCCCATGATGGGCAAGAGTCGCCAATCAACCCTCCGCCTGGAAAACACGTTGAGGTCCGAGCTGTGAGGAAGTGAAGGCGATAACTTACAGTGTCCTCTTGATGAACTTGGGATCGTAGTGGGCATCGACTTCGGGAGTGGCGGCATGCTCCCGCTTCTCGATATCCTCGACTTTGAGGTCGGAACTGCGCTTGGATTCTGACATCTTGGAAGAGGAGAGAGCAGGAATGGAGGCGACTGAGTGAAACCGACACCTACCCCCCCAGTATTTATACTGGACGGAGAGTGCATATGTACATGTGCGGGGTAGCTCATCTGACCTGGGGTACGCCACCAAGACCTGGTAGGAACCCAAGACTTCCAGGTTGCTGTATCGATATGGTAATTGACCATGGGTCTCCTGAGATGCGACTGGTCCTGTGGGCAAGGCTGAGTATGATCGTCCGCGGAACCTAACCAGCATGAATCCTGAGGATCCCAAGGTCGACTGGATTCTCCTTCCAGATGGATTTGTAGACAATGTATCTCTTCCACAGGGCGGGTTCAAAGAAGTAACGCGTTCTATGCGTATTTTACCCGCCTTTTATTAAAAAGGTAGCCCAAGAGACTGCTTTAACCTTTCTCTTTGCACTTAGAAGGCCTGTTGAACAAAGCTTGTTACCCCGCATTTTCCATGAACAAAACAATGGATGTGGAATTGACCAGAACTCACTCAATCAATTGATGGCGGTCCGCTGGCAGTCTCGAGGCACGAGACCACATCAAATTACGGGGCCGCAAGTGGCCAGTGCCCCATCGTACTGCAGAACGCATCCTGAGTCGACTGTGGTCGAGGGCATCTGGTTGTCGTCTGATCACCACTGTGGAGCGACAGATGTGAGGATCAGGCCCTTTCCGGTCAAAATGAAATGAGGATGCCCCTGTGCTCAGTTCCAACGATCCGGCGGCGTCAGATATTGCAATTTCGCGATTTCCATGGACGTCGTTGCTGTGGGGCAGTCAGGTCTGCATTCTGAGCAAACCAGGTCAGCAGACTCCGTAGAGCCCCTGGCTGTGTGCCATTGTTTGGCTTTAGCGTCTCGTTTCACAGCCACCGCTTACCACCGCTTCGCTTTCCGGTCAGGATCCGAGTTCTCACAGTTTCCGTCCAGGTTAACCTTTGCACTGGAGAAAGTCCGGCCTCGAAACAGACATAATTCTGAACGCAGGACTGTGTACGGACATACGTGAGTGACCGAGATGTTGCTAGATTGTCCACCAATGCTCCTTGTACTCGGAGAACTCCTGTTCTTATCTCGATCGCCCCTCTCCTGAGTCGATATTTGTCTCCGGCTTATTGGAAACACCGTTTTGCCGGTGCCCGCAAATCGAAAACTGGGTAATGCGGGGAAGTGGAAGACCGTTCCCCTCTCGGTTCCTTTTCTTGGCTACCACGAGTTGTGGGGAAGCGACGACCCTTGTTTCGCAGCCCAATGCACAGGAAACCAGCCAAATCCTGCAGGAAGTGTCCCCCGGCGGTCACTGAGTCCTTTGCCCTGAGCCCACTCCGTTTTCTACGGGGCTGCCTCTTATGGCTTCTTCTTTGCTATCCATGGATGGGAGTTAATCCGTTTACTATACGCAAGCAATCGCCACGTTAATCTTGTCCAGCTGACCCCAGTTCCCAGATAGACGATCTTCCCCATGCTTGGCATTCCAACGGCTGCAGAAAATTGAAATGTATCCATACGCCAGTGCAGGTACTACGTGCCCATATCTAGCCATAGCTATCCATGATCGTGACTCGCATCAATGAGCAAGGAGATAACGCACCCTCCAAGGGACGCCGAAAATGATATGGAGACGAGCTTGGCTCCTGTGAAGAAAGATCTCAATCGTCCCTCCTATCATCGGGACACTTCCACGGCCGTTCGAATTGCAAAATGCTATGACGCAGATTCGGGTTTTTCCTTCTCGCCTGACCACCACGGATCTGCTAGAATCTGGGAAAGGCACAACATGATCGAGTTGGATTCTGCTCAGGTGGTTAGAATCTAGGATTCCTGAAAAGTTACGAACTTTGAGACATAGTTGGCGCTAAAATGGGCGCTAAAATGTGAGTTGCGGGCACGAAACTCTGCAAAGAAGAAGTAACGACGTCCTTATATCCATAGGCGCGATCTGTACAGATCAAACGTGCAGGCGATAACTGCACCCTACATCTCCTTTAGGCCCCTGACATTCCCAAATGGTGCTATTACCCCACCGGAAAATTGGTTCTGCACCCATTTGACGGGAGGTTGGAGTGGGTAAACTGTTGTTTGACAGCCATGCTCACTCTCGAAGATTGTAGATTAATGGAGCTAGACCCATTGCGAGTGAGCATAAAAGGGTGCACTGGACGAAGGGAAGGAGGCCGGCTGAAGTCACCCTCTCAGCATCTCTCATCGTCCCACTCACGATGTCGTCCGAAAAGACCAACTCCGACCTCAAAGTCAACGACATCGAGAAGCATGAAAATGCCTCGGTTCCCCTGGATGCCCACTATGATCCAGGATTCGTCAAGAAGACCATGTATGTCTCACCCCTTGAATCCTAGGGTACTGTGGCTCTGACCAGCTGATCTATTCAACACAGTCGAATGGTAGACTGGCGCATGTTGCCCCTGCTCGGGCTTCTATACGCCGTTGCCCTTATTGACCGAACGAACCTTGGTATTGCACGGACGGCGGGAATGCAGGAGGACCTCGTACGTTTTACTCCACACCGGCGTTCCTTGAAACCTTTAATTTAGTGTTCTATTTTTAGCGGCTCGACATCGGCGAGAGATACAGTATCGCGTCGATGATCTATTTCGTCCCCTATATTCTTTTGTTAGTACCCTGTTCCTCTCGACTCTACCAACGCGCGAGGTCTAATTGCTATCCACCAGCCAAATCCCAGCCAACCTTATCCTTCGTAAACTTGGTGCTCGCTTGTTCCTTACCATCTGTGTAGTGGGATGGGGTGCTGCCCAAACTGGCATGGGCTTCGTTCCCAACTGGGGCCTCCTTTGCGTCTGCCGTGTTCTTCTTGGCATCTTCGAGGTTGGTCAAATCTACCCCTATCGCGTGACTCATTCGAGGAATTGACGGTTTTCTCTTCCTTCCAGTCTGGTTTCTTCCCCGCCCTCGTCTTCATCATCACGACTTGGTACAAGCGCCATGAAGTCCAGAAGCGCCTTGCCGTCTTCTACCTGTCTTCGATTGTTCTTGGCGGCTTCAGCTCTATTCTTGGTGCGTCCCCGCGCGCTTGTTGCATTCATCCTGAGCGCTTATACTCTGATGCAGCCTATGGCATCACCTTCATGAAGGGCCTTGGTGGCATCAACGGATGGGCATGGATTTTCATCATGGAAGGTCTCTTCACCATCCTTTTGGGTATCCTCGCCTGGTTGTTCGTCCCCGACTTCCCCGATAAGTCCACTTTCCTTACCGAAGACCAACGCAAGGTCCGTTTCCCCTCCATGCCTTAAACCCTCCTCCTCAACTCATTCTCGTTCCCTCAGATGATCCTCGACCGAATTGAAGCTGACCGCGCGGACTCCATGCCCGACCCAATGACCTGGCCCAAGTTCTGGCGCGCCCTCTTCGACCCCTTCACCTGGTCCTTCGGCATGATGTTCCTCGCCTCAACCATGCCCGCCTACGCCGTCGGTTTCTTCGCCACCATCATCATCCACGGCATGGGCTACTCCACAGCCATGGCGCTCGTCCTGACCGCCTTCCCCTTCGTCGCTGCCGCCATCTCCTGCTTCGTCTTCGCCTACATCGCCGACAGGACCCGCATGCGTGCACCATGGCTCGCTGCCCAGAACTTGATCTGTATGACCGGTCTCCTCTGCACTGGGTACGCCAGCCAACCCGGTGTCCGCTACTTCGGCCTCTTCTTGACCAACATGGGCGCTTCCGGTTGTGTTCCCGGTGTTCTCGCCTACGTACGTACCATCCCCTTTTCCTTCTGCTTGGCAAAATGGTCCTAATTATGTCTCTACAGCACTCAAACAACATCACCTCCCACTCCAAGCGAGCTGTGTCCACAGCCGTCATCATCGCTATGGGTGGTGTCGGTGGTATCTTCGCCACCATGATCTACCGCCAAGTCGACTACCCCAGATACATCCCCGGTATCTGGGCAACCATGGCCTGCCAATTCACCATGCTCCTCCTCCTCGGCATCAACTCCTTCGTCTTCCACCGACGTAACATGGCTTACCGGGAAGGCAAGTGCGAGCCTTTGGAGGGCACCCCTGGATTCTACTATACCATTTAAACAACAACATATAATCTGCACGTTAACGCTCTTTATTCATGTACTTTTACGCATATCACACGTTTTTTTTTTCTCTTGTTCATTGTGGGAATGCAGTTGTACTATTAGATTAGCAAATCAATTCAGCTTTCTAGCCCCGGGATTCCTAAGGAATACAGTGTCGTTTAATTGATAGATACCGAGACCTTAAGACAAGTCTCTGAGCAGTTTATCCTCCTCGAATGTCTTCTTCACGCGTTCGAAGAACGAATCGTCGATCAAGAACCTTACGCCAGTGGCGGCCAATGCCTTGCTCACATCCAAGCACGCGTAATGTGCCTCAATCGTTGCTGCAGATTTTGCGAAAGCGGGGGTATGGTTACCACCGTCTTTTTCTGTCGGGATCGCTGGATGGATCGTGAGTACGGTCACAAAATAAAGCTAGAACAGTAAACGTACAGAAACCAGGATGAAGCGAAGGCATCGCATAAGTTACATTACCCTGATTCCAGTCGTTAGCATTCGCTAAAACTCACTACTGAGATTGGAACTCACGAAATCAGTCGAGGCACTCTTGATACCCCACTCGTAATCGATCGAACCGTACTTGTTCAGAACGATATTGGCAACTTCCTCTCCAAGAGCCTTGTTCTGTCGAAGGTCGTAGACGGCCCCCACCCTCTCAATCTTAACCTCGCAGCCAGTCGCGAGGCCCGCGGCTCTATTTCAATGTGAGTCCAGGTCCGACGGGGAGGAATACGAAAACAGACTTGAAGCAAGGCAATACCCTTTGCACCGACTCTTCCATCTCTTTACGGGTAGGCGCCCGAACGTAGCAGCTGAATCATCTGTCAGAGATGAAGAACTATGGCGGAGGTAAAATGACGCACATGAACTTTGCATAGTCGGGGATGACTGTAGGCATCGTCATGAGCACACTTCACTGGCACGAATGACGAAACACGTACTGTTCGGGGCCCAATCCTTTCCTTCGAAGATTCCATGGACCCGGTGGGTCGGCTTCAGTTGCTGCCGGAGAGCAGAGATATTATTGTACCCCAAAACGGCAGCATCAAGGGCGTTCTTGCCCTCCCATGGCGAAAGAGCTGCGTGAGCTCTGTAAAACGGTTGTCAAGCGGGGTCAAGGGTAGGCGGGTAGAGAGACGCACGTGTGTCCAAAGTACTCTACGATGATCCGGTCGAGGGCCAACGAGCTGGTCAAGCTGACTGATCCCACTGGTCCTGGAGCGGGGTGACACCTGGATAGAGGTTCAGACCATGCGGTGGGTGACGGAGGAGAGAACGTACATCAAGCACGCGTCGATGCCCTCATAGGCTCCTTTCTCGAGGAGAACCACCTTGCCAGAACCTCCCTCCTCGGCTACCATTTCGTCAGATAAATAGAAGCCAACCGATGGCAGATGAGGAAGAGCATACCGGGAGTACCGAGCAGGACAATCTTGCCCTCGAGGTCGTGCTTTTCGAGAGCAGTTCGAATGGCGATGGCAACGGCCACACCAGAGATACCAATGAGATTGTGGCCGCAGGCATGGCCGATGCCTTTGAGAGCATCCATCTGAATTCATGGTCAATGAGACCCTACCAGCAATGACAGGCGCTTCAGACGTACCTCAGAATTGATACCGATGGTCCGGCCACCCTTGCCGCGCTGATAGGTCGCCCTCCACGCCGTTGGGAGATGGAAAGACTTGTCGACGTCCCATCCATGTTTGATCATGAACTTGGTATAAGCCTCGTGCGCGTGACTGCAGTTCGATTAGCGCCCACCCACAAGCTTTTAGACGTCACAACTTACTATTCTTCATATCCCAGCTCAGGGTGTGCATGTATATCCAGGCTGAGTTCTCTCAATTCCCCATCGAGTTCTTTAATCTTCTCTTCGATTGTCGCCAAGATATCTTCGCTGAAAATGGGGTTCTGTTCTTTCAGGTGAGCATTCTGTCCAGAGTAGTACGGTGTCGGTTTCTCGACTGGGTCAGGCCTCCAGACTTGGGGCACTCCGCCGGTTTGAGGTTGGTCGGTACAATGGCACATGGTGGTTGAGAGCAATACTGAGATCTCGACATCGATCCTTCAGCTGAAGAGACCCACGCGACAGGGGTAATGACGACAAACATGGACTCCCATCAGATAAGATAATCAAGTTCCCAGGCCCCTAATTCAAGCCCTGTTCGAGGAACCCTTTGGAATGGGTTAGAGCCCGTAGTGATTATATTACCATTTCGTTAGAAAGCAGCCCACCGGTTCTTATGAGTAGGAGCCACCTTCGCGAACCCAAATTGTATTGGTTGAGGACCGTACTATTGGCCCCACTGTCGTTTCCTCCTTCCAAATGTCCATTGCAAGGAGTTTGTTAGTCTCCCGTAGTCAGACTGACGAATGTGTGTTTAGTAAGGCCCCCAAGGGCCAACACACATATAGTAGTCTGACTTCACGCGCGCCCTCGATACCGTAGCTCAAGAAAAGTCTGCAACGTACAAAGTCCATTCAGTCGGCAAGCAGATCATCTGGATTGAGATTCAGACATACTGGAAGGTATCTCTTCTGTGGTAGGTGGGGGAAAGCGCTGGCCGACGCCGATCACAATGACACATGGGCGGGGAAATGTATCTGATAAGATAATCTTCCCACAGGGTCTCGGGGTTCACGTTCGTGTGGAATCAACTTTTTAGGCGGTGTCAACTTCACAACGAGGTTCAACGGCATCAGTCACCTTACCAAAAGTACACCGGCGGCGGCGTACTAGCGGCGGTATGGAGGTTGAGCCTAACCATCATCATACTACTCTCCATCTCTCTACCATTTTGTCCATGAAGCTTTCGGCAACCCGGTCGCCCGTTAAGCCGTAGCTGCGTAGCAAGTCCTACAAGAATTCAAACCAGATTATAGCCAGCATTCAAGATGCCTAGCACAGGGCTACGAGCAAAACTCGGAGACTCTGTTCGGAGGAAGTTGGGGAGGCGAAGGTCGGCGGTGGGGGAAGAAGCAGAGGGGTCAGACGAAGTTGGCAACTCCAGCGTAGGAGCATTGGACCCTGAGTTCCTTTCGAATCTCCCTATCGGCGCAGATTTGAACGGAAACAGCCAGGGAGGATCACCCTATTTCACCCGTTCGAACTCGGTATGTGTGTGGTGTCTTTTCTTGCGCAATGGATTGACCAGGTATAGGCCAACGACGGCGACCACCAAACCAACTCCGTGGACATCGGTTCCGCCAGCCCAGCCAACTCGTTTGACTCGATAGACACCATCTCCGACACTGAGCTAGACGGTGACATCGATCCCGACCTCGCCCTAATGAACGAAAAGCACCGGCGAACCCGTAAGCTCCTCAAATACTCCCGGTGGCTCAAGAGTCGTGCAAATGGATACCACGAAGGCACGTCTCCAACGGACGGCGAGAGGACCCGCGGTGTGTTGGCGTTGGAGAGGAAGATGGCGAGACAGGAGCAGAGGCTCAGCGAGTTGCACGACCATCACCAGGAGCGACGTCGCGTTGCGCAAAAATAGTCTCTGCCCATCGGTCTCCGCGATCAATTATTGTACTTTAAGTAATACCATGTACTAGCAATGTACTAGTTCCCTTTTTTCTCCTTTCTTCCATCATGTCCGGACAGGAAGACCGTCTTAAAGCCTTTATTACTCGCCAAAAGCAGTTGCTCCAATCAGAGCGCGATGCCGAGATCGAGCGCAGCTCGCTGTTGCTGTCCAACTGTGGACCCAAGTTGCTCGAGCAAAAAGGGCTCGCTCTGAACGGTTTGGGTGTTGCCAGTATCAATATCGGTCTAGGCGGCAAAACGTGCGTTCTTCGTCCAAGATCATGAAACATCGAACATAAAGCTCTCTGAAGACAGGCTGGTTGAATTGGAACGACCCACAGCGTACCACACATCCCCGATCTTTCCTCCACATACGTTCAGAAATGGGGACCTGGCGCGTATTGAAGCCCATGTAGCATCATCTTCATCGAACGGGCCGCCCAAGAAGACTAAGAAAACTGCTACCTCATCTTCAGCGTCGACAGGCGATGTTACCTCGAATTCCGCTGAAGGAGTGGTCTACAAAGTGCGTTGCGTCTCCTTACAAACCTGCCTCGGCCTTTTGGGAGCACGATCCCTCTCTACCCGACTAGTCTGAGTTTGACGTGACCAAGTCACAGGGGGTGGGCCCCTTGAGGACCGAGGGGAGGAGTAACCAGACGTTGCCTCTTCATGAAAGATCCAACTGACCGATATTCCACAGGTATCAGACACGAGGATCGTAATTGCCATCGACCCGGCCAACACCTCCGACTCTGGATTAGACCTACCTGAACGATGCAGGGTCGTGAAGCTCGCCAACAGTGTCACATATGACAGGATGGACAAGGCGATTGAACGCCTTGAAAGGACTGTTCTACCATCGGTACGTTCATCCCTTCCTTCTCCTTGAGTATGTCTTCCTACTCCGTCTCTTCACATTAGGCAGACGGCAAACCTCCTCCGCCAGACTATGTCCTGACGCCCCTAATGCAAGTTTTGATGTGCATGAAGCCACTAGGACCACCTGCACAAAGAGGCGGCGTCGAGTTCTTCGATCCGAACCTCAATGATAGCCAGAAAGAAGCTGTACGATTCTGTTTGGCTGCTCCAGAGGTGGCTTGTATCCATGGTCCTCCAGGTGATCGTTATGTGATCCATTTCCTCTGTAATTATAGATTGCTAACAGATTGATTCCACCAGGAACGGGTAAAACGCACACCCTCATCGAACTCATCCGCCAACTGACTAAACCCACACCGACCCATCCGAATGGACGGCGCCTTCTCGTATGCGGTGCCTCCAACCTTTCGGTTGACAATATTCTCGAGAGGCTTCTGGACCTACCTTCTACGTCCTCGTCGAAGCCGCTGAAAGTGACGAGGATAGGCCATCCAGCGAGGGTGATGGCGCATGAAGGAATTCTGGATTCGACGTTGGATGCTAAATCGACGAGGACTGATCAGGTGGGGTTTTCAGCTGCGCAGCCTATGTTTAGTACTGACAACTCGTTGATAGGCTGCACTTGTCAAGGATATCAAGCAAGAGCTTGAAGGGTACCTGAACGTGCTCACCGGAAAAGGCGGCGGAAAGGCAGCCAAAGGCACTGCAGCTGCGGCTAACGCGAGCAAGGGCGGACGACCGAGGGGAGCAGAACGGAAGAAGATGTGGGAGGAGGTGAAGGCTCTGAGGAAGGAATTCAGGCAACGCGAGAGTACAATCGTCCATTCCGTACTCGCCGAGTCGCAGGTGGTGTTGGCCACTTGCCATTCGGCTGGTGGAAGACAGATGAGGAACGAAGAGTTTGATGTGGTGATTATCGACGAAGCGACGCAAGCCATGGAAGCTGTGGGTATCTCCTTATCTTTCTTTTTCTCTAGGCAGCTGATAATTGGGTTCGTGATCAGGTTTGTTGGGTTCCCATCTTCAAAGCGAAGAAGTTGATTTTGGCTGGTGACCCAATGCAGTTGCCGCCTACCGTCCTGTCACTGGACGAGGAGAGGAAGAAGAGCAAGAAGGCGGACGGGGAGAAGGTTCCAGTGGTGAAGAAAGGGAAGGACGCGTCGGCAAAAGTGAAGAAGGGAGGAAAGAAAGAACAGGCTGTCGTCAAGGAAGATGACGAGGGCAGTGCTGAGGGTCCCCCGGATTCCGAAGACGAGGAGGAAGGGAGTGAGATCGGTGACGATAGCGAGATCGATGACGAAGAGGAGGATACGCCCAAGCAAGCATCGAAAGATCCAAAAAGGAAACGGCAGGAGAGGAAGGTAGAGTTGACCCCTCCTCGGTCACTCGAAGTGACGCTGTTCGAACGGCTGGAGAAGATGTATGGAAGGAAGGTGAAGAGGATGTTGACAGTGCAGTACCGGTCGGTCCAACCTTTGTGTCTCTGCTGTCTTTCGCTGATTGTAGTTTAGGATGCACAAGCAGATCTGCGACTTCCCCTCAACCACGCTCTATCGCTCGAAGCTGATATCGCACGACTCGGTCAAAGAGCACCTCCTCAAGGACCTTGTCACGTCTACATCTGAAGATGAAGAAGAGGTTCTCCAACATCCTGTAGTCTTCTTCGACACGTCAGGATGCGAATACTTTGAACGACTCGACACTGGTGGGGAGGATATCAACCTCAAGGGTAAAGCAGCCAAAGTTGAGGAAGGTAGTAGATGTAACGAGAATGAGGCGAGTGTGGTGAGGAGTTGGGTGGAGAAGTTGGTTGAGAATGGTGTTGAGCCGGGTCAGATGGCTATCATTACTCCGTGCGTCTTTTGCTTTTTATATTTGCCGCGTTGTACATTTAACGAAGAGCGTACTTAGGTACCAAGCGCAGGTTACGCTTCTTACTTCGATGCTTCGACCGGTGTATGGACCCAGTTTGGAAATTGGGACTGTGGATGGAATGCAGGGGCGGGAGAAAGAGGCTGTTGTTATCAGTCTTGTGAGGAGCAATGACAAGGTGCGCTATTAACTATTGCTACAATTCTCGCTGACGACTCACCCCTTATTGCAGAGAGAAGTCGGATTTTTGAAGGAAAAGAGGAGGATGAACGTCGCGATGACACGAGCACGGAGACATTTAGTGCGTTTCGATCCTTTCCTTTCTTGACTATTTGCAGCTGACAATCCTGCTCTGCAGTGCGTGGTGGGCGATTCGTCGACCGTTACTCATGGAGGCAAATACTTGAAGAAGTGGGTGGCTTGGTTGGAGGCCAACGCGGATGTTCGATTCCCAGATGTCTGAAGAACTGCAAAGATGCAATCTGAATACGACTAAACTAAAACTGTACTATAGTAGACGTGTAGTTCATCGCGACACCCAATGTAAGAATCGCGTTTCGAGCGTCATTGTTCACCCCTATTCCTATGGACTTCTCGGTTATGCCATCCGGTGGATCCGCTTCCGGGCCAGATGAACCCGATAGGCGATAGCCCACCAATGTGTGCAACGGCCGCGATCCCCGCCTATGTGCTCTTCCCAATCGCGAGGTGACTATGGGCGTCGTCGGACTCGGACAGCTTCCGGAATCTGGTTGTCCTCTAACCGTCACCATCGCCTGCTCCCCATTCTTGCAACGTAGTCGGCTATTATGAGTCCCAGCGAATCAAGGAAAGAGATTCTCGTCGTCGGGTTTGGAGCGGTCGGTGCTATCTGTGAGTGTTGTGAATTTCAATCGCCCGAGCGAATCGAAAGCTGATAGGAAGTGACAGACTCTTATATTCTGAAAAAGAGTGAGAAAGCAAGGATCAGCGTTGTTGCTAGAAGCAATTTTGAGGCTGTGGAACGTGAGTTTGCCGTGTCTTATGATGTTGGGATAGTCTAATTAATGCTCAATCGCGTGGTGGATCTCAGGGGACGGGTTGAATATCAAGAGTGGAAAGTACGGAGAGATTAAGGGCTGGAAAGCAGATGCTGGTACGGTATACTATATCATCATTCAGATCTTTCTGATCTTAACTTCCTGCGTTCTCTCAGTATTCAAATCCGTAGAGGACGCAGCATCGCGAGCTCCTGCCAGAGGATACGACTACGTTCTAGTCGCGACGAAAGCCATCCCTGAGCTTACCACCACACCCCAGCTTCTGCAACCATTGCTGAGCAGTTCGTACCAGCACCCTCAACCTGTTTACGTTCTCTTCCAGAATGGACTGGGCGTGGAGAAAGCGTTGTATGAAGCTGTTAAGGGTGTGAACGAGGGTAATGGGAAGGAGGGGAAGGAGAAGGAGCCCAAGATCGTTAGCGCTGCTGTGTGGATTGGGACTAATTTGGTTGGGCCGAACCAAGTGCAACATGGTAACTTTGTGAGTGCCTCCCTGCTTATAGGACTCGGAGTGTCATTCTGAATACATTGAAGGACCGTGTAACGATTGGGATTTATCGTCACAACGACCGCACGACAACGGTCAACTCCCCAGACGAGCAAGCTATCTTGGATGACATTGGTGGATTGCTCAAGGACGGAGGGAGCGAGGTGACCATCGTGCCCGAGATTCAGAGGATGAAGTTTGCGAAGAACTTTTGGAATGTGACGTTCTCGAGTGTCGCGACTTTGACAAGGTGCGTCGGGGACGCGTCGTTATCCCATTTAAGTCGGCTAAAGCATATATTGGTGAATTTAGATATCCACTCCCGGCGATCTTTCGTTCACCACCCCCAAAAGATGGCTCTGTGAAGTACGCGACTGAATTCTACGCCTCTCCTACATCGGCCGCTTCCATCCAGAAACACACAGTCCCGCAGCTCGAAGCCATCCTCAACGAGCTCCTGGTTCTTGGTAGGGCCCTGGGTTACCCCGATACTCCTGACTCCCTTCCCTCCTCCCTACCTCGCACTATCTTGGAGAGCACGATTAATATCCATGTACAAGCGGACAGCTCGCATAAGCCGAGTATGATGCTCGATATGGAGAACGGGTTGCCGCTTGAGGTGGAGGTTATACTGGGAGAGGTGGTTAGGATAGCGGCGGAGGTAGGTGTCAGCGTACCGGTGAGTTGAAACTTTATTTTGGCTGTTATCTTCGCATTGCTGACCTGTATTGGCCCCAGCGAGTGGAACTGCTGTATGCGCTGTTGTTGGTTGTCCAGAACCAAATCCTTCGGGTTAGGGAGGAGAGGCAGCAGGCTTAAGGACTTGACAGATGAAAGTACGACAATGTAGAGTAATTGCAAGCATTAAAAAATCGCAGAATAAGCGCCAACATTGGGTCCCTGCTAATAGGGGCATATCGGAGTTGCTGCGGACGTTGCGGAGATTGAACTCAAGCTCTCCCTCGTTTAACCCTTCTCCCGTCTTCGTCTTTCCTCATGGTCCCCTTTCCCGCAATGTATGGTGTCCCTCAGGGAGCTACACCCATACAGTCCAGACTGGGGGACCACAGGAGTCGATACAACGCTTACAGGGCGATGTCAGCGCGACGCCATTGCTGGCATCTCACTGCGACTGCGGATCCAACTTCACCCTTATCATCCAGATTAACCCAAGTCTGATCAGCCATTTCAATACTGGGCCTATGATGAACACCTCTGTCCCAACGACAGCTATTCCCAGACTTTGCAGCAGTTTGCAGCAGCAAAGCGCCCAGGAGTCCGTTCTGGAACATTTGGAAGCTTGAAAGTACGGGATGTTTATGGCTGTCCCCGTTCCCCGTCGAGATGTGATTGCCCGAGTAGAGGGACTAGCGAACTTGGGATTAACTCGCCGTGAAGAATCATCTGCGGTAGACTCGAGCGAACTTGAAGCTTGATAACACTGCCTCCTTTTTCATAGGTCGGCGTCTGTCTGTGCTCGTCTCTGGCTCGGAACCGCTTGGCTCATTGACAGGAATCCCAGGTGAGTCAAATAGGGTTCCCTCCATTCTGATGCATCCGCCTTGGGCTGGTTCTTCGCAGGGTTCTGAACGGGGCTGCTCGGAATCAATAAACAAGCCGCCATCAGCGATTGCAACGCGCAATCGTCCGTCCTCCACGCGTCCCCAATGGCATCATGTGTGGGTGTGTTTGTACTGTTGGTCCTACTTAAACCAGTCGCCCCATTTCCATGCATCCTTCAGTCTCTTGTTCTACTACCTGATCTGTGGATCCTACGGGCAACCAGCGCTCAAGCTTGTTCCTCGTTGGAAACACCATCCGTGGTCAACAAGATTGTATTCTCTACGAACGGCCACTGTCAAATTGGATATTTCCCCCGGTGCCACTCACATAATCCACTCCACGCACCCCATACTTTGACCAGGCAACAACGAACTCCAGCCACTGCTTGAACGCTAAATTTTTGAAGGAACTTTTGTTTGTATCTGCTCATCTTGTTCAACTTGCGCAGGATCCTCATTTTCCCCGATAGCATCGAACACTTTCCCGGAACATTGAAGGATGTCGCACAGAGGCGGCGATAGAGGTGGGCGGGGACGCGGCGGGGGTGGTGATCGAGGAGGCGGCGGTGGGCGGGGCGGCTTCCGTGGTGGTCCTGGACGCGGTGGATTCAGTGACCGCGGCGGTGCCCCTGGGCGTGGTGGATTCGGCGATCGTGGAGGCCCCCCTGGACGTGGCGGTCCACGAGGAGGTGGCCCAGGTGATCGTGGGGGACGCGGTGGTGGTCGTGGAGGCCATTTTGGAGGGGGAGGAGGGTAATTGCCAATCTCTTCATCATGCTATCGTGAAACTAATCGTCTCTCCATCCTAGGATCTTCCAACCTGGCCAAGTCGACATCGATCAACGGCTGCAAGATAACTCGCAGGATGTGCTCGTCCAGTCATTGGGAAACCTGTCCCTCCAATCTGATGACCTTCCTGTCCGCCCCGGCTTTGGCACGCGTGGTAGACAGATCAAACTTCGTGCCAACTTCTTCCCAGTCAGAGTACCCAAGGGACCACTCTACGAATACGACGTCAGCATTACGCCAAAAGCGAAAGAACTTGCAAAGCGCGTCAAGACTCGCATCTTCCAACTCGCTGAGCAGACTCCCGAGTGGAGGTCAAAGGGACTCAAAGGACGTGTTGCGCACGATAATTCAGCCAAACTGATCTCTGCCCACAAACTACCCCAACCATTGTCCATCACAGTCGGGTATTACGATGACGATGAGCAACCGCCCAAGGGTGCGGGCAAACAGTACACTCTCGAATTCAACTATATCCAGGACATCGATACAGGCAATCTTATGAGGTTCGTGCTCATGTTTTCTGGAATAAGGTATTCTTCTCACAGCATCTAATAATAGCTATCTTGCGGGCAATCCTCAGTATCGCGACTACGATATTCTACCCGTCATATCTGCCTTGAACGTCATTTTGGCTTCCCATCCGAACCGTACAGGCGGTCCTGGAGTCATGGTCGGGAGAAACAGGTGGTTCTTCCGATCTGCAGAGACTCCGACAGGCCTAGGCATGGGACTCGAGGCCTGGAGGGGATTTTTCTCTTCCGTGCGCCCCACCCATAACCAACTGATGGTCAATGTTAATGGTACGCGTCTAGTTTGAACGCTCTTATTGGGAGACATGCTAACTGTGGGACAGTATGCACGACGGCGTTCTACATCCCTGGAAATTTGGCCGACGCTCTCTCTGCGTTTGATCGAGGGAGCTTTGGTGCTCAGGCCAACGCCTTCGTGAAAGGCGTCAGGATTAGAACCCTGCATCTCGGATACAAGAAGACAGTCAAAGCCATGGCCAGAGACACTGCTAAAACCCATCGCTTCTTCGTCGACGAATTCAAAAAGGAGCTCACTGTCGAAGAGTATTTCTTCAGGAGTAAGATCCATTCTTCTGTGAGCTTCCACTTGCTAATTATTCGGCTCAGAGTACGGCAAGAAGCTCCGCTTCCCCGACATGCCTCTCGTGGATGTAGGGAGTCAGAAGACAAACTACCTCCCCGCAGAACTTTGCGAAATTCTGCCCAACCAAGCTTTCAAAGGCAAACTTTCGGAGGATCAAACCGCCAACATGATCAAGGTTGCTGCAAGGCCCCCGCTTGCCAATGCCAATGCCATCGTCAATCAAGGTCTCACTGAACTCGGTTTCCGAGGGCCCAACCCCTTCGGCACTTTTGGAGTCGAGATTAGACCTGAAATGGCAGTCGTTCCAGCTCGAATTCTGCCCCCTCCCAATATCCAATACTCGAGAGGTGCCCCGCAAGTCGACAGCGACAAGGCAAGCTGGAACTTGCGCAACGTCAGGTTCCATAAGGGCGCAACCCTTTCGAACTGGGCTGTCCTTGTCATTGCTGACGGCGGCAGGGATGAATTCGAGGGGCCAGGCGATCCAGCCCTGGCACAAACGTGGCGAGGCTTTGCGGCGATGTGCAAAGCCAGTGGAATGATCGTCAAAGATGATCCAAGGGTCACCGGAGTCCAATTGCCCCATAAGAGGAACGACGATCTGCTGAGGAGCAACGCTATCGACAAGATTCGGGATACACTCATGAAGATGCCTAAGCCGTCGATTGTCCTGGTTATCCTTTCGAGTGGGGACAAGCATGTTTACAATGGGATCAAGAAACTGTGCGATACGCAGTTGGATTTGCGTGAGTCTCTTTCCTGGTTGCAGGGCGAAATGTTGCTGAGTGGAATTTAGCCACCGTCTGCGTTCAGACAGCCAAGTTCCGCAAGGAAAAAGGTTGGTGCTATGTTTAGTGTCCCCATCATCAGGAAGTCTAACCTTTTCGTTTAGGCCAGCCGCAATACTTTGCCAACGTCGCTCTGAAAGTGAACATGAAGCTCGGTGGTGTCAATCACGTCCTTGACAAGGACAATATGACTTGGCTCAAGCAAAAGCCGACCATGCTCGTTGGTATGGACGTTACCCACCCTGGGCCTGGCAGTCGGCTCGGTACGCCTTCGGTTGCGGCGGTTGTAGCCAGTTGCGACCCAGACTTCGCCCAGTTCCCTTGTAGCATGGAGATCCAAGAGTCGAAGAAAGAGGTAGGGTCTCAGTTTACAGTGAATTGTATTTACATTTGCTGACCACTGTGATACCGCAGATGATCACGAATCTGGAGAAGATGATGATTGAAAGGCTGGATTTGTTTGTGAAGAAGAACCGTATCCTCCCTGAGCGCATCCTCGTCTACCGAGATGGTGTGTCCGAGGTGAGTATCCCATGTCTTGTTGATACAGTTCTCGGTTGAACAAACTCTGTGCATCAGGGACAATACCGGACTGTCATCGAGGAAGAATTGCCCAAGATCAAGAAGGCTTTCCGAAAGTTCGACAGGCAGAAGCCATATCTTCCTCAATTGACCATCGTCATCTGTGTATGTTTACACGATTATTGGAACGAAGCACACAGTTGAATTTGCATTTTCCAGGGCAAACGTCATCACACTCGTTTCTATCCCACTAACGCCGAGGACGCTGACGACAAGGGTAACCCCAAGCCCGGTACCGTCGTTGACCGAGGGGTGACCTCCATCTATCACTTCGATTTCTTCCTCCAAGGTAGGTCTGCGCTTGACTGCTGTTGTTGAAATCGGACTAAGCCTTCTCCAGCGCACGGTGGTCTCCAAGGCACCACTCGTCCCACTCATTACTTCGTCGTTCACGATGAGATTGGCTTCTCAGCGGACATGATCCATGGTCTCACCAATGCTGTCAGCTACATGTTCGCGCGTGCCACCAAGGCTGTTAGCCTGGTCTCTCCGGCCTACTATGCGGATTTGGCATGCGAGAGAGGCAGGTGCTACATCTCTCGACTCTTGCACGGTATCAGAGGGGGTGCTACTGCGACGAAAGGTAGTACCGCGGAGAGGGATGAAACGGCGAAGGAAGGACGGGATTTGTGGGGGCAAGGTGTCGCTGGACCAAACTTGAAGGATACCATGTTCTACTTGTGATATCTTTTTTTCTCGAGTCGATTTCCGATATACCTTGCTATAGGGCACATTCATCACTTCGTCCTGGATAACGCCATGCTATTCCTCTTTGACGGCTCGTTGCCGTCTTTGCTCATAATTATCCGTTGTACGATTATCCAATGTACCATAGTTTGCTCCGTGTATGTACGATCTATGTCTCCGAACCAGACGTATACAGCGTGATTCTGAGACAGATTTGAATCTATCATCTTCAAGATGCGGCTCTGGAGCTACGCATTTTCCCCAACTGCTGAGTGACCAGCACTTAGTCTGGGCGCTTGTTCCAAAGACCGTGGGACTTTCGTCTGCAAAGGGAAGAGCCCCTAACCGTATGTCCACTCACTTAGCGTGCGTGCCACCCACATCACTTTTGTGATTCGGACACAGGTAAGTGTGGGTGGTATCAGTGTATAAGATGGATGGAGCACCACAAGCCGATTTATTCACGACCTATTCGATCAGGTTGCACGAGCGGCATCTCACATCTCTGACATTATCTGCGATCGTACCTCGCCGTAGTAACGATCGAAACATCGCCTCCGCGAGTGGTCACTAGGCCACCCCCGCCCAAACTTTAGCTCTTCTTTCCTCCTTTCTTCTTCATCCCCACATCCCACCAGCTCGGACCCTCGCCGATTCTGCTGCGCAGAACCATCACGTCTATTCCCGACTAGTGCGCCGCAGTTGGCTCTGGATAGCTCTGCCGCTGCATCGCCTCATTGTCCCTCTGAACTCGGAAGCGAGAGCTTGAGATCATCTCATTCTTCAAAAGTTGGCCTTGCATAATTCGTTGAATTTGAAATGGACAAGTGGACTCAACGCGACGAGGTGAGTTCTGTATCCTGGTCCTTTCAACAGAGCGGCGTCACCGACTGACCATTGCCTGTTTCTCTCATGCCGGACGTACATACCCTAGGATTCGTATCGCCTTCCGGAAGGCTTCGTGCGGATTGGCTATGACGCTGATACCAGCCAATATATCTTCAAGGACAAAGAGGGTACTCTATACAAGAGTGCGCCTGGATCAAGATATGGGAAGCTCTTGCCTATAATCGACCCTAACGTTAAGGCTGCGGAAGAGCGCCCAGAGGCTTTCAACGATCTGGATGGTATGCCCCTCTGGCTTCTCTTATTTACATTTGTTCACTGGCTCATCGATCCGATCTGACATTATTCAGGCGAAGAACGCTGTATCCCACACTCACCTCGACACCCCGACGAGGCAGCCCCACGCTCCTTCCACGACATGCTCGCCCCGAATCAGATCACCTCACCCACAACCCTTCCAGGCGAGCAGCAGCATCAGAGCGGGTTTGGTGGGCTCGCCGCCCTCGTCAGCCCTACCAATGGCAGAAGCTCCCAGGACGGCGCAGGACCCAGTTCAGCCTTTGCTGCACTCACCTCGCCGACGTTCAAAGCGGCCTTGCCCAGAGTCCAGGGTGTGATGCAGAGCTTGAAAAGGTCGATGTCTTCTGCTTCTAGGAGAGGCAGAGGTGGTGGTACGAGTGGCGCAAGGTATAGGGCACTGTCTGTTTCGGATGCCAAGAGGCCCCTGGATGAAGGCTCGACCTACGAGCGAGAGTGGGAGTCTTTTAAGTCGGAGAAGAAGTAGTATATGTAACAGTCTTGCATGTACAACAGGTCTGGTATTTATGAATGTACAGCTATGTATACAATAGCAGAGAAAGCGAGTGTACGTGAACGTGAACAAAGCAAGAAAGCGATGATATATATCCGTGTTTTAGATGGCGCTCGAACATTCAGGACAGAGGAGGGATGGGTTTGTCCTTTTGCCCTTGATCTTAACCACAGTATCGTCCAGGGTGGACGACGACTCTGATCCTGGGGCTCCCAGAACCAATTCTTCCCAATTGGAGGGTGTAGTTTTCCCTGCCAGAGCTTCATACACGAGTCGCCTTGCATTTACCACTGCTCTGACATTCCCCGAAACACCTCCCCGCTCGTACAACGCCCCGCGTACGATGGGTTGCTCGGACACAAGTACCAGCCCATCCGGTACCTGGTCCAGTGCAGAGGCAACAGTCGGATCGACATCGTCCGACTTGGTGGTACCATTTCCCCCGTGCGAGTGTCGCGTCCGCTTCGAGGGAGGCATGGGTATTCGTTCGGATAGAGACATAGGTTGGTCGTCATCAGGCGACGTGGATATCAGGCGTAAACTTCGAGAGCGTGCCGTGCAAGTCTCTCGAGATCCTTGTTTGACGAGGCATGTGCGGTGATACCACTTTCGACAGCGGGGGCGCGGGCAAAAGTGCATGAGAGAGGCTTCAGATGGGTCGTCGGGGTTATATGGTTTTGCGCAGACGCAGGAGTTCGTACCTGGTTTTGGCTGAAGGGAAATCAGTTTGCGATGGGTTTCAACTTCATGGAGTGCCTACCTTCAGTCTCCGGGCTTGTCGTTCGATTTCATATCTTGAATAGAAAGAGTCGCGGTCGATATAAGGTTGTTCGGGGTCATCATCGCGTAGTTGATGCACATTGACAACCTCTACAAGGTGTCAGCTGGAGGTATGAAGGGCTCAAGGAGGCGTTGAACTGACCGTTGAAGGCCTCTGGCGCGACATAGTCGAAATGGTCAGACAATATGCGTTCATACTTGCCGCATGGTTTGGTATTACTGTCCACACCATATCAAGTCAAGCCCAGGGTATTGGTTCGAAGGCACTCACAACGACTTTAGGACACCCGCAACGTCGCTCGGCCCATAATACCACTGCACCCTGACCCACACCTATTTCTCCAATCAGATTGGGGTGCCCTGGACCAGCTGGACTCGTGACATACTTCATTCTCGCCAACTTCGTCCACCCGAGCGCGGATGTCCCTGATCCTGGCCACCCAATAGTCATGAGAAGGCGTATCTTCCCCTGGAGAACAGTGGCTCGGAAGCACAGTCGCCCTTCAATCATGAACATAAGCGCTCGAACTCGCCCAGATGAGATGGAAAAACACGTACGTCGAACCTCTCGGAAACTGGTGAAGCACATCGTCGTCGTCCGAGACTATATTTTATGCGGTTCAAAAACGGTCGAAAATGCCCAAGTCAATAATCCCGCCTCAATCGACCGAGATCCAGCACACACCTGTGAATGAACCAAACTTTGCCATTCGGGCCCATTCGTCATCTGTAGGGACTTTTTCGACCATCAGGCTGCCCCTTCCCTTTTTTTCTTTCGCCTTTCCTCTGCTGCGGGGCGCCATGGTGCTCATCGAACCTGTGGACAGGAAATGGCGTGACGAGAGAAATGAACCATCGCGGCGAATACATCCTCGAGTTCGCCTGTCAGTCCGTCCCGCTCTTGCCTTTCTGGGCATCGCTTTGATCGGGAGCTTTTGAGGCGGCATCTCAGTCTCGACAAAGCCCGTTTCACAAGGCGTTAGGCTTTGGAATACAACGTTTTCAAGGATCATTGAAAGAACTCGTGAAGGAAACGTCTGAAATGGGTGTACTGACAACAGCTAATGTTACATCAAACATGAATAACGGAAGAACCAAGGAAGAACGGGAAATTCCAATAGTCCGAATGCGAAATAGAAGGGGTGTGCAAGGTATCATCCTCTATCGGCTGCCGCCATCTCCCACACCGCGAACGTTGTGGTGGACGCCCCCTGAGGACTTGGTGGACTTCGTCTGTTCTCGCCCATGCTTGAGGATATGTTCAACGACGTCGACGTCTTTGTGCGTGCCGAACACATTGTCAAGTTGCTGGTTGGATGCTGTGGTCAAGAGACCCTGTCCTCCTTGATTGGAGAAGTAGATCTTGAATGCTAGATAAGATGCTGAATGAGGATCCTTTATGCCTTTGAATAGGACCATAACACGCACTTTCGACGACTTGTGCAAGTGGGACGGAGCTAGAGAAATGGTCGTGATCAGTCTGGGGATCGGTATACAGGGCGGCTTCGACGGGATACATACGTGTCTAAAGAGCATGTCAGATACAATATTCGACATTATAAAAGAGCGATCTTACCTCCATTCTTCCACTTTGAGTACTGCAGACACCAAAGTTGGGTTAGAATCCAGGTCTAGGTAGACTAATAGTAAGATTGGACGTACCTGATCAGGGTCGACCATGACGATGAACTCTTCAGTCGCCTGCGAGTCTTGTTTGTAGATAACTCTGGTCGAAGACTTGCCCATTGTGTATTGTGCGAGTGTGGTGGTTAGAATCGAAAGTGAGTCTGAAAGGTTTGGTGAAAGCTGTAGGGATCATCGCCAAGTGCCCCTTTATAAGTGATCCTACTCCCGTGAGATCCGGATCGCGAAGCAACTGAGTTAGGGGCCTGGGTCCGGGCTATGTGATCTGACTTCATCTGACTCGAGAGGCGCTTCCGAATTCTATTGGTTTATGCGAGTTGAACAAGGCTCCGGACTTCGTCGAGATAAGGCGTACAATGGTAGTCAAAGGAATGATCTGGAGGGCAATGGAGGAATTGTTCTGGTCGATTCTGGACTTGTTCAGCCATCAAGTGGCATCTAGATCAATTGAGAACTGGATACCCCTCTCAATTCGCGCAATGACATCGTTGACCCCCTTTCACTGGCAAGAGATCTTCACCGGAGATTGACGTTGATCTGCCAGCGCAAACAGGGCTTCCAGGGCCAGACGGAATCACTGTCAATACCCTTGTTCAATGACCAACACTGCGGCTGCCAGAATTACAAGATATCCGAGACTCGGAAGGATTCTGTGAACTTGAAGTCGGCCCGACTGAACTTTAAGTTATGGCTACCGGGTAGCCATAACTTAAAGTTCTCTTGAATTTAAACCATCTCCCTCTCACACCTACGCGTACCCTGTCTTTCCGGGAACGACCCCAAATGCAGGACCATCCTTTCCAAACATCTTTCTCAAGTCTCCAACAAGCATTTCCGGGACCTCGTACGCAGCGAAATGACCTCCGCTGTCATGGTCTCCTTCGAAAATGACGTTGGGGAAGCCTGCGGTATTCCAACTGTAATGTCATTAGTAAATCGTGCAATTGTCCGAGAGAGGACTACTCCTTGGATCGTAGGAATGGGATCCACACATACCTTTTTGGAAACCCTATAAGTTCTTTGGGGAAGTACGAGTAGCCGGTAGGAACGACCGTTTCGAGATTCTTCGTCCATTCGCTTGGCAGCCCATGGATTTTCACGTATTCGTAGTAAATCCGGACTGAAGCCGCCGGTCCTGCGCGCGAGAACCAGTAGATTGATACCCAAGTCAGAACTGGTTTAAGCAAGAAAGGGAGGTCAGAACAGTCGCCAAAGGATCAAGATGAGAAAGACAAATGGATACTGACTTTCATCGTCAGTCCACTTATAATCATCTGTCCACATGTAAAGCTTTTCGTAGATCCAAGCAAGCAAACCAGCAGGCGAGTCGGCGAGACTGTATCCCAACGTCTGGGGTTGGGTGGCCTGTTCATGAAGGTACCCACTTCCCCTGTCAGAGAACCACTTGGTGCGCTCCAGTCTAGCTTGGTCCCGCGCGTTGTACTTGAACAGAACGTGTTTAAGCCAGAGCTGGGGTCGGTGGATCGGATGAGGCGGGTAGGCGCTTTCAGCAGTAATCAGGAAGTGATTCTTATCACAGCATGCCAGGGAACTCACAAAGGCATATTGGTGTGCCATGCCTTGACGTGCTTCGGACCGTACAGCTGAGCCATCGTCCTGCAGATCATGGCGCCCCAATCCCCACCTTGGGTAACTGTGCATTGCGACGGGCGCTTAAATTCTGGATTCTGATCGCCGAAATGCAAAGGACCCACCGTATTCGTTGTATCCCAGAGCAAGCATCAACTTGTGTCCGACTTCAGCCATCTGTGCATCTGCAAACCCTTTCTTCTTGGGTGCTTCAGAGAATCCGTAGCCCGGCAGGCTGTACGTGACGACGTGGAAGCTGGGATGGTCGGGAGAGACTTGGAGTAGCAAGGGCAAGATCTTGCGGACTTCAATTACGCTTCCCGGCCCTAACGATGTACCTTAAGCTGGAGTACTCTTTATTAATCAATGGCCCTGAACTCACATCCATGAACGAATAACAAGGGGATGGCGTCAGCCACTTCGCTCTTCTTGTGCACGTAGTGAATGTTCAACGTCCCGTGTCCCTCCACCTCGATGTCCCGGGTGAACTGAGGAAACTCTTGGTTCAGCTGGGCTTCATGTGGACGCCAGTCGTATCCACCCCTCCAGTGTTCGACAAGGCGGCGCAAGTCAGCTAGAGGAACGCCATAGTCCCTCTCAGCTTCCTCTAGCTCGTCGGGGAACCTGGTTGACTCCAGCTTCTTGCGAAGCAAGTCAATTTCGCTGTCCGGTATGGCGATGGTGAAAGGTGTCTCAGTGGAGGCCATGCTGGAGAGGCCTAGTACAAAGTGGTGCAATGGGAAGCCCCCGCAATGATAAATGAAGCGACCTTCGCGTCATCTTTAAGCAGGCCACTGGGGTGGTGTGAAGAGAAGCGGGGCTTGTCAAGAAGACAGTGGTCATGGGCTCATGTCCTGACATCGCTGGGAATTCAATGTGTCCTCCAAGTGTGCTAGAATCGTAACCTGCCGTACGCGCTGTAATACATAGGAAGACGCGAGGTGGTCGATCTTTGATAGGGGTATCAGGAGACAAAGACACAGTGTACGTACAGAGGGAAATTTCCGCTTTGATAGGGTCTCGTGAGCGACAATGTGCGGCGACCAAGGATCCATAGCACCGCCGGGGCTGGACTCGTGTCGAAGGAGGAATCCTCGCTGTCGACCCGGTGTCGCAGAATCTCCGAAATCCGCTGCAACGGAAAAGGTATGACCCAAGGCAACGTTCAAAATACTGGGCAGCCCGAATATTACAATCCCCTTGCTGCTTCCTCGAATATCGCCCTGAAACTGGCGATCGTCGCTGAAAATCGTTGGAGCAGCGAGAACAGCCAAGAGCTTGCACAAGCGCCGACATATGATCACCGATGTCATCGGGCGCCAACTTATTCAAGTTCTTGGACACCAGACTCTCCAGAGGTTTCAGGACCGGTAATATCAGAAGCCATCGACGAGATCTGCAGATGATGTACGATCGATAGAGTTGCACAAGTTCGTATCAGTTTGGGCTCTACGCGTCTGAGTGAAATTGAAGGCCACCCACCAAAAGGCCATCCGCAACCAAGATATACGCGGGCAGGAGGCTTGTGCTGACCGTGACTTCCCATGACGAAATGTCCTGACCGAGAATCGTTATGAACCTCCTCCCCGAGGTAGCTTCGCGGAGCTGACGAAACAGCAAACTTGAGTCTAATGCGACAGGAATGGCTGAGATGACCAGGATAACGAAGCTCATGACAATATAGGGTCCTCGGCCTTTCCGCTCCGAATTGGGGGTTTCCAGAAATACGACAAGACTGTAGATGCATATGACTAGTTGTATTCCTGGATGCCAGTCATTCAGAGAATGTCCACGGAACACGATAGTGGAAAGGGACGCACCTATGCCTACCATCCTCATCACCACGTTGGCGAATGAGCATTTCGCCACCACATTCCCATAGTACTCGAAGTCGACTTGAACTTCCACCATCGCTCGTGGCTATACCAGCCTGAAGGGCGTGTGCCTCGTCAAGCGAATGAGCAGCTCGACTCGCCCACCCGGATGCTGACTTTTTGAGGTGGGAATCCTACAGTGCCGCTCGGAAACTGTGATGGGGTGGCAAAACTGAAAGCAACTTGGAGGGGCATATTGTGGAGGCGATGAAACATCAACGGAGGCTCCTTCCCAGCTTCTTGATGAAACACGTCACTTGGTCACCGTCTATAAGGACATACCGCATGTCGAGTCTCGACCAACAATTCCCGAGACCGGTAGGACCAGCTGATACGCATGTTCGCCTCGGATGGCGCAGCGTGAACTTGCGAACTCGAGGGGTGCCACTAACTGGCTCGCGGTCATCTGGTTGCCCGATGCTGAGCGCTGAGCGCTGATCGTCCTAGGTGCAAGCGGGAAATACACGATGTCGCCTGGCCCGTTGACGGCGGGGGTGTGACAAAAGCAGGCGAGCAGACTCATTGTTGGGACTTTGTACAAACATTCGCTGTATGTATAGTTTCAGTGATTTCTATCGGCGACAGTATTAGCGTCCGCATACCGAACGGGACATACGCCAATACCTATGTGCCTGGAACTCTTCTCGGCCACTATTTCATTGGAAGCCAAGCAGTTTTGAACCTACGTTGCACATATTGACATGTTGCTTTTAGTGGGAGCTGGAAGCAGCAGGGACAGAGAACACCAAAATTGCCTTGTCCTTGGCCACTACAATCCGAAGTGGGACAATGATAGTCGACCTGTCGCCGGCTTCCAGGAAAAGGGCCACAGGGCCTTGCACAACGTCGTTGATCACCTCGAGCTAGTGTGGATCATCCGTGGGGCATTTCCCCTGGAATACAGCGATTGTACCAAGATCCAAATGGACCCGCCAATGAACTCTTCAACTTCTGGCCAGTCAGCGATTCCCATCCAGGTTCGAACGCGTCCGTCCAACGCCATGGAATCGGAAACTGGCTAGCGGAATTGGACTAGGTCTTAATCTACCATCGGCGATTGCGGCGGCCCTCTTTGTCCATATCCTCAGGCGTTCGTGGACTTTAATTGGCGGTTTCGAGTGTGTTTCAAGGAGCAAGGGGTTGATGCGGCAGGGTTGATCATGATCGCTGTTGCTAATAAGACGTTGTGACCAAGTTGTGAACACTATCCTGTTCTTTCTTAGCCTCGCCTCGCCTCCCTTGATTAACTCTGACCAAGCTCTGACTGCAGAAAAGACCCAACGAAAGTGAGCATGAACTTGAAAAGTTGAAGTAGCGGTAGACGAATAAAGCTGATTGATCTTCTAAATTGGATTGATCGGCGCTAATCAATCTAATCAGATCTGGTCCACACGTTTGCGGTATGTATTGAAACCGTGTCACGGTACCCGGTACCCTCACGTGACCAGCTATCGCCTGAAATCGACGGTCTTTTCGACGATTTGGGAAGTGGGAGGTCTTTTGAAGAGCAGAGGTCCAAGCTCGAGCGGATTTGGCAGGCGGTTTGGCGCCGAGCGATGCCGGCGTCCATTTCGGGCAGCGAAGTGCCCGTTTTGGTCGTTTTTGATGCGGAGCTTGAATTGGAACATAATGAACTTCACATCTCTCCCTTGCTCTCGATGGCGCTCGGTGCGTCTGTACATGAATTTCACGATTGATTAAGACGCAGATAGATTCTATCTGTACTATTAACTTAGAAATGGGCTCCCATCCCATGTGTAGGAGCAATAATCAACCACCCAGGGCTCCATTGGCCAGAATTTCGGGTTGAACTGGGAAGAGACATACAATGGACGAGAAACCAAATGGATGGGGCACAGAAGATGTTGAGATAACGCATGATCAAGCTGAATTAGACTCTGAGAGAGAAGCAGAAGAATTGGAGGAGGGTAAAGATGAATTTTCGCACCTCTGGCTGTAGGTTGATAGGGGCTTGTTTACTAAATCAATCAGATCAGCCGTTGTGTTCGGTGGGTATCAGGGTGGTAGATTGACAGCGGGAACCATGCCAAGGGCTCCCATTATACGGTATAATGCTACTGTGTACCAGTACCCCACCGAAAAAGCGAGGGTACCCGGGGGTACCCCCGCTAGTGGGCAGTATGCCTTATATCCTATATAATGAAAGGCATTGCTTTGACAAGTACCGATGATCATGGCCTAACCTGAGGCCTGCAGCTTCCTTCCATCACTTTACTCTGAGATAGATCGACTCCTTGGAGCGCCAGTCGCTTCCCGTCGCCAGTACCGAGCCAGGAAGATGGCCAGTGTCACTCTGACTCCAATACCCAATGGGACGTACGCCATAGCCTCTGTTCTCGGACGGAATGCATTGTACCTCCAGTTCTTCGAGAAAGACTTGAAAACGCGCCTATTCGGGAATTCCTTTAGGGGAAGTCAAGCAGAGCATGTAAGCGTCAGTGAATTGGTCCAGCGTCTGCAGAGGAGGTCATTTCCAGTGGATGGTTGAATCGGCAGAGAGAAACAATACGTACACCCTGAAGAATGTCCTATACCAGACATATGTAGTCCTCGACTCGGACAACCCCCAATGGGAAGGCGATAGACGACCGGCGGCGGGGACCGAGCCTTTCCCGTGGTATATTCTTCCAGGCGAGATAGGGTTTACGTGAGGAAAACCAAGATAACTAGACCCAAATGCAGTGTGCTGAATATCCTTTTCACGCAGTATATCCCCGTACGAGAAACAAGAACTGGTTTGGAATGTCCGGGGGGCATTTCCTTTGGAACGCAGTGAAGTGAGTCTGCACCAATCTCCGATTCTAGAACACGTACAGGCTAACGAAACATCCCACACCTCAAGATCATCCATTATTACCACTTCGACGGCCCGGCCAACGAGCTATTCAACTTCTGGCCGATTTCAGAGTCGAGACCTGGTTTGAACGAGCGTCCAGTTCCACAGTTTGGAATGGCGATGCAGGAGAAGTTGGCTTGTGGGATCGGCCTGGGACTTGTCTTGCCGATGATCATTGCAGCTGCACTGAGCGTGCACTTCCTCAAGAAACGCAAGTCGTTATGGTTTCGGCGGTTGCGAGGTCCGCCTTGAAATCTTAGCAACTGGCACCTCCACTAGGTAGGCAGAGTTGCAGTTTCAACGCAACAATAGCGATGTCATTCGAATACCTGCTAAAGATGAAGAAGATGAAAGAGGGTACGAGCCTACGACCGACATCTACCCGCGCACCCCTCGCCCAGCTCTACGCTGTCCCCGGAGCATTCTGAAAAGCCATGCTGAGCCATAGAACACCATCACCGAGACCCACCCCATCCACTTGAGAGAGACCCAAGTGAAGAACCCAAGCCTGAGAGTCTTCTTCCATGCAAACTTGGCCCATTGTCTCCCCTGCTCGTCAAAGTTCCTGCCCTGCATCACTTGCGAGTATCCAGAGAACATTAGTTGAAAGGCTTGGTAATACGATCGGAGTTGCTGGATCATACTTTGGATGTTGATTCCTTGATCTTCGAGGTGCCGCTGGAACTCAGTGAGATATGGCTCCCAACAGGCATTAACATTTTGGAATTGCCTGCTATCGCCGGCCGCTTCGTGCCAGGTCGATACTCCGGAAAGGAACTGGAGGAGGTGGAATGGGGCGAAGATGCAGGCCTTAATGGAGATGAAGATCGTCGCAAGGATCGTAAAAAGGACGAGAGCTGATAGCAGGAACCCGAACATGCTCAAGCTGTCTGTGAGGGTATCCTGTCAGCTTTATCATCAGGTAAGGGCTTATCGATAGCTTACAAGAGACGGAGTTGGTGAAGATGCGGTATGCCAAACTTGTAGACCAGACAACAATCTTCTTCATCGAATACAAGGACGCAACAAAGATGCTGGAGGACAATGGCCTCAGTCTCGAGGTCAGAGCAAGGCCGACGGGTGACTCACAAATATCCTGTCGCCAATGCGAATGCCAACACAGTAGGCGTTTCAATGAAACGCTGTCAATGCGTCAGCTGCCCGCTTCATGGAGCAGATATCAGGCTTCCAACTCACAGCAACAGGTTCTGGAACCATGCACAGTTGCAGCGTTTTCCTCGTCCAAGGACGAGCAAAGCTTCGTTCGAAACTGAAGAGTGGTTAGTTTAACTAGAGAGCCAGAACGTTGAAACACATACTCATCAAGGGATTGTCGAATCGTAGGCGTATTTTCGTCGATTTCTTCAACGGAGATATCTGGGACTGCCTGAGATGACGGCTCCGCTTTGTGGAGGGCGATCTCGTCGGAACCATCTGTGTGGACCTTCGGCGAGTCAACGAAGATTTCGCTACCTTCGGTGGTCGGAGAATAAGGGGGACTTGTAGAGGCGGATGATGCGTCCTCGATGATCATGTCTGCTGGATTATCAATGTTGGGAGGTGGACGGAGGGGAGAGGTGGCGAGTATATATAACCCATATCGATATTACTGAATTGAACTGAATGTAGACTGCGGACCATCAAAGGACACGTCTCCACTCGTCATGCTAGCACCCCCTCTCGTGCCGTCCGCGACCACCGGCTTTGTCCAGTGCTACGCCGCAGTGCACAAAATGATTGTATCACTACGCAGAAGACAGAAGACTACAACGCCAATCTCTCTTGGACAACAGTTTCATGTAGGACAGTCAGAACGGCTGAGGGGTCGCCGATCTGTGCTAGTCTTCTTGTGAGCTCTTCTTCGACCTGGAGTGTCAACTTCTGTGAGGAGAACCGCTCAGGGATTAGTTCTTCGAGGGCTACAGGGCATGAGAACTTCATGATGCTGATCCTTTGCTGCTGTCGACCAGGACCTTGGAAAGAGAGAAAACATTCGTAGGTCGCGACTGGGACATCGTTTAGAAAGATAAGGCTGGAAGATGGAGATGTGGCGCCAGGCCGGTAAGCGACCGCATAGTCGAGGAAGATGGCTGCCAGGGGTACAGTAACATTGATGGGCATGCCAGGAGGAAGGGAGAATGATGGCCGATGTTTTCCATGCAATATCGCTTCCCGAAGGAAGCTCGCAGCACCAAGGATATCGGTCGGTATTTTTTCTAACTAAGAGTATCATAAGTTCTACCAAAGAACTGAGATACTACTGGAATAGGACTTACATATTCAAAGCCGTTCGGGGGAGACAGTGCTACGCAAGACACTACAGTCTTGAAAGACTTCTGGGAGTCGCCATCGAGTAGAAGATCCACTCTCGTTACGAGCCCTTCCACGTTAGCTATGAAGGACTGATCCGATTCTGGTTCATAGACATGGGCGATCTTCACTCCTAGCTCTCGCGTCGTTGGATCCTACAAGGCGATGAACTCAAGCTGCGGTAAAGGCCAACGAGACCAACGGACCTCTCTCAGAGCTGTTATTAGGCTGGAAAACGCAATGACGGGCTCCTGAGGACTGAAAAGGTCAATCAAGCATCCAGTCCTGTAATTCTATCAGCTCCGTTGGAGGTACATTCGTTAGTGAGCTTGACAAACCTCAAGGATAAGCCGACCAAAGTGGTATCGACAGCCAGTCTCCTCTTCGTTGGTGCTGGTAAACGGCGAAAATGAGGTAGCCCCTTCAGAGCATGCTCGATTCTCGAAATAGTGTCGGAGATGAGCATGGTATTGGACGTTCGTTGACGTTGGTCAAAATACGTTTGATAAGGCCCTGAAGGAGACACTATTGTTGACCGATAGTCGTCGACTTGACGCTAGAATCCGCCTTATCACTCGAGTCTTTGTCAGGCTACCCTGGGTCAGAGTTGCATGGATTGGGGACAGCGACTACGTGTGGTGTGAGCTGGTGGCCATAGTCATCGCCCTTATCATCTGAAAAGAAGTCCTAGTTCGATGTTGGTGGTGACGAGGAAACCAGCAAGCAGCAAACAGCGGCTGGGCGTCTGCGAGTGCCGCCGAGATGCCGTCTGGGAGAACAGCGGAAACTCAAATCTATTCCTCATTCCCACGCAGGTTTCTCAACTTGCGGGCATCCTTGCAACTTGACCTCATACAGCATTCTTACCGTCTCTATCCAGTTTCTTGCGTTTGCAGAAGCCAATTCGAAGAAAATGGACTGTTTGTAACATTGGCTAGGGATGTCTGAACAGCCTATAACTATCGCCCGGTACAGCTAGTCTATTTTTCTATGCGATCCCTGCTGAACAATTATATAGAGAGGCGAAGAACATTTATCAATCACTAAAAGAACTGTTGAAAACCAAAGAACCGTTTGACAAGGAACTCGAGTTTCAGAGGAAGAAGTAAGCCTTACCAGACAATTTATTGAACCAAGTCTGAGCTTGTTGTTAGTTTGAGAAAGCGTTATCTCTCCCTATTGCTCTTACACCCGTATGCAAAAGAGTCTAAGGATGTCGAGAACCACCTATGGATGCAAACGTCTTACGCATCCATATCCTCGTATAAGGAACGCATCGCCATAATCGACCGTGCTATACAAGCACACGCCCGTCAACCACAAGGACAACCTGGCCAACAACGACAACAGCGACATGGACCTGTGGAACACCGCAAATTGCTTTCGAGATTTCGGCAGTTCCTCGCAGAAGAGGAGAAATTCTGGATACACCTCCTCCTTCGAATGTACCGGTCATTCGGCCTTGAAGAAGCGCGCCCCGCTCTGACAGCATTGGGACTTCTACACGACAATCAAGACCTAGGGGAAGCCGAGGGTCAAGATCCGCCCCACAGTCGCACCTCATTCCCGGAAGAACCAGAGACCTCTGTATTTCCTAGTAATCCAGCGGAGAGGGAAAGCCGACTGGCTATTCTGAGCAAAGCCCTCATCTGCTTAGGCGATATTGCGCGGTACCGAGAACTCTACAACGAAGGCGGTGGTCGTCCCAGGGCTGGACACGAGGGTGGTCGTCCGGCTAGACGAGGAAGGAGGGGAGGCCCCCCAGAGACAATTGTAGCACAGCCCCGGGTTTACGACAACGCTCAGCAACGATATGAACAAGCTCGGCTTCTGGTTCCCAATGAAGGCAATCCATTCCACCAACTCGCCATCCTCGCAACGTATAGGAAAGACACATTCGCATCGGTCTATTATTACTACCGTGCACTATCTGTGCGCCAGCCATACGAGACAGCTGGAGACAACCTTGCTACCGTCCTTCAGAAGGCTTCGGACCAGTGGAGGCGGACGAGGAAGGAAAGGGAACGGATGTTGTCATCTGGCCCCCTCGATATCAAGGACAGGGTGATGTTGTTCAAGGAGAGGACAGTTGTGCTTCATTCACTGTGGCGTAAAGGCATTGACAAGTGTGTTTCTCCCTTTCTAATATAGCTTGAAAACAGCGATTGACAGCTCCAACAGGATCGACTCGAAGTTCAAGGAACACGACAAGACCGTCTATCAAGATTTTTACGAGTTGGTTGCAGAACGTCATCTTCCTATTGACATGATCTCTCATGCCATCGTCCTTTCGCAAGGGGCTCTATGGAAGCACAAAATGATACGAGATGGACGTCGTCAGGAAGCTAGACCAGTTGAGCCCAGTGTCACCACAGAGTGGCGCATTCTCCGCCATCTCATGGACATGCACTTTGCTTTGTTGGAGGTCGGCCGGGACCAGCTTAAGGATCTCCCTTCGATGGATAAGGTCGACAACGATCTAGCTCAGCGGATAACAGCTATCTTCCGACGAACCCTCCCTGCTTTGCGCATCGCCAGCAAATGGCTACGCGCCAACTTCGCCTACGTCATGACCGACCTCGAGTTTCAAGCTTATCAAGAGAAGGAGAAGCTTCGGAGTGTTGCGGTGGAGAAGAAATGCCCGGAGAAGATTAGTGCCCACTCGGTACACTCTATACGGTTTTGGAAAGGATATGCTCAGTTCGTGGCAGCCTTGTCGCAAGCCTTCCCGACGAACAGGCTGCCTTCCTTGACGGCACCGTTGGAAGAGGATGTTGACCTGAGAGGGTTCCTTCCTCTGAAGAAGTTGATGGTAGATGCAAAGAACAGTGCTTCTGACGTCGTCAACGGGAACGGGAATGTGGTAGAGAGTCCTCATCCGAATGAGGAGCAGCTTATGAGAATATCGGACCTTCTCGCGGATGCGCAGGCATTGGTGGAAGCAAAGGTAAGCCATTGACTATTTGGTCGAATTCGCATCTGACAGGTCTCCATAGAACTCTCCTCTCACATTGATAAACCAGTTGATTGTCTTCGACGACAGTATGGTGGAACCGCGCACTTCGACGATCTCCGAACCCGCAAAGCCGCTAGAACCGATCGCATCTCGTCAACAGCAAATCATGAACCAGATTCGGGACAAGAGCGCTGAAGTTCCCTGTCTGCGCGAGGAAGACGTGATGACGGAAGGTACATCTCGAACCGACGACGACGTTCTCAAAGCTGCATTCCAGCATATTGGTGGAGATGCTCCCGATGTCCCTGACGATGACGACGACGAGATAGTCCTTTTCAACCCCAAAGCATCGCTATCCCCCGCGCTGTCACCACTCTTGCAAACCACGCCCATCACTCCGGTCAGGCCGCTGAACGGCTCAGCGGCCGCGAAAGCTTTCCCGAGCCCTCCTCTCGCTCACAATAAGCCTTCACCCCTCATTGGAAAGACGCCGATTAGTAGTCCCCGCGTCTCTACAATCCACGCTACTACAGCGCAGGATCTCCTTCAAGATGTTATGAACGTTGGTCGCAAGCCTGGAAGTGGACTCGTTCCACCTTCAACCGTCGATCCTTCCGGGATCCAGCCGCCTTTGCTATTTGGTTCGGAACTCTCACATCGACCCAGTCTCATTTCTAGTAATGCGCCGAGCTCAATTTGGTCGGCTGGACATGATGAACAAGGCTTGAAGTTCGGGTCGACTACTTCCCCAGGACACAGTCATAACCACGCGAATCCTCACCATTCCCTCTCCCCTCGACTAAATTATGCTCACAGCGTTTCCGGTCCTGCTCAAGACTTAACCACCCCGTCGATTTGGGCGCCGTCTCATACTTCCAGTATCCAGAGCCCTCAACTGCATCTTGGAGGTAGTTTACCGTCTGGAACAAGTCAACCTCACCAGCCCAACAACGCGGGCGTAATTGGAAGCGGCCTCCACCACCGACTCCCGTCCGCGTCTCACACCATGGCGTATTCCGGCAGTCTGAGCCCACATCGCGTTGAACAGCAACGGCACCAGTATACCTTCTCTCATAGCTCCTCCACAAGCTCTGTGAACGTCCCGAAACCTCACCACCAATCGTTCTATTCAGCTGATCTTAGAAACAATCTTGGTCCCGGTGGAGGGCTTGGGGGAACGTCGCTGTCTAGTCCATCGCTGGGGAACTATTATCACCAGCCGCAATCCCAGCAATCGACATCAACAAATGGTCATTCGCAAGGCCTCGGTCACCTGGATCCCTTCGCAAGGCTCGGACTCTACCCTCCCCTTTCCCAAACCCATTCACAACCGCCTCCATCTCTCCAGTCGCATACCCATGGGAATGGACTGACCTCGCCGCAATCCCTTTCGCATCTGTGGGGAAACGTGGGGTAGTCACCAACTGACGCCTGGGGGTCTTGTTGATTTTTGTACATCATTCTCGAGTCATCTCGTGGATACATCCAGTCCATGCGGACAGTACGGGCACGCAGACCCGGTCTCTAGAACATGGGGATTGGTGCCATCGGTTGGCTTCGTCGTTGCTCCTCAAGCAGACGTTGGTTGAGGCCACTGATTGTGCATTTGACGCATACTTACATGCTAGAAATTCTGCATAGTGCAGAACGGACCCGTCATTGACATGGACCACGTTGCCATCCTTTGGATGGAGTCCTCGCTCGACTGATTCGATTATTTACTCTCCTGTTCTTCGCGGACAAAGACAGTGTCGCTACCTTTTTTATTTCATTAAATTCAAACCACTTCTGGGGTGCCGCCCCTCGACTTTCTTGTTTTTGTCCCTTTCAGTTTTCTTTTCTTCCTTCCTTTGTCTGCCTGGTGTTTGCTGGTCTGTGTGATATGTTTTGGCGTTTCGCGTATCTGAAGTTACTGTACATTCCTTTTCTGATTCTGTACGAGCCGTTTGTTTTTCCCGTCTTCTTCTCCTCTCGTCTTCTGCTGCGAAGGTTCGCATCAGCCTCCTCTCGTTGTGGCGAGGCTCGATTCCCTCTGTCACACTCTGTAGTACAGTTCCTGACGGAACATATCGACATGTTGACATAATGATATATGATGATGTTGATTCCATTGCGGGAGGCGGTGGTCGATTTAAGACGACTGTTGGACTTCGATGGCAGGGTTTGCCATCTCCCAAGGCTTCTTTCGCACAGGAGCTGTGGATTGACTGGGTGCTTCCTCCTAAATGTTCGGTTAGTCACTTCCCCTTGCGATGCGAGGGGTAGAGTACGTACACTGAATTTCTCTGGAATGATTTTGTTGTTTGGAATCTGGTCCACCTTTCCCGTCTCGATGAGCTCCTTTAGTTCTGCGAAGGTGAGGACACGGGTTTCTTCTGGGGCTGAGGAGGATTGCTCGGTCGTTGACGCAGATGGTTCCAGCGTAGAAGGCGTAGTCGTCGCGGCCTGCACAGAAAGTTCGTATTCACGCGCGTCCTCCATTGTTATAGAGTTCCCGGTCATCCTGAAGCAGTCATTTTGTCAGTTTTCCAGGCTTCGTTGCAAAGTCTGTGGTTACGAACTTGTTGAAATAGAACACCCTCGTCCTGCGCAAGATCTCCTCTTTTGCTTCGGGCGATGAAGCGTTGTTTAGAGCTCCCCCTGCAAGAATGCTCGCTAGACCTTGCTTTCGTTGTATTAGTTAGCATTGTCGTTTCCAAGCGAAGCTTGCCCCGATCGACCACTGGCCTGGGGTTACCATACCTGATATGTATCGTCGGCATCGAATCTGTACGCTGCGTATTGTTCCAGTGGAGTCATGACAGCATCTGAGGACGGCCCTGATTCAGTTTGGGTGGACATCGTCGTGGTTGTGATTGAAGAGAGAAGGCCGGCGATTGTGATTAGCGCCAGCCGCCACATTGATTCCGGTAAAGCTAACAGAACCAAACACCAAATGGACTTGTACCCGAACCACCACCACCGTCTCAGCCCCATTCGATCTCCAGGAAACAAGCTTCAGGACATTTGCGATTCAGAAGTATAGCTACCAATTCGAAGGAGGGTGCGGGCCAGCCGCGATAACTAGCAAGAAATATATGGTACATATGCGATTACAGTCCCCTTGCCAGTTAACCAAGAATGCTCCTTGTGTCGGCTTTCGACGACGACCGCGTGCTGATAATACTCAGGCGATTCTTCTTTTCCTGTCTCTGCCTCCCGACGATCTGTATACTCAAGCGGAAGCTCTTCTTCAAGTCCTGTTGACGCAGGGATCCATAACATCTGTGATTAGGCTGGCCCATCTGGACACCAATTGGGGATAGATTGCACACCTTTGTCATCCGCGAAAACGCGTTCCAAGCATCAGGTAACACAGCTGTCTTGAAGCCCGTCGTGTTCCCAACTGCCTCTAGGTTCTCTGAATCGTCCTCATCCCACTGTGTCATCATGCGATCGTGCATGAATCGGATCTGGGCCACGTCTTCTGTGCTATTCATCGGCTGGGCGGCACGGGGGAAGGCGTGTCAGGCGCATTGAAATCAAAACATATCGGCGTTCATTCATCGCCCTCGACCCTGAATGCTGCAAGCAAGGGGTTCGAAGGCGCGTATTGCGCCGTACTCACCGGGAGCTCGCTTGTTCGATCATGACTGTCTGCTCGAGTGAAGTAGGTGGAATGACTGTATGGATATTGGAATGGCATGATTGGTGAATGCTGAGGGGATGGGCTGAGGGCGTAAACCAATTGGGTGTGTTAGGGTGTGCCGTGTGCTGTTTTCGACGAGAAGGAGGATGTGAGGGAGGAGTCGTGATCGTGAAGAGGAAGCAAGTCAAAAAGAGAACCCCAGACGAGAAAGTGAAGAACGAAAGGGAAGGGCGTCCACGAAGCCGATGAATCGATCCTTGCCACCCCAGCCCATATATACCCGATATCCCTCGACGATAGCGGACGACTGGGGTCCTCGAATTCGGAAAAAACGGGGCAAGACAGTAACCTTACCTGATCGCAAATTGTCGTAACCTGCCAGCATGTGTCCGACACGCTAACCTCCCCAAGGCAAGCCCAAGCTTCAAGCGTAATCGAAACCTGCGCCTAGAAGTAAGGAAGTAAGCGAGCACTGGCACCTGCTCTAGTTGTAGCTATTGCTATAGCCTAAGAGCTGTGCGCTGCGGGTAACCACCCTGCTCAGCAGCCTCCTACCGCCCAGAAATAACTCGTAGCTTCAGAAAGGTAGTCTCGCAACCCAGAGTTGCAGCGATAGCTCTTTTGACTCTTTCTGAGAAGGATTAAGAAGGCTGTTTCTGACAGCCCCCGCCGACTTAATCACTCCAACGCCCGGTGCAAATGCGTAAATAAGTGGCTGATGATTAGGAGACATTGAACGCGTGGATAACGGCAACCAGCAAGCGCCCATAAACGCAATAAATGCCAAGAGAGGAATGGGATTAAAATCAAGGAGAAATGGAAGAAGTCATGTATGTATCTGAACCCGGCTGTGAACTCACCCCGGGCTCGCCGTGCATGAACGAATATGGACATGCAGTTGTTGAAACTTGGAGACCCTGTCCGGCCATAGGGGGGAGGCTTTGGGCGCCTGGAATCCTGATGCTTCTTGAACTCCTTCGAGAAGCCTCCGACCTAGTCTTCTGAGTTCCAACTTTAGCCTTGACTTGCAATTAGAAGTCGAGGGACCACTTCAAAGAAACCTTTTTAAAAGTTGGGTCGCGTATCCAGGAAATGCAAAGAGTAATCGAGGCTAGGCTACGGGAGCGAAGAGGGGAATCACCTTTAGCATGCTTCACTGAAGATACCGGAGTTGCAACCTACCGAACGCAACGCACCTCACCAATAAACAAGGTGAGATGTCCTGATATAGTAGTACTTTGCGGTAACGGTGGCGGCCATATTCGCCACTGAGATAAAGACGGATTTCCAACTTCCAGGGACCAAGGGCGTCTGACATCGAATGACAAGCAGCATCGAAGCATTGGGCGGCACTGCTTCACAACTGCTGCATGCTGTAAATGAGTGAATGTGAAGGTCCGGAAGCGCTTGAGGGTTGCAATAAAGACATACTTGTCCAGAATTCCTACAATCATAACGTCACAGCAAGTGAAGTCATGGCAAGTGTCACCCTTTAACTCGGAGAAATCGGCTTTTGAGGGGAAAGAGGCGCGTTGCGGCCTCTGCGTTGGTGAACCGGAATCTTGAGCTTCCGACTCTTGAGAACCTAAAAATCAGGAACCATTTGAATAGGATAGATATCATCAGGGCGGTGTACAGTCGCAGTCGTGGACGGACAGAAATTGAGAGGATGTTCGCGAAAGCAACGGGTCGTGCTAACGAGTTCGCAGAGATAATGCGACAAATTGCATTAGCAAAGTATGTAACTATGTGCCTAGAATGAACAACGAGTGAAGTCGACAACAGGGAAGAAGAGATAAAGACGCGCAACGCATTGACACTACCGTTTCCGCAGTAGCCGAAGCGCCAACTCTTCTTCGTCTTCCAATCCAGTATCAGCAATAGCTGTACTAGGGTTACTGCTACTGCGATCGGCAGCGTCATTCGCGGTCTTGAAGCGTTTGGTAGGTGGTGCAGGGGAAGGTGATCTGTCGCTGTCGGAATCGGGGAGGTCGAATTCAGGCGATTCATAACCATCAGAGGGAGGCGCGATGAAAGCCATAGGTGCACCACCGGTGTCGTCTCCATTCATCTGGGATAGCAAGTCAGCCAGGATGTCACAACTTCAAAAGCGACGGGGGTCTGAAGTCGGCCACGCACCATCCGTTCCCTCTCCTTCCTCTTTCTCTTCTTCTCCCTCTTCTTCTCCCTAGCTTCCGCTTTGTCCACCACGTCCGCTATTTCTATCTTTGCCCTCTCCTCAGCTGCGAATTTCTTACCCTCCTCCTGTACACCTTCAATACCACCTTTTGTCTTAATCCACTCTTCTCCATCCGCCAACTCATATATCTGACGAGCCCGCCCTTCATCGTCGAAGATGAGTTTGGTGTTATTGCCTTGGGTAGCAAGGAGCTTCTTCGCTCGACTGAGTTTCTGCTTTCGCTTCGAAAGGTCTTCCTTGAGGTCCTGCTCTTTCAACTCGTCTGGAAGGTCGTGGTCGGCGCGTTTAAGCGTAATGAACTCGTCTCCATCGGCGTCGTCGTTACCAAACGCGTCGTGCTCGACGAGTTTGTTGTAATGTGACGAAAGAACATTTTGGTTCTTGCGTTGGAACATTCTGTCGTACTTCGTTCGGACTCCATTACGCTGTGGGGTATTTTAAGCTGGAGAACTTCAAAGAGTAGGAGAAATTACTTACGTTGGCGGTATTTGGAAGAGTCGCCTTTCCGTCTTGCTCTTCTTCAGAATCCTGGGGCTCGCTTTCGTCCTCGCTTTCACTTCCACTTTCCTCTGGACCAGACTCTTCCTCAGACGATGATTCGACTTCCTGGATAGCAGCAACCTCTCGTGAAGCATTCTTCTTTGCCTTGGCAATTTCACGGTTCAGGAATTTGATCTTCGGCGTTCCTGGCAAGCCAAGCGATTCGGCGTAGCGGTCGACAGGAAGAGCGTCGAGCTTGAAGATACTCTTATTCTTCTGAAGGTAGATCGAACGAAGATAGGAGACGAAAGCCTGTTCACGGTTGCCATTAGCACCTTTCTGGATGAGACAGAAACATTAGACGCACCCGTTGGCCCAGGTACTTGATTTCAGGGTCTTCGAAGCAGAGTTTCTGCAGCTGGAGTTGGATGTTTTGAGTCTTGCTTTGGCGGATTTTGATTTTCTGGACTGTGAGGCCCTTTTTGGTCAAGGCAGAAGTCATACCCTCTTCTTCGCTAGGGCATAGGAAGAGTAGACCCTTGCCTTTACTTTCGTAGCGCGCTGTTCGACCAACGCGGTGAATGTAGGTTTCAGCATCTTCTGGAGCATCCACTTGCACGACCCAGTCCACAGCTGGGAAGTCGAGACCCCGAGCAGCGATATCCGTGGCGAACATCACAGCATGAGAGTGTGACGTGAACTTGGTGTACATAGCCAGTCGGGCAGTTTGTTTCTGCTTGCCGTGGAGGTGGAGCAGTGGGACACCGGGGTGCATCTTGCAGAAAGTTTCGAAGACGAATCGAACCTGCTTGCAACTCGAGAGGAAGACCAGGACTTTGGATTGAAGGTGTGTTTTGATGAAGCTCCAGAGAACATCCAACTTCTTGTCGAGCTCGGTAATAACATAATGTTGCTCGAGTGAATCGGGAATGTAGCTTCCAGAGGATCCCGCTTCCTTTACACCGACGTACTCTGGGTCCTTGAGACTCAGTCTTGCGAGGTCGCTAACGGATTCCGTTTGGGTTGCGGAGAAAAGGAGAGTTTGTCGAGATTTTGGGAGATGTGAGAGGAGAGCGGATAGGGTACGCTGGAAGCCCATGTCCAATATCCGGTCGGCTTCATCCAGGACTGCGAACCAGTCAGCTTAATCTCGCCGTACAGGCTTGTACACATACCGAGCATTTGTAGGTTATCGGTGTCAAAGCCCACCGTTTGGTCCATGTGTTGGAGCAATCGTCCAGGAGTAGCCACCAAAATGTTCATCCGAGATAGCCTATCCCGTTCGTCCTTCAAGTTCTTCCCACCAATAACCAGGCCTGCTGAAAACGAATGGAAAGGTCCAATCGCGCGCAAAACCTCGAAGATTTGAACAGCCTAGACAATATGAGCTTCGTTACCCGCTTGCTAATAGCAATACACATACCAGTTCTCGCGTAGGCGAAATGATAAGCGCTCCCAGTCCATCCGTTGGGCCCCATTTCCGTCGATATAGAACTTCCAGTACCGGAATCAAGAACGCAAGGGTCTTTCCACTTCCTGTTCTCGCAGCTCCAAGAACATCCTTTCCCTTGAGGGACAATGGTATACTTTTGGCCTGGATATCCGTCATTTTGACAAACGATGCCTTTTTCAAGCCTACCAATCTATTCAGCAACAAGTTCACCAAACGGATAAATTCATTTCGCACCTCGTTTTGTCTGTTCAGAAATCGGCAGATCTGCAAACGCAGAAAGGTCTGGTGGCGGTTCCTACCATATATTCTTGTTTAGTAGGTACTTACGTTGAGCCCTTCAGTGCAATGGGGACTCACATATTCCTGAACAGATTTTTCTAGAGCGTCGATCTTCTGCCTCTCCGTTAGCCTTCGAAGTTTTACAGCGTTTGGTGTTTTCGTCTTTTTCTTCGCATTTTTAGGCCTTGAAGGCCCTGCCTTCCCTGAACCTTCCATGGTCGTGATTGGTGGACGTTGTCGTGGTCGAAATCGTCGAGCTCAACACCAGACGCGGTGCCAAGGCTTCAGAAATTGGATCACGAGGTGTTTCTCACGACCGCATCAAAGGGATTTGGATCCGTTACCGACGCCGGTGACGATGACCTCGACCTCATTTATCCTCCTTCCTGGCGTTACGCTTGACCTCGATAGCAGCGGTTAACCGCAGAATGTCGAGTGACTGGCAATTCTGAACACAAACTCGTTGACGACGCCCTGGATATCCGGTAGCAATGCCTCGACAGACGACATTCTCTACCCCGGCCCCGCCTGGGCGCCGTGAACTGTTCATTAACGTCGAAAGCTCTTCGCCAACATCAGAGGGTTTCGACAGACACGATGCTCCAAGGACGGCGACCGGTCTTATGGAAGGTGAGTGCGGCCCAACCCACAAAATATCTCAGTTCTGACACTAATCGCTATATAGTCCGGGAGCAGAAGCTTATGTCGAAGCTTGGCTTTTCGTTCTTTCTTTTTGGTTTAATCAACAACGGTGAGTATCTACAGAGCCTACAAACCTGATTTAAAGTTAAAAAATCCTTGATAGTCCTGTATGTTATCATCCTTTCGGCAGCTCTTGACCTCGTTCCACCTCAGACGCCAAAGGGGATCATCGCCTTCTGCAATATCACCCCCTCCCTTATCGCCAAAGTCGCGTGGCCTTACCTTCTCAAAGGACGAATACAATATGCTCGGAGATTAGTGGGCTGCTGCATACTCAGTTGCTTGGGAATGCTGGTGAGCGCCTACTTGTCCTTGACCTTCCTTGGCATCCCTGACCGGCGGCGCTTAGGTTGTCGCGATATTTGAAGGCCTATATCCGAGGTTACTGGGTATCTGCTTCGCGTCGTTCTCCTCAGGTACGATCTTATCTCTAGCTGTCGTACAACGCCGAGTACTAACCAACTATCAGGCCTCGGCGAGTTGACCTTCCTGCAACTATCTACAACCTACTCTCCTCCTTACGTCGCGGGTCACGCTGTCGGGTGAGTTATGCTTTAAAGTGTACTTGACGTTTCTCTGACCACTTCGATACAGGTACTTTGCATCCGGAACTGGCGCCGCGGGTCTCGTTGGGGCGTTCCTATGGTGGGAGGTCCGTGGTCTTGGAGTTCGACTCGGGGTTGGAATGTCTGCGGTAGGTTTCCATTGAGCTTCCCCATTCTCCCCGACGCTCACAAAGGCTTTTAGGTCATGCCCATTATTATTCCCCTCACCTACTTCTTCCTTCTCCCACACAGCTCCGCATTCCTGCATGCCATCACCCCCACTATTTACGACGAAGCATTTAGCCCTGCGCCTGCCTTGTCAGCTTTGCCTTACACTCCTGTAGCTTTGGATGATGAAGATGGAGAGGAAGAAGGCACACATGCACCAGGTCCCAACAAGTCGATCCATCTGACTATCAACGACAAGATTCGCCTTGTCAAGCCGCTGTTGCTCAAATACATGCTACCATTGTGTAAGTGCGTCTTCACCCGAGGATTGGACAAACGTTAACCTGCCAATCTTATAGTTGCTGTATACCTTGTAGGTCACACCTGAAAGGTACTTGATCGTTCCTCATCCAGTGCTAATTCTGGCTCTTCAGTTCGAATATACCATCAACCAGGTACATTTTCGCTCGACGAACGAATAGCCACCCCACTAACATTTTCTTGTCTTTAGGGTGTCAGTCCGACATTGCTATACAACATTCCAGACCCAGAAAAGCACTGGTTCCTCAGCAAGGTCATCACGTCCCTTCGCGACTACTACCCACTATGGCAGGTGCGCGCCATTACCCTCAGTTCTCCCGTTTCACTCTGTATCCTTCGCATCTAATTACATTTCTCGTCCCATCTCAGTTGGTTTATCAAACATTCGTATTCTTCTCTCGGTCTACGATTTCACTCGGTATCCCAGCCCTACCAGCGCGTTTCCTTGCTTTACCATCAATAGTGCAGGGAATCCTCTTTGTGACGCTGACGTATGAAGCAGCTGTCGGTTTCTTCCCTCCACAGGAGGACGAAACGCGGAGCATCACATTCGTGTTCCTGCTCATCTGTCTTGAGGGTATCTGTGGTGGACTGGCATAGTAAGTCTATCCTTCCCTTGCCATTCCACACCGATAATCTAAGCATACAACTAACCTCGCCTCCCCTCACAGCGTGAACGTATTCTACCACATCAACCACGAACCTCCCGAACCCAGCACACGCAACAACGACATCGAACTTACCCGGCAAGAACGCGAATTCAAGATTGGCTCGATAGGCTTCTCCGATTCGACGGGTATCTTGTTGGCGTCGATTCTAGCCGTGCCTACCGAAATCCAGTTGTGTAAGGCGCAGGTGGCGAGAGGGAGAATGCTTTGCAAGAGTCTATGATCAGTCAGGCTATCTGAGATGAAATTTTGTTACGACCTTTTTCAATGATCTCGTTCGAAGATATTACTTATAGGGCTGTTGGTTAACGTCCCAGTTTACAGGTTACTCCCTTATCCGTACACCCACCAACCTCTCCCACTCGTTCGGGCAGAGGGTAGTTTATATTTTGTTAGACGAATTTTTTGCATACATGTACACGTCGCTATGCCACATACTGTATTTATTCATTGCACTTGTCTTCTCAATCTGCCCTTCAGTGGATCATTAATCAAGACGACGAGTGAATCCAATACTAATAGACAATGTGTACAAGAACCATAGGTTCACGACGTAATGTACATGCAGAGGGACAAGACATGGACAAAAAACAGTTCGACAGCAACTAGATGCGAAGAAACATGGGGGAAAAGAAGTAAGATGAAACCAACATTAGCCAGAGAAGCCAGACACCAATACTACCCTAGAAAACACGCCTCCTATTTCAGAAATAGATCGACGACCATACGGTCAAGAGGAGCAAAAAGCCCTCTTAGTCTATTCCTGAACGAGTCCCCAAAACGAAATTAGGATGGAACGACCGGAACTTGGCAGTCAACGCATCTCGGAAGCCAGATGCTAAATTAGACGAGTGTCGTCAAGAAAACCTAATCGTCAAACAATCGAGGTGAGGTAACCTAAAAACAGAGTGAATCAGCAATCTTGTCAGACATGCATGCGGAATGGGCAAATTAGTGGAACAGATCTGAAGAGGTGCCCCACCCGTTCGAAGGCGACGTCTACGTCTGCGAACCAGACTAGACACGGCAGCCCCAACCAGATCCTCGCGCCACCAATCCAGTCCAAAAAACCATAAACGGTAGAAAGATTGCAAGTTTCAGATTGAAGCACTCACATTCTGCATATACGATTGCCATGTCTCTTGCAACCGAGGATCATCAGCTGCGATACCCCTCAAAGCGCCTTCCGGAGTATAATACGCTTGATGCGGCTGCTGGTGCTGATACGCATGCTGGTGCTGGTGCGCATGTGGCGGTGGTGGTTGCTGGTGGTGTTGCTGAGGATAACGAGGTTGTCCTGGTCCAGGACCCCCTGCGTATCCAGTAGGCGCAGCAGGCCAGTACTGGTGATACCCTCCCACATCCGATCCATGAGATGACGGCGTTTGCGGGATCGAATGCTGACTGTGTTGACTGTGTGGCGAGGAAGAGCTCGTAATCCCCGACATGGCATGCGCATCGTACGGCGCTCCTGAAGGTGGCTGAGAAGAAGCATAGTGCGGAGACACGGACGTGGCAGGAGGTGAAGTTCCATAATCCGATCCAGCAGACGGAATTGTGTACAACTGGGTATTGGGTGGCGGATGGAACTGTGGTGCATGCGATGACACCGAGGATGTTGGGGAAGATTGCTGATGAGGATGGGCCCTTGCCATTGAATGCTGTGGTTGTTGCTGGTACTGCGATTGGTGCTGCATCGTGTGATGAATGTTGCTCATCGACTGTGTGGGCACACGGTGCAACGAATGAGACGGTCCACCCGCAGATGGCGGAGAAGCACTGTACGGATCCGGTGGCTGCGAAGAATATGGCGCGTATTCGCCACTTGAGGATCTGTGGGGAGGCGGTGGCAGCTGTTGTTGCTGTCTTCTCTGCTGTTCGTGCAGCTGTCGTTGTTGCAACTCGGCCTGCTGACGATACTGTTCCTGCCTCTGCTGCTCCATTTGTTGTCGACGCAGTTCTTCTTGTTGCTGTTGCCTCGCCGCCGCTTCCTGTTGCTGTCTCTCCATCTCCAACCTCTCCAGCTCTCGCCTCTGGTTCTCCATTTCTTGCAAGAACTGCTGTTGGCGCTGCTGCTGTTCTTGCTGTACACTCTCCGGTTGCATCATCATCGAAGAATCGGGTGCTACAGGGGCGGTCGCACCACGGGGCAACGCTCCCGCTGGACCAGGCTGGTCAACTACCATCGCGTTCCCAAACACATCACCACCCTGTCGGTACGCGTTTTGGATTTGCGCACGGATATGACCGTCGAAGAGGTTGAGTTCGTTGACCAGGCTGGGGTGTACGTTGGCGAAGGAGGGGTTGTCGGCGAACATTTGGCCTGGTGAGTCGGAGGGTGCACGAGAGTTGTTGGCGTTGGTAGCTTGAGGCGAGCCGCTATTGGAACGAGTTGTCCCGCTAGGATTGGAAGATTTCTTGACAGTGTGCGTTTTGCCGCTGAAGATCAAGAGTTCGTCTTTTTCCTCTTCTTCCTTCAAGTTCGAGGGTCGGAAGATATCATTACCAATGCGTTGGGGGATGCCAGCGTTGGTATCACGGAAGATTTGCTGGGCCTTTCCTTGCAGCCGCTTAAGAATTGGCTGTAATTAAGAGAGAAATCGCACATCGTATCATTTAGCAAAAACCCTTCATCAACAAAAGGAACACATCTGACGTACCAGAAACTTTACAGCTCTTCCTCCAAAGGAAGCAGCATGTTCGAACAAATCGCACGCTGTTTTCAACTCTAGCAGCGCAGCTGGCGCAACCTTGCATTTAGGATTGTGAGTCACCACCGACCCAATCATAACCTGCGTGTAGAGAAGTTTACGTCAGAATGCGCCTGCATTGTGGATTGGGGAAGCTATAAAGCCACGTACCGAAGCTGAGAACGCATGGGTCCACAATACCCAGAAGCGAGCAATTTGGGCCGGGAAGAATGTAAACTGCTGTTTGACAGAGTTTATGATGGTGCATGCACTTCTGTAGCCAGCGAGGAAAGAGGGTGCGTATTGACTTTTGATGGGGTCCGCAGAGTTGTTGGAGAGCGCGTGTGCAAAGAAGCAACGGTGGATGTAGAGAAGGGCTGTTTAAAGACTAAGTATACGTGAAAGCCGATAGACTATAAGAGGGCAACTCACTCAGCTCGCGGTAGTTGGTCGGCATGAAATGTGACATCGTCTGCGCCAACCCCAATCCTTGTGGCGGTGGCCCCTGAGCGTACAAGGGGAGCTCCATATCTCGTACTTTCCTATCCAAATCCAAGATGATGGAATACTTCGGAGCACGAGAAGTCAGAGTTCCTTGTACAACGGCAGAGACACATTCGGCGCCAAAGCGGGCTTTCCAATACGGGACTAGAATCGGGGAGAAGAGAGTGGTTTTGATCAGTTGAATTGCTCTGTAATTCCAGAAGATGACAGAAAGAATACGTACAGCTAGGTTGTGGGGTCCCATCCTCGGCCATGGTCTGATCAGGATCAAAGGGCAATTCGCAATCGACAAATGGAAGAGAGAAGGTCGCCAGTCGGCCCGTCGCCAAACTCTAATCCTCAAGTTAGCATACATGAAATCATGGCCCCCCGAGGGAATGGCCAGAGAGTCACGATACCTGCCTGCCAGCAATCTGTGATAAACAGTTCCCAAAATAGTGCCCGCCTTTTCTGAACCTCTGCGGGTGGAAGTTTCCATCTCGCACAATCCCGGTCTGGTGGACATGAAGGGTGAGAAAGGATTGGACGAAGGAAGTCGAAAGTAACTTACGAAGACCAATCTAAAAACACGGAATAACGAAATCGGCGTGATGATATCAGCATACGATGCATGGCAAAACCCCACCAAGAACTCACGCTCTGCGCAAGCTTCGTGGCCATCCCAAATAGGGCCCATGTGCTCTCAATGCTATTTTCTTTACTGCAAAGTCCTTCATAGATCGCCATTAGAGAGAGGGTTTGGACGGTCGAGACGCTAGGTGGCCGTTCCAGGACTGGTTCGATTGTTAAGCAGGCTTTCGTCAGCTGATAGTACTGTTCGGCTTCAGGGTTGTTTGGTGCTGGTGGCATTTCCATGTCTGTCAGCGACCCAAAGCAGAAGATAACGAACATGAGAGCAAGGTCATGAGCATTCCCTTTGGGCGAGGATGACTCGCTGGCCTCGCTGGCCGCAGGGGAAACAGCGCTTGTACCCATAGCCACTGGCGATGCTGCCATTGCTGGTTTGGGCGCCTCTTTGTACCACATTGGCAGCAATTCCTCGTCAAGTTGTCGCCGGGTGACCGCACCGAAGAACCAAGGTGCCTGTTCGAGGTATAGTTGATAGAGGCGTTGGGCATCCTGCCATGACGGCAAGTAGTTGTTGATAATGTAGTCCAAGTCTATCCCGGGTCGATAGAAGGAGGAAGCCAGTGGGAAGTTAGAAGCAAGGGAGGCGAGTTCGGGAGGGATGAACCGTTCGGAGGCTCCGGGTTCGACCCCAGGGGTGTCCGTTGGTGATGGTTCTGGAAGCTCGCGCTGAATTGAAGGTGTAAGAAGAGGGGAATTAAGTCCGGATAGCTGCTGACTCACGATGAGTAGAGACTAGGGCCAACTTGTCAGCGTCAGTTGCACAAATTGGAACCACGATAGCGTACCTCTGAGCCTGCTGAACGGCCGTAGAACGTTGCTGCACCATCGTCTCGAATTGCTAGTGTCCCAAAGGCATCAATATACTGCGACTCTTCTCCTTCGTCTTTCTCTGTGATGGTCGTAACACGCTCCTTTTCGTCTTCCTCGACGGCTGAATGTAGCTCCAGACTGGATTTGACTTTGAGGAGCTCGCGGGTCAATAGGGGATGTGTTTCCTTTGTTGTTGTGAGATGTGATACAGCGAGGGCGTCCTCGAGCTGGCGAATTCGGTCACTCATTTGTGATATCTTTGCATGAAGCTTCTCCGTGTCCGCCAGAACGAACCTAGTGGTTTGTTAGACACAATTCAGCTTCGAATTCAGGCTACTACTCACCTAGTCCCCTGGCCAGTGATCAAGCTTCCATTCGGACAGATAGCTGAACATCCTCGTCGTTTGCAGCTGTGAGACCGGCGTTAGAGTGACGGCGGGCTGGACAGAATCGTTCAGGCTACCTGGAACATGGCACCGTCTTGTCGCACTTGAGCTTCAAGCTGGAAAGACGGTCAGCGATGAGGGCCAAAGTGAAGAGGAGATCAAGTCACCGTCTGCATTCGGCGCAGGAAAGGGCACCTGAGTATCAAATGTTTGGAAAGGCGATCAAAAAGGCGGAAAGAAAGTCGGACCGACCTCTTGCACGCTTGGACTCTTTATCCTGGGCCTTCTGCGCACTGACATCCTTCCTTGGAGCCTGGGGCATATAGGGTCGAGCTGGGGCTTGGTCGTGCAGGTTGGGTGGTGGGCGTAAGGTGATGGGAAGGGGGAATGAGAGAATCCAAGGCACGCGGTATAAACCCAAAATATAGCGACTATCAGCCTTTGGTTCGCCCGTTTACGTACCCCTTCTCTGGGACTTTTAATCCTCGAAGGGGCAAAGTTCTCCTTTCAACTCAGCCAGGAACAACCCGTCTGTCTTTATTTTCTCCCTCTTCTGTCTACACCTTCTTGTTTGATAAATGACAAAATCGTCACGAATACCCTCGCAAAGAAGGGCACGTCAGATGGCCCAACCACCAGCGATCTATGGGGCCTGGCAACCCACACAACACCACGCTTCGCAGAAGAACAGCTTGTATTCTTCTTCTCCAACCGCACCTTCCTTGGGTTCTTTCCTTGATTGGCGACATGACCACCTGTCTTCGGATAAATTCCCTGCGCTGCGTGCTCCTCTCGTCGTCTTGTGCTGTTTTGCCACTCCCAAATACCCCGACTCGGAAGATGCCCGTCCTCGCTTGGCCTCTATCCTGAACGCGGAAAGCCCTCACCTTGTGGCAATTGGGTTCTAAAAGCCAAAGGGGACTGTATGCAGATCGTGCTATCTGAGCAATTCCAATCTGATAGAATTCACCGACGGCAAGCTAATCGCTAAAATATACTGCTCGACTGAATCAAGAACACCACTTTATCCAGGCTCCCGTCCCCCACAAGAAACTGCAACATCGCAGCTCACTGGCTAGTGTATATCCAGCTCGGACATTCCAAACACTAGAACTCGGGCTTTACATTTCAAACTCGGGCTTCTAGACTCCCCAGAAAACATCATCCGCCTTACTGGTCGGCCTCGTTCTGCAGGCATCCTCCTTCCTAATGGCCACAACTGGATGGTTCCATGACGAGATTCTTATCCTCTCGGAACCTTCATCCCCGGCTTCGTCTTCCCATCCACCAACACATGGTTCCGACTCGTACGATTGGCGATGTATACCTGCTCTCTTGGTTGCAACGTTCCCGAAATCCCCGACCACCAACGTATCATACATTATACATCGTCTTCCTCTAACGTACATATCCCCCTCAATACACCTTACGCATCTGTCTCCTCGTGCTCCACCCTGGCCCTAATTACTCGTTATCCTGGAAGATCCTATCAGAAAATTCGCAGTCGGACAACAACATTTATGTAAACCCCCCAACAACGAGACCGTCTTAACACCACTCCCCGTCTTACTCCCTCTCCCAGAACTCTGGCCCTCGCTCCCGAACCCGTCTCTCCATGCGCACACACACGCCCACTGCAACAGCCGTATGGGAAATGATTGCATATCCCAAACGCCGTTTTCTGAAGTGTGCCACACTGCAGCGTGGCGTGCCCACAGTCGACTGGAACTGGTTGGAAACGTCCCGCTCGGTCATATGCATACTTCCGGACTATGCGCAAGTGGGGGGCCCACATCCGACCTCCGTATCCCGACTCGCTGTCCGCCATTCTGGCGGCACAACAGCATACACGGCATGAGCCCCTGCCAGACCGCAATAAACCACGGCGCTCAAGTGGATAGCTATGAGTCGATCACCACCTGGACGCCAAACTAGATCAGTCAAAGTCCCGCGAACCAACTTGGGGCCATATGCACTAATATATTCTTGGAACGGGAGCCTAACGCTGTATAGTCAAAGATCGTCTTTCAACAGTGAAGTGGAGCGAAATAACCAGCTGAGCGCCCACCGTTCGGAGGCGCCTGGCAGGTCCCGACCAATCGACACTATCCATTCATCCAATCCAATCACTCCACTTTCAAATCAACTGCATCCATCCAATGTAACTCGAATGAAATCGGAATCGTACCAATCGATATCGGAATGTCATGGACAATCTAATTGCATCTGTCGCAATGCATCACCTCAAGCCAAGGATAGCTCGGCTTAGCTCAAGCGCCCGTGACGGGGCGCCGGTCCCCTCCAAACATACCGTACCCCAAAGCCCTAATCTCGTCACTATCATCAATACTTATCTCGCACTTATCGACCTACCGCAATCAAATCAGAGCCCCCACCACATGCTCCTGTCCAAGCAATCGAGCCCTTGAAATCAAACTCGAATACTATGCCAATCCGTGCCCCACCCGCCAATCCCCTGTCAAACATCCACATCCCGACGTCTACGATTCATTTCAAAGTTAATGGAAGAAGTCAGGACTTGGTTGGCTGTTCTCGTCAGAAGCCCTCAAGAAATGAGTTTGTAAAACCTCCTGCGTATCGGGCATACCTATGTACCATATGTCATTGTCAGCCAAGTGACCTCCTACGGCACCCCTCCTCCGTGCCCCCAGTCTTCTTTTCGGCGCCTATAGTCAAGCTGTAACTCTGAGGGAAAAGGAATCTGTCAAGGCTCTCATCGTATTTCCGATCCTACGGGTACGTATGATGTAGGGCCAGCTGTGTGGGCGCAGGCTTTGATAACTCACCAATAAGGCCATGGTTGATCTCCTTGGGGTGTACGATTTGATCACGCAGACGCAATGCCGTAGGATAAGTATCTTGGTCATTCGAGAACAAACCCAGCGGCCTATGATCCCGCCACGGTGCCTGCCACCAAGCTGGACATCGACAATCCTAACCCACAAACTCTCCTTTCACCCACAGTGGGCACAACCGAAATGCCGTAGGATAGCCCAGGACACCTTCACCCAGCACTGCGTTTGGTGGCCCCAGAAGTTCTTTATCTCTTTGGTTTCTTGCGAGAACCTTGATCAAGATCCAGGCTGCTGCCACCGGACCTACGTTCCGAACTTTTCAGACGCACAACCCCTTCTCGACGATTCCTTGTCCGTTTCCCCAAACACAAACACTCAAATTACTCCGCAGCATGATCTTATCTCGCTTTCCTTGGCGCTTTGGCCTGCATATCCCAAGCGGTATTCCGATTCAAGGGTTAGGGGCTATTGGGGTAAACCCTAGAGAATAGGCGCCCAAACCCTTGGCTTGCCAGTTACGTCTGAAGGCTAGAAACTGCGGATTTGCTGGTACCCAAGCTCCTGGAATGCAAAGCAAAGGCTCCCCCTCGTGCTTTCAAGCCCGGAGGTTTTGGATTAGGAGACAGACAGGTGAACGGGATTGGGACCCGCGTTCGAAAGACCCCACTGTTTCTCCCGCTGGGACATCGAGTTTGCAATTAGATACGTACCCACCTCAGTGTAATTCTACGGCCGCCTTCCTCCGATCAACGAAGAGAGGGTTTTGAGACGGACTTGGGAGGGGATATCGCCTCAAGGGATAGCCCAGAGAACGGCTTGGACTTTTTTGGGGGGGGGGGGGGGAGGATCGGACAGAATCTAGAGTCCATGCAGTGGTAAGGCTTTAGCAAGGTATTCAAGAGGTTTGAGAAGTCACGACTTGTACGAACCCCTTCTCCCTCGAACATCGAACGGGTTGCTCCACGAGGAACATCGCGTACGTACTGTACGTGAGCTTGACGTGAGCGCCAATTCCGAATCAAGCAGGACTTATCCAGGTTCATTCCCAGCCAATCTGGTGAGCTCTTTGTGAGCCCTGAATCCTGCGCCACAGACAGGTAGGCCACCTAAAGTGCGTTAGCCTTCGAAAAGAAGGATTGAAGAGGGACCTGAAAATAGTTAGGCTATCTTGTTAGGATCTGGAAATGGCAATGATATGTAGCTTTGAATGTGTAAACGTCTGTTGTAATGGGGTGGCCTTGCGGCCTCTTGGGTAGAAGCCTGAGGTCGGCTTGCCAGTGTCAGGAACTGCAAAAGAGCTCTGAATGGGTCAGAATCGGGATGCTGTAATGGCGGGATGGGGTTGAGACCCTTGAGAATGTTTGTGAACTTGGAGGGAAACTGAATTCCCGTGAGAAGGCGAAGAATTTGATAAACAGAAGCCAGAGTCCGTGGAAATGAATTGGATTTGGAACATGCGATGTTAAGTATATGATGAACGGGTGATGATGATGCACAAACGAGAGCGAAAGCAAAAACAACGAAGAGAGAGATGAGATCACCGAGAACTCAAGAGAAATGTGAGATAGTGAGTATGTAAAGTTCCCCGATAAGGTCCACGAGGCGAGATCCAAAAGGCGAGGCAAATGATGGACGGGGACAAGGCGTGACCTCTAATCACTCTTGACCCTCTCGTATCCGTCTTTCGACGAACCACCACTCGACCACCCACCGAACCACCCACTACCCTTGCGCTGACCAGCGCCAGGCTTGCCAGCGGCAAAGCCCACACCATCGTCGTACCCTTCGACGTCACTCGGCACCTCAATCTCCTCGAACCTTCCGGACATGGTCCGTTCTCGTTGCCGGATATCAGAGTCTGATGATCCTCTCGAAGCAAGAAGTTGAGGAGACGCCGAAGGCATAGGTAGCGAAGAGACGCCCGCTGCCTGCGCATTCAGAGCAGCAAGTTCAGCCTCCAATTGTTTCTTGCGTTGCTCCAGAGTCGAGTCTGCTGGAGCCGGGCGTGGTGCTGCCGCGGGACGGGTTGGTGCCGCCGTAGCACCCTTGGTCAGAAGCGCAGCACCAGAAGCGATGATACTGGGCCCATAGGAAGACCACAGCGATCCAAGGAGCTGTGCGGGAGCCGAGACGACACCCCCTGCGGACGGAGGCTCCGGAGCGTCGTCGTGTTGCTGCGCTTGCGCCTGTTGACCCATCGCAACGGCGACCTGGTCCCAGAGGAGCCTGAATCGCTCCTGGAAGAACGCGTACACTCTGGCTTTTGCGGATGCGAGCGCTGCATCAATCTGAGATTCGTGCGTGTTGAAGAAGGGCTGGAGGTGGGTGATGTAAAGGTACGTCGAGCCTTTTGTTTGCGGAAGGGCGAGGTAGAGAAGGAAAAGGGTCTTCATGGTGTAGTAGAACGGAATCCTGCATTCGCAAAAGTCAAAGGCGAACTGATATTATCGATAAATCGATACGTACCATGAAATGAGCCATTCCGCAAAGTATTCAGTTGCCACGACGAAGCCCAGCACCGACCAGTACATCAGCCATCGTTCAAGGTCTTCTTCTGAAGCTGGACGTTGACTCAGAGTCTTGTACGATGCGTAACCTGGATAGAGAAATGCTGCAGTCGCGCTGGATCCAGGAAACGTCATCGTCAGCCATTTCCATCCGCCGCCACGACATAGAGAATTCGTTACCTTACGATGCGCGATGTCAGATAGAAAAGCATTGTCCTCTATCGTTCAGGGACTTTGGTCGAGCTGGCTGTGGTAGTGAATAAATGTGAAGGTGTATTGAAAGTACAGAGCTGTCCTCAATGCGCATGTGTTCCACCCTCCGCTCACAATAAACCCATTTGGTCCATTCAGTCCTCGTGGGAAGCGGACCCTAAAGTGGTTGCGAATGATCGGAAACACGTGAGCGTATAGCCACAGACGCGTCCGATCGCCAGTTCGAACCTTGACCGCGACTACATCCTTCAATTCATCGTTCATCCTTAACCAAAACCTCATCAACGGCCACGGAGTACAGATATATGGAAAAGGTACTGTGAATACTCTGTAAGAAAGTGGTAATACTCACGAGATTAACAGACTACCGAGTTCATACCTTTTGTCGGCGGTATGTGGCTTTCGAGTTTCTGACGAAACCCAAATGACGCCTCGACAGATGACGATGGCCAGAATGAATACGAATTCCCAGATTGCGAAGACTGCGAAGAACACATCCGGGGCATTCGATTCAAAGCTTACCGCAAAGCTTGGACAAAGTGCTTGGACAGAATACAAGTAGGATCAAGCCAACTCTCCAGACGAATTAGCGCTGAGGAGCACCTCAGTATATTACGCGTTCCTTACTCGATCCCATAGCGAGTCAGATTGTAGAAGAGATTGAAGATAACGACGTTCTTCCGGGACTACCCCGCGACGAACTTCCCGTTATTACAGTCACCAGTGCGTTTGCCAATATTTCCACTCTCAATCTTGAACTGACTTGGCCTTAGATCCTGTGTTCCGAGGGACGTTTCTTTACGATATTGCCGAAAGGCTCGATAATCCTGTTGTGCACCTCCACCCCTCAGACTGCCTAAATGTAGTTACTGGAATGCGGGGGATCGTCTCGGGCTTCGTTGAAGGAAATCCCGAAATCGTTAGAGGTGTGTAGCGTCCCTTCGCAGCGCAATACTCTCACGAAATAAGGCAGCAATGCATAAGACCACGACGTCTCTTGCAAACTATGACATCCAACTCTTGGCTGCTTGGTATAAGCACTACCGTTCAATTAAAGGTAATCGTTTATTTCGCTGCCATGGTACGCATTCTAACAGGATCCCTAGGTGACGAAGACACACGACTCCTCGTCGTTCTTCATGACTTCGAGGCATTCACCCCCACAGTCATGCAAGACATCTTCTACATCTACAGGTATTGGTACCTCTCCCTCCATCGTACCCTGAGCTAATCGCTTCGCCAGCCAGCATCTTGCAGACCTTCCTCTTGTCTTCATCCTGTCCATGTCTTCGCCCGTTCCATCATATCTCAATGTCGCGTATCCGAGGTCAACACTGACGCGACTACGGATACGCCAACTAACCATGCCCGGGGGAGTCTCAGTGCTCAATTCGATATTGCTAGACGTAGGTCTTTATCGGATAAGGCTTGAATATCCTCACTGATATTCTACGCAGACATTCTTTTCAGTTGACTTTCAACCGGACATTGTCATAGGGCCAATCGCTCTCCAGTTCATTGCCGATTACTACACGCGGTGGGATCCGACCCTAGACGCGTTGATCACAAATATCCAGGTCCGTAACGTTCGAATGGACGCCATGATGGGAATTGTACTTAATGCTCCTACAGCTCATCTACATGAAACACTTTATCAACGAACCCATTACAGCGCTAGCGCATTCCACACCTTCAGAAGATGATCTCGTCGGATCTGAATGGGCCAGCTTCGTCGAAGGGATCCTCACGAGACTCACGCCTATCTCCAAAAAGCTGACGGCAAAAGAAAGAGATCAACAATGGAAGGCCCTAACCACCTCGAACTTGCCGGATCTCGTGGAAACACATAGGTCACAATTCCGTCTGCGCGTTGCAAATCTGGTGCTTGCTTTCAATGTGATGAAACTCATTCAGCTATTTTTGGTGGAAGAAGGGTACAAAGGTCTAGGATGGAAACTTGATGAAGGACTCTCGGACATCTTGGTCGAGTTCTTACAAAACAATGTTGATAGGGATATCAAGGACTTGAGCCTGATCATGAGGTGAGTTTTGCCTCCGACTGGCAAGTGATAGCGAGGCATGGCTGCTGATTCACTGTTCACAGGAAGCTAGGGGTTGAACAACTTGACCGACTGCTACCACAGATCCACGAGTTTCTCTCAAGCATTGAATCTGATGAGGGGCCGATCGCTGACGCCTCATCCGCTATCCACGACCTGATCGACGCCCTTCAAAGCGAGGAAAGAGAAACTGTTCCGCAGCAGTTCAGCGAGTGGGGAACAGCTTTCTTCAAGTAAGCCCCGAGTCCTGTGGATCATATCTTCGGATCTCACTCGCAATGTAGGGCGAACATCGTAGCGTTGGAAGAGAATCCGCTATGGGAGATCTGGTACACGGGTCTTACTCCCTTCCCGTCAGAGGTAGGGTCCGATCATTCCTGTAGTTTTCGCAATTTAGTCTCACCTATGAGCAGGTGATCAACCCTTCAATCCGCGCCTCGATGTTTGCTGGCCTCCTCCGTCCCCATGACTTTACGGACTCCCCGCAAGAGGAAGACCAAGAAGAGGAAGCACTATGGAAGCTCCCTGACACGAGCATCCTTTTCAAGCGTTACCTCGACAGTGGCAAGATGATCAACGTCTACGACTGGTTCGAGTCCTTCCAAGCTGTGCTCGAAAACCAGAAAGAGGAGTTGCAGAAGGCCAGCTCGCCGAAGAAAGGCAAGTCCCCGAAGAAGCCCAGTGCGAAAGGGAAAGGCAAGCAAAAGGCCAATCAGCAACCGGAGGAGGACGCGATGGACGTGGAACAGACAGAGGAGGAGTGGAGCATGGAGGTCCAGGCCAGATTCATTCGCGCACTTCACGAGCTCGACTATCTTGGCTTTGTCAAGCATACCAAGCGAAAGGCTGACCATGTCATCCGAACGGTTTTCGATCTCAACGAGTAGGCATTTCGAGTGTCATCATCATCGTTCCATTCTTGCTTCTCTGTCTACAATACATACACTGACGCGTCATTTAACGACCCTTTCCGTTGAACTTCTGCTTGCCCTTGGTGAAGGGGTTGCTCTTAGCGCCGGTGCCCTTTGGAACGGGCTTCTTGGGGTCGTGGTAAGCAACATGGGAGGTGTACTTGGTCTTGCCGGGTTTCTTGTTGACGATTACGCGGTCGGGACCGGGGTAGGGTGCACCCTTCTTGCGCAAGGGAGCATGGTAGGACTTCCCTTTACCCTTTGTAGGATCGGCTTTGGCTTCGGATTTGCGGAAACCGGAGCCCTCCTTTGGGTATCCCTTCACCTTCTTGCCCGCTTCGACGTTCTTGAGTGCTTTCTTGGCGGCTTTGTTGACTTCGTCGCCTGTGTACTGTTGTGAAGGGTTTCGGATGAGCATATGTAGGGAGTGAGTGAAGGGACGGATACCGACCTTGGCAGACGGAGTCTTGAATGTAGCGGTCTTTGGTTGTTTGCGTAGACCGAAGCCAAACTCTGGAGGAGGAATTCCGGTTAGTCTTCAACAGTAGGGTTCTCCGAGGAGCAGGTTCACTCACTAGCTCGCGCCTCAAGTTCATCAAAGAAGTCCCTCATGACGAGGTTGAAAAGCTCGTCCTCGACCTGTCGCATCTCGAGCATGTCGTCTTCTGATGGCTCGCGCATCTCGAGATCGTCTTCCAAGGGCTCACGCATCTCGAGGAGGTCGTCTTCCAAGGGCTCGCGCATTTCGAGCAGGTCGTCATTGTCAAGGAAGTCTCGAGATGCGAGGTCGAGCTCGGAATCGAAGTCGCGTGCCTCAAGATCAACGTCCTCGAAACCACGAGCTTCCAAGGAGAGATCGAAGGAGCTGCCTTCAGGCTGGTAGAAATGGTGGTCAGTGAGACGAAAGGGATATACGACTGATTGTACGGGACGTACCATAGGAGCAGCATAGGCGGCCAAAGCCAAAAATGCGGCAAGGGAAGCAAAAGTGGTGGTCAATCGGAGCTGCATGATGGGATTATGGACGGGGAATGTAGATTGGCTTGGATGGAAGATGGGCTGTGGGCGGATGTAGACCTGCTACGACGGGAACCAGAACCAGCCGGATGAAGATGACGGACGGCGGACAGACCAGCTGTTGCTGGGGAACTTTCAAAGCCTGGGGGCCAACCTTTTATACATTTCCAAGTCGGTGTTTGGGTCGAGTTTGGTATGATTAGCATCCGATATTTCGCCATATTGTGAAGATGGTTATCCGTCCGGTGCCGTGTTGCCATTGAATGTACCCAGAGGGTCACTGGGTGCACAGCATGGGGTCGTACGAAATGAGATGCCAATCACAGCATGGACCAGGGCTACTGAGGCTGATCAGGGAATCGCTGTGCTTGGAGAAGCATCGTTTGTGATAAGGATCGACAGAAACTAGCATTTATGTGCCTTCGACGTGCGCTTGTAGGTGATATGTATCTCTTCGGCATGGACCCTGGCGACATAACTTTCACAGCTTTTCCTCGTTGTGGCCTTAGGCGTTAGGGATAGGCTGGGATAGGTCACGCGAGACACAGGATCCTTAAGGTAGCTAGCTACGTTGTATGGGGATCCTGAGCCACCCAGATGCTGAGAGTGGGGACTTAATAGGACGTGATAAAGGCAATGCCTTGGCGCGCATGATTTTCTCGTTGCCAATTCTTGCTAAATGAATCCTCGAGTAAGTACTATTGAGCGCAACATTTGCGATGATCCACTGGGCCCAGCCTGACATTGAAATAAGCGCACAAGACGACTTGACTGCCTACATTTTTACCCACCCGAGTCTTCAGTCAGGGCGACGCTTTCCACCTCAGGCATCCGAAAGAAGACTTGATTGGCAGAGGCATCAGATAACTTTGGCGCCCATATCCATCAAGATCTAATTAGCCGGCGCTTGTGAAGGTTAGGGTCTTCAGCTTAGGTTTTGCCATGTATCAGCAACTCGCCAAACTCCCATAGCCCCCAGCACTCTCCACGGTTGAAGGATACGCTGGATTTTTCAATCGCTCAGAGAACATCCCTTTCTGTGCTCGCCTCCGAAGTGGCAGATAAGAGTACTGACCGCGTTCGTACAGGCGACGAGGTAGGGCTCGAGGCTCCATCTTACACAGTAGGCGCAGTATGACGGCGGTCACTTTCCAAAAACGATATAGTGTCGTGTAAAGCACTGCGACTTCGTTGCTTCCTATCCACTGTACGTACCGTCATTGGGTACCTAAGTGGTTATCGGTTGGTCAGACCTCGGTTGACTCATCCGTAGGTTACTCACTTACATAGGGCCTTTCGGCTGCCAGTTCACAGACTAGACAGACGCGGTTCCCGGAAGTGCACATGCAAACTGCGCAAGCCCGGCCCCAATCATTTACGAGTAACTTCTCATCAAGGATGGCGGCTTCCGAGCATCGTGACATAACCCCCTCTCTTTCATCATGACATCCACCGAGAAGCCTTTCACCATCTCCATTCCCGACAGCGAGATCGAGTTTCTTCGCAAGAAACTAGAGTTAACTAGGTTCCCTGACGAACTGGAAGAGGCTGGGCGGGATTATGGTGCACCCCTGGCCGATGTTCGCAGGCTCGTCGAACGCTGGAAGAGCGGATACGACTGGCGCGCCCACGAAGCCCAGTTGAACGCAGAGTTCCCGCAGTTCACGCGGGACATTGAGGTGGAAGGACATGGGACGTTGAATATCCATTACGTACACAAGAAGAGCGAGGTGGTAGATGCAATACCGCTGGTGTTCGTCCATGGATGTGAGTAATACTGTCTGTGCTCGAGAGACTCGTAGCTGATGCATAGTGACAGGGCCAGGAAGTATAATCGAAGTTCGAAAGATCTTGCCCTTGCTTCTCGAGGCGTCCCCCGACCACCCGAGCTTCCATGTCGTTGCCTTCAGCCTGCCAGGCTACGGTTTCTCCGAAGCGCCCAAGAAGAAAGGTTTCGCGGATGCCCAGATGGCTGAAGTGGGGCATAAACTCATGCTTGCCTTGGGATACCATGAATACGGTGAGCGTCTCGCATGTTTAGCCCTGGTAATGGAAGGCTAAGCGTTATCGACCTGTCTCCATAGTGGCGCAAGGAGGAGACTGGGGAGCCACAATCTGTCGGACCATGGCTCAACTCTATGGACCGAAGCATGTAAAGGCATGGCACACAAACATGCCTTTGTGAGTATCCAGCGTACGATCTCCCAAACCCTTCTAATTCACGATGACATGAAGTGCATACCCACCCCACCCGACGAGGCGGCCATTGCTCTTGCTCCAACATCTGCTATTCAAGTACACGCCGCAAGACCAAGCACGCCTGGAGCGAACGCAATGGTACCTGGAACATGGAAACGGATATTTGAAGCAGCAATCTACCCAGCCGCAGACGTTAGGCTACAGTCTCGCCGATTCTCCCGCCGGTTTACTGGCATGGATCTACGAGAAGCTCTACCAGTGGACCGACGACTACAAGTGGACTGATGATGAAGGTCAGTGGTTCTCATCTTCTGCCATAATGTCTTCTCAATTGAACTTACTTCACATGGATTCCCACAGTTCTAACCTGGGTGTCAGTGTACTGGTTCTCTCGAGCAGGGCCAGCAGCTTCGCTCCGTCTCTACTACGAATACATGAAAGTCCATCCGATTGGCGACTGGTCAAAGACGGTCCTAGAAACGGACGTCCCAACTGGCCACTCGTACTTCCCTAAAGAAGTAATCAGCTTTCCTAGTCGGTACGTTCCTCATCCTATCGACTTGAGGTCCAGGAGTCACTCATCTCGTCACGCACTGCATGGCCAACGCCTCCATTATTGTTCGAATACGTTAGTTGGCACTCATCAGGTTTTCCAAATGTCATCTTCGAGTCGGACCATGACAAGGGAGGTCATTTTGCAGCGCACGAAGTCCCGGAAGCCCTTGTTGGCGACCTGAGGAAAATGTTTGGGAAAGGAGGGCCTGCGTTTGGAGCTGTTCCGGGCAAGACCGGGTATGCGTAGGTACGAAGGGGCCCTGCAGTACGTCTCTGGCACAAGTCCAGTGCTCGTCCCTCTATGCCAGTAATCAAGATACCACCCATGATTTCTCCAGCTACACATAATGATACAAATTTGGAATGCACGGTCAATATGCTCAGGCATTCCGCCGATTCGTTTCTTCGTCATCACGCCACTTAGGTCCGTGAAGCCAACGACTCTTGAACCGCTTCCAGGTCAAAATCGGCGATCTAGACAACACCGTCAATTTCGGTGTAGGATCGACAAGAAAAAAAGGTTGTCCTGACCTGCGAGGGATGCACCACAGTGTGAGAGCACCGCCAAAGGCCAGGGACGTGATCCATAGTCGTCTGCTCAGCTCCTCCTGTTTTGCTGCTGCGAACAGGATCACAGAGGCGCCCAAGAATATCACTCCCAAGCCCATGACCCAGATCGGAGCTTGGGAAATTTCGTGAGGCTCCTCGATAGTCACCCCCACGGTGGTCCCTGAAGGAGTGAACTGGATTCGGGGAACAGGTCTCCTTAAAGTCCCGTCCCTCAAGGCAATCTCCCCCACTTTGTTAAACAAAGCCTGGGTCAAGTGGACAATTTCGCTCGGAACGGGATATTTCGTGCCCTTCATCAATCCATCCAAGGTCTTCTGGATTTCATAGCACGTATCGACCAAGTCCGCAGTCTTGGGGTCAAACGCAAGCTCCTTGTTGAAATGATAGTGTATCTGCAGGTCCTTGAATACCCCGGCGCCCGTATTGTTAAGCGCCGAGCCGTACTGCTGTTGAGTTTCCACTCTCGTCCTCTCCAATGTTTCTTTCGTCAACTCGTGATGCACATGGGCAAAGACAAGTTTGAGGTCGGCGCGGCATTTGGATAGTTCCGAGAGGTATCGGTCGCCGACGGTAGCCTCTTTGTGGAGTTTGAGGGCGTTGACTGACCCGAAGAAAGTCCCCACGATTTCGGCCACGAGGCCCATGAAGGACAGCGTGTTACATGCGTCTGCTATCTGGCTCCTGTCGAGCTCGATGGTCGAGGTCAGGAGCTGGGATTGTACGCCAGCGATGAAGGCGCCCTGGATGATGGCATAATGTAAGAGATTGGGAAGCGACAGAAGACTAGTACTGACGATGACGATGATGTTCTTGAGGGATTCAGCGGCCAAACTGTGCTGCTCGACTCGCCGGCGAGCCTGCTCGATCCATTCGTCGAAGCGGAGGATGAGGGCTTCAGAGTCCATGATGGTGGTTTGCTGGTTCAATGTTGGGAGGGAAAACGGGGCGGCGCCAGCATGGCAGAACAGGACTGTCGTTTTTATAGAAACATTGAGCGCCTGTACAAGATACTCGTGTCATCGACCCTGTCGTCCCTGTACACAAACGATATGTTAGTACCCGTTTCCAGATGATCGATCACATTGACTTGGATTCTGTCTCCCCAAGTCATCGACAACTCCGACACACAAAGGAGGCCGTATATGAACACAAGCGCCCACATACGGCACTTTGCCACTCCCTAAAGGTTAGCTGGATGAAGTGAGAATTTGGAGACAAAAAGAAATGCCCAAGGCGAGCCTACATCGTGAACATCGAAACGACAAAACCAGATTAATTTAGCCCGCAGGTGGGTGCAGTGTGCAGCCTGTGGGTGCGAGCAATGAACTTCGAAAAGATGCCCATTTGTCTTGGACGGGACATGTGTCGATTGTGGCAGAACCTACGCGTAAATCGCACCAGGTTAAGTAAGTGCTGAGTTGGAACCTGCACAGGTTTCAACGTGAACTGTGTGTTGTTTCCATCCAGCAGCCTCAAGGAGAACAAGGCCCGACAGTGTCTATTGCCTCGGGTAAGAGCTCCGCCCACAGAGTGAGCTCTTTGATCGCACACGAGGCGTTCGTGATATGTGCTGAATCCGATTTGTTTCTTCGGGTTGAGGGTATCGATAGCCAAACAGGGTATACACGACATGATTGTCAAGGCTACCGAGCGCTATTGTTGTGACTGTGGACGAAAGGTGGACGGAGCTGCAGCTCGAAGAACTTTTTCTTCAGTATTGCCTTGTGCTTGTTAAGGGCCCTTCCTTCCAGAAAATACAGCCTCCATCGTTGCCCAGGAACCGCTTCAATTGTGAACGTTGGCGCCTAAAGTACATTGCACAGCAACTTGGACACTGTCAGGGTTCCAACTTCCCAATATTTCATGAACCACGCACCTCATTCAGGCAACTAATGTTTCTCCTTGCTGTCCTTTGTCAACAGCTTCTGGTTCACAGCTACAAAGTGGTAGCCAACCACCGTGACCATGGAGAGCACACCGAGTGTGTTGGCGAGGCTGTAGAGCGTGTTGGCCGAGATCATCCCTACGTTATAAACGTTCAGCATCGTCTAAGGTGGATTTAATACCATACCTTTTTGTATTGAGACAGGACGAAGATAATGGTTTGAGTCTAAGCGGTTCGCGCGCGGATATTGGACCCAGGGGCGTGTCGCTGACGATTGTTTGTTCCTTGTTTGTGCACACCCGGACGGGAACGGATTCGGCGTTGCGGCTGGGCGTTGGCAGTCCTCTCACCTTCCCCTTCACTCTTTTTTACACTCTAAGTCGCCCACTAATCTCACAATGAGGCCCACCGCTGCACGATTCAGTGACATGCCCGGACGTACGTCGTTATTCTCCCTGAATTATAGACGCGTTGTGCTGAATAAATTGTGACAGCCAAGGTCTACGTGAGTAAAATAACAAGAGAACCAATTCGAAACGAGGTATTGAACAGAATCCTGTAGAACTTGTGGTGGGGTGACAAGACCGGCACTCTCAGGCAAAAGGGCATTACCACCTACAGTGCGTCGTCTCCAAATTCTAGGTCCAGACAGCGACGAACTAAAAATCTCAACAGCCATCTCGCCATACCAGACCAAGACCGCTCCCCACTGGGCACGAAACTACCTCTTCAACTTCTACCGACGAATTGGAGGAGAGCTCTTGTTCTTTGGCATTCCTTTCGCTCTTGGTGCGTCCTTACTTTCGTCTTGGGCGCCCCCAGGCCACCTCATTGTCATAACGTTTTTGCAGGCTACGCCACCTACGCATGGGCAAAGAAGCACGACGCGTACATGAACAGCAAAGCTGGCCACATCGCCCACGGTTCTCACGAAGAGTAAACAGTTTGCTCTGGAGCCATAGATTCAACCCTACCCGTGCTATAGAGATTAAGGCGAATTTCATTTCATTTTTTGGATTCTCGGATCCGTCTCCTTTTCTGGCCAGCAAAGCACCATTACAGGAAAGATTTCTACGGCAAATTCACACCAGCTACAAGCTCTAAGGGACAGCAATGGGTCCGGTATACGCATGGATGGTCTGGTCAGCGCATCCCGCCGGGGTCTGGTACCCATAGGGTCCAAGGTTGATGTACACCAACTTGTTACCCTGGGCGTCCGGGCAAACAAGCCAGGCCTATCCATTCCGCAAATGAACAAGTCAGCAACGCTCAACCAATTCACCAAAAAATCGACACTCGACAACTCACGTTGCTCTGCGGCCTGCTAACCGAAGGGCTGCTCCACTCCAAAGTATCCCCACTCCAGACAAATCTCCCATTCGTCGCCTGGGTAGTCTCCCAAGTGACCTTGAGTTTATTCATACTCGAATCCGTTCTCGGCTCAACATGTGCGTAGAGCACCGAGCCGTCTGGGACGTTTTGGATGAGCTGGCCGTTTTCGAGACGGAAGAGGGCGGCCTCGGTGTATTCGCCTAGGACAGCATCAGAAGCTCTCCCTCGCACTTGAGAGCGCAGGTATTTGCGGAAGTTAGGGGCTGACTATAGCCTCAAGCTTAGATGGCAATAAGGGGTTGGTGTCTGGAAGGGACGTACGACTGCTCGAATGAACGAGTGTCCTGGAATCAAGGTCGGTGTTGCGTCAGGTGCGGGTACAGGTGCGGATGGAGTGGGTCCAGTTGGCGGCTGAGTGACCGGTGGTTGCGTGACTGGCGGGGCGACAGTAGTTGGAGCAGCACCCGGAAGGCATTGAGAGTACCATTGATTGGAGACGGTACACGTATAGCCTGAGGTACATTCAGTCGGGCCTGACCATCCTTGACCACCGCACTATGAAGCAGGTTAGCACTGCTCTGTAGCTTTGAGGAGAAATCACACCTGTCCATAAGGTCCAGCGGTAGCTTGTCCGTTCACCAAAGCAGCGCACAAGGTAACTGCGATAATCGAAGCTTTCAACATCTTCACTGAGACGTCGAACAGAACGATGCGCAATGTTTCAACCTTTCTTACACTTCAAGTCCAGATCTTTTAAAGCCCTCCTGCAGCGCCGAGCAAATGGCCTTTCCTCGGTACTGGCTTGGGGCACATTCCAAGTTTCTTGACATTGCTGGATACACCTCGGAATTACATCTCCTTCGCATGTGTGGTGCGATTTCGGGTAGGGTCATCGGACGAACGGGAGAGATGCCTCATGACAATCCCTTGGGAACGAGCGGTGAACCAACGGAGACAAGGAAGATGAATGTAATTTTAGAACGGATCAAGAAGCCTGTGGTCGTCCAGTGTGGGTATGATTAATGGTTAGGGATAGAGTACTGGTCAATGTGCGAGGTGTTGTACAGTATTTTGGAAAGCGAAATGAGCAAGGGGCCTGACAGCAAGGATTTCCAAACGACAATGGCGTCAAGCGAGTTACGACATGAGAGTCTCTTTTTGGTCAGCACTGGGGGTCGACTCGGGAGTCGAGGAGTCGGTCCCAACAAGCACGAGTGACCCCTCAGACTTCTCAGAGGGACAAGAGTGCGACGACGGAGAATGGCCGTCTTTCGTCATCGAAACGAAGCAGCCAACGCAAGGGACCGTCTGTTCCAGGACAAAGACCTTGACCTCGGTTAGCCATGCATAGAATCCGTCAGACCTCCCTCTTTGCTGTGCGAGGAATGCCAGACGGAGAAGGAAGAATATTGAGATGATAAAGATGGTGCATGCAGCTGCAACACCGGCCAAGGCGATGAGAGTGGGGATCAGAATGAAAGCTGTGGTAGAGTTCCAGGTTAACGTGAGACGCCGGTTGCTGCGAGAAAGTCGCCTCTTACTGAATCCAATGACTGTCGCCGCTGAAGCAGCCGCTGCCCCCAATAGTGCAAAAGCGACGTAGGCGATCACAGCCAGAATCGACGAAACCCTATTCTTAGAGTCAGTCCAACACATTACCCCAGAGACCCAAAGGCGAACTGACGCGTATGTGACAAGTGGTAAAGACGCAACCACTGAGAAGCATGTAAAGAAAACCTGGTGACGAGCAGGGAAGGAAATTGAGTCCTCGGAGCAGAAATTCTGATAGAATGTTACCCCACACATACCGTTCGGATAGGCTTCTCCTGCAAGGATTCAAGGGCGAATAGGGCCACCGGTTGGATGTACTTCTGGGACACTTCTTCTAGACTGTCGTCGGCGTGGTCATACGTTCAAGTTGTACAGTGATTCGAAGTCAATTGATTGTTCGATGTCCAAACCAATGACACAGAACCACGACCAGCTGACTGACCTTCCACCATAGTGCTGGACGGACGAAATGCTTTCTTTGAACTGTGCAATGAGATCTTCCACACGCCTTGGGCGTTTCTCTTCTGGGTCGTGTAGTGTGGCGCCCATATCGTTGTTGTCAGCGGAGATGGAAAAGTGAAGGCAACCGTGGTCGTCGTGGACGCCTGTGCTCGCGATCGCGGTGATGCCTCGAGGAACGTCATTTGGCGCACGTGATCCAGATTATATCAGCCAGATCCGCTTAAGCGCCCAAGGTCTCGAAAAGAGCGCTCACGATCGACCTGCCACCTGGGACGCATCCGATCACCCTGGAACGAGAGGCGCATGCAATTGATTTCCGGACTGGCTGGAGTCTTGGAAGCGGCCGTTGAAGCTGGGAAGTGAATGATTGACATGGGATACCTCAGGCTGGCCATCACGAGCCCCTTCAACAACAGCGCAAATTCGAGGTTTCGGGCTCAGTTCACTGCTCCCGACGCGCATAATAAACTTCGTGGACAACTCCATCGGCTCCAAGAGTAAGTCATCGCTCGCCAAAAATAGACATACAACGCTCAAGTCCCATGGTACCACCTGACAATCCCGGCTTTTGATCCACGTTCGAAGAAGTTTCCCGCAAGCGAACACACGGGGAAGAAGTCTAAAAGGGGAGATGAGCCTGCCCAATTGGCTCGAAATTCCTGATAGTAGACTCGCACCCCTTCTACCCCGTGAAAGGCGATCGTCTCTCTCCGGCAGTATTGAAACCCCGGATCCTTCGATTCGCGCTGCCGAGTCAGAAGGTCCAGCTGAAAGACCTGCAAACCCAACAAAAGTAATCGATAGATTCACTGGATCAAATTCGACGTTCCTTCCTGTCTTTCGTTTCAATTGGCAGAGAAGCGCAGGATACGAGGTCATTTTGGCGCTATACGGCGTTAGCAGCTTTGGCAATCGGCCATGTTTCTGTAAAAGGCCTAGGTTTGATATTGGTATTGACACCACATCGGATGAGCAGTTCGCGGAAGTCTATTATCTCAGCTGTTGCATTGATGAGGCGCCGGAGAAGTGATACAACGATAGCACCCAAATACATATATAAAAGGCGAGGATGTCGCTCTTTGGAGACTCAGTTTCAAACCATTTCAAACCAAACGAAGTTTACTGCTCCTCACTCACAACCCGAACAAACACAATGGTCTTCGCATCCCGCAACATGGTGAGAAGACAGCTATCCCTGTACTGACCGACTCCTGGGACTCATGCTAATGCAATGAAATTGTAGCTTTTCGCTCTCGCCATGTTGGCCTCTTCGATCAGCGGCTCTATGGCCCAGGCGCCCTTGGATTCCACCTGTCTCGCCACTGGAATCAACGGTTCCAAGGGTTGCGAGCCCTTTATCGACGGTTTCTGCGACTACGCTGCCAGCGGAAAGGTATCGCTGCCTACTCGCATAATACACTCCTGTGCACTGACATTGCTAAATTATATAACAGTTCAGGCGAAGGGACAACGTCGCTCGTTGCTACAATAACGGCGCAGCCAAGTGTAGGCATTGCTTTTTTTTTTTACAAAGCCAGCGTCGGCTTATGGTCCCTTCTTCCAGGCGATCTTACCGTTTGGGCTCGGGACCTAGCTATAGGTGGCCCCATCGGACGAAAAGCATTAGTCGATATTTGATCAATAGATGGTCTTATTTGAGCAATACGTGCTTGTTTGCGCAATAGACCTTGTCTGAGCAGCAAGATGTTATTTTGGGATATTATCCTATTTGAACAATAGGCTTATTTGCACAATAGACATTAGTCAACAGTAGACGTTATTTGAGAATGTTACTTTTATTTCAGCATAGCCTTCGCTGTTTGAACAGTGTCATACTGAGGCTCCGAAACGATCGGATGGCCCGTGTAACTTATTAGGACGTGGTACGGGTGCATGGAGGTGTCGCGCATGTCAAGAAATCAAGGAACCAAAGGAATTATGTCTTTTCTCTATGTTTTCTCTCTATGCTTTCTTTGCCAGACTAAATTAAGCGCCGGGGCCCTGGACCGGGGAAAATTTGACAGCGACCAGTCGGATTGTGGCACGACCGAGTGGTTCGCCAGGAGTCCGAGTGCCTCAGTTCACTCACCCAATCCAAAAGGTGTTTAATCGCTCCTCTACCGTCTGTAGAGTTCCGTGTCACACCAGGTGGCAGCACCTTTGGTTTCCTCGTGGTCTTCGAACTTGTCGCCTGTCGTTACTAAACCAACCTCCCTTTGGAAGGGTTGGCAGATTTAAGGTCCAGTATACGGACGTCGGAGATCGTGATGACACCGACAACTTTGGAGTAGAAAGTGGACACACATAGCGGCCTTGGACCTTGGATTCTCTTCTGAAGCAGCATATTCCTCACATCGTTGGGATGACCTGGAAGAGACCTCTCACCTGAAGTGTTTTTTCCACTTACCCAGCTGGTACCAGATGCCCTGTCGCAAAGAACTATGGGTGCTTCACCTATTTGGATCCATCACCCTTGCAGACTTCACCCTGAGCGGCGAGCGCCCGTCGGACTTGGAACCCTTCCCTTCCATTTCGCTTGGCGCTCGTGTCCCGGCATCGCGGCAGTCGCTTTAGGGCAGGGCAGGGGCAGGCTACACGGTCTACCACCTCGGACGAGAGATACAAAATTAAGCTCTACTTCTCGGACATGGTGTCTTTTTGAGATGAGATGTATCACACAGGTAAGCCCTAACCATCAAATAAGCCTATTGATGAAATAAGATGTCTTCGCAAAATAAGGTGTAATGCACTCCCCGACGTATTGTCGAAACAAGACAACCTAATGCTCAAATAAGGCGTAATGATTTTTGTCCGGTGCGGTCCCCCATACCTAGCCGCTGCTGGGACTGGGAGTCCGAGTGCAGCCAACTGCAAGAAAGCGTTGAGAGCTGTTATCGCAGACTGCCAAAAGGTTGGACACTGCCCACGGTATTCCTTTAATCGCGAGGGCTCATTCTCTCACTTTAGGGCGGTCAAGGACAATACCGAGGTGCCCCCTTCCAGTTCTCCATTAACCCCAATGCGGGAGAATGTGGTGGATATGGCTCCAGCAGGGTGGCACCCACCACTGCCTGAATTCCGATTCGGGCTTCCAACTCTGTTGTTCCCGTAAGAATCTTAGAATGTACATACCTAGCGTCATCATCCTCGATTATCGCACTTTCATGAATACAAGGTATACTTTGCTTGCGATCGGTTTTTAAGGGACTTTGTTGGTTCACCGAAAAAACGCGTCGCGCTCCAAGAGCCCAAGAAAACGCGTCTGTCCTTGTACAGCTTTGGTCTAAAAACGGACAAAAACCACCGCATGGTGATGTCAAACGTCAGACTGCGCCACGCTTCGGGTTGGAAGTCAGAGCACGTCGCGATCGCCTACACTCTTGTTCTTTTCAAAAATGTCTACAACGAGGCGCCCAAGAAGAGCTTCCAGTGCCAGTCTGCTGGAAACCGGTAATTTACCTTCGGACTACCAAGTGGGCTTCATGGGATCTATGAACGTTTCAAGTTGCCATGGAGAAATCCAGTCACTTCTCACAAGTGAACGTCGTCTTACCGAGTCTTATGTCACTATAAGGGTACAACATTCATGAACCCACTAAAAAGGTTTTTCTTCCTTTTTTTTATGACTACGAAGAAACGGTAACTGAAGCTCAACAGCAATATGTCAGGAAGACAGCGCCCGAGGCGGTTTTGAAGAAGCGGAACAACGTCGCTACCGGGTTTCAAGTGAAACTGGTTGGTAGTCAAGCTGCCAACAATAGAGCGACTCGGATATGCAACTGTCTGTCTCTACTGCTCAGCATGCCTAGAGTATAAAATGAATGTGTGACAGAGGTTCGTCTTCAAGCAGCAGACTGGTTCTTTCCAGGTAAGTAGAGCAAGAGTTCCAACCGGCGTCGAGTCTCAACGACTGACGAGCTGGAATATCAGTTGCACCTTAGAGTTTTTACGACGCCACACTGTCCTTCTCGGCCATGGCCGCGACTTACGACCCTCACGAGCCCTGGAGACTTCCCATCGACCCTCATGAATGGCACTCAGCATACACAGTCCCCCATCTGACGGTGGCGACCGTCTTCCCCTCCCCAATCAGCGATGGATTCTTTGGCCCACCCGCGAACACCCTTCGAGAGGACGCTCTGAGGCCATACAGGCAACGAACGAGCCCCGCTTACCACTGTATAGTCGCTGTTCGCGACCACAGGCGGAGCTGCGCGGCGGCCAAAATTCCTCGCGAAATATGGCTCCATATCTTCAATCTCAGTCTGGGATCTTATCGCGGTGAAGGCGATGAACGTTTTCGACCATCTATCCACTCGACGCCTCTGAAACTTGTTCATCTCACGAGGGGCCTCAGAGCCGTCGCCCTCGGAGCACCTGAGCTCTGGTCCACCATTTGCATCGCCCCAAATCGACATGGCTCGTTTCCTGACCTGCGAATCGTTCGTACTTGGCTGAAGTGGGCTCAAACGCGGCCGTTGACCATCCTCTTCGACCCCGGCCATGATCTGTGGACATTGGGTAGGAACGAAACACCCATTCCAAGGCTCTTCAACGAACTGGCGCGGTACATGACTCAATGGGATACCGTCAAATTTTGGACCCCTTGGACGAAATACTTCCAAGCCATGAATGCCCCGCCTCAACTTCGGTCACTCATCGTGGAAGGTCCTGATGTCGATCTCTACTCTGTGACTCCCTTCATCTCCAACTTTGTGCGAACAGCAAAATCTTTGAAGAGCTTCGAGTGGTTAGATAGGATCGGCAGGGAGCGCCGGCACGTTCCTGGGTTCTTGCAGCAGTTCCCCTTTGCCTCGACTAGGATCACTCGACTGGACTTGATGAACACCCTGGATGTGACGGAGTTCCTTCAAGTGATGTCTCGAATGCCGCTGTTGAAGGAATGCACCATCCAGAACCTCCTCTTGTCGCCTACACCTACACAGCCGATCCCTCTGATCCACTTGCCGGAGCTACGGACACTGAAGCTGAACGTCGACATGGATTACTTTAACAGTAGGGAGGAGAACGGACCTGTGCTGACGACTGCCTTGTCATATCTAGTCGCCCCTGCCTTGAGGAGCCTGTCGTTGGGCTACGACGAGGAATGGGACCAATACAGGTTCGAGACCTTCCTCCAGCAATCGCGCTGTGCGCTTCACAAATTGCACTTCAACGTCGTGTGCATCACGGAAGGTGAACTGTTGAGGACCTTCCAACTTCTTACCAAGACGACCCGGTTGGAGGAGTTGACCCTCAACACAGGATCCGAGGATGAATCGCCTTTGACAGTGAACATCATTCGAGGCATGATACCAAACCCTACATATTACCTCTTACCCACCCTCCGATCCATCACCGTCAACGGTTCAACCCTCAAGCATTCCAAAGGGGACTTTGCGCAGATGGTCCACGCTCGGGCGTATGTTCGCCACGGGCAAATGCGTAGCATCCATATCGCGCAGCCATTCAAGAAGAGAAAATTGAAGGATTTGGAGCCGCTTCAGCGCCTTCCTGGGTTGTGGGTGACCCTAGAGAAGGACTGATTAATCTTCCTCTCGACATCGAATTCATACCTAGATTTCATCACGGACCTTGCTATACCAGACATAATTTCTTGGACACTTGCCTCGGACAGTATACCCGCTTACGCCCTGCCAACATTCCCTTGTAGCATAGCCAATGGCTCCCCACTCTCTCTAGGAATTCAATTGTTGTATATTAGCCATGGACAGACATTTGCCTACCACACCCGTTATCGCATTGTATCAACTACGAATAGACTCTCCCTTGGAACAACCTGATGGCCTGTGGGCTTCTCTCTTTGATTGGGTATTACCGCCAGTCCTTCGAAACTAACCGGCCGTAGGGGAAAGTGAAATTGAACAAAACGCTCTCCTTCGACGAGATAGGAAGCAGTTCCTCGGGCGTAACCACGAGTATTTGCGCCCGCTCCTTCCATGATTCAAACTTCTCCTCTTCCCTCTTCAGATCCGGTCCAAGAGTTACAGGGCGTTCAACATTAGTGCAGAAGCTGAGGTGAATCTGGTTACAGGTCGAGAATCGACGTATGAACGCCGCCAGGCATTTATCGATGGCATCCCAAGTATGGATATCCATGGCGCGGTGACTAACAGGACGCACCATCAGGCACGCCGGGTCGTCCCAGTTGTCTATGCGGTGGTATCTACTGGTTTCCAGTTCGAGTGATTGAAGCGGTGCCCTGTCATCTAAAGTGCACAGTTGGTTTAACACGGGGAGGACAGCTTGACTCTGGGTAGGAAAGACTTTGATTGCTCGGATGACAATGCATGTCAGGTTCTTCAACGGATTCAAGTCCAGTGACTGTAGTCCTAGAGGAATTTCAAGAAGCATCAGTAAAACTTTCGCGCGAAGGTAGTAGCTGGATCACATACCTCTGCCATAGACGAAATTAATGGTAAGTTTCCGAATGGATGTCCCAGAAACACTTAAGGCGCGGTTTACGTCCTGGATATCGGCCAGATGCGTCAGAAACCTGTATATACTCATGTCTTCGACCCTCGCAAAAATCCTAGGGTCTATGAGCATGAGACTGGCTAGAAATCGTCCATATCGTGGTCCAAATGTCAGGGATTTGGGCTGACATATGGACACCTGTTCAGTGGTAGGGCGGGCGGCCATGAAAGCGTCCAAGTCGCTGGAGCGAAAAGCAGATATCCCTCCGGAGAGCGAGAGTCGTTTAATTGATGGTCCCGTCAGGAGGAGTGATGGTGGGATGTCGCGCATCTCGGTGATGCTGAGCGACTGCAATCTCGCCTGCGACATCCCCATGCACAGATCTTCGATCCAACGTCGCACAGGGACCGGAAAGGCCAGCCAGGTCGCATCATACGACCCCAGTGACAGATCTGTAAGGTTGGGAAAGTGGAGGCCAGCCAATCCGTTGAGTGGACATCGTTCAAGCTGGTCGTCTGCGTCGCCGTTCGTGATTGTGTCCGACGACTCGTTGATGATGGGTGACACTGTGAGTGTGCGCACATAACCACAGAGTCGTTCTGGGTTGGCCTTGAGAACGGGAATGATGACTTGAACGCGTCTGTTGGGGTTGTTGCTCCCTCCTACCCTCTGGAGTGATATATCCCTGAAGAGTATGGACTGGGAAAGCCTGCGCAACCCCGGGGAAACCAAGCTGCAGTTGGCCAGCGCTTTCCTGTTGGCCTTGGATTGGGTCGCCGCAAAGTCTTCAACAATTAATTCAAGAATTTCGAAGGGGATTTCCATAACTTTGAGGTGAAGATGATCGTCCGGGAGCAACGTGTCCACACAGGGGCTGGAGTCGAGGCCAAGCCGAAGCCGAGGCCGATCGGCGTGATCGAATTTGATCCGTGAGATGCCGGTTCCGTCACCGTTCGACCCAAAAGGTCAGGGGTGGACGGCGTGTTGTCACCGTCACCCCCAACTTTGTCTGCTCGTCGCGACCTGACCTAGTCTCGAGCTCAACGTTGTCTGCGTCGACGACCACCGCCAGTCCACTCAATGTCGCTACCAAACAAGCTCACCTCCGAACGCAACCAGAAAGCCCTTCTGGAATTATGTACGAAGCCAGGAAACGGTAAGTAAGGGTCTTTGCTGTTCAATAGCGAACAAGGCTGATTGATCTCGATTTCTGTTATGCTTTACTAGATATCTGCGCGGACTGCAAAGCTAGAAACCCAAGATGGACGTCTTGGAACCTTGGAATATTCATCTGGTGCGTGATTGTGTTGCAGTCGACGCCAGGCCTGCTGGAAATTAACCGGGATTGTAGCGTCACCTGCGCTAGCATTCACAGAAAGATTGGTACTCATATCACCAAAGTGTGAGTAGCTTATAGACTGGGCCTAGATGATCCCTGACCCGAACTTGCAGAAAGAGTGTTACAATGGATATGTGGACAAACGAACAGGTCGAAGTAAGCCTGCAATTCCTTCTGACACCACATGTCCCGTCTAATTTCAACCTTAGAACATGAGGAACATGGGTAATATTAAATCCAATGCTATCTTCAATCCCAATGAAGTCCGTCACCCACCGCCTCCCGACCTCGAAGACTCTTCTCGAGATAGCGAACTGGAGAAATACATTCGTGGTACGTGTGCCTTCGCAGTTTCTTCGGAAGACTCAACTAATTTATCATTCAGCCAAATACGAATATAGAAAATACGTCGACAAGACTGCCTTTGTAGCTTCAAAACTGGGTCCTTCTCGATCTGCATCATCTATCACACCTAGGTCCGCGTCGACCCCAATACGGGCATCGACTCTTCCAGCCTCCTCTTCCTCAACTACGAGCTCTCAGCCAAAAGCGTCGAATCCTCCGCCTCCTCCCCTCCCGTCATCATCGCAGCCTTCGACAAACCGGCCTCAGCAGACGCGGTCGGTATCGCAGCCCCTCGTTTCCCAACAAGCTGCAAAGCCAGCAGCGCCTCCCCAACCGCAGAAACCTCAAGGAGGAGTTTGGGATGACCTCATTCAACTACAGGACTCGAAACCAACTCCAACACTCCCACTTCAATACTCCAATGGCTTATCAACCCCTGGCGCGGGCATGTCAATTGCGATGAACCCAACGGGGATGGGTTTCCAACAACAACCTCTATCAGCATTCGCCACCGGCCAATTCACACCCTCCACGCAGCTAACTCCCAGTTTCCAACCCCAGCAACAATCATACGGCCAACAGTTGTTCGCGAACCAGCCAACCGTCCAAACCCCGGGTGGCATGTCTTCCCCCATATTCCATCCGCAGCCTCAAGCTGGAGGTCTGCCCCAACAGCAATCGTCCTTCCTCTCCCCATCGCCATCCATAATGTCCGCACCCGTTACCCAAACGCAGTTTATGACCCCAAGCCCGAGCCAACAACTCCTCTCGCATAGCCCTCAGATCCAGACAAATGGGGTTGGGGGATTCATGACGCCGAGTCCTCAACTCCAAATGGGAGGAGGTTTCAGCGGTGGTGGTGCGATGAATGGCTTGAGTCACTCCCCCGCGCCGATGATGAGCATGACGCCAACTGGTATGCCCATGCAGAACCAGTTCGGAGGGTCTATGATGCAACAGCAGCAACCGTTGCAACAGCAGGGGACTTCCTTACAGGCGTTTTCGCAGAGTATGATGTCCCCGGCGCAGTTTTCGGCTGGGATGATGAACGGCGGTCAGGGAGGGTTTGGGAATTCCTTCGGAATGCCTCAACAACAGCAGCAGCAATGGGGAACATTTTGACGACTCCCCATAGTTGCAGCGGTTACTTGCGTCCCAAGATTACAAACGACGGCCATGCTCTCCTAGGACCTGTTCCATCTAGTTATTCCTTGCTATGGTATGCTTTCTGTTCGTTGCTCAGGGTTGTTGATCTGGATCTTTTGCGTTGGATCAAGGATGTATCGTAATTATTTGGGTAATAACGATTGACTGACTTAGATACCTGATGAAAATGGCTACCAATCGTCAAGACGAAGAACAAAACTTGAAGCGAGACTACACCAAATCGCTGGGCAACGTGACACACTCCCCTCCGTTGATTCGCCCAGACTTGGCTTGACATAACGTTCGTTGACGAACGAGCTCCTCGATTGCGTCTTCGTCCAGAGACCCGTCGCTACGATCACGAGCATGGTCGCCGCCCTCGCCCATTACACCGAGAACCTGGATAACAGATTGTCGAGCAACGTTGAGAGCCGCTGCTAGGATATCCGACCGTCTCACTCGAGGGCCCCATATACTCTCCTTATACGCATCCACGAGACGAACTTGTTCAAGCTGGAAGGCTGGTGCATTGCCTGAGTGTGTGAGGCGTTTCGTCACGCGTCTGCATAATAGATACCCACTGCAATTCAGTACTTACCCGCTAGTAACACCCCAGAAGCGACCATGGTCGGACTAACATGCGTCGCTTGACCTATGTAGACCCTCCTCGTCGAAGGCGTTATCGGGAGACCAACAGCCTTCGGCCAGTTGGATAGCTCAATGTGAGTGAGCTTGAGTTCTTGGAGGTTGGTGAAACCGTGGAGGGCTTGGAAGAGGTGTGGGACTGCTTGAGCCACGATCTACATATGTAGTTTCAGATGAGCTGGAACATTGCCATACTAGACAGGTTAAATGATAAGCGCTCACAGCGATAGAGAAATGGTGAGGCGGGTCGGGCCCTGTCCATATGAACTTGGTGGGGCTGCAGAGGAAGGGTATTAGTAAGTACAACGTACAGGCATGCTGGAACCCGACGCGAGCAGGCGATAGACGCACTTGACGAGTCCCAATGCCAGCCTAATCATCTCCAAGTTCCCATCCCTCGTATGCGAGTAACACTTGAGATGTAAGGCGTCTAGTTCGAGCTTTGGATGAACTTGAAGCACCTGCGGGCTCTCCCCCCCATCATCGCCCGGGTTTAGCCTGAGGTACATGAGGAATAGGCTATGCATCTTGAAGAACAGCTGTGCCTTGACATCGTTAATAAAGCTGAACTCGACCGTACGCGGTCGGTAGGGAATGGGCCGTGTCCAAGACTGTCTGGTCGAAGACGATGATATCGACGAGGTGGACCCCATCTCTCCAACGTTCTGATCACCCGCAAACGTATATAGAAACCTATCCAACTGCGTTAAAGAGTAAAAGCCCAGCCGTGTATAGAGTTGTTTCGTCCCTATATCGTTGAAGGTAGAACATGTCTGGAGGATCGAGGCGGGAGAAGGGTGCAGCGGAAGCGCGAAAGAGATGATGTCTTCCAGGATTTCTGACGGAAGGTGGTTGATTGACATTGTCAATGCCCTACGGCGTCAAATATGTTGACCTGGTAATGGTGAGTTACAGGGAGACACCGAGTTACGAAGCTGAGACAATCATTGGTCAACGTGCCTGCCCTAAAGCAATTAGGCGCGCGCGTAATCCCAGTCTGAGTTAATGAATAGGGGAGCCCTTTCGATCTACCACGATAACCCGGAAATTGGGTGGATATTTATACAAGGGTCAAGGACACATGGTGGCCTCGTTCGTCAACGAAGAAAACCAGGAGCGCGCAGCTCACCGTACAGGCACAGTGGCCTTGCACTTGCTAGCGAGGAAGCGCCAGCCTCCCGCTCACCTTTACCGACGCCACTTCGGGTCTTCTTCATCTTCAACGTACACGGCAAGGTCAATTACAAGAACTTTTTGTTATGACTCTATCCGTAAGCAAATAGGAGCATAAACGACATATACATGCAACAACACCGTCAATGACGAGTCTAGCCAAGTATTATTAGTACACACGAGGAGCACGATTAACTACTATAAGTAACAGCCAGGCCGAAGTCTTTGATATACATTAGATGGATGATGCATTTTCCGCACTTGGGACGTCTATGTGTAAAAAGGATTGCAAAGCATCGAAGCACTCTACCGCTGCTTAGAGGAGGTCAGAATTTGTATCATGAAGGCACATAGTTCATGGAATCCCGATCGTCTGCCCACAACCTCGCCCACTCGAGGCATAGCCTGTAAACGTACACTAAAACCGTCTCGTATCAGCACCGACGGAGAGGCAGGTAGTCAAATGAAATAAATCACCTTCCATGTCCAGCGTCCGTCCCATGGTCCGCTTCCATTCCTTACCAGCCTGCGCGATCTTCCTAGCTCTCTCGTCTTCTGGCCACATGCCAGCCCGTTCCTCCGGAGAGAACAGCGCTAGACTCGAGTTGACGCGGTTTAGCATCGACTGCGTCGGCCCGTTGAAAAAGGCGTAGATGTTGTAGATCTCCTTGTAGGTCGCAGATAGCGGAACAAAGTGAAGCCTAGGAGGAAAACCGAAGTGAATTAGCATTAGCATGGATGGACGAACGGAAGTCAAACCACCCGCATGACGTACCAGGGCTGGATCCAGTCGGAGAAGAACTCGGTGTAGACGGTGGCTTTGATTGGTACACTGTCGCTGGCGAGGAAGGCCATGAACCTGCCACTATAGCTCATCCCATCGAGATCGACGAGGTACTTGTACGACCAATGTTCGCCTAGTGGAACTGGCTCTGCGAACCGGTGATCCTTCATCAAAGCCTTCAAGCCACCCGGGTACAGCCCTGACACCTTGACAAAGGCGGCGTCCATAATCTCTTCGTTAAGCGTAGAGATTGGGACTGTGACGGTGGCGAGGGAAGTGCTGTTCGGCGGATGAGGGAAAGTAACGGTGCGAGGGGTGTCGGAAGTGTCAGAAGTCATGCGAAGGAACCTAAAGGGTCGTGAGCCAGGCGGTCTTTTCCTCCTAGCGTACGAATGACGACGTACCTGTGTCGATGGTATTGAGGCGAGAAGCCAGGCGGATGGCTTCCCCCGCCTGTAGTCGCACCTCTCCAGAAGATCTTGTTAATCTTCTCCTCCCATGGTTTCTCCATCTTATCAACGGGAAGCAGGACCTCTCGCTCTGCATCCCAGCCATACGTGTACCCCTTCGTACTTCCGTAGTAATAATGGCTAGGAATCCTAATATCCATGAACCCCTTCGTCCTCGCGGGGCTGAACACAGGATACAGCACCGGAATCGATCTCCAATCCGTAAAGAAGTGTCCTTGAGTGTAATGCGAATGCGGGTGTTCGCAAAAGTCCAGATAAGCAGAGGTGCCTTCGGCAAACTCAAAGTCGGCATTAGTAGAGACGTTGGCTCGAGAAACCTTCTTCGCAAATGGGTCGCGCACTGATGCGTAGAGGCGACGAGCTGGCGAATCCGGAGAGCATGTTCGACGCCAGGCTTCCCAGACGTTTTCATCCCCCCGCCAATCTGCTTGGAAGGGTCCCCCGAGCATTTCTTCGACGCCGCCTGAGGAATCTTGTCGTGTGAGGTTCGGGTACTGCTGGTGTTCCCAAGGAATAAGGACCCGTCCTTCTGCTTTTGCGTTGATAGGGAAATCCAAGTCCGGAAGCTGACCCATGGTTAGAGTATTTACCTCAAGAAGCGCTATCATTACTCACCGTATCCGCGAACTTGCCCATCATCGAGCGGAACCCTCGAGCACGGGCGCTAACTTCAGAATCCTGGAAGCCCTTCTGCACATTCTCGACTGTGATGTGCCCATTTCTGACACGGACAAGGTCAATAGACGGTAGTTGGCCAACCTAGTATGCTAATGAGCGCCGTCATCGTCCAAGACAGAGGGGCGGAGAACGTACCTGAGCGACTCGCCGACGAATCTCCTCACCTGGCAACTCATAGAACGGAGCCAGGTCCTCCATCAAGATATCGTACTCGTCGACCATCTTCACGTCAAACCGCTGAGCAAATTCCCACCACTTGTCGAAATTCTTGGGCGGCTCGCGTTGATAACGTCGTCTGTACTCATCAACAGCTTCAGACAACGTTTTGCTCTGCCTTGCCAACTTTTCGTTAAACTTGCGCTCTGCCTCGTCCATTAGCTGTGGTATTGGATGGGAGTACTGTTTTCCTTTCGTTTTGTGCGATTTGAACCATGACCGCTTGTCGCTCGTCGTTGAGGGTGGTTGCTGGAGGTCGTCGAGGTCGTTGAATGGTCGTTGCCGAAAACCGGTGAACCAGAATACGAAGAGGCAGACGGAGAAGAGGGCAAAGAAGACATGGTTGGGCTGCACGCACCGCAGGCCCCTTCTAAGCCGGAAACTCATCGCTGGCCGTCGTCGTCGTTTGTCGTTGACGATTTGAACGACGGTATGAAGGTAAAAGCGGAAGACTGATCTATGCCAAGCCGCCGAAACAGGAACGCCATAATTATAATCCCTTGCCCGTCATTCAAGGACGGTTGCGGCAAAATCGAGGTCAATATCAATGATCCATCGCGCAACTTCATACTAGATGTGACCATGAGTGGTGGTAAGAGTAGGAAAGTAACCCTTGGAAACGGACTATAGCCGCCAACTTCCCGTGATTTTGCCAAGTAGCCTTTCCTTGACCGGATCGTATTGAAAGGGGATAAGGCTTCAAAGGAGAGAACCAAAATAACTGGAGGAAATTACAGGTGAAGTATATAAGAAAGTGTATATATATATGACTAGTCGCCATGATAAGGAGCTATGACTTCGGGAGGATCAACGATGATATTTATCGAATGAGCGCTAGTCCGTGACAATACAGTAGCCCCCTCAAACCCGCAGATGGACAAGTGTATGGTTATAGTAGAGAGCGAGTCGAAATAAGTTTACATATTATTTGACTCCAGGGAGGATTGGCGCTAGCTGGGATCGAGGCCACCGTGAATTCACCGAACCAGGGGTGAAAGCACTAGAGCTGTCTCTAAAGATAAGCCAGGGGTCTCCCATTAGCCCTCTCGTGCCACAGCAAGGAAAGTCTATAGTCATGGAAATAACCCGAAGGGCTCGGTCCAACGCAGATTGTCACCCAGAGTTCAGGCGCCGAAATAGCCAACCTGCGCAGTCCTCTGCAAATGTGGGTGAGAACCAAAGGAGCCCTGTTGGGAGCGGGGCGGAAGAGCTCGGCCTTGCCGTTGTGGAACGCCACAGTCCAAGAGAAAATCTCCAGCCATATTTCGGGAGGGAGATCGAGGATCGTTGTTCCACGAAAAGGGTCGCAGATTTGAATCAACGGGGGCACATCTATTTGGGTCGGAGGATGTATGGCCAGGCCCGATGGCAAGAGAAATTCTGTAGGATTTACCGACTGGAAACGTGTAAGGTCGCTGAACTCATCGAAGGCTTGATTCGCGCAGACATAGGGTGTTTCTGGCTCCCAGAAAGGCCTTGACACCTGGTTTAATCCCCCTCGTTTTAGATGGAATCTTAACAGCTTTAATTCACCCACCGTATTTTGACCGTCTAGTTCAGATATGCTCAACAAATCACGAGGGAGGACCGTCCCCTTCCTCCCTCCCAAGTTCCCCGCCTGCCATTCATCACAACCTCGCTTTCGACTATAGGACGGCGGTTGCTTTCCCCGCCGCTTCGCCTTTCGCAATGCTTTCAATGCAATACAAAAAGCTTGGAGTAGCGGACCGCCTAATGCCAGGTACGCTGCTGTCTGGAGTCGCTCCCGGGTCATAGGCTGCATTCGAGAGGGTGGTCGAAATTCATGCTCGATTGGGGGAATGATGTTTGTCGAAATAGACTCTGTATTTGTAGTTCCTGGGCCCCCACAGCCGTCGTACAAGCAAGAGCCTGTCCATTCGCAGCGAATTTCAGCAGCTGTTCAGGAGACACTCTGTCTGCATTCTTGTCGTCCAGCTATTGTCCTTTCAACCCACAGCCGTCCGTCGGGGAAGAGTGCATCCACTAGTGGTGACCTCCAGCTGGCCCTCAGAGGGTCGCCTGCATTCTTGTCGTCCCCACATCTGCCAGTTCAAGACAGAGGGTATCGCCAGCGGTGGGTTCCAGCTCGCGCTGTTTCCGTACTTCCTCGAGAACAAGGACCGACGTAAAGCAGCCGATGTTAATATGCACAGTTGCAGAGAAGGTGGAAGAGAAGCGACATCTTCACGAAATTGTGCCGAGCGATTAATTGGCCTTTCAAAGGCCCCTGTCTCGTGGTGGCCTCCGAGCAAGGGGTGAGCGCACAGAACCCTGTTGGGACTTGGTCCCTAGGCCCTTGATGGTCAGGGAAGCTTTCCCTCAAGTGAAGCACCTGTTCGCAAAGCAATCAGACATGCGAAGCACAAGATCAGGGAACTGATACCGTATGAATTTCGAACGTCAAAAAACTGGGACCAAGCATGGTGTCACGGCGCTTAAAGAATGATGTTTCAATGATCTTTGCGAGTCGGCGTTTCAGTCTTTCCGCCGTCGAGCCAGCGCTTGGAGGAAGCGTCCTGTTGCGTGGGCGTTGGCGACGCGATCCGACATGGGTCGTGCAAATGGTCTGGACAATAAACGCGACCGGGCATCTCGCTGTTCTATCGCTCGTGACCACCGCGACTACAGCCACGAGATGGATCTGGTCGACGGAGAGGCACAGTTTGGGCAGGGTGAGAGAAAAGATGGACGAAGAACAAGGACAAGTTTTGGTATCACTGTCAGCGTTCTCGGCGGTCAGGAATTGATGTGCGCACACGGTCTGTCGTCGGCGGGCTCGGTGACCTCTTGCTCTCTCTCGTCCCATCTTCCTCCTCAACGCCACCCACGCCTTCCAGAAACTCTCGAGATTGCTGCATCAGAAGGCGAATATTCTGTTCACCGCCTTGACGAAATCGTGGAGAAGGACCAGGACGTTCCCCGAACAACGACAAGGTGGTAGGAAATAGGCGAGCTGCACCAACGGAGCAGATGCTAACTGTCAGTTCAGGTCAACCCATCGATCGTGTCCCACGTCATCCCTCCGCTATAAAACCCACAGAACGCCCTCAATCCACCTTAATCCTCAACCACAACCATACCCACTAAACCAATGTCAATCGTCGACGTCCCCCCGCCTTTCGCCCAAGTAAACCTCCCGCCCGTCGAGGAATATCGCAAGCGTAAAGTCGCACTCATCTCTGGTAAGTCGTCCTCGTCGTTGTGTGGAAGAGAGTTGGTCGTTGACGCGTCGGACGACGCCTCCAGGGATCACTGGGCAAGATGGATCTTATCTGTACGTGACTCATTAGCCCGCCATGTGAATCGCGCTAAGCGAGACTCGCAGAACCGAATTCTTGCTGGCCAAGGGCTACCAAGTCCATGGTATCATCCGCAGGTCGTCCAGTTTCAATACTGGTCGTCTCCACCACCTCTACGAAGACCAGCATGAAAGTATGTCTGGTGCTCGATGAAAAATTATTACCCCGCCTAACGCCAGTTTATGTCCAGGACCGAATAAGTTCAAATTGCACTACGGCGATTTAGGCGATAGCACCAATCTCGTCTATATCATCGCCCAAGTCCAGCCCACGGAAGTTTACAACCTCGGTGCTCAATCTCACGTCAAGGTCTCTTTCGAGATGGCAGAATACACAGGCGACGTTGACGGCCTCGGGACTCTTCGCCTCCTCGACGCTATCCGTACATGTGGTCTTGAAAAGCACGTCCGCTTCTACCAAGCATCCACATCCGAACTATACGGAAAGGTGGTCGAAACACCACAGAGCGAAACCACGCCCTTCTACCCTCGTTCCCCTTATGGTTGCGCCAAGCTGTATGCCTACTGGATTTGTGTCAACTACAGGGAAGCGTATGGTATGTTTGCGTGTAACGGTATCCTTTTCAACCACGAGAGCCCTAGACGGGGCAGGACCTTCGTGACGAGGAAGATTACCAGGGCCGTGGCGGACATCAAGTTGAACAAACAATCTTGCCTGTACTTGGGTAATCTAGACGCTTTGCGTGACTGGGGTCATGGTACGTCCACCACCTTTTCCACACCGCCCTACCTTACGTGAACACGCCTATCAGCCCGTGACTATGTCGAGGGGATGTGGTTGATGCTTCAACAAGACAAAGCAGAAGACTTCGTCCTGGCCACTGGAGAAACCCACTCAGTCCGCGAGTTTGTCGAAAAGGCGTTCGCTGTTGTAGGCACGAAGATAAGGTTCGCATTCGTCGCGTTGCTACATTCGAGGCTTCATGCTAACTTGTGTGACCCAGATGGGAAGGCAAGGGTGTCGATGAGCATGCCATTGACGTTGACACTGGCAACGTTGTAGTTCGAGTTGATCCCAGATACTTCCGACCTGCCGAAGTCGAGTGAGTCTATCTCTCTGGTGGCAACAACCAAGGTTAACCTCCACCTTCAGCTTGCTGCATGGTAACCCCGCCAAGGCTGAACGCGTTCTCGGATGGAAGCGCAAGGTAGACTTCGACAGCCTCGTCAAGGAGATGGTCGAGGCCGACCTCAAGGCTGCAGCTAGCCTCGTCGAGGACCAAAACTAGTGTAATGATTTGTACAGTTAGCATTCTTCGCGATTCGTCACCACCTTTTTGGGCTCGATAATACACGGACCACCATTTTACCCACTGTAGTAGTAATTCCCCCATGGCCGTTGGTATTTGATTAGGATTACATTGTAGATTGTATAATAGGTCGCATAGTCAACCCAGTCGAGGGTAATTATAATAGCGTATGCACAATGTGGCGCAAACTTTCCCCCTCGAAGTATAAAAAGTCCATCAAAATCCCTAGTATTACAAGTTGGTTGGTTCGAGTTGTCTAATAGATAGTCTATGGTCGCCAAGAAGCCCGTGCCCTTCAGTAATTTGAATCAGTCTATAAAGTTACGCGGGTGGCTTCGATTTGATTTCTTTGTTCAAGCCCGTGCGTGCAGTGTCGTAGTTCTCCAAGAACCATTTGGCGGTGAGATCCAGAGCTTTGAGAATGATCTTCATCAAGGACTGTTACCAATGGATGTAGAATGAAAACTGACCTTGCTGGAATGGAGTGAACTCGAAATCACCGATTAGAGAGAGCAGTTTCTTATTCGACGCGGGCTTGCGGAATTGGCCGTCAGCCCTTGAGGTGTCGAACTGTCATGGCGGGTCAATGGGCAGCACCGAGTGATCAGTGAGGTGGGAGACATACACTGTATTCGCCGTTGAAGTCCATAGCTTTGACAATGGCGTCCGCTACCTCTTTAATGCTCACTTCCTCATCTTCCCCCACTGATGCACAAAGCGTCAGAGGACAAGCATAACATGTGAAGAAATGAGGGAAGCAAGGACAAAATACGTACCAGATAGAATCAAGGGCTCGACATCATCGTACTCTCTCAGCATCCAGATGAAGAGTTTGGCGAGGTCGTAGGAAAAGATGAATTGACGCAGGGGTTTACCGCTTCCCGAGACTACGAAGGGTGTGCCGTTCTCTATTTGCACAAGTGGCATGATGAGATGAAGCGGTGCGACGGAAACAAGGAGGGGGATTATACGCACTCTTTGCGAGGTAGCATTTGTGCATTAGACCGGGGATAACATGGGAGTCTTCTAGGTCACTGGGTAGGGCAAAACGGGTGTTAGGTATTGGAGGGTGGAGATGGTTGGGATGAAGGGACGTACAAGTTATCGTGAGGCCCGAAGACGTTCGTAGGGATCGCAGACGTAAAGTTGCACCCAAACTCCTCCTTGTAGGCACTAAACGCGCAGACGAATTAGAACGTTGTTTCCGAGTAAGATACGGCTCGTATTTTCCCCGCCCGGACAACCGAACAACGAAACGACAGACGACTCACTGATTCTGAACATCCACCATCCTCTTCGCATGCGCATACCCAAAATTACTCTCGTGCGGCGGTCCATCATGGATCTTGGTCTCATCAAGGGGATACTCCACTTTATCCGGGAACACGCATGTAGAGAGACACGAGATGACTTTCTGCGCTTTGTGTTCGTAGGCCGAGTGCAGGACGTTGTCGTTGATTAGGATGTTATCTCGAAGGAAGGAGAGCTGTTGGATTGATTGGATGGTGTAAGAGGTTGGTAGGTAGGTGGCGGCGTCGTTGGTGGTTGGAAGAAGGAGGTAGGGAAAGAGGTTTGTTAATCGGGCGCTTTGGATTCACGTACAAGGTTACATACTTTGTATTTCATGTTCTTGAAGAGACCACCGACTATTCAAGGAAGACAACTCATTAAACTAGGTTCAGAGTTAGAAGGTATTATCCCACCTAGAGCAGCAAGGTGGATGACATGCGTAGGGTTGTACTTTTCGTACAACTTGCGCGTCTGTGCGGGGTCCCTAATTCAAACCGCACCGTCCATTAGTTTTCACAGATAGATAACGTAGTAACCACAGCGACGCACCTCAGATCCCCTTCAGACGAGCTGGCAAACACCCACGTCTCACCAGATCGTTTGCCAAATCTCGAGTTCTCTGGTTCAGTCTCGATAACATGTTTAATGGCGCTTCCAACGAGACCTGTGCCGCCTGTGACGAGTATCACGGCGTCGCTGGAGAGTTCTCTGGTCATACTGGGTCGATTTGGTCTTGCACTCGTACGCTATCTGGCTGCTGTTTATATGAGAACTTAAGGAAGAGGCTGACGATGACGGCGGATGTTGAGAGCGAGCAGCTGCTTGCTTGGATCATGGATTTCGCTCAATTAGATCCTTTCCCACGCCCCTATCGGTGGACGTCACTGGCTGACCGCGATGATCATCGACGAGAATGAATGAATGAATGAATGAAAATCATATTATAGTCCTATCGGGCGGTGTGCCCTAGGCGGACTTTACTTGTACTACTCTAATTATCTAGTTTAACGGTGTTGTGTTCTATCGACCACTCGCGTACCCTCCCACTTTCGCCTAGGCGAAGGTGGTTAAGCACGAATAGGAAGGTAACCCGTACCTGTAAGTAAGGTTGCGTGGCTTAAGGCCGTTAAGCTAATCTAAGTGTCCTTGATCGTAACTACCCCATCGTGTGCCCGCCTCGCTCCTCACCCCTTTCGTGCAGGAGGCTCCCCCTTCTACTCTGCTTGTTCTATGTCTACTCGGGTGTTTGTTTCACCACCAGTCCCTTCAGCCTCTCCGTTCTCCCAATATACTTCGCCAGCTCTTTCATCCCCTTCTCCGTTCCACATATGTACTTCCAGTCCCTGGCTTTATGCCGTAGCTCCAGTCGCATGTCGTGTCGTTCGTGTCTGTAGTTTGGGCATTCCATCACGTAGTGTTTTGGGGTCTCCGCTCCCCTCCCGCAGCTGCAGGTCGCCGTTTCCGCCTTCCCAATTCTATGCAGATACTGGTTGAGTGGAATGTGTCCTGTCCGAATCTGTACGACTGCGCTGATCTCGTGTCTCTTGAGCTTCTTGGTCCGGATTCCGAACTTCAGTAGTTCGTCTAGTTCTCCTATCTCTTTCATCCTGTTCCTCCTCTTCGAACGTTCCCATTCCTCCCCCCATTCTTTTCGAGCCTTAGCTTTCGCCTCTGCCTTCGCCGCCCCTGCGCTGGTCGGTAACTCCCCATTCTTCTCTATTCCTCTTAACATCGCGTTCCTCGTTTCGTCTCCTTCCGCTCGACGAGAATCCACTTGCTTCTAGGGTCTTTTGAGCAAAGTCCTCAACGACCGGACTGTATCAAGTCCAGGATCTAGCTGCTTCAATTAGTAATGATCAAGAAAAGACGTAGTATTTTAACAATGCACAGTGTCTTTGGTATTCTTCTAGTCTGCTTCAACGTCTATCGTTTCTCACCTCTACGAAGGGCTAGCCTAATTTCTCGAGTCTCGACCCTTCACCGAGTTCATCGCGTATCAGGAATTAATGTTGGGACTAACCCTCTCCCCGACCTCTCCAACGATCCATCCTTGAGCTCATACGCCGGCAGATACCTCGGTGCAGCAACCTCCGTCTCTATCGACAAGCCATTCGCCTTGACATCTCCGGTCCCAGGTGTCGCCACGCCGTTGCCATTGGACGTCGTTCCAGATCTATGGATGTGCGTTGACGACATACATTCCGCCAATGCAGTTGTGGGAGAGATCACTCCACCACCAGGCTCAGTGTGGGTGGTTGACATGACTTGGCTGAGGGCCGTGCCAGGGCTGAGTGCAGATGTCGGGATCGGTGACGGTGAGACGAGTAATGCGGGGTTGGGGAAGGTGTTGTACGTTGAGCCTAGTGACGTATACCTGTCCACAGAGGTCAATCAAGCAACGTGATAACAATCGGGTAATGACTCACCCTTGGTCGTACAAACTGCAGTAAGGAACGTCAAGTTCGCGGAGGAAGGTCCAGATATCCTGGTATGACCAGTTAATGATTGGGTTTACGCGTTCAAAGCGGGGCCAGCCCGGGTCTGTTGGGTTGCGGTGGGATAGCGTTGCTGTATGGTGTCGACTCAGCAAGCGTCCTTGATAGTCATGGAAGGCACTCACCACCATGAGGGTCCGTTCTTCTCGTGCCAATCAGGATGGCAGCAATCTTTGGGAACCTGTCCTTGTAGGCCTGCAACGCCTGCCTCATGCCCTCTCCACCCTTGGCCTTTCCAACAGCCTTTGGTCTCCCAATGTAGTCATCCGCCTTCACGCCCTCTGCTACCTTTGGCGTGACGACACTTTCAATCGTCGTTGCTTCAGGTCTGCATACAAACAAATCGAGGTTGTACGCTTTTGTGGTTTCCTCAATGAATTCTTCGAGAACGGTGAATGGCGAGGGTACGGGGATGTAGATTGCATGTATTGGCTTCATGTCTTCGCCTTGTTCGAGTCTCCTCGCCAAGGCTCCTGCGTACAGGTGTAACAAGACAGTGCCTATCCAATCTCAGTTCAGCGTCCTTCCCGTTAGAGTTATAAACGTAACACTCACAATCCTTGCCCCCATTAAAACTAATAGCAACGGCATCTTGTCTTTAGAAATCAGTGGTCATTGATTCCTCTCAAACAGCGTGCTGGAATTCCTGAACACACCCATGGGTATCCAGCGCCTCGTCGATCACGTCCAACGCTTCCTTGACCAGCGGTGCCAGTTCCCTCAACTTCTTCTGCTTCTCCTCATGTGCGTGTCCATTCTGTGTGCATGATGATGACGATCCTGGGTCTGCGTCGGCCAGTGCGGCGAGTCCGTATACTTCATCTGCAATCTTCCTGCAGTTCATGATCATCGCGAACTGTAAACTCGTTGGCGGCGTCCCACTAAGTGCTTGGCCTTGAGGGTGACTATGGGGATACAGTGGATCCCCTGGAGAGTCCGGTTGAAGGTATAAGTGGCGAGACGGCGGCGAGATTAGAAGCGGGTAGAACTCGGGCTAGCAGTGGAAGGTGGAAGAAGGTCCACTGCGCTCGGAAACCCGAGTGCCATCATCGACTCGAAAGAAGTTCGGAGCGTGAGAAAGGCTGCAGGAAGGAGATAAATCCGTCCGAGTCGGTTCCCTTTCCTTTTTGTGCTTTGCCTGGGTGGCGGGCCTCGGGAGCATCCACGACAGGTCGAGCGAGAAAGGGTATAATTACCTTCGTGGGCCTGAAGGAAGTATTTTTAGACCAATAAGGCTTCCTGCCTCGGGAGAGCCTCTGCGCCTCTGCGCGGTAGAAGCTTGTCTACATTCCTCGCTGTTGTCAGCTCCCACTGTAATTACCTGCAATGCGGCGCTCTGAGAGGGTGCAGTGGCGAGAGCACTTATTCCTCTTTGATGGGAAAGTACCCTTCGCTCGTAAAATGAAGGCAGTAGGACATCTACACAGGACGCTTCGATACTGGTCAGGGTGCAGTGATTATAAAACGTAGTGGCTTCTCAACTCTGACAGTTACTCAACACCCAGACAATCCAATTTCTTATTCAACCAGTATGCGATATCTATTACGTCTCAATCCGATATTTGACTCCATTGTTTCTTTTTTACCAGTGTCCTCAGAATCCGCACCAACGCAGAAGCCAACGGCACCATCGCAATTCATCCTCCCAGAGCATGTCTATTTCAAGAACCCACGAGGAAGGTACCTCAAATGCGTACCCAACCACCTCGGCATGGGTGTTGGCCTCCGATGGGATCACACCAAACTGGACGAGAGTTGTCAATTCAAGATAATGCGCGTCCCTGATCAACCTGTACGTATACCTTGCTTCCTACTTCAATAACTTAACCTGTAATTCTGATATCTGATGGCGAGCAGGGGAAGTTCAAAATCATAGGCAAACCATCAGGAAACTACCTCCAAATCACACATTGTCGAGCGCCTAAACCTAGAGGGTCAAGCTACTCCGCGAGCCTTCCTGACACCGCGGACGGCGGAGGCAAAGATGCTGGATCGCTCCAACTTGGTCAAATTTGGCAAATCCTCTCCACCGACAACGCAGACGACGATTCCGAGATCTACCTCGTCTCCGAAACCTCTCATCCACCCGCCTCCTCTAGTCGTATGCGCTCTCGCTCTCGCGCTCGATCCAGTTCCCGCCGACGCGGATCCACAGCGACCGCCTCAGCTGGCACAGACACCCCAGACACAGGTTCCCTCTTTCTCAGCAACAACTACAACCAAGTCCACTGGCCCGGCCCGCGCTACGCCATCGGCCTCACCACCTACGCCAACGACGGGAACAAGATCACCGTCGAGCGCGCTGCTTTGAAAACCGAAATCTGCGATATCGTGTATCAGACGGATCAGAAAGTCGTCGGAGAGTTGAATCCTACTATCGCTGTGCAGAAGGTGTTGGAGAACTTGACGGGCGTGGAGGCGAGCCAGAGTGTGGGGTATAAGTATTCGAAGAGTGAAGAGGGAAATTGGAATAATAAACTTGGGTTTGAGCTCGGGCAGAGGGTGTGTGCGTTTCTTCCGAATGGTGCGGTGGTGCTGATTGGTGATTGGTGTAGTTAACGTTTGCGGTTGGAGTGCCGATGGTTGGATCTGGAGAGGGCGAGTTGACGTTCAGCGAGGGGTATGAACATACCTGGGGAGGCTCTACCACCGAGTCCCAGGAAGTCACCACGTCAACCACCGTCTGCGTCCCACCGTACACCACTGTCGAACTGTCCGTCCTGATCTACAAGAAAGAAATCACCATCCCATTCACTTACACGGTTCGTAAACTTGTTGTTGAATACCATGGAGGCTGACTCCGCTTACCCATTCCCCTTTACAACAGGAGAGGGCCACGCTTTTCGACGGATCAGTCGTGGAGAAGAAAAACAAGGAGGGGATATACCACAACGTCCAGTTCATCCGAGACCATGCTACGAGTTCCGTCATCGGCCGGGTTGGAGACCTCGAGGTCAAGCTCAAGAAGGCGTGCTGATGAACTTTCGTTGTACACCTAGTAGCCCTGTCTGGTCTTTAATCGCACCTTTATCATAGTACCAATCCCACACTCCCACAATTTGCCGAAGCAAGAACGCACTGTCGGATTAGTAAAGCAAGCAACAGAAGAAACGCATACGAAAGCGAAACTATAGCTAGTAGCAATGTATATGACAGGTAGCAAGGAGGTCACCGCCCTCTGGGTTCAGTCATCATCATCGTCATCATCATCAAACTGCAAAAGCATGAGCGAGCTGTATTCAACTGAAGCCGATGAAACTTACCACCATCTTAGACCTCGCCTTGGACGCAGCCGCTCTCGACGACCTTCCAGCCGGTGCAAAGCTCAATTGTGTTTGCGTCTGTCTTGCAGGAGTCTTCTTCTTAGCAGGCGCTTTCTTCGCTGGTGCCTGACTTTGACTGAAAACCACACTTGTGAGCAAACTCCTCCTCCACAAAATTCTTCGAACGCACCTCAAAACAGCCGCACGACTCGTCCTCTTCACAGGTTTAGCCACTACCTCCTCTTCTGAAATCTCGTCCTCATCATCGTCGAGTTCAATCACTTCATCGTCGCTACTAGGCGGAGCGGCTTTCTTCCCTCGGCCCCGAGCTGTCGTGGTAGTAGCCTTCTTTGCCGGGGCTTTAGCAGGTGCTTTCTTAGTAGTCGTGGCGCGACTAGTGGCGGCACGCCTCTTGGGAGGTGGTGGCGGCTCGTCGTCATCGTCGTCGTCGGACATGTTGAAGGTAGCTCCTCCACCAGTGTCGATATCCATAAGCATGGAGTCATCCGAGGCAGCTCCACCGTCGTCGTCCGTCGCCTTGGCTTTTCCCTTTAACAAAGGCATTAGAGTGGGTTTTAATAAGTGCAAGAAAGAGAAACACACTTTGCCCTTGGCAGATTCACCAGCTCTGGTGGCTTCGAGATACTCCTCTTCCTGTCGCTGCTTCGCCTTGGCCAACAAGTCGTCCAAGTCATCTTCATCCACCTCATCAGACTTGATATTTTTCAACATTGTTTTGAGGGACTTGTTCACATGTCTAGAGCAAGTTGAAACGCGTCAATTCAAAAAATAGGGCATTGGGGAACACAAGGGCGCACGTCTGGATAGCATGAATATCATCCTTCTCCACAAACATCTGGATGGCGTCCGACATCCCATTCTCTCCCAGCAATTGCAGCTCCTGCGCAGCAAGGTACTCCCTCACAAGCGTCTTCACCCGAACCTTAGCCAATTTCTCCGATACCGTCAAATCAGGATCGTCGATACTCAGCTCAGGCTGGTCAATGTCGACTTTGCCTGCGCCTCTCTTCCCTGCCTTCTTGGATCTGTGGAACACAAGCAGGTCTCTGGGATTGGCAACCCGCCCCTGGAATTCCTGACCAAACCGGATAGGATTGGAAGTCTGCGTCACGTTCGTCGTGTCGACTTTAAGGCGGACGAGTGGGAGCATGGGTGGTATTTCTTCGTCTCCAGCCTCGATTGAGCGAGCGTTGCGTTCTTCCCATAGTGCTTGAGCTTGGTCGATCAGATCGTTCACTTTCTGTTTCAAGTATTTGGTGATTTCCATTTGGTCGTTGACGTCGAGACCCTCCTCTTCAGCCGCATCTTCCAGAACGACTTCGCTGATTACGAATGGGCGGACGGTACGCAGAGGGATGGGTGTCAATTGGAATTCTTTCCCCTTGATTTCGAGAAGGGCAACGTGTCTGCGCTTCGGTGAGAATGGTGAAGTTGGGGAAAATAAAGTATCAACCTACTTTTCAATAGCTTCACCATCTGCGAGTGAGGTGGCGACTGAGGAACCTGGTTGGGTGATGTAGTAGTTCTTGCCAGCAACAGGTTCAGGGATGATGCGGCAGTCATGTTCGTGGCCCCAGACGACCAGGTCGACACTATCATCGAACATGCCTTCTGGGACATACTCCTGGGGGCCATGCTTCACACTGAAGAAAGGCCAGGTCAACAACAGTGCAAGGCCTAACCATTATGAAATAGCCCACCGGTTCTGATGCACAAGAAGGATGTTGAACCACTCGTCTTTATCTTTGGGCATATACATCCGCACTCGGTTGCTGCGAAGCTCAAAGTGCATACGCTGGTCTTTGACGTTCCCAACGCCATACATGCCTAGCTTCGTGCTCCCTTTGCGGAGGAGGACAGGGCGAACGGCGATACCGGTAGTTGCTGCATCTGCGTCGGACGTTGGCAAGTCGAATTTGCCCATGTAATTGAGAAGGCCAGAAACGGATAGAACGTCGAGGGCGCATAGAGCGCCGTTCTGGAGAGCGTCAGTCGTAGTGGGGGGCAAGATAACGTGGACGTACGACTCCGGGTCCCTGAGGGTCGTCGTGGTTTCCGTGTATTGAGAATACGGGGATGCTAATATTGAAATTTGGATCCTCATAGTTGATTGCTGGGAATCTGTTTGACGTGAATGACTGGACAAAGCGGTAATATCGTCATCACGTACGAGAACCCAGCAGCCTTTCCTTCATCGGGGTCACTCAGCAGTTCGACTTGGATTGGTTTGTCTCCAAGTGTATACTCTCGCAAGAGGGCCAATGTCTGATACAAACAGTCTCGAGACGGTTTGTTTTCGTGGAATAGATCTCCTGCAAGTAGGATAAAGTCGACCTTGGGCACCGTTAACCCTGACCATGCAGAGACACATTGGGAGTCAATACCTCATTCTTGACGGCCAGTTGCAAGATCTCTCTGAAGGTATTGATGGAGTCTTGACCGCGAATAGGATCTCTTTCTAGATATCCTATGTGGTTGTCTGTCGCAAGGAGAATCTTGATAGTGTCTTCAGGGTCTACAAAACCACCAATTCATCAGACCTTATTGCTTTTGACGGGACCACTGAACAGACCAGCCGTTTCAATGTTGGGCGGTGGGCGGGTATCTTCCTCATAGTCAGACATCGTGTTCGTCGTGTACCGAGCTCGTGGTCGTTGTATTTAACTTTGCTCGTCGAGTCAGAAACGGTCAGAGCGACGATGACGGTGGCGAAACAGGGCAAAACGCGTCGCGTCGAGGGCAAATTATAGATCCCGCCCAGAGTTCCCACGCAATCTGCAGTGAGGCTGGAGTGCGTTGAGGGGCGAAGCTGACAGCTTGAAGTTTGCACAGCTCCACTCCACACAGACAGCGGCGAGCAACGCCCGTCGCTCGTTTCCAGATCACATAAATCCAGCTTTTTTCTGCCCCTTCACGACACCCAAAATTCTCCAAATTACACCCTTTATCTATACGCAAAATGAAGCAAGACGATAAACCGGCGTCGAAGATGTTGGTGGTATGTGTGTTGAGGCGCTCGTTGGCGTTGACTGACCTGAAAATAGACGGGGGTGGTGCTGTTCTACTTGTTTGCAGCGTGGCGGTACGTTAATGAGCTCTTTTCTCTGTTTAATGTGCTTATCATGACCGTAGATGGTCATGGCGTGAGTAGTGAGGCTCCTGAACGAAGGACACTGACCGACGAGTGTTTACCAGCAACAAATGGGTGCTGAACTCGACGACGACGCCTCTATTCTTTCTCTGGGTCCAGTTGGCGATAGCAGCTATGCTGTTTATGATCTGCAATATTCTGCGAATTTTGCCAGACCGCCTTACCTTCGACCTCCAGACCTCTAAGGGTCTGTTCCCCATGATCGCCTTGAATGTGCTCGGTCTAAGGTATGCAGACTTCAACCGCGACGTTTCCACCGACTAACACAGAGCAACAGTTTCAGCAACTACACTCTCAAATACGTCGATGCCTCCTTTTACCAAGTCGCTCGCGGTCTCGTCCTCCCATTCACTGTCGCAACCTCGTTCATCTTCCTTCATGCCCGTCCATCCCTTAAAATCCTCTTTGCGTGTCTCATTGTCACCTTGGGCTTCTTTATCGGCGTCTTCTTGGACGGAACGCCTGTTTCTGTTGCTGGTGTTTTGTTCGGCGTTGCTAGTTCAGCCATCACCGCCATGCACTCCGTCGTCATCAAGCAAAGCCTCAAGGTCGTCAACGGAAGTGCCCTGGCTTTGTCCTGGTACATGAATTCTCTCAGTGCCATCTTGCTGGCCCCGATCCTCATCTTGGCGGGTGAAGGTCCTGATGTTTTGAAGCTGATGTTCAGCGCGCCTATCGCCGAGGTTGGCAGAATGAGCCCGTTGAGGACCTTCGTCTGGGGTTCGCTGATCACTGTAAGTCCAGATCCCTCCTTTCTCAGAATACCCGTTGACGTTTCATTGCTAGGGTGTTCTTGGGTTCTTGATGAGTATTGCCAGCCTCCTATCGATCAAGGTGACCTCCCCCATTACCCATATGGTTTCCTCCGCCGTTCGAGGTGTTGCTGCTTCCCTTCTCGGCCTTTGGCTCTTCCACGATATCATCACCACGTACGTATCCTACTATCGTTCTCCTTCCGGTGCTTAATTAACAGCCCCTCTCCTCCCTTCCCCTTTCCAGTGGCCGAGCCTCTTCCATCGCCATCATTCTCGCTGGTTCTGCACTCTATACATGGTTCAAGCACCAAGAATCGGCCCCTTCTAAACCTCCTTCAGCTACCGCTTCTCGACGTGGATCGTACGAGCGTGTTCCTATGGACGACATCGAGAAAGGCGAATACGACATGGCCAGCAAACCTCGGTAAACGCTGAAACCCCCGATTTGAATTATAGACTATTCAACTAGACTCCTAATTTGTAATTTTCCATCAGACTGTACCGCGCATGGGTGGTATAGCTGATTACTGCACGCTCTTCTTTGATGACTTAGATGTGTGTACTTCTTTCTGAACGATGGTTCGTACTACTTGTGCAACGATACCCTCTAATGCCCTTTCCGCTTCCTGTCTTCTTGATTGTGTATTGTACCGACTACAAACGCCACGCTTAGATTCACGCACTTGCATGCATAGGCACTAGTGTACACTACATCGGGTTCAAATTTCAAATTTGGATGCTTAGGGATTGTTGCTGCTTTAAGTTTCCGATGTAGGGAAGGACAGTACACGAAGATGCAACTCCCACTCTTGGTTCTAAATGGCCTCGTAGAATGAGACTGGGGTGGACTGAACGTCTCTGATGAAGGGATGCAGCGGTGGATGTCACCACCGATCCCTTCTGAGCAGGCTGGAATGGCCGAGTCGTTAAGGCGAGTGATTTGAATTTTCAAACTTATCACTTGGTGTTTCACCGCGTAGGTTCAAATCCTGCTTCCAGCGTACTTTTTTTCCACAAGAACAAATACACTACTTATTCAGCAACCCGCATATGCATTCCCTGTACGTATATACACCTTCCCATCAACCCTCCCGAACAGCCTGCACCGCAACCTCCGAACGAGGCACGAACTTGCACTTGAACGGCAACGGGTGGAGGATCAACCCGGACGTGTACCGGTCCAGCTCAGACACATCCGTACCCTCGACGGGCTCGATATTGAACACCGCAAGGATCGAAACGATCGCCAACCAGACAGTCTCCACGGCGATATGGAGACCAGGACATATCCTCCTTCCATAACCGAAGGCTTCGTACCCCATCGGCATGCTGGGGTTTATCGCAGTTTGGGACTCGTTGAGGAACCTGGTTGGGTCGAATTTGGAGGGGTTCCACCCGTAGTGTGCTGGATCGTGTGCAAGGGCCCTGGACGACGGTGGGATCCAGGGTTCTGTCCGATTGATTTGGCAGGATGAACGTACCATGAGTTGGGGATAACAGTAGCGCCCGCGGGGATATGATACCCCTCGTAAACGTCGTCCTGGATCACTCTATGTGGCACAGCTAGAAGGACCTGATTAATCGACAATTTGGGAGACAGGATATTTTCACCGCACCGATAGGTGCGACGGGCCTCCATCGAAATACCTCCTGCACCAGCGCTTCGATGTAGGGCATTTTGCCATAGTGTGTAAAGTCGGGCAATCCCTCGGACAAGTTCATGGTTTCGTCGATGACTTTCTGAGCTTTCCTCTGGATATCTGGGTTCTGGAGCATTGCGACTAAAAAAGTACCGAATGAAGAGACAGTCTACATACATTGTATCAGGGGAAAAGGGATTCGGCAACCGGGACGGTTCAGTGTCCGTTTCGGAGAGGGGACAATGCCAGTGTACTCACGGCAGAAGGTCGGGTTCCCCTGGGGAGAATTCTCCCAGAGATTTCGGCGAGAATTCGGCATGATGGCTGTTTCGTCTCCGCTTTTGGGACTTCCAGCTCCTGTCTCCTTTACACCCTACACAGTGTGCTACTGGTATAAACAAGTTGAGAATAATGTTCAGGGAGACAATTCCTTTGTCTCCACAGAGAAAAAAAAAATGGATACTGCTTGTGGTGAGTAAAATCGTATCTATATCGACCCGTTGGCTACCGTTTGACCCGGCGGCTGATGACGGTTACCTGTTTTATCACTGGCCGCCTTGGCCTTCCTCTTTGATGTCTTGTGCACGCGCGCCACGACAACGCGCGCTCGCGTTCTCATTAACAGCGCGCGGCACCAGCGTGGTATAGTACCTTTCAAAATATCGGTACTGTGAAGTAAGTTTTAATTTCCATGGTTGGATATTGAAAAGCATTCCGTTTGATAAGTTATCGTAGTCCTGGGGCCCCGGGGGTGAGGCTAAGTCTTGTGCATCGGATGTGGACCACATGCTCACGTCGAATATGTTGTTCCGCCTTTTTTTTCGCCTTTAAAAACCTGGACTCTGGCAGGCTGGACTTGGAAGTACTCGTTGCACATCTCTGCTGCAAGTACGTTGGAGCTCCTATTAACCCCATCTCACGCCTTACGTCTTTCTAGTCATTTACGCAACCAGAGTGGGCGGTGATGGCATCCCAGGCTGTCATTGGTGAAGGTGGACCCACACAAGTCGTCTTGCCTCCACGCCGCTGTGACGACGTGCCAAACATCTTTCCTCGCCCTGGCATCCAAGACGTCGTCTGTCCCGTATGTTTCAGTGCAACACTCGGCCCTCTCTTCGAGTGCAAAGGGCTTGACCATTGGGAAAACTATGGCCGTGGGGTCAGGTGGTGAGTACAAACAGCCCGACTTGACTGGAGAATTTTTTCTAATCCATCGCAGTGCCTGAACTGCACCCCAGTCCCGCTGCATAACTCCCGCGTCGATGCAAACCTCATTCCCGCTGCCCATATAGCAACGAAATACCGACACTCACCAAACCTGCGCGCTGCCGGCATGCAAAAGCCAAGCAAATATTCGATGCCATCGTGGACCCCAGTGCTGCGCAAAATGCTGTCGCTCTCTGGGTGGCTGTCAAGGAGCCAGAAGCCACGGACCTGCTTCTGAAGACACCGCCCGAACTGCTACCCAGCCTCAGCTCTCACAGACTTCGAGCTCGTCAGCGCCAGCCACCACCAGTGCTCCAGTGGCTGAACCTTCCCAGTCTCGCACTGTTTATTCGCGCCAGCTCACTCGTGGCTATGGCCAGCACCATGCTATTGAGCGCTTGGATCGTAAACGCCGACGAGATGCGGAGATAGAAGAGAGGGAGAAGCTGGAGACGGAGTATCTGCAGACCATTGAAGTTCTCTTTTGGAATGAGGTATGTGTGTTGGGTGTACGTTTCAAAGACATTGGTGCTAATTGTCTATCACAGAAAAAAGTGGCACCCAAGTCCTTCGGTGTTATTGGTACCGCCAGTGCTGCCAACCCCACCATGCTCTTCATCGTCTTACATGGTTTTAAGCCATTTGAAGATGAGCTGAAAGGGAACACATCCATTGCCGTACTCAAGAATTCCCGATGGATGATTCAAGACATCAAATTGTCGATTCCTGCTTTTCGACAACAGCATGTTCTCGTACGCCTTCCCAACCTCGACGATTCGGACTGCCTCGGTCTTGATCAGTTCCTCCCATTCAAAACAATTTCCACCACACGAGCGATAGAACGTCAACCGAAGAAAGAGCTTCCCACTCCCGCCATTTCCCAGCTCCCAGTATCGACTATTCAAGCGCTTGCTGAGAAGGCGAACTCCCAGTCAGCCTCATTGCCTGTTGTCCATGCTGGGAAGACCATCCTTCTTGCCCCTGGCCCCATCCCATCGCGCCTCCCATCAGTCCCAGCCCATGGAGTTTTTCCTCCTCGATACTCGTGTGATATCGTCCCCGGCCTTCAAGCACTTGCTTCCACCAAGGAAGGCCCAGAACGCGTGCAAGTCTTCAACGAACACTTCCCCAACTCGCTTTACGTCCGCAGCACAGTGTCAAAACACATCCGCTTTTTCAGGGTCGCCCGCCTCCACGATCTCTATGAAAATTCGGTCAAGGCTGGTCGTACAGATGCAGGGTTATGGTCGCATGTTCGTAAAGCAGGTACGCGCGCATGTTTCTTCTTAAGCTTTCATCTTTCTTATGTACATGCCCTGTGTAGCTGAGAAGAAATCCAAAGACTCGGACTTCAAGCTTCCTTACGGCGAGAAGGATTGGGAGAGAAAAAAAAATACTGTCATCGACCTCGCTGATAGCAGCTCATCCAATGACACCGACACCGACACCACCAGTGAATCTGACAGTGACGACAACCCGACTGACACCCGTGTCATGGCTCCCAACGCTGGGGCCACCTCGAGTTCTGCCATCGACCTTACGAGTGATTCCGAATCCAACACACCCAAGACTGACCCACCTAATCCCTCTGATCCCGACGGACCCGGCCAGCATGATTCATCGTCATCGGATGAATCGGACGAGGATTCCCCTCTCAGTTCGTATCAGAGGGTTCGGTTCTTCACCGAAATCATTTCCATCGACACCGAAGTTGACGAGGTTGCTGGTCGCACTCATCCAAAGGATTTCCGGGAGGGATGGCTCAATTCGGACCCCTTCAAGACCGGACATCTGCGCTCAGTCCGCATGGTGCGTCGTCCTTTTTATTATTATTTCCGCAATTACATCTCTATTCTCCTCTTAGTTCCACTTGTCCGATCCTCCGCCGGTGCCCTCAAAGACCAACCCTTGGTTTGATTTCACCAATGACCCTACAACCCACTACGTGCTGAAGCGGATCACTCATCCTGGTGATGGAACCCGGGCTTGGTGGGATGGGCCATTGGTAGACCAGCCAAGTCTGATTCACGCGCTTATGCGAGAGGCTGGTCGCTTTGCACGGATGAGGGATGCTCTAGATGTCTTCAAGTCGACATTGGATCAGGCATTACTTTCCTCATTTGGTATGTTGATAGCTATCTTTGAACGTCACCTCGGTACTAATGTTGCTGATTCTATAGCGCTCATCTCTCACCCGGTGTATCTCTTCCACATCCACGAGCGGTATGAGAACACATATCTTGCGCAACCAATGGCTCCCGACAATGGCCAACTTCATCGTCACGTGGTCGGTGGTACTGCGCAGACATTCCCCGTCCTCGACCGAATGCTCGAGTCATTCTCCCACTTCACACTCCACCACACAAATGGACGCATGGTTCACACAGCCTTTGAAGGTGCATTCAATTATCTCTCAGATCTCCACTACATCTCGTACTGATCTCTGACTTGTTGTCATCCAGGGTTTGTCTATAAAACAGAGCCAGAGACGTTCATCATCGTTGACTTCACGACCCATACGTAAGTGTTTCTCTTTATCTACTTCTTTAAAAAAGCGAAAACTTACATAATTACACCTTTATGTAGGGTTCAAAATGACGACTGTGCTGATGCGTTTATCGAAAACTGTGCTGGAATTGGTATTGGCAACTTCAAACTGGGTCATAGCTGTAATGAGTTCTGCTGTGCTCTAGCCCTCGAGCGTCTTTGATGACGACCTGGGGTAACAGAATTAAAAGGGGTTCTCCCCACTTCAATTTATCTATCTCAAAAGTGCTCTTCCTTCTTATGTCTTATTTTCCTGATTTTCCTTTCGCTCGTCCGATGTAGTAACTCCCCTCTCACAATGATACTGGTGCTTGAAAACAGAGTGTGAAAAAGAAAAGCTAATTAAGTCTATCAACGTACAATGGGGGCGAAAAAGAATTCATCGTAAGGCACTACCCAGGGATGATGTCCCTTTCGAGACAACTCTGAAATTACGTATCGATTCCGGCGTCGAATAACCTCATCCAGATAAAAGTTATACCTCACCCCTTCCATGTCACGGAGAATAGCCTGAAAGCCTCCCAGCCAGACATTTGTCTGCTCGCAAATGGAGCTGTTGAAGAGCCACTTTCCGGGGCCTGCAATAAGTTCGGGATATGCTGCAGGGTTGCAAAATTCTTGACAGACGCTATCGGTCACCTTGTGCTTCGTCTTGAAGTGGAACACGTCGACAGGCATTGCAGTGTTGGCGAAGTGTGAGTCGTTGGTCGCCTTTAAGTGCCGTAGAAGTTTGCAGTTATTGTCAAAAAACAGATGTTCGGGGGTGGAGGAGGGTGTAGGGAATGTCGCTTTAAGAATGTCCTAAAAGGCGCTCGAGGTTTGTTCAGTCGAAACACGAGGGGAAGCAGAATGGAAAGAATAGACTCACATTAACCGAAGCGACGGACTCTGCACCATACAGCGTTCCCCGTGCCAGTATCAGACCACACGGTCGCATGACAAGCTGCTCATTATGTGTCCATCGTCGCCCAAAGTGCGACTTGAGCTTCTGCTTCCCCACATCCGCCTTCCCATCGCATTCCGGAAGTGCTTCTTCCTCATCAAGCTCGATGTCGTTGGTGGAGATATTGGCGGGGTTGTCTAGGGGGACAGAATCCGAAGGGGTCGATATTCGTGCCTTCTGAAGACGGTCCTGAAGCTGAAACATCGCTGTTCCCTTTTCCCGGTACTTCTCTTCTAGGCGACGATGCCCCTGTTGAGAACAGGTGCGGAATCCAGGTTCGACAGGTTGGGAACAGTCGTCGATGGCACACAATGCTTCTAGAGCGCGGTGGTCGGGGCAATAACGATCACGCTGGGAGTCTAGAGGTGTTTGACAGCCATGAACACCGCAGCATGGATGGCCCAACGTAATCCCATCGCAGACAGCCGCATGCATCTTCCCTAATTAAATTCGGTCCGTCGATGTTGGTGAAGCAGTCCAAAGTGAGCACTGAGTGGACGTACGTAGAGTTCCATCTTCCCCCTTGATAACCTTGTAACAGAGGTCGCATGCATGAAGATAATCATCCTGCCCAACTCCCTGCATGGCGTCATTGCGGTCTTGCAGTGCATAACGAAGGCGTTCTCGTGCTGAGAGTGATGGATTGTTGGGAAGGGTTAGGGATGCCTTCTCTTCGGCGTGATAGAGTAGTAACGAATAAAGAAAGAAGCCATCTAGGGCATCTTCAGGGCGGAGTGTGAGTGGGTAAGGCCAGCTGAATGTTGGTTGTGATGCTTTCGTAGAATCATATACAGCACCGTAAGCCATTGCGTTGTTGAGAATATGGGCTAGGGGCTTCCCCAAAGCAAGATTATAGATTCTCGCGGAGTTCTGGGACGATACCCTAATTACAGTAAGCCATACAGACGGAGAAGGCGAGAAGGTGTTGACATACCAAGCAAATGTGTGGCTTGTAGCAAAAATCTCCAAAAGCTCGGACTCGAGGAAGTAGTGCATTGAGACTTGGATGATATCAGGGACTCCTCTGTAGTACTGTCGAGTTTCGTCCTTCCGGTCCACGAAGTAATTTGAGTAATACCGTCGTCGACAGCCTAAACGTATCCTTAAGGAAACCCTTGACATGACGAGAGAGAGGGAGAGAGAAGAGCTTACACCGGCAGTACAACGAAGTGGAAACGATGGGGAATGCACCACTGTGGGCAGTGAAAAGGGAGCCCTTAACAAGGGTAGGGTCGGATAAAGTCTTCTCGCTCTGGTCTCTGGAGTACTGCTGGCAAGTTGGATCAAGGCACGCGCGCACAGGGGGATATACCATGTGGTAGGCTGTAACCTACGTTAGCCAACGGCTGATTCATGTCCTCAAGACCATAAATACACTCACCCATATCCAAAGGCAGTGCTGCTTTGTTGTACTCTGCAATGAACGCCAGGTCGGGCTCAATCCCGGATGCCTCCCTCCACGCCTCTTCCCGGAAAACCTTCCAACACTCGATCACGCAAATCTCGTCGACCCCCAGAAGGTGGGCGAACAGAGAAATGAGCTTCCTTGACAATTCCAAAGGCGGTTCGTCCAAATTGGTGTCACGGCGGGTGAACTGGATTGTAGGTCGAGCGATGTTGACGATGGTGAAGAATTTTGAGATAGTAGTGAGCGGTAGGCGAGCAAGGATGGTGTGGTTGCTAGCGATAGTTGCTAGAGCGGATAGCTCCATTGTCGAAAGCAAAAGTATGGGAGGGATGCTGGTAAGCACGCTCGAGTTGAGACCTTATAGGAATTTGGGTCAGAATTGACTCGATCGATCGAGCTTACTCACCTGGACAGGCTCATGCATGTAGCCCCCTCTCGCCCCACCCTCAAGCGTCTTCATTGCTGGAAGCAACCGCGCTGGTTGAGACAATGTCTTGCGAAGAGCGAACGCGTCGTCGACCGAGCGGTCAACATCAACCCCGCATTCCGGAACCAAGTCCCAAAGCGGTTGATGGGATTACCGCATGCGGACAACCCCTCCAGAGTCAAGTCTCGAGCCCATTCCAGTGCGTCCGTCGTATTCTAAGCACATATAAAGACATATTCAGCCTCCTTACACTGCGCTTAATCCACAAATCAAGTAAAATCCAATGCCACGTTCCTGTTCCGTATATTATGGCTGCCTTAATCGAGTCTTGGCATGGTTTGCATAACACTGCCTACTAGAGCCTCAAGAAACTTCGCGCTATTCGTTTTTATTTGCTATATAGGTAGTAGCAGTACCTTACAGCATTTTACCAAGTTTCTAGAGGCTAGGAGTAGAGGACGGTTAGCAGAGAAGGAAACCAATCTCGAGGAACCGTTCCCCGCTCCTATCGGGGCGGAGGCAAATCACCCGGCGGAGGATCAAGGCTCCGGCCTGGACCGGGTCCCGTTCACATGACCGCTCGCATCAATGTATCTCCCTGCCGAATTCTCGCCGAATTCTCTGGGAGAATTCTCCCCAAGAAACCTCGATGCCCTCACTCACGGTATCTGAGCCAGCGGCATAGGCTGCTGCCAAAGCGTCTCGAATGACCTCTTCCCTGTGTTTCAAGTTTTCTGGATCGTCTGTATCTAATCCTTCCAAAAGGTCCACAGCAGCGCAAGGTTCGGCCGTTCCTGAAGCCTTCATCGTGCACCAATGTGAGACACTGGAACTGACAAACGCAGGAAGAACGACTGACCATAGCGCCTTTGACATACTGGAAAGGGCTGTCGGCCATAGCGAACACATGTTTGCTCCACTCCTTTGCGTGGCGCCTAAACCCAGCTCCGGGGAACCAGGAGGGCACGTACTTCAAGGAAGGCAAGAAATCGACCAAGAACGTGCTGGCGGTTCCTGCTGCAGCCATTGCCTGCATACCGCGCTCCGCTTGGAGGATGTAGATGTCATCGTCGGATTTGATTTCCAGGCCATAAGTGACGTTGAGGATGAAGGATCCCGATAGTCTGGATATGGAGGTTGAAAGGGCTGGTCAGTTAGGGGATTTGGAATGCAGTGAAGACCATACCTTCGACCGTGCTCGAGGAAATGATCAGGGTCATCCAACAACTGGTTGAGTAGTGTTTTGATGGTGACCAAGAACGATGGTCTGTACCGCTGTGCATGGTTCGGACTGAGGACTCGCTGGAACAATTGTCTTCTCTCTAATGATTGATGGAAGCTAAAAAATGGGCTCCGTCGCCAACAAATGAACGACCCACCCTTCCATTTACTTCCATATTCCATGAACCCAAAGTGCCACGAGAAGCCGATCCTTAGGGATGTGGATGATGAGCAGGGAACTCACGAATCCGCGGTCAACCTTCAGCACTCACAAGTCGTTCAGCATGGGCATATTCGGCCTACCGTACCTCGGTCAAACAGCAGGACTCGTTCGCCTTAAATTGTCAGCTCACCGAGACGAGTAAATGGCGGACCGCTGCTCTAGCAGCTCCTTCACCGCCTTGTGCGAATTGAGAACGACGACAGGGGTGCCGAGCATATTGAGATAGATCACGTCAGAGCCTAGCCGTATCTTCAGGTCAGGTTCGCGTCAGTCACATAAGTAATACATACCATATTCATCAGACCATTCCTTGTGCTTCAGCCAGAATTCCTTCTCGGGGACGTCGAACGCATTGCCAACAATTGGTAAACCACGGGGACCAGGGGGAAAGGGCAGCCTCTTGCGACGAGAAGAGCTCAAACAAAGGTAGCCCACTCCTAAGCACGCAGTGGCCAAAGCAACGGGTAGAACGAGATTCCCTCGAAGTCTTTCGGAAAGGACGGAGTTGAAGTCAAATTGGAGCATGGTCGGGAGGTGACCATGGCCGGGAGAAAGGTGGGCATGATGCAGCTAATATACCATCCCTGTACTTCCGGAAGCAGCGAGCATGGAAGGCATGTGGCACGTCAGAGGGTCAACCTTTACGGTAAGGGAAGATAAGGAAGACGTCCGTCGAGATTCGGTTTATCGCCGCCGCCTACTTGAAGACAACAAAGTGTTCTTTTCACAGGGGATTTCTTGCTTGTGCTGCGGGGTGAGTCGTTTCTTCGGGAGCGAACTTCTTGATCGAGGAGCCTCCAAAGCCGTAGCCGTGACAATCGCAGTCCAGCAGAAGTGCCACATTTCACCGCGTACGTTCAAATCCTGTTTCCAGCGAACTTTTTACTCGCAGCTTTTACAAGAATGAATGCACACGAGCGATACGCCACAGACACATGGCCATTGTGCAAATATTCTCCTTCCCGTCAACCCTCCTGAACAGCCTGCACCGCAACCTCCGAACGAGCACGAACTTGCACTTGAACGGCAACGGGTGGACGATCATGGGGCCAGACGTGTACTCGTCAACTTCGGACGCATCCGTACCTTCAGCAGGCTCGATGTCGAACACCGCAAGGATCGAGACTACCGCCACTCAGACAGTTTCCGCAGCGATATGCAGACCAGGACATATCCTCCTACCGAATCCGAAGGATTCGTAGCCCATCGGCATGTCAGGATTTATCGCGGTCTGGAACTCGTTGAGGAAGCGGGTTGGGTCGAATTTGAATGGGTTCCGTCCTTAGTGTTCTGGATCGTGTGCGGCGAGTACCCTGGGCGAAGGTGAGCCTTTGGAGTTGTCTGAATTAAATGGTAGCGAGACGAACATACCAGGCGTGTAGGCACGTGAAGAACCATGTATCCCGTTACGGGAAGGAAAGACATGGCGGATGTCCACGGAGGTTCGTTTTATCGCCACAACATATAACGACAACAGCCAGGTTGTTCAATGCCGTTTGCACAGGTGATTTCTTGCGTCATGTTGAATAAATCACCGCTACCAGCGCAAATTAGGTCAGGTTCCTGACCGAACAGCGTCTGAGACCGTAGCATGGGCACTATAGTCCAGTTGAAGAGCGCTCCTATTCGTTCAGCAATTACGTCTGCGAGTATCAATACGATTAATGTCGTCGAAGCTATAATACATACAAACATCTTATGACGGGAAAAGAGTAGATGGTGAAAGGGGAGATCAGAGAGCAGTACCACGCTCGAAGCTCGCTCTGATTTCGGCAGTGTACTTGTCGTAATACCTGGCAATCTAGGAAAGAAGCGTCAGTACCGTGATATCAAGGGCCTTTCCAAGGAAGGATTCGAACCTTTTTGTTGAACACCCTGTTGTGTTCGTTGATGTAGGTAATGTCGCCTTCGTCTTCGTTGAGACGCTTGCGATGGAACTTGGCCTTCTTGTCGATGCTGAAGGGGCATTAGAACCTGTAAAACACCAACAGAAGGTGAACCGACATACTCCTTATTGATCTTGCCAACGACTCTGTCGATTGCCTCGTCGGAGGGTTTGCTGTCGCCGTAGATGAGGGTGTTTGCGTCACGGTAAAGGTTCTCAGCGGCAATACGCTGCTCTTCACTTGACACGGCCTGCAAAGCAGACGAAGATGACGACGCCACTACGTCCGTCGAGCTGAACGACGTGAGAGCGTTCGCCGAGGGATTGAGGCCCATAGCAAGAGCCTTCTGTCGGTTGTAGGCTTCTAGGTCGGGTTTGATTTGGTCTAAATCCTTCTTATATCGGCGTCTCGATGCCTGGGCATCATCTTGAAAAGACACGGGTTTAAGAATCTCGCTAATAATCTCGTCAAGAGGGGAAAACAACGCACCATGGAATTCAAAGTCTGCTCTCCGCTTCTTCCTTGCCAACTTCTTTTCCCATTCATCATTTTCTTCGATGGTATACTCCCAATTCTTCCTCCTCTCCACATCCTCTCCTCTTTCCTCCGCATCTGCCTTTAACCGCAGTGTCTCAGCAAGTTTGCGCTGTCTCTCGAGCCGAGCCAATTCGCGAGCAGTGAGTTTGGCTTTGGCCGTTTCTTCAGCTAATGACTGTCGATTGGCCATGGTCCCTTCACGCTGCATGGGCTGTTGAGTCAGAATCCATATAAAACAGTTTGACAACGCACCATCTTCTTCCTCAAAGCCTCCATCTTTGCTCTTCGTTCTTCAAGCGTCAGTTTCGGTTTCGATTCCGCCTCAGCGCTCTGACTGGCCTCCCTGGAGCTATCCTGTTCCATAGGTTCGTCTTTGCCCGACTCCTGAGCGCCCGGCGTCGCACTTTCACTCGCATTTCCACTGCTCCCACTCTCCACACCAGTCATCGTCATCTCCTCGACAAACTCCTTCGCCGCCCCACCGACCTCGGCCACCTTTTCTACCACCTTTTCAACAGCGTGTTCTACAGCATGCTCGGCTTCGACCACGGCATTGGTGACTGTCGAGGCGAGTTTAGCTGATGTCGAGGCTTCTGGTTGTTCAGTGGTTGTCTGTTCGTCAACGTTCATTTGGGTGTCCTCTTGAGGCGTTTCGACCTCCGGCTCGACATTGGGAATTTCTTCGACGACTGCAGCTTTGGCTTTGCGTCCGCCCTTCTTCTTGGATCCTTTGGGAGGCATTATCGTCGTTAGACCAGTTGACTATGCAACTTCAAGGAGGCTAAACCGGCGCCAGTGCCGAGTGTCGCTGTGGCTGTACGCGGGAACGTTGACGGTCCATTTCCCACGGTCTTTACAGAGCTCCTTCAGGGCAGACACTCACTGTCAGTCGGCGACTTGTTGGTGACTTACCGTATCACTAGATAAGATGATTACATGTACATGCTCACAAGTCAAACGACAAGAATCCAAGCGTGCCTCGATGCAAACTGAAACCCATGAGCGCTAACTTTGAAACGGAGCTCAGAAATGGAGTTTGAGATGATCGCGGAACGGACGTTGACCAACTTCCTCACTTCGCTTCGATATCCTCTACATTGAGAGTTTGCGTCCTCGACGATGTGCACAATACGACAACATTCCTGTTCTACCAAGAAAATATCAACATATGATCCCAGACTTATCACTGACCCTGCTGGAGAGTGGCAGCCCCAACCCTGTGTCCAGCCCATATCCAGCGACACTGGGCCTTTATTGCCAGAGCTATTCCATTCTCAAAGGGCCACACAACGCTCCGGAGAGGTTAATGCGGCGATCAAGTCTCAGGCCTCCAGGCACGGGGCTTGGATGTCTGTTGCGCCGTTTTATGCACGGAGAACCGATCAGCTGCCACCATTCAACAACGCACCGCGACTCAAAACAAGAGGAGCCCCCCAAGTCAACATGAACCAGCCGCTCTTGTCAAGCTAGACCAGCACTGGGATGGTATACATGATTTCCCAGGTGCTCCATTACCCAAACCTACTTCGACAACCGTCCCACCGTTCCGCGATCCATACGCCGCCGTTGCTTCAGAAGACTGATTGACGACACTACCACTTACTCGTTGCAGGAGCGGTCATGAAGCCTAACCAAAATTCATGGCCCCACAGACGCCGTTCGCATGGAGCAGCCGACTTTACTGATGCAACTAGTGCTACTTCTTCCTCTTCGTCGCACTATGGCCAATCTAAATTCCATATCTTTCCGTCTTCGCCAAACACCTCTTCAACACCCTCGTCCTCTCCGCGAAGGACCCACCACACCCTACACACACGCCGCACATTCCTTTTCAATTCGAAGAAACACCGAAGGGGGATCATGGCTGCTGCGATCGAGTGGTCGTCTTCTGGAGCGTTCTGGTTGGCAATGTACTTTGTGTTGAACCTCGCATTGACACTGTACAACAAGATTGTGCTTAACCACTTCCCCTTCCCGTATACGCTCACCGCCTTACATGCACTGTGCGGAACCGTCGGGACCTTTGTGCTTCTTCATTGGAACCCATCGATAGTATTCCTGAAGGACTCGTTGAGAGGACGGAGGAGGTCGAACCCGACCAACAATCTACGGGTTCTAACGGATGCTTCTCAGGATGTGCCTTCGGACCCTCTCATCCCCCCGATTCCGACGCTGCGAGGAAAGGAACTCGTCGTGCTGTTCCTCTACAGCATTCTGTACAGCCTCAACATCGTGGTCAGTAATGCGTCATTACGGCTTGTGACTGTTCCGGTAGGTCCTAGTTCATCCTCCCCATGTCCTCTTCCTCACTTTCCGCTCATAGTTTCATCAAGTGGTCCGCGCTTCCGCCCCGCTCTTCACGGTTGCACTATCCGCTATCCTGCTCGGAAAGTACAGCAGTAGAGCTAAACTGATAACCCTGATCCCTGTCACAGCGGGAGTGGGATTGGCGTAAGTGGAACACTTGCATTGCTTCGTTCCAGAGCCTAACATGCTCGTCTAGGACGTACGGAGATTACTACTTCACACCGCGCGGCTTCTTCCTCACCTTATTCGGAACCTTACTCGCTGCGCTCAAGACGATCACCACCAACCTGCTTCAAAAGCGAAGCACGTCCAATACAGAGCCAGGGAAGTACCCTCCAACGCTGTCCCCTGAGTCCGCGCCTTTCAAGTTCCCTCCGCCTCCATCAAGACCATGGGTTCAAGTGGGCATAGTCGAAACGGAGAAAGGCGCCATTGCATTGGAAACCATTGATGAGAAAGGAGACAAGATACCAAGCGACTCGCTACTTCAAACAGAGCCCCTCCTCCAGGAAACCAACCCCGCTGGCTCCGCGGGCGCTCCTCCACCTAGTACACGTAACACCCTAATGGACTACATTCTACCAACGCGACGACACCGCGCAAGACTGCATTCCCACTCGCCTATCTCAATTCAGCCTACCAGCTCCTACTCCCTATCATGGAACCGCATTCGCCTGGCTGCGATCGCGAAGCTAGACCTCCCCAAACTGTCACTAACGCCACTCCAACTACTTTACCTCCTATCGCCCATCGCCTTTATCCAAACCACTCTCCTAGCGCATTTCTCCGGGGAGCTAGACAGTGTTAGCGTGCACTTGAGTAGGGTGACGGAGGAGTATGTTAGGAGGAATGTGGCGCTGGAGGGGAGTGTTGTTGGGAGGGGCTGGGCTGGGTTGAGTGGGTCGCCGAGGTTGTGGTTGGTGATGAACGGAGTGCTGGCGTTCATGCTCAATGTTGTGAGTTTTAACGCGAACCGCAAGGTTGGAGCTCTTGCGATGAGCGTAGCCGGTGCGTGTATTCTCTCGATTGATTAGCGAGATGCTGATTCGGGTTTCGATGAATTAGCGAATGTCAAACAAGTTCTGGCTGTGCTCTGTTCAGTGACATTGTTCAATCTGACGGTTACTGTTATGAATGGAGCGGGGATTTTCTTGACGTTGGTCGGTGGTGCGTGGTATGCTGCTGTGCAGCTCCAGGAGAGGAAGGGGAATCGATAGACGTTGAAGGTTCGATGGTCGGATTTCTTGTATACTAGTTCAGGCTCCTTCCTCCGAATTTTACTCATACGCTTATGCTATTTCCAGCTTCTGGCAGTGTCTCTTCGTCCTCCAGAAAACTCCCGGTCTATGTTCCATTTCCTTCGAGGGCATTGTTTCGACCGATGCTGTCGACTGTCTCTTACGCCATGGCTGTCCCTCGATCGGTTCAATCAAAGCCACTGATTTGCATTACTTTTCATTCTGATAGATTAACTATGCCATGGCGGAAGTCATTCCGTTGGGGTATTCTGTTCTAATTGACTCTGGCTGCCCGAGCAGGGTCTCTCCTGTTGGAGACAGCAGATGTTTGCACGACTTGTGCACGACGCGCTTAGGAGAAAGACAATCGCTCGACTGTCCGCTTCCGTCCCTCGGATTTAGTTGACTGTTCTGTGCCTTGTTACAAAGGGCTTTGTATCCCCATCAATGTGTTGATCATTCCTAAAATGAATTGTCATTTCTTCTTCGTCAGTCGCCAAGGACTTTCTCTTCCTTGGCCTATTCGTCGCGTGTCGTTTGCTTCTCGGGAGAAGCGATCTCTGACTAGTATTTTGGCGCCCAGCGAACGTGATTCGAAGAGGAAGCAACTTGTTCGCCTCTCCGAACGCGTCTTACAGTTGTTGCTGTCCAACAATCCTCGAGGCGAACGGTTTTGCTTCCGTTCGTCCGCCCGCGTTATCGTTTTCTCGCCTCGAACAAATTTCAATTCCGGTGCAGTGCACGTCGAACTCGGAAATTCGGTATTGCCCCTTCACGTATAAAAATTATGTGTTCCCCTTGAATGTGTTCTCCACTTGCATGGGCATAGCTCCTTGCCGACATTCAAGTTCCCGGGCTTGCCTGCTTCAAAACGCCTTCAAGCGCTTCGTACCTGCATCTTGCATGCTACAGCTCTCTTCTCTCAACTATCAACTTCAACGACGCTCCTTCTGACTCACTGTCTTTATTGCGAGTGATATTCTCGAATTTCCGACTTCTTTTTTGGCCGAACAATGGTCGAACCTCCGATTACCAGATCATGGGAAGTCTCAGATGGGTTTGGTGCAATCGCGCGACAGCCAGGGCCGCTTTCTTCTGCAACGGCTCAAAAGATCGTTGCTGGAAGCCCGCCAGGGTCTTCCGAACCCAGCACGCCATTACCTCTGTCTGATACCACGAACATGCTTCGGAGCGGGTCTCAGGCATCGAAAAAACCATCGTCGACGTCGCACACAGAGCGCGCAGGAGGGCCAGAGCCACAGCAGCCACAACCACATATCCCTATCTCGCAGAAACTACGCGTATACCACGACGACCAGCCTTACGTCGGCCTCGCCTTGCACGAATCATCTTCGACAATCAAATCTTTGCTTCCTTCTCCACCCACATCCCCTATTCCATCCAGACGGCGCTTCAGGATTCGAAAACCGCATCTATCCCTCCCTCTACCCTCCCTCTACAGCTTCAAACTCGTCCTACGCGATTTCTTCCTGCAAATACACGCTCGACTCCCCGGAACGCCTCGATTACCCGACAAGTTCAAGAACTCTCCGCTGCTGTGGATTTTCTTGTACTTTGCGCTCAACCTCTCGTTGACGCTGTACAACAAATATGTGCTGATCCATTTCCCGTTTCCGTATACCCTGACCGCGCTGCACGCGTTGTGTGGGTCGGCTGGGACGTTTGTGATGTTGCATCTTGGGTTGACCACCGACCCGCCCATTCCGAATCTGAGTTTGAAGGAGAGCACGGTGTTGGTGTTGTTTAGTTTGCTGTATACGGTTAATATCGTTGTGAGCAACGCGTCGTTGAAGCTTGTCACGGTTCCTGTGAGTTGTTCTTTCTCTTATGAATGATAATGGCTAAATTGCGCGTTGTTTAGTTCCATCAAGTCGTGCGGGGATCAGCACCACTATTCACGATCGCGTTATCCGCAATCCTCTATCGTAAAGGATGCAGTCGGGCGAAACTCGTCTCTCTGCTCCCTGTCATCGCAGGAGTGGGTTTCGCGTAAGTCATGCAATGTCCTCATCTTAACCGCTCGCTAAAGTACTCAACTAGGACATACGGAGACTATTACTTCACCCTTTTTGGGTTCCTCATTACCATCCTCGGCACTCTGCTCGCAGCACTCAAAACGATCCTCACGAATCAGTTCCTCAGCCCGCCAGGGTCCAATTCGTCGCCTAACCCACTCACGAAGGGTTCGGACGGCTCCGCAGGGGATACCCTGTCAACCAAACACCAAAAGGTCCCCTCCATCTTCCGGCACCTCCGACAGACAGACTCTCAGTATCGCCTGACCACGGCGCGTCTGAGGTTCAACCTTCCCAAGTTGTCCTTGACACCTCTCCAGTTGTTATACCTCATGTCGCCTTTGGCCTTTATCCAGACGACCATGATGGCTCACATGACTGGCGAATTGGACAGGGTGAACAGGCATTTGGCGAACCCGCAGCTACCACATCATAGTGGCAATTACAACCCGGTGGGGATCATTCGAGGATCGACGTGGTGGTTGATTTTAAATGGTATCCTGGCGTTTGCGTTGAATGTCGTTAGCTTCAACTCGAACAAGAGGATAGGGCCTCTTGGGATGACAGTTGCAGGTACGATACACTCTGCTTCGAGACTGCACTGGTGCTGATGCTTTGGTGTAGCGAATGTCAAGCAAGTCTTGACTGTGCTGTGTGCTGTGGGATTGTTCAACCTTACTATCACATTTACAAATGGAATAGGGATCGTGCTGACGTTGATTGGAGGGGCGTGGTACGCCTATGTGGAGGTTCAGGAGAAGAAGCAGACCAAGCGAAGCGGATGAGGGACAGGATATTAGCATTTAGCATAAAGCACTTGCGGTCATACCCAAGATCGGACTATTCCTTACTCTACTATTCATTGTTGTGTGTGTTCATAGATTCTATCATGTATATTAACCATCAACGAACTCATCGGATTTGGTCCCGAGGACGATAGAAATATGCCAGTCAATAAGACAGTGCATTCAAACTTTAGGCGCGTTAACACCTGTTAACAAGCCTTGTGATACTTGAAAGAAAAAAAAAAGAAAGGGCTTGGAAAACACGATCAAGGGTCTATCGGGAATTCGAGAAGCGGTTACAATTTGATGAAATTGTCAATGGACTAAAAGTAAAGGCTCGAGACCGTTGGTGTTCCCGGAATTTCGGACAACGCATGTCCGGATGTAGCAAACTGTGGCTGCTCTCGCGGGGGCTCCCCTCCAATTGGAGACCTCAAATTTCCTCCAGTGACTGTTTGAATAGGATATTTTACTGCACCCATTTTCCGAGTTACTCGCGGGTAAAGCTTACTGTAATCTGGAGTCGAATTCACCGATCGCGCCGATCGGACCGACGAGCCAAGTGACTCGGTTTTAGCCGACCGATTTCGTTTTTTTGCTTTTTCGTTGACTCCGATGTTGCGATACTTAGTTCGTCCCTTGACCCAAACTCCCATCAGTAGATCTTTTCAATCTACAAATCGCCTCATCTACAGGACAATGGCATCCCAAAACACACCAGCTTTCGTGCGTATTCGACACGTTATGTTCAGACGACTATGACTCATACTGACTACTTTATCTCTGCAGAACAAGATTCTCTACGCTCCTTTGGCAGAGATCGACCCAGAGGTCAAAAATATCATCGACAAGGAGACATGGAGGCAGTTCACTGGACTCGAGCTTATTGCTTCAGAGGTGTGTTGCACCTTGACGATGACCTGGCAATCCATGCATCTTACTCGGATCTACTAGAACTTGACCAGCCAGGCCACCATGGAGGCCAATGGCTCAATTCTCACCAACAAATACTCTGAGGGTCTCCCCAATGCTCGTTACTACGGTGGTAACGAGTACATTGACGAACTCGAGCTCCTTTGCCGAAAGCGTGCCCTTGAGGCCTTCCACCTCGATGCCTCCAAGTGGGGTGTCAATGTCCAGCCCTACTCTGGCAGTGTGCGTTTATTCCATCCTTTAAAAATGATTTAATGATTCACACTATCGCTTACAGACTGCAAAGTGAGTATACAACACATAGCGCATCAATAAGCCCCTGACTGATGGACAACAGCTTTGCTGCTCTTACCGCTTTGATCCAACCCCAGGACCGACTCATGGGTCTCGGTCTCCCCGACGGTGGCCATCTCACCCACGGTTACTACACCGCCAAAAAGAAGATGACCGCCTCCTCCATCTACTTCCAGTCCCTCCCCTACGGTATCATCCCTGAGAGCGGCCTCATCGACTACGACAAGCTCGAGGCCCAAGCTAAAATCTACAAGCCCCGACTCATCATCTGCGGTGCCTCTGCCTACCCCCGTGACTGGGACTATGCTCGTCTCCGCCAGATTGCTGACAAGGAGGGCGCTTGGTTGATGGCTGATATTGCCCACACCAGTGGTCTCATTGCTGCCCAGGAGCTCAACAGCCCCTTCGACTACTGTGACGTTGTCACCACCACCACGTAAGCTTGGGCCCCAGGTTTCACTCCAAGTTCTCTCAAACTGACGCTTCTTGTTCCACAGCCACAAGACCCTTCGTGGCCCTCGTGCTGGCCTCATCTTCTACAGGAAGGATCTCGAGAACGCCAAGGACCTCGAGAAGCGCGTCAACGACGCCGTCTTCCCTGCCTGCCAGGGTGGTCCTCACAACAACGTCAGTTTTCCCGTGCACGTTCCGAAAGTCCCACCCTAACAGTCGTTTCTCCACAGACCATCGCTGCTATTGCTACCGCCCTCAAGCAGGTCGCCTCCCCCGAATGGAAGGCCTACGCCAAGCAGGTCGTCGCCAATGCCCGCGCCCTCGCTGAGACCCTCGTCGGTCACGGCTACAAGCTCCAAACTGGCGGTACCGACAACCACCTCGTCCTCTGGGACCTCCGCCCCATCGGCCTCACCGGCTCCAAGGTCGAGAAGGTCTGCGACCTCATGGGTATCACCATCAACAAGAACGCTGTCTCCGGTGACGCCTCTGCTCAAGTCCCCGGCGGTATCCGTTTGGGTACCTCCGCGCTCACCTCGCGTGACATGCGCGAGGAGGACGTCAAGCAGGTCGCCGAGTTCTTGCACCGTGCTGTGCAGATCTCCTTGACTCTCCAGAAGGAGGCCGGCACCAAGTTGTTGAAGGACTTTGTCCGTGTTGCTACCACCAAGGAGGAGGGCAAGGTTGGATATGAGCAGGTCAGCCAACTGAGGGAGGAGGTTCAGGCCTTTGCCAAGAGGTTCCCTCTCCCTGGTGTCGATACCCAGAACCTGCAGAGGCCCGAGGGTTTGCATGAGTACCACTAAGTCCACCCTCAGACACTTTTCTAGAGCTCGTATATCTTTCTTCTTCGATGTTTTTAAAGGCCATTTCAACAAGGCCAAGTTGTATATTATAGACCCGCCGTCGTCGCATCTTTTTTTCTCATTTGTAGCTGCAACTCATCTTGCATTTCTTCTCGTGTCGTGTAGCTATCCTTATTCCCTGTGTTATTGGTTGCGGAAGAAAAATAAAAAGGAAGTTCCTAAACTGGATTGCTTTGAAGTTTTGAGGGGTTGTGAGTCGTATGCACAATTGCATTGAAGGCGAGAAACACAAGGGGTCATAAGATAAAAGGTTCCTAACATACGCATGAACTTTCCATTTTCTACACAAAAACGGATATCTGTCCCTAAAGGTTCACATTCTTGGATCAAGGGTACCTCCGCCTCCTCTCTGCAGCCTGCGCAGCCCTCTGACGTCTCTGTTCCCGAGTCTCAGTAGGCGGCGACGGAGACCTCTCCTGCCTATTCCTCCTACTCGGGCCAGCACTCCCACCTCTCGCGCTACCAGTCGTACTACCCCGACGCGAAGTCGACCTAGAACTGCGACGCGTAGCACCACGACTCGACCCCTCCTGCACATCCTGGTCGCTTACATTCCCAGTAGCGGCCACAGAATGAGCGTCGTCCGACTCGCCTTCATCTTCAGAAGGGGAAGCGATCCGTCGTGTGACCCGCGTGCCCCGCCGAGTGGATGTCGGAGGAGCGAGACGGCGGCTCCGCCTACCCATTTCCCCAATGTCGGAATCCGAGTCGCCTTCAGTCTGCCCGGCATCCTCCTCCTCTTCGTCGCTGATGACGATGGCTTGCCCACGGCTCCCACCGACTTGAGGACGTGTACGGGTGCGCGGCGGTCGGGTGGCACCAACACGCCTGCGTTGCTGGCGTGAAGCGTTGAGTCGAGCGAAGGTGGCCATGATCTGATCCTCGTCCCCCTCGTCATTACCATCGTCCTCGTCGTCCGAGTCATGGAAATCTTGCGTGCTCACATAGTCTTCATCGTCGTCATCATCCTCATTGTCGTCGTCTTCCGGGATTTGCGCCCGAAGTCTGTCTCGACGTGCGCGACGGGGAGGAATGTCTTCCAGATCTTCCTCAGAGTAGAACACCTCGTCGGAAACATCGTCCGAATGATAGTCGTCATCGACAATTGGAATTGGACCATCACTCGACACGGAGATATGACTGTGTTGGTCGTCGTCCTCTTCGTCGAAGCCGTCTTCATGGTGTGGGTGGATAACTCGTCGGCGCCGATTGAGAGGGCGGTGTCGCCAGATGCGTCCCAAGAAGCCTGCTTCTATATCTTAGTGGGGTTTAGCGTTGCACTAAAGAGGGACAAATGTAAAGATGCTCACCTTCCTCGTCGGAGCCATCATCTTCAAGTTCAACGGAGTCGTTACTGAGAAGATCGATGACATCTTCCTCGGCATCGTGGAAGTCGCCTTCATCGCCATAGTCATCCTCGTCAAAATCTCCATCCTAATCAATGCGCATTAGAACGGTCACCCGGTATCTAAAAGAGTAAACTCACCATTTCCAAAGCGTTCCCCAAAGCTGGAAGATAGAATTCAGACGAGGAACTTGGGTATGGAGGGAAGAACGTACCTCTGAAATAATCTCCCCATCCTCCTGGCATAATATCATCTCCACTCTCGCCTTCCGAGTCGTCTTCAGGATGTCCAGGGTACTCGCGCCCACAACTTGAGCAATGGCGGCCGTAGATCTCGTGCATGCAGTCCAAGCACCGGTAAATTCCACCGTCGTCCATGTCGAACCACCCCATGTCCTGGAGATTCCCGCGATGCTCTCCGTCAGCTTGCGCACCAGCGGGATCAAGCTCCATTGCCCATTGCCCACCCCTGCTTCGTGTTACAGGGGGGAAGATGTTGTTCCAGGGATCTGCGGGCGTCTGTGCACCCGAAGGCGTGTTCGCAGCCTCCGGAGGAACTGGGTGGTCAATGAGTTGGCTTCGAACAAGGCTCGCGACCATGTCCTTGATGCTGTACACCTCGACTGGGCGGTTGGGTACCACTGCGCGACAGATGGGGCATGTCTTGCGCCTCATAAGGACCTGGCGTATGATTCTCTGTGCGTCGCGCCTTCGTTGTTGTAAGTTCTGGTTGTTGTTCTCCTGGTTGTTGCCCTGCGGTGCTGGAATGATATTATCGACACGGTTGTTCACAATATCTTCTGGGTCAACCACAGGTGTGTCCGGGTGTCGAGCAGGGTTGGCAGCGAACCATCGCAACAAGCAGGGGTAGCAAGCGACGTGACCGCAAGAGGAGAGTGCGTATGGCCGATGAAGGAGGTCGAGACAAATTTGACATGTCAATGATTGCTGGACCGTGTTGAGGTGGGCCTGGTGTCGTTGCAGGAGCTATTAATAGAAACAATGGGTTTTTAAACAAATGCGCTGTACAGGAAATGCAAAGTGATACGTACAGCGCTCTGCTCGGACAACTGTTGAGTCAAACGCGCGATTTCAGCTGCTTGCACCTCTGCTTGTGCGGAGGTGGAAGGTTGGTCGGAGGTAGAGGCGATGAGCAAGGAAGTCAATTCAGCTTCTGTCTGTTCAGGTTTCGGTGCAGGAGGTGGTGTAGGGGAGCGAGCGCGTTGCTTGCCCTTGTCCTTCCCTTTTGAGGCGGTCTGTAAATGACGTTAACCTTTGTGACCACAATGCACGGCAACGGACCAACCTTGGCTGGAACTGGGCCATCGACATCGTCGTCCGAGTCACTATCCGAGTCAACAGTCGCGTCTGAGGCTTCCCCCGGCAGCTCCTGACCATTGGGTTGTGAAGGCCCTGGTGAGTTGAGCACCGAACTGCCATTGACCATGGGTGCTGCGTTGTCATCAACACCGTTCACGGTAGACTGGGCAACATTCGTTGTAGCCTCAACAGTTTCAATGGACCCTTCTCGAGGTGTATATACCAGAGTTTCTTCTCTTCGAGGCGCACTCTACAAATCATAGGGGAAATTGTTAATTGAAATGAATGGGGTAATACTGGACTAACATTGACAGTATCTTGGTGCTCGTCACCCTCATCCGAATCACTATCTGAGTCCACAGCAATGTCTTCAGCCGCCTGCTGCATCGTCGGTCGAGTGGTTGACGACACAGAGCTACGTGCAGCTGGAGGAGCAAGAGCGGCGGCGACCGCTCCGTTAGTGACAGAAGCACTAGGTGCAGGCCCCGCCCTTGTCCTTGACACATCCTGACTGGTAGACCCAACGCTCCCCTCCACAACCGACATCTTTCGCTTCTTCTTCCTCTTCCGTCGCTTGTTTTTGTCTTTGGACCTCGTCGTTGTTCCGTTCACCGAACCGACAGATGGATTCGTCGAGGATTTATTATCTCTCTTGACTTTCTTGGCTTCTCGCGGTCCCAGAGTGCTGTCTTCAGTTTCGGACGACGCTGCTCGTTTCAAGGACGCGGTTGAGCTGGGCCCCGGCGTCGCGTTACGCGTCGACATTGGCGAATGATCGTAGGGAAATGCGGCAGAAGATAACGGAGAAGAGCAAAGCTTGAAGAATGTGAAAGAGAGAGGGCGGAGTTAGGTCGGATCCTGAATTTGATCGATCTTTCTCACGATAATGATTCCTTGACTTACTTAATCCGGGGTGTACCGTCCACCGACTAGCGCCCGGACTGGCGCTAGCCTCTAACTGACATCTCTTTCACAAGCACACCCTCTGCACCAGGGCAATAAAGAGACGCTGAAGGCTTTAGGCTGCTGAAACTCAGGCGAGTGTTTTATCTCTGCAAGTCCGACGGCGTGAAGATATACATTCAAGCCTCAATCGCATTCACCACCTTCAACTGTATAGACAAGAGCCATCAAGTACTGGTAGGTTTCCCTGTAGTCACAAAGAATTTTCCCTGATATTGTCAGACGAATCTCCCGTCCCCATCTCCGGTGGACAGGCCTGCATTGGAGCCAGACACCACCGTTTACATTGGCTGTAAAATCCGGATCCGAGATCCTTCCCTTCAAGGAGTTTACTTCCAGGTTGTTCCTTGCTTAAGCGAGCGTTCCAACGTGACGAGCCTTTGTGAGCTTGACAAAGAACTGGAGCAAAAGGAAGAGTGGAAGGCCCGACACCCCTGTCCAACAGCGCGCCAAGACACGGGGATCAGTTGGCAGTGGTCGCGCCAGCGGCAGTTTGTCGCCCTCTCCTTTGTCCTTCGTCCCCTCCTCAGTTCGACCCTGAATGTCACATATGGACCTGGACTACTTATCTTGTCGGCAACCAATGCTCAATTGCGGGTGATCTCCTGTAAGGACATAGCATTGGAATCACTTCGCCTCGTGTTTTTCTAACGATTTTGGGAGAACAATGGCAAAAGGTGGCAAATCTGTGGACCCTCAATTGACCGAAGAAAGGGGTACGGCGCCCAATCTTTGGTGCAATCACCACAGCCCAGGTTTCATATCGGCTACATGAAGCTTGTTCCGCCACGTTGTTGTGTACTCTGACTGTGCGCTGTTGATTGACAAGAAACGGTGCACGAACACAAGGCTTAGGCGACTGGCCGACCTCCCGACAACACCAAGGCAACCTGGCAGAGGACATTGTTCTAGGGAAGAACAAGAAACGCGACATTGTTAGAAATGAGAATAGCGTATGGGAAATTCTGGGGGCGGTGGACGATGACGTACATTCATGGGCTAGCTGCCTCATGTCGACCGCCTTGTAGCGAACACAGCGCAGTCCCAGCATGGCCGGTGTCAAACTATGCAGGCCATCAATAACAAGTGGCCCACCGGCACATGTTCGACGCTTCATATCTTCGACAACTTCACACCGTTGCGGTCCACTTTCACCTCCTCCCAATCCTTGTCCCAGTCCAACTCCTCCATCCGACAACGTATCGCTTATGAGCGCCAGAAGTGTCAGGAGCAATACATCTTCCACCAATAACAAACTCAGGAAACCTCCTAGACCGCGTGTCAAGGTCCCTGAACCTGTTCATTGGTTGTTTCGTTCGAACATTCCTCGTCGAAGGGCTTCCTTCGTGCCTGCGTCTCCAGGACGTCGCAATTTCTTTGGCATGGGCGAGATCGTAGGAGTTTTATCCAACGTGAGTTTTCATCTCCTCTTGTCTGGGGCAACTGATATCGACAACGCCACAGCCAGCCAGCACCGTACGCTCGTTGACCGAGTCAAAACGTCTTCTGGAAGAGGCCAGGCGCGAGATCCAGGAAACGCGCGAACGATCTCAAATCCGTCCTACGCACACGTTTTCTCGACTGCCAGGATTCTTCCCCCGTAGAGCTGAACAGCAGGCGATTCAGCGTTCCCTAGAAGGGGAGCCATCGTTCACTGTCCTGTTCGGACCTCCAAGTGCCGGAAAGGTGTGTTGAACGCGTTGACATCCTTCCATCATGATCATTGACGCCCCTATTCAACCTCTAACTTTAGACTGCCCTTCTTCGCGAAATCCTATCCCATCCTCGGTATCATGTCCTCCACTTCGACTTGCGAATAGCAGGCTTTGCAGATCTTGAAAGCCTTTACACCAGCCTCAGCCTTCAGATGGAAGGGTTCTTTGAGGAGCTCGCGCAGAACGGTGGATGGTATGAGGAAGGGTCTTCGGAGAAGGTGGAGATGACGGAGGATGAACTCAAGGCGGAAGGATGGGATAGGTTTGAGAGGGAGGCATGGGGCTTCAAGCACGATCGACTTAACCTTGAGCGAAGGCTGGGAAGTTCGTCCGATGGGGAAGGGGGAGCGGCTGGTCCGAAGGCAGAGGTCCGACCGAGCGATATCGCCAGGCTTATGGAACTCTTCCAAAGTTCCCTACTCCGCTATCGCGAATTCCAGCCTTCGACAGAACGTAAATCGAAACGCCGACAAAACTCGGAAGACACCACCGTAGTCGGAAGCTCTCAGACTCATGGATCGTCGGCCAAGAAGCGGAGGTGGTTCTCGAGGAAGAAGTCCCGTTCGAAAGAGGAGGTTGTGGATGAACCCATGAGACACAGCTCCCCCGAAGATGAAGAGAGGAAACTGAATAGGCGTAAACGCGTCCCTGTTATCTTCTTCGATGAGGCTCATAAACTGTACGTTGCTCATTTCATCTATTGCTCGATCGATCCCAATCCTAAATGTCGATCCACAGTCCGCATTTGATCCCCTCCGCACAAACTATGCAAACCATCCTCGACTCCACTCTCGTTCTAACGAAACAAGATCGTCTCTGTCATGTTGTTCATGCTACTTCGGATCCCTTCTATCAAGGCTGGCTCTCGCGTGTTGGCGTTCTCTGGTATTGCAAGATGATCGCCATCGGTGACCTCAGTAAATCAGAAATGAGGGCCTATTACAACGAAAGAGTCAAACCGAGATTGGAGACACTCCCACCCAACGTCAGGCGCTTGGATTTCGAGACTCTTTGGGATGCGTTTGGGGGCAAGGTTGCCCACTGGTATGATTTCGTCACCGACCATGGTGAGTTCATTTCTTCGTGGGTTTGACGGGGAAAACTGATGCGATTCATTCTTCAGTGAATTCTAATGGCGCTATTGGCAGTATGTCACTTCATTTAATCCCTATGCTCAACTCTCAAGCTAACTTCTAACCTCGCCCGCAGTTAAACAAAGCTCCCACTTCCTGCAGGCCCACGCGCTTCTCAACCTTCACATCATCCACTCTTCGCAAGCACCGGGAGGCGGGTTCGATTCTGCGAGTCCAGGGGCCAACACCACCGCGGGCAGCATCCACCACGGTAACGCCGCCGCGAACCTTTCCACTGAAGCCCACCGCGCCAGCCCCGAAACCGTCTTGCACCCTTCGCTCGGACCCGCTGGATTCAGGATGTACAACCAACCCCCGCCTTCGCAAGCCAATCTAGGCTTCTTCGGCGGGGCAGGTGGTGCGCCTCTCGGAACTGCGACTGTTGGAATGAACCCGCTCATCGCGTCCTTCACGCCTTACGAAGTCGTCGGTACACAACCTGATTTCTCGCCTATGCAACTATTAAAGGTCATGTCGCGGTTCACGACAGGCGGGCTCACCTACCTCCCCTACTTCCACTTGTGCCGAGAGTTGGGCGCGAAAGCAGTGGATGGGATGATCAGGGGTAAAGTGGTTGACATGAAGTGGACGGAAGGGATTGCTGTTACGGCTGCTTCGACTGTGAACTCGCCTGTTACGAGTGTCCCGCCTCGTCATGCAGGGTGGCACGCCCAGGATCCGACGTTGGTGCAGCACCAGGAGCCAACACCTGTCGTTGAATTCGGTTCGAACCCGCCTCCACCGTCGATTCATGCCCACACGCCTTCGCATACAGCTCCGGTTCAGCCTCCACCAATCCCGCAAGGTCAACCACCGCCGCCGTTCACCGAAGAAGATGAGGGAGGGGACGTGATGGTGCCTGTGTCGGAAGAGGAGTTGCTGCACCCGCATAGTCACCACAACGCGCACGCAGGGCACGCGCACTCGGTCCACTCTCACCAGACGCATCCTATTCATCCACTCCAACCGCAAGCCTCATCCACTGCCTCGTTCGGGAATACCATCAACACGGGGGGCGGAAACCACCCCATCAACACGCCGACGGTGGGGACGTCGACTATGCTCCCAACTGCTACTGCTACGAGCTCTATGCCTATGCCTCATCCGATCCATTACGGCCCTCCTCCACCGCGGGGTTATCATGATGATATGGTCGATGAAGATGATTACGGGGATGAGGAGTTGGAGGAGGAAGAGGTTATCGGACCGAAGATTATGCCTGTTTCGCCGATTATGAGGTATGCGATGAGGGAGGTTATCAAGGAGTACGAGGATGATCAGAGTGTGTCGGAGTATGCTTCGCTTTCAGATTTCGAGGAGTACTAGTACTGGTTGTGGTTTTTGTGGATTTGCGACTGGGTTGTTGTAGCGGGGGTAGTTGATGTTTGTGTGATAGTCCAGTTGTTGTACGAGTAGTTGGCGGATAATGTGGATGCTGATAATGTGGGGGACAATGTGGGCCTGAAATGTTGCGCACCGTCAGGGGAAGCGGAGACTAAGTCATACCGTATATATTTCTTATTTATACATACTCCTAGAGGGGGTAGAGAGATGGCACCGCAGACAACGAACATAACATATGTATTTAGACTTCTGTGTACGCATGTATTTGGCTTGACATACTAATAGGGGCAGTCATAATTCAGATCAACAACAAACTCCCTTCGGTTTGAAATATCGAACGTCGGAATAGTCTTGTAGTCTTCTCTCTTCTTCTCCCAATCGATTGGCAGTAAGTACAGTAGGTCGTCCTCAATAAGGAAGGGGGGATGATGGCGGATTCGTAGGTAGTAACGGGGTACACGCGAAGTCGGAATGCGGCGGGTAGGAGGGCCAGCGATGGTCCATGATGACGACCGTGGCGAGCCACCCAAAGACTGGCTGAGGGCCTTTGCAATGAGGATCGAGGAATGACATGCTGTCAAGACTCGATTCCTCAAGCTTCGTCGGGGACTGATACCATCTATAAATAGATCAGGCGGGGTCAGCAGTGCAGAATTGGGCCACGGAGCAGGAGTTTACCTTGAAAGAAACTTCTCTTGCTCTTGGTGGATCCCTCCTCCAGGATCATCCACCGCGCGCCCCTCCTCTGGGACCACCCCGCCCCCTACTTCTCCCCCTTCCTCCTCGTCCTCCTCTCTCGGACGGGCCAGGAGCGGGGGCGCTACCAGCGGTCGGAGCACCTGATCCAGCGGGAGGGACAATCAATCCAGGCATATTACCCTGGGTCGCTGGGGCATCGCGCTGCAAAATCGCAGGTAGTTTAGTGGCCGTGGGGGAAGTAGATTGCTGTTGAGCGGGACCTCCACCTCGTCGGTTCCGTGAACGGGGAGGCGACGCGGTGGGGTTGTTGCTAGTTCCACCCACTTTCTCTTTGACTGGAGACGAAGGTACAGGAGCCGGTGGAGCAGCAGGAGGAGGGGCAGCGCCGTTGGTGGCATTGGTAGGGGCTGTTGCAGTAGACGCAGCGGCGCCGGTATCCCTCTCGCGTTTGGGTCGTGCGCCAACGCCAGCAAGTGCAGCCTCAAAGTGCCTTCCTCCAAGGACAGCTCTGGGACGCCTGGCAGGAGCTGGGGTGGGAGCGGCATCGCCACCAGTCTGCGCGGTCGAACTTGAAGATCCGCTCGCGGCTGGAGTGGCAGCGGGGGCGGCGTTCGCTGCAGTTTGTGGTTTGGGCGGCTGCGCGATGGTAACCTGAGGGGTGTGGGCTGCGTTAGAAGCTGCTGCTTCTGCGGCCTTTGCAGCGGCCTTCTGTTGGCGAGACTGTTTGGCGGATGGAGCGGGCTTCGCTGCCTTACCCTCCGCAGGGCCATTGGCTGCTTTACCGGGTGCAGAACCCTTCTGAGCCGGTGCGGCTTCCTTAGCCTCCCGTCCCTTCTTGCCCTTCTTAGAAGGCGTGGCGGGTGTCCCACCGCCAGCACTTGCCACGACCTGTTTTGCAGCTTGGGCTTGGGCAGCCTGGATAGCGGCAGCCTGTGCTTTCTTCTTCTCCTCCTTACGAGAGGAGCTTGTCGTAACACCCGTCACCGCCGCAAGATTCGCTTGGTCCTTGTAGTGGGCATGGTTGCGCAGGATCGCTTCCTTGTCCTTCTGGGCCGACTTTTCAGCCTTGAGCGCTTCGAGAAGCGGTGTGGTCTTGGGAGGCGACGGGGGACGAGTGGCCGCGACTTTGAAGTGAAACGATCGAGCGGTGGATTAATTGGGGCTGTGATAAGGGTTGCTTTGAATGACATACGGAGTGCGTCGATTGTTACAGGCTCTGTGTTGGTTGCTGCATTGAGGGATTCGATAAACGAGATGTAGTCGTCATCTATTCAAACAATTTAGATCGGGAAACAACTCCAATGTCGGTTCACATACCTTTCTCAATGGTAGCATTCTTCGTGTCTGGTTTACGCTTCTCAGAAGGGACTTTCTGATAGGGCGCAAACTCGACGATTGCATACGATTCGTTTCCTGTTAACATGTTAAACCGGCTGTCAACGATTCAGGCGACGATGGCTATCATACCAGCTTTGTCCTTGAATAGATGACCGTCGAATTCCCGACTGAATGTAGCTAGTAGTTCCTCGTTCTTGAACGCGATATACGCCCGAGAGGGGATATTCTCCTTGTTGTCCCTAGCGATTCAGTAAATCAGTCCACGAGAATAGAACTTCAACCGCGGAAGAGATATACCTCTTCTTAAACTTTCCAGGATAGTAGACTTTCCAGGTAGCTGTTTCTTCAGTCACCCATGGTTTCACGGTTTGCCAGAAGATGTCCTCAGGCAGGTTCGGTGGTAAGCGCCGTACGACAGTCTTCAGGCGTTCATTGCTCTGTTGTTGAGCAGCCTTTTCTCGTCTTTCTCGTTCCTTTTCCTTCTTGGACTTTGTTGGTAGTTGGCCTTGAGCAGCTGGTGGAGACATAGCCTGTGTCGTCGTTAGCTAACGGCGAGCTCGAAACGGTTCGAGCGTTGTGATCATGACTCCCCTCCACACCACTGATGCGGCAGCGCATCGGAAATTGATCCGAAATAGAGGCGGCGCTTGAATCTTTCGAAACGCCTGTCCTCGAATTTTTCTCTTCGTCTCTTTTTTTCACATCGACGACCATGGCGAAGTCGTCGTGAACTTCAATGGTGAGCACAGTATTTTCCTAATGCCTTTTCATCCTCTGTTCTTTCTTGTGATGAATACCATATCACATTATCAAGCTCAACAGTCTTAGAGGGCGATCTCTCTGCTGATCCAACTTCTGCAATTCTGACCTTCCCTTCTCTTGAATCCTTCATTTAAGCTCGAACTCTCGTCTGACGCCTTACCTTTTCAGATGTCTTTCCCAGTACTTGGATACCCCATCGTCGAGTACATGTAAACTGCGACTAGATTGTGAATCCATTTCATTTCGACATCAACTGTACCCATTGTCTGCTTCGCCTTTTCGCTTGGTAAAAAAAAAAGCACTTGTTGGTGGACGAGAGGTAAATTGTAATGCTCAGGAATCTGACTGTAGGTATGGGGGTACAAAATGCATAATACAAACAAATGCAATGAAGGAACCAAAGGAAATGAACACGATATAAAGCAGTTCATGAACTTCGTAGCGGGTAGGGAGGGGTGATGGAGTAGAGGTGTGTTAACGCATAATCATATAGTGTCTGAAACGTGGTTCGCGAGGCGTTAACGAATGTTGGGCAGGGGCTATTCGTGGCTCTGGATTCTTCCCCGTTTCTGGGGAGCCTGAGACTAGAGTCTTGCGCCAGGTCTCAGGCCTCAGGGACCAGCCGTAAATCGACGGCGCGTTTCAATGAACCTGGGGTGCGCGCTGACGATCCCCAAGAGGGTGGACCTCTTCTTTGCGGCCTTCTTGGCCTTGGCTTCTTCAGCTCGTCGTTGGTCTTCTTGACGTCGGTTCCAGCGGGCAAGCAGCTCCAACCTGTAGCCTTTGATCTCCATGACCATCTCTTCTACGACCTGGGGCATTGACAGCATGGTCAGACCAATACTCGATGGAGGTGGACGAAGGAAATGACTCACCCGATCCCAGTTGTGCACAAACTGGTGTTGCCTCAACTCCGTTTCGTAGTCGGGATGCTGGGGGACGCCGACGGTAGCCAACCTGGCAGCTCGTCCAATCAGGATAAGGGCCCTTTCGCTCTCGCCATTATACTTCTGGACGTGGCTCGCGTCACGGAGGTCCAACACCATCTTGATCCAGTGCTGTAACGTCTCACCCTCGGTGTAGAGGTCAAGGCGGGAGGCCGCGATGATTTCGTTTGGGGGGCATAGTGGAGAGAGGGTGATTTCCGTAGGGGCATAATCCAAACTCGATGAAGGCGGTGTGGCTGAAGAGGGCGAGGAAAGCGTTGAGAGGGTGGAGTCGAGGGTCGTGGAGATCGACAACTTGGTTCTAGTCTCCATCTTGCCTACAAACGACAGTTGCAAGCACAAAATTTGTTACGCGCTTCTCTCGAAATGGAAAGGAGGGCGATGGTTTCTGGGGTGGGGTGGATGAGAATGGCTCCTCCGAGTCACCAACGCCGAGGGGCGAGGAAAGGACCTGGGGAAATGGGGCAAGCTGTGACCGCTTTATAGGCTTGAGAATTGAAGTGACTAGGTCTGGGATTCACTAGTTTTGTCCAAATCAAGGCGAGCGCATAGCCTGTGTGGGCACCATCGGCGACGCATGACCTTGTGCACCGAGTCGACGCAAAAGTCGCGATTTCAAGAAACCATAGTACATCCTGTCAAGAAAACAAACCGAGTTGTGTTTTCATTAGAGGCATATAGTTCAAAAGCTGTAGAATAGTCCCCGTTGAAGAACAAATCTTGATGGTCCGCAGTCAAGAAAAACGACCTCTTCGCGATTCCCAAATTCGTTTCGACGCCCGAGTTACCGTGTTCAAACGCTTCGAAGAGACCCAGTTTTCAAGTAAAGCCCAAGAGCCAGAACCCAGAAACATTGCCGGTGCACTGAAGTGTCTGAGGGAGGTCGCCATCATGGAATTCCTGCCCTGCTGGCTCGCGCATATAACAGGGTGAAACGCTGTATTCATTTCGCTCTCCACAGCGAATTGCGACAGCCCACACAGCAGTCCTATGATAGAGCATTTACATGAGACTTGGGTTCTGTAGAATTCACGCTAGTGGCGTACTGCTGTGGTACTTGACAGAGTATTGGGGAAAGGAACTGGCAGAAGGCGGTGACTGTGGTCCTTGGCAAACAGCCTAGGACCCACACAACAAGTTGAAGGCGGTGACTCGACAGCGGGCTGTAGACGTCTTGCGCTGTAGAAAGACGCATGCCGTGCATGGCTATACACTCTTATGTCGTCGGCGAAATTGGGAACGAGGAGGGGTGATGCTGGACAGATGTGCTGAAAGTGAATGAAGCCACGGTGCAATAACTCGGACAAGGAGGGATTTCCGATCGTTACGTGGGGTAGGGTTATTCTCCAGATTTGGTCGAGCTCAAAGATAGGGAAAAATTGTAAAGAGGAACTCGTCTTGACATATCGAGCCACGTCCGATGGCAGTCTGCCGCCGACTGGAACTGGCTCTTGGATGTCTTTGATTCAATTTCGCGTCTAATCGAAATACGACAGCGGATATCCTAAAACTTCACATTGCTCTCTCTCCAGCCAAGGTGACTGCCTGAAGGTCATGTCGATCAATTTGAGTGGCCGCCGATTCGAAGGTGTAACCCTTTCCCACCTCCCTCTTTTCCTGAGGACCTCGGTGGTGTTCGTGTAGCCTCTTGCCCTAAGATACTCTTCTGAGGGATTAGGATCAAATGTCCGCGCGAAGGACGTCCAGAGATCCACGCTGAGTTGAGTCATGACAAGGTCATCCCCGTCTCTGAACGGATGCGAGTCCTGGCCCAAGTTTCCGAGCGTGTAGAGAAGCTCTCCGTCGTGACACCTAGAGCATCTGGCGTGAATAATGTTCGCTAGCGTGTAGCTCGGATACAACTTGCCTGAAATACGGAAGGTTGGGGTTGCCGTTGGGGTATCCCTCCGTTGGAGGAGGGGAACATGTTCCAGGTAGCGGCTCCCATCCACGATATGTTCGATCGAATTGGTAGCCATAGACAGAACGGAAAACTCTATTCTTCGCGGCAGCGATTAGAGTGGCTTGGTCAATACATCTACATGTCCCAAATTATTGGTTATAAGCTTTCAGAAACTGTAAAGAAGTTCACTCACAGGAACTGGCCATCTGTGCTAATACGCGAGGTTTGGTTGACTAGATTCCAACTCGAGTTTGTCCCAGTCGGGAGAGGGAATAAACCTGAGTCGAGGGCGCGCTGTGCGATTTCCTGGTCTAGGCTACTCTCCTGCGTCAGCTCATTGAAAAGACAAAGGTAAAACCGGCGACTTACCCGGACCTGGTTAAAATCTCCACAGCAGTCGTGTCTTCGGTCGGCCAAGGACCAATAAAATTTAGACCATCGTCCCTCGTCCAGCCGAACATGATGTGAGCATCCGCTGTAGGTCCCGAGCCATCGAGTTTGAGTTCATCCGTGACGATATACTTGCCATCGACAACTATGTAGCTAGACCGTGGTTTAGATTAGTCCATATGAACTCAGCGGCATGCAGCTTGTTACGAACCGGGGCACGTTGGGCACATTCAGTAACGCACTCGCATCTGCCTTTCTCAGGCATTCCAACATCCCCATGTCGCTCTTGTCGCATCCAACCGCTTCCACTGCGCCTTTCCCAAACATCTCCCACTCTTCCTCGACCGTGTAATACTTCGAAAATGCTCCTGCATATCCGAAACCTCCCAAGTTGCTCTGGGCTACTGCAGCGTGGAAGAGCCCAGAGGCAGGGGGTGACGCGAGCAGCGCTCGGACTGAGCCGGCGCCTGCGGAATTTCCAAGTATTGTGACTCGATCAGGGTCGCCTCCAAAGGCAGCGATGTGGGTGCGAACCCATTGGAGGGCAGTGACTTGGTCCGCAATTCCAAAGTTTCCGTTGGTGATTCCATCATTCAAGGCCAGGAAGCCCAAAGTTCCAAGTCTATCGGCTGTGTCAACGAAAGCTGGGATGCAACAGGAAGGGACATGGCATACCGGTAGTGAGCGGTCACAAATACGACGTCTCCACGACTCACGGTGTTGCCCCCATCGTAACCACTGCCGCTGGCGTCACCGCCCTCGAAACCTCCACCATGGATGAAGAACATGACGGGCCGCAGGTCTCTCTTGGAGTGAGTACCGTTTCGCGGAAGGAATGGGGTGTAGATATTGAGGAATAGACAGTCCTCGTTCCCAGTTCTACCCGAATGTTGTAAACATGGTGAGCCATAGTTCAAAGCGGAAATGGTTTTCGGGGCGGCTTTATTACTGGTTCCGTAGGGCGTTGAATACGCAAATCGCTCGAACGGATCAGCGTAGGGAATCCCGAGGAAGCGGAAAGAGAGCTTGTCTCGTGTTCTATGGAGCGAAAACGCAGCCGTCATTAAATATATCAATTTACAACGAGACCTGAAGTGCCTACCCTGTAAACGTGAGGCCCTTCGATTCGACTTGGACGTGATAAGCGGGACTGAGATCGGTCTCGCTGTTGCGTCGATATGGGGCACTCTGAGAGCAAAGAACTTGGAACTTTCCCTGACAAGACGTCTTCGCCATTTTCCCGTCGGAGGCGACCGTCACACAACCGTTTAATGATCCAGTTCCTGGCCCGACCCAGAATCTCTGGCGATGGACCGAGCGAGATTGCTTAGAGAGATGATATCCAAGCAAGAGCTTGATGTCAGATTGGAAGTATGGTCCGGCTGGAACGAGTAAAGTCTCGTTGAGCTTGGAACAGGCTTCGACGGCTGATCGGTGGGTTAACTCTCGGTTGAGTAGAATCGCGCCAGTATGGAGAGAGGTCGTGGGCCCTTGACAAGGTGTTAGCTCATCACGCATTAGACATTGCAAATGATGATGTTCAGCGTACAGTCCAAGTCATTTTGGAACAGGAATGTCAGGTCTGCCTGGAGGTCGGATGCCGAGGGAGCTCCTAGCGCCAACCGGGTTGGAGAAAGGAGGAGAGCGGTCGCCGCAATGGCAAGGAAAGGAAACATGGCGTGAACCACAGAAGGAACAGAAAGCAGCCCCAGTAATTAAGCACAAAACCGTGATAAATTGAACGGTTTAAATTCGGGCGGTGGAAGCTTCGATTTCGAGAAGGTCATGATTTTCAGCCATGTGAGGCCGCTGGGATCGACACCCGAAGCGGACGTGTCCAATTCTCTTTCCGCAGATAGTTACTGACGATCTGCGAATAAAGAAGAATAATATTCGCTTTTGGAGGGACGCTCGACATATCCACAGGTGTGAGATCGAGATAGAATCCAGAGGATGGCGTTCGAGTTAACGCATATCCGTACAGTAGCCGACACTTCCATAAGACTTCCAGGTATCGTGACTTGTCGAAACGCGAAACAGAGAGAGTCGGGGTTGAGGTGAGAGAGGCGAGCGCCTAAATAGGGGCGTGTTTGGAGGTGTTTCGCTGGCAAGTGGCGGTGCCCGTCACATGAAGGCCCCAAATGGGTGTCCGGAGTATGGTTAGGGTTATTGGTCTTTGCGCGTAAACCTCCAAGTCAACACTTTGACCTTCAACGATGTCCGACTACGACGACGATGACATGAACTTTGGCGGGGAACACGAAGAGCAGGAGGAGGAGCAGGTCTCCCGCAAGGGCAAAGAAAGGGTGCGAGATGATGAAGAAGAGGAAGAGGAGCAGCCGGAGGAGTACGACGAGGAAGAGGACGAAGAAGAGGATGACGACGAGGATGAAGAAGAGGAAGAGGAAGTAGGGAGAAAGGGCAAAAAACGACAAAAGGTGAGCCATATCCAGTTGGAATTACAGCGAATTTCCAGCTAAGGCCTGCCCAGCGACATAAGCGCAACCCACTCAGCCGCTTCCTCGATGTTGAAGCCGAAGTCAGTGACGAGGAAGAAGAAGAGGACGAGGACGACGAGGGAGCAGAAGGTATGGCTGATTGCCTTCAATCCGCGCCCGTTAACTGACATATATGTCGACAGCCTTCATTGACACGTTTGACGACGATGAGGTCAACGACGACCTTTCAAGGCGGCACCATGCTTTATTAGACAATAGGCGCCAATTCGACGAAGAGGATAAGAGTCCGGAGCAAATCGCGAAGGCTTTCCAGGACCGTTATCGAGGTCGACCTGCGCCGAGATACACTGGAGACCTGAATGAAGTACCTCAGCGGCTGCTGATGCCCTCAGTTCACGATGCCAGTTTATGGCAGGTTCGAGTCAAGGTGCGTGGTATGTCCGACTTGGCCAAAACTCGGACTGACCCTTCTAAAGGCCGGCAGAGAACGAGATATCATCTTCAGTTTGATGCGCAAGTCGATTGACATGGAATACACAGCACATCCCTTGAGCATCCTATCCGCATTCCAACGCGACTCACTACCTGGAATGATCTACGTCGAAGCACGCAGCGCAAAGATGGTGCAACAGGCTTGCAATGGTCTTGTCGGCGTTTACCTCAGTCGAGGCATTCATCTCGTCCCTATCGAAGAAATGGCCAGCTTGTTAACCATCAAGAAACAAGACCTGACAGTCCAACCTGGCACTTGGGTGCGAATTCGACGTGGAAAGTACCAAGGCGATCTGGCCCAAGTTATGGATATCACCGAGAACGGCGAAGATGTTGGTCTGCGATTCATCCCCCGTGTCGACCTCAGCCCCAGGGACGAGAATGCAGCGGTCGACGCGTCCAAGAAACGGAAGAAGTCGGCCGTCACTGGAGGCGCTACTCGCCCTCCTCAGAAGCTTTTCAACTACGAGGAGGTTGTCAAGGTCTGGGGAAGGAAGAATGTGCACAAACGAGGCAATACCTACATATTCCAAAACGATACCTACCGCGACGGCTTCATCGAGAAGGACTTCAAGCTAAGCGCGCTGATACTCGAGGATGTTAATCCGACGCTGGACGAGATCACCCAATTCATGCGACGTCCTGAGGGCGCTGACGCTGACAGCGTCGTTGATCTGTCCGTCATTGCAGAAGCTTCGAAGAAGGCCGCCATCGCAGTTCTCCAGCCTGGTGACCACGTCGAGGTGTTCGAGGGAGAGCAAGCTGGTGTGCATGGTATCGTTGACGAAATTCATAATGAAATCGTCACGTTGACCGTGGTGGGTGCCGACATCGAGGGCCAGAAGGTTGAGATTCCGGCGCGCAGTGTACGCAAGAGGTTCAAGCCTGGTGACCACGTCAAGGTCATGCAAGGCCAGAATGTGGACGAGACTGGTCTGGTGGTCTCTGTTGCGGACAACGTCGTCACCTTCTTGTCGGACATGTCCATGCAGGAGGTAAGCATTTGAAATGATTTGCCAGGGCATAACTAATCGGTGTCACAGGTTTCAGTCTTTTCGAAAGATCTTCGAGAGGCAGCTGAAGTTGGTGCCGGCACTAATACTGTTGGAAACTATGAATTACACGACTTGGTGCAGCTCGAGTACGTGTTCCGCCGGGTTCGATATTGTCCAGCGACTGACGGATCCCCAGCGCCCAGACGGTTGGTGTAATCTACAAGACGGAGCGAGACTCCTTCCGCGTCCTCGATCAAAATGGTCAAACTCGACTTGTGCAGCCGCACCAGATTTCCATGAGGCGAGACACTCGTCGAGCAATCGCGTCTGACCATCACGGCCACGAATTGCGCGTGAATGACAACGTGAAAGAAGTCGATGGAGAGGTGCGTTATCTGTGGTTGCGAGTGTCATTTGTGCTAAATCAGAGCAGCAACGCAAAGGTCGCGTCTTGCACACCCACCAATCCTTCTTCGCTTTCCTTCACAACCGAGATATCTCTGAGAACGGCGGTGTATTTGTTACTCGCGCTCGTTCCCTTGTTTCCCTGGCCCCGAAGGGTAACAGCATGCTCAAGAACAACCTCGACCTTTCCAAGATGAATCCCAATATTGCTCAGCCCATTGGTGGAATGGTGGGATCTGGCGCCATGGGCCGTGGCCCACGGGACCGCCATATTGGTCTCACCGTCATGGTCGTCAAAGGACCTCACAAGGGTTACGCTGGCACGATCAAGGATACTAACGGGAATATTGCGCGTGTAGAGCTGCGTACCGGAAATAAAGTCATCACCGTCGACAAGGACAAGCTCAGGAAGATGGGGTCAGTCTTCATTTTGTATCTCTTACTTCTGACTAATAAGATCACCTCCTAGTCCTGACAAGAAGCTCTATCAACTCAATGACCATGCCCCGGCTGGAGCGAACAACAGCAGTTGGGGCGCACCTCCTGCCTGGACAGGCTCTGGGGCCGCGGCAAGTGGCGGCCGTACACCATTCGGTGGATCGTCCAAAACACCAAATCCCTATGCTGTTGGTGACGGCCGAACACCTGCATGGTCTGCTTCGTCACGGACGCCAAACCCGTACGCAGAAGGCCACAAGACTCCCGCTTGGAATGCGTCTTCGAGAACTCCCAATCCATACGCAGACGGAGGACGAACGCCTGCATGGAATGTCAGTTCACGGACGCCGAACCCCTATGCGACAGGTGCGAATGCAGGCAGTGCAACCCCTGGACGACCATCCTTTGGAGGCGCTACTCCAGGGAGGCCAGCGTTTGGCGGAGCAACCCCCGCAAGGCCGAGTTGGGGAGATTCCAGTTGGGGTAGCGGCAATGACGGTTTCTCCTCGCCCCGTCCAGCCCATTCTTGGAGTGACTGGGTACGTGTTCACTGGGCTTGACCTTCGTCCCAAATTGGCTAACCATGTCATTCAAATGCTAGAGCGCACCAACGCCTGCAGCAGCCCCTACCCCGGGTCTCCACACCGCACAAACCCCAGCATTTGGGGCACCAACACCTGCAGCTGCTACCCCTGCTGGTGTTTTCAATTCCGCTGCTTCCTCAGCAACTCCTGCTGCCTCTGGAGGTTACGCGCTGAATGATCACAACCCTGATAGTGCGTTGACAATGCTCACTCCAGCGACTCTTGCTGATTCCCCCTCTTCAGCATTGGACTCGGAGTGGCTCTTCGATCCAGCGGTTGTTCCCCACCATGCCCGCATTAAAATCCAGCTCACGGGTACCCAATCGGCGCAATACCTGGGAGGAGAGTACGAAGGACGACGAGGTCGCGTTATCGCAGGTACCAAAGCCCCATCAGGCTACGAACAAACAGCCACAGTGCTCTTCGAGTCTGGTGAACAGCGTAGTGTGGTGGCTCGTTTCATCTCTCCCGTTCCTCCTAGCCAAAATGACGAGGAAGTGTTGATCGCTGGTGGTAGGCACAAGGGACAGTTGATGATCGTGAGGGAGGATCCTCATGACGAGACTGTTACTGTTTCGTCGAGGAGTAACCCTGCTGCTGTTGTTGCTGTACCGAAGGAGCTGCTTATTGCCTTGTACGATGAGAATTAGATTTCCCGCTTTCACTTATCGTGATGTTATTAGTGTAGTTTGTTGTAATATCATTTGTCCTTCGAGTATTTCTTCAATCGTTGCTTCGCGTTATCTGAGACCTTGCAGGCGGGTTCACGCGAGCTGCCAGACCAATTCTTGCTATTCTCCTCGCTTCTACCGTCACGATGTTGAGGTATTCTTCCGCATAGTCTTCTGAGCTTCCGTTTGTTTCAACCTCAAGCAGAAGCGGAAAGCATGGAGCCCCAGCTGACTTGGAGCAATGCCGATTGCAAGCAAAGGTGGAATGAGATGGGAGGCGATTCCCCTTTTGAATAAGGGGAATGGGCGGCCAATACGACTTGGACTTTGCATGGAATAGGCACGTTACAAAGCTAGGATAGTAGGACTAAGGCCAGCCTGCCACTCAAGTTCGAGGAGAGTGAAAATTTTCATATGTCCAAGGAAGCCTTACCTTCTCCTCGTACCTCTCCTTGATTGCAGACGCATAAAAAAAAGATAATTCGACACCGACAGGATTCGAACCTGTGCTCACAAAGTGAAACAGATGGATAGAAGTGGAATTCTAATCTGTCGCCGTAACCACTTGGCTACGGTGTCTGTTGAAAGGCGCCCGAGAACTGACATCGCCACCGCCAAAACCACTGCTGGACCACTTGGACTCACTGGTCCTGGCGGAAGCTGGCAGCTAGGCGCCGCTCAGTAGAAGCCCAAAGGGTGGGTGTTGCTCGCTTGGCTCACATAAGCCACTGCAATATAGATACGGCGGCGCAAGAGTCCCCATAATACGCAAGGGGGCCGACGATCTCAACTTAACCTTCGGAGAATTGCGAGCTCTCGAGGTTTGAGCGATGAATTTCAGTCGACGATTCACACATGGACTGGGCACTACTAAGGTAAACTATGGAGCCATGGCTGTACGTGTGTGGACATGGGGATATGTATGTAGGCAAGATTAAATAAAGGTAGGTAGATGATCGGAGGAGACGGGCCCTCGGCACCGTCATGCCATTGATGGATGGACGGGCGCCTCCCTTGCAGAGCATCAGGTACTCTAACTTGGAGTCTAACGCAACTGAGGTCGGCTCTTGACCAATCAAGCTACCAGCCCCGCCTTTCAAAGTCCTCCAATAGATCCTTCATAGTATCTTCCTTGGATCTATAGGTGATTCCCAGTATCCGGGTAGCCTTCGAGGCGTCCATTTGGAACTTGTACACCCTTTCTATTTCAGGCATTCCTTTGGGAAGCTCCCGCTTCGATTTGAATTTGTTGGCAACGTCGACTAAAGGTCAACAGGCGCTCATAAGTCCCTAGGCCACGATTCGGACCATGCTAAAACTCACCCCAATCTTGCCAAACGAACGAGCCTTCCGAAAGGATGATCCTTTCTCCTCCAGCGGCCTCCTTCTGCAGTGCCAGGACGTGACCTTGGGCGACATCACGAACGTCCACCCATGACGCCGCGAAAGACAGACCCTCCTTGGTTTTGGGTGTGTCTGTTGAGATGACATTCACCCAAAAGTGCACCATGGACGAGTTGAGCGTCATGGGTGAAGCGCCGATTTCGTGGATCGGGGGCTGAAACAACGTTAGAGCGACACATTGCTCGGTAGTGTTTCGGTCACAACTTACTCCAAACACCTAAATCATGGACGCTTAACGAACGTATTTGATTGCAAAAGTAAACCACATACAAAAACTGGGTTCAGGACAGTGAGGTCCCATTTAATGACATTCTTATGGTCGTTGTAGAACTTCCAGGCCGCTGTAGAAAGCTCGGATCAGGGACGTTATCAAGGCCACAAGGTTGAGCAACGCGCCTCTTTCCGCGAGCACTTTCGAAGCTCGATACTTCTCATATACGGGAACGTCGTTCCCCTTCTCCTCTATGTCCCTGACTGAACCGTCGTTCCAGTCATCTTCCGTGAACGTCCTGGGCTCCGTACTTGTGGTATCGATTATGGCACCGGCGCCGGAAGTGATGACGATGCGTTTGAGGCCAGAGCTGAATGTTTCAGGTCAGGATATCATGGTCAGGCTATTTTCCCTAGAGTACGGAATAGTATCACGCACCCGTGTTTGAGGGCGGTATTCAAGAGGTTTAGAGTCCCATCGACCGCCGGGTTAACAATTTCTGGGAGAAGAGTGGAGTGAAAAGTCAACACATTGAAGATAGGGGCATACCGTATAGGTCATCGGTATTCGCCGGACCAGGTGAAGCTATATGCTGTATCGCATCCATTCCTTTAATTAATTCGTCGAATGCGCCCTCCTAATTCCGTGCCAGTGGCCATCAATCGCCCTTCTAACAAAGTGCAACCGGTCCAGCGTACCTTGGTAAAGTCTGGAACAACGACCACCTCCAGCTTCTCCCCATAAGACTTGAAGATATCCTTCAGATGGCTAGCCTTACTGGCAGCCCGCACTGTGCCTCTGACGGAGTAGCCTTCTTCGAGGAGTCGGCGGACTACCCAAATGGCAATGAAACCATTCGCGCCTGTTACGAGGACTTTGCTACCTGGCGAGACTGTGGGCATGGGTGAGAGAGTACAGAGGTCAAGTTGAAGACATCCGTACGCTTACCACTCGATATCAAGAAGAGGTACCATGTACTTCTCTTATCTTCTAGTCCCTTCTGCGATGGACGGACTTTGATCTCAAAGGAGATGGGAATTGCTCTACTACTTGAAAATGGTTTCTCCGCTCCAATCTTTCGTCTTTGTTTGATCCCGGACCCAATGGCAGAGTATCCTCCTCGTGAGCCGCCCAACAACCCATATGGCAATATAATGGCCGTTGGCGCTTGTTACGAGGACTGCGCTGCCTGGGGGGACTGTGGACATGGTCACGAAGCCGCGACTGGGACGGGGTGAAAGGTCGAAAGACAACGTCGATCTGTGCCTGCGAGGACGGTTACCGCTCGATAATTTTAAGTCATCTCGTGGGACACTCGGAGCCAGGGTCTTGGTATGGATTCTTGTCCTTCAAGAGTATAGGAATTCGGTTTGTAACGCGATGGGCGCTTACACTGGTAGCCATCCATATAGGCGATTCACGGTAATTAGCAAGGTCTCGTCCACGAGTCAATGGTCAGTTATACTCGGTCATTCATTGGCCCTCCGATACTCGTACAATTTCGTACCATGAAGGACATGTAGGTTCCAGATGGAGGGTCTAGAAGGGAGTCCCTGTTGGGAACACCATTGGAGACCGAACTTCCTCTCGCTTCTCCTTCCCACACAGCAATTCGACAAGTGTCAAAGCGAAGGGGAAGGCAGTACCCGGTCCGCGGCTGAAGTCTATGAGTAACCGCTGCGTATACAGGATACCACCGGTACCGTCACATACCTTGTAACGAGGGTTCCAGATACCACGACAGGGTCTTCAGAGTACTCGAAATCTAACGATTCGTAAGTTCCTGCGTAGTCGAACATCCGAGGGAGAGAGGATACTCACCAGCTTCCAGGTCGCCTCTGACGCTTGGATGGGAGGTGATAGGTTGCTTCGGGAGCTTGGCCGTCCGAGCAGCAAGGCTTCCAGCACAGATCATGCCGACGTACTTCTTCTTATCCAAGTACGCCTGGATGAGCTTTTGCACCGTGGCGTTGGCTGACATGGTGGCTGCTCCAACTGCGCCTCCTGGTATCACGAGGAGATCGTGCTTATCCTACGGACATAGTGTAAGAAATAGTCGAAGGCGAAGTGATTATATGGGAGCAACAGCAGACGTACAGGACCGCATTCAGTGGGGTCGAGATAGGAATCTGGCAGGATCCTGACTCCACGCGAGCACTTGGCCGCAGGTGGACTAACGCTTGCACCCGGAGATTGTGCAGGGACAAAGGCTGATACAACCTGGACACCAGCTCGAACGAGGGTATCGTATGTAATGGTACTAACAGAATCGTAGAGGTTGAGTTTCTTTAGTCGCTGAATCGAAAGAGCTGGTATACTCACAATTCCATTTCCTCGGTCCCATCTGCGAGAAGAACTACAGCTGAAGGCATTTTGAAAACAGAATAGAGAAGACGATTGGACGTTGGTGGAGGGGTGAGTTGCAAGCTAATTGCAGAACACTGAGGAGCCTCCCAGAAGACTGATGTCATATCACCCCTAATCTCATCAATGTGGCTATGCCCTTTTACCCCGCCGCCTGAGCAAAATACAAATACCCACGACTGCGGTTTCCAAAATCCCAATGGCTATTGTCCCCTTCGGGGTGACATACGAAAAAATTGGAACGATACAGAGAAGATTAGCATGGCCCCTGCACAAGGATGACACGCTTTCCCGGAGTGGTAGACCTACGGGTCTCAATATTTATTTTGTTTCTTTCTTGCACTTTTTGTTTCAATCGTCCGTAGCTCTCCGGATTCAAGCCACAACTAGGCCCTCGAGGTCAAAGAGTTGTCAGAATTCTGCCCGTTCTCATGGCGCTAAGTAAAACCCTAACCTAACTCCGAACGCGCCGGCAACGGAGTGCGTGTCTGCAGCTTCACTTCCACCACAACTTTCATTAGGCAGGGAGTCAGGGGCAGAATGTCCTACTTCTTAGGGCCTATCTCAGGCGCCTTGGTGGCAGGAGGGGTAAGTAAATCTTCGGGAATCGCCCCAATAACCGCGCTAATCAACTCCTGAAAGCACAGGTGTACTACGGGTTCTCTAGCCTGATAACGAAGAGGTAATTATTTCTGTAATTCCATCCCTTTCTTAACTCTAACCAAATCCTGCGTTCAATAATATATAGAACGGAGCAGCACCAGCGAGAGTACGTCTAGATACCAACAATCCAAGAGACCACAAACTAAACCCAAATCCTCACTCCCTCCTACTCGTCCCTACGCACCCTCGTACCTCATAACCGCACATCCGAACGACTACACAACCAGCCTTCGCTACCTCTCCAATCGTCTATTGGACACACCCGCCTACATCCCAGCACCCCCACCCGCCGCTGCTCGCGTACACCACAACGAATTCACCGAAACCCTCAAATCTCGGTGGAACCAGGAAATCGCCTACATCGCTGCTGGGTTCAGAGGATGGGGAAGGGACTTGACGCGGTGGGGGAACGGGCTGTTGGAGAAACTACCGACGCCTAGCCCAGCGCCGAAGGAGAGGAAGGACGAGGGTTCGTAAAGAGGGTTGACGAAGGGGATGCAGGGGGGATCTTTTCAGTTCTAACGGACGCGTTTCCGACGTTTGAAGAGGACAGTATCGAACCCAGTACACAAATGACAAACGAAACGTAAAATTCATCGCAACAAGTCCTACATCTACCAATTATACAAACACAACATACATGTAGCGGTCCAGCTGCCAATCTCAAGCGCTAACTCGCACTCGCACCTCCACCACGATATGTAGCTCACTGCTGCTGGTACCCGCCGCCATACTGACCATACGAATGGTATTGCTGCTGCTGTTGCGGCGGTGGGGGAGGAGGCGCACCATATCCATATTGTTGCTGCTGCTGAGGCTGCTGCTGCGGTTGATACCCATACCCTCCCGGAGGCGGTGGCGGAGGAGGCGGGAATCCTCCTGCATTACCAGCACCACCATACTGATACTGCTGTTGCTGCGGCGGAGGAGGTGGCGGAAGTTGGCCCTGACCTTGACCCTGCTGGTACTGATAATGCTGCTGGTGCTGCTGGTGAGGTGGAGGAGGTGGAGGCGGAAGTTGACCATATCCATGGGTCTGAACACCGGGCTGTTGTTGCTGTTGCTGCTGCGGGGTATTTGTGTTCGGGTTAGAGGAGAATGAAGATCCAAACAATGACAGGCTAGCGTAAGGATCAACGGATGGTCCTGAGGGTGACATCGATGACTGTGTAGTAGGTCGAGGAGGTGGAGGTGGTAGATGTGAAGGCGGGCCCGGAGGAGGAGCTGAAGCTGGTCCAGGAGTATAGTGTCCTGGTGGAGGAGGTGGAGGCGCTTGTCCAGGATATTGATGGTGCTGGTATTGTGAGGGAGGGTAGTGCGACGGCGGTTGAGGAGGAGGAGGCGACGGCTGGGGAGCTCCGTACGAGCCAGACCATCGCTGTTGTTGCGGTTGCTGAGGTGGCGGTGGCGGCGACTGTGGTGGGGGAGACGATAGACTCAGAGCCGCCAGCGTCGAATCGAGACTGCTGCTCGGAGGGCGTGGCGGAGGGGCAGGTGGCTTCGCCGGAAGAACGGGGGGAGGGGCTGACTGCGTCGTGCTCGTTCCTGAAAGTTTCTTCTCGAGTTCAATCTTCGATACGAGATCCTCTCTCTCAGCCTTTCGTTCATTCAAGAAAGAGTGGGCGTGGTCTTTCAAAGATTTAGTTAAATCGGTGAGTTCAGAATAGAACTGCAGTCCCTTGCTATAAAAGGATAGTGTTAGTTCGACCCAAGGGCTGAAAGACATGCAACGTACGTGAGCCCATCGCGAACCTCCATATAGACGTCCCTCGCCCTTGAGAATCGACGAACAGTATCATTCTTCTTCTTTTCCCGCTCTTCCCACTTGCGAGCACCAGGCCCACGGCCAGCTAGGTCTTTCAGCCCCTTCCACAACGCAGTCAGCTCTTGGATCGCAACGTCTTGATGATGGACAGTTGCCGCTAGGCGTTGTTGATATGGCCTGAATTTCTCCAGCTCTGCAGCAAACAATGTCGGTTCGATCCCAGTGTTGCGCTTGTTCAAGAGAAGGAGATGAGATACGTCGTCTGCTTGAACCTGTCGAGAAGCGTTAGGTCGACCTCACCAAAGGAAATAAACAACGACCCACCTTGTCCTTGAGATCCTTGAGGACCTCGTTCCTCTCGCGCGAGATCATGTTAACCCTCTTCAGTCTATCCTCGATCTCATCCACATATCCCCTGATCTTAGCGCGCTCCTTCGCTTCATCCACCTCGCTGCTTACGTCCAAATCCAACAGGCTCGCATCCTGACTGCCCTGATCCCTAAAGACCTGCTCCAACTGCGGACTCCGCAACAACGCGATATCGCTCTTGATCGAGTTCCACATGTTGACGACTTGGGAGTCTGACGCTGAAGCAGCCTCCAATGCTCCAAAGTGCGATTTAAGGTCAGCACGGATAGACTTGGTAAGACCCGCACTGGGACCCTGCGTCCAGAGATGATCGTACTTGACGCGAAGCACCTCGCATTCCTTGGATTCAATCTCGAGATCACGCGAAACGCCTTCCAGATCTTGTTGGACGCTGGCTTTGAGTTTGTTGAGTTGCGCCATAAGCGACTCGACGCTTTCGCGATCCTCGATGACGGTGATATCTTCTTTCCAGCGCCGGACTTCCGTAGGAATCTCCTCATCTCCACCGACCTCTCCTTCAGCCATAGCCTTAAATCTCGCGAGCCCCTGTCTGACGCCCAGGCCATCGATGGCGCTGCGGCCTTCAGCTTCTGCTGCATCAGCTTTCTCAACTTCCCCGCGCACTAGTTTGGCCTTTTCCTCCGAATAGACACTGGCGCTCTCGTGAACGCTGAGCGGGATGAGCCTGAGGAAGATATCCTGCCCAATGGTCTTCTGGACTTCTGGAGTACCGTAGACTTCGTGTATGTGGATCGGCTGGGCAACAACGAGTTTATCTATGGGTGGCAAAGCCTCCGGAGCAGGAAGGACTGCATTGTAGATCAAGTCGTTCTCCCGTTGTGCCTCTGCTTTGCGTTCTGAGCAGATGACAAGGTGGGCTTTAGTGCGGTCCACGAGGGTTGTTCCTGCGTCGGGAGGAAGAGTGGGGGACATGGTGGATGAAAAAGCGGCAGAGAAGACGGTGGCCTGTCGGTTGGCTTCCTTGGCGAGTGTTTCTGCCTGGGTGAAGCGCACCAGGGCTTCCCCGTGCTTTCCTGCTGCGTCGTCCGCTAAGCCGCGATAGTACTGCGCCAATGATGTGAAGTACTTGGACTTGGTCTACAAGATGTCAGTGTCATCTCGGCGGAAGCAAGTCATGTCGCTCACCTGGATCAATGTAACCCAGTTGCGGTCAAAGATGCCCTTGCCCATAAACTCCTTCACGTCCTCGCACAGTGTTGTGTACATGCTCGCCGTCTGACTCGCCACCTTGCTCACCAACTGATTCCCCTTCTTCTCGTCTGTACACTTCTCGAAGAATACCTCCGTCGCCTGTGCTAGGATCACGTTCACCAAGAACTTGACCACATCCCTACTCAGGTCCGTCGAGGGGGCGTGCAAGAAGTTCTCGTTAATATAGTTCAGCATCCCCGCGCAGGTCCTAAAGTAATAGAATGCGCGTTTGAGGCCTTCGGGGTCTGATCTGGATTGAGAGGCAGCGATAGAGGAATGTGTAGCAGCGATTTGGAATAGGATAGAGGCCTTCTCGAATGCGATAGAAGTTTGGGTTGTTAGTTTCTGGGTGAAAGCGTCCCTCCATGGAAATGTGACTTTGATCTCTGAGAATCGTAGTTCGAGCAACTCGAGTTGGCCAAAGTACTTGTAGAGAAGATCCCGGGCTGTTCTCCAGTTAGATTGCTGTTGACGATGATAACCGAGGCTTTCGAACCTGTAGTATCGCTTCCAGCACCGCGCACGGCGTCCTGGCGACACCGCTGAAGAGCAGCACATTCCTGCGCGTAGTTGTCGGGACTCTCGCCATAAGACTGGGCAATGAGATGCCGAATTGGGGTCGTCCAGTCGACCTCATCGGTGACCTTCTTGGGTATCGAGATCATAGGCGATTGGTGCGCCATTGTGGTCGTCGTCGTTGTCGTTAACCGTCAATTCCAAGAATGCCGCCGTAGATACTTATTCGTGTTGACTGCGCAGTGCGGATGACTGATTGCGCGGTCACCCTAGTTCGTCGTCATCGACAGGGGTTTCGAGCCCATCTTGGCACACAGCCCGGTATCTGTTGTTTGACTCTGGCCTTTGAGACAAACAAAGTGTTCAGCACGCGCGCGGTTGTCTCCGACGACGTCGAGCTCACGATCCCCATTCCTTCACCAAATCTTTCTCCAAAAATGTCGACGACGTCGAAGCCCACATCAAGCGAGGATATTGTCGGGAGAAAGGTGCGTCCAATGACTAGTTTCAAACTTCCGTGAAATTGACCGTTTTTTGCAGTACGACCAGTGCCGTAAGTCTTTGCCAATGTTCCGAACGACCAGCAGCTTGAAACTGACACCTTACGACGTTCAGTGGCCGACCTGATCCTCAAAACGTATGGAATCTGCTCAAATTTGAAGGGAAATCATGAAACTGACAACTATTCATAGTGGAATCGGATTTGGCGCCGGCGTCGTTGCATCCGTCATTCTTTTCCGAAGTGCGTAGCAGCTTCAAGCCCATTCGAGCTCACATTCAACCAAGCACGAATTTCCAGGACGAACATGGCCAATTGCCTTGACCACCGGTTTCGGTGCTGGTATCGCATATGCTGACTGCGACCGCTCCTTCAACCCTGCCAGACTCTCCGGCTACCGCGTCATTCCCCAGTCCGAAGCCCCACCCAGCAAGTAAACCTGCACCAAGCCCATTCTTTTTGTCCCCCTTTCGATGTTATAGATGAGCATACGCGTTGTCGAACCTGTCTACGGCTACTATGACTGGTGAATTTAGATTTTCAGAAGAGCGTGGCCTGTGGTCTAAGGCGGTAAATGCTGGCCATGGATGGATTGTTTTCAGGAACTCTTGCGCTCTGAGGGTGTTGGGATTATGGACGCATGCGCCTTTTCTGCTCCGTCTTCAGAAAGGTTTGGCAAAGTTCGTCGTGGTTCTCCCTGGAATTCGCGTTTGTAGAAGACCACTGCCAGAAAGTCATCAGGATTTAGTGTCGTCACGGTCTTCAGACTCTTCTTACCTGAGCTGGCAACGAGGATGGGCAATGCGACAATGATAGTCTTCAAGCGTTGAGCTTGGGGCGAGAGAGGGGCCTTTGCCATGGTTGTGGTCGTAGTTGGAAGTCAAAGGACGCGACAAGCCGCCAAAAGCAAAATCTAACCAAATAAATAGGGGCTATATCCCATCAGAGGGCCGTCCTCTAAGTCACGGGTGAGTGCAATTCCAATATCCAGGTGCGGTTTCACCTGACGGATATGTTTAAAGAAGTAACAGATGTTGTTGAGCACACGGACTCTTGAACTTGAGGTGCTAAAAAAAGCACTTCCCTTAGTTTCCCAGTTGGGGAGATGTTCAGTCTCGCTCATAAGCGCCGAACCTACCTAATCCAAAGGCGGACGTTTGAGGAAGGCCGTGTAAGACGGACGATGCAATTCAGCTGTGAGGCTCGTTTAATCACTGCTCTATGTATAGTGCGACCGCTTCCACGGGCGTGACAAAGCCAACCTTTCACCAGTCTAGCAAATCACAGAAGCTTCCGCCAGACCCAACCTCTTGCTCCATCTTGTTGCTACGTCCTCGCATAGACAGCCATGCCTACAGTCCAACCCGGCGGGAAGGTCCTCGTTACAGGCGCTAATGGCTACATCGCCATGTGGGTGATCAAGCTGCTCCTTGAACGGGGGTACTCTGTTCGTGGAACGGTGCGATCGGCAGATAGAATTCCGTATCTTCGAGATCGCTTCAAATCGTATGGAGAGAAGCTGAAGGTTGTCGTTGTATCCGATATAACTGAGGTGCGCCTCTGGTACTGAATATTGTAATCTGACTGACCGTTCACTTTCGTTCTGTGGTGCCAGGAAGGAGCATTCGACGAAGCAGTCAAAGACGTCGATGGGATTCAACATATAGCTTCGCCCGTGCCAGAGACTGTTGAAGATCCTGACGGTATGCGCTCGTGACTTGCCCTTTGAGTGATGCCAGGTAACCTTCAAATTGGCACTATTTCTAGCACTCATAACGCCAGCCGTCCAAGGAACCATCGGTATTTTGAAGAGTGCTCTCAAGAACGGGTAGGTCCTTTACTTCTCCAGGCTCCCAAACCCGCTAAGTGGTATACTGACCCTGTCGTTGAAAGGACAAGAATCAAGCGCATTGTGATCACCTCAAGCTGTGCAGCCATCGTCGACAACTTTCCCCACCCGATGACGTTCAATGAGGACCATTGGAACGAAGGAGGGATAAAGGAGGTTGAAGAGAAGGGTAAAGATGCGTCGAGAAATGCCAAGTACCGTGCTTCGAAGGTACTCTCTGAGAAGGGTGCGATTATTGCTTCCCCCTTGTCTTGAGGTGATCATGCTGATCCCGGTCATGCAACAAGCTGCTTGGAAGCTCTATAATGACCACAAAGATACGGTCGGGTGGGATCTGACGGTCCTCAATCCGGCTTTCGTTCGTGCTTTTTTTTTCTCGACGACGGTAGAGTCCTGATGGGTACTTAACCGCAGGTCTTCGGGGTAAGCATGACTTACAGAGGTCAGAGGAGGGCAATTAACTTGGAACATTATGCCAGCCACCGATTCATGAAGTGCGTTCCCCAACTACCCTCAACTCCTCAATGCAGGGGTTCTGGGACAACGTCATCTCCGTGGACAGCCCCAAGAGCTGGGAGGCACTGTCGTTTGGCGCTTCGTGGGTTGACGTTCGCGATGTTGCCCTTTCTCACGTTCTAGCATTAGAAAAGGAGGAAGCAGGTGGACAACGGATTATCCTCTCCGAAGGCCCATTCATTTGGCAGGATTGGAGTGAGTAATCAGGTTCACACTTCAACAAGGAAAACGTTACTTACCCAGGAGATATGCTCATCTGCTTACGTAGTTGACGTCGCGCACAAGATACAAGCGTCTGGACGGGAGCTCCCCAAAGGGTTTCCAGATATCGAGCGGATATACATGCTCAAGTTTGATGCCTCGAAAGGGGAACGCATTCTGGGGATTAAATATAGAACGAAGGAGGAATCGTGGAGGGACATATTGGAGGACTTGGAAGAGCGAGGCTGGTGATATGGGAAAAATGACCATGATTCGAAGGAGATGATGCAATGCCTGCTTTTAGCGCAAGGAAGCAAACTTCGTGTCTCACAGGAACCGCTGTAGCTGGCAGTCGCAGAGGAAGCGCCGATATAATCGAGTCAGGTGTAAGGGCATTTTGACCGCCTCTCAATTACGTAGGTCGATAAATAGACCATTTCAGCCCCAGCTGAGCACTGTCGAAGCGGTGAGAAGCGCCCGAGGCGCTTGAAGATGTTTGTGTCGGAGCTCAAATCACCTTCCCTGCCGTAAGATTGCCGCTGACCCCTCTTGGACGCAACAAACACCGCCGTCGTCGCCAACGCCGCCAGTGTCGCACAAACCCTCTGGAGCAGAGACGGCCGGGTCGTCCAGCCAGATTGACTTCTAAGAAATGTCCTTAGAACAGGTTTTCTCGTCCACAGAGCTAAGCGTCGTCGTTCCCGACACCTCTCTCGAATTCCCTCCCCAATCCTCAGTGGACGAATGGCTAGGCCGCGTCAAGATCGGCAAGGTCGAGCGCAAACAGGCGTTCTTTGGTGAGCTTATCTGCACTTTTAGCGGCGTCTAGTCTTGTTTATGAACATCCAGATGAACAGTTGCAATCGCTTCTCCTGCTCAGAATCCCACATCCTACACCAGATAACCCAGCAGACCCCAAGAACCCGCCATTGATCTTGCTCGAGTTCCTGAACTATTTGCAGATCTCGTTGGAGGCGAATTATTTGGCACCATTGCCTTCTCATGTCCCTGCGGTAGCTGAGACGCCTCGGACCTCGTCGTTGTTATCAGCTCCTCCCCGTGTTACGACCTCGCTCGCGAAATCGGCGCAGCTCAGTGCAACGGGTCGCCATCCCCCGATCTTCCCTCCAGCAACACCAAACCCGGTACCATCGACAGGCGAGCAAGACAGACAATATGCTGGTGCGGAAGGGCCGTTCCTAGCTGCTATCATTTGGGGCAACAATGTATCGGAAGAGTCGAAGGAGGCGTTCAGTTTGCTATGGTCAGAGAAGGAGAAGGTGTGGGTTGCAGTTTATCGGATGGTTCTGACAGTTTGTGAGGCGTCTATTCCTGCATGGTGTACCTCTACTTATGATACCTTTAGCGTTCGTCAAGGCCATCACGTTCCCAAATCCAGTTCTGTCCCTCACAGTCTCCACGACGCTACGAGATAAACCAATCGTCACTTCTGAACGACACCCACTCGCGCGGTTCCTCTCGACACTGGGCGTAAAGGCGCCAGAATCCCCCGTGGATACAGGGGAAGGTAACAACAAGCAAGATTCTGAAATTCTATTGGATGGCCTGGAGGAAGTCAATCTGCTGGAAGGACTGTTGGCAGGTGCGTCTACACTCATCGCATCCGTTCCACGGAGGAATAACCCTCGACAGGTCCTTCGTTCGCGAAGATGGGTCCGGAAGAGATCAACGTACCGTCCCTGCGTCTTGGAGTCGTCTCGCGCCAGAAACTCTTCTCGCTACCGCCTATGATTGCAGACACCCCGAACGTTCCCTCCCCTTCACCCATGACTGCTGTTCGCAAAGCGCATCCCACCCTCCGCAAGTCCCACCGAAAGACACTGCCAACCGTCTCGTCGTTCGAACTGCGAATGCGAACGGTGTTCGTACCCTATGTCCTTCTGCCGGAAACCGAGGGCTCTTCTTCAGACGTCGACGAACAAGAGAAGGAAAGAGAGAGGCGAGAGGCCGGTAGTGCTGAGCGAACAGTGGTTCTCTGCATCGAGATCAAGAACCTTGGTGAACACCAAGAAATGCGAAGCGGAATCGGTTTCCTCATCGAAAACATCGCTATCAAGATTGCAGGGGAAGGAGCAAAGACTACACTAATTGGATGGGGCGAGAATGGATTGACTGCAAAGGCTTCTGAATCGACATTCCCCTTGAAACTGGGACCTTTGGCTCAGGTCAACCTATTATACGCCGTGACATTCCTTCGATCTCCAGATGAACTGGACGGGTTCTCGTTTGCGAAACCCGACGCAAAGCCAAAGTCTGATCTTCGACGGGGTGTGTCGATCACTGTGAATGGGCAGCCATACCTTCCGTTGACGCCGTCCGCTCGAGCGCATCTCACTGAACCGGACAGTATCACTTATCCCACGAATGTATTCTCCTCTGTATGGAGCACCATCCTTGACCTCGATTCCAATCCTGCGCCCGTCCTCGATCCCTTCGACCCGTCTGATCCACTTGGAGGATATCCCAACACGCTCCCTGAACCAGCCTCGCCTTTCCCCACGTTCGCTATCGGCTCAGCACGAGGAACGCCCATGACACCCCTAGGCTCTGCAGCCTACTATCAACAATATTCAACAGACATAACGCCACAATCCTCCGCCTTCCCGGGCCAACGCAAGTTCCCACTCACACCCGGAGGCTACTTCCAGGCCAAACTCAGCCGCGGGCTTGCCCCATCCCGCATGTCCGCATCAGCACACCACCAGCAACTGCAACAGTACGGCTACTCGCCTGGGGTGGTACCCGCAACGAGTCGAACGCCAGCTGTCTACACGCCTCCACCTCCATCTTCGATCATGGGTGCGATGAACTACCTCCGGTCTCCGACGACCTACAGTGCGCCTGTGCCTCAGCACCCTCCTCCGCATTCCCCGCTCGCTGGGCAGCCGTTCACACCGGACTATGATGAACAGAGTTTGGTGGCAGCTGCGCCGTCGTTTGATATACCGCCTACGCCTGCTTATCCTGCGTTCCCGCAAAAATCGACGCTACCTCCTAGTCCGAAGAGTTTAGGACCTATTGCATCGCAGGCGCAGAACAACGTAGGGCCGAGCGTTGAGATAAGGAGGGATAGACCTCATTCGATGATGTCGATGGCGGGTGGTGCGATGGGTCCGGGCGGTGGTGGTGGTGGGGTGTATCCTGGTATGGTCGGCCCTGGAGGGAGGCCGACGACGCCGATCCCGCACGTCGCAGCTGCGTTTGGAGAGCAAAGGATGTTTAATAAGCTTGCGAATTCGGGGGTGAGTGGGGAGAATGTTGTGGTTTCTGTTGGGTTGTTGCCCAAGGTTGATTCGTGGGATGAGGAAGGATGGGATTCGGATTCGAGTTCTTCGTCGTCTTCGTCGTCTTCATCCTCATCCTCATCATCGTCTTCGTCTTCATCTTCATCTTCGTCATCTTCATCATCTTCGTCGTCCTCAGGCTCAGGCTCAGATTCGGAGTCGGGGTCAGAATCAGAATCAGAAGACGGAGATGGGTCCAAGGATTCCGGCTCTGAAGACTCCGCGTCGTCTGCTACGGGTGCTTCAAAGGCCTCAATCAAGGTGTCTGAGCAGGGGGAGGAGAGCGAAGTAGAGGAGGAGAAAGAGAAGGAGAGCGAGGTAGAGGAGGAGAAGGAGAAGGAGAAAATCACGAAGGACAAGTCTGACAAGGGGGAGGAAAGTGAGGAGGAGAAGGACGAGGGGATAGAGGAGAAGGAGAAGGCGGGGAAAGGTGACAGTGACAGGGAGAGTGAAGGGGAGAAGGACGAGGGGATAGAGGAGAAGGAGAAGGCGGGGAAAGGTGACAGTGACAGGGAGAGTGAAGGGGAGAAGGAGAAGAAAGTCGAGAAGGAGAAGAAGAAAGAGAAGAAGAAGGATAAAGTGGAGTCGGACGAGGGTGAGGACGGTGATGACGAGAAGGAGGAGGAGAAAGAGGAGAAGAAGGAGAGTGACGGGGAGAGCGAGGAGGAGGAGGAGGAGGGAAAGAAGGCTAAGAAGAAGAAGAAGGACAAGGGGAAGAAGGACAAGGACAAGGAAGAGAGTGACGGTGAGAGCGAGGACGAGGAAAAGGAAGAGGAAAAGAAAGAGAAGAAGAAGAAGGAAAAGGGCAAGAAAGACAAAGGGAAGAAGGATAAGGACAAGAAATCGAAATCGAAAGACAAGTCCAAGCACAAAGAAATCATCCTAGGCCCTGACAAGATCTACCCCCTCTCCACCTTCACCCTCGACATCTTCGTATTCAACCAAAGTGCCTGGACGCGGAGGTTCGAGATTACCTGTCCGGAGAGGCGGCGGAGGAGGCGGGGAGGGGCGCAGATGGGTGTGTATGGAGGTGGTGGGGAGGCTGCAAGGAAGATGGGGTATCCGGGTGTGTTGCCTATGGATAAGAGGGTACGAATTGGGTGAGTGTATTGACTTGATTTGGTATTGGGACGAGCCATGGACGCTAATTTGTCGGTGTAGACCTCTGAGACCGTCGGCGTGCCAGTCTGTACGGATGGATTTCCTCGCCGTGTCGCCTGGTGTGCACTCGATTGATACTCTCACGTTGACGGATATTGAGTCTGGTTTCTCCATGAACCTTCGGTGTGTACCGTCTCTTTCTTGCCCGATTGGCTTTGCTAACATGTACGTCAATGTGTGTAGAGCGGTACTAGATGTGGTCGTACACGACCCGAACGATTGAGGTCATTCATTACTCATGCCGGGTGCCGAGCTTGTGAACGGATGCATCACGACAGACGATACCAGGGGTGGAGATGTTGGATTTGTTATGCGCGCCGGTGTGTTGGTACATAGTTGATAAGTAGCAATAGATAGTAGTAGTAGATACCAATGGAACGAATGAATGGATACATGGTGGTGGTACAATTGAAGTTGGATGGATGTCGTTTGTCCATGTCAGAGTCTATAGTACGTCTATGAGTGAATTAGGGGCGCGCTTGCGTTACGAATAACGAAAGCAGGTAGGTAGGGGCATGAGGAGTGTTTCTAAAGCATAGATCGGGGCATGGCAGCATGTGTCGTCTGGGAGGATCCCGTCAGTGCTTCAGTTAAGGTTGTCGAAATCGAGGTGAAGGTATATCACACACCATGAGATGTTCATATGTTGCTTTAGAAGTGGTGGGATGCGGGCGATCGTTGGGTGGGCGTGAGGTGTGGTCGCAACCAAGTAATGGTTACCGATATTGAAAAGGCGTGGTCCAAGTCGTGTCGTGTCGTGCCAAAACCAAAGGAGGATGGGAAGAGTAAAGTCGGGTAAGGCGTGTGTCCAAAATGCCGGTTGAAACTGGGACGTGAAACCGGTCCTTGAGAGCGAGGCGCCTAAGGGTGAGGCGTCCTCCGTCTCCTCCTCGCACTTCGAGCATTGTTGCGCGCGGACCTCGGTGATGACGAAGGTATCCGTGCACCTGAGGCGAGGCTATTGAGTGCTTGTGTCCACCAGTCGATCTCTTCTTTGGTTATTGGTCGGAGGGAGAGGGGTTTGTTGTCTGCGCTGTTATTTGGACGTGGGCCGCGGGCGTGGAGGTCTTTTGGGATTGGGATTGGGGAGCTTAGGACTGATGTCCATGTTGCTGCTAGGGAGAGTAGGATGAGGGGAAAGGAGAAGCGCATTTTTGGGATTTGTAGTTGGTAGTGCGGATCTGGAGATGGGATGCGTTAGAGAGTGGAAGGGAAGGACGTGAAAGGGGAGCAAGGCCTACCAGGTGCAAAGGTTAATATCCGACGGGATATATAGACCAGAAACGGGGTGGAGGACACGGAGGACACGTAGTGCGTATCCTAGGGGAGGTGAGATCGCGTATACGGGGAAACACTACCGTCGTCACTATCTTCGTCTTCTCGTGAAGAGCACCACCACTTATATACGTACGCAGCGCGAAGCCACACCCTAAACGTCATGTCATCAAAACATGCTGCTTGTGGGTAAGTGGTACTGCCAGTGAACATTCTAGATCTGAGAGAGATTAGCGTTGATTGGTGCGTTCGTTCCTTCGGACCACGTTTTTGAGATCTTCTTTCATTGAAAATAGTTCAAAGGAAGGCCTATAGGGGAGGGGTGTGTAGATGGATGAATTGGCTGGGCAGGGAGAAGGCCTTGGGAGGAACATAAAGTTATCGAAGATTAGGCGTGGTAGGGCAATAAGCTTCTGTTGAGTTGTGAAGAAGAGGGAGCTGGAAGTGATTCTGTCGGATGAGAGGATTCTTTTGGTCATGCGAGAGGGGCTAGCGGCTAAAAGGAGGATTAAGAGGAGAAACTTCGTATTTACTTGGTTTTACTTACTTTTCGGGTTAATCCATTCCTCCAATTGTCCAAGAGGCATTTTAATGGAAGGCTGACATTTAGAACTGTCAATGGGTCAGAGGGAACGAGCAGGGAAGTGGGAGTTGGATGGAAATGTGGCAAGTCGCGACAGAGGAATTGTTGCAGAGACTTAAAGGTCTGCGACGATAGAATCGTCAGGGATAACTTCGCTCATCAATTACTGATTCCATTCAGGTATTGGTTTACCCGTAGATCCCCTGTGTAATGCTCGAATGGCGAGGAGGTAAAGGTTCGGAACCGCGGCAATCCACGTGTAGGATTAGTTCCGAGTGCTTCGCCTTGGGTTGAAGATCTGGGGTAAATGACTCTGAGACTCGGAGGCAGGAAGTATTGTGAACAGGTGTCGTCTTTGTGCGTGGTCGTGGCTAGTGGTCAAGAATATTGCCTGAATTTGAGACTTATTGACGTGGGAGAACGAGTTTGATTACTTCTCGTTTAACTTTCTTTCCCCGGCGTCGAGCGCGACTCTTACCACAACGCCGACGTCTACAACGACCCAGTTCATACTATCGTTCTCATTTAAAAATGACGAAACACAGTAAAAACAACACGGCGTCCTCGATATTCAGTTATGCTGAATACAAGAAACTCGACTATGGAACTAAGAAGGTAGCTCCTGCTACGCCCAGCACTCGACGATAGAATACTCAATCATGTTTTGCCTGGCATTAGCAACGTCTAGGAAACGAATCAATGCGCCGCTTCGACGCCTGCTCACTCTGCCTAAACCGCGCTCGAAACCCCGTCGCATGCAACGAAGGACACCTCTTCTGCAAAGAATGCGTTATCGCCGACTTGTGTGAGTTGCCCTGCATTCCCAACCCCCTTCTATCCATCCAGTCAGGTCGGCGGGGAATCTAAATTACTCAGTGACACAGAGGAAGGACATTGAACGTCAGAAGGAGCGGTTGGAAGCGCTGAAGAGGGAGGCGGAGGAGGAAAAGGCTAGGGCGAGACAGGCTGCCCGTGAGCGTGTTTTGTTGGAGTTTGAGAAGGGTCAGCTGGGGCTGGCTGCGGGTCCTTCGTCAATTGGGACCAGGGCTGCCAGCACTGAAGAGGGCAAGGACTCGAGCGACCCAGGTGAGTCCGAGTCGTGCTCTCCGCAGGCTCGTATACTGACAGAAACACCACCAGCTCAAACCAGAGGAACAAAACGCAAGTTTGAATTCGATCCGTCGACAGTCGAAAACCTTGCCAAAGAAGCAGAGGAAGCTGCCATGATCCAAATCGAAAAAGAACAAGCAGCAGCGCTTAAACACAAACTACCAGATTTCTGGTTGCCCTCCCTCACGCCTACGTATACCTCCTCTGGGCCCCCAAGGAATCTGGACGATGTCAAGGTGCAAACGACGTGTAGGGGCGCAAGTGGAAAAGACGGGAGCCATGCCCTGTCGTACGTGCTCTAGCCTCTCCTCCCCAACACGTTCCGTCTCTTACACGAACCCCTTTCCTCCTGGCTATAGGTTAAAGAAACTCTCCCCAGTAAACTTCACGCTCTGGTCAAGCACCCCCTCTGCCAAATCCCCGGAATCCACACCCTCGAATGGTGATCCGACGGCAAAGGCGGAGGAGGGCGACCCCATGTGCCCTTCATGCAAGAAGAAACTTTCCAATAACACGCTGTTGTTCCGTGAGTGCTTATTTTTGAGTTTGCCTTACTTCCCTTTGCTTCGTGGCGGTTTGCGTTCCGCTGGTTTGCTTTGCATGTTTTGGATCTGCGGGCTAGGGCGGGATCTGCATGCCTCGGGACAACGGGGCCTCAGCTTGACTTTGCTTTGCATTGCGGGCCCGAGGAGTAGGCTTCGTGTCTAACCTAACCTTTGCCGCATTTACGCAAACGTTTATCCCTGCATCCTACCACCATTCTTCCTCTACAATCACCCCCTAACACGGTACATCCCTCCAGTGTCCAAACCATGCGGCCACGTAACCTGCAAAACATGCACCGACACACTCGTCAAACCCTCCAAACAATGCGTTGTCTGCGAGAAAGTTCTCAAGGATAAGGATGTGCTCGAGTTGAAGCGGGAAGGTACGTCGTCGTCATTATTCGTTACTGGCGTTCTGCCGCGTGTATGGTTTTTCGTTGTAATTATTGTATTGACGAAATGTTTCTCTGCCTTCACAGGGACTGGCTTTGCGGGTGGTGGATTGGCGGAGACTTCGAAAGCCGGTATCGCATTCCAGGGGTAGACTTTATCGTACATTTCATGTATCTTCCCAAATTGACCCCTCGTCTGGGCTGCGGTCTTGTGAGATGGTCTAAGAAGGCTATAGATACGCGCGTGGACTTGTCAGACACGATTTAGAAACCGGTGGCGAGAGACAGTGAGGGAATAACGACCGGCAAGAAATGCGTTCAGAGTTCAGACGAAAAAGAATGACAAAAAGTTTCGCTGGAAGCAGGATTTGAACCTACGCGGTGAAACACCAAGTGATATGTTTGGGTATTCAAATCACTCGCCTTAACGACTCGGCCATTCCAGCCATTGCAGGGAGAGTGCACTTTGGACCTCACGTACATATCGGAACCTCATGGCTGCGTTCACTCGCATTGAGACAGAGGAAGCTGTTACTACTACCTCTGATCCTGTAGACCCTCAACTATGTTCAATTTTTTGGTGCTCCTAGCTCTTGTTACCCCTGATATATAGTGTTCGGGGTTTGGGAAGCAGCAGCGACGGGCATGATCTCATATTGGGGTTCCTTCTCTCACCCGCTCCACGGTTACCTCGACGGAGAGTTCTATTCTGGAGCACTCTTATCGCAGGATGGTTTGTAAGGTCGATGTTAGATTTACGTACGGGCTTGTCAAGTCCTAGGATTCTTACGGTCGTTTCAATTGGTCGGATTTCTATTCTGATTGTTCAACGGATCGTTTTTAAATATGAGCCCTTGGTGAATATACATACAATCGCTCAGTTGACTTGTTCATGTGCTAATAATCCCGCTGACAGTTGTACATGCAAGTGACAGTCGTCCCCTGGTCTTAGACTTATAAAAGCCTGAGCAGTGTCGGTGGGAGGTCGAGTCACCCCAGGTGTCAGCCACTGGCCTTTAGCTCACAGCGACCATGAAGTTCGCCGATACTCTGCAAATTACGACCGACTCTCAAAGGGTGCCTCCTCAACTGGCGAAAGAGATCTTCACAAAGGTACGGTCTCCTCTCCCCCCCGACTCGCCCTTTCTTACTACATAGTCCCGATTGAAACGCACATCAATATCGATATTATCCTTCCGCAGATCCTTACGGCTGAGGAAAGCAAAGACACCAATAACCTCCTCTCGTTCACCGAGGACGGCGCGACGTACGAGGTGTCCGGGTTAGATCGTGTATCCGGCAAGGCAGCTATAAAGCAGTACCACGATTGGATGTTTGCAGCTGTGGAGCGTACGGAGATTGTGTAAGTAGGTTCCTCTATCCCCAGATCGATTTCGCTTCAACGACCAACTGATGGGGTCTTTTTGATGTTACATTGAATACTCACCATTCAGCATGAAGTCAGGCAAGCAGTTCTATTATCTTTATCTCTTTCCGTCGCGTTAATTAACTCGTACTTCTAGGACGCCTCGGGCCAACTGAAAGCTCGGCCACTTACGACCAGACATATTACTACACCGACGGCACCTCGTCGACCGTTTCCTGGACTTTGACCGTGCAGAACAACCCCGATATCGTGCGTCTGCAAAGTAATCTCCAGGATCGATTGTCTCTGACTCCGAGTAACTACTACTCCCAACTTGCTACTTACACCCTGCCAGGGCAACATCAAGGCGAGTGCGATAAAAATCGTCGGGAATGCGACGGCGCATTGGGATAAGTGTACTGCTCTTGTCGGGCCTTTGCCGGTATCGCCTGCCCATAGGGAGCTGGTATGATGTAGGGTATTTTAAAATGCATGGTGTACATCCTTCCTACATAGGAGTAGTACCTCTTTTGAGACAAAGAGCCGACAGCTCGTCTTCCAAAAGCATGAAAACTAAAGGTCTCATAGTACTTTTTCAAGGGCAGGGAACCTCTCCTGCGAAAAATTACAAATTAAAATTTTGAACTTCAAGGCAACTTCAAGCAAGGTTTTTCATTGACCAAGCGCGATCTAAACAAGCGCCCGTGGGAGCTATAGTTAAGCGTGAGTTTGCCTGGATTTGGGTTTATGTATCACACACGGCATGACGGCAATTACAGGCTCAGATACACCCACACAAAGCGCTTTCGTGTCGTGTCGTCGCGCTTCTCGTTTCTATTCAAGTACTTCCGCGAAGCCCACTCCCCTAAGGCGCGAATATGGAAGTGAGTCTCCCTGCCACGCGCTCGTGTACACTGTGACGTACCAGTAGTTAACGTTTTCCATCACTAAGGTCGGATTGACAATCCCTTTCCCTTTCCCGGATCCAAAGGGCAACGATTACGACTGGCGAGGCCTTGAGGACAGGGCGTACATGCGGTACCAGTTCTGGGACTCGCAGCACACCATCGACTGGTTCGAAGCGCGTGGATACACGCTCTACGAGCGACATTTCGACGATCTACGCTATATCGCCCCTCGTCGAAACGATGACGAACCTGAAGTCGAAGCCGAGTTTCCATTTCCCCACCATGACAATGCAACCAGCTCAGAAGGGGAACCTGAGAGAACGGCGATAGAAACGACGGTACGTGTCCTGTCAGGATGAGGGGAGTGTAACCGTGTTTGCCGGCGCCCTAATACAGATGAATTCTAGGGGACGTTAGCTTTTGCTCAAAACAAGCAAGGTCAACATGTCGTGATCAAGCTGGTTCCAAACGACACAGACGAGCTGCGAATATACAAATTCATAGCAGCCCAGGATATGGATACCTTGCGGGACAATTGCATCCTCCCAGTGCTCGAGATCCTCTCAATAGAGGATCACTCTTTTGTGGTCTCTCCGAGGTAATGGTGTGCCCGTCCCTGTGTCCCCCACGAGTGACCGTCCGTTTCTAGATGGGGAAACATGTCCCACCTTCGATTTCGGAGCTCCAGCACGAGGTCAGTGATCTCGGGGCGGTGTACGAGATGTTCGTGAATCCCAAAGACGAACTGATGGAGAGTGTTGACTATGCCCATGAGTTGGGCTATGATGAGGGCAATCATATGTCCGATGGAGACGATGCGAGCGACGGGCTCAGCACCAGGGGTTTCGAGAAGTCTATTCTCGAGTCGGACGGCATACTGGGCATTGGTGACCATGAAGAGAGATTCCTCCTCGTTGAGAGGGGGAACGGGCATGGCCGGGGCAAGGTAGTTCCGAGGCCTTTTGGTCTCGGGTTCTGTTGGGAGATGGATTTGGGACGCCAAGGTTTCAACCTTGATTTCAACATGTGACTTCGGCGTGATCTGATGCATGTGATGCGGTTGCATTTTCCGCGCGCGCGGAGATGTGAGAAGGCGATGACTTCTGGATCAAACAAGAACACACTGTAGGGCTGCAGGCCAAAAGGCCTCGGATTATTGCCATTCACTGGCCTGCAACCCACTAGTTGTACTGAGGAGTGGACATGCTGTTGGGTGGAAGTGGTTTGTCGAGTGGAGTTGGGGAACTTGTTGTTTTTTCAATCGAGTTTTTCTTCCTCCTTTTAAGTATAAGTCCTCATGTTTTCTTGGTTGATGTCATAGGCATGCGTTTGAGGGGTGTTCAAGATAAAGCCTCATGTTGTCTTCATGTTCTAAGATAAGGGTGCATGTCGTCCTTTGAGGTTTTCATGTTTCAGGTTTATGAGATGTGCATGTTGGGCATGTGGCTTCCTCATGTGAGCTTGTGTTTTCGTTTGTACGCCTTGAGGAGTTCCTTAGCATGGGAAAGTTCTTTTTCCTTTTTCCATTCTGCTTCAGAGAGAGGATATCCTTTCCACGATACTAGGAATTGTCGTTGGTTCCTCACGACTCGATGTTTGAGGATTTTGTCGATCTCATATTCCTCTTCTCCATCAATTAATTCGGGAGAAGGGAGTGTGTAATTGGGTCCGTGTGTTTCCGTTTCGACATATGGGGAAAGTAGAGTTGCATGGAAAACGTCGTGGATCCTCCAAGTCGGGGGAAGGTTGAGGCGGAACGTGTTTGGTCCAAGGACTTCTGTGATTTCGAAGGGACCTTCTCGTTTTGTTGTCATTTTCTTGGAGTATGGGAGCTTGATATTTTTGGCTTCCAACCACACTCGATGACCTTTGCGGAAAGGTCTTGGTGTCCCCTTGATTCGTTGGGCCATTCTTGATCTGGCGAGCTCGTGTGCTGCCACGGCTTCTCTTCTATCTTCTTCCAGGGCTCTGAGTCGTTCTTCCACTGATGGGAATTGAGTTTTGGAGAACGTCGTTGGTAAGGCCTTGGGTTGGAACCCCATGATGAGTTCGAATGGAGAGTGTTTTCGATCTGCATGCCTTCGGTTGTTGTACGTGAATTCAGCGAGGGCTAGTTTGTCTGCCCACAATTCTTGGTTTGTGATGCAGTAGATCGATAAGTATGTCTCCAATTCTTGATGTACTCGTTCAATGGCTCCTTGTGTTTGTGGATGGTAAGCCGTGGATAGTGACGAGTCTATTCCAATGAGACGGAACAGCTCTCTGAGAGCTTTGGCTGCGAATTGGGGACCTCTATCAGAACCGATTTTGTCTGGTAATCCGAAGCGTTTGAAGAGATTTTCCATAAGAAGTTTTGCGATATCGTCAGCAGTTGCTGTCTTCTTTGTTGGAATGAAGATCACCCCCTTACTGAGGCCGTGGTCCACCACGGTCAGGACCGAATCGTATCCGTTTGATTCCGGAAGATCCGTGATCATGTCAATGACGACATAACCAAATGGTCGATCATTTCCTTCTATGGGCATGAGGGAGATCTTATGGGGATTCCTCTTGATTTTGAACTGCTGACATTTCGCACATCCCTGGATATATGATTTGATGAACATCTTCATTCCGGGCCAGTAATAATGATTTTTGATGGCATGGAATGTTTCCAACTCTCCAGGGTGTCCCGCAGTTTCAGCGTCGTGGTATCGTTGGACAATCTCTCTTCGGATGTTATTGTTCTTCGGAATATATTGTCGGTTCTTGTAGAAGAGTGTGGTTTTTCCATCTTCGGTAATGACCGTCCAATCGTGGAGTCCTTGTTTCATTTCGTTTGATCCGCCTTCGACTAGGGTTTTCATGGCCTCAATCGCGGTTTGATCCATTCCTGTAGATTGATCCATGTGTTTTTGGAGGTCAAGATCAATCAAACCTATGGAGGTATCCGTGTCAAGTTCGTCGATAAATAACTCTTCTTTTAATAAAATAGTTGGTAGGTCATTTTCGTCTTTTTTGGGTATGTGATCGGGTCTTCGAGAAAGGGCGTCGGCTTGAATCATCTTGTTGCCGGGCATATTCTTGAGATTATAGTAGTATTCGGATAGTATTAGGGACCATCGGGCTTGTCGATCGTTGAGTTTTTGTGGTTGTTTGAAATAGGTGAGATTCTTGTGGTCAGAAAGGATATGGGTGGCAAATTCTGATCCCTGGAGGTAATGTCTCCATTCTTGTAAGGATCGTACTATTGCAAGGAGCTCGCGATCATAGATTTCATATCGGCGTTCGGTGGGTGTGAAGGTTTTTGATAGGAAAGCTACCGGATGCCTTTTGCCATTCTTGTCTTCTTGGGTGAGGACAGCTCCATACGCGTACTTGGAGGCGTCACATTCAATCTGGAATGGTCTAGACATATCCGGCATTCTGAGGACGGGTTCTTCGATGAATCATTGCTTCAGGGTTTTGAATGCGTTATCACATTCCTCAGTCCAAATGAACTCTTTTTCCTTGGTTAGGAGTTCGTTTAGGGGTCTGGCGATCTCGGAGTATTTCATGGTGAACTTTCGGTAAAAGTTTCCGAATCCCAAGAAGGATCGTACTTGCTTCACCGTTGTGGGGGTGGGCCATTCGGCCATCCCTTTGACCTTTTCTGGGTCCATCATGATTTTGTCGTGTTCTATGATCATGCCGAGGTATTCGATTCGTGTCTGAGCGAATTGACATTTTTCGACTTTGAGGAATAGGTCGTTGTCCCTGAGTTTCTTGAGAACGATTTTAGTCATGTGTTCCAGTTCTTCGATGGTGTTTGCAGGGATGAGTATGTCATCCATGTAGATGATCACAAGTCTCCCATCGATTTCAACAATGAAGATGTGGTCCATCATCCTTTGGAAACGTTGCGGGTGAGTTACAGAGTCCGAAGAACATGACTAGTGCTTCGAAGAGCCCTCTCTTGGTTTTGAATGCAGTCTTCCATTCGTCCCCTTCCTTGATGCGCACATTGTTGTATCCCCATGGGACATCGAGTTTGGTGAAGTATCGTTTTCCTTTCACCCGGTCATGATGTCGGATATTAGAGGTAGTGGGTAGGCGTCTTTCACCGTCCATTCGTTGAGATATCTGTAGTCTTGGCATGGGCGCTTCTTTCCGTCTTTCTTTGGCACGAAGAACATGGGTGATGCCATTGGTGATTTTGAGTGACGGATATATCCCTTTGCCAAGTTTTCATCAAGGAATTTTGTGAGTTCTTCTTCCTCGACCGGCGTGAGATTGTAGATGGGAAACGATTTGGGTTTGAAGCCTTCCTTGAGGTTGATCGCGTGATCCCACTCTTTCCTTTCTGGGAAACGATTTGATGCTTTTTCAGAAAAGACACTTAAGAATTCGTGAAAGGCATGGGGAATTTTGAGTTTGAGATCCTCTTCAAGAGGTGGTTCATAGTCGGTGTCTTTTTCTTCAGTGCTGGTCGCGTTGAGCCATTTCTTGTTGATTTCCTTCGTGGCTTTTCCTTCGATGAAGGCGAGGAGAAGGTCTTGATCGTCTTGCTCCATGGTCGGAGATATCGTGTTTCTCCATTTGACCTCTCCTCGTTTCCAGTTGATATCGGGGTTCTCGTTCTGTAACCACGGCATCCCGAAGATGAAATCCCACTTTCCTAAACCTGTGACATAGATAGTATATTTTTGTAGTCGTCCAGTGATGTTGATGATGGGTTCAATCGTTTGTGAGATGGTTCCCTGTTTGTTTGCGGTTCCATCTACGTTTCGGACTTTGATGGGGTTTTTAAGTGTTTTTTGTAGGGATTTTATATTTGTCAACCATCCGGTGGTGGATAAATAGGTCATCCGCTCCGCTGTCGATCAGGACCGTTGTGTCGATGCCACTTTCGGGTATTTCAATTGGTAGAACGATCGATCGTTTGTTTCGGGTGGTGATCGTCGCCGTTCCAATTGACAGTTCGGGGACGATCTCCATCGACCTTAAGATGTCCCCTATGAAAAATCCTCCTCGGATCCTTCGCCCTTTGTTGTGGCTCGAATGTTTGAGCTTCCCGAGTCAGGGTGTTTGGGGCAAGGCTCGTGTTGTATGTCCTAGTTGTCGGCATATTCCGCATTTGGCTTTTGGACAGGGCTCGCGCCGGGTGTCCCTTTTCCTTGCAGATGAAGCATTTCCCATTTTGTGTGCCGGATGACTGCTTTGTTTGGATGGCGTCAACATCCATGGCATCAGGGTCTTTCTCCTCCCGTTTCTGTCGTGAACAGCAAGTACGAGCCCCTATTTTTCCTTATCTTATCTTATCGCTTTCATCGCCCTTATCACCTTTTCTTTATTCTCATTTCTGCCCTTATTCTCGACACGGACACTTTCTCCCATGGAACACTGCCTCGTTATGCCCTTTGCCCTACGTCTTATTGTTCTCTCCATTCTTGCACTGCCTTGTTACTCTGTTATTGTCTTCTTCATTCTTCACGCAGCCTTCGCGCAGCCTTGTGACTCTCCTTATTGTTCTTTTACATTTCACCATCTGTTTGTCATCTTGACTCATCGCGACTATGTAGACTGTAGAATAGGTATATAAGCTAGGTAGATCCCTCTGTATTTCCTCAGCTTGACCTCTTCGTCAATACACCGCTTCAGCATTCATCTGCCTTAGTTGCTCATCGCTCTTATCTCGCTCTCTGCTCTCATCCGCTCCGCTCTTCTGGTCTTTGGTTTGGTTCTTAGTGTTCGCTCTTCGCGACATTAGGTCAAGCTACCTTCGTGCACCGGCAACGCCGATCGTTGCTCCTGCATCATCCGCATCCCTGGCTTCTGGTTGACCTGCCGATCAGGTCCCTCTCTGGCAACTCTGGTCCCCGCACTCCGTCAAGATTTCCGCCACACCGGAAGACACCTCCTGTCTGTTTAAGCCGCACTTTGTCGTTCGGGCCAGTGACGGTCACCCCATTGTCCTAGACGTCCATCTACCAAGCCTCAACCGTTGGACCGCTTGCTCTGAACAGCCCTGCCCCAACCGTTACCACGAACCTTCCGTACACGACTGGGTCTATATCAACTCCCTCAAGTTAAACACCGAATCACCGT